AGAGATTCAAGGACTTATTTAAATAATTAGAATAATCTAAATTATCTTAATATAGAAAGTATGATCATACTATTTCTATTAAGAAAGAAAAGTTACTAATATATAGAAAGATTTGTCTAATATCTGAAAGAGAGTTACAAATATTATAGGAATATATTGATAATTAATTAGTAAAAGATAATATTAAATCTTTGAAATCACCAGCGGGATATAGAGTCCTATTTATATTAAAAAAGAACAGCAGTTTACAGCTATATATAAATTATTAATCACTTAATATTATTATGATTAAGGATTAATACTTATTATCTTTGATTTTGGAAATCTAAGATAAAATATAAGAAATAAAGTAGTTTATTAAACTTGATATTATAGATATATATTATCATATATATATTATGAAAGATAATAAGTGGAAGACTGTGTTTAGAACAAAGTATAGATACTTTAAGTATTTAATCATGCTATTTAGGCTTATTAATATACGGGCATTATTTTAGTAATATATTAATAAAGTCTTGAAAGAATATCTTGATAGATTTATAATTACTTATCTAGATAATATACTAATCTTTTTAAAAACTGAGAAAGAATATGTTAGATATATAAGACTAGTTCTGTATAAACTATATTTATATTAATTATAATATAAACTAAAGAAATATAAATTCTATATATAGAAAATAGAGTTTCTAAGATACTGGATATCTATAGAAGCGATCCTAGGGTTTGACATATTCTTCATGCTCAATAATACTGTCTTTAAGTAACCATATATTTAAAAAGCTTGATGATAATACTTATCTATACTCACTTATAGATAGCTGCACGGTACTATCTGGCCTTACTTCTCTTTCCTTGGTTCAAGACCAGTTGCCCTTAGATAGTCATCAGTCTGACACTATCTCGACCAAGCTCGACGGTACGTATTCAAACGGAAGCTAAGCTAACAGGAACAAGGGAAGCGATCCTAGGTTTTGACATGTTACTAGTGATAACTATCTATTATATTAATAGTTTTAAACTCATCACGCATCCCGTAGCAGCAGGGCCCGATGATATAAGAACTGATAGGTATGGTTAATCAGTTATAGAAAAGCATCACTGTCTTAAAGTAATAAAACCAGTAATTTAAAGATTACTTAATAATTAAGTCTGTTAAGGTCTGACTATCAGAACTGTTTAACAGTAACTAAGTAAAGCTCAGGGCTTTCTTAACCCAGTTAGACTTATATCTTAACATGAATAGAGAGAAACTCAGAAATAAGATTAATAAGTTTCTTTTTATATTTATTTATCTAATTAAAATAATGTTTAATTAGTTTAAACTATATATTCGCAAGTACTAGAAAAAGTCAGTAAATAATCAGAATAATAAAACTAAATAAATCTTTACTAGTTATACCAGATTCAAGAAATATCTTAAATAAATATTTAGAGATATCAATGCAGTATATAATATTAAATAAAAGTTATAATAATTTAAATAAAATAGATTAATATTTAAATACATCTCCGAGGCCTTACAGATTATCAATTACTTAGACTGGGATAAAGATACCTATATTACATAATTTAAAAAAAGACTTAAGATAGATGTCAAACCCTAGGATCGCTTCTCCCTGTTCCTGTTAGCTTAGCTCCCGTTCCAATACGTACCTTCGAACTGAATCAAGGTAAGTCAGACTAATGACTATCTAGAAGTGACTGGTCCTGAATAAGAGAAGAGAAGTAAGGCCAGATAGTGCCGTGCAGCTATCTGTAAGTAAGTGCAGACAAGTATTGTCACTAAGCTTTACTAAAACATATGGTTACTTGAAGATAGTTGTATTGAGCATGAAGAACAGAACTAGCTAAGTATATGAAAGAGTGTCCTTATATCCTATCCTTTGTATACCATATCATATACCATTCAGGATAGATCGAGGGTCGATCCAATCACGTTCCTGGATTCCAGTATACCTTCCGTATACCCTCGATGGTAGATCCGATGGTAGATGGTCACGTGACACAGCGTCGCTCCGGACGTTACTCAGACCGGGATTCTACTCGATAAGAGTTTGCTGGTTGTCCGAGTCCTGTCTTGTCGTCACTTTTCTGCCTAACCAGTCCGCTCCGCTAGTAATCTGGCTAGCAGGGGTCTGTAACACCGTGCAGCTATCCGTAAGTGAGTGCGGACAAGTGTTATCGCTTAGCTTTCCAAATGTATGGTTACTTAAAGACAGTAAGATTAAGCACGAAGAACAGAACTAGCTAAGTACATGAAAGAGTATTCTTTTATATCCTATTCTTTGTATACCATATCATATACCATCCAAGGTAGACTGATAGTTGATCCAATCATGATCCGAGATCCCAGTATATCTTGTATATATCTTTAATGGTAGATCTGATGGTAGATAATTATGTGACACAATGCCGCTCCGGATGTTACTCAGACCAGGATTCTACTCGATAAGAGTTGCTGGTTGTCCGAGACTTGCCTTGTCGACGCTTTCTGCCTGACGAGTCCGCTTCGCTAGTAACCCGACTAGCAGGGGTCTGTAACAATAGCCTCTTAATTCTTGACAAGCACGACTTCCATTTAACTATAGAATTTGATGATATATATAGTCAAAATAATAATATTTTTATCTGTATACCTCCGTATTCTTTATATCTTTGTTAACTGCTTGATATTGCTTGCTTTATACTATTAAAATAAGTATATGAAAGCTTGATGGAACGGCTAATCTGTCAGGATGTTTATCATATTAATAAGATTAATTTCTTGAATACATACCCAGAACCATGTTTTCTTATCTTTAAAGAATCAACTATTTGCAATACCTTTAAGACTTTAGGATTAGTTCCATTCCAGCCAGATAAAGTCCTTGATAAGCTGATTATACAGCTCTATGAGCCTACTCCAACCAGCAGTATCACCACCATATTAACAGTGCCAAAAATGCTCAAGAACACGAAGCAATTACGGAGGCATGAAATTATAATTAAAAGGCTTCTTTATAAACGTACAATCAGCCCGTCCTCGCAGATAAAAGTAGTATTATCCTATATTATAAAAGGATACAAAATCATCTTCAACCGGGCTGCTTTGCTTAAGCAGGAAGTTAATAAACTACAGACTGGATTAGAGAGGTGAAACACTAAGAACAAGAAGTCACATTGCTAAATAGCTAGTTTAAACGGCCTCACTGTTGACAAGGCCAAAAACGCGTCTAAAAGAATTTGTGAAGCTGGTAATATTGGTGGAAGTCAGCTTGAAGAATCAGCTACCAGTAAGAAATAATCTTGCTGCTGGGCACCACCTCGCTGCAGTGAGTGTAATACAATTAGGCATACAAGAACAAGATGTCCTACATATTAAAACACCAATTAAACATATTATTTTATTAGTATATAGTGTATAAAAGCTTCATCTTTTCATGGAAGGCTGTTTGGGTGGGCGCGGGTGCCGGCTCGCTTACACTGCCGGTTCGCTTACCGATTACGTTACCTATGATTCACCTTCCTTCTGCTTTCACTGAGATGTTATTGTTTTATCGGGGTGAACTGGGTGATTTGAGTGTGTAGTCGCCCAATAATGCCCGAAATTGTTTTGGTTCCTTGTTTGTTGACTGTACAAACATACCTCCTCGTGAGGTCCCCCCTTCAACCCCCAACCCCAGGCATTATACTATGCACACTGCACCTGTCAATTGCTATGTGCAAAATAGGACTCCCCTCATTAGAGACTTATATTGCAATCAAAGTATAGGCTTTTTGGCTACAGCCGTAGATGGTTGGTCTGGATGAGGAACAGGAAGGAGTGGCCCTGGGAGAGAGAAATCGGCTGAAGGAGAGAAGGGGGATAAAAAAGAAGACGGCATCACGTGTGTGAGGGGTCTTATTTATCCAGCTACAAGCAGTATTCTTTGCATTTCTATGCAATGTGCCGTAGAATTATCCTGCCAGGGATGAGCTGCAGGCGACTCCGCAATGATGATCTTCCCCGCGGGGGGAAGAGGCCCAGAGCCCCCGGGTATCATTTCACTGAAATTTCTCGCGGTCAACTCGAACTCTTGCTCTCATTAAATTCACTGTATCCACTGATTCTTGGTAACGATGAGAGCTTTTACGACGTGCACTAATAATCGGTTGGTGCCTTTGCTACTAGCGGTATCCGGGGTCATCTCGGCCACACAGATGGACTATTCTCAGTATGTGGATGCATTTATGGGATCAGAAGGTCCAATACCAAAACAAGGCTATGGAGGGGGCAACATTTTTGTCGGTCATGATCGGCCTTTTGGAGTAGCAAAGGTAGAAATCGGTAGGACAGCTGCAAACTGGAGTATCGTGGCTCTAAACGGGGTTGGACGCCTGATGGGGATGTCACCGCAGTCAGAGTCGGTATGTGGCCTACAAATTGTCTATATTCAGACTTCAGTCTTACATGTTTAGGTATGATGCACGAAAGAGGAACCGGCCGTGCTCCCAAGTACGGACTGATCCCCCAGATACCTCTTACCTCTGTCGCACCCCCAGTGAACCTGACGATGTGATGACCCAGGAAGGCACAATTGAAATCATCCTAGGCTTGGACATGAAGGCTGAATACTGGCAGTGTGCCCCATCACCGGGGAATCGGAGTACATGATACTGCTGACGTTGTGTTATATCAACATCATTGACTCTTGTGCTACACAGCAACTACTCAATATAGCTGCGGGTCAATGCTGGATTGGAGCCGATAGAATGGCTCATAAGATATACCCTTTTCGGTCGTACCCAGATTCTGGTTGTACCTGGATTCCGTGGTGAGGTTCCAGAATGTTGCCTGCCTCAATACAGACACTACTCGACCTTTTCTCAAATGGTCGACCTCCTGCCTTGTACGACACCAAGAATCCCTGGTCATGTCCCCATGCTCGAAACGTTCCTATATCTCGTAAAACTCCTACGAAGATTCGTAATCTAGCGGTGCAAAATTATGCAACCTTCACCTCAGACAGCATAAACTTCTCAATAAAAGGATAATTATGGAACCGTCTCAATGGAGATCTGACCCTCCATCAACTAACTCATAACTCATACCACATCATCATTATAAATTACATCCAACCAAGCGACAAGCTTCACCCCCATCCCATCAACTCAGATAAACCTTCGCCGGTGTCCTCACCTCCCCCCTCGGCTTCTCCACATAATAAAACGTCGGGCTTCGTCGCCGTCGCCGCCTCGTCCTCGTTGTTGCCAGGTTTGTTTCGCCATAATCTGAATCTCCGCCCGACCCCATCGAACAGAGTCTGAACAGCCACAGAATCAACAACGTGCCTGCAATAGTCCCCAGGACGATTCCCGCGATCCCTCCACCCGAGATAGTATTCGGACAATCGGCGTCGTTGCGAGCGAGGAGGTTATTTAACAACATCGGCGCCTGGGTAGATCCATACTTCGCGTTAGTTTGGTTCGGGCGGGGTCCCCCGCGCGATGGGATCCATGGATGGGGGTGTTGACTTACCATGGTGGCGACTTTAGGGAAGAGGGAAGGGAATTGAGGGTATATGGAGGGATGAGGGAGCTGCGCGAGAGGGATTAGTGCTTGGGGTGTTGAAATATGGGCTTATCTACCAGGTTCGTTGGAGGGGTTTGGGAATCCGTTGACGTCAACCACACGTCTTTCCCGCGATCCGGATGGAGGAGCGATCTCCACGCGGTAGCATGGTGGGATCTTTGGTATCTGCCAATTGCAGAGATGCAGAGTACAGAAGCATAAGCATAACTTGGCTTTAGATGGGTTGGTTCTTACTTTGTGGATGAGTGGTCGTTATTGGTGAGTTCCAGGATTCGCGAGTGGTGGTTCTTGGATGGATTCTTTATTGGATGTGCCGAGGCAGCAGAGCGGAAGTATTTGCCGGGTTGTTTTTGGGTAAGTGGGTGATGGCTAAACAGGCAGGTTCGATCATGATAGAGGTGGGAGTCTGACCTGTCATTTATTGGGTGCTTGGAGCGATCTAGATGGACCATCCCAATGGAAGAAGAGGTGATATCCAACGTGATGAAGAATGTCGCTATTGTCTGTGACGATACAGAGGTCTTTCTACGAGGCTGGACACTTCAAGTACACGGCCACTCACTGCAATTTTCGGCATGGCATAACAAGTTGGCTACCATGTGACACCAAGTCATTGGTCGAGGTCAAGAGCTCGGTGGAATATTCCGGCATCTCAAGGAATATCCCTACAAAGGTTGATAATCGATTCACATTTACCCCTTATATAAGGCTTCCAGATCCTGCTTGTTTTGTTCGTCAATTATTCAACCGGCTCGCTGAGTTCTACAGTCATGGCTTTCCAAGAAACGCAATTCCATTCTCGACTGCAGGAACCATATGCAACCATCTAACGGGCCCGTGTCAACCCATGGATGGTACCGTCTATTGATCTTAACGAACAACCAGAGTGATTGTGTCGAATAAACTCAACAGCATTTCCGTCTATCGCGGCCAACTTGTTATTCCCATCACAGATCATATGCAAAAGAGGGGTCGTTACACAAGACACTAGTGGTGACGACACAGGCAGAAGTTTTAAAAGGCTCACTGAGCTGGATTTCCTCCTCTTCTCCTTCTCTCCCCACCTCAGGGTTAACCAGTAATTTTATCTACTGAATATATACAAAATGTCTTTCAATCTTCCATATTATCGTGAGTCATACCTCTTGCCCGGGCCTCTGCCCGAGCAACATGAAATCGAGCAGGCAACAAAGATCCTGCCCACCACCCACTCCCCTGCTTCCGGCGACCGAATCGTCGTCGTGAGAGACCTTTATGTCGTTAAGTACGGACCCACCGTCTCCGAAAACGAGGGCCACGTCCTGCGTTACATCGAGCAGGATCTCAGCGTCCCCGCACCAAGACTACACGCAATGTACCAAAAAGGGACCAAGCTCTACTTGGTCATGGACTACATCCCCGGAGTCACCCTGGGCGAAGTATGGAACACCCTTTCAGATACGAGCAAGACCTTCCTGCTTGCACAATTGCGAGCCGTCTTCGAATGTATGCGAGCCATTCCCGTCCCCGGGTTTTATGGCAGCGTTACCCAAGGCCCCGTGCCTCACAGTTTCTTCTTGCCACCTATTGAAGACCCCGATATCTCCGGCCCTTTCGACGAAGAAGTCGACTTTAGTCGAGCCATTGCCCTCCGCGCAAACCAGATGTGCAATGATGGCGGCGCAACTTGGTGGCCGTGTGAGTTCCTTCTACGAAATCTGCCCGAGGCCCTCCAGTGCCATCAACCAGTCTTCACTCACGGGGACTTACAGCGTGAGAATATAATTCTCACCAAGGTCATCAATACTTCCTCTGGTACTGAGGAATATCAGGTGATTGCAGTCGTTGATTGGGAATCCGCAGGCTGGTATCCCAATTATTGGGAATATGCTTGCATTTTCCCCGGTTTCAAGTGGAACGATGATTGGCCCACTAGTGTGGAGAAAATTATTGATGCTTTGCCGTTGGAGGGGACGTTGATGGCATTTGTCCATGAGCATTTTGGCTTTTGATATGCCCCTTTCATATGTTGGAGGTTTGATCGTCGTCTTGGGTGGTTGAAGCATGGTGTTTGGACTTGAGCCTCCCCCCTAGACGATTCAGGAGGACGTTGGTCGCTTAAATGATGTAGTTAGCAGTCAGCTTTCTAGAATGAGACATGAAATTGAGCTTCTGCTACAACAACATCCTAAATATATCCCCAAGGACATCAACCAAGTGACTAGCAGTCGTTATAGCATGAGAAGTTAAGCTCGACCTGCTTACCTGACAACCTATCTCCATTATCACATCCCCAGAGCAAGCTTCAACGTGCAATCATTTGAGTTCACACATCATAAGTAGATAGAGGCTATATTATAATCTTATTATATACCTATTCATACACATACAAGAAAGACTAAAAGTCTGACCTACGCCCCGTTAACAATCTCATTGGCGATCTTCTCCGCCAACATATCTGTCGCCTCACTGTTAGTATAACAAATCATCATATCGGAGAGGGGGCACTTACAAACAGTCGACTGGGGGTGTCCAGGAGGCAGGAATGGGAATGCAGAGGCGTCCACGACCCGAACGCCTTGAACTCCATACACACGCGCCTGGCTATCCACCACCGCCATCTCGTCATCAGATGTACCCATCTTGCATGTGCAAGAGGCATGCCACAGAGTCATCACGTTATCTTTGATCCATTGCAGGATCTGCTCGTCAGACTGGGCCTCCACACCCGGGTTGTACTCCTGGCCGATGACCACAGGGGCCATAGCCTTGCTCTGGAACGCGGTGCGGACCCGCTTGAACATGGCGACGGCGACTTCCTGGTCGGCCTGGGTGGCAAGCCAGTTGGGGTTGATGATGGGGAGGTCGGAGGTGTCGGCGGAACGAAGAGTGATGTTGCCTCGAGAGGTAGGGGTGATGAGCACGGCGAGCATGGATGCGTATTGGTAGCCGTCTTTGGGCTGGTTGGTGAGCAGGTTGGACATGTTGCCGATGAAGCCGGCACCGGAGATGTACTGCTTTTGTTAGAGTGGTTTTAGTGTGGTTAGGTGTAGCATTCGTACCTCTGCTTCGGGCCAGTCACTGGGAAAGGTGGCTAGCTGCGTCGTGGTTTGGCTGCTGAATGCTGATCTCAGGCTTGCGGGGATTTTCTCCCAGGCGAGATAGTCAGCGATAGGGTTGGTTAACGGTCCGGTCTTTACGGTGACCATGCTGAGGAACTGTCCGATGATGCCTAGGAGATTCGTGGCAATGGCAGTGAAGGTCTGCACGTTGACGCGGTATGACGGCGCGAAGAACGGATGATCCCACATGTTTTGACCCACACCAGGGAGGTTTGAGATGACGCTGATGCCGTGCTCTTCGAGTTGGTCTTGCGGACCAATTCCAGAGACCATAAGAAGCTGGGGAGATTGGAAGACACCGGCCGAGACGATGACTTCTCGGTTCGCTTTGATGGTGTAGATGTTGCCCATGGGGCCCTTGACCTGCACGCCGGTTGCCTGCTTCTGGTTATTGAAGAGAATCTTCTTCGTGAGAGTGTTGGAATACGTGGTCAGGGTGGAGGGCTTGTTAGCTAGGAACGAGGCCTCGGAGCTGCTCCGGAACTCGCTGCTGGGGTCGATTGTCGACGCGCAGTACTGGCCACCCATCAGTGAGCCCAGATTGAAGTCTGGTGCCTCTTTGATTCCGATTTCCTTCATTCCGAGGTCCATCCACGTCGAAAATGGCATTGCGTAGTTCGCGTAGGACACTTTCAGTGGGCCTCCGGTAGATTCATACGCACTGGCATCGTAGGAGGCAGATGCGTTCTTGGCCCGCAGTTGGGTGTTTGGGGGTGTGAACTTGACGCTGTTCTTGTAGTATGGGAGTACCTTGTCGAAGGTGTAGCTGCTATCGTTGACGGTACTGGCCCATTGCTCCATGGACTTGATGGTTGGTCTGATTCAGTTAGAACATTTACCTTGGGCAGAAAGACATGGGGTTGAAGACATACCGTTGGTAAATCATAAAGTTCATCGCAGATCTAAAGAGTCAGCGATGCCTGTTAGTGAGGGATGGGTGCTACATACGATCCACCCCAGCACTTCCCTCGAGCATAGTGAATAGACCGCCCATTCGCTCCCGGCACATCCTCTGCCACAAAGCCCCAGTCATGGGCAGCTGATGTTTTCGGATCCGATCCGACTGGAAGCACGTCCGCCGCAGGGACCTCGGCCACCGACTCGAGCTCATACGATCCGCCAGCCTCGATCACAGCAACCTTGAAATTCTTCTGGGCCAATCTGGTGGCAATGGTATTTCCTCCTGTGCCACCACCCACCACCACATAATCGAATTCGGGGTTGGAACCAAACAGTCCACGTTCGTGGTTCGAAAGAGTGTCGGCAATGGTCCCGGTGACCATGCACTGCAAAGCGAGCGACAGAAGAACACGACGTATCATCTAGATGGTCAGCAGGTTCCATCAAGAATCGAACTAGTATACTTACAATGAACGTCTTGAAGGAATGACTTGGGACGCAAAAGAGTGACGCGCCTCACGATTGACAGACATTCCTTACCCGGAATCAGGGGTTATATATGCCACATGCTTTTCCACCATGGCAGACCACGGAGCTTCAGCCATTTGGGGCTAGGTTTCAGAAGCTCGACTCCTATCCGCATTGAAGATGGAAATCACGATGAGCGACACGGACGCATGGTTCCTGGCAGGAGTATGGGGCAGTGTGAAACGGCCGGCCGGGAAGGTGGAGATCCCCCGGTCGGACTCCAGTGTGGAAAAGGCATGGCCGCCTCAATTATCGGGCGGCGGCCCAATTTTGGGTCGCCCACTTCGCTAGGCCAGCAATCAATAAATAGAACAGAGATGTTTTATGTTTTATGTTTTTTGCCGGCAGTCCTACAGTGACCACTGGTCACTGATGTCTCCCGCACGTTAGGGCTTAACGGCTACCCAGCATGCATGGCTGTTATCTGAGTTCTACCTGCTTGTCTTCTAAGATGAGGATCGTCCACAATTCCAAGTCCAGAGGACTGCTAGGTACCTATGCCCTTGTCCGTCTTAGCCTAGGTGATGGAGGGGCACAATCCGATCGAACAAATAATTGGACATGTCGCTACAGCCACTTTGCAAAACAATTCACGCATTCGCGCATTCACGCATTCCTCAATTGTGATACTTTATGTGAAGATGGTATGATCGTGGGGATGAGGTATCAGTCAGTTAGATGTCACCATCTAGTCAGTTAGAGCTGAGCCAAGGAATTGTGTAAGGGATGGATGGCAATAGTCGTAGTCAATCGGAGACATTTTGGTTCGGGCTCTGCAGCTCTATTTATGCATAATCCATGATCATATAGTCTACCGTTCAGCTCATCGTCCTTGACTTGTCTCAGAATATGACAGTCTCCCGAATCTTTTGGTGGTGCGGCTGCGTCTGCAGGGCCTTCCCAATCGGGCAATGGTCGCGAGACGCCAACTCGGCCACTGCATCTCGTTTTTAGTCCCTCTCCCATCCTCATTAACGGGGCTCTCCCCGGGCTCATACTCGATACTTTCCGTGTAATCGGATCTCATTTCCCTCAAGGATGAGATCAGCCACAGGCGATCGATGACCAGATGGTACTCAGGATCCGACATCCAGACTGATTGTCAATAACTACAATGCAAAGACAGCAGCTGCGGACAGACAGACAGACGCACTCTGAACCTGAAAAGATGCATATAGCAGGCCCCGATGCTGCAGGCCAGCACAAGGCCGAAAGTAACAGCAATAATATAAGATGCCATCTCATCAGCGTGGCAACCAGCTACCAGCCATGTCAACATATGATATTGTGAATCAGGCTATGCAAGCACCTCTTCCCAACATCGACACCATCCGAGGCACATCTCATCCCAACAAGACTACCATCATGTGTCAGGGTCTTCTGTTGAGTCAAACCTTCAGCCGCCAGCCAACCAACGAGTGTCTCCTTTTCGGGGGATCTGCAAAGCCGCGGCGATTCCCCTCGTTAAGCGGCCTGACGAACCACAAAACCCAGTCCGATCAGAAACCCAGGCACCACATGAGCTACGGTATCTGAATCACATGCAGCAAACCCAGATGTCTGTTGTTCCGAGCGCCTCCCGCACATGCAGCCCTATATAGCCATCCTACCCACCTCACGGGGCATCATCAACCACAACCACCAGCCACCATGAGTGACACACACCCCAATCCCAAAGACTCCATGAAGTCCACCTGGCGCCGGCAGGACCGCGCCCAGTGGACCGTCGCTCACTGGTTCTTCGAAATCCTCGGAGTCCATCCCAGCGACCTCAACAAACCCGTCCCCGTCCACCCCAAGACCGACAAAATCCCCTTCATGGGCCAATGGTCCCAGCACCGCTGGGTCCTCTACCACTCCTTCATTCCCCTCGCCCTCCATCAAGCATACGTCATCTACACAGGACAAAATCTCGGCCCCATCGCCGTCTTCTTCTTCTACTCCTTCGCCTTCAAACTCATTGCCATCCACGAGTTGCATGTCATGCGCCGCATGGGCCACATCATCGGCTTTCTAGACGGCGACCAACACGAACGAGACGGGGTTCCGGACGTAGGCGTTGTCAAAGTGGTCCGATCTCTCATGTCCACCTCCACTTTTCGACCCATCATGACTGTCTTCCTCAGCTACCGCGCCAGTCAGGCCCCCGCGCAAATGAGCTGGGCCTGGCTCCCCCTCGAGATTGGTCTCTACGGCATCATCCTTGACTTTTGGTTCTACTGGTACCATCGATTGATGCACGACGTGGGAAGTCTCTGGAAATATCACCGCACGCATCACCTCACCAAACACCCCAACCCACTCCTAACCCTCTACGCCGACACAGAGCAAGAGATCTTCGATATCGCGGGCATTCCTCTCCTCACATACTTCAGTCTTCGACTAATGGGCCTCCCAATGGGCTTTTACGAATGGTGGATCTGTCACCAGTACGTGATGTTTGCAGAACTGGCAGGACATAGTGGACTCCGGATGCATGCCTCCCCGCCGTCAACACTGAACTGGTTATTGAAGTTATTCGGGGCGGAGCTGGTCGTCGAGGACCATGATCTGCATCATCGAAAAGGGTGGAAGAAGAGTCACAACTACGGGAAGCAGACTCGTCTCTGGGATCGGATTTTTGGGACTTGTCGCGAGAGGATTGAGAGTTTGCCGGAGAATGTGGATTATGATAATAAGGTTGTGATGCCTGTTTTTTAAAGGCTAGATGGGTTGCTGGAGTCTGTGTAGTGTTTATGGTCGAGGCTGGGGTAGGTATGGTGCAAGGGAGTAATTTACAATAAGCTTTATTAATTTTTTTGTTTGCATCAACTAATATACTATTTTACTAGGTCCTAGTCTGGGGTTGCGAGCACCTTAGTAAGCACTTTGCAACACATTTCTAGAAGCATGTACTATAGTAGTTAAAGATATCATGAACAGGCAAAGATCAAGCGCATCTAAATTCTAAAGGACTCAACCAAGCACTTCCAATGGACCCAGCCAAGCACTTCCAAAGTAAAAACGCAATACTTGATTCAGACCTACTACAGTATGAATATACGTTCTGCAGAGATCTAACCAAACCCCTCTCCCCCCGACCCCTCCATGAAGGCCGAAGCGGTGAATACAGGCAATATACAGCAAGTAGTCAAATAAACCAATAGAAATCCAGAATTTATGCAACTTATGAGACCAATGAGAAGCCACGGAGTTGGAAACTTCTCACAGTAAGGTAGCAGGAGAGTTGATCAGCGCGAGCGCAGTTCACAAAACTATGTACTACAAGGTGTATTTAGATCTTAAAGGAACATTGATAGAATAAGCATGTCAGACTCGGATGCACAGGGATAATTGTTATGCCACGAGTAATCTGCATTACGGCCAGGGATTTGCCCCGCATTCCGTAGGTGCAACGATCGCCGATCAGCTACATCCTATCTATTACATTCTACTGTGTAGTAGTGTATATACTACGTGGTAAAGGATTACTACCAAGATAGACACGACGAACCAGGTGAGTACAATATCAACTGGAAACATCTGCACACTTCGTTACACTTACTTCGATCCCCGCACTACATACCAAGCACATCACAAACCGGAAAGTAGAAGCTCAAGCTCCACCTCCACCTCCAATTTGGAGACAGCGGGTCAAAGAAAAGTACGGGGTAGATAGGTATGATGTCGAGCTGGGGTTCATCCATGATCGTAGCGGTAGATAGCCGTAGCCGTAGCCGTAGCCGTAGCGGTCAGGGCTTGCGCAACCTATCCGCTGCGATCGAATCGATCCATCACCGGCTCGGACGGCAATCCGTTATCTGGCCTGCCTGCCTAGCGGGTATCTATCTAGGACCCGCTGACGGATAGATATGTTTGGGTTATGCGCTATGGAGTCTACATATCTCGTTCATTTGAAGCGGTACTTGCCGAAGTGCATGGATCATGCGCGCTTGAGAGTTGAGACATCCGCAGACCACTAAGTATCATGTTGACCGCTTGATCGCAATATCATGATAGATCTCGCGCGCAGCTGCTGCTTAAATTAGAACGGACTGCGTGGTTGGCCTGCTGGCGATGTTGTTGGATGTGCATAAGGGGTGTTGTTAGGAACCTGAGTCACGCGAGAACAGCTTCTCGGATTCTGTGATATCGTCTGACCTGCACTCAAGGAATTCGGTCTCGGCATTAGGGCTGGTCAGACATCAAGAGTAAGACGGTCAGCAATCGAGACATGCGGACCGTCGGACAGGCCGAGACCGATGGAATATGGATAGTGCGACGGGGAGGAATTGGATAGTATCCCACTAGTAATCGGTGCCTGGCGCAGCGGTCTTAGCCAGTTACACAGTAAGTAGCCAAACAAGCTAGCAGCCAAGAGATTAGCCTAGGAGGGTCTGGGTCCAACAAACAAGCATAATTCCAACAGATGGACTGAGGTACGGTGTCGGGATAGACAAAGTTGGCCAACACTGCACGGGAATATCCGTGTATCAGTGCTCGGTGAACCAATGGTCGATGCATCCCGAATGATACCACTCCGTATGTAAGTAGGGTACTCCGTAGAACGATGAGATGGATAGGGGCAAATGTCAGCTGGTCAGGCGACAAACCATTGGGCCGTAGTGGCGGATAGCAAAAATCTGCAGGGAGATTGCCTGCATGACTAATGCCTCGTGTCTATGACGTCATGGCGGAGTCAGTCGCGGCCTTGGCGCCGAGGCTCTGCGGCCTGCATGCCTGAGGCCGACGTCATCCGACTCTTCCCAACGACAGCGATGTCAACAGAATCGACAGAATACCTTCTTGAAAGTCTCATGAGACAGCCTGGAAGCCAATGGCAGCATACCGCGACTGCACACCGCGTGCAAAAACCGCTGCACAACACCCGTCGATCCTCGAGTCGGCAATCGACATGAGGAATGGCAGCCGTTCGCGGTGGGTCTCCCGAGTGCAGGACGGATAAATCGGATGCTGGCCGGGGGCCACCTGGTGGAGGCAAGCAAGCTGTTTTCGTTTATTATCCAACCTAGGCCCCCATGGACGTGGTTCCTGTCCCTTTCGGTCCATCTGCACAAACAAAATTTGTCGTCCCTGGCTCCGGGGCCCTGACCAGATCAGAACTTCCTGTCGACCATCATGAACGCCGTCGACGAGGGACTCGAGCTGGCTGAGACCGACGCTCGGTCTCATGCCCTTGAGACCAAGGAAGGCCATGAGCGGCCATCGTCGTCAGGTACCACTGGGTCCACTGGTTACAGCAGTTCAATCGAATACAATCCCCAGCTGCACACCCTCCAGTCGCGAAACACCGAAGTCGACCTCGAGCGCCATCGCACAAGCACCTCCCATGCCCTGAGCAGGATCGAAACTCAACGCCTTCAACATGCTATGACCGTGGGTGAAAGCGTCAAGTCACGCGCCTCCCGCGCGCCATTGCCTCGCATGGGCGCCAATAAGGAGTATCCGCCCCCTCTGCCAGATCGCGAAGATTATGTCGTCGAATTCGACGGGCCAGAAGACCCCCTATATCCCCAAAATTGGGCATTGTCGACCAAGTACATTGCTTCTGTGGATGATGATGTTGATCGCTACTGACTTCTTGCTAGACTTTATATCAGCGCCATGCTCGCCTTCACCAGTATCTGCAGTACCTTCGATTCGGCCATTTTTAGCTCCTCCACCACCCATGTTGCGCAAGTGTTTGGTGTTGGCATCGAAGTTGCGACCCTCTCCAGTTCATTGTATATCTGTGGTTATGCGTCTGGCCCCTTGGTCTGGGCACCCCTGTCCGAGCTCAAGGGCCGTAAGCCACCCATCGTCGTGGCCATGCTGGGATTCGGGATCTTCAACACCGCTGTCGCCGTCGCCAAGGACCTGCAGACGATCATGATCTGTCGCTTCTTCTGTGGTGTCTTTGGCAGTTGTCCGCTGGCTGTCGTGGCCGCCATCTTCTCCGACATCTACAACAACCGCACCCGTGGTGTCGCCATTGCCATGTTCGCCAGCACCGTGTTCCTGGGTCCGCTCCTCGCACCGTTTATCGGAGGTTTCATCAACTCATCGTATCTGGGCTGGCGCTGGACCGCATATATCCCTGCAATCATGGGCTACGCTGCATTCGTGATGAACATGTTCTTCCTCAAGGAATCCTACCCTCCCGTCATCTTGGTTTCCAAAGCTTCGGAACTGCGCCGTCGCACCAAGAACTGGGGGATCCACGCGAAACAGGAGGAAATTGAAGTCGACTTGCGAGAGTTGGTAGTCAACAACTTCTCCCGTCCCATCCGGTTGCTAATAGGGGAGCCGTTGATCCTGGCGGTGACGATCTATCTCAGTTTCATCTATGGCTTGCTGTACTGCTTCCTCACCGCATACACTCTCGTCTTCCAGGGCGTGTACGGCATGTCCGCCGGTATCGGCGGCTTGACTCTGTTCGGCATGGTCGTTGGACTTATCATCGCGGCCACGTACATCGTGCTCGACAGTCGGGGGTACAACAAGAAGCTGGAAGCGAACGGAGGTATTCCTGTGCCGGAGTGGCGTCTGCCACCTGTGATCGTCGGAGGTGCCCTCTTCGCTGCAGGTCTGTTCTGGTTCGGCTGGACCGGTCACACCAAGAGCATCCCATGGATCGTGCCCACGCTGAGTGGACTGTTCACCGGGTTTGGCCTTTTGATGATCTTCATCCAGCTATTCAACTATCTGATCGACACGTACCTCATGTTGTAAGTATCGCGCCTTCATCTTCAAAGTCAACACTAACCCTCCTCAGCGCCGCATCCGCCATCGCAGCCAACACCTTCTGCCGTTCCCTCGTGGCAGCCAGTTTCCCCCTCTTCTCGCGTCAAATGTTCGACAACATGGGCATCCAATGGGCCGCAACCCTTCTCGGCTGCGTAGCCGCCGTATTGGTCCCCATCCCCGTCTGTTTCTGGTTCTTCGGCAAGAACCTGCGGAAGCGAAGCAAGTTTGCACCTTTTTACGAAAAGGTGGCTGAATCGCACGCCCCTGATGATGGGGTTGAGGAGGGGAATGGAATCCTGGAGCCTAACCGCTCGTAAAAGTACATGCATATAGTTGGGAAGAGAGAGGAACTTATACCCCTATATTAATAATGATAATGTTGATTGTCAAGCTGTTATAGTGTATCCTCGAGAAGCTAAAGTGTTTGTGTTGTGTTGGTGTTGAGTTGAGTTGTCGTTGGGTCAGCGCTCCTGCAGGAAAGATGTCGGTTTCTGACCTCTCATATTGCACTGCCTGATGTAGGCAAAGAATACATATGCTTTATATAATCAAGGTGCTGTAGTGTAGTGGTCATCATGAAACGTTGTGGTTTTCCGCAGCGCCGTTTCGACCTGGGTTCGATTCCCAGCAGCGCCAGTATTGGCGTTTGTGCTTGATTATCTTTTTTTGCTGATTTTTTTTACTGATCTTGTCTTCGTTTTACGCTTTGTCTCTGATCTTTTTCCTTGCCACAGTCTTAAAACAGAGTCCGCAGAGATGATATGTTACGGAAACCGTACTATCGAGACAGTGTGTTGATGATATGAGGGTATTGGTGTTAAATTGACTTCGTTAAGAGTCCAGATTATCACAACAGATGATTCCGCGCTACATGTATAGCAAAACCATAGGAAGAAATGTTAGTTGCTTAAAGGCAGTGTTGGTAAGGAAGGATTTGCTCTTGTAAAAACAATGCACACTGAAAGTTATTATTCATGGTTGAAATACTAAACAGTGGTCATCAGTGAACCACCTTTCCATCCCTATATATTTAGAATACAATGCAATCAATCCATCGTCAACGCCATAACTGCCTGGCGCCCGACAGCAAAACACCAAACTCGCTGAATAACTGAATAAACCACTTCGCTGCAGATAGCATCTACCGCATGTCGACGTGGAAGAGGTACTTCTGTCGAATCTGAGCCACATCGTAGACAATGTACTCGTTGTACTGCAGCCCTTGGGAGGTCGCACTGGTTGCCGGAACCGACACGTCGGGCATCAACACACCCTGCAGATCACGGTTGACACAGCCGGCATCTTTCCAAGCAGCGGGAATCGAACGACCACGACCCAGAGTTGCGATCTTGCCTTCCTTCTTCGCATCATCGCCTGCGTTGTAGTTGCCCCGGTCTAGCTCAAGCATGGGATTGCCGACTTCCACATCACAAAGCAGTAGCAGACCCTTGTTTCCACTACCATAGGAGCAGCAGTAGTTGGCTGACTTGGTGGACATGTCCGCGAAGTAGACACCTTTGCCAAACATGTATCCGCTCACAGGAGCCTCGGGGGGCGCAATGCGCAAACCTTGACTCAGAATACCACCAAAGTTGGTGCTGCGGGATCCGTGCCAGAGCAGACGGCGGCTGGAATTTTTGATCTGGGAGTATTGGGATGACTCGAATCGATCGGTTTCGCCTTGACGTTCGATGCGGAAGATGTTGATAACCTGCCACGATTAATACACAGCCTGCCATAAAATTTCGGATACGAACCTTGTATCTAATGCCATGAGTGGCGCCGCGGGAGCGGTTGATGTAGTTGTCAAGCTCAATAAACTCGGTAGAAGCATGATCCACTATTCGAGTTAGTATGGAAGCAGGTTGCAGACAGGACAGACATACGTGGAGTCATTTCTTGCATGCCTAGGCCTTGGAACTGGCGGTCGAGATGATGGATTGTATCAGCTTCCTTTGCATCTTTCATGATGGAGTTGGCAACCTCCATATCCGTCAGGGTCTCGAGAAGCTCGATTTCTTTTTTGAGCAGATTCTCCTGGTTCAGGACTGGGGGCCGGTTGCGCCCAAACACGTGAGGAATGGTGGTAAAATACTGGTTGCTGAGGTATTCAACTGCTGCTGCAAAGGTTGTGTCGTATTTTGTAGCTGCCAGTCCGGGAGTGACAATAAGCTCCGAGAGATCTTTCAAAGCCTGGAAACCACGGCGAAGGGTGTGCTTGCTGAGCTTCCCCAGTGGCAGTTTCTTAGCGTCGTACGACATGGAGGCCATGGTGGACAGGAAGAATTCTTGGTTGAAGATGAATGCCATGAGGTCCTGAACGGCTGAGGGCAGGGTGCTTTTCACTTCCGGTTTCTTTGCCTTGACGGGCTTCGCTGGAGCGTCTTCGTCTTCGTCTTCCATGTCGTCTTCGTAGTTCCGCTCAATGAAGGTGTACTTGCTTTTCTTCGGATTGTCAAGGCGGTTGTCCCAGGTCAAGCCCGACTTGTCCTTGAACTTCTTTCTGAATTCAGACTCCGCCCAGTCGAATGAGCCATCTCCAAGCATGGCACTCTGTCCGACTTCACCGACTCGGCCCCAATGAGTCCATGTCTTGAACTCATTGTTCCTATGGAGAAGCTGTATGCGGTAGAATTTGTTGTTGTTATTGGAGGCGCTGGTCTGGTTCAGTGTCGCATCCCAGATGAGGCCAGTGGAATCGATATACACTGCGTGGGTGGCTGCGTCTGTTAGCTACTGTCGATGATAAGTGGTCTGCGTGCGCACCTCGAAGAGGACAAAGATCGTCCACGGGAACACTAATTGATTTGGCACCGGCAGTCTGCGCATCCTTGAGCTTTTTGGAACTGCCATCCTCGTTGACACCCAGAGCCTCTTCCAGGGTGCGCTTCTTGGGTTTTTCGTCTTCGGTGTCATCTTTCTTGTCAGAGCCCATCAAAAAGCCCTTTTCATCGAGTTTCTTGGCTTTACTGTCGGAGTCGACGAGCCATTCCAGCGATACGATGTTACATGTGTAGATATTGGAGGCTTGCTTGTCTGGAGGTCGTTAGCAGGTGAAGTACATTGATTCTCCAGTACCAACATTTGACGCTCTGGTTATCCACTTCTCTTTGTGTGGTTATCAGGTGGGTACATTCCTCTGTAACTGCAGGACTAAATGTGCCTCCATTTCGTTTTATGATGGTCTTCAGGTCGGCTGTAGTAGACTGTATCAGTATGTAGCGCCAATTAGCAAAGGGCGCGCTCACCTTGTTTGTAACCCGGAAAGGTCCCACCAACAGCTATTATGAGGCTCTTAAATGGTTGGGTGGGCATGGTGACGGTGGGTTATGGGGTGTAATGGGTCTGATGTGAGGTGTGAGAGAAGGGAAAGGGGAAAACACGAGGTCGTGTGCGCAGAGGATAAGTGCAACTAGAAATAGGAGTCGTAATGAAGCGAGCACGGGGGAAGAAGCCTTGAGTGGTTGGGCAAAACGGAGAGAGGGGGCCGAGGAGACATGGCTATATAAGGGAATGACTTGAGTGAAGAAGGATGTCATTGTAGATTAGCGGTGCTTGCCTGCCGGTCCACAGCCTGAGGCTCCCGCCGCGGCTGTTGCCTGAGACCCTGAGGGTCTGCCGATCTGATTGGTCTGAGCTTGGGTGGGTTATCCAGGCACCAGCACTCCACGTGACTTCTGCCTGCGAGAGACTAACCACATCGAGCGGAACCTACGATCTTCAGGCAGCGATTGCCTTGAATGGGATTATCCCCTCCGTCTTCGATCTGCCGGGAGTAATTTATGTTATCATTCACTATCACTATAGACCCTCACCTTCCATATGCGATCCACCTAATCGCTATCACGATAAAGATTACTTTCCATCTTCATCCCCTTGATCGTTCCGATCCTCTAGGCCCCCACATCGATATTTCCATTAGGCATTAAGAACAAGGCGAGATGTTTCTTGACTTAAATCTAGTATCCTCAAGTTTACTACTTACTATCTTTGATTTCACTCCCCGGTATGGCTGGAACTAGTAGACTCTTTGATTACTTTCACTCCGAATTCCATTCTGATCTTAACTACTATATATTTGTAGCCGCCCGACCGTCCCTTGTTACATACAGTAGGGTATTGTCGTTCAATGAACTGGTTATCTCTTATTGTTCTTGTGGCGACTCTCCAGACTGCCAGGTAAGTGAGATTAACCTCGGTTTCTCATCTTATCGGGATCTTATCTGGAATGTTATATTTCTGTATTATCTTATCTCTGCAGAACATGTCCTGCGATCGCAATTTGAAACCACACGGAGAACCGGGACAAAAAGGGTGGGCGCTACTGCAAATACTGCCTGGTTGAGTCACATGGTACGAGAAATGACGGCAGATCCACCGACAGAGGAAATACCACGGTCTTCCAGAACAAGAAGGCCGATGTTGTTCGTACGCAAACTCGACACGGATATAAGGTCGAGGACTAGAGCATCACGATTCTGGAAATCATCGTGACAAACGTATAGACTTTACCAGCTACAAGAGATTCACTGGGCATGTATAGTCAAGGAGACTCCGGTAGAACATTATTAACTAGACAGCCTTCAACAGATGGCCGGGTGGGACAGTAAAGCTCAGCCAATGGAGTGGTCATATGTTCGAGAGGAAGTGCTCCCGATCAGATCATCCAGAGGACATGGGGAAAAGTCGGAATCTAACATACATACTTATTATGGCAGAGTATAGGTATTGGCTGAACCAGTGGGTTTGTATTCCCGCTAGCTTGCTATAATCACAAGACAATAGTATTTGTTCATAGATATTTGCTTTAGACAGAAGGAAAATGGCTTGAGGAATAATCACTACTAATAAGCTGGTGGTTTTATGGATGGGGGCTTTTTCTTCGTAATCGTGGGTATAGGGGAATTGCTCTGCTTTGGTGTCCGAAATAATAGGGATTATCAAATACTTCATTGTGTGGCACGATTACTACCGCTAAGTAGGCAGGATGCCCCCTGGATTAGTATCATATATATTCTAGAGAAAATAGCTCATGAATTCGGATCTCAAAGTCACCGGGCTACATATTTCCTAGAATTGCACATAGCAACAGCCTGATATGAATACTGAAAAATGACAGTTTTCCGTTGTTATTAGGGGCAAGATTCACCAATATAATAAGTTCAATATAGCCTCCCAGTCTGAACCATCGGGAAGTAGAATGTTTCAGAGTCGGTGCCAATGATAATTCAGATTAGAATGTAGAGCTAAGCAATGAAGCTGAACACATCGAATTAGGCCGTGTGGCCTAATGGCAAGGCGTAAGTTTCCGGTACTTAAGATTGCGTGTTCGAGTCGCGCCACGGTCGAATTTTTGCTCTTGTAGCAACGTTATATGTTGGTGGTCTATGAAATTTTTTAGGGTTAGGTTTATCCGTACCGCATGTCTTTGTAGACTTACCGCAGAGTGGGACCGGCGCTAGATGTATATGACTTAGTGTCAGAAACCCGGAAATCTAGATATCTAGCTCCCATCAGCTGCTACAGCCGCACTATTCCTATTTAAAGAGGCACTACAGTCAAGGTCTTTAAGCATGAAAGAAAAGCCCCAGGTATATTTTTATGTGGTGAAAACTTTCCTGGCCATAAGAAGGAGGCCTTGTTAAAAATGGCAGGCGGAGTAGGCAGAAATTGTGGTTTAGCGATCAAGATATGCGTTGATCCTACACAAGAAGGTATTTTGTCTTAATAAAGCAGCCTCTCAAGCCATCGAACCCTATGATCGCTGAGCAAAGCGAATATTGAATTTGCCCATGACCAAGAACAGTCATACAAGCCTGGCAGTCAATCGTATAAACATTCGGTAGAGTCGGAGTATTCATGTGTGGTGGCGATTTCAGCGGCCGCTCAAGAGGAGCGTGATCATTGCTTAGACTCATGATGCGAACATTCTTGTATAAGATAGTGCGCAAGGCATTTAGAGCAAGCTGCGGATGTTGTACCCTTTCTCGGGCTGCTGCATGTCTATTTTATCCATTATCGTTTTGGACCTCCATGTTCCGACTCGAGTGATACCCTCCATGCGATTCTGAGGTTGTGTATTGTCGCACTCAGCGCGCATCCTCAGGGACTTGGCACTCTCTTTCGGAAAAAAAATGAACTAAGGAAAAAGGCTCGTCGTTGCCCGGGGCAGGGTCGGCTTTGAGGATAAACATGCCACCGACAGTTTCGATAACGTCAGCCTATAAAGAAAGCAAGATTATATAACAAATGAAGTTTAAAGAAAAGAAAAACAAAAGTCGAAGGTGCTATTTGTATGTATTAGAGAGAGAAGAGGAGAAGGAAGATGACAGATATGAATCTAGGGGGTATAAATACTTGAAATAGATATACTTAGCTTTTCATTCTCTGTGGGGTTATTGTGTTGTTTGTTTATATCCTATATGCTGCTGGTAGCATGTTAAGCCGGGTTCTTCTTACCCAGTGCTTTGAACCAGCCCCGATCAGTCTAATGATGTCCTGATAATCCGACGAGGCGTGTATCTGTCATGCTCGACTGACCTTCCTTGTCCGTGGTGGTCCCACTACACTGCTCTTTACCAACAAAAGTCACAGATATAATTCTTGTATGTGAATCTATTGCATGTTAGAATGATCCGAGAGTCTCGTCCTTACACTGGTTTTCGTTTCACTCTGCCATGGTTTGTCGCAGTCTTCGTTTCTATGGAAAGTCATCGGCATGTCTCGTTATAGCACATGTTCCGTAGCATCTAGTCAAATATTTTCTAGAGAGCTCCATCACACATATTACTGAGGAGCCTGCCAGACGCACCAAGCGCACTTCAGAGCGCCTTGGATGGCCTTATCGAGCACCTTGTAGAATTCCCTGCTAAGGACAAAAAAAAAAAAAAAAAAAAAAAAAGAAAAAGACAAAAGTGTTGTGCTTGATGCAGGCTGTAGAGCTGAATCCACACGATTACGTGAATCTGTAGCGCCTCAACCTCGTTGTTCGAGAGGAACAAATTTAGTCGGGTTCCGGGCTTGATGCAGGTCATCTGTCACAGATTCAGAATCCAATGGAAGAGCCCGTTCATCCCAGAACACGGGAGGAGAAAGGGAGAGAATCAGGGGGTGGGTGGGTGAGAAGGTTGGTGGAGGAGTGGATGAATGACAGGAAAGCAGTGGGAGAGCTGAGGAAAGCAAAACAAAAGAAAGATCGTTACTAGAGGCACGAAATAGGTAAAAAGTAGTAGTATACAGCGGGAGCGGTCAAAACTGGCAATATAAGCAAGTCTGCAGATGAAAAGAGCTTCCCGACTGCATAGAACTCGGAATAGATTACGATAAAAAAAGTCGACCTTGATGGGGCTCGAACCCACAATCTCCAGATTAGGAGTCTGGTGCCTTACCATTTGGCCACAAGGCCTAAATTACATCCTTTTGTCCCATTGAATGTCTTTCATAGCCAACCGAGGTTAACAAAAATTAGTGGGCCCATCTGTGGAGTACTTCCTGGCAGAATATCACCGCCTTTCCAAGCTTGATGCCTTTATACCAGAGCAGACACTGGCTTTGACAAGTAGCAAACATGTCTTCATCTTCAAAAGAGGGTTAGATTCTATGATGTCATAGTTTTTTTCCTGATAAGTACAAAGCGAGAAACTCTTACAGTCGTGTGGTAACAGTGGATGCGCAACTTGGTGTTGTAACTACTAGTAGTAGGAGGTCACGTGCATGCTTCACTGCCCGAACCATCAATTCCCAACTACTCATTCTTGGTTGGAACTTTCTAAGCTGATTAGCCTGGGTCTTGTTTGAGTGCATATTAGATGGAGTATTGCGTTGAATCATCGTACAGGGAGAGAAATTGCCTGCCATCCGCCCACAATAGCCTTGGTCCACCCTGTGTTGGGCTCTTCGACGCTGATCACGGTTGATCGCGAGAGGAGCGAGACAAGGTCGCTAGCCATTGTTTGGCCCCTGCTGTTCAGGAAAGAGAGAATGCCTGGCAGTAGAATCACAGTAAGTTAGTCCTATTCGCTTGCACGGCTGTGATAAAGTTCGAAGAATAACATACGGTTGCAACGCCACATGGCAAATAGAAGACCCCGGCGCTCCTAGTTAAAGACTCAACACTCAATAAGGTCAAAGGAATTCATATGTGATGCAAGCTGTATGTACAAGAAACAAGAGGTCTGTCCCCGTGCTGTGGGACTGGAGAAGGAGAGTATAATATAAACAAGACCCAGAAGGGTCAAGAGAGAATGGGTAGGCGCGCCGTCTTGAACAGCCCAGCGCAACCTTGGCCAGCAAAGCAGCGCAGGTAGTCTCGCTATTGGCATCGTGCAAATCAACTAGCTGAACGGCACTCCAGGAACAATGGTTGAATCTTCATTTTCATCATGGACACAGAGGTCAGTTATTTTGGGTCCCCGTCCAGTCTATTTAACCGGTTGGTATCCCCTATGTCTCCATTCACTTTGCTTCCACTCGGACTGGTAGTTGTTCATCTCCGTCCGTTCATTGTTCCACCTGGCGTCATCCAGGGCGTGTTCGAGACGCCCCGTCCTGCGTTGCCGCAAGCAGAAGAAGATGAACCCAGCGAGAGCGATGGCTAACACGGCTGCAATAGCACAAGCGATGCCGATCTTGGCGCCGCTTGGTAGGTCGTTCCATTTCTCTGATAGTGATTTCGGGGGGGCCTTGTTGAGCTCCTTGACAGTGGTCGAGTTGCCCCTAATTCAGTCAGCATACGGATACATTGATATATGGGATTCCCGGAAACATACTCAACGACCTTGATGGTGTCCCATGAGCCGGAATGATCCGTGTATTCATACTCCTTGCCGGTATGGAAGTCATGGACGCGAACCTTCTGGACTACCATGTTATACGGACCCGCATCATAATCAACCTCACCACCCGCCCATTCGATGGTTCCCTTGGGTTGACTTGGGTCACCGGCAGGCCAGATTCCGAAGCGGATGTTGCTGGGTGTTTGGGGGAAGTTCTTGCCACCCACGGCATCCTCGTAGTTCAGCGTGCGGACCAACTGCTGATCGATCCACCATTCCAATTTGTCACTGGTCCAGTGAGTGGTGTAGTTGTGGAATTCCGTGTCGGCGTTGGGGACGTAGTGGAAACCACCACGACCAAAGGACGTGTCGTTGCCCTTGCCGAAGTAGTTGGACTGCACCTCACTGGTATTGTATCCCACCCACTCCCAATCGATCTCGTCCAGATCGTCCGACTGGAGCACGATACTGCTCACGATACCTCCACCCTTGGCCATCTTGACATGGGACTCGACGATGCCAAAAAAGATGTAGAAATTCGATTGCATGGTAGGGGATTGCATCTTCTTGGCGATTGTGAAGTTGATACCTTCATCGGTATAGGTGATTTCGCCGTTGGTGACATTCCAGATCGTGTCATCGATAGTGCTGTTGAAATACCAAGTGTGATTGGTACCCAAAGCTTGGTCGGCGGGACATGTTTTATTGAGAGGGTTGCAGTTACTGAACGTCTGAGCGGTCACCAGACAGACATTGGCCACCAGAAGGGCCAGGACATGAAAGAGCGACATGATAATAAATGGTATCCGGGGTTATTACTCCCCGGAAATGAACTCCTGTGCGAGCGAAGGATCAAAGAGAGCGGAGCGAGTCGGGGCAAATGCGGGTCAACCACCGTTTACTGGTGTGATAAGGAGCGATTAAGGGGAACTGCGATGGATTCGAATATTGAAGTATTGACAGCTCTAAAGGAGTGACAACTGTGAGGGCAGGATCCCCAGGAAAAGAATGACAGTGCGATCGAGTCGCACGAGGAATGATGCCCACCCGCAAGAAGGGATGAAGAAGGAAGATGAGAACGAGACGAAGCGGAGAAGGACGAACGACGGAAGAAGAGAAGGGCGAGAGGGCCTGACGGTTTTCCTTTAATTAATCACTCCATGATTGTATTGCCCTTTTCCCTTTTTTCGCACCGCAAATCTAATAATTCTTATTTTTAAACCCGGGCTGGATGGATACAGCATGTCTCGCTTTTCGTGCTGCATTGGACGTCACTAGTTCCGCCCTAACCATTAAGGGGCAATTTGAAACAGGAAATCGCCCAACCAGAGGGGCCACTAACCCCGATGGGAATTAGTGCAGTGTCGATCCACTCTGATTCGGCCCCTAGTCGGGTCCCTGACCCTGAAGCTAGCCTCTCCGGGAAAGGGTCGCTTGTAGCCGCCAAGTGGACGATAAACTGTTGTCCCTCCGTCTGCAGAGTGCAGAGAGCAAACCCAATCAGCTCAGGGGAGCTGCGTTGGATCTTCCTGAAGGTTTCACCCACGACGGAGTTCTACGAGCTGGGATGATATGATCGGGCCAGAGGGGACAATCGCCACCCTGCGATAATTCGGCCAGCTGCATCCACACGCTACTTAGGTTCACGATCTTCCCATAACTCGGGGTAGGCATGTGGCGACCTACAGCCAGCGGTGTGAATCAACCGGTAACCTTGCTTCTGCAACATTTGCTACCTACCTACCTACCTAGGCACCAGCATCATGCACCCAGCCAAGGGTCTTGGCCTGTCCAAGTCAAAGAGACTCGAACCCCAGCCATGGAACTATCTACTAGTAGCGGGACCGGCTGGGGAGGGTCCAGTTCTAGTGGTCCCAGCACCATGCCGGTGCTGATTTAGTGGAGGTAATTGGTCACTGGGCCCGGCTGCGGCAAATTTTGCGCCCGTCACTCGGAGGGTAATTTTGGAGTCAGGGGGCCATCGATGATCGCGGACACCCCAACATCCCGCAAGAGTTCATCTGGCTGCAGATAGGCCTGTCCGGATAGATAGCAGCCACTCCTTCCAACACTGGAAGACTGAGAAATGAAGATCAGCATGGACTGCAAAGAACATGCAAATAGGGTGAAGAACGGAACTTCAGCTTGAGACAGCACACCGCTACCAAATATGCAGGTTGTGTGGTTTCAGACTTGCCAAGCATTCTTTACCCCCCACTGACATGAGGTCTTAAGGTATGCCGACCTGAAGTGCCTTACAGTAGCCGTGTGTCACTTTTTCAAGGTGGTTGTGCATTGGTTCGGTACACGAGATATTCATAGTAACTGAGCTGGACTGAGCTCTTTTGCAGTTCCCTTGTTCGGGCCGAACGCCGACCACCAAGCCATATCTTGATCAGCATCACTCTGTGTACGGAGCACTGACAACTGAAACAATTAATTTCTACCAAATGGCATTACGACCGACGCAACTGAGGAATAAACCAACTTACAAAACAGATCTATCCAACATCAAACTTCTAGTGGACATGAGAGTACATTTCGCCTCCCACTTCACTTGTGGCAGGGCACTTATCAATCGCCCATCAAGACAGTCCACCCAAGTCCTTGCAAGAGCTCTCGTACTGAAGGAGCTACAGGTCCGCTATAACTCCTAAGAACAATATTGTTCAGAGAACCAATACTTCTGACTGACGCATTGATATCCAACAAAACCTCTTTTACTAACTCGTTCTTGATCTGATCCTCCTTTAAAAACTCCAATGTCTTCAAGCCAGTACACTGTTCCTGGAGAACCCGCAATCTCTGCAAGCCATCGTCTCGAAGTCTGATATCTCCCAACTGACCAGCCTCCCTCTCAGTGTCCGGGAAATTGATGCATATGTGGGACAAAAATCCCGCATTCACAGGGCCAATACAACTAAAAAAGGATTCTAGGAGGCTGGGTGGACGCCGCACGGTCTCCATTTCCTGGAAATCGAATCGGTTCGCGCCGTATAAAATTGTCCGAGCCTCGGCGGAAATCTGTTGATTGACGTAGATCAATGCAAGCCATGCATAGGGTTTTGCAGGTGCAAAGACCTCTATTGGGCACCCGGGATCTTGGAACACGTGGAGTGGATGAGGTACAACGAGGAGTTGTTCGTATATGTTGTACCGGATCTCGATAGGTAGGCTGAAGAATTTGGCAGCGGATGAGGTTGACGCAATTGAAGGCGGGTGTATTGATCTCGAACTGGACATGATGGGGAAGTACTAAGGCAATTGAAGGGCGCGCCTATAATTGACGAACAGTAACTATCAGATCAGTGAATCCTTAATTCGTTACCTAGGCGAGGAGGTAAACTTTCGGGCTCTTATTTATTGATGTAAAATCATAGGGTCAAAGCATAGGATGTGGACGTATTAGTACGGCAGCAACCTACCTAGAAACAAATTGAGTTGTCAATTTCTCCGACTCGAACATGTCATATTCCGATACCTGCTGATAGTGGTTCTTCCGATAATCCTACATTTCAATAAGATCGAAGACGTATGAACGAAGCCATCCATGTGACTTGGACAAGCCCTGTCCAATCAGAACTCCTTCTTATGAGGTATAACTTTTTTCCGAAGGTAGTTCAAGGTGGGGAAGTATTAATTCCTCTATTATAACCTCGCACACAGTTGGCACTATAATAGTGATGCGCTACAGCCACACCACACTTTCCTCTTACCCTGTCTTTATATTTAGACAGCCTCTTGTAAAAAGAGTCTGCGCATATTTAATAGGCCACTATTAAAGCACTTTCAAGACTATCGTATCTTATTCAGAGCCTCAGGCATAGTTATAACGAACGCCGGTGTGGTTGTAGCCTGGCCTGTATGGCTCTAACGCCTCCCCTATAATATAGGGGAACCGCTACAGCCACACCGGCTTGGTCCCTGCGATATCCGACTCTGTTTTATCTCCTTGCAGAGTCCTCACCGCCTCAGGAATCATCATTGCCTCAGGCTATGAAGATGCAGACTAGATGTAATCGCTAAGTAAGCTTCATATAAAAAACCCCTTTGAAGCAACATTTCTAGCAGATTTGTTATAGACCTGCTTCATGACGTGTCTCGTTCGCTATTTCAAGGCCTGTTTGTATTATAGACCTGCCTCGCTAAGAAGCTATTACCCCGTACAGTGGTGAGAGATCAGCATGATTAAGATGATGGGTCTTTTCTATAGACTCAGGACGTCTAGTAGGTCCGTGATCTGAATGGTGTGGCAGGAACCAGGCCGGTGTGGCTGTAGCGGCTCCCCTATAGAATAGTAGGCCGCGCCAAGAAGCCCATCCATCACTATCTGTCCAATGGCCGCTATCGCTATATGATCTTCAACCTGCAACACAACCAAACTCCTCGTTTGGACAGATAATAACGCAAATGCAATTAAGCATGCCTGCCGTATTAAACTAATAATTCCCAAGCCACCCATCCCCGGGATCCAACTCCCCCGTAACATCTGCATCCGCAATCTGCCCAATAATAGACCAAAACTCGTACGAAGAAATCCCAATGCTCTCCAAGATATCCATCTCATTCGACATGTGTGTGTCGGGCGTTGGCAACGGTCCGAGATCTTTTGGATTGTTGTTTTGTCCGGTGGTAGGATATTGCTCTCCACGATCCCCGAGAATGTCACTTTCGGGATCTACGGTGCCGGGTAAAGTGAGTGTTTGTAGACCTTCTTGCTTGACGCGCTCTGCGAGAGCTTGGAATAAGCCCTCTAGGCGTGTGAGCTCTGATTTTCGGAGCCGAGCGACCTTATTACCCCGGGAGATCATCTCGTCGAGGACTTGATGGGCAAGGTGTGAGTAGGATTGGGTTGCGATATCGGGTGGGAAGAGCGTGTTGCCCATTGTAAGATGGAGAGCAGCGGCATAAGTAAATTCTAGGTCGAAGGGGAGGAAGACCTCTGTAAGGAATTAATATCGAGGTGGTGAAATATAGTTGGTAGGGCTCACTTACCGAGGAAAATGTTCTCATCCGATAAAACTTGCAATGTTTTGATTGCGGATTTGATCCCGATAGATATCAATGACTTGGGAAGTGCGAGAAAACCCTGCCAGTTTTCTTCAGCACGACCTAGTTTCTCCAATCTCTCTTTTAGTACTGACAGGAGCAAGGGTCTTGTTGCGATAATCACACACTGCACTATATTAGATCGTGGCAGGAGAGTCATGGGGAAGTTGAACAGTACCTGGTGATACAACAGAACAATGTGGCGCGTCTCCTGAGAGACACTATCCATTCTTTGGAACTTGCCCGGAATCATCTCCTCAATTTCTTTTGCCAGTCGAGCCATGGCCTGCAGGATATTCCGCGTGCTCTCGAGGAAGGCCCCAAGCTGCGTCTTCTCGGTTTTATAGATCGCTTCGATCACATCAGTATCCTCCAATCAGAGGCAGAGGGTCCATATTACTTGCAAGGATCGAAGACAGCATCTGGGACAACTTGACTTGGAGATTAAACACCATAGCCTGGGACCGATCACGCGGTGTCCTGATCAAGGTAGATATCTCGCAGTCTTGCGTGATCATGGGAAGCCCCACAGCAAATGAAACTTGACGGTCTAGTATATACAACGTCCACCAGAGGTTTTGACACCGAGTTACGGTCTTCGTCCCAAGTTCTGCGTCGGGTAGTTGGGTGTGTAATCCTTCTAGCTGCGCAATTCGTACGGCTTGGCCTATCTACTCGAGATACCAGTCAGCAAGAGATCTCTATAGGAGTAAAACACATACGTGCATATGAGCGTTTTCTCTATGGTCAATTGAGTAAAGGTAAAGTGCTGCAAGAGCTAAAGTCTCAATGACCATCAGACTGTCTCTTCCAGTGGATGGGCTCTTGGGCATATGGGACATGGCGCGAACGAAGAATTTCGACCCCGGGGGGTCGTGTCCATTTGGTCGCGATAGGAAGGCTTTTCCAAAGGCGAGGATTAGGAGGAATTGGACGAACCACATGCGCGGCTCGGCAGGTTTCTCTGCCTTGGCATCATAAAAAGCCAGAATGTGAGCATTGAATGACTCTTCATCGAGGAATCGATACGTCTGGCCAAGGTGTAACTTTGCGACGTTGAAAAGATGAAGCGCGTAGTCAAGGGATGGTAAATCGGCCAAAGCCGCGGATTCTGGGAGGTCATTCCATTCTAACGGATAGATGTCTCCATCGAGATAGATTTCAGAAGAGCCCGTGTCGGAGTTCAAGCCAAGCCGTTCGGTCATCATAAGTGTAAGTCGAGTAGTGAATGACCATGGCGAGGCTGGCGCTAGCCAGACTACCAACGCGTCAGCCTCATATCAATATGACGAATGGGTTTACACACTCCAGTTACGCTTACTAGGACGACGCGTGTCTTTGATGACCGGTGTGGGCAATGGGAAAGGACTCGTCCAGATGTTGCAAGTGAAGTCGCTAATCTGTGGGATTTGGGACTCCAGGGGAATACTTTCGACCTCCGAAGGCACACCGGTATCGCTGGAGTTGTTCGGACCATCAACACTTGCTTCCCGTTCAGACGAGACATGCCGTAGTCGTTTGAGGTTGGCTGACCGCTGTAACTGCTTGATCTGAGTCTGCAACCCCCGCAGGTATCTGACACAAATCGTCACCGACGCACGCACTCGGGTTGATTATGGGCCGAACCTCTCAGATACCAGGACTTTAGTGTTCGTCTCAGAAAACTGACATCGGATGGAACGTCGCTGGCAGTTGGCACATGGGTCATTGCCGGAGCATTTGATCTTACTCTGACGGCATGCAGTACACCTGATAGACTTGGATCAGCGTGGTTTATTGGTACTGTTTTCCAGAGGCGGTCCTCACGCGTTGGCAGTCCTTCTTAGCTTGTGCCGAGTGTTTTGCATCGTGGTGGTGGTGGATGAGAGGAGAATTGGGTGGGTTCAAACTTGACAGCAAGTCCAAGTTATCTCCAACTGGTGCGGGGTTGATGGCCCCCGGAAACTTTTACCCTATCGGGAACTCACGATATCCATGGCTATATTCCATACTAAAGAATCCCCGGAGTCTTGATGTCTGACGAAGCCCAATTGAGCTGATGACTTCGTAGTGTCAGTCCTGTTTTCATCTTTCTGTTCTACAAAGATAAGTATAATGAGTATAATAAACGAGAATTCTCCTGATAGTATTCACATAACGGCCGGCCCATTTACATGCTTATCCATACACATATTCTCCACCTATCCACACCATAACACATCAAGAGAAGGTGAATCAATCACTCCCTCTCCTTTGCCCCTGCTGGTTATCCTGCGACGTCGCCTCCAGAATATCGCTGTCGTACCGCGGATCGAGCTTGTTGAGCAATTTGTTCGAATGAGGTTTCGATGTAGATGGGGCAGTAGTGTTAGCTCCCGGACCAGAAAATCGAGGCTGGCTAGCAGAGTCTTCGGGATCGGTTTCGTTCTGGTCAATGGGTTCGACGTTCTTCGCATCGAGGAAGTCGCGGCCAACGGGGGGTTGATCAGTCATGTTGTGGTTGATCGGATGTTGACGTATGCGGTGTATTGTAGGCTTGGAACACCAGATACAAAGGGAGTTTGTATGTTGAGGATTAAGGATTTGATGATGGCTATCCTATCCGATTTGGGTTGAGTGGACAATTATAGTTGTGTTCATTGGAATACGTCATCGAGATATCATAGCGGTACGTCGGGATGACGCGGCTGTCGGCAAACACGAAACAGCAATAATTGTGTGCGTCAGAATAATCCAAAGGAGGTGAATATAATAAGGTATCGAAGGCTGTTGCCTATAGTGGAACTCAAGGTCCTAGGCAACCAGATATTACTCCTGTAGACGTCAATGATTTCATTAATCTAGGAATAGTGGTAGATCTTAATATGCACCAAGAAGCTGTCCCGACGAGCGACAAAGTAGTCTTATATAATCTATTAAGCCCATCATGACGAGTCTCGAAAGGAATAAGGAAATTCCTGATTCCCCCCTCGCATTGTCGACCTATTAAAACCATTGGGCCAAATATCGTCCGGTTCGTACCACTCAGTTGTGAACAACTTCTTCCCCGGAGGGACTGTGACCATGTCCCCAAGCGCATGAATCACCTCCGAGACCCAGTTGATTTCAGTCCCCAGCTCCTGTGCCATCATGTTACACCGCACCATAATCTTCCAGCAGAACGTCAAGTACTGCCGCAATTCCCTGCGATTGTCTTTGTGGAGTGGATCGTGGGGGACCGGAAGTCGCCGCGCTCGCCGGGAATCGTAACCCGCCAGCGCGGTGATCTGTAGGACCAACTCCTGAGGCAGTCGTTTGATCCGCAGATACTCCTCGACTCGCGCAATATCAGCCAGACTGGGTTGGAAGCCGGCCACCGTGGTACAATTCAGGAACACCTCGAATGGGACCTTGCCGAAGGGAAAATTGTCGTTGTTGAGTCGAACGGACGGAGACCAGGCCCACCGGCCAGAGCCATACGTTTTTCGCTCGGCCAGCAAAGCGAGAAAGGCAGGTTGTTTCTGGTATCGCTTGATCTTGCCTGACCGGTAGAAATGACTTTCGAGCCCAAAGAATTGACGGTGGGGGTAGCAGGGGACTTCGTTGTTTGATTCCTCTTGGGTCCAGGTCCGGAGAGTCTTTTGGTACATTAGCGTCCCACGATACTCCTCGGATTTTTTCTTGTTGCCCGCCTGGCGGGATATCGGGTCCCATAGTTCGGGGAAGCAAGTCAAGATGTTGAGGGCCAAGTAAAAGTGTAGGGCTGCTCTAAAGACATGGTCCCAGCCGCGGTCAGGACTCTATCAAGATCATTAACTTACAGTCTATATGGTTGGGGAAGTCTCTGCGAGGACACACCATACAGTTGCAATCTCTCACCATCATCCATTTGGCCAGTTCATTCTTGGAGTTGCAGATCCGCAGAACCGTCTCCATTTCGCCCAGAACCAAGAGCGCGTTGACCACCTGCAAATTGTAAAATGCCGCGGTATTCTCGTGGAAGAACTCATAACAGTGGGTATATATACAGGGACGAGAGAATGCCGAACCCTTTCGCTCAGTGAAGGGCAAAGGACATCCGCAGGCAAAGAAGTCATCGCTGCGATGCGGACACACGCCAGGCGTGTCCTCTAGGACCTTCTTCGCCGGCGACCATCCCGAATAGGATTTACACCATTTGTATGCTATCGGCCGGATCCTTTCCGCAGTCTTATTGTTCAGGACCACCTCATCCGGCTGAATCGGGTCGAAGTTGGCTGGATACTTCTGCCGCTCGCATTGGGTGTGTTCTGCGATGTTCCGAGCAAAAGACTCGGCGAAGTATCCGATCTCCTTCCCCTGCGTGGGTTTGAAGCGAAAGTACAAATTCGAGACCAGTTCAGCCTCGGGGTATGTCGGCGATCGATGGATGAGATTGTTGGCCAAGATATTCCAGCAGATATTGTGGGCCTGGTGAGCCATGTTCGAGGACGGATATTTGTGGAACCGGAATTTGCATCACCTAGAATCCTGCTGGATCTTCCAGGCTTATAAATAGGTAGACTAAAGACAGAGTAAAAGAGACTAAAATAATAGGCTTACTCCACTCATCACTTCTGTGACTCACTTGGAGGGCATAAGCGGCATTAGCCGCAGACCCTGCGCATGTCAGGTGGTGTGGCCCGCGCTTACGTCAGGCCAATCTCGCCAATCTCTTGTTGAATATACTTCTGGCCAAGTAAAGTTCGCGGCTACCGCATGACCATAAGAATCCCACCTCCTTTGTGATTATCGTCCAGAAGTTGTGACTCATAGTACTTGATACGACCATGTTAATATCTTTCAAGAGTAGATTTCTATATCTGCCGCTTGTCAAGCCAAGTGGCGAGTGTTAAGACTTCAAGGCAGCCAGGCCCAAAAAGGCGGTGCTGAGCCACACTTTAGATGGATTCTCCCAATAGTCTATCTCTACACGGGCGCTCTAAAGGTCAACATACTCCAAATATTCTATCTTTTTCATGGTATCCTTTCTTTTATTGAATGGCGACTCGATCCTCCAGCGGTACTCGTCGCTACGCTGCTCCTCTCCCCCGCCAACGACTACCTCCTAGCCGATGTCTACAACCACATAATGTGAACGATCGTAAAGATATACGAAGAATTATGACAAGGTTTTAGAATAGTTATCAAATTCTAGCTCAATTTGACAAAGTCCAAACTGCCACTCATGAGGCTGCAGAGCGCGTTGGGTTTAGCAATTTAAAACAGCAACAGGATAGAATCCATCAAATGTTGGAATCTATTCATCCTTGCAGCTGTTCCCTTAGCCAAGGGGTTTCTCTTTTGGTCTAACTGGGAGCTTCCGACATTAAACTAGTCAGTTTATAGCAGTGACCAAGACAGCATTGGAGAAGTATACAGGGGACAGTTTCAAAAGATAAAACAAGGTCAATATTGTACGATTATGGAAAGAATCGATTAATTTATCAACAATACTCTGATTGAATAGTCGATATTTTACTAAGGCAGCAAAACGATAGCAATCGTTTCAGGAGACTTTGCTATCTTGATACTTATATTCTATTGGGCTCAGGGGCCGATCAGCAAATCATTCCCCCATTATTTTATTTTCCAAAAGTCCGCTCAATTCTGAAGAGATCATATAGTATCCTTTCGCTGCTGAATGATAATATCTGTTGGCGTTGCCGTGGTAGTGGTCCTGTGGCCGCGGACCTTCCCTACGCCACGCATCTAGGCCCGCGCCATCGGTCTCGCCCTTAGGAGTATGCTTGACGGAGACCTTCAGGAAACTTCCGAGTATATGACTTAAAAGATGTTTCCCTAGATACTTGCTAAGATGCTTCGCAATGCGGGCGGTAGACCACTTGGTGTATTTGTATTGAGGCATGAAGGCATCAAGGCGTCAAGGCATGAAGGCATGAAGAAGGCAAGGCCTTAAAAAGGCGGAGACGTTCTGCAACAAACCAGGACGGCGGACGCACCACTCAATAGATCAAAAGATTAGATTAGATTGGTAGATAGATCGATTAGATCGATTGGCAAGATGGAATGCCATCAATATCTGATGGGCTCTAGGTATCGGTCTCCATTGTTGGCCATTACACAGCTCCATTGGATTGAAGCTGCTTGTATGTAATTGTTCTTCTCATTGTCTACATCCTGCCGAGATAGTATAGACATCCATGTGCTTTTTTACCCCTAGGAATCCATGAATATCATGTCGGTTCGTTATTGCATTGAATATTTCAACTCCAACATGCATTCTCTTGATTTCAATCGCTAATTCCGGTCCATTGGCCAAATGGTAAGGCATCGGACTCCTAATCCGGAGATTGTGGGTTCGAGCCCCATGTGGATCGCATATACTTTTTTGCTGGGTTCTCTTGGGGATCGGAGGCGAAGAGCAGCGCAGTAGGACAACCACCACGGGTTGGTGACGTGAAAAAAATAAATTTAGAACATTCCCGAGACGAAAATAATGTGATCGAGACCTTGTTGGACATATAAGAATATAATATCATGAGGATATCCCGTCCACTCATCATTTCATGATTTGGTTCGAAAGCGGGTAGCCTATTGTCTATTAGTCAGAATTTCCACGGATAGATGTACTCGGGGACATATGAGGGCACGAACATTGGCCAAATTGCCTGAAATACCTCGGATCTCCGACTCTCGACCCTTGGGGTGATCGATTGTTGAATTCACTACCAACTAACTTGAAGCTATTCAGATAGAAAGTCGAGGGTAGGTAAGGCATACGGCACCTGGAACGCGCTAAGCTAAAATAGGCAACCCTGGCCCGTTGCTTTCCTAGATATGGCACTTGTCTATTTTCCACGCGATCGTACAATACAGCGGAATGTATTTATAGGATGGTTGAAATCACTCCTGTAAAGAATTAGTGCTACTACACGATGTCTTCCGGTCTCCAATAGAATTACCTGTGGCTTGAGCTGTCGAGTGTACCAAACAACGAGAGCAACCGGAGAGGGACGACTGTATTTCTGCCAGAATGCCTCGTTAGTTTGATATGAAATGGAATGAGAACACTCTGTTCGATCTTAATCAGACTCGTATTAGTTACTCATATTTGGTGAACTGATAATCGCATAGCCGTGGTATTCGTCTGATAAGCAAGTCTTGTGGCTACCTAAGACTTCGGACCTACTATGACAGCTCTCCGAGGAGCGAGTTGCCACTTCCACATTGACAGGATCAGTTAGGGAGAGAGACATTACCTTCGGAAGGATACCGAAAGGACAGGGAACAGTGAAGGTCAATACAAAGAGAAAGTAAACTATAGCATCTAGTCTAGAAGATAGTGAGAATATGCATCATTGTCTTGATCTGCTCGCCAGACTGGAAAATAAGCAAGATGAACATTGCGGAACCAGACCAACCAAAGAACAAGAGAAGACGACTGTAGCCTATGACCACCCCATCATGCAAAGGCCTCATTCGTGTTTCAGTTGGAGAATCCGTGTTGCTTCCGTGCCACGGTTCTACCTTTCGTGATCCAAAGAAACGACCGGCACCCAAAAATGTAAGTAACTGTCTTATCTTTGTCCAGCTCTCGTGGCTATAAACCCCGCGTTGAAGGTCTTGTTGGCAGTGGTTGCCTAGGAGGTCACGGGTCCTCCGCCACCTCTTCCTCACTTCCCTGCCTGCCGTGATCCTCCACGGCCACGCATCTCCGCGCATCCCATTCCACAGGGCCTTCCGTCTACGCAGGCCCCTCATATCCTCCTACATTGTCCTCCTCTGACCGATATCAGTCTCCGAAGATGATAGGAGCATCTGTGTAACGGAGGGCTGTCAAACTGACCCAGAACAGGTCTGTGGTGTTTTGATCCACGCTTCATCGGGTATTCGGGACACCATCGGATAGATCGGGACACTACGTCGGATGATCGGCTTCGGAGAGACAGGACTATGATTAATTGACGGAGCAATAGAAATGTGCGGGAATATGTCGTTTACGAAAACAAGGCTCTGTCGGCTCGGGGAATCGGGACAACTTGATATACATATTCATGGCAATTTTCTTATCAAACAAACGTCGTGGCTTGTGATGCCGAAACAGTTGCAAGGTATAAAGCCATGCTTCCTTCGAGGATGAATTTCACAGTTCGGACCCGCAGCAGCACTCGCTATCTATTCTATCGAGATAATTTCCACCATGGTTGGCCGAGTTTTGCCCCCCGAACTCATTCAGGGACACCCAACACCACCCAGGGTGACTGGCCCGACAACGACGAAAGCAACCCGTCCCTCCAACAAACTCCCCCAGTGGCTGATTGATGAAGCTCGAGTCCACTTCAAAGAGACTTTCGATGCGAAGAAACACCTGAGTTTTCAGCCCCCACAGAGTGTCTACACCATGAAAGAGATAGGTCTGGAAGGACACGGCATTTCACCAGTTGCAGCCTCAGAACCATTCCCTCTTTTCACTCCCGAAGCTATCAAGCAAATCCGAGCTGAGGTATTCAGCGAGCCTGTGCTAAAAGACTGCCAATATTCCTCCAGCTTTGCGAAAAACATGATCCGAGGGATGGGAAGAGAGTAAGTATGTTGTGCTATGTGAGAGACACCTGCTGACCTCTGTAGACGAGCCCCATTTACTTGCGATGCTTGGAGTTCTCCAGAGCTTCTTGTCATGGTTTCACAGGTTGCTGGTCTGGACCTGGTTCCTATGTTTGACTATGAGATCGCCAATATCAACAGTTCAGTTAACGATGAGAACAAGGATGGACATTCTGACGGAGAGACTTCTGCCTTTGCTTGGCACTATGATAGTTTTGCGTTTGTCTGCGTCACAATGCTCTCCGATTGCACGGACATGATTGGTGGGGAGACTGCCATTCGGACACCATCTGGGGAGGTTAAGAAAATTCGGGGGCCATCCATGGTAAGTAGAGGCAGACTCACTGAGTTTTACCGATGTTCGTAGGTACTGATATGGGTAGGGAACCGCTGTCATCATGCAGGGGCGCTATATCGAACATCAAGCATTGAAATCCATTGGCGGCCGCGAACGGATCAGCATGGTTACAGCTTTCCGACCGAAATCACCCGCGATCAGGGATGAGGCGATCTTGACTGGCTCCCGCGCCATTAGCAATTGGTCGGAACTTTACACTGAGTACAGTGAGTATCGATTGGAGCTTCTGGAGGAGCGGATTCGTGCGATGTTGAAGAAGGAAAGAATCAGGAAATCCGGAAAACGGCCGTTCAACATTTCGGACATGCAGCACTTTCTGGACGAGCAGAAAGCTTTTATTGAGTCCATGATGGTTGAGCTGATTGAGGTTGAAGATGTAAACTGATTTGAACGCATGCATATGCACGGGGATGGGGGGACGATGAATGTAGTCATTGTTTTGATGAATCGGATACTCCGAAAGATCGAGAAAGCAGGGCATGAGAAACTTGATTCGATGAGATGGTCATGAAAGGAATCCTTGCAGGCTTCAGTAGTGAGTATGTCAAATGTCGCGTTCTTCCCAGTACGCCAAAATGATATACCGCTAGCCGTCTGGAGAACAAACGGAAGGAAGATTATCCCAACATGATTGAATTAATAATAATCGCCAATTATTACAAATCAAACAGTTTCGGTCTAATGTAGGTATTCGCGACCTCCGGCTAAAGTTGAAGGACAATCTTCCCAATATGTTTCCCCTGCCAGATATACTCGACGGCATCCTCAGCTTGCTCAAACGGAAAGACCTTATCGACAAGATCCTGAAGCGGCATTTGAGAAGCTGATAGAGCAGCGCAAAAGTCCTCCATGTCGTGCTTCGAACCCGCGTTGATGCCCCTGTTCTCATCAGTTTCTGGACCCAATAACCCATAATAGCGCTCACCTAAGGTTGATCCTTCGATCTATAAGAGTCGGAACCAGCTCCCGCAGGTCTGAAGGATCCTGTTTTGAAAGATAGCCGACCTGGCTCACCGTCCCTCCGCGTCTTGTGCATCTCAGACTCTTGACCAGAGAGCCCGTTCCTCCATTTTCCACAACGATGTCAACCCCCACGCCATCGGTCAGCTTCAAAACCTCCTGATCCCAGTCGGTTGTCTGCGAATAATTGACTGTCAAGACTGGAGGACTCGAATATTTCGTCTTCATTTGCTGGAGCTTCTCATCGCTGGAGGAGGTCAGAATCACCCGTAGACCAGCAGCCCGTGCAAGCTTGAGAGCAAACACGCTCACGCCTCCAGTCCCTAGCCCATCAATCAGCATCGTTCCACGTCTTGGATCCGTCAGTACCCCCACCTTGAATAAGCACGGTCTGCCCAATACTCATCCCTTTCAACGCCGACCACGCCGTAACCCCAGCACAAGGAATCGTCGCAGCATCAACCCATTGCAGGTAATAAGGGAGGCTACACAGAACGCGCTCATCAAAAACGATGTAATCCGCCATTACTCCATCTTCATCTGCAGCCAGCCACGAGCGCTTGGTCTCACGCCCAGAGATATTCTCGGTGTCCGTGATGGGCGCGGCCCGGTCCCCAATCACAAAGGTCTTCACTTTGTCCCCGATGGCGATTACCTCGCCTGCTGCATCATTGCACAGAATTCCATTCGGGATCACTGGCCAGGGGTTCCCCCCATTTGCGATATTGGCGTCCCGATAATTAAGAGCTAATGCGTGAACTTTGATCAAGACCGCTGTCGGTGCGAGGGGAAGCGGGAGTTCTTCAACCACTAGCTTTAGCTTGGGATTGCCGGGTGTGTAATCGTCGGTTCGGCGAAAGGCACGACGGTGGGTGACTTGCGAACTCGACATTATGGAGTGGAAGCTAGCTGTAGGTGCCGAGCAATGTCTGATAAGTGATGCTCCAATAATGCAGGATTGAGATTGATCGGTTACCTATCTGGCCTTCAGGATGCTCGTCACTTGGACTGAGGCATGTATTCCGAAGTTGTATCTTCTCCGCTGAACGGTGCTAAAAGTTGGAGCTATTCGGCTAGAAAACCCGGGGGAGATGAGGGGAGAGTCCCGACATCCCGATAGACGTCATCTCGGAGATGATCCCGAGAGTACTTCCACCACTTGCTTTGCTGCTCTTTCCTTTCTCCACCATATTCCAAAGGAAATAACTAACCCTTGCAAATCCTATCGATACTTGAGCATAGTAAGTACTTCGGACATTAAAGTCCGAGATTTCCTCATCCTACCTTTTCGAGATCCTGGAGCATGCTAATGAAAAATAACGATCCTGATAGTAAGCGGTTGGATCTAATACTTTATTGATATAAAAGACTAAAGCGATAATATAACCAGTCGCCATGTCTTCTCACTACTATTCAGCCTAGATCATCATATCCTCATCTTCCTCCATCTTCCTCATCAACCTCCTTGCATCCTTTCTTGTTCTTATCATCCTCCTTCCTTGTTCTGTTATCCTCTGGCACTTCGTTCCACCTCAAACAGTTTCATATATTACCATTTTCAACATCATCTCAACCATTTATTCCCAGTTCTAAACCTTATCCTGACCATTTAAGGTCCCATTGCAGACCTCGTCCTCGATACTGAGTGAGCAGACCCCCGGACAACAGGAAGATCAGAGCTCGAATCACATAATTAACTCCTACAAAGAGCTAACGTTAGCATTAAGTAACAACAACCCATTCAAATCAAAGGATTCGAAGTAGGGTGGAGTAACATGAAGATCTCATATCAAAATTATGATAGAATTGTACTTACGGCCAGACGCATACCTTCCCAGGTCGCGCAGTCTCTGGCCAGATGGCCATACTGACGACAGAAATAACAACTACGCGAATGATTGTTGCGTGCCTAATTCTGTCAGTATAAATCCATGATGAGCCGGTATCCCTTTACGGGGATCGGCGTATTTGGGGGTTGGACTTACCAATGCGCCATTTGCATTTGCAACTTATTTTAAAGGCTTCAAATATATGTTGAAGACTTTTTATTTATTTGGACCATGTTTTATATCTTGAAAAGATATACTAAAAAGGGTTTTTAAAGAGATAATTTCCTGCTAGCAATGGAAAGAGATAGGGTTGAGGTTGTTGGAGAAGAAGGGCTTTGGTATGGGGGTAGGGCTTCCTTTTATAGTACCTGGGATAGGGGAGGTATTAACTGGGGTGGAAAGATTGGGGAATCTACTTGTCTATGTGAATCGGGATTATGGATTGGGGAGGGATTCAATGGCCTGGATTGGGGAATTATATGATATGTCTCTACTTGATGTAGATGGTAGGTATAGTGACCGACATGAGGAATTGGCTATAGGTATCTAGAGACGTGAATTTGTCTAGAGAATGATCATGATGACTGACTGGGCTGATAGGGGCTAAAAGGTGCCCATTATCCATTTAGTGACATTGAGCATTCAATAGCTATACCCAATCTGACAAACAACTCCAGCTGTGAGGTAATCCCTCGTCCAGACACATCACAACTCCATTCTGATGGAAATTCACTAAGAGCCCTCAGTGACCGCAAAAGCCCAATTGTAGATAGGAATTAGAACAAGACGTCCGCAATCAGGAGAAGGGTGCTAAATCGAAAATACCGTGATATCATACGAAGCATATTGAAAGACTTGTATCTGCCAGCTGGGGAAGAGCCAATTCCAACTGCGTGGCCGGCACCATAAAGGCAATATATACCGCCGCTGTCGCGATAGGTTGCTGATTCGCATAAATAGGCCCGCTGTAGCTCAGATACCGGAAGCGATAGCCGCGGGTATGGCCGTCCAGGTCCTGCGTTGACCTCGGTCGAATTGGAAGGTCATCAGTTAAGGCAACTTGCATAAGTGAGTAAAGCAGTATCAAGCAGTCACGACGGATGCATCTTCAAAAATCTCTCAAGGCACCGTACCCGTGCTTTAAGACGAAATACTGCTGGGGGAAAGCCTGGGGTACGAGGACACAAAGTAATGCGTTAGACGCAAACACACCCCATGTTTCCCCGCACACCAATCAATAACTGGCTGGTCGGCGGGGTGATCATCGGAGAGAGCCCGATACCACAGGATTTTCTAGTAAGAGTTGCGATGGTAGCTTGCTAGCCTACATGAGCGAAGCAGCTTGGTTGGATTAGAGTAAGTAGGGCCGAAGAAGATCAACCGCTCATCACGCGGCATTGACACATCACGCTGTCACTTATTAGGCGAGGGGTTTTCAAGGTTTGTGGATCCCGGCAAGTGAGGATTATCCTCACTATAAATCTGAAACGTGAAGGCTTCGTCATCTTCCATCACCCAAAATTGGGACTGGGAGATTTACCGATTGTTTTGAATAAAAGTGTATGGGTGATGACACGGCTAAAGTATGACCCTGTTGCCTTGTGATCCTTCCAAAGACCTTGTATCTAGGCCATGGTCGGGGCTTTCTAGGGTAGGAGTGAGCACGGTTCTTCATCTAATCAGAAACAGGCTGTTTTCATGCAAGGACAAAGCCCGTTCCAGAATTGATAGACATGCTAACACTCCAGGGGATTGGCGCCTGACAGTCTCTCTAGACATACACAGACCCAACCTTCTCAAAGTTGCCATCGACTGAAGCAACGTCTACCGCGGTCGATGGATCACGTTGCGTTTTGGAACTGACATCTATACGGGTAGATGACACATGATCACAAGTGACCTTGGCTTAAATGGGATTGAACAAGGATAAGACACAATCCTAAGTTGTCGGATGAAGGGAACAGATTGCAGTCGACAATTGTGACGCAATATGATGTGTATGAGCCAAGCCCACTAAAACCTTCAAGATATCTTTTAAATGGCCGTGTTTGGATGAACAAATACCCGATATGCACTTTCTTTCCTTTTTTAATTTCTCTGATGGGTCATAAGCTTTGTGGAACATGGCATGGCCCTCAATCTGCCGTTCCGACGATATTTGTCGCATCCATATTAAAAGATGCCGATGGTGTGATATCCAGGAACAAGATACTTTTGATGGGGTGCATTTCCCAATCACAGATGGATGTCTCCAGCAGGGAGAAGTCTTTCCTTCAGCTCGTATGGTGTTGATAATCAATGCCTGACTGGCTTATAATTCAAACTTTCTTCACTGGCAGGTCTGTAGAGAAGCAGGGGTGGTTGTAGCATGTTCCGTTTGTGATTGCCCTATCTTTGGACCATTTTGATATGTATGGTATGGACGAGGGGAGCGACAGGCCCAAAGTGAGTCCGGAAGAAGTTGATGGCCTTGCAATTTTTGTTAGCCAGATTACCGAGCACAGAGGGGTCAACATGGCCTTGGACCCCGGTTTCAACACAGGGCCGAGACTGGTCATGAAGCCATCCGATTAGTTCAAGGTTGAGTCAGATTATGATGGCTTCCATCGGGTGGGAGGCTGCGAGCAGTTCGACGAAGCGAACCAAAGGAAGGATCGTGTATGCCTCAGGCATCAAGACGGCCCATGGAAAGCACGTGATGATGCCGGCGGTTGTCGATTCCGCCGATCCACCCGGCTTTACTCACTTCCACTTCGGCCTTCTTTTTGAGTCTCCAGACCAGGGGTTCCAGAAAAACGAAATGGAATCATGTTTCGAGTCAGGTGCTTAATCAGAGCTAGCTGATCGACAATTATGCGCTACTGGGACGACTACGACCCGTCTTCCCCATACTTCGTATGCACCTGGCAGACAACGGCTGACAGGGTCTAGGTCAGCTTGGTTACTATGAGCCGAATCTACCACTCAAGACATTTGATCAATTGCACCAACCTTATTGAACCTCTCGGCTCAATACTTCTCGTAATACTCCTCGCTATCCGTACTCGAAGTCCAACAAATACCGGTGGGCACGGTCGGCCCTGTGCCACAGTTCGGGGCTGACGCAGCAAGCAAGAATGCCTTTCGTGCCTTGTTTGATCCAGTGCCCTGGATGCTCGCAACATTGATCAGGGGTGACGTTGCAATCCTCCGTTCTGGTTGGTGGGGGATGATCTATGGGGACTGGGCGCTCCACGGTCTTCCCGATAGACGCCACGCTTATATTGATCGGGCTCACTGATGGCCTTTCCTCGGCACGGCATACACAAAGAACATTTCGTAGCCTCGTCCGGGATTGTCATGGACTTGAGGTATCCATCTCACGCAGTGGGGTGATGCTGTGGCAGGTAAATCATACTCTGGCAACCGATCCCTGGCTAAGGGGTTGGCCTCATTTTTGGGCACATCGATCAATTCCTTTGTTGGACGAGGTCCCGAGATTAACAGTGTTTCGCCGCTCTTCGACAATTGATTGAACTGGCACTCGAGCAGCTTGGCTTCACACAAACTCCGGAACCGGGTCGATGCTTCGTTTTACCACAACATGCCTCTTGCATCATCTCGAAACGCGTGTACAAGCCCTCGCAAGCCTGGTAGTCATGATCTCATCTGATTCCCGTTCTCGGGATTGCTCATCTCTTTGCCCACCGATATCACCGCATGGGCATCATCCATCCAAACCTATAAAGAACGTCGTAGCTCCCGTTCCTCTTGGTTATACCAGGCTCGGTGCTTCCTTTCATTCAACCCTAGCATTTTGTACCCTTCGATCACTAACACTGCTCATACGATCCTTACAATGAAGTTTCACAACGTCGCTCCTCTGTGCCTCGCGGGCTGTGCCCTGGCCTTGCCCACTCCGGTCGAAAAGAGAGAGGATCTTTCCGATCTCTTCGGATTCTCTCTTCCATCTGGCCTCTCCCTTTCTTCGGGCTTGCCCAGTCTTTCTCTGCCAACGGACCTGTCCAGCCTATTCAACAACCGCCGGGACTTGCCTTTTTCTCTCCCTTCCGGTGCTGCTCTTCCAACGAATTCAGAGGGGCTGTCTGAGCTCCTGCCTTCCGGCTTCCCCGACCTGTCCGAACTTGGCATCTCTCTTCCTACCGGGCTGTCATCCACGAAGCGTCAACTTGGCGGCGGTGGTCCCTCTGGTGGGTCGCCCTTTGGAGGCCAGTCATCTGGCTCCTCCAGCCTGCCCAGCTTGGGCGGTGGCGACTCTTCTCAGTCTGGTGATTCATCCAGCTCTTCTGGCGGGCTTCCAGACTTTCTTGGCTCACTCGGAGGCTCTTCCAGCTCTTCTGAGCCCTCCAGTGGCAGCTCCTCTGGAGGTCTTCCTGACTTTCTTGGCGCACTTGATGGCTCTTCCAGCGATTCTTCTAGCTCTTCTGCTCCCTCCAGCGGCACCTCTTCTGGTGGGCTTCCCGACTTTCTTGGCTCGCTTGGAGGCTCCCCCAGCGGTTCTTCTAGCTCTGCTGAGCCCTCCAGTGGTAGCTCTTCTGGCGGGCTTCCCGACTTCCTTGGCGCGCTCGGGGGCAGCTCTTCTCAATCATCTAGCTCGTCTAAGCCCTCCAGCGGCGGTGCTCTTGGTGGCGTGCCCGACTTCTTGAAGCCCTTCCTCAGTGGCGGCTCTTCATCTTCCGATGACTCGTCCAGCGCGGCCCAGCCCAGCGGCACCCTTGGCGGCTCCTCCGGCAGCCCTCCTAGTCTGCCTTCCGGAAGCCCCTTCGGCGGTTCCTCTTCTTCGTCATCCGATGATTCCTCCAACCCTGCTCAACCCAGCGGTAGCCTCCCGAGCATCAGCCTTCCTGAACCCAGCAGCAGCAGCTCTTCCTCCGAGGATTCCAGCGACTCCGAGCCATCCCTCACCCCGCCAACCCCGCTGGCAGCTTTCCCGGGCTCTCCTAACATTCCCGCTCCTTCATCCTCCGCCGTCCCGACGAGCAGCGCTGTGCCTAAGGCCGTGCCTACTGCCTTGTCTTCCTTGTCCTAGAAGACGTAGCTGGACTGCCGAGCCCCATCTGGATCTTCGCGGCACTGTATTGTCTTGACCGGTTCAAGCAATCATTCTCTGATGGACAGAAGGATATGTAAGGCACTTTGAAAGTGAATAGCTAAGCCATGCTGGACAGGTTACGAGGATACGCGTTGAGTTGTACCCTGGCGGTCAACAATCTGGTCGAGTTATGTCATTTTGCTATGTTACTGATTTTCACTTGTCTTTCAATGTCGATCAATTTCTTATATGTGATATCAGGAACCTTCCTGAAGATGAAAGCAGTCTGGTTATCTAGTCACGTTCACGTCCTTGACAAGGGCTAGTCTTTCTCCAAGTCACTCATTAGATACTCATCATCAATACATGGGTTCCCTACCTCCCAGATGAAATACTACTGAGCGAAGATCAGAGCAATATCTTGTCGGAAGGACAGCTCAAGGGGAGGAAGTGATCATGGATGATGTCTAGCTAATCGCTACAATGGCCTGATATGGCGACCTCACTTTGGACCGTATTCCTGCAGATTTGGACCGCATTTTGAACCGTAATTGGAATAGCATTTCTTAATACCCGCTATTTCTATGGAGGAAACTAGCACCTGTTTTAAGACTTATTTTTATAGTGTTTTTAAACGATTCAGCTGTCTGATTGGTTGCCTGGCTGGCTGTCTTACCGGTCAGCCTCCTTCTCTCTCTCTCACTACCTGCCTCGTTGAATGATATACATAATTCAGCTGATAATAACACTAAAATATATATTTAAGTAAATATTTCAAGATTATTAATCAAATCAGTCAACGAGATAGCTATTTTAACAGTTTAAAATATGTTGTTGTTGTAGTAAGGATTAACTATAGCTAGTTAAGCTAACATGTACACCTGCCTTACAAAATAATTACTCGGGAGGAAATCACGTGGCTCTAAATTTACTATTCAGGTTTAGTTCTGGCCCGTGCTGCCATTATAGGTTAGAAAACTACGGTCCAAATCTGCAGGAATGCGGTCCAAAGTGAGGTCGCCGCCTGATATAGGGGAAGTAACGGTGTAGCATCACGCGACTGCCTAGTAGCCATTGGGAAGTCCGACATATCCTACCTAGGTAAACACATCCGTAGCATAACGCATATTCGCCTTCAACCCATCAAAGAACTTCCTCGCTTCCTCATCATTTCCCTCCGGTGGAACATCTTTCTGGCCCTTTGCCAGGGCCTCCTCGCGATGCTTCTTCCGTGCATTTAGGAATATGTTTTTGAAAGCGCCACCCACAGCATTCCCCACGTCCGTGCTTCCACAGACATAAATCCTAGCGCCTTGTTCAAAAAGTGAGACCAATTCATCACAGTCACTTGCGATACGATCCTGGATGTGTTGAGGGGCAGACCCGTCGGAAGGACGACTATACGCCCATCGGACGTCGACGATGCCCTGACGGGACCATTCTTCGAGTTCTGCAGCGTGGATATCATCCTTGCCTTTGGTGCGGCAGCCGGCGTAGAGGATAGCTTTGGCGGGCTGTTCGGCGATGGATTCGCTTCGGCCGAGGATTTTCTCGGCACGATCCATGATGAATCCGCGGAATGGGCCAAGGCCGCTTCCTGCGCTGGCCATGATCATTGGTGTGGTGAGGTCGGTTGGGGGTTTGAAGCCGGAGTGGGATGGGCGGACGGCGATATGGGTGTGTTCGCCGGGTTGGAGGACGGAGAGGTAGGTGGAGGCGACGCCCATGTATGCTTCCTCTGTTCCGGAGAGGGATGGGGCGTTGAGTACCGAGACTGTGATAGAGCATTCGGTTGGGTCGGTTAAGGGGAAGATGAGATGGAGTATTGGCGTACGCGCATGGGCGGGAGCATGGCTAGAAAGTCGCCCAGGGATAGGTTGATTGAGGGATACCGGTCCAGGATGTCGAGGAGGCTGAGACGTTTCGTCACGATCTCGGCAGCAAAGCGGCTAGGGCTGTTGGCTGTGTAGCGCAGCTCGGCTTGGGCTTCTTCGTCGATGACGGCTGCATCCGCCAGGGCGATGAGGTCACGCTTGGATGCAGGCTGGGAGAGCTCGACATATGACGACAGAAGACCAAACGCGGACATTGAGTTGTCAAGGGGGATGGTCCATGGTCCGGCTTGGGTCTGAGATGGCTTGCGAACAGTCAAAACGGCGTCCCAGGGCAAGTTGAACCGGCGCATTGCACGACGGACGACAGTTGTTGGGTTTACCGGAAGCACGGCAAGGTAATCGCCGCACTGGTAGGTCATGTCGGTGGGAAGTTTGAATCTCACCAGCCGTTTTGCTGGGACGTCGGGTGCCGTGAGGAGCTCGTTCTCGATCACATATCCTTCCTGCAGTTGAAGGCCTAGGTTGGACACTCGTCTTTCCGAGCTTACCTCGACCTGCAAGCCTGAGCTGGCCTTTTTGTCGGCCTGGACTGATCCGAATTTAGAAGCGATGCTGGGCCACAATGCCGTCTCACTCCAGTTATCGAAGTCAGTGAACATGTCTGAGTTGGCGGTATCGACCAGTCCAATGTCACACAAGCGATTGCCACCATGCTCGCTCACTAGCTCATTGATGGCTTTGGGAATTCGGTAGAAGGTGGCGTTCCAGTCATCTAGAGACAGCGGTGAATCGCGTGGTCCATGGGAAATACTTCAGGTGAGATGGGGAAGAGTACTTACGATGACCGCAACCGAACACGGCATAATTGACCCCCTCAAACTCGTTGTTCTTCACTGCACTGAGCCACTCAAAAAAGTGGGCGGCATTATCAGCAGGCTGGCCTTCGTATGAGGCAGCAATGAACACCACCGGATCCTCTTTCGGGACATTCTCGGTGGCAGAGTCCAGCGACTTGACCTCTGCAGCAAACCCCCATGTGGCAGCATCGTCTGCCATTCTTCTAGCAAACGCCTCGCAGGTTCCAGTGTTGCTACCAAAGAAGATATGCATCGGCTTCAGACCTCCAGCAGGAATAGTTGCGCCTTTTTTGCGATCTCTGCTGGGTACTGTTGTCTCGCGAGGCACGTCACCGCTATTCAGAGCTACTTCCAATGCTATCGGGTCCAGACCGTGCCTTGGAGTTGCCCTCATCTTGAAATCCAACGGCTTAATGGTAAGTGTCTGTTTGATCCGCAAGTCATAGCTTGGGTCATCCAACTGAAAATTGAAGTTCTGCAGCAGCAGGGCGATTGCAAGCAAGCCTTCTTGCCAAGCAAATGGACGCCCAATGCAGCCTCGCATACCATTTCCAAATGGCTTCCACGAATTTGGGGGTAGCTTGTTGAAGTTTTCGTCAAGCATTCGCTCCGGTTTGAACTCTTCGGCATCCGAGCCATAAACTTTGGGATCGCGATGCAATTTACTGAGAAGAATGCTGACTGACTCTCCCTTGTTCAACACATATTTACCATTTGCCAAGGTCACCGGGTCTTCAGTATTCTTGATCGGGTGTGCGTGGAGTTTAATGATACCAGCTGTCGGTCTGAGGCGCAACGATTCTCGCATGACCGCATTGATATATGGCAACTTGGAGAGATCATCGACAGTGATCTTCCGTCGCCCAATCACCCGATCCACTTCTTCCTGCGCCTTTTTGTACGCGTGTGCGTTTTTTAGCAGGAAATAGAAGACGAAAGACAGCATTCCGGACGTGGTTTCATGACCTGCGTGAGCAGTCAGAAGAGGAATCTAGACCATAGAACACAAGATTCTGACATACCGGCAATCAGAAAAGTAATCATGTTGTCAATAATTGAATCCTCGCTGAGGCCCTTTCCTGTCTGAGAATCTCGGCCTAGGACGAGAGCATTGAGAAGGTCTTTCTTGTCCGATGGATTCTTCCTCCTATCCTCGGCCATTTCCTTTGCTAATTTTCTTAGATAGGCAATATCGTTCCAGAATGAATTGTTCTCGCTTGTGGGAAGTTGGTTCAGCAGAGCCGGCCGCTGTGACCTATAGCTGGCTACCTGCAACGTGCCAACCATCGCTTCCACGAAAGGGTGCATTGTATCATGGTAGAACGAGTTGAACCTCGTCCCCATCGAACACAGCGCGATCGAATCGAGGGTCAGGCGCGTAAAATCGTCCGTAACATTTATGGGGGTCTCGGGTCCCTGTCGGGCCCATTTCATGGCAAGCTGAGTGGCAATGTCGTACATTTCTGTAGTCGTCAGCATCTAGCTGGTCCGGGAGTCTGGTGAGCTGAAGCTGCTCCTTACCGTCGTACATGGCTCTGATAGACAGGGGCCCAAAAGCAGGAATAAGAATGCGATGCGCAAGCGCCCAATTCTCTTCACCGGGGTATCTTGCCGTGAACAAGCCATCGTGGGTGAGATGCCGAACCTGATCCAAGCCACCGTCCACGCTCTTAGAGAACCGCTCCTCGTTGCAGACTTCGTTGGCCAGCTCTTGATTACTGACGAAGACCTTTGGCACGCCAAATGTATTAAGACGGAAGATTGGGCCTTGTGAAGGAGATTGCCAGATTAGCCGGTTTCCCTTATTAGTGAGGCGCGGGCAAGGATGAATGTCGGGCGCGAGCGACAAGAAGCACGCAGTGCCGGAGGGATAATACCATATTGATCGACAAGTAACTCAAAACTCCGCATGGGCACTTCCTGCTCGATATCGTAGATATTTCCCAGGAAAGGGACGCCCTTAGGTCCCGGGATAGGAACTGGCTGTACGTCGCTCATGGTGATACAGGGGAGATGTTAACCAATGAGTCTAGTCTGCCCATAGAAGGCTTCTTCGGTGATTAAAAGCTAAAAAGCTAAAAGTCAAGGTGGATGTTTGCAACCAAGGAACTGCCTGACGGTCGCAGGCTAGGGGGGAAATAGCAGAAGCAGTCAACGTGTCATGGAGGGGGTTTAATAGACCCCTCGAAACTTTGTTGTCGGGGGATGATCCATGCTGTCTGCCCGATGCTGCATTGGTCCCGCCGCATGCAGAGCGTCATCATCCTGTGTCATTATGTACAAAGAACGCGCCGTGCCTCGGTTTCTGGAGCTGTTTTGGACCTGGATTGCATCGTTGCCGGACCGAGCATAACGATAGGCAGCCAGTAAGCCTGGTGGCAACCATGACGGCTGACGGGGGACGGGTAATGACGGGAGAGTGATAGGTCAACGGGGCACATCAAGACCGACGTGTAACCACTAACGAAATACGGGCAGACGATGGGATGGAGCTGGAAGCTTATCCGCTGCTGTGGCTGAACTCACATCGACAAGACAATGAATGTGATCAGTCCGTCGGCCAGTCGGCCTGGCGGGGTCGGTCACGGGACTGGCAATACCGAAGGCGGTGAGGAAGGCCAGAGGTTCGGGGAGGAAGTATTTATAGCTACCCCCCGGCGCCTTGGCTTCACCCCCCTTTAGTCCTATTCAAGTATAGCAGCTGTGGGGACCCACTTTAATGGAAAATCCCAACACCACAGCATTCCTAATGACCCCAATAAAATACTATGATAGAGAAACAGTCGAACAACTCTCTGATGGCCCTGCGGAATCCTAACTCTCATGAACTGGCCTTTTAGATAACAGCGAGTACTTTAATTGTCTATATCTAAGATATAAAGACAATCAGGTCACTGAGTGTATCCCTAGATGGGACCAAAAGGGGGTCAGCTATAAGAGATTTCCTTGTGGGCTTGGGGCAATCCAGGGATCCTCTCCGTCCGCTTGACCGCCGCAACATATTATTGCAGCATACCGGAATTCTCTAGGTGATTTGTATGGAGTCAGTGGAGCGTTGGAACAGACAGCTCTGATCTACAACATCCGGGTGGCTTGATTGTACCAATGGAGGACAGGACATTTTTGTCAATGTATATATATATAGTATCCCTGTGAGGGTGATACTTACGCGGGTCTTGACTTTTAAAGTTCTTTAGGTTTTTGAAAACCAGTAGTTTTAGTGTAGTCAGAATTTCAGAGGACAATTGCTTTTTTACTCCAATGAGGTTTGTAGGTCATTTGGGCATACTCGAATGAGCTATTCTTAGCCCGATTTGTTGTAGAAGCCGGTGCTTCACTCGGCATCGCTGGATTAAAGCCCAAGTAGCATGTAGATTAGAGTTCTAAAAACAAGATATCAAAAACGTCCGGATGGCGCAATGGTAGCGCGCGAGTTTCCGGTACTCGAGGTTGCGTGTTCGAGTCGCGCTTCGGACGTCTATAACTTTTTGCTTGGCTGGTTGGATAAGGTTTTATATCTTTTATATACACCGGATGTGCCTCTATACAGACCGCGGAGCTGAGCCGCAGAGACGGGAGCCGCACTACGCCCAGTTGGGATTAGGCGCGGAAAGTCCGTCAACTAAGCCTGATCGGGAGGGCACAGTCATGTGATATCAAAAAAAAAGGTCACTTTTTGGTCAAGTAAGTGTATGAGGACCTACCCGTAGCTACCCCCAAGGCCCTACTATCCATCCTCTGCCGAAGCCTTCAAGACGTGCAGAATTGGCAAGATTCTCAGGTCCATGGACTTGAAGTCATGACCAGCAGTGGCGGCCGATCGTAAGGGGGGTCGCGTTCGCAGCCAACGAGCCAGACCCTCAGCGCGAAGACTTAGAGCTACGATATGAAGTGTCTGATCGTTGAAAGTATTATGGAGTACATATACATTGGATTTCAACCAGACAGAGACCTGAATCGATGAAAATGCTGTAAGGTAAAACAAGTCATGATTTCCCACTTGGGTCAACTAAGCGACCGCCGCTAAACCCTTCGTGATTTTATGACACGTATAGGTAATTCATAAATGCCGTCAACATTTATGCTCCATCATGTCCATGTGCTTCGCGCCGTCGCCAGTCACTTTCCCTTTCCACCACTTCCACCAATTGTCGGGATTGATCTATCATTTCACCCTCTCCCGCGACCGCAAATATCTCTCTTGGTCTTGTCAGCAACCTCTGAATTGAATTACTACGAGAATATCTCCTGTCCACCGTCATGCTATGTTGTCGAGGAAAGTATCATGTCCGCAGCCTGAATACGTCAGCACCAGCTTCTACCTCCATGTTGATACCTACCTGCTCAGCAATAGCATAGCACGGGGCCTGATAATGAGCAGCTAAGGGGATTGGCATGACACCCGAGTCCACCACCCGTAACCTTTCGATCTCGAAAACTCGAAACTCGGGGTCAACCACCTGTCCCATCGCACAGGTTCCTGAACAGTGAAGCACAGTGCCACCGCTCCGGTTCGCCCGGATATCAATTGCCTCGTCAGACCAATTATCGCGCAGGGAATGGTCGCCAAACTCAACGGGATTGAGGCCCTCAACGGCCTGTATAGCTCGCGCAGTCTCGCGCACATTCTCATACAATGTCAATCGGTCGATCGGGGATGCCAGAAGCTTTGGATCGAGTACCGGAGGATCAGCAGAATCTGCTGAGCGCAACTTCAATGTTCCTCGTGAAACAGGATCAACGAGGATGTGCATCAGGCTCAAGACTCGTTTACCGGGCCAGCCTTGGAGCGGAGTCTTTCGAGTGGACGTATCAACACAGGCATATCTATTGGGTTAGCTTGTTACGAGTCAAGAAGGCGGAAATACGTACAGGACAAAGTTCTCAACTTGCATCTTCCCGTCAGCCGCGTACCGACCAAGGTCAGTTGAATTTAGCACTTGTCTGGCCATTTCCTGTGCTTTCTCACCCGCTGGTGCGAAGGAGATCCAGTCATATGGCAACCCTGCGAGCCAATGGACCTGCGGAACTTCCATTTCCCCATCTCCCAGGGTAACATTGGGGTTGTCGACAGTCCAGTACGTGAATATGCTAGGATGATCGGTGTAACCCTTCCCCACAGGGAGATCGATGATCTGAGTGATGTTGTGTCGATCTAGTTCCGCTGCAGGACCGATGCCACTATCCATTGTTAATGGCTTCCCGTCCAAGGACAATTGACCAACCTTAGTAGAAGGATCTTAGGTGAGCCTTGTGCACCTGATGAAAGAATGACCTCTTTATCAGCTTTGACACGGACGCGCTCCGTTCCATTCCGGATAACAATGACACCCTCTGCAGACTTTCCGTTCATAATCAACCTCTCCACGACCGATTTCGTCCAAAGACTGACATTATTACCCAACAGGTAGCTATTTGCGAAGCTCCTCAAGCCTTCGTAGGTGGAGTTGAAAGCCTCTGCATATCCCAGTTGCTGCCCACTATTGATATCATCCACCTGCTTGCGTCCGAGCAGTTCATGAAACTCGCGCATCTTCTCCCTCAGGGGATAGTTGCGTGGTTTTCCACTATTAGTTGCATGACTGACCTGGACGGTGTCAGCGTGTGCCAATGTTCTAAAGAATGGCTTGCGATACCTTGATTGGCCCACTATCTCCATGAGAATCAGCCGTGACGAGACCTTTTTCTTTCATTTCCATGGAGGGATACCACTTCTCGACCTTCCTGAAATAAGGGAGGAGGCCTTTCCAGCTCCACCTTTCATCATGAACAAGGTCCGCCCATTGATCACTTCCAGCATATCAACATCAATCCGGAACAACCCCGACATTCAAGGACACTCACTAATCTATCGCTGGCCCTCGAGTAAAGACCTGGTAGTTCACTCCTGACCCACCACCAACAATCTTCCCACTCGTCAGACAAACCGTATCGCCCCCGAATGCACGCTCCTGCGGCACGGAGCGATAATTCCACTCGATATCCGAATCAAATCCCCCCGTGAATGCCATTGCCCCGGATGTGCGTTCATCCTTCTCCACACCTGCTTCGATCAGCAGGATGCGCAGATCGGGACGACTATGAGAGATTCGGCTGGCAAGGACACAACCTGTTTCTTGTTAGTCTGGTCAGGGATGCAGTGGAGGGTATTTACCTGAAACACCAGCTCCGACAATAATAAAATCGAAGGTCTCATCGGAATCCATATCGTTCGACTGATTAGGGAGGGACAGCTAGCTTAGGAGCCCTTGCCACGCGACATATCCCCCGCTTTGAATACATCGGACAATATATAACTACCCGATCCCTGGGTTACATCAGCCAGTCAGACCCGTGGAACAATCCCTCCACTGTGGTTACACGACCGGATCCAGACCCTTTAGTGTTACACTCCCATTCCATGGCCGGCCAGCGTAGCCTATCTCCCGAGCAAGATCCAGAGTCCTCATTAACCAAGATTTCAAATACAAGATGAGCGCCCGGGCTGTGAGATGTCAAATCGGACAGCACGGGTTTGGCCGAGTTCGAAAGTTTGTCCGCTTTGGGGTTGCGGGATGACCGGCCTGAAACTTTATTGCTTCGGCGGTTCCGTTTGGCTATTTGGCTGCTTGTTGGCACATCGCTCCGATTGATGGTCAGTGAGACAGGTTGCACTTCTTTATCTATCTGTCTCTCTGTCTAATAGTAACTGTCTGTAACTGGCATGGGTCTAGGGCCAAGAACTGACGTGGTCAGCATCGGGCTGTGTCAGGCAAACCGCAGCACGGCCCAATGGCGTCTGGGTGGCAGCTGAAAGATGATCGCCAAGCCCGACAATTAGATTCAAAGTGAAAGGTAAGCATGAGATGAGTTTCATTAAAATAGCTCGTCATCTAACACACAAGATATCAATCATCATAGATTAAGCGGACTGTTCAGTAGACATAGCGGAATTGACGCAGCTCGCGGTCCGTTCTATCGAGCAGATTTAGCGAGCTTGACGGCACTTCAACACCATCGACTTCAACAACCTCCAGCGACTGGTTTGCGGCATCGCGCTTTGCATTCTCCCAGATGAGATAGTATCGCAGAACCAATGTGGTGATGATGGAGCAAGCAAAGCAAGCCAGCATGCCCGCGAACCCTGAAGGGTAACTGGGTGCTTCTCTAGCGAACATGATTTGCGGTCCGACAATATTACCAGCGCAGTATGCAACGAAGACCTGATCTTGTTAGTGGCGAACTGAGTCGTATTAGATTGTGAAGGGCATACCACTGCGGTAACAGTCGTTTTCTTGGTAAACCCTGCCGTGTTGCTCGTGATCATCACCATCGTCAAGGGGAAACTGGCCGAGAACGCGATGATGAGACAGTACCCCATGAATCGAGCCCAGATGAGCTCAGGGTTGATTTGTCGAATCATGACAGAGCCGATAAGCGCCATGGTAGAGTTGAACGTCATCCAATAAGTGCGGGTATTTTTGAAGTATGTGCTACCAAAGGCAGACATGGCAACAAACACAATCTGAAACCCGGTACCGATCATCTGAACCAAGAGGGTATCAAGAGTGCTGAACCCGAAGCCTTCCACGACAATAGAGGCAAACTGGAACGCAGTGTTAGCTGAGTGTATGGTAGTAAGGGAGGTGACTGACCGAACCGACACCCCCGTTGGGCACGTTCTGGGTAAATTGGAACACCGCGAGAAGCCATGTCTTCGGGTCCAGCAATGCTTCCACGATTTGATATCGCTTCACATGATGGTTCTTGACGCCGGTGAGATTATCCTGAACCCGCTCCAGAGCCTTGACCTGGTCCTCCTTTGAGAGAAACCACGCATCGAGCGGATCATTTGGTAGTCCGAACCAGCAGAGAGTTGACCAAGCTAGGGTGAGACCGCCAAAAAGGAGGAAAAGTGCCTGCCTGACCAATGTTAGTATAACTCTTCGCATGTTGAAGATGGATCGGACCCTCCAAGGCGCAATCGTATCAATATGGCCGATTGCGTATCCCAGCAACCCACCGCATAGCCCTCCAGTCACATTACCCATGAACCAAGCCGACTGGCGAAGGGGCTGCTCTGATTTCTTGTACCACATGGATATCATGAGGCTCATTGCAGGGGCAATAATTGACTCTACGAACCCGAGAAAGAAACGAGCTGCCCAGAGACCAGATGCGTTCTTACACAACACAGTCAACATCAAGATTGCCGCCCAAACTCCCCTGTTAGGTCATTAGACAAGGCCGGTCAACTGTCTGGGTGATGCACTTACATGGCTCCTGAAAGGCAGCGGCCAACGGGCAAACGAATAAGCAGCCAAGCAACCGGCCCGGAGGCAATCAGATATCCAAAGTAGAACAAGCTGGTCGCCCAGGAATAGTCCTGACCCTCAAGTTTCAAGTCTGTTCGTAGACCCAATATGGCACTATATCCCATGGCTTGCTTGTCGAGGTATTGCAAGAGGTAGGAAACAAAGAGAAGTGGGATGATGCTGACCAGGTTAGTAAGCATTATCTTCATAGAAGGAATACATACACCAAGTCCACTTTGCGACGAATGCGACGGTCCTCTTCGGGAGTCAGAGGCGTACCTAGTTCGGCCTGACCGTCGGGCAAAGTCTGCAGAGTGTCATCAACATCCTTGATGCTCGAAGTAAACACCATCTTGCTCTGAATGTCGGTGGCAACAGGGCTGCAATTGTCAGACGAATGGGCAGACATGATGGGCTGGTGGTCGGAGGGATCAGGGTGGCAGATACCTCCTGAACCCATATATATGTCCCAACAGGGCAATCTGATAGTCCTCCACCCCGGGCCGGAGTCGCATCTGCCGATATCAGGCCCGCTCTTATCGGATCACAGCCTTATCTGCGTTGAGTGGACCTTGTGGGTCGGATCGTATGCGACGGCATTCGCGGAAGCGATACGACGGCATTGGATAGATATTTCCTACTGGTACCGTTTACGATGGCCATCACCGCGTGTAATGTGGGTTGATCCTCGCCTTCATATCTTTTTTTTTTTGCATTAGAAGCAACATATAAACCCCCATGTCCTCCTATTCAGCCAGAATCTGGAACAGAAAACAAGTCAATCGACTATCCCAAGATTGTCACGTCACGATGGCTCCTGCTGCAACCACTGATCTCATCCCGACTACGGGAAAGACTTATACAGAGCCCACCAATGCGCTGTAAGTTTGACTGCTCTCCTCTGATAAGGAAATGCGACTGACCCGAACGGTAGTGCCACAGCGCCGGAAGGTGACTGGCGGGCGCAGCTCCGGACAGATGGCTATGCCGTCATCAAAGGGGCGATTCCGCTGGAGCGAGCCCTGGAGTATCAGCGCAAAGCGCGCAAATGGCTCAAATCATTCGGAAATGATGACCTGGATTACGAGAACCCCCAGACATGGCTAGCCAAGAACTTGCCCGTACAGAGCACAATCAATACATTCAGCGCATACGGGGTATCCCACGAGAAGTTCATGTGGGACGCAAGAATGGAACCTGGGGTGACTGAGGCTTTTGCTCAAATCTGGGGTACCGACGAGCTTCTGGTCAGCTTCGACAGTCTCAACATCACCTTCCCAAACCGCAAGGATGTCCCCCGAAAGGGTGCCTGGGAGCACGTGGATCAGAGTCCTTTCCGGCGAGGCATGCACTGCGTTCAAGGCATCATCAACCTGTCTACATCGGGGCCCAACGATGGCGGCTTGGTTGTCTACCCGGGGTCTCATCGCTACCACGACGATTTCTTTGATGGACAGACCGATCGCGCGACCTGGGGATCCAAGGATCTATATTGGTTCAAGGAGGACCAGCTGTCGTGGTTCAAGTCCCGTGGCATTGCTCCACACAAGATCTGTGCCGACCTTGGGGATTTGATCGTGTGGGATAGTCGCACCATCCATTATGGAGCCGAGCCTACAGAGGAAGGGAACGTGATCCGTACCGTTATCTATGCTGCATACTCCCCTGCGAGACTCGCATCTCCCGAAACTCTAGAACGCAAGGCAGCCGTATTCCGGAGATACGGAGGGACCACGCACTGGCCTCATGATAATGTTGTCATTCGCAAGACCTGGGCTATCTTGCCGGATGGAACACGGGATCCTCGGGATCGAGACGAGCCTTTGGAATTGCCGGATGTGACGGATCAATTGCTGAAGCTGGCGGGAGTGAAGCCCTACTAGCCAGTTATTCTTGTATCTAATTGATCTGAAAATGGTAGTCCGCAATAAAATGGTATGCGCATAAAAAGTGCCAACCCGACTGATTAAGAAAGTACATTTATGCCTGGTGCCTGAGGCCTGGCTGATAAGCGGCTGGTCTGCCTTGGGCTGGCCGTTATCGCGGACGCCTCCACCACCTCTCTTCCCTTCTTACTCCCCTCGCTCTAACTTCAACATCCCCCCTCCCATTGACCATGCCTCGTCAGCGCACAGCCTGCTTCAGTTGTGCCTCCATCAAGAGCGCGTGTAGCCAGGGTCAACCCTGTCAGCGCTGTAAGCGTAAGTACCGAGCACACGGCTGAGAGTTCATTCTAAGAGCCCTAGGCCTTGCGTTGACCTGTTCTTATGCATTCGCCCACCTTCGCAAATGGACAGACCCTGATGAGGGGCAACATCAATACCGACGGAGGGTGCGCCATTCTCGTTCTCGGAATGGGTGTGAGAGTTGTGTGCGTCGGTGAGTATTAGCCATTGCTGATTATGTGCACCACTGATCCTCAAAGACGAAAAAAGTGCGACGAAGCGTTTCCCAAATGTGGCGAGTGCCGCCGATTAAACATTTCCAATTGCCGAGTGGGAGGGAGCAAAAGCACCGATGATGAGGGGCAAGGGGCCCGGAAAATTGTCCCTGAAAGTCGTGAGGCCACCGATTCCCAATTACCCCACAGGAACATCAGCTCCCTGGATTCGAAAGTGAACGAATACCTCGGTTACGTCGCGTCATTACCGGAGGGGGACCTGACAGGAATCACCCGTCGCGGGCACTTGAATGAAAGCAGCGCGCTGCACTACCGACGTGGAGTCCAGGAGGGTGCTCAAGAGAAGGAGACGACGAGTGATGTCGTTGTTGCGTTGGGGGGCGTGGCTCGTTTGAAACAAGTGAATATACCTGATTTAGATGCCACCGAGCACCATTTGTTCTTGCATTACATGCATCATGTTGGCAGGGCACTGGTAGTGGTGAGTAATCGCGAGAACCCGTTCCTTCAAGAAATCCGCCAGATGGCCATGGAGGTCAAGGCAGTCCGACATGCCATGCTGGCTTTGGCTGCTTGTCACCTGTGCAAGGTATATCCCAAGTTTGAGGATACATTGATTCGTCAGCATAGTTTGGCTCTCTACTACTTGAAGCTAGATTTGCGAGCACAGCGGACAACTGATTACATACTGGCGACCTCTCTTTTGCTTTCTCTATTCGGGGTATGATCCTTCCAAGCTTCTCATTTACAAGTTCATTAACTGACAACTAACTTTAGATCTGTCAAGGAAACTCTCAGAAATGGATTCTTCACCTCTACGGAGCAAAGGCTCTCATCGACTCACACCTGGACCGTCCCAGTCCTAAACCACTATCGGAATTTTTGCTCGATCTCTACGACTTCATCTGCTGTAAAACAAGAATCACCTGCGACAAGGTACCTAAGTTACGGGGCGGATATCCAATACTCTCATCCTATAACGAACGACCCCACAACAGCATCCATCCCCTATTCGGTCTCGCCGGTGATCTATACCAATTGCTAGATTCCATTACCCAACTAGCCTTAGACCGAGCAAACCCCGATACCACACCCGAGAGGCAAGCCATGCACCTCACTAGGGCCCGAGAAATCGAAAAAAGACTGCAACTATGGGCTGTACCAGCCAGAGTCAAGCATCCAAACGACCAACTCCTACAGGATAGCACCATGGCAGCGGAAGCCATCCGATGGGCTGCACTCATCCGACTATATCAAGTAATGGGCGAATCATACAGTAACCCAACAAAGCATCACAACGCAGCCGAGAACATCCTAGCAGTCATCGCACAAATCCGCCCCGGCTCGCCGGTCGATGCACAACTCCTACTCCCCCTATTCATGGCGGGATTGAGCGTGTCTAGGAAAACAGAGCGACTACAGATCGAGTATCGAATTAGTCTACTGGAGAGTAGTATCGGAATGGGAAATATTGCGGGCGCTCATCAACTATTGGATATTGTTTGGGAGCAGAGTGATGAAGATACGCTGGACTGGGAGGTACTGGTACAGAGGGGATATCCTTGTGTACTTTTGTACTGAGTGTTACGATGTTTGTCTACATGCTCCTACAAACCAAGTCCATTTACCCACCAAAAACATACAACAATATACCATTATAATCAACATCACGAAAAACAAAACCTCAGTACCATCCTCATCCCCAGCTCCATCTCCCGTATCAAAGACGTGTGAGATTATCCGACCTCGCAATAATCCCAAGCATCGGCTCGTATCCACTTACCCACGAGGTTGGCAGCCTATCTAGAAGAAAATAATGTTTAATCTGATAAGGACCTAGACCCAGCTGATCTATATTCGGGAGCTCGGCCGGACCGATATGGATTCGGAGTCGGCCGGGCCGGATGCCGAGCCCGATGTGTGTGTGTGTGTGTGTGTGTGTGTGTGTGTGTGGGTGGTTTCTTTGTTAGGTGGGAGATAGCTGTTGATAGGATAGGTTGTTGGATTTGATTACAGACCATGGCAGCTATTCCTTCTAGGTTATGGGAGTTCAATCAACGAGCATGTGTTCGGGAAGTGTGAAATCCTGGTAGCTCCGCGTCTATCCATATCTCCGTTCTCATTCTAGAACTACATTATGCGGACAACTAATTACATCTGCAACCAACTACAAAGACCGATTCAATCAAGCATAAAGAGATCAAGCATCGGGAAAGGTTCGTACCACGTCTGCAGACAGAGTCCGGTTATCAGTTTCAGAATGTCAAGATGGATGACCAGGCATTGACTTACAGCAGTGTCTAGAAAAGAAGGTATATCATGAATTCCCCCTCCATTTACTGTTGTCAGATCCTGCACAGAGCTACCTTCGCTAGGGGAAAGAACGGTTTGCGTGAGCAGGGCCATTTTCTTCAGCTCGCGTCGAATCTCTCGTGCAGCCTCTGTGGCACCTGCTTCATGGAAAATCTGAGCTGCTTGATGAAGTGCCGTCACTGATTCTCCGCATTGAAGGTATTGATATGTTGCGGGGATGGCCTTGATGATGAAGCTGATTGCTTGGTAAGTTGGCGAGCCGTGATAGTCCTGCAGCGATGACGGTTAGATGTATGATGGGGTTTGGTTTTGGAGGAGTGGTACGTACTATGGTATATTGGAATTGACGACGGATGTTATCGGACTCGAATTGACTTCGAATGAGAAGATTGGCGTTAACTAGTGCCTTTTGGATAAATACCAACCGATTGGGGTCTGGATGTTCGTCGGACGCTTCCATCCCATGTAAGGCGAATCCGTTGATGTATCTGTTTGAACAGTGATCAATAAGGTCTCTGGGTGAGGCGATATCTTTGACCTACATTTTCATAAACGCATATGGAATTATGAACCTGTTCCGGTCCTGCTTGTCTGAAAAGGTCTGATACTGTGGTTCAATGATATTGTTGATCCTGTAGAACCATTCGTCGATGCTCTGATCAAACGATGCCAGGAGATCGGTGTTTGCCGGCCCGAGAGGATTTAGGTGGAGTTGAGCTTTTGGAAATTGTGCTTTTGCGTCGGCTGTAGTAGAAGAACTATCGGTCAGCCGGAGCAACCTGAAGAATGGCACAGATCGACGTACCAGGGATAGTGAAACCCACGATGTAGGCGCAAATCCGATGGTCGACTGGCTGACAATATGGGGATGCAAGCAATTTTTTCGCGAAAGGGAGGTATTCTCTCATTTTGTTGATGACAAACGGTCGGTTTAGGTGCATCCTTCAACGACAACAGTAATTAGCTGTAGTTCTTGATTTCAACAGGGGGAATGTAGCAACCGTACGTGAGATCAAAGCAACACAACGTAAACCACGTTCTTGCTCGGTCAACAAGACTGGATGTGTGCTCGACATCACCCAGTTGTAATGCGGCCGTGTTGAGTCCCAGCTCTGCAGCGAGAGAGGCCACATAGCCCCAAAGTCGAGTTCGACCGGCCAATGCACCCAGAAGCATTATTGCCCTTACGGCCTGGATATCGGGAGTCGCTCCGACAAATGTGTTCTTTACCAGCTCATCGGCATCAGCCAAGTAGACTCGGTATTTTGCAGGTTTGATCGCTCGAGCAGCGATGGCGCAAATCACAGTGGACATCAGGGCATGCTGCCTAACGAGACCTTTAGGTTGGTAGATCTGATCATCCATGAAACCCACGACAGTTCGACAGTTTTCGTAGAAGCTAAAAACATCAGCCTTATTGTAAAGTTCTCAAGAGATCCACTTACAAGTCGTAGAGTTCCTCCCATTCGCCTTCACTCACTACGCCGCGTGCGACTATATCACCTTCACTGGGTGGTTCCAATTGCGGCACCGTGGGCTGTGACACTGATTGCAGTGCTGATAACTGAGAGAGTGTATTCTGCATCTGTTGCATCTGCGCCTCATGACGTGCTTCCATGGCCTCTAGTCTCTGTTCCAGCAGTACCAGCTTATCACTAGCCCATGAGCATTGCACGAGACGAGGCGGGGATCATTCTTACCTGAGACTATCATCCGGCCCCGCAGCTGAAGTACTGCTACGGATTGGCTTGGGAGAAACGAAAACACATTCTGCCCTGCTCGTTCGACATCTTTGGCATGGGTTCTGACTTGGGCCCCCGCATTTGAGCTTCTTCCTGCGGCAACGTAGACAGGCTGATAACGATCTGGCCGAGTTAGCGGGGCAATTGGGGTAGAAAAAGACGTCTTTACTCACCGGCTTGTGTCTGCCATTATTAATTTATAGATAACTCCAAACACCGAGTATACGAATCAACGAGGGTGTCATGACGGAGGGAGACTACGAGGAGGGGGCTCCACTCGGGCTAATCTCGGCGGGAATCACCTGACCCGGTCCCGCTCGATTGTTGACACCTGCAATCACCCCACGAACGACGGCATAGATCTGATAGAGATTCTGGGGAATTGAAACGAATTGCTACGAGACAGAGATCTTGATTGACGTACACTGACCCCTCAAGCTGCCATTGGCAGGGGGCGTCATGCCAAGCACAGTCTGACTGTTCACTTGCAGCCTCAGCTTTAGACAGTTGCAAGGCATGGGTACCTAAACCAGGAAAACAAATCTGTGAGGACGTTAACTTCATCACTCGATCTCTGTTCCAGATTGGTAGACTGATCGATCCAATTCCTCAATGTACCATGCCTCATTAGTAGAGCTTATCTAGTCCCGCGCTCGGTCGGGCCGGCCGAGGTCCCGAAGATGGATTTATAGACCGTTCAGCTTCACCTTCAAGTTCAACATATTTGCAGTCGCTCATATTCGAATATACACACCTCATAGACCTACAACCACCATGACACAGATACTCACCAAAAATCCCCCCGAATCAGACGACTTTCCCGCCGCTCGACGCATAATCCAAGAGACCATCGAAGCCCGCGACCATGAGCTCTGGGACATCAATCAAAAGGTGAAGCTCCCAAACAACCACCGCAATACCAATCGTACTAAGGAAAGTATAGATCCACAGTACCCCCGAGCTAGCCTACTCAGAACACCAAGCCCACGACAACATCACCTCCATGCTCCAATCACTCGGCTTTTCCGTCACACCCCACGCCCACGGTCTTCCCACCTCCTTCATTGCCGAATACGGCACCGGAGGACGTGTCGTCGCCTTCAACGCCGAATACGACGCTCTGCCTGAAATCGGCCATGCCTGCGGCCACAACCTCATCGCAATGATGTCCATCGCCTCCTTCCTCGGCCTCGCGGAAGCCCTCAAGACATACGGAATCCCAGGCCGTGTGCGTCTAATCGGCACTCCAGCCGAGGAAGGCGGCGGCGGAAAACTCAAGGTCATTGATGCAGGTGCATTCCGAGACGTCAATGCTTGTCTCATGACTCATCCCGGGCCTCCGGATGCATGTGTCGGGTTCACGGGGGACGCGTACATGCCCACTCTTGCGAACCACAAAACCACGGTCCGGTTTACGGGGAAGGCTGCTCATGCGGCGGTTGCGCCTTGGGAGGGCGTGAATGCCTTGGATGCGGCGGTGTTGGCGTATAATGGGATTAGTGCTCTACGGCAGCAAATTCATCCGGTCAATCGGGTGCATTGCGTGGTGTCGGACGGGGGTAAAAGACCGAATGTGATTCCGGCCACGGCGGCGATGGATTGTTATGTCCGAAGTCCGACGTTGGGATCGGCGAATGATCTGCTTGCTAGGGTGAAGCGTTGCTTTGATGGAGCTGCTTTGCAGACTGGTTGTGAGGTGGAGGTTCAGATGTATGTGTTTTCCTTTCTAGGTGGTGAACTGGGGCTAATGTGAACAGGATTAATACTTACGCGGACCTCCGTCCTAACCCGACGATATGCACTGTGTATGCGGATGAGATGGCTAGAATGGGCTCTGAGGTTAAGTGTGATCTGCGGTCCTCAGGCGTACCGGGCTCGACAGATCAGGGAAACGTCTCTTACGAGTGTCCTGCCTTTCAGGCGTATGTTGCTATTCCGGCTGAGCCTGGATGCAAGAATCATACGCCGGGATTCACGGCCGTGGCTGGAACACGGGAGGCTCATGATTTGTGTATAGCGGCCGCTAAGGGAATGGCACTTGTGGGTTGGAAGGTGTTGGCTGATGACGATGTTGCCTTGCAGGTGAAGAACAACTTCCAAACGGACAAGATGCTCCGAGATCAGGGAAAGGATCCCCGCTCATTGGAGTCGACGTACTAGATACTGTTGTGTCGGTAGATATAATCTTAGAAATCAATAAGCAAACTGTTAGGTTTTTTTGCTCATAGCATAAGCGCAACTCATCACCAAAGTCTGTTCAAAATTAAGCTCAGATCTGAGCAAGTAAGCCAAATGCCTAGATCAAACCTCCATGGGCGTAATATCCATTGATCATGACCGGTAGGATAGTCCCCGTCTAGGCCGGTGACTAAGCGGAATGGGTTAGGGAGGCTATAAGATCAAACAGTTAGTTAATGGTTTGTCTAAAGAGATAGTATATATATGGAGAACTGAATAACTTATCACAACAAGAACTCACCTGATGATATCTAGCTTGCGCAGACTAAATAGCCCATCTCGTCCCTTCAGATTTTCTCTGGCCCCGAGCTGAGACATAGAGGTACTCATATAATATAGGATTTCGATAGCACGCGACCGAATAGCATCGCGATTCTGTTCAAATTTGGCATTAGTTATCGAATTTTGGCAGTTTGACTCTCGAATGGGGTAGTTTCTGATTTCCTCTGCGGACATAGGCTTAAACAGGCCCACATCAGGATCAGTGTAGTAATCGTCATCGTAGAAGTGATGGATTTTGTACTCGTTTAAGACTTCGTCTCTTACCCTGCACTCGTCATCGACTAGTTCTGATGGAGTGTTCTTCACCAGGATCTTCCACAGACTTTCTAGTATGTCGGCAACTTTGTTGCGTGTCGTTTCTATTGAGGGTGGATATGATGATGACTGGGTGATATTGCGGGCTTAGTAGAAGGGTGAGAGTGTGGAGAGGCTAGTAGTTAACAAAGAATATGTGTCACTTGTATGTTATGAAACATAATACAATGACTTAATAATTACACAAATAATCTTGGAGTCGTACACATCTTTAGTCCGAGCAACTAAACCAAATACTCTGATTACACCTTCGTTAATCCCGTTGATCAGGCCAGGAATCTACCGGAAAGGATTGCCATTCAAGGAAATCTGCATTCACCACTAGAACCCATATACCATCCCACTCATGAGCTCCATCTACACCTCCTCTGACTCTCCAACTTCATCACCATTATCGGTCTTCTCCAACATATTACAAAACCCAGACCGCCGTCGAATAGCATCCCCTTTCCAAATAAAAACAAAGGGAATAACACACATCAAGGCACTTAGCCCACCAAGCAAACTACACGCACCATCAACACCAAGATTATCAAACATCGGACGCGTAGCAAGAGGAAGAACCGTCGCCAGAAGACTTCTCGAACAACTCGATGCAGCGTTTGCTGACGCGGAATAGATCTCATACGCGTCTGTTAGGTGATTCCTTGTTTATGTAAGTTCTCAAAACGCAACTATACCACAAGTGGGGATACTCACACCAATGCAATGAAAATACATATGAACCCAAACCCGAAAGGCACTCCGGCCATCAGAGGCACAACAAAAGACACATCCGTGCGAGCGGACCAGCCGAGCCAGATTAGAGAGCCGGCGAAGAGTGGGCCTCCGAGACATGCGAGTGGGAGGCGGAGATACTCCCTTTTCTTTTTCAGAAACCATGCTTTTTGTTGTAGCTCTAACCGGACCATGTAGCTGTCGTATAGCCAGAAGATTGGGAGGAAGAGGATACAGCCTGCTCCGATGGGGAGGTATGTTAGTCCACAAATCCCTGGAGACATGCCGTATATGTTTTGGAAGATTATGGGGTACGCCTCGAAAGACATGTAGAATATGCTGTAGCATAGGGCTAGATAAGCCGATGAGGCACTGACGATGGGCTCGAAGAAGAGCATGTGTAAAGGACGGAGGAGTACGGTGCTGATGTATTTGCTTGAATCGCGGTCGGGTCGATTTGGAGGCACTGAGTCATGATGGCTTGATTTTGCTGCGCGAAGTAAGGCGCCGTGTGTTTCAGGAAGTGAGATCAGAAGAGTTAGAGTCACTCCTGCTAGGATCAGACCGATCCAGAAGGACCATCTCCAGCCCAATGTCGGAGATGCAAAGCCAGATACAATAGGGCCCAGTAGTGGACCAAACGAGGTGACCTGTCGGCTGATTAGCTTTGCATAAAATCCCAATAGATCAAACATACCACCAGATAAAGTGCAACTGAACGTCCCCTAATTCGGGGATCTTGGTAAATGTCTGCCAGCACACCAGTCGCGACGGCAATAGGACCACTGGCAAATATCCCAGCCAGGAGTCGAAATACCAGAAAGGCTGACCAGCTATTGGATAAGGCACATGCCATGATAAACACCGTGAAGAGTATGAATGTCCCGATGGCGATGTTTCGGCGGCCACGTTGCTCACTTGTTGGGGCCCATACTAAAGGGCCTTTGGGATGTCAATTGGATGTCCTAGTTACTACCAGATGGTCAGACAAAACTCACCAAATACATAGCCTGAGAAACACTTAGCATGCAATTTCATCGGCTGTGAACTCAGTAGGTAGATGACACACCTATTAAATAGCAAGACATGGGCAAGGTCTTTTCTGACTGTGACCCGACGCCAAAGTCCTCCGCAATGAAAGGAATCGCATTACTCGGCAAGGAGCTTCCGAGAGAACTACTCAGGATGATCATCATGAGAACAAAAAAGACCCAGTTCTTCTTTGCCTACTCCATGTTAGATTAATTATTTGGATGGTCGGGGAGGACTTACCGGTGACCAGTTGTACGGATTATTGTTGTCAGCCTTCCACCTTGCTGTTTCTGGCAGGATCTGTTCATCCATGAGTCCTGGAAACGCTTTCGGATGCTCAACGGACACAGTCTGGGGAAACCCCTTGCCTCTATCCTGGTCGTCTTCTGGAAGCATATCTCGATTTGTATGGACTGTGTAAGCCGAGGAGTATCTCGACGTCGTTTGCGATCCCCTATGCCAGCAATTGTTGTGTCCAAGATAACAACAAGAAGCCTCCTTCCAGCACCACGAGCCGAGAAATTAATCCGCTTATGACCTTGACAGATGGGGAGTGTCAGTTTGACTCGATCCCAGTCCTCTCGGCATCTCCATGCTCGGTCCGGCCGGGCCCGAATGTAGCGGAGTGTAGCCAAGGCAATCATATTGATTACCTAGAAAGATTCGTAGCTAGATTTGGATGATGTAGAAAGGCTTGCCTTCAATGATACTGAGAGTTTCAAGAATTGGTCATGAAATGAAGCGTGCAGATTTGCCGATATCGTAGGTCCTTGAGTAGCGCAGAGAATTCGCAATCGACTGTCGGATAGACCCAATAAAAGATGTGAAACTGCAATTTATAAGTTTTAAAGTGGCTATAAGATCCAGGGTCTATGACTGAGCGTAGATATGTGCTACATCAACAACCCAAGCTCAGCCACACAAAATCGCTCCACCCGACGTTTAGAGCAGATGAAGATGTCTGGCAACCAATCCTTGACCTTGCCCGGCGGAATACCGGGACCTCCTTCGTGATCCATCTCGTCCAGTCCCAACGCCATCAATCCCACGGCCACACCACACAGCCAGGCAAGTACCATGCCTTCCCCGTTGAACCCGGCCGATATCCATTCTGCAGGTGGCACTTTGAATTGTCCAACTTGTTTGTCATTCCGGGAGGTAACAGTACGAACCGTCAATCCTGGCTCCAGCTTCCCAACAAGGGGTAAAAGGTCGCATGTGAATCCCATGCATCCCACCCAGGCACCTTTGATGCGCGTGCCATTTTTGTCCTCTCCCCAGCGATCTCTGCCGAAGGTGACAGGCATGATTCCTTCTAGGTATGCGCTGATAGGACCGCTCATCTGATCGTCACGCCAGATTCCAAACTCGTCAATGCCTTTGCTAGGCGACTGAACAACACCCCCACCAACCATGAGCTCTCCTCCATCCTCACCCTGCCTTGGTCGCTGGGTGATATAATCGAAGCCTCTCTTCCCTATGATAGACCACGACCGGGAGCCATCAAGCCGTGACAGCCCAGCTCCAGGAGTTTGGGCCGTCATATGTCCTCGCATGGGGAAAAGCTTCCCAGTCGCGCCTGGGACGAGATTGGCCACAAAAGCGTCAGTCGCATGAATGACATGGTATGCTGGGATCTTTCCCCGAGAAGTCGAAACCATGAACGGCATCACATCATCCCGTGTCTCGATGCCCACAACAGGCGTATTGGTCTCGATCGAAAAGCGCGAGCCAAATTCCGACAAGAGCCGTGCATACAGCGAGGTGACAAACCTATAAGGCCAAATGGCACCAGCAGGGTATCTAATCACTCCACAGCATTGCTCTCTATTGAGCTCAAATATCTGAACAGCCATTAGTGTCAACCAATACAACGCATCAGAAACATACCTCGCAACCTTCATCCGGCTCAAACACTTCAACCTCCTTCCCTGCCTCCGGAACATCCTCTTTCAGCTCCTGAACCATATTCTTCGTTTTCTCCCACATTCCAGCATCAGTAATAACATCCAACGTCTCAACCTTTCTCGCCTCTGCTACCTCGAACCCATTCTCCTGTGCGAAGCTAACCAGCAGAGGCAACGCCCTCCTCTCAAACTCAAGCAGCTTCTTTGCTCGCTCCCGTCCAAACCGACGCTTGAAAAGCGCATAGTCTGAGTACGAGGCACATTTGACATGTCCCCCGTTTCTCCCTGTTGCACCACTGCAAAGTTCTCGTGCTTCCAGCAGTACAACCTTGAGGCCGTCTGATTCAGCACTGCTTTGCGTGAGGAGAGTATATGCAATACTTGCACCGGAGATGCCTGATCCGATGATCACGATATCCGCATGATCTGGCAGACTGGGCGATTGGATGTCTACCAGCTCCGGGAACGGTGGGCGCTGTTGCCAGAATGAGGTGCTAGGGTTTTTGATTGGATGGATTGGGGCGGAGATGCGCCCTAGGAGAGCATTGTAGTCTGCATTTGAGTCGGCAAAGTCGGCTAGTAGGACGCAGATGCCGAGGTAGATCGTGCGCAGTGAAGAGAGGATGGCACCCATAGTTGGTTGAGTTGGTGGAGTTGTGTCGTATGGAAGGGGGAGCAGAGATAAGATAAGCACGGCGTACGGCAGCGGTGAGCTAGTCCCAATGCGGATGTCAGCCTTACAGCCTGAGCCTTGTAGCAACTTTCAGAAGTCTCATGAAGCAGCGCGCCTCTGGAAAGTTCTGAGACTAGCAATAGTCTTTCTCAGTTAATCCAAAGGCCTATACAAGTAGTATTATTACTACGGGTGCTGGAGCGGAGTATATAATGCCTTACGGCCAGCCGCGTGTACTTCGCGTGAGCCATGTGACGCGAATAGAACAGACGAGTCACCGCGCGGGAGTACTTTCAATGTGTGTTAAGTAGATGCTGTTAGGTCCACGAAATCCAATATGACATCTCACTAAGATCAACTGTCATCAAGTCGCTGTAGAGAAAGCCATCCCTCTTTCCCTTTGTCGTGGTGCAAGGAGAGATAAGAGATAAGGATAAGCAATGTGGCGGTGGGGGCTAACCCAAAGGGATTGCGCTAGTCCCAATGAAGATGTCAGCCTTAAGAGGTCTGAGCAGCCAGCCAGCCAGCCTTGTTGCTTATTCCTTCTCGATCATACTTCTTATCATCTCGTACTCAAGGCCTCACTAGAGGTTACCAGACTCTCACTTCCCAATCACAAAGAGCGGCAAACTGTTTCATCGGTACAGTATCTAGCACCTACTCCATCCTACATCCGAAAATCCTGCACTAAAAACTTGCCAATCTATACAACGAAATATATACTGCGCTACATGTCAACATGCGCGAATAACCATATACAACAAGCCACACTATACAACCCTCCCAACCTCTCTAATCTACACCTCCTTCACAACCTCCTCCACAGACTTATTCTCCCCCCACGTACTCTCCGTAACCGCCCACGGCCCGGCCGGTACCCTCTCATCCCACACGCCCCTAGGCGGTCTCCAAAGCAACAGAATCGGCGGCGGCACACACTCATGCACCAGCCTATTCCACTCATCACTGGGATTCTTCTTCGCAAAATCAATATGCAGACAGACCACCCTCTTATACCCACATTCCTCATACAGGAATCTCCCCGTCGGACTGCCCTCAATGAAACTCTCATAACCAAGAGGATCAATCCTCTCATGGCCCCAATCCATTAGAAGACGGCCTACGCCCTTGCGGCGGAAATCGGGGTGGACGCCCATGGCGTTGACACCTACACAGACACACACAGATACATACATTAGCCCTTCCTCTCTTTCCATCTGTCACTAGTGGCAAAGATACATACCCGCATGAGGGCGCTGAAGCCAACACTGTCTCGGAAAGAAAGCCTGACTGAGCATTTGGCTCGCGTACTCGGCGCGTTCTGAGCCCTCGGGGTACCAAGTACAAGGGATAGGTTGGGGACCGTTCGGGAACGGGTTCTTGCGGAAGATGAGCCATTCGCAGCCGCCGGCGACGCGGCCGGATTTCTTGTCGATTACATAGATGAAGTGCGAGGCGGGGTTTTTTTGGTGGGCTGCCCAGCGGATTTCGCAGTCGTAGTCTTTGTCTTTCACGCGGTCTTCGGCGGTGTGGCCGGATACAGGGTGGACGGCTGTGAAGACGGCGCTGGGGGTTGGAGTTAGATTGGGAATGATGGGTGAGGGGATTGGGGATGGATGGGGTTACATGTAGGGATGGGAGTTGGCGGTCCAGAGGACGTCGACGAGGCGACGATATTCCTCTTTCGTGTGGATTTCTTTCACTTCAAAGTCGGATTCAGTCATGGTCATGGTGGATGGGTGGATGGATGGATGGATGGGTTGGGGAATGTACAAGGGGGAGGAGAAGGGGATATTAATTATTGTTGGGAGGGGTAAAGACGGATGCTCGGCAAGTGCTTATGTGCTAAATGTAAGTTTCTTTGTTCTAATTAAACTACGAATCAAATGACTATCCTTGCGTGGTAGCGCGCGGTTTCAGCCGACCGAACCTAAATCTCTATCGTCGGCCCGCGATAACTCTTGCGCGCATATGCAACGTAATACAGAATGCTCAAAAGGGTCACACCCACAAAGATGGCAATGCTGTAGTTGACCTTCTCCGGGGCGGGATGATTCTCGGGCGGCCAGCAGCCAAAGAACATCATGATTATGGAGAACGCAATGGCAAAGGCATTGTTCACCGTGCCGACCCACCCGTTTAGTCGGAACGGTCCCCACGTAAAGGGGGTCTCGGAACCACTCTCCGAGATGTCACCTCTCAACCGGCGATAAAAGAGGAGCGACAGGGAGATCAGGTAGGATGCAAAGAATGCTTCCAGCACCAGACTGAGAATGATGTTCAGTACCACAGATGACCCGATATTGATCAGACTGAGCAGACTGCCGGTGATCACCACAATGCATGTGCTGCGGAAAGGAACCAAGGTCCGTTGGTTCACCTGACGGACCCATTTCCAGCCGGGGATCGCCTGGTCTCTCGCGAAAGCCCAGATCATGCGACTGGCCGAGGAGATTCCCGCCAGCCCAGCACAGGCTTGCAAGGCGGCCATCATACTGGAAAGGACGACGGCGGCCCCCATGCTCTGGGTCGAGCTGGCGAGAATGTACATAAATGGGTATGAGGCATTGGATTCAATGATGGATACCAGGTCTCCAGCGGTGAACAAAAAGGCGATGAGAATAGCAAAGCCCATAACTCCGTTGATGATAATCGCCGACAACATGGATCGGGGAACCACCCGGGTGCTGTTTGCTACCTCTTCGGCCATCTATAGAGGTTAGCTAGGACTAAACGCAGGATAGAAGTACTTGCATGAACGGCTCCATCCGTGCCCACGAACGCAGCCACGGTCCCTTTCAACCCCACAAAAGTCGCGAGAGTGAGATCATTCCAGCCGCCATAGTCAAACGACGTCTTAAACACGGAGGCGGCTGATGCTTTTGGTCCCAGGTAGACCAGGGGAATCAAGACAGCAAAGAAACCAAGGACATGGACCAGAAGAATGAGCACTTCAATGACTGGTAGAATGATCCCAAGCCAGGTGTTTAGGATGGTGCAGAGGGCAAACACGGCCCACATCATCAAGGTTACCTGCCAACCTTCAGGCTGGTAGCTGGGAATGTTCATGGCGATGGTGCTTTGTAGAACACTGGCAGCCAGGTAGATGGCTGCCGTTGGAGCCGCGGTCCATGCAATAATACAAATCGAGCCTTTCTAATTAGCTTCTATATAGTGTTCGACAGGGGTCGGCATACCGGTGACATGACTGAGGAATTGTTTGGACGAATTCGGGGCGAGAATGCTCACCCAGTGGTATTGACCACCCGCCTGAAAAATTAGACATATTCAGTTGCAGAAAACTCGGAATCTTACCGAAGGCATCATGCTGGCCAGCTCTCCCATGGAAACAAAGACGCTAATCATGCCAATCCAGACCCCAATGTACCCATAAACAAGCCCTGCGGGCCCGCCACTACCAGAATTAACAGGGGATATACAGTGGTGAGGGGAAGGCTTACTTGGTAAGACCTAGTGCAATGTTCCTAATGCCGTCAGCTATGCCAAGTGTTGGAAGTTGAGGGAAACAAACATGATAACCGCCTCCCATGTGAGCATCAAGCTGCAGGCAAAGCCCACCGTACTCGTCAGGCCAAACCGTCGCTGAACCGTTAGTGGATGACTGGGCTGGAGAGAAGAAATGAGCGTCTACCTTCAACACCTCCTTCTTTCCGATCCTCGCCAAATCGTACGCATCTTGGCTGGAAATGTTCACCGCGCTTTTGATTGGCGCCGTCGGATCTCGCTCCGAGCGGAGCTCAACGTCGTTTTCGATTTCCCAGTCCCTGGCCATTTTCGGACTCATAAACTATAGAAGCTGCATGACCAGGCTTCGAGGCGATCGCGCGTGAGAATTTAAGGGAATGATTGGGAGTGCTTTCCTGCGCCGAAGACAAGAAACGCCACCGAAAAAAAGGGGGATGCGGCCAGGAATCAGCAGAGGACCAGACACGCCAGCCGAACAAGCCAATCGAAGTTTGGGGGCCGTTTTGGAGGGTGTCTGGCTGTTCTCCGTATCTAGGCGCATGATGGCAAGCGATGTAACTGTATTCCAAACGGGCCATTTAGCCTAGTGGGTCGTCAGTGCATTGCTGTGTGGTAAGACGTGATGGTCACGGATGGGCCGGTCCGATTTGTGGACCCTCGACAGTTGATTGTGCGTGATTGTGCGCTCGGGAGAATGAGGAAAGGAGGCTGCCGATCCGAGCAGGGTAGTTTGGGGGCCACGGCTGGATTGCCCAAGGAAGAAGGGGCGGGAAGAGCAACCCTGCAGCAGAGGAATTAGTGTGTCTGACATACATGGTAGTGAAGTTTAGTGAAGGTGATTCCTGCAGGAAGAGACACTAACGGAAATGATTGGAGCGGGGTAAGCAATACGTGCGAGCATTATACGTCGTCAGCCAGGCGGATTCTCCTCAGGCAATTGGGGCGGAAAACCCACAGCCACTGCCTGCAGTTCTTCTGCACGGCGATAACCCTGCCTTTCGTGCGACCAGCAGAGGGGGCCGATCGGTGGCCTTATGCTTGGAAGGATTATTATAAAGTTGATTCAAAGCTCAAATGGACCCGTCTGAGCTGTACGGCAATGTTTGTTCCGCGAGTCTGATTCGATGTCATGATGAAAGACAATACCGCGGCCGTTAAGGTCGTCTCCTGTTTCCTGTTGATCGTGTCGTGCGCCGCCGTCGCTGCTTGCCTCACCGCCAGCTGGCAAGTGTTCAGGAGACGCATCTGGAGTTTGAGTCTGCTGTTGAGCACTTTGGTAATTCTGCTATCCGTGCACGATGATCGTAAAAAAACTGACCCTCGATACTACTGGTAGGTTGCCTCGATCGCATCCGGCGCGGCTGTATCCGTGGCGGCCACCCATGGCCTGGGGAGATCCAATGCCTCGGACAGAGAGCTCGTTATCATGCAGAAGGCCTTTCTTGCCATGGAGGTCTTTTACATGTTGACCCTCACCCTGGGCAAGTTATCGGTCATGGTTCTCTTCTACAGTCTCCTCTCGTCAACCGGTCGGTCGGGACCCGTTCTGGTCGCCATGGGTGTGCTCCTGGCTTGGACTCTGGCGATGATATTTGTTATATGCTTTCAATGTCATCTTCCTGATGTCTGGAACCTCACCGAAGGCACTTGTTTGGACCTGGTAAGTCCCCTGCTAGCCGTTGGTGTATGCGTCTAACGTGTTAGACCGCGGTGTGGGCCTTTGTCGGAGCCGCGAATATTCTCGTCGAAATAGTTATCGTCCTAGTCCCATCGGTCATCATCGCTCGAGTCCAGATGAGTTTGAAGAAGCGTCTGGTGGTTATTGGCTGCTTCAGCGTTCGAATCATGTAAGGTATCCAACCTCGGTTCCGGTGAAGGTATATTAACCTCGGCAGGGACATTGCGGTGACCTCCACCCAACTGCATTATGTCAATGCATTCGGCCGTGCCCCGCTACCCCTCAATATCTGGGAATGGGTTATGTGCAGTCAAGTGCTCCAGACCGTGACCATTCTGACTGCCTGTGTGCCTTATCTTCGCGAATTCCTCGAGGCATTCCCCAGTGGCATGTTTCAGCCGCTCGAGGGGGGACAAAAGGTTACACGGCAGACCTACGATGGGAACAAGTCTATGGATAGCGATGTAGAACTAGTAATGCGAGATGAATCGGCCAGTAAAACTAGCCAGAAAGCTTGAATATAAGACCAAGACTGGATACATGAGACCCTCTCCGTAGTTCTACCCAGCCAGCCACCTGCTTAGCCATTGTCTATTTGTTGATCCCATTATCTATTTGTTGATCGCGGCAACGGTGATTTCGTCGAAGGGCTCGGCAACGGCGCCGGCATCGCGCTCGTTGAGGTTGGCCAGAGGGGCACCGATGACGGCCGTAGCCAGAGCGAGGAGGAGGATGGAGAAACGCATTGTGTTGGTTTGGAGGTAGGAACTATGATGGTTAGCCTCGAAGACGTAAGAAATAATGAGGATAGATATGCATACTGGAGATTGCTCAAGGTCTTCTGGGATCTCCTCAGTGCTCAGGTCGATGCTTGTCTGGAAGATCAGGGGAATTGATGCTTTACTTATGGAGGCCTCGGCTAGTGGCAGCGTCACATTTGTGATAAAGGCAAGTCTTGTCCGAGGGCATTCGAATGTGACAAGATGTGCAGCTTGCATTAGTGTGCTGACTGCTAGGAAGGATCAGGCCATGCATGCATTACATCTCCACTGCGATAAGCACTAGCGATGTCGGCTCGAACCAGCCCTTGGAGATATGAGGACTGCACTGTCCCAACCTTCGCTGGCACCCCGATCATTCTCTCATCTATCGCAATGTATTCCTACGAAAAGGTTCATCCAGAGGACAGCGAGCAGCTGCTGGGGTCGGAGTCGGAGAGAGTGGTGGTCAATCGCCCTCTCTCGCGAGCCCACCGTTGGACAGCAATCGCGTTGGTTCTTGGTCTGGTAGCTTCGTTATCTCTCAATGCGTGGTGGCTGCTAGGGCAGAGAGAGGGAGAGCTGGATCCAGATGCGGCCATGGCGAAACAGCGCTCTCCATACAGTATGTTCCTGATCTGAAGTCGAGGATTGTCTAATTTGTGCAGCCGGAATCGCATTCGATACCCATAGTCCTTATTCTCACCATAGCGAGTATACCAGCGAAAACAAGACTCATGCCAATTACATGTGGGAGAACCTCGACACGGACCATATGGTTATTGCTCCTACTCAGGAGTGGGCTCAGAGCAAGGGTCTGTCCGAGTCCTGGCCTTTTCCATGGGATTCGAACAGGAGCATCTATTTCGTCAAGGTGTTCCATCAGCTTCACTGCCTGGTGGGTAGCTTACCCCTCCAAACCAAGCGAGACTACTAACCTTGATAGAAAATCATGCGCAAAACCTTCCACGAGGCCTGGGATGACCAGGACATGTCCATCCCACCCGAACACATTGAGCACTGCTTGGACTCGCTGCGACAGGACCTAATGTGCAAGGCCGATGATACTCCGATGCCATCTCTCCAGCTGTTGAATGGAGGTGGGGAGGGCCAGCTGATGCAGTGTAAAAACTTTGACGAGCTGGTGGCCTGGACACAAGCGCCGGAGCGGAATGCCTGCTACAAGCGCCTGACGGACTACAAGCCGATCGTGCATAGTGTCGAGCGTTATGCGTTCTGCCCGGCGGACAGTCCGCATTTTGCCAAGATGAACGAGTACTTTGAGAAACACGGCCACTGGGCGGACCCATTTGCCGAGTAAATATCGACTATCTAGACCCTATCAGTAGCGAGGGCAAGGCTGGGAGAAGGCGGGGCCGACCCTGTCAGTGATGAATGAATCAGACCACTTTCCGGAGTTACTTGGACACTATCCTGTTAGCTTATTGTTAGCTTGTTGTTAGCTTCGTGGCTACTACTCCGTATCTAGATAGTCTCATTTTGGTGGCGGTCGGAGCTGAAGCCGCCGGCCCGTCCAGCCCAATCTGTTTCCCACCTGCTGTTCCTTTTGTTCCCCACCGTCTTCCTTCTTCCTCGAGGGATTCCCCTTCGTTTGCAGTTGATTGAAAATGGATGAGAAGGACGACCATCTCAAGGAAGCGGAGATTACTGTCCATTCCGCGAGCCCCGTGGATGATTCCGACCCCCGGAATTGGTCGTCCACGTACAAGTGGTCGATTGTGATCCTGGTGGCTGCCCTGAGTGCTGTAGTGTAATGCCATCTCCCCAGTATCTATCTGAGCCCACGCTGACTTCACAGTCAACTGTCTACCATCATCGCAGCCCCCGTCTCCCCTTCCATCCTCGCCCACTTCCACTCCGACAATGCCCTCTACCGCACCCTCATCGTTTCCATCTGGGAACTGGGCGAAATCGTCGCCCCGTTACTATGGGGCCCTCTCTCCGAGCTGTACGGCCGTCACTGGGTCCTGAACATCGCCAATATCCTCTTCGTCGCCTTTCTGGCCGGCAATGCCGCCAGCACCAACATCCAAATGCTGATCGCGTTCCGCTTCCTCAGCGGCTCCGCAACAGCAGGATCAACAATCGGCCCCGGAATCGTCAGTGATCTCTGGCCGGAGGAGAGCCGAGGACGTGCAATGTCGATCATGAGCATGACAGGTGCGCTTGGACCTGTCATCGGACCCATCATCGGGTCATACCTGAGCCAAAAAGCAGGATGGCGATGGGCCTTTTGGCTACCTACCATCGCTGCCGGCGTTCTCTCCATCCTCTTCGTCATCATATACCGTGAAACATACAGCGTCACCCTCGCGAAGCGCAAAGCCGGTACCCAGCCTAAGGATGGCGACGAAACGGCCGGACAATTGTTCTTCAATACGATTCTCCGTCCGCTTCGTCTGCTCATTCGCTCTCCCATGCTCATTCTCGTAACGATTTACCTCAGTGTAGTGTACGGATTCACCTACCTGATTATGACTAACATTGCTCCTATCTTTCAAATCCTTTACCACTTTTCTGAGGGCGCCTCAGGTCTGTGCTTCCTCGGTCTGTGTCTTGGTCTCGTTCTAGGAGCGTTTCTATGCAGTTTCCTGCTAGACCATTATCTCCGTACGGTCCGGGCAAAGTCAACCATTTCGACTCCCGAACAACGTCTTCCTCCTGTCCTCATCGCATGTCTGATCATGTCCATTGGCTTTATTGTCTTCGGATGGACAGTCCACTTCCACGTACAATACGTCGTCCCGATCATCGGGACCGGGATCATTGGGTTTGGTCTCGTGGCTACTACCATCACGCTGCAGACGTACGTCGTTGACGCGTTTGGAGTCTACGCCGTTAGCGCTACCAGCGCGATGCTGGTTCCGAGGAACGCTTGTGCGGCGTTTTTGCCTCTTGCGGGAACACCGCTATTCAATGCTTTGGGGTATGGTTGGGGTGGGACACTGTTGGGATTGGTGGTTTTGGTGTTTTCGCCCATGCCGGTTGCGTTCATGTGGTTTGGGACGAGGTTGAAGGGGAGGGACTTGGGTGATGTTTAGGTGGTTGTTGTCAAGCCGAGTCAAGTCAAATCCAAGTCCAGTCAGAATCCATTGGCCTGATGAATCCCGCTAAGTGTGTTGCGAGCTATGTAGCCGCCACCCCTTTGATGCAAGAATGTGAAGTCAAACCGTCGTATCCCATGAATCCCACATCTCGCAGTATGAAACCACACAGAAGCCACGTGTATAGGAGGATAAAGCTAAACAGAACTCTAAATGATCTACAACTAATCAGCCATCCCCGTCGACCTATCCTCCTTATCCTCCTTCATCTCGGTAAAGAGATAGAGAAACAAGGTCGAAGTGTTCGGGGGAGATGGAAGACAAAAGCCTGGCGGACACAGAGAACAGTGTTCCTGTCAAGATCAGAGACTGAGTGTATGGACTGGAGGCCAAATATCGGCCACACATATAATTGAGTACATAGTTGTAGTTCAATCGATATATCAATAGGCAGCGGACAGTGAAGTGGTGCCATAGAGGGATGTATGAGGAAAGCAATATCCCAAGACCTATCAGTCAATCTAGGTCGAGCCAATATATATGAATCTGCATAGAGGCCATGAAGCGTGCTACCCACTGTCAATTGCCCTCGGATTCGTTGTTACCATCCCCAGTCTTCTTTTATAGCATGGCGCCTAATGTCGACTGCCAAACGCGAAGAATTCTTAACTCAGGCGATGGTGCTGGACTTGGGATTTACAGGTGGTCATCTTCATAGGATTCCCACCACAGAAAAATTAGCACCCGGTGTCACTATAAACGGATGACAGATTGAGATGTACTTACATACTCGAAGCTCGGGTTTCTTAATAGAGCAGAAACCGTGTAACTGTTTTCAATATAGCTGCACTTTGGCATTTGCAGTACAGACACGCCTATTGATCTCCACCAGCATACCGTACTATCGAAGAAACTGGCACAATTGGGGATAGACCTACTATTTTGACAGTCAGGTAAAGTGCCGTCTTAACTGATATATAATTAGCTTTGAAGTAAATCGGGGTGAGAGTAGATGGAGAGGCCAAGATCAAGAGATACAACTTGCCCCTTTTAATTAGGGAAACGCCAGCTCTGGACCAAGACCGTTGGGGTCGATACTGTAAGTATATAAAGCGTTTAAAGCTTTTACCCATGTCAAGTAGAGATTATGAAATGGTTAGGCTATTTCAAAAGCCAGGATAAGAATGGTGTTTGAGAGTTGAGAGTGTTGCGCTGGGAGGAGTCGAGAAATGACGGACATCCTTGGTGTGTTTCTAATTTTCAATTAGTGGAGGCTATTATAAAAAAAGAGTGTAAAAGTACTCCAGGACAGGCTACCCTTCCATACGAATTGCCCCGTCTTTCTGTATTGTCCAAATTTACTGTCTCATACTACCCTGCTAGGCACGTGTCCCGTAATTCTCATTTATATCTGTCGCTCCCCTTCTTCTCGTCTCTTCTCGTCTCTTCTCTTCTCTTCTCTTCTCTTCTCTTCTCTTTCTCTTCCTCTCCGCAAACACCTCACTTTATCTCCATCCTGCCTCCCCCCCACCATCCAACGTCTTTGCGTGTGAGTATTGTTAGATGTGTGTACGATATGTTGTGAGACTAAGTATATACTAGTCGTGTCTAAAACGTCTCCCTGTTCTTTTTCCGTGTTTTTTTTTTCTTCAAGAAAAAAAGCCGCTATGGTATGTGATCACTCCTGGTGCGGTGGGCATCAACGTGTCATAACGAGAGGGACAGCCTGGTGTCGTTTGTTATTACTGCTATGAGCAGGAACATATTGCCCGTAACTGTTGCAGAGCCGCCCTGATGGAGGGCCTGAGGGCGATGGTAAGTGTCCTATTGACCTAACATTGATCCTTAAGGCTGACTTTACAAGGGCCGAGCCCATTTCCGTGCCGCCGCCACGAAAGGACGAAGGGGGGCCAAGGCAAAGATGCGAAAGGACAAGAAGAAGGCCAATGAGGAGGCTAAGAAGGAAGAGGAGAAAAAGGAAGAGAAGCCCAAGGAGGTCAAGGAGGCCAAGCCCGAGGAGCAGGGTACTGCTTAAGATCTTAGTAGATAGCAGTGTACGAAAAGATGTCTGCTATAGTTTCTAAAAAGTAGCATCGAATGTAATTGCTATAAGCAATTTCCCTATCATTGAAAAGGATATGTGATATTCCACCGTGGACCGTTTGAATGAAGCTCTCATCCTAGCGTAGTACTTTAAATCAAACACTTCGCTCCATACAATGTGGTGAGAATATTGCTGGTCTGTCGATAGAACTATCTATGACTGGCTTTCCTCGACGGTCTAAGTGGTCTCTATCTCCTAAATGAGACTTATCTTGATCTCCTTGTCCCTGTCGTCGCACTTCTTCTTCTTCCCCTTCTGCTTCTCCCCCTTAGCAGAGGACGCGCGGTGGTAAGAAGAAAAGGTTACAGGGAACTAGGTGCGGCCTATCACTCTTTACTATCAAGAATTCCTTCACTATTTGTGTTATTTCAGACTATTCCTACAAAAACCCGTTTAGAGCAATAGTCTAGGCAGATTTTCAGCTGCTCCATGTCCGGCATGTCACAAAAAATACCTATTGGTGCTTTCTAGAGGGTGATTTTGTTGCCGTATCTACGGCCATCTCGCATAAACATCAGCCAATGCTGTGAAGGCATCTTCACATGGCTTTTTGTAAGAGCTGCATAGTTCTGTGTGCTGCGCCCCTGGACACCCTGAACACCTGAGGTGGTTACGGTGCCAACCCGGAACAATTGCTCCTCTCCTTCCGTTAGCGTATAGAGAGGCGCTGCGAGTGTGTGCGAGCATGGACAATGAAGGATCTTTGGGCGGCTTTCGTCTAGATAGTCAGTATACAGTATACGTTTCTTGACCGGTAGACTCTGAATGGGGATAGCTTCGCAATGCAGCCGAGTATACACGTAGTGTATGGAGTCATCCGGAAATGCAACACGGCCTTCCTACCGCCATACCAGTGCCTAAACCACCTAAGAGCGGTCGCTAGATAGGTGATACCCAGAAGAATAATTGATACTTCTGGCATAACTTCCAATTGCTAATTGATACGAGGCCAATGATAACGTGGAGAACGGTGAGAGCCTTCCAGTCTAGAAAGAGGCCAAGGATGGTGCGGTGCTCCTGTTCCACATCTCCTCCCTCATCTTGTCCGCTTTGTCCTGCCCCGCTTGATATTCATCCCAATGGTTTCTCTTTCCCTGTTATTTCCCGGACGGTGGTCATGGTCGGTGGTTCTGGACTAAAGGGTTCGGTTTCCTGACGGTTATCATAGCGTATAATGAGGAATGTGCGGCCTATAGAAGGATTCTAGTAACAGGTTAGCTTTGTCTAGTGAGGTGAGTGCCGCTTTTGAAGAACAAGGTAGTCTGTATTGGAGGGATATAGTTAAGATTGTGGGATATCAGGGGTAGAAGGGGGGAAGGAGATTGACACATTCCAACCATATACAGCGCAACGGAAGTTTTTCACCGATCTGAGAAAATCCATGACGAGAATCGTATCATGTGGAGATGTACTTGGGCGTAGTTTGTATTGTGATGCCCAACACATTCAAGATGCGGAGACCTTGCATGCCTTCGATTTCCTCTATACTCTTGGAAAGTTAGGCAATGACTCAATCCCGACTTTGGGGGTAAGTTGGAAGAGATTGGGCTGGAAAAAAAACAGAAAAGCCGAAGAGATAGGAGTACAAACTGACCTGTTCGCCGCAATACGATGCGTAGTCACGGATAAGGAGAAGAATCAGGTTGTGGTTTGCTCATAGAATATGAGAGTATAGCCACCGTGTCGCAGGGACACTGAGAGAAGAATACCTGGCTGAGGCGGGTTCCTGAATCAATTCTCTCCCCACTCCAGTTCTTGCAGTCAGGCGTGTATTTGTCGATTACTGTAAAAACAGCAGACTCTATATCATGCACATCGGGTGTCCTGTTGTATCATTCAAAGTTCATACCAGAAGCCAAAGACAAGCGTATAACCATCTGAACTCTCTCAAGGTGGAACTCCGCAGGACATCTTCTCCGTAGTCATCTATTCAGAAGGGCGGCTTGCTACTTTGTACTACATCCAGGAGAGTATTTATGATCTGGCAACAATCTTCATTGACTTGAATAAAACATCAAACAGAACAACTAGACAGGATTGGCCTCCTGTGGCCCCTTGGGGTCTTTCTTGTCTTCCTTCTTCTCTTCTTTCTTCTCCTTCTTCTCTTTCTCCTTCTCCTTCTCAGCCTTCTTCTTCTTCCTCTCGCCACCCGCCGTGGCGGGGGCCGGGGGCCTATGGGCGGCGGTGGCGGCTTCTCTCTCCCTGATAAATTGGAAGCCCTAGTAAATTAATGTCAGTATTTAGGGAAGGTATAGACGTTTTAAAGTACTTACAATTGCTCTGGTACCAGCCATCAGGGCACCAACCCGGCAATTCCTGGCCAGGTGGCCAGGTTGATTGCACGAGTAACATTTACGTGGCTTGTCTTCGTTTGGCACACTCCTCAAATTCTGATGTCTGGGTAGGGGACTCACCATATTGCGGAGGCGGGGAGGGAAGAAGTATCACGTATTACAGCAAACTGATAAACACTTAGTACTCACACAGTATCATACACGACACCTAACAATACTCACAAAAAGACTTCGTTTGGTGGGAGGGAGGGGGGGGGACGGCACGGAAGCGTTGCTGTTTGCGGAGAAGGGAAGAGAAGAGGAAGAAGGGGACGTGGGAAAGGGAGACATACAACGCGAGAGCCACGGGGTAAGTGAATGGGACACATGAGCGTAGCGAAATGCCAGATTGAGGGTTTACCATACGCTCGCTGGTTTGGTATGGCCTCCGCTCTACTACGGGCTTGCAAAGTACTGTACGGTATATTTGAGCGAGGTCCGGAGGGGATGATGGCCAGATCATATTCCTCAGGGCATGTAGTATGAGATAGGCCTACAAGCGGCCCGTTCCTTGTGAGTAGAGTAATAACTGGTCTGAGGTACGGCCAATTGACAGCTAGTCATATAGATTGTTTCCATGGTTCGTACTTCCTATATAAAGCTACGCATCTGGCATCATTCACGAACGTAAACTGATCACAGACCACTTGACCACAAGGAAATTTCCCCGAGCACAACATCCTAGATGTAGATGATCTGACATAAACCAAAAGCTCAGACCATTCTCATTTACTAGAAGGTGTAATTTTGGATTTGACTTACTCTAACATTCCTTCTAGATAATCGATGCTGATATACACTCGCAGTATGCCGTGCTACACTCTCACACCGATTCTTCAAGACCAAAGTCAAGTGTTCGTCGACAGTGAGGCTTAACAACGCTACGTGCTAGAAATGATGGTCGAGGTACGGAATCTTGATTCATCATATTATACAACGGGCTTTAATGGCCTAGGCGGTCTTGTCATCCTTGTCCTTCATCTATTCCTTCTTCCTCTTCTTCCTCTTCTTCTTCTTCCTTTTCTATTCGGCGGAGGAGGAACGGTGGGCGGCGGAGGTGACGAGGATTTGATCCTGGCACTTGAATTAGCTTTGTATACCACATCCAATCCAGTGAAATACTTACCCATGCAATGAGGGCCTTGGTTAGACTGATGTCGTCACAGTCGCGGGCCAAGTGCCCGGTCTGATGACAACAACTCTTCTGTGATTATACCCATTGTTATGTCACGTCCCAGTCCAGCACAACCGGGGGAGACTCATACCATGGTGACAAGGAGGCCTTTTTGACGCAGCAAGACAAGAGAATAGGGATCTTGGTGACGCAGACCGACATATACTTAGTTTTGTACAGGACGTCTGACACATGAAACCAGACAAAACTCACACAACACGGAACAGGTGAGGGGGGCGATGAGAGAGGAAAATGAGTGTGTGCGGAGAAGAGAAAACGAGAGAAGAAGAAAGAGAAAGAAGCAGAGGTGCGCGATGACATGAAATTCAAGGGACGGGCAGTAACATGTGCCTGAAAACGCTCAGAATACCAAGGCAGCGTGCCCAATTCCAGGGCAAACTTACTAAATACCTGACTAACTTACTCATTACCTTACTACACTTGTCTTTGAACGTAGTACTCGGTGCACCAGGCAGCAGGAAACCCGACAGCATCTACTAAATGCGTAGTAGACTGTCTGATCTGATTGACACTAACCTTCCTGCAGAACATCAGTGAGTTGCCACTTCTGAGCGGTATGATCCCATAATCTCTTGATTAAACTGTACTGACTGGTATCTCCACCCCGGTCAATAGTGAGTGCCTGTCAAATTTATCATGCTGATCGCGTTGCTGGCCGCTGACCCAATCCACTCCAAGGATCTCTAGAGACAGACTACTATCGTACCTCTTGACCCACGAGTGCACGCTACCGCAGTAATGCTTCAGACGAAGCCCAATGCAGCACATAATGTGACATAGCTGACATAGCCTCGGAGGTGGCAAGGTACTCTTCCAGTGTGTCGAAGGACAAATACACTGATCAATCGCTACTGTGGAGTCTACTTAGATCAGGAATTTCTAGCTCCGAGTAATCCTGTCAGAAGTCCTACATGTGCATCAAAGTACGTAGCAATAAAATAAATAATCCACGAATGATGATCTAGCTAGTAGCAACTTAGGCCAGATAATATTGAACCACGGCGTATCTAGAGCTGGAATATGGCTGCAGGGATGGCCGCCGACGGCTAGGGATATGAACTGCGGAGTGAAAATAGGGAATCCCAACGGAAAATATCAGACATGAGCTGACTGGCTGCCGCCCGTTACAAAAGGGCCTACATGGCTTCTTCCAGACCCCTTTGGCTAGTTTCGTGACAACGGAGACACATGAATCTTGTATAATAATATCACTCTAGTCTCTCATATGTAGTCACCCAGTCTGACCAGCAACAAGCAATGAATAGATCCAACTGCTAGCCATCAGGACTGTTGCTGCTCGTGGTTACTTCCATACCTTTCTCTGCCCCAGCGATTTGAACTGGTTGCCTGACGTGTGTCCCTCGCGCGTATCACATAGGCCAGGATCCTGGTTCTTGCTCTTCTCTTCGAATATTCGGTATCACTGCCCCCATTATACTGCATCGTCCCAAGACCATTGCTGCAAATCAGCGTGCTCTACCGGTGGAGATCGTGCGTGCGCGAGTATTGGAAACGCCTTGGATTTCTGTGATAGGTGTTTGAAAATAGTGAGTCGCTCCCACACCTCAATGCTCCGGTTTCCTATCCTCTAGCACTCTAACAGTGAATGTCACGTTCATACAAGTAGACCAAAACGATATACCGCTGACCATCTGGAGAACAGACGGAACGAAGACTGTATCCCAACAATTGTGTGGGAATGTGAGGTTGTTCGTCCACACTTGTGACTTGTTAAAATACATTAGCCTTCCTTAAGTACATTTCCCTTTAGAATCACCATTGAGTAATTCTTAAACCAGCTAAAAAACCATGTGTTCTGGGTCAATAGTAGGCTCGCCAGCAGGACCGATAGTTGGAACAATAGGCTCATTTGCAGCAACAGCAGCACACTTGGGGGCAGGCTTGTTGGCAGCTGCAGACGGCCAGCGCGGCATTCCGGATCACATCCCATCCCTAAAGAAAGCCAAAGTTAGCATCAAGTAACAAGAAACCACTCAGGAAGAAGGGCGTCTCTCCAGTCAGATCAGGTCAAAGCAGGTAAAGTAACATCAAGATCTCATATCAAAATCATAATAGAATTGTACTTACGGCCAGGCGAAGACCCTCCCAGGAAGCCTGGGTGGCGCAGTCGCGGGCCAGATGGCCATATTGGCGACAGAAATAACAGCGACGGCTGTTAGCTTGACGGGCCTAATCTTGTCAGTATAGATTCATCTTGAGCCGGTATCCCTTTATAGGGACCGGCACCTTCAGAAGTGGACTTACCATGGTGAAAATCAGGGAAAGAGGCAGGGGGGGGGAGACGTTAACAGCAAGCAAGACAACTGATATACACTTAGTCAACACAAGACATCGTACACACTTCATCAAACAATACTCACACAAAGTTGCGGCGTGCGGTGGTAGCGGAGGGGGGACGAGCGAAAGAAGCGAAGTAGCTGATATACACTTAGCAAATATTTGGCATGAAGTCTGCGTGAGAAGAGGATGAGATATCCGGGAAGATGGAGGAGAAGAGGAGGAGGGGGAAAGGAGGCGAAGAGGAAGTTGGGAAGGAGCCAATGTTGAGGTGGGGGGAACTACGAGGGAGATTCACTGAGTCGGTGAGCCGGCAACTTCCCTCAAGATCCTTCACGTCTGCCTCCGTTTCCAACCATTCATCGGACTATGATAACACTGGAATAGATTCACTGAATACGCTGGCTGTCAGTTAATCTGAGCTCAGGACTAAGGTAAGTATGTCGCATGTCTACTCACTCTTCTCCTTTCTTGTCGTACTTGGTATACCCCAGGATGGTCAGAGACCATGTCTTTCATTATGCATGGCTGCTTTCTACACTCGCCACTGGTTTTAGTGGCCACACTTACTGGTCAGTGAAGATAGCGATAGTATATTCGAAGTCTCACTTCTAAGGTGTGTTTCAAGCTCGTGAGATATTTGAGCTCAAGCTGACTAAAGCAGGGCTAGCTATGGCTTCGGAAGATGAGACGGGGAAATCAGAAGGCACCTAAAGCAAAAATCTGATATTGGCCTTTCATTGGCGATCCGGTGTCCTCTTCCTCCCAATCAACTAACCCTCCGGATGGGAATACCTGCCGTTATTTAGGCTCTCTCGTTCACAGACACAGCCGAAGTGACGAGGCCGACAGACGTTTAGGGAGCAAGCGCGCCAAGCAAGAGGGCGTCCGGATGCAGGTCTTGTCCGCGCCGCACCGAATAGCAGCAATACCGCTTCGAATTGGCCTATAGCGCGTCCATTATACAATGATTGACACTCGAAGCAAAGCGATGAAATGGGATCTATCCTCACATTCCAGCGGGTCATCTTCGGTAAGGATCCAGTACGTAATGATAGTGTGTATTGAATTCTAATTTTCTACAGGGCGAGAAGGCTCTGTCAAATGAATTGAGTCCAGGGCAAGCGGACAATACCTGGGACTGCCTAGGGCTGCAGATATCATAGAATAAAAGATACTGTTTGAAGTTAATATCTAATCTTGTGTACAAAAGCTAAGACAAGGCCTATACACATAGACATTCCTAGAATGTACCGACATCAAACTCCCCCACTATATCAGGGCGCCTAGCTAGACATCCCTGTCCCTTCCCCCTCAGCCACCCTCCCTCAGCCTATCCATCTATTTCCATCTACCATTTAAGCGCTGGATATACCCTCCAACATCCTCTCCCCTCCTTTTCATTCCTTCTCTTTCTCTTATCGCATTCCTCCACAAATCTCCCCTCTAACCCCCCCCCCCCCCAAAGAAAAAGCCAATGGACCTCGACCCCCTCTTCAACCGTCCTCCCACCCCACCACCCCCCCTCTCCCCCTCCCCGATGCGCATCCTCGTACAAACCCTCACCCACCTCGTCCCCAGCAATACCAGTCCAGACATCACCAAAAAAACAGAACCCTACACCGCCAAACTCCTCTCCATGCTGAATCTCATCTGCAAATTCATCTGGAATAGTGGCTTCCAACCAGGCGTCCAACGATGGTACACGTATGGCGATGAGTTCGGGTATAATAACCGGATGTGTTTCTTTTTGCTTGATGTTGGGGATGAGGATGAGGAGAAAGTCCCGATTCAATGCTATGAATGGGATGGGGAGGTTTTGTATATTCCTTTCCCCGTTCCCGTTTACTGGTGATATCAAGCTAACAGATGATAATATGATGGACAGTACATCTAACCCCACTCTCCTCGAATCGCATGAAATCCAATCCGAGTTAAACGAAATCCCATTTACACCGCGGCCTTTCACGCAAGAGGAAAGAGAGGCAAGAGAAAAGACGCCTGTTCAGAGGATCGTGAGACGGAGGTTACGCAAAGCGCAGTTCATCCCGCTTGAGGAATTGGAGTATATGAGGGATCATCCCGAGGAGATGGAGTGGTTGGAACGGAAGGTGAAGCCGAGGTTTTGGGGGAAGTTTTTGGAACAGTTGGAAGGCATTGAGAGGTTGAGGGCGGAGGAGGATGAACAGAGGAGGTTGAGGAGGGAGTGGGAGGAGGCGGTGGAGAGGGAGGAGAGGGTGAAGAGGAATTTGGAGGGGTGATTTTATTTTTTGGGTTGGTTGGGATATGTATGGGTATTTGTGTTTTGGGAGGGTTGGTGGTGGGTTATTTTTGATGGGTGTAGATGGGTTGGGTGATGGTTTTGATAGTATTAGATAGGGGGTTGGATTTTTGATTGTGTATGGGTTGGGTGGTATTGAACTTGTGTCTTGGTGATTTGTATGGTTCGTTAGTTGTACTTTTGATCAGGAAAAGAAGTGATGATGCTTGTCTCTGGGGAAGAGATATGGCGACATGTAGTATGGATGAAAATCTTGTGAATATATAAGGACTGACTAGCACCTAGTTATGGGTTTTGACACGGTAGGTCGTGAGATGCCTAAAAAGATGGTGGCTAGGTACACAGTAGCACAACATTACTACACAACATTACTACACAACATAACGCGGCATCCAATAGGCATAGATTCAATTGGTTTGATGTCCATTTATCCGTTATTACCCGCTCGCGGCTATAGAGGGAGGGGTTCAACCGTGGAAGTGCTCCGGACGGTTCTCAGTACATACACCGGATGAACTGGCGTCTATTAATCGATAATTATCTAACTGTCAGACGGGATATCTCTACCCGAACTCCATAGACATAAACCCACCTAATGCTGTCATATATCCAAATCATACGAATCATACAAATCATAACATGACCAACGAAAAGGTCTACGCCATCACTGGCCTCGCGGGCATCGGCCTCGCCGTGGCCCGCCAACTCCACGAGCAAGGCGCCCGCCTTTCGCTAGCGGATATCTCCGACGCAACTCTCCAAACCGCACTCGCCCAGCTCCCCAACGCCAACACAGACAACACCCTCACCACAGTGGTAGATGTGGGCTCTGCTGCCTCCGTCAACGAGTGGATCGATGCCACGGTTCGCCATTTCGGTCGTCTCGATGGCGCCGCCAACATGGCAGGCATTATCGGCAGCAAACACGGCACCGGAGCGTTGACGGAGCAGGATGATGCAGAGTGGGATATGCTGTTGAGAGTCAATCTGACTGGAACGATGTATTGTCTGCGGGCACAGATAAAAGCTATTCAGAGCACGAGTGGGACGGGGAGCATTGTCAATGCGACGAGTATTCAAGGGGTCAGGGGGTTTGCCTTGCACGCCGGTTATTCAGCATCAAAGCATGGGGTTGTTGGGTTGACGAGGAGTGTGGCCAAGGAGGTGGGACCAGACATTAGGGTCAATGCAGTGGCGCCGTGAGTTATCCTTAATCAGACTGGGGCTGTTGGGGCCGTGGTATAGTGCTGACGGTTTAGTGGGTCGATCCAAACGCCACTGTTGGACAAGGCGGTTGCTATCCAGGGTAAACTGGGGAGTATGCCAACGGTGTTTCCGAGAGTGGGCACGGCGGATGAGGTTGCCCAGTCGGTGCTGTTCTTGCTCAGTGATGCCTCCTCGTATACCACCGGCATGGTGTTGAATGTGGATGGCGGATGGGACCCGTAGGGCCTGCTCCATAGATGAGCAACACGTTTCATACCGTGAAGGATTGGCCCCATGTTGGATCCCGCAGGATCGATCCGCAAATGGCCCCATTTTTGGAACTGCAGCGAGATGGTCGACGCTGGATCACCTGCACAGCCAGAGGAATGTACCAATGACTTCAAATATGAGTTTCTGCAGGAGAGAAGGATCGAATTGCACATACACAACATGGCTAGTAAATTTAGCGTAGGATTCGGTCGAAGGATTCGGCCACTGCTTTCGCTCGAGGTACCGTTTATGCTAGATTTACTGGTCCACCTTAGTTCCTGAAGTTCTGCGCGTCACTGCCGTTGGCCTGAACATACCCCTCGATAGCCACTGGCCATCCATCTACATAGTGCAGATAGTTCCATCCCAGACGAGCATCCTGAACGCGTTAGTAAGGTAGTGCTGAGATGGGACAGTACTTACTCCTTGCGCGAAGCCGATTGAAGTGTTGACTGCAGCATGTTAGCATTTGTCAAGGAGGTGGATCCAACACATACGGTAATGAAAGTATAGTACATCTGCCTGGCTGCCACTGCCAGACAACACACCAACACCACCTGGGGCGTAGACAACCCCGTGGTTCGATCCGTAGACGATGGTGCCGCCTCCTTGCAGGGTTTCGTGTCCATCCTTGTCCACAAAAGGGCCTGTCACATTGGTAGATCGGCCGACCCGGATGCTGTATCTATACAATAGTCAGATCAAGGTCATCACAAATCTCGCTGTACATACTCGTCTCCCATGGGTGGAAAGGCGTGGACATTGAACTGGCAGCATTTGCCATGACTGAACCAAAGATAGTAATACGGCTCCTTGTAGGTCATAAAGGAACCCTCGATTGGCTTGGTTTTGGCGGTTGGGATGTATGCCAGGTTGGTGGCCTCCGGCTTCTTCGGAGTTTTGATCGAAAGGAGGCCATCGCCCAGCGGCACCGAGAAGATGCCATGCCAGTAACTGCCGTAGAGCAGACGGGGCTCTCCAGTCTTCTGATCCTTGATGAAGGCGCCATCAATCGCGTTGGAAACCGTGTAGGGATAAATGTCAGACAAGTCACCCTGTCCGGTGTTGACCACCGCGCCATGGTCCGTCCAATTCCCGCCTACGGGAGTGTCAGAGGAGGCAACTCCAATAGCGCTGTCGCGACTGCCGGACTGGCTGATCGCATAGAAGCAGTAGAAACGGTTTTGCCATTCGACCGTCGTCGGGGCCCAAGGGCGAGTGCGGTTCTGTTTCTCGATCACACTGGACTCGTTGAGGACGGTTCCGACTTGTTCCCATGGGCCATCGAGGGTGCGGGATTTGTGAATCGGGATATGCACGCCGCCTTTGAACAGATAGAAATAGCCGTCGTATTGAACAATATTAGGGTCATGGGCGGCAATATTGCCCAGGTTGGGAAGAGGATATTCGGTGGTATTGGAAAAAGAACGGGTGTCAATCCCCTCGGATGTGCTCGACTGCGGAGCCGTCGGAATGGCGTTCACTGCATATAGCAGGAAGCATAGAATGGAAATAACGGTTTGCAACATTGGTACAATATGATCGGATGCTTGCAAGGAGTGACACAAGGGTAGCCCTTGGAAGTTCCGAAAGTAGCAGAATTAGTATGAATGACGCGAAGGGGGCGTCCGAGGGAACCTCATGGGATATATCAATGGCAATGATTCAGGGGTATGGGGCCGGATTGAATCCCGCCCCATGGAGGATCAGCCTGTCAATTTAAACCACAAGGCAGATACCAATCCGAAGAGCCTCGTTCAAGAGGCCATGCAGGGCACCGTGCACATGATGATTGGTGTATGGATCAGAGGGAAACGAGCTAATAACGGGCTAACGGAGCCAGCAAGGCTTAGCTATCGGACAACGCAGAAGTGAGATTCGGCCCACGAGGCTGTGATAGATACAGAAGCGAGCGAGTGAGCATGATGGCGCCCTTTAAAGACTAGAAGAGGGAATGCACGTCACAGTGGGTTAGATCAGACTGGTGATGTATCTGTCCGAACATGATAAGCCTGGAAGAAGTTAGAAGGGCATCATAATCTATGACGGAGGGTTTCCCAGAATCGCCCGTCAAGCTTTCGAATTGGCTTTGCGTGTTTCGCTGGAACCCGGCTGTATTCTCCGTACCGACCGGGCCCGGCATGCCCGCTGTCAGCCAACCAGAAGTCCGGCTGCAAGCGAACCCTGAAGATCCGGATCGCAAAGGCTTGTCATGCCGCCATCGGTACGGTTTTACCATACTGGATACCAGGATGTACATATCCGCTAAGGTAATGTGCCTGCCTAGGAAATGTCCCTATCTCAGCACGCTAAAAAATTCTGTCGCATTAGCTCTTAGCTCTTTATGAGTTCTTGTTGGCCAAAGATATCAATCTTGGGCTTATCTTGCTTGATACCGCACGCTGGACAAGAACTGTCGATGAGGGAGCAAGTGACCGGGAAAGGATTGTTCCGCTGACTCATTCTCATTTCTCCGCATAAAGAGCGGCATAAGAAGCATCAGTATCAGCAGACAAAGAACATGTTCTACAGAGGCGCAAAACAGGTCCACTTCACTGCCATATTACTAGAGGTGACTTAATTTGTTGATGTTTTGCCCTGACCTCTGCACAAAACAGCCGAGAAGGTCCAATCAGCAGGTGGTCCTATTGTGATCAGCTCAGGAACCTTCACAGGGCTAGCTCTGTTTCAATTGATCTTGGTGAGACTATGTTCCTCATGGTTAACACCCCAGATTTCAATGGCAACCCCTTCACAACTTGAGCCATCTACTGGCCATCAGGTAGATTCCCCAGGAATCAACAAGGCAACTGTTCTGATATCATCGATGATCTGCGGTCCACTTTCCGCCCATGTCCCGCGATCGCGATGTCTAGATGACTTACTATTGACATCGATACGTGATCGTCCTTGTTCTGGATCGTTATGTCGTCACTGCACCTCAATGATCGTCTTCCTATACGGGTTCGGTTATCATACAGAGGATACGAGCGATTCAGCCCAGATCAAGTACAGTACAGGAATATTTTTGTACAGTACGTAAGTCATCACGATTAGGAAAGGCTACGGCGCATGAGATATTTTTACATCATTACTGAAAGGTGATCCCTGTGAGGTCACCCCAGTCGAACGCATCGAGGAAGGGGTCTAGGTCGCCCGGGGGCTGTGGTCTTGTTAGTTCAATGCCAGCAGCAAAGGGAAACGAGCTTACCATCATGCCATAATTCGGGGTTGGCGCCATGTTGACGTCGGGGACGAACGGCGGGGGCATCCCAGGACCCGCATTCAAGCTGGGGACCTATCGCAGCAGGTCAGTAAAGAGTTTCCATATTCCTGAGATTCACTCACCTGATTGGTTTTGAAGTTGCCCATCCCCCAGTCGCCTAGATGGGTGCAATTGGCGTGTCGTGTGAATAGGGTCTGGGAGAAGAGAATCACTCGCTCAACTACCTCCTGCTTGTAGAGCTGCGCTTGGCTTGGCCAGAGGCCCACCTTGACCAGAGCTACAATGGTCGACATGAAGAAATATTCCTTGGCTCCCTTGACCACCACGAGGAGGCGGGATTCGAGGCATGACAAGGCCACCTCAACCAAAGAGATCAGGGACTCGGGGAGCCCCGGGAGGGTTCGGGTCAGAGAAGTGGAAGAGCCTATTGCAAATTAGCACTCGATGTGACGCCACAAAGAAGTCAATTACCGTTGTCACTCTGTCCTTGGTGTAGGAGTTGGCAGATCGTGCAGTAAGCCTGCATGGTCCAGTCGCCTATGTTACAGAGAGACAGCTGCGGCGACATTTCGCGTAAGCGTCTCTGCGTCGATAAAATCATCGACGCCACTTCTAGGCGAGCCCGAGCGGACGGTGCAAAGAGGGAATCCTTCGGGGATTCGATGGCGAACGGAGTGTGGATAGATAAGAGAGTATGTCCGACTTTGTTCTCCAAAAGAGCTCGGATGAGAATCACGCGGTGTGCGGTTTGAAAGTCGTCCATGCCTGGAGTCGGCCACACGGGAATTTTCGAGAGATGTCGGTTGAGCTCAAAGTCTAGATGTAAGATGTCGTCATACCGGCAGCTGATCCGTGGGGAGTGCATCAATGCGCAGGCTTTCAGTCGCAGAGGAAGGGACTGTACGAGAACCGCTTGGAAGGAACAATCAGTCACGACATCCAATGGCTGGGCCGTGGGAAGCTCGGTGCTGTCCTCTTGGATCTCGCTGTCATTGATGTTTAGCGCCGGGGCCGTATCATAATCAGCCTCCTGGATCGAGGGCGGCATGCCTCTTTCGAGAGAAACCTGCAGATCGAGCTCAACGATCGTGGTCCATATGCGCCTGCGCATCTCCATGTTGAAGACGGAGATCCGGGCATATCGGGTGGGATCCCGATGGTAGCCGGCCATCATGGCTTGCTTGACTAGCGTACCCGTAGCGAGCCAAGCCTGGCTACGTTTCATGCCATGGATGTTGAGGGCGATGATCAGAAGGGTGTTGAGGCGGAGACTGGTCAGCTCCGGTCGCTTGATGTGTGCATTTTCCATCCACTTCTCTGCATGCAGGACCCACTCCACGGCCGTATAACATTGCAGATTCCCCTCATTCTTTACCTGCAGGGTATTGAAATCGGCAAAGTTCCATGCACATGCCAAAACTAATAGGAGCTGCACGACAAAGATCGGCGAGACCATATCCGGGGAGTCTCTCTGGGCCCAGAATTGCTCCAGTTCTCTGAGGAACGACGGGACATGAAGGATCCGATGGGCTGATTCGATGTATGTGCAATAAAGAAGGACGAGCTCATCCACCACTGCACGTGTCGGTAGCATTGGAATCATCGTACTTGTGGTGGGTGTGGGGAACGGTGTATTCAAAGGTTTCTTCTTCCAGATCCCCTTCCTCACTCTCATTAGATCGGGTCGTAATGCAGAAAGATGTGGGCTGGCCTGGCGGATCTCCTCCGCAAAAGCCCTGAGGTCCGGAAACTACAACAAGGTAAACATTTTGCCAATAAATGGTCTCGGCAAGCACCCGAGAAGACAAAGAGGTTGTGAAGCAAGGGGGTTCACCTGTGCAATAAGGTTGGCAAAAATGCCCGAGCCATTGAAGCGGGTCTTTGTTTCTTTCCCACGCATCATGATTCGAGGGGAGACGTCCAATTGTTGTGAAGGCGAAGGGGGACTATCATCGTCTTCGTCCGGGTAAGGGTGTGTCTCCGGATGGGTGTCCGGGGGATGATGACGCTGCAACAACTCTGTGGTGACATAAGGCTCTTGGTTAACGGCAGCCTTGGGAGCTCCCAGGACGGTTTCCAGAAATTTATCCCGTTTTTCCTCGACGGGGAGCGAGGGATGATACCGAGACGGTAAACTGCTTATCCCCGAGTCCGGGGTAGGGTGGGCAGTCGCCCGATCAGCCTGGGGCATTTGCACCGTGGTTGTGGGACCTCGGTCGGAGAAAACGGGCGAGGCAACTGTATTAGGCTGTTGCCAGAGAAAGCCGTCCTCATAAGTACATTTGGATGGTGTCTTGCTCTTCTGGCAGCGACCGCATACAGGATATTCGCGGTCGCAGCGGAGCTTTCTGCTGCGACACTGCATACACGCCATGGTCCGTCTGCGACGCTTCCTCACCCGGTGCTGTTCCGGCGGGGGCTCCATGTCAGGAGGAGCCCCCAAAGGTTGGTGAAAATCGGCCATCCTGGAAAGGGGCCCTTTCATCGGAGGCAACTGATGGGGAAGGGAAGAACTTGCGAAGAATTGCTAGGCGCCCCTCTTGGTGTGGTCTCTCGCTCTCCGAGAGACATCCGTCGGTCGGTCGGCGTTCAGATAAGGAACTGGGCGAGGGCCTTCCGGGCGGTGGCTTACGTGTGTGGCCCACCGGCCCTCTTCTCCCAATCCGGTATCCTGTCCCGGCTGAGTTTCACCCCATCCCCAGAACGACAACGATCTCCGACTAACCCAGTCGTTTTTCGCTGGCACTTTTAGGCAGAGATCAATCCGACTTGACCAGCCAACCTTATCTTGGGCCAGTTTGGCCAGTTTGGCTCTGGTCAGGTTTTGTACGGAGATTCCAGCTGCAAACCAGCCGTGCGGGGGGTTCGTTGGGCGGGAAGAAAAGCCCCCTGACCGAGGTAAGACAAATCTCTGCAGTTTTTCCCCTCCAATCGCCCATCCAGTCCAAACGGTTCACTGCGCCTCAATCCTTTTAGTCATCTGAGTCGCGGCCGCTGAGACGGGCAGTGGTCTTGCCTTTCTCGGCCTAGTGTAAGGGACTCCAGGGGTCCAGCAACTTTCTATAAGCTTAACGAGGGAAATGAGCAACGGATTTTATCTCCACGAGTCCACAGTTTCCCACCATAAGTTAGGTACTCCGTACAGTAAACTCAGAAGCTACCTAGGTACGGATAAGTTCCTGAGAAATTCTAAATCACATTCCATTCGAAGAAATCTGAAAATAAACTACCATGCATAATGCAGCGGTGCCGTATATGTAAGACCAATCTGGTGAAACGGTGAAGGGTCTGGAAACGTGGAAGTGGGCTAAAGGTTTCCACCTAAACATTCCCCTGATTGGAGAGGATTCCCTACTAATGTACCATCCAACAGTCGAAATGGTCTTAACATTCAAGATAACAAATATAGGAAATGGTTTGCCTAGCAGGCAGTCAGATTTCCACGGCCTTGGTCGGGGATAGGGGATAGGCCTCGGGGAATTCAAAGGCATCTCCGAGACACGGCCATATAAGATAAAGGATGAAGTGCGACGGTCAGGCACGGTCGCATTTCCTGGTTCAGCTGCGTTCTAGACAGAATCGATTATCGAGCATACATAGCTGCATACACAATCGTCGATATTCTACGTTCGCAACCGTAGAGCTTCTGCAATGTTCCGCTCACTACTCTCGCGTGGCGGCCTCATCCGCAACGACAGCTACATTTTCCCCACCGTCGACCCAAACGAAGATGGTCCAGACTGCAAAATGGACTGCGCAGACTGTACGGTGCAATTTCCGTCCAAAGTGAAGGTTGAAACCTCGAGACCGCTGTACGGCCACATCAAAGAATTCCATACCCATGTCCTGGTCGCGACAGGCAAGTCGGATTGGACCGAGAGAGTCGAGAATGAGAAAGGGTCTCTGATGGAAGCATTTGATGAGTCCAACAAGTCAAAGCATGGTGTACGTTTTTATAGCCATTATGATATGCACAGATTTTGTCTAACAAAAATAGCGCATCATGGTCTCCGCTTCAAATCTCGAATCCCCAGAGACCGATGAGAAAACCGACGGAACCACAATCCTGCTACTACCATCATTCACCTTCATCGACTCCGTTCAACGAAGCGACGCCAATGAAGTCATTACTCGCTTCATCGACGCTCCATTATCCCAGAACGGCATCCCCCCCAACCCCGAGTCGAAACTCTTCCCCCGACCATGTCAGTACGATTACGTGGTGCTACTGTGCTCTCATCGGCGACGCGACGCCCGCTGCGGAATCACGGCTCCCTTGATCAAGAAAGAGCTGGAGCGACACCTGCGCCCTCTGGGGCTGTACCGCGATGCGAACGACGAGCGCCCCGGTGGCGTGGGAATCTTCTTCGTATCACACGTGGGCGGACACAAGTTCTCCGCGAATGTTCTGATCTACCGCAAGGAGCAGGAGCAGATGATCTGGCTGGCTAGAATCAAGCCGGAGCATTGCGAGGGAGTCGTCAAATACACCCTCTTGCAGGGCAAAGTGGTTCACCCCGAGTCGCAGTTGCGAGGAGGGTTTGATAGAAGTCGTGGTGTGACAAGTTGGTAATAGTGCTGTGGGGATATTTTATAGATACATCAAAATTAGAACTAATACACCAAGTAATGAGACCAATGATACTGCAATGGCTGAGCAATGGCTTTACAATCCATGGTTATGGTTGTTACACACGCTACGTCACCCGCGCTGGAACCGCGTTAATTGATTTCGCGCACGCGACGGACCAACCGCCGGGGCTCCATTACTACCACGGCACTCCCTTAACGCACGGCTTACCCCTTCGACACGATACCATACTACTTACCCCTATATTCTTACCTACTATCTTAATAAAGCCAAACCAGCCTCAATATGCAATAATGGCGACCGTCATCGTTCCGGAGGTCGAATCCCAGTCCGCTAATTTACGCGCCGAGCTGAAAGAATGGGAGAGAGCGTTTGCGGACGCAAACGGGGGGAAGAAAGCAGAACGGAATGATATCAAGAAGGTTCCTGAGATTGGTATGATAATTATATTCACTTGCTAGTTTGGAATAAACGTATGCTCTTGGAAAATCGGACTAATCTTCGCTGTGCCTCTAGCTGCAAAATACAAAGAATACTCCCGATTAAAGGCCCTCGAGTCCAAGAACGAGAAGAAAGCTATCCGATTAGAAGAACGTCTGAAGAAGCGGAAGCACTCATCGCCGACCGGACCTGAAAATGTGGACACCACATCGACACCACGCAAAGCCGCCAAAGGGATATTCGAAACGCCTTCCAAATCCCGTGTCGCAACATCACACCCGTCAGAAGTCGATCCCTATGATTCTCCCTCCGTTTTACGAAGACTCTTCAGCCCCAGCACGCACCAGTCACCCTTGAAAGCAGCCATCGGTCCCACCCCACAACGAGATGGAAAGGCATTAGGTCTGTTTGATCTGCTCTCCGAGTCTGGCGGCAGCACCGCCACCCCTTCAGCGACTAGGATGGCAAGTGTACGGGATACGGCTGCGCAAACTCCCTCAAGGCGGAACCAATTAGACACCATCGCAGAGGAAGAGGAAGAAAATCCTCGACCAGAACGTACGCCCGCATCATCTGGGAAAAAATGGATGCTTTCGACTCTATTCGCAACCCCGACTACATGGCGCTACGCGATGATGGAAAATAAGGGGCACAGGTACCCTGCGTACTTTAAGAATGAGCCTGAACCTGAGACGGCCAATGAAGGCCCGAATGAATCAGAGACCCCGTCTTTCCTTCGACGATCCACGTCGGGACGGTATGACGCCACCAACGCGGGCGGACTGAGCCCCATTGCTGTTCGGAAGAGGCCCCAGTTTGTGGGAAAAGGTCTTTCAGTTTTGGTGCAAGGGTTACGCGACATGGAGGAAGAGCAAATGCAGGATGATATGGATGTGCTTAATGAGATCGAAGCAGAACAAGCGGCACTGAACGACGTGGGCGACAGTCAGGCACCCGACGAGCCGGGCCGGACGTTCAAGAAGAAGGGCCAGAAGCGGACGACGCGCAAGGTGCGCATGAAGCCAGTGGTTTCGAAACCGAGACCAGAACCTCAATTACCTGGATCGGATGACGAGGGTGAACATCTGGAGGAACAGGATGTGGTTCCTGAAACCCAACATCTTAACGCCCCTGAGGCCGAGGCGGACGAAGTCGAGTCGCTTCATTCCATATCTGAACCGGACTTTGACTCCGACCCCGACTATGACGAGTCGAAACCTACGAGAAGCAAGAGCTTCTCTGAGAGAATGAAAGAAGCCATAGCGGCTGACAAGCCTCAGGAGGAACCTCAGAAGGCGCCGCAACCAAAAGCAAAGGAGCAGGAAAAGAAGCCTCCTGCCCGGAAAGTGAATCCTGCGGCGCACGCCAATTACCGTTCGTTGAAATTGCGGAATAAAAACACCAAAGGGCGAGGCGGCAGGCGTTTTGGCAGGAGATAGCGTTGGCCACATTACGAGCAACGACACAGCATATAATCACCGAGATACCAGTTTAAAGGCAAACCCGTCGTCTATCTCTTATATACATGCACCATCATGGCAGCCACCACCAAGTAGCTTATTCAATCGGGAATATACCGGTCCCGTGCATATTGCACCCGTCTAGCCTGGGCCAATGCATCACGAGACGATCTCTGATGCTGCCCCCGCCGGGTATAAGGCTTGGACACTCTGCCACGTCCCCGATACACCGGCGTAGACGTCCGATCGGGCTCCCCAGTCGCCCCAACATCCTCATATTGGACATTACGATCCCAATCCTCCAGCGACGAATACGGACTTCTCAACCACGCCTGCAACTCGTGCAGAAATAAGCGCGCATTTCCCCTCCCGATGAAGTCGCGCAAGAGTTCCTCCGCCTGTCCTGCGCTGCCTTTGATATCCACGGTGCGCAGAATCGCAATGATATACTCGAGGAGAAATTCCGCATTATTCCCCCGGCGGTTCTCGAGTCTTTGCGGGCCGGCACGCGCCACCCGACCAGAGGCGGGCTCCTCAGTTTCGGGGTTGAGGAACTCAAAGACTTTCAGTTCCCGTCGGATCCATTTTCGGGCCCGGGAGACGAGCTCTTCCTCGCGGTTGAACCGTTCGGGTGTTAGCTCGCGATACTGCGAGAGGCGATTGGATCCCACTCGCAGGGAGTATAGTTGGTGTCGGTAGATGTGCTGGCGGCGACGAAGGGGGTCGTCGGAAGTTTGCGCTGGGTGCGGCGGTTGTTGTGGGCGGGGACGCCGCGGCCGACGAGGGGCACGGTGGAACGAGGCCTCTGGTGGATGAGAGGACGAGGATGCTGTTGCACTCGCTACTGGGAGTTGGTATACTTTATGCCCATTGGGGTTTTCGAGATCATATCTCACGGAGGTGACTTCACTCTTGCCTTGTGCCGCCACCACATTAGCAGGGATCAATCAATACCAATAGACTAAATGAATACATACAAAGCGGACAATTCCTCCTCAGTTCCAACCAGCTCACCAAACACAAGAAATCGAAATTTGCATGTCGACACGGCACCGCGACGGCGGCTTCGGAGACCGGTTCGAGACAGATCACGCACGGATTGGCTTCATTGTCGCCTTCCTCGTGCGCTACCTCTTGCAACGTTCTTTGCAAAATTTCCTGTTGCAGGTCGACATCATGGGACATGAGATTGATACCCGTCTGCGAGAAATAGGCGTTGGGACGGGACGATGGATGTCATGGAGTGGTGGAGTTGATGCTATCGCGGCGGATGACTGATCCTTTGAACGTCATCTATACGGTCTGACCGCCTTCTGTGATGGATGATTTAGCGGGCAGAATCGGTACGAGAAATGGTGGTAGTGTCTTGGCTTGTGAATGCGTATCACCACGGGAATGTGTAATGCCACGGCTGTAGTACTCAGATATGAGGTTTATATCGGTTCAATAATGACAGTCATCTGTTTAGACAGGTTGGAACTGTCGATGTTATATGTCAGTGTAGTGTGTGGCAATACTCCTAGCCGTGTAAAGTGTAACAAAGGCTCGTGCCGGCCGAAAGGAAAGCAAGCGGTCAGAGCCGTTGTCGGCCGGCGACAACGCGGCCTTTACGCCGACATAGATTGGGAAAACTCCGCGCAAACCTCCAAGTCGCACACACGCTGTGAAAGAGACTCCTACTTCCCATGTAGAGACATGCGCCAAAAATATACTGTTATTTGCTATGATTGAAGGACATGAGATCTGCTAAAGCTGTAGTTACTGAAAACGCCGCCGCTGCCATGCGCGTCCAAGCCCATGGCTCTCCATCACGGACCATCACCAGCTTAAGGCGGTGGTCCATCATCAATAAAGAACTACCAGGTACGCTTTGATTCTGCTATCGTTGTGAATGTGCTAACATGCTGTAATCAGCGGTGTCACAAGTTAGGTCTATTCATGTATACGATTTCGACAACACATGTAAGGGTGGGCCCGGGTTGGCAGCGCGCGTCGAGTTAACACCATCTAGTATTCTTGAGTCCGCTTCCGAATCCACAGCTATGGAATGGGCCGACGATTGGGTTTCTGCAGGCCTATGAGAGCTTTGCGAACGGTGGCTGGTGGCACGATCCGAAGTTGTTGGCCGCGACTGGGGACGGTATCGAGAAGGAAGAGGCGCGAGCTTGGGAAGGATGGTGGAACGAGCAGATTGTGCGACATAAGTGATGTGCGATTGATATATGCGGGCAGCGACTGACTCGTCACAGGTACAACTGGTCAAGCTGAGTATGGAGCAGAAAGATGCCATTACGGTGCTGCTGACGGGCCGCGGTGAGAACAATTTCTCAGACCTCCTGCGTCATATGGTGGATAGCAAAAAGCTGGAGTTTGATCTCATCTGCCTCAAGCCTGAGGTGGGCCCGAGGGGCCAGCGGATCTCTACTACCATGGAATTCAAGCAGACTTTCTTGGAAGATCTTGTTCTCACTTACGACCAGGCCGAAGAGATCCGTGTTTACGAAGACCGTCCGAAGCAGTGAGTGCTGAGATTTCATGCTGACTCGTGGCATACTGATGCGCTGCAGTGTGAAAGCTTTCCGAGATTACTTTGAGCAGCTAAACCGCAGACTCCAGGCCGGGCCGACTGGCACGAGAAAGCCCATAACCTCGGAGGTTATCCAGGTAGCGGAAGGCTCGATGTACCTTGCCCCTGTAACGGAAACCGCCGAAGTGCAGCGTATGATCAATTCTCATAACCTTACTATTCGCAACCCCTCCGCGAACCGGGCTAAATCCCCGTACGGCCGACTGCGCATCAAGCGAACCATCTTCTACACCGGCTATCTCATCTCCAATTCTGATTCTAGTCGGCTGATCCGCCAGATCTTGAACCCTATGCTGCCCTTCGGGCTTGCTGATTCTAATGATTTGAAATACATGGCCAACAGCATACTAATCACTCCTCGTCCAGCTCCTCGCTCCATTCTTGAGAAGGTTGGTGGCATTGGTAAGAAACTAAACTGGCAGGTCACCGGGACTGCTTGTTATGAAAACCGCATCTGGGCCGCCCGGTTGACGCCCGTGCCGGCTACTGAGAAGTACTACACGGAGAATCCGCATCCCGTGGTGGTCCTGGCGGTGCGCAAAGGCGCTCGTCCGATTGACGCTGGCAAGATCCAGAATTGGCACCCGGTCCCGAGTGACAAGGCTCTGACTATGGAGACGGTCGTGGGAGAAAAGGTGGTCCTCCGCGTGGAAGAAGAAAACCCCAACGAGGGCGAATGGGAGAGCCAATTCTTGAATAAGAATAACAAGCGACGCCACCAGCAGGAACGGGATGAGGAGATCCTGTACCCGGATCAGACCCAGGACGGGCCGTCCCATGGCCGACCGCACTACAACCCGCGTTATGGAGGCAGTAACCGCCATCAGTATGAAGACGGGCCTCGGCGGGGGTCATACCGTGGGCGAGGGCGTGGCTCGGCGCCGCGCGGACGAGGCCAAAACCGAGGCGGGCGTGGTCGAGGGCGTGGCCGGGATACTGGGCCTCCCGGAGGATATCGGTCGCTAGATGATTATGGCGGTGGTTATGAGGGGAATCATTATGAAGAGAAGCCGGGTGGAAATAGCGGGGGTGGTGGACCTGTCATGAACTACTAGGATGTCTGATGGTTGATAGTTGATATATGTTATCTGGACAGCCGGTCTTTCGGTAGGCGAGCGTCACATTACTCAGTCTGTTGTTGTTTTCATCCCGCGTAGGCAAAAGCCCACTAGTACTAGTCAATCAATATCACGTTGTTTCCTCTGCCTCGCGTCCCAGAACCAAGAAGGTTGCAGGTTCGAGTCGGGGTCTGATCCAACCCGAGATGATTCTTTCTCTCCGTATTTTCTCCACAGATCAGTATTACTATATCGTTTTGGTCTACTGGTATGAACCTTGACATATGTTCACACTAGTATTTGCTTGCTGCTTGCTGCTGCCTGTATGCTGCTGCCTGTATGCTGCTGCCTGTATGCTGCATTGCTGGAACTGCTTGATGCTCACTACAATGTGGCTTTTGTTGCATGATGCAACTAATCAATGAATCAATGCAATGCTTGATAGCGATACCACAGCGTCCACACCTCAGCATAATCCAGGTTTGACCCATTCTAACCCTTGTATACCACCCTCCCCACACTATACCCACCCCCCCCACCCCCAAAGATCAGATTTCACCAGAATCTTCTTGCTTCGTAACATGACTGTCTCCCCTCTCCCCTTTAATTATGCACTTGGATTCTCTTCTGGGCCACTATTGAAACCAAAACCTGCCACTCCTATCCGATGAGGAGGCCCAGGTTATAGTTGACATCCTAATGCAGACTCACACGACGCGGCGAGCCTTGTCATCGTTCGGGCGGGTGATAGGAAAATTTAAAGCATCCTAGATGTGGCCAGGTCGAACAACGAGGTTGACAAGCCAATCTATACGTGTGGCACTTCTTCGAGGTTATCGACCTAAACCTGGAAAGACTGGAAAATTGGCACGGACGGGACGGTATTTGAGTGGTTGGAGGAAACGCGTATGGAGGCATTCTGCGCGATGTTAGCTGATCGAAGTGTGCATCGGAACTGAAGGATGTCGTTGTGAGTATAATTTTTGGAAAGCAGACATGCAGCCATTATCAATCACAAATGGTGTGGTAGAAGTAGCAGGAAGGGAGCGGCTGCAAAGAGGATTCACCTTCCCAATATTCCTTCCACCCTTCCGTCCTCTATCTTGCGCCATCCTTCTAGCTGCTTCTGTTATGCACCGTGGAAGTCATCAAGTATCAAATTCTTACTTCTCTTCTGGAACCATTTCCCAGTTGGAATTCCCCAAATTTCGTTTTTAGGCGAGCCTTGGCCGGTGAAGTGGTGAGTGAAATGCCTTCGGTTCACCTCTCCCCTCTGACCTGGTCACTGTGATACTATGACACTAACGAGAGCCAACCTAGTTCATCTCAGTATCCTTGTTCCCATTGTTCTGCGCTGATGTCCTATGCCAGGTATCAAAAAACGCCTTGAGTATACATAGTCTGGTGATACAGAGTCCATGTTGCTAGCATTCTGAGCTAATCAAGCTTTGTGCTCATGCAAGGATTTAGAAGTTCTAATACAAACCGTCTAAAGACCATTGAGACGATCGCAATGGTTTCTAATACTAAGCCGGCCGTGGCAAACCGCAGAGGCGTGTTGGACTATCCGAAAGCTTGCTAGATCCGGAAAAGCTTATGTCAAGGCACGATTCCAATGCCTCAGCAGTCAACTTCGGTTGGTGAGTGATCCTCTGTCTCTGGTAGCGTCCAGTGAATTAGTGAGACATGTCGAGTGCTAGAGTCGGCTTGCTGGGTGAGAGGATAACCACACGTAGGGTTGCTATTATACCATCTTCATCTTGCGCTGCATATGTCAAGCAAGAAACGACAATGATGGATCTGCGACATGGAGCTACAACGCACTAGGACAGTCTCTAACTGATAAATCTTCTGCCGGCATGTGTCTAAACACTTCAAAGGTCGTGACGTCACGACCACTGAGTACGATGACTAGGAAAGTCGCGGTGCCATTCTTCAACAAGTGACGTTTTGTCACTAGTTCGACCTTATGAAGTCATTTGAAGGCTCCAGACCTAGACCCATACTCAAATCCGACGGAACAATGCCCACACAGCGGTTGATCTATCGGGTTTACGGCTTTATTACGGCATTACGGCTATAAGCTGACCCATGATAGGAAGCCGCCAGTTAAACTTGCTTTAGAGTTCATCAAACAGAGTGGCATGTGCAGTGCACGCATGGTTGCCACCAGAGCTTGTCTTTATAAGCCAGAGATGTTTCCGCAGACGGATCCCGGCTGTATACAACCAGTGCGTTATTGTTCCCCTTGTGGCAGCGAGATCGGCTAGCGCAGATCATGGAAACCATTCGAGATTCAGCGTTTGGGAAGCTAGTACGCATCTTCAGTGGAAAAAGATGGCTGCGCTACCCCGAGGAGATTGACACGGGGATGTGGACCGAGTACCTGAAGACGGAGAAGCAGGTCAAGGATGAAGAAGCGGCAGTTGCTGAAAGTGACCAAGAGAATTTGGGCCTCTATACTGTCCTTTCGCAGGCGTCCAGAGCGTCACGTCGCCTATCCTCTACATCGACAGCTCGGAATGTGGGGGTGGATGCACAGAGTCCCCACCCCAGCACCTCAATTGTCATTGACTGGCAGGGACCAGATGATCCTGAAGTATGTCCAGCTTCCTTGGGATAGCCCTAACGTGTGCTGACGAGTATATAGAACCCCCAGAACTGGAGTACATTCAAAAAGCTATTCGTCAGCAGCTTGATCTGGCTCTTGACATTCGCTATCTATATCGGCTCAGCGATCTACACCCCCGGTATCCCCAGTGTTTGCGAGCAATTTGGTGTAAGCAGAGTGGCCGCTACACTTGGATTGACCCTGTTTGTGCTAGGGTATGGATTAGGTACGTGCTATTGCCATCACCCATAACCATCTATAAGCGTTGGTGAAACGAAGCTAATCGGTAAAAGGCCCAATGGTCTGGTCTCCCTTGTCAGAACTACCTGCTATCGGTCGAAGTCCTACCTACGTCCTCACCCTGTTCGTCTTCGTCTTCTTCCAATTCGCCGTTATCTACGCTACAAACTTCGGAATGCTCTTAGCCTTTCGATTCCTCACCGGATTTATCGGATCCCCCGCACTAGCCACCGGTGCAGCATCTATGGGAGATATCTGGAACCCTAGAATGCGCGACTATATGATAATCATCTGGGGAGCGTTTGCCATTTCCGCCCCCGTCTTGGGTCCGCTGGTGGGTGGTTTTGCAGCTCAAGCCGAAGGATGGAAATGGACCATTTGGCAGCTCCTCTGGGTCTCCGGATTCGCCCTTGTTCTCCTTTTCTTCTTCCTTCCAGAGACCTACGCACCCAACATCCTCTACCGACGGGCCCGTCGCGTCCGCCAGATCACCGGCAACTCCAATTACCGATGCGAAGCCGAGATCGAGATCTCAAACGTCAAACCAAGAGTAAGCTTCTATCTAACCTTATCCTTCTTTTCCCTACTAATTGCAAACCGCACAGGACGTCCTCTTCGAAGCCCTCGTCCGCCCCTTCGAACTCTGCTTCCTCGAACCCATCGTCTTCCTCATGAACCTTTACATAGCCCTAATCTACGGCATTCTCTACATCTGGTTCGAAGCCTTCCCCATCGTCTTCAGCGAGATCCACGGCTTCAACACCGGTGAAAGTGGTCTCGCCTTCCTCGGTATCCTCATCTCTACCTGCTGCATCACCATCCCCTGCTACTTCTACTGGAAATACAAATATCAGACCAAACACTTCGACGAGAACTGGAACATCGTCCCCGAAATGCAGCTCCCCCCGGCTTGCATCGGCGCCTTCGCCCTCCCAGTCTCCCTCTTCTGGTTCGGCTGGACCGGTCAATTCGCCTCCGTCCACTGGATCGTGCCCATAATCGCATCCATGCTGTTCTCCGTGGGGGGCTGTCTCATCTTCAATTGTATTTTCTGTTATCAGGCTCATGCGTACCCGAAGTATGCGGCTTCAGTGCTCGCCGGGAACGACTTTATGAGGTCGTCTTTTGGAGCAGGGTTTCCGTTGTTTGCCACGGCGATGTTCCATAATCTGGGGGTCGGATGGGCGTGTACTCTACTTGGGTGCTTGTGTGTGCTTTTTGTGCCGTATCCGTTTATTCTGTTGAGATATGGGAAGAGGTTGAGGATGGCGAGTAAATTTGCGAGACATGATATTTGATCATTTTCTGGTTTGGTTCTTGTTCATGATGTTATGATGGAAAGATCTAAAGCGCATTTCTTGTTCTAGATAGATGTAGATGCATTCATATAATTAACAGACTTCAGAGGTCAGTTCAACCATTAAATCAGAATAGATGACTGCTTGATCTGCTTGATTCTCTACACCAAACCAGGAAAGGATAGAAATGTATGAGTAGGAACCCTCAGACTGCATCTGTCATAAGTCATGTCATATGCACATGCATTCGTTGTCATCTTGCATTTTCATTCTAAGCACAACATAAACATATCCATCTAAAGTAATCTGTGCCAAAGTCCGTCCCGGTACCAGTTCCTAGACCAACCAACTAACCAATCATATAACAAAGCAAATCAGTATAAAACCACAGTAAAATGCTCATCTTTTATACATCATCAATGATGGGTAATCAATAAAAACAGTCAAACTGACAGAATATACAAAGAGGCAAAAAAGTGTATAAAAGCAGATCAAATCGGAATAGATTCGATCATTTGGTTCATTTGTTCAGTGAGCTGGGGTTCGTATGATGTTCAACCGGACAGACCAAGAATTGGAGGTATAATCGATCTCCGATATTGTTGGCCGCCTCAAATATGCTCATTATGCATTTCTTCATGATCCCATATCCGTATCCATGTCCATAAAATCCATAACATATCCATTCCAAAACCATTCGTAATTAATCATGTTGCTGTGCTGTTCGTGTGTATTCATGTCGTAAGTCAGGGTGAAGGGGAGGGGTGTATGATGTGTCGAAAGGAAAAGCCAAAACCATTCAAAAGGATATAAGAAACGTTTGCCACGCGACGGTTATGCGTCATCCGTCAACTGTTTTATCAAGTTGATGCTGAGAATCATAACGAGCAGTCCTATCGTCACGACCACCAGGAGACCGAATCCAAACCAGCCGAGAACCATGGCGGACGTGCCCACGCCACTCTTGACACTTCCGTTACCCATGTCTTGAGCGATGGTACTTGCGGCTACGGACGCCGTGTGCTGCCATAGCACAGAGACAAGGACGAATACTGAGGCCACGAAGATGAGAGCCAATGCTGCTTGGGACACAGGTCGCGACGGAAAGGGCTTGGATTCGACTTCGGAACCACTGGGATCTAGCTCATCGTGCCAGCCAGGGAAAGTGGCGAGAAGGATAAAGCAGAAGAAGGCTAGAATGACGGCAATGATTCTGAAGAAGGTTAGTATTTTGCAGGAACGGTCAGGGCATAGAAAAGGCAGGAGAAAACATACAGGAGATATGGAAAAACAACAGCATCCTTGAATGTTGATGCCACCCAAATCAGGTTCAAAGGGTCCTGATCAACTGTGACGATCTCCGCCAATGCTGTCGCATTCGAGTTGCAGATATAGGATCCGTCGTCTGGCTGCACGCAGATTCCGAAGTAGCCCACCCGAACCTCCATTTGTGCTCCTCCCACAATGTTCGCCGTTGCTGTCACCACTCCTGGGTCTACCTGGGCAAGATTGAATGTCGGTTTGTAGCGCTCGTAGTATAATGAAATCAGGAATATGTCGGGAATTTGCGGGGAGGACGATGAGCACCCCGCCAACAGTAGGGCTGAAACAGTTAGTTACATTCCTGGACAGTATGGAATGAGCTTACAAAGAAGAATGATGGCAACCGCGATGATAATCATCAACACGTGGTGATACCCGATCAGCGGCAAAAGCCCTAGATGCCAATCGTCAGCTCCTTGATACAATTCTTATTCCAATGGCATGCGGCATACGGGTAATTTTGGCGCCTATTCCTACCATCTTAGGCGACCGGTTCCTGTCACTTTCCTCCTCTCACGGTACAACTCGCTTCTCGGGACTCCGAGAAGGAGTGCTAGGCGTCCGGTGCGGCTCACTCTGTCGGACACCACCCGACAACGAGCGGTACAATATTGTGATGGGAAGATGGCTCTGGGAGTCGAGTCCTCAGACCTTAAGGTGCAGGGATCGGTTGGTGGAGAATGCGCCGATATGGTTGGAGTGGAATGTGACGGAACGTGTGATCGAGAGGGAAGGCAAATGCAGGAAATCGGAGGAATGCTCGTTTCCTTATCCCACGATGAACCCTGGAAAATCTAAGGGTCGTCAGAAATCGAAAAAGTAAAGTATCTTCTGTGGATTAAGATAGGCAATTGGCGTATGCCGAAAAAAGACAAGCGGAAGAGTAACTGGGGAATGGCAGGGGCGTGAAGGAGGGCAGAGGGAGAGGAAGAGGGAGGGAGAGAGCAAGCGTAGCTAAACCAATCCTCCGAGTCCTCGAATAGCACACGACAATGAGTGAGACTGGCGTGGTGGGTGGATAGCGACCGTGATGGTGGTGATAATGGAGGAGGCTGGGACGGGCGTGCTATAGTCGGCGGGCAGCCCAATGGGGGAGGCTGGGCCACTGCCCTTTGTTTACCGCGTCCGTTTCCCGGTAACCACCTCTCACCGCCTGCCTGTTTCCACCCGTGCAGCCCCCACTAATCCCCCGATAACGCTAGCCGCATCAGGCCTCCCCACCGATCTGCTGTTATCGGCACCTAATCTGCCCAGCCTCCCCAAATCGAAGCGGACAGACCCAACTTATAAAAAGAAACCCAGGTACAGCAGAGTAAGGCAAACGCTATTTATTAGATACCCACTACGTCCCGCCCGATCTCATCATCCCCGGTCGCCAACGCCGCCCAATGGAGAGTATACAAGTGGAACATATGTGCTAATAACAAGAACCTTCTAAAATCTAGACACCGCTGCCTTATACCAGATGATCATCCTGAAGCCACCAGGTGCATATGTAAGGATATTCCAAGGAACGCCAATGTATAATATGCAGTTGCACTGGTCGGACGCAACGTAGCCTGCCAAGAAGAGCTTATTTACCCATGAAGGAGAACCGTTGGACATCAAACGAGACTGGGGTTTCTTGCGTGCGAATCTCGTCATCCTCGTCTTCACTATCTGGGATGATCATGTCTTCACTACCCTGACTGGGAGCAGTCAGAGTCTGCGCAGAACGGAGCTCACGCTTCTCAATCGCCGGATTCTTCATTGGCCTTTTCGAGGTGCCAAAAGCAGTTAGTGAAACACAATTAAGTGATCGAGAGCGAGCCAAGGCGCTCTGGCCTAAACGCTGCAATGGCGTTGTCCGCTGACGCCTGGGAGGAGTTCTGGTTCCCGGGGTCGACTTATTCAAGGAATCCGGCTGGGAACCCTTGCCACCAGGTCCATCTGTTCGGGGTCTGACGCAAGCATTTCCCGCTTGAAAGACATACTTTGAAAGAAGCGCAGAATTCTGCCGACGCAAGGGGCTGGGATTAGAGCCCAGACTAACAGGTTTTGAGCTCGACTCCAAAGCTTGGTTAGCAGACGACGACTGCTGTTCTTCAGTTTGCCCTTCCCCGGCATCAAGGCCGGGCTCAGACGTGACTGTTGCAGGCGGGCCAAGCGCACTATCATCTGCAGTAGATGAATTGGTATCGGTAGTTGCGTGTATCTGATCCTTGGGCTCCTGGGTCGTCTGCACAGGGTCTGGCAGCTGTGACATCAAGTCTTCTGCAGAGTCATCTGAGAAGACGTCCAAGGTAGACTTGCGCACTTTTTTTGTGCGAGTAATCTTCTGTGCACTTGGGCTAGAATCGTCCAAGGTGCCGGCAAAGAATCTGCTGCGACAGTCGGGCATATTTGGCAGACTGGTCTCATCCGCATCGGAACACAGTCGTTGCCGCTTAGCGGGTTGCAAGTTCGACGTTCTGGAAGCATGGGCCAGGAAGGAGTTGCGTTCGACACTTCTGACCAAAGGACTCGAGGGCCTGCTTGACGATCCCATAGACGATGCGGATCTAACAAGACCTGTCCGTGATGGCGCCGGAACACTATCCCACGAGTTATTGGCATGGCGCTGTAGAAGCCGTTGCTGGCTGGGAGAAGGGGTGAGGCTGTTCGGGTCCAACTCTGCCAGGGGAACTCGTTTGGGGGTGAAGAAGGAACTAATAGGTTTATTCGACTTGAGTTCGGCTGATGAGCCTAGTGTCTGCCGCCGGCTTAGGGTATTGGTCAGCCTTTTATCGGCTGGAACTGTTGGCTTCAGTACAAGAGGTTCCTTCGTCGTCGGATCCAGATCACCACGAGCCACTCCCACCGCGGTCTCGGGCTCCACATCGCCACCAATAAACGTCAGGTCCTCTAACTTCGTATCAGATTCGGGTGCTGTCAGAGTCACCAGCTTCCCAGCTTTCGGACAAAACACCCTCTGATACAGGAACGTAAGCTCTGCCTGCTTGAAATTGTCTAAGTAATCAGAGGGAACGTGGTATTGACCCTCAAATTGAAGCATGCGCAGTGCTCTCTCAACGTTCTTGTATTTCCGAATGCTTCGATAGGCCGTCTTCAACCCCAATCGCGCAATATTGGGCAGATAATCGCAGCCACTGAGAATACACATCCGTCGAAAGTCATCATCGGTCCAACCAATCAGGCTTACCTCTCGACAAGCCGAGAAGTCGGCGCGATTGATCTCAATGCAGTCACCATGCTGGTCAAGCTTGGATAACAATCGTTTCGCACCGAACACGAGGAGATCAGAATCTTCCGAGATGATACCGGTGATGATGCCCTGCTGTTCCAGATAAGCAAGTTGCGCATCCGCCTCATACGGAGCCACCACGTATTGAACGCCCATTTTCTTCAGCTCCTCTATCAGTTCGCGGGCCATCAAAGGCGTCACGTCCACGGCCTTCTGCAGTTCCTGGTATGCCTCCGCTGTCCGCCCTTTTCGCTGGAGTTCCAGCCCGAGGGCTTTGCTCTCCTGTCGCCTCTTATGGCGCTCCACCTCCGTTCCAAGCTTGCTTGGCAACTCGTCGCCATCGAAGACCAGATAAGGCACCACGCCGAAGTAGATGAGCATGCGGACTCGGTTCAAGACGAAATCGATGTGTCTGCAGTCATGTAAGAAAACTAGCGGAGATTTTGCTGCTTGGATACGTACTTTCTGTTGGGCCTGCCCAGGACCAAGTCCACCGCACAGGCGACCGTGCCCCGATGCAGCCATCCATATGCATCGACACCAAGGGTTTGGCCACTAAACCTTTTCAGATGGCATGGTTTCTGGATCGACTTGAGCAGGCCATGAAGTCCTATGTATCCGGTAAGCCATGTAAGTACCCTCATGAGCCGAGGGCTGTAAAGAATCACCTTTAATGCCCATTGTCAGCTCCTTTGGAAGACAGGATACTCCTCGTTCTAGGTAGTTGCACCGCCAAAACAGACATCAGCTGGTGTCTGTTGGTGCTTAGGAGTCAATTTTGGCGACGAGCATAGGAAACATGGGACATCGGTGCACAAAGCCTTGACCACCCCCTAAACAGTGGCTACGATGATGACCTAGACAACAAGGTTGGAATGCTACCTCCCCTCGTCCCTCCGACGCGCAAGGAACGCGATGGGGCGACGCAGTCATCCTCGGCCATGATTGGTTGTCTAGGGGCGGTACTGCACCTCCACTATACCGCCTTTCAGTTCTGCCAGAGAAAAAAGAAATCCGCCGCAAAAGACGAAAACGAAGTTTCGACTATCCGATCTTAAATTCCTTATCTTTATTCGAAAAGGGAGCCAAGGACTTTCCAGAACAACCTGCCCGCCATGCCCAAGACACTCCAAAAAGTTCACAAGCATATCGCCAAGAAGCGAGGCGCTGTCGAGGCTCTTCATGAGTTCAGCAGAGATGCGAGGAGACTGCGCCGAGCTAATGCCCGAGATGATCGAGTCGCTCGTGTCTCGGCCAACATGTCGCGGGGAAGACAGACATACGGTAATTGAATCTTGTTAACATTGAACTGTCTGGTATGGTGATGTCTAATATCGAGGTGCAGTCGACCGGATCGCATACTTCTACGAGACCATCCCGGAAGGCTCAGAACCCATGTCAGAGGATGAAATGAAGGATGTTGTCGTCAGGTGGAGAGACCCATCAACCTCAAATTGTCACATACTTACAAACGACAAATATAGGTATATCAACCGCAGCGTGCCCGAAATCGAACAACTACAGAGCGAGAGACGGAAGGGCAGGCCGCCAAGCAAGAGGGAAGAGGCATTGTTGCAGCGGACGGATGTTGAAAACCGGGAGTTCAAGACGGGATTTTGGATGCCCGACTTCAGTGAAGAGGCTGTGCTCAGGGCACTCGCCTCGTGGAACGGAGACTGGTCTGGACTCAGCACCATGAAGTTTATTCGGATCACCAAGGAGGGGTCGAAACAGCCTTCAGCATTTCCACCCAAGGGAATGTCCTAAGGCTTCTTTCTCATGTTCTTTTCTGCACTTTCATTATGGGGTTCTGGAGATCGCAGTATGCGCGGAGATTTATGGCATAACGGCGTTATGATTGCACATAGACATCTACAAAACACTGTTTGTTGAATACGTTCCTGTAGCTAGATAATATCCATGGATGTCTAACGAGTCAATCCGAGGCTACCTACTATTTCGCTTCTCCCTCATGGGAAAACTGTGTATGGCATGAGCCGGCATTGCGACCATTGATTGGACAGGCGGCTGTTGCAGGAGCTCCAGTCTTGGCGGCCGATCCTGGACGAACCGGTAACATCATCAGCTCGCCTCTTCCCATCCTTCACCATCCGTCAACTTTCTCTCTCACTTTCCCTTTCATCCTCACCACCATCCTTCAAAATGATGTCCCTTCGCACTCTCGCTCGCTCGGTGCCTCGCACCATCTCGCGCTCCGTCGCTGTCTCTTCCCGCTCCACCGTTTTCCGCCCGGTGTCCGCGGTCCCCAAGAGTGCCTTCCAGTCGTCTCTGAAGCAGGTTACGAGACCTTCATATGCAGCTTTCTCAACTTCCCGCACATTCAAGCAGTCTGCTGCCGAAGGTAAGAAATTCATCATATTACATGTTAACGAAGATTTTTCCAGAAACGCGAACGGAAAGCCCTCATCCTTTTTTTTTTTTGGTCCTTGCGAAATGAAGCAGAGCTCTGGCTATAGCTCGCGATTGCACATGGTTAGAAGCGGTATGCTGACTTTGGTTTCTTCGGAACACTCTAGGTGATGTCGAGCTCGTTGCCAAGCTTGACGAAGAGCTCAAGCACGAGAAGGCTTCCGGCCTTGAGGACTTGGAGTCCTCCGTCCAGAACATCCAGTATGTTCTTCAGAACAACTCTTGGGAGGTATGTACAATATTAAGATTAGGACGATTGTCGATCCATGCTAATTTGCTTTTGTAAAGGTCAAGGACGTCCCCGGCGAGCAGGAGGTTGTCCTGACCAAGAAGTTCGGCAACGAAGAGTAAGTCCCATCGCAAACCATCTACCATGACATTCCTTCTGACGGCTTTCTCAATCAATAGGATCCGCCTCACTTTCACCGTCGCCGACCTTCAGAACCTGAGCGAGCAGGAGGAATTCGATGACGCTGCCCTGGATGAGCTCGACTTCCAGGGTCACAACCCTGCTAACCAGGGCCGCTCTGGCAATGTCGCCCAGCACCCCGAGGACCGTGTCGCCCCCGCTGACCGTGAGGGCGAGGACCTGGATCGTGACCTTGAGCCCAGCTTCCCTGCCCGTGTCAACGTCACCATTGAGAAGCCCGGCAATGGCTCCCTTCTGATCCAGACCGTTGCTCAGGATGGTCTGTTCCAGATCGAGGAGGTCTCGTACTTCAACAAGCCTGATCTGGCCCACGCCCAGACCGCCGAGAAGGACTGGGTTAGACAGAGCATGTATGCTGGTCCTCCCTTCGAGAACCTTGATGAGGACCTCCAGACCTTCCTCGAGCGTTACCTCGACGAGAGGGGCATCAACGCTGAGCTGGCCAACATGATCCCCGACTACATCCAGGTTAAGGAGCAGAAGGAGTACGTTCGCTGGCTCGAGAGTAAGTTACCCTCTATAATACTGTCTTTGACAATCTCTAACGAAATCCACAGACGTCAAGAACTTCGTCTCTGCTTAGGTGCAGACAACCCAGCTGGCTGCAATCGACTCTTCACGAGTGAGCGCAGCCCGGATGCTTTAAGATTAATAAGGTTATGACAGCACTATCCTGAAAATATAGGAATCATGTTTCATTAATTAGGCCACTGTTTTCCCAGTGTGCGCATGTATATTAGTAGTAGATGCTCAGTTGAACCTAACTAGGTAACACTGTTGGTGTGAATTTATATCCTCTCTTCCTGTCTGAATATATGTTCTACCACATGAATGATGAAACCACTCAATCCGACCGCGGAAACCAAATCTTCTCCTTCATCGTCGCCTCCCAAGCCACCCCAAGGGCAGTCGGCTTTCCCTTCTCCCCGATTCGAAACTCAGCCTCATAGACCTCAGGGAACAAGGCCCCCAGATCCCCAATATGCTTCGCTACGATGATAAAATGCTCTCCATTAACATGTTTGAACTTCAAAAACTCCGGCCAGGTCGCACTAGCCCGGTCGGCACGGAGCACGCCCTCCGACTGGTCAAAATATATTTTCACCGTCTGATACCCCGGATGCACATATGTCCCTACATACTCCTCCAAAGGCAACAACGCAGGAAGAACCGGCTCAGAAGGAACCTGGTTAATCGCATCAAAGACCCTTTTTTTCTCGGCCTCAATGTGGCTCATATTCCTAAACATCAGTTAGCATCCTCCCCAACCCACAACCGGTCCTATACATATTCCGGAAAGACACATACTTAGCATTCCAATCAAACCTCTTCTCAACCGGCACTCCAAGCCTCTCATCAACCAAATGAAACGCCAGCGCCTTCTCAGCATAATTCGACGTCCCAGCCGTATTCGCCAACGCGATCACCGCGAACCGCAAAGCCGGAAATAGAATCAACTCGGCCCCAAACGCATTCACGCCCCCCGTATGCTCATAATACTGCACACCTTGGTAAAAACCCGTCCACCATCCAAGAGCATACGCGGTCGGACCCGTGAACGGCTCCCCGGAAGGTGCCAGCGTCCGTGGCTCCCAAATAGCCTTATACACGGCCTGCGATAACGGCTCGGTCTGGTCGAGTAAAGCCCGCGCCCACTTCGCGTAGTCCAATACATTAGTGATGACTGCACCCGCGCCTGAGATCTCGTTGCACGGCATCCAATCTACCTCGTGGTATGTGTCCTCGTTGACGGAGTGGTAATAGCCACGTGCCAGATCCTCGGGTGCTTGTTTTGCGTCATCGAGATCGAAAAACGTGGCTGTCATGTCCAGTGGGTGCCAGATTTCCCGGGCCAGAATATCGCCCAGCCATTCTCCGGTGAGGGTTTCGATGATGTGGGTGGCTGCGACGTACATGAGGTTACAGTATTGGAATTTGGTGCGGGGAGGGGCAGTCAGTGGGAGATGGCGTAGCTGGCGGACGATTTCCCGCACCGCGGTGTCTCGGGGAAGATGGTTGCCGTAGGCTTGGTCGTGACGGGGGAGTCCTGATCGGTGGGAGAGGGCGTCTTCGATGGTCGTGTGGCTGGTTGCGTGGGGGTCGTGCAGGACGAAGTCCTCGCGGATGAGGTCGCTGATGGGCATGTCCCATTGTACTTGTGGATAGTTAGTGTTGTCGGTGACGAGCGTGGCGAGGATGGCTGCTGTGAAGGCTTTGGTGGTGCTGCCGGCGTAGAAGAGTGTGGAGGGCGTGACTGGGGTCGAGGGGAAGGTTGCGGTGCCGTAGCCCTGGGGTTTGGGGTTAATGATGGGGATGGGATGGGGTGAGGGTGGTGGGAGCTGACCTCGGCCCAGGTGTTGTCGCCGTCGACTACGGCGATTGATATGCCTGGGACGTGCCATTGGGTTAGGGTTTCGTGGACGAGATTCTTGAAGCTCTCGTCGAGCGGGTTGGTGGGGATGTGAGTGGTCATGTTTGAAGGGTGCAATGCGATAATGGGCGGATGAGACATGGGTAGAGGATTGATTGATGTTAGTGATTGAGGATATGGCGGGGAAAGCTGACATCTTCGTGTACAGCACTACAGATAGGCTAGAGGTGGACGCGTCCCCGTCGGAGCTCCGCAGGGTGAGCACGGAAGTTATCGGTGAGGTTGCCTATGAGGATGATGATGATGGACGACAGAAAGTCGTTCTAACATGGGTGTCTGCTATGAAAGCCCGTGTCTATTATATACATAGAACCCTAGATGGAATTGAAGCAACCTGAAAAGGATAAAGCAAACTCCCGCATGTCCAAGCCCGTTTGCAATGCAGTAAATCCAACTCCGTTCCCAAGAAGACCATACCCGAGTTGCTCATTAGAATCAGCGATCAGCGTCACTCATCTGCACGAGAAAGCGAAAGAAAACCAGAGGCGACGAGAATCTAGAATTCCATACTCTCAGACTTCATCTCCGTCGCGTCATCAGTCCTCTCCCGCTTCCCGGTACGTTCTTCCTTCAGAAGCCCGGCAATGAAAGAGCGGAAATAATCAATATAGGGCTTCAAGCTCGTCTTCTCATAGTCCTGCAGTTTGCGACCTCCCCTGGCGTCGGAGTCGGGCACACTGCCTTCACCTTCCGCGATTTCGGGCCCTGCATTGGTGCTAGGATGCTCCGCATCCCAGGCATCGATCTCAGCAAGCAGCTCCGTGACTGTGGGCACAGAGAGAGGGTCGAATTGTTCCGCTTTACGGGCATCTATCGGAACACACACGCGACCAGTGCCGGGATGGATGACGAAAGGACTCTTCAGCAAATGAATCATCTTCTTGCTGACCTCCGAATCCAGACGCGGGTATGTGTACTCGAGAACAATGTCCTGCTTAGCGTCTCGCAGAGTAGTAGGGTTGAGAGTACTGCTCTTTCCAGTCTTGGCGAGGGCATCGATATCGGCCCATTTGTTGGTGCTGGCGCGATCTGGCGACGATTCCCACTTTTTCCGCAGTGATTCATTCAAGGTCTTGTCGGGAAGTAATGATAGAAGACGTTGCGCTTGCTCTGAACTCTCAAATGTGTCTTGGTCTATCAAGGTCGTTTGAGCAAAGTATGGTTTGAGAATGTCGAGACTGCGAGACATGTGGGGGTGCAGTGGTCGCTTGATATTGACCCGTTTGCCGCTTGAATTGCCTCCTCGCACAACATCCAGGTAGCCCGCAATGGCCCTTCGTCGATCATCTGGTAGGCTGCGTGCACGTGGATCGCAAACCCAGGCGTGAGCACCACGACGACCAGAGTAGACCCACAATATATGCTCGAACCCGAAGTCTTCGCGAAGAGCCGTGTCGACAACCTTCATAGCCATGGTGACAAAGGCCCAGCATTTTTCACAGATATTTGCTTTTGAACAACAGGATCGAATGTCATCGTAATCTGTCAAATCGATATCGAACACCAACTCTTTGGAGATCGGTTTCATCTGGCCACCTCGGAGCGTCTTCCGGTCTCGGGGATTCGTGTTGTAGACAGGCCCGATTTCGAATCGAGAGGGGTTCCTTTTCAGAATGTCTTTACGGAAGCTGAGGGCAGACGGTTAGAGCTTGGGGACGTGGAGCCTAGGAGCTCTCCCACTCACAGATCCGCAGTCGCATATGACTGATATCGTAGATAGGCATCGTTTTGAAGAGTAAGGGCGAATTCACGGTTCCCAAAGTCTGGGGAGGGAACAATGCCATGGTTCAACCATTGAAACAGATAGCGGAATGGGAAGAGGCGTTGATAGAAAGCAAGCATGGTATCGGTGTCAACCTGGGGACCCGGAGCGGCAGCCGGTCTAAACGATGGAAGGTTAATGCTTGCGCTCGGGAAATATCTCAGGGACACTTACTCCGCTGGCTCGGGGGCAGAAGAATCAACATGCTTGGTGTCTGGTGCACTTGAGGCGGGGAATTCATCATCGTCATCATCGTTAAAGAGGTCTTCGAGCTTCACTCCTGCAGATGCGCCGGCTTGATTCTCCGATGCTATCTCCGCTGGAGGGGCGTCCGGTAGAAGCTCATCATCCTTGCGGCTGGCAGATGAGTCCTGCGACGACACGGAGTGAGGCATGTTGAATAGCGTTGGCTTGGGTGTAATAGGCCGTCGACAACTGTCGGTGGGTTGCATGAGCAAGCCATCCTCCATCCCGATCCATTAAACAAACACGCGTCGACACGCGTGCCGACGCGTCGGGTCACGCAGCCCTAAACCCTTCATTGAAGACCTCGATCGGGTAGTGCTCGTGGGGGTGCCGGTCATGTGACAATGCAGTCCGCAAGCGGTGATGACTAAGCCAGGTACCGAAGTATGGGCGACGACGACTTCCATCCTTTGCTGCTGCTACAACCTCGTCTTGCTTGGGTCCACCCCTGCACGATCAGGAACAACTGAGGGCTCGGATGGCCGTTTGCGGTGGGAGCTGACGACTTCCCATCGGGCTTTCTCGTAATCCTTTATGGATGACGTGTATACTGCCCTGGTCCAGAAGAACGGGTCTCGGACCTGACGGAGCCTGGAGGCCTTCATTCAACGTATCGCATTTATGTCCAGCGTTTGATCTGCCCCCTTGGCCTAATGCGGCTGCACGCATCCCCTGACTCATGGATGTCCTTACCGAGCTTTCTGACTTGGGTTGACGGTGTTGTGCCCTTATGTGATCATCACTCTCTCCGAAGTCCGCAAGAGGGATCCCGTCATGGTTACTATACCAGGTGCTCGGATATTCTCTCACAACAAACGCCGACATGCTGCCGCGGCACTCTCCGGTGCTCGTCTTACTTCTTTTTCTGCCTTGATTCCTTTCACTCGAGGCCCCCCCTGCCAGGTTTTCCTTTTCGCCCTGAATCTTAATCATCCTCAGATGCAACGTTGCACACGTACCCATAGAGAACACCCACATTCCGGGGTAGCTTTTCACAACGCGCTGATAGCTATGGGGTTTGTGATATCCCGCAACATGAGAGGCGGCTCAATAGCCAGTCCCAGCACATATGCCGTGGCAGGTGTTATACTTAGATACATCGGCTGTTTATCTTTTCCGTTTGCTAGGTGGCTCTTACCGGCTTTATTATAGGTTGCCCATCTTTACAGTGAACCATCCGGGTTCTGACCGGTATTGGGATTATGGTGATGACGCCACCACTGCTATTGATTCATTGATTGCATGATCCAAATGACCATTAGGCCCGAGACCCTGAAGATTCTGGCCTGGGTGCTGTGGGCCTCGATCCAGATGATACAGCGGGATGTCACATTCCCATTTGGGTTAGACATACAATTTCTTTCGCTCAACCACTCTCCCTACATCGGTTCCTTCGCCATCCGTGGTTTGCTCAACTTAACCCTACTACGTAGATTGCTAGGTAGACACTGGTGTCGAGCAGCCAAGCTGGCTTTTACTCCTGACCCAAGCGTCAATGGCGCCATGATGTTTGCCTCATTGGATCCTACTGTGGCATTATCACCATCATCCACTGATGCGGAAACGGTGGGGGGCTTCTCCCAAGAGATTTAAGGACTGCTCTTCCTGCCCCATCGACAGGTCTTCTTTCTTTCTTATTACACCTAGGAGTCACTCGCTGCTTTTCTTTCATTCGTTTAATCCCAAAGTTGTGTAGGGGATCGTTTGTGAGGCTTTTCTATCAGCCGGACCAAGGATCGACAAACGATATGGTCAAGGGAGGTGTTGCGTTCCTGGCCTTGGCTGGCCCGGCGCTTGCTGGCGTTATTGTCCGCGGCACTGAGGTACGTTGGAGTATCATTATCCTGACCTTCTTGATTATGCTGACTAGCCCCGTTATATCAAGCCTGCAACGACCAAGAAGCCCGTGCTTACCACTGGGCCTCCGGGTATTACCAAGACCACGACATTCATCACGACCGACTGTCCAGGTAAGTTGAATTGCACGGCTACCATTCTGAATCGTGTCTAATGCTGTGCTTAGTGACCTCCTCTGTTGTCACCTCTGGCAACAAGACAGTTACTGTCCCTATTACGTTGACCAACACCATCACCCTGACCAGCACCTGGTCTGATGAGGAGCCTACTGGGGAGCCTATTCCGACTGGGGTTGTGCCTCAACCCAAGCCGAATCCAACTGGAATGGTGAGCCCTGTCAAGCCTACCACCCTTGGCACCGCTCCCATCAAGCCAACGTACAGTCAGGGTACTGCTCCTATCAAGCCAACCACTAGCCACGGAACTGCCCCCATCAAGCCAACCACTAGCCACGGCACTGCCCCCATCAAGCCAACTACTAGCCACGGTACTGCTCCCATCAAGCCGACTTACAGTCACGGCACTGCTCCCATCAAGCCGACGTACAGCCATGGAACTGCTCCCATCAAGCCAACGTACAGTCACGGCACTGCTCCCATTAAGCCGACGTACAGTCACGGCACTGCTCCCATCAAGCCGACGTACAGCCATGGAACTGCTCCCATCAAGCCAACGTACAGTCACGGCACTGCTCCCATCAAGCCGACGTACAGTCACGGCACTGCTCCCATCAAGCCGACGTACAGCCATGGCACTGCTCCCATCAAGCCAACCACCAGCCACGGCACTGCTCCCATCAAGCCAACCACTAGCCATGGCACTGCTCCAGTTCAGCCCATTACTAGCCACGGCACTGCCCCGGTTCAGCCTTCCACTTCTGGCCACGGCACTGCCCCGGTCCAGCCTACTACTAGCCACGGAACTGCTCCAGGCCCGGTTCCCACTACTGGCACAGTGATTCCACCTGCGTCCGTTACTACCCACAACCCTGCTCCGTACCAGAACACCACAGTCCCGATTCAGCCCACTCAGCCGGTCCCAGTTGCCCCAGGAGGCACTACTACCGTTATTCCTGGGGTTCCTGGCAACAAAACCGTTGTCCCCGGTGTTCCTGGTGAGACCACTACTATCCCCGGAGTTCCTGGCCAGACCACTGTTATCCCTGGCGTTCCTGGCGAGACTACTGTCATTCCCGGAGTCCCTGGCGTGACTACTACTATTCCTGGTGTTCCTGGCCAAACCACTGTCATCCCTGGGGTTCCTGGCGAGACCACTGTCATCCCTGGGGTTCCTGGCGAGACCACTGTCATCCCTGGGGTTCCTGGCGAGACCACTGTTATCCCTGGTGTTCCTGGCGAGACCACTGTTATCCCTGGTGTTCCTGGCCAGACCACTGTTATCCCTGGTGTTCCTGGCCAGACGACCGTCATCCCCGGCGTTCCTGGCCAGACTACCATTGTTCCTGGAGTTCCTGGAGTGACTACTACGATCCCTGGTGTTCCTGGACAAACCACTGTCATCACCGGTGTTCCTGGTGAAACTACTGTCATTCCCGGCGTTCCCGGTGGAACTACTGTCATCCCCGGTGTTCCTGGCCAGACTACCGTTGTCCCCGGAGTACCTGGCGAGACCACCGTCGTCCCTGGAGCCCCCGGTGAGACTACAGTTGTTCCCGGAGTTCCTGGCGAGACCACTGCTCCTGGTGCTCCTGGTGTATCCACGGGTGTCGTGCCCGCTGTTCCCGGTGAGACTACCGTTCCTGGAGCGCCTGGTGAGACGTCTGTTCCTGGCACTAGCCCAGCTGCTCCTGGTGAGTCCTCGGTCCCTGGATCTAGCCCTGCCGCTCCTGGCGAGACATCCACTCCTGGAGTCCTTCCCGTTGCGCCTGGTGAGTCATCCACTCCCGGCGTCTCGCCTGCTGCTCCCGGAGAGACTTCGCCCTCCGGCGTCTCCCCGGTTGCCCCTGGTGAATCATCTCCCTCTGGAGTTTCGCCCGTCACACCTGGAGAGACCTCTCCTGAGGGTGTTTCCCCTGTGGCATCTGGCGAGTCTTCGCCTTCCGGGGTCGCTCCTGTCGCTACTGGAGGATCTTCCCCATCGGGTGTTTCCCCCGTCGCTACTGGTGGGGCTTCTCCCTCGGGCGTTTCTCCTGTCGCTTCTGGCGGATCTTCTCCCTCGGGCGTTTCTCCTGTCGCTTCTGGCGGATCTTCTCCCTCGGGCGTCTCTCCTGTCGCTTCTGGCGGATCTTCCCCATCGGGTGTTTCCCCCGTCGCTACTGGTGGGGCTTCTCCCTCGGGCGTCTCTCCTGTCGCTTCTGGCGGATCTTCTCCCTCGGGCGTCTCTCCTGTCGCTTCTGGCGGATCTTCTCCCTCGGGCGTCTCTCCTGTCGCTTCTGGCGGATCTTCTCCCTCGGGCGTCTCTCCTGTCGCTTCTGGCGGATCTTCTCCCTCGGGCGTTTCCCCTGTCGCTACTGGAGAGTCCTCCCCCTCGGGTGTCTCCCCCGTTGCCCCTGGCGAGTCTTCACCCTCCGGAGTCTCTCCTGTCGGTACTGGCGGAGCCTCTCCCTCTGGAGTTTCCCCAGTCTCTCCCGGCGAGACTGGCGTCTCCCCGGCCTTCACCGGCGCTGGCTCCAACGTCCGGCCCACGGTCGGCTTCCTGGCCGCCGTCATGGGTATCATGGCTCTCCTCTAAACGGGCTCGTCCCAGTGAGTGTGATCTAACGACTACGTTACGATTGTTCGCGATCACCACAATGGGGTAACTAACGAAACCCATCTGTTTTTCGGTGTTCGGGTCCTGCTTAGAAAAAATTGACTTTTGTCTCTTTCGTCTCCTTTTTTGCTCTCGTTGCTCCTACTTTGGCTCCGGAGCGGGTGCTCTTGAGGCATCTCGTGGATGTATTATACTTTTGTACATACTGATCTGGGATGCCGAAGGACCCTGTCTCTGTCTTGAGTCGTCGATTGATTTGTGTCAGATACTGGCTTTAATACCTAATAATGCATAATAGTTACGTGGGCATAGCAGAATCGTAGATCTCTACAGACGCTGTTCGTAAAGGAACGGTTTGTGATGAAGTAAACAGAAATCCAACTTGACTCCACTCAGTATATGAGTGAACTCTGTTCTATATTGGTTATATGATCTATAAAGAAACCGAAATGAGGCATGGATTAAACGTGAAGATCGTGTGATATCATCGGCATAGCTTTTGGAAATGATGCGTTGTATGTAGTAGAGGAACGAAAAGTTTGATGGGAATTAGAAAACTACCGCTTACCCTCCAGCTCCTGCTCGACCTCGGCCTTTACAATCTCACGCACCTCCTGCCAGCCAGCACCGGGTCCGACGGCGGTCACGCGGCTCTCGCGCTGCTCGAGACCAATAAACTCCTGGGGCAGGACTTCAGTGAAGTCGTAGCCATCCTCAGCGCGCAGAGCCAGGTCGACGGCGCTGGCGAACTTGGCGGGGTGGGCAGTGGACAGGGAGATGTGGCTGACGCCGGGGTTACGCTCGATGGAGCGCAGAGAGGCGGCAACACCGATAGCGGTGTGAGGATCGAGAATGTAACCGCCGGTCTTGGAGCTCTTGGCACTGCCAGGGCCAAGGTTCGAGGGGAAGCAAGTCTGGTAGGTCGAGCGGATCTGAGCGATGGTCTCGTCGTTGCTCACACGCTCACTTTCGAATTCGACCTGAGCGGCCTCGAAGAGAGCGCGAGGCACGGTGAAGGTGCCCTGGGTCTTCAGCTGGTCGAGCCAGCTGCTGACATTCTCGCAAGCCTGCTTGCGACGCTCCTCGGCAGTGCTGCCCTCGCTAGTCTGGAAGGCCAGGAACCAGATGAGACGCTCGAAGTTGCTGCTGACCAAGATGTCCATGGCGGGGCTGTGGGTCTCCTTGACTCCGGCACCATTGCTGGCACCCTTGCTGTAGGTACCGCCGGTGCGGAAGAAACGGTCCAGGATGTCGTTTTCGTTGGTGGCGATAACCAGCTTCTCGGCAGGAAGACCCATGCGCTTGGCGAACCAACCGGCAAGGATGTCGCCGAAGTTACCGGAGGGCACGACGAATCTCATCTTGGAGTTGTAGCCAGGGGTCTTGGTCAGGGAGAGGTAAGAGTAGAAGTAGTAGGTGATCTGGGCCAAGATGCGCGCAAAGTTGATGCTGTTGATTGCGGCAAGGTTGTGGGTGGAGTTGAGTTCGGGGTCGGCGAACATGGCCTTGACGAAGTCCTGGCAATCATCGAAGGTGCCTTCCACAGTGAGGTTGTGAACGTTGGCATCGAGGATGGTGGTCATCTGGGCCTGCTGGATAGGCGAGACCTTGCCATTGGGGAACAGGATGAAGACGGACACATCCTTCTTACCACGCAGGCCGTAGATGGCAGCAGAGCCCGTGTCTCCGCTAGTCGCGCCAACAACGGTCAGGTGGTGTCTGTCCTTGCCCTCCTTGCCCTGGTTCTTGCGCACCAGGAAGTATTCAAACAGGTTTCCGAGACTAGTTTGATCAGCTCAGGGTTCTCTTCCCCGCAGCGCATGGTATCCAAAGACCTACTTTTGCAGGGCAACATCCTTGAAGGCAAAGGTGGGGCCGTGGAAGAGTTCGAGGAGGTGGAGGTTGCGCTTTCCGTCCAATTCGACCAGGGGGTGCGTTCGGGGTGGCGGAAGGTAGCATAGGAGCGGTTGATGATGTCTTTCAGATCTTCACTGGGGATCTCGGATTCGGAGATGTAGAGGGACATGATCTTGAAGGCCAGCTCCTCGAAACTCAGGTCGCGCCATTCCGACTCCCATGAGGCGGGGAGGGTAGGGATTTCCTCGGGGATGAAGAGGCCACCATCCGAGGCCAGACCCTTCAGGACCACTTCCTCGAAGGAGAGCTATATATCCCAACCCAGCCAGTTAGCGATTGAGTTCACTCCTTGCGATAAAACCAGACCAAACGACGACTTGAGGCACTTACGCCGTAGGAACCACCCCGCGTACTAAGGTATTTTTGCGAGAGAGTGTGCGACATGGTGGATGCAAAGGGAATAGGGTGAAGCAGGGGAATGAGGGGAATGAGGAGAACGGAGAGAGAATCGGCGAAGGAAGTTAGCCTCTGAGTCACTGGGGATTCTTTTGCGAGAGGCAAGAGGCAAGAAGATGCCGGAAAGAATCCCACTTCGCCGCGGGGAACCCTTCCCAATGCGGTCTAGTGGCGCCGACAGCGGCCGTGGCGACCACGTGCCGCCACGGCGGACGGCCTGAGGACTCCCTTTCCTATCGCTTATCTCCTGATCATTTCCTATCTCGATTCTCTCGATTCTCTATACACACTCGATGCAATCTATACATTCTATGTACTCTATACACTCTATCTAATCATATTCAATCATTGCTCATTCACCAACACGTAACGGTAGCGGGCCTTGCCAGCCTCCATGTTCAAAATCGCCTCGTTGGCATCCTTCATCGGGATCTCTTCAATCCAGGCCTTTACGCCCTTGTCAGCTACGAGCTGGAACATCTCGCGGATCTCGTCCGGACTGCCGATGAAGGAGCTCGTGGCCTTGAGGCGACGCTGCAGCTTACCGACGGGCGCCAGGAGGACGCCGTCATCCGGAAGTCCCACCTGAACCAGGCTGCCGTTCACCGCAAGCAGTCCCAGGTATTCGGTCATGGGCATCTATGTCCCGGTCAGTGTCTGAGTCGTTCTTAAACAGCCTAGTGTGTTCATAGCGTACCTTGGTTGAGGAAACTGTGCAGACGATCAGGTCCAGAGAACGGGCGTGCTTGGTGGCCCAGTCGGGCTCGTCATCTGTAGCAACATAGAGATCCGCACCCATCTGCAGAGCGTCGGCGGCCTTGCTGGCCTTCCGGGAGATGGCAACGACCTTGTCGGCACCCATCGCCTTGGCAAACAGGACACCAAAGTGGCCCAGACCACCGACACCGATGATTCCAACGCGCTTGCCAGGGCCGCAGCCGTTGTGCTTGAGGGGGCTGTAGAGCGTGACACCACCGCACAGCATGGGGGCGGCCTGCGCCGAAGGGATGCTGTCGGGGATCTTGACCACAAAGTGGGAGGGCGCCCGGTTGTACAAAGCATATCCACCATAAGACTTGCCGCCATTCAGGTGAACATTGTTGTACGTACCAACGATCTTGTGGGAGCAGTACTGTTCCCAGCCCATGGCACACTCGGGGCAGTCTCCGAGACGGCCCAGGCAGGAATCACTCTGCGCGCCAACACCCACGCGGTCACCGACCTTGATGCCACCCACGGCCTTGGATCCGACGCGCACGGCAACACCGACGAGCTCATGGCCTACACAGCAGGGGTATAGAGTGGGTCTCTGGAATGTATGTTAGGATCTCGAACCTCATCCCGGGGGCGGGTTTTCTGGGACATGACTTACCCAGCCACTGCGGAGGGTGTGCAAATCCGAACCGCAGATACCGCAGTGGGAGATCTTGATGTCGACATCGGTCTCCTCCCATTCCTTGGGCTCAAACTCTTGCCAGACCATCTTGCCTTCGGCCGCCTCCTTGTCGAGGCCCATCCATCCTTCGAACTTGTAGTCTTGAGCCATTGTGAATGGTATGGGGGCGGAGAGTCCTGTCTATGTCGCGGGTTCTGCGTGGTAAGTGGTAGATACTGGGGCAGTCCGATAAGGAACCGGCGTCGCCGTCCATCTTATAGACAGGCCGGTGGGGTTAAAATCCATGGATCGCCTGTCGGTTGGATCGGCATCTGGTACCTGAGGTCCACTTTTGTAGAAAAAGAAAAGCCAAGAAGGGCGAAGAAGGGATAGGACGATGATTATCCGGGTGCCATTTATCAGCAATCGAGCATTGAACTCCGCGACGGAGATGTGGATGTGGGATTGGAGAGATCATTCGTTTACGTATTGGACATTGCAAGGTGTGTGACCGGGTCGGTGGGTGCGGCGGCGACGGAGTCTTGCCTCGATCCGTTCGGGCCCGCGGCATCTCTCTCTCTCTCTCTCTCTCTCTTCCTGCTGCGATGATCGGCACTACTACTGCACCTGGATTCTGCAAACTCCGAGCAACTACAGGACGAGGGTCAGGGTTCCTGCAGATACAACGGCTTTTTCTTGCCCAAGCATCAATCCTCCAACCCATTCCGAAAACATTTCAAACAAGGTGTCGATTTCAACGGTCTAACTAGTAGTAGATAGGAATCTACTCCAAGTCTCCAACAGACCCGTACCGTACCTCTATTCTCTAAGAGTAAATGCTGCCACCGCCAGGCCCCTTCCCCTCCCCCCCACCACGGAAAAGTCCACCTTCAACTTACTCCTATTTTCAGGAATCAGGAGAGTAGGAGACATCCTCCCCCAAAAAGGGTCCAGCTGATCAAACCCCGGAACCAAGGATCCTGTTCCTTAGCACTCACTGACATATCCCTACTCACATACCGTGGCCGTGACCATGCAGATTATCAACTATCACCACAATGGTGGCGACATCTACCCTAGTACTATCTAATTTCGGTCTGTTAGCGCACCCACCAGTTAGTTATCTATCAGTTCCCATCGGGATGATTCCGGGCAATGGAATCGTAATCGGTCTTTGGATTTTTTGCCGAGTGCGCATCTCATCCCGATACTATCTAATACTGATACTGATACTACTACCTGATAGAGCACCAGATAATAATCCCCCATGGTGCGGGATTTCGGAATCAAATCCCTCTATTAATTTCTGGCACAACATACGATCTCGGGATCGGGAATGGAATCGGAATGATTGTAGCTGTTTAACGAACGATATTCCGAGTCATATGATGTAGAGTGCGGAGCATCTACGACGGGATTTGGAACAGTCCTCCCGGAATGAAAAAAGGACGAAGGGAGAATCTGGAATCGGGGTCTATCGGTGCAAATACCGGGTGGTGGTTATCAGCTACTAATCTAGATTTTATCTCGGACCAAAGAGGGGTATTTGTTAACATACAAGGACTGACCAGCACAGCTAGCTATGATTTTGGTCTAGTTGGCAAGTCGCGTGATTGCTCAGAGTATTCATATCATCTACTTCTGAGAATGAGGGAGCTTCTTCCTCGGATTCTCATACTTGATTGGGTTGATTGATTGTGTTTACACTTATAATGAACTAGTAAGTCGTTATTCCAGTGGTTGTGTTCATTCTCCCTGAGAATTGGATATGCTACCATCTGATTTTTGTCTTCCCCTTCTTTGGCAGACATATACACCATTCAACTACTGCAAATCCTTCATCACCTCCATCACTGTATGTACATCCTTATCGCCCCGTCCACTCAAGCACAGCACCACATGCTTCCCCTTGCCTAACTCCCGGGCGATCCTCACCGCTCCCGAAACCGCATGCGACGTCTCCAGCGCCGGGATGATGCCCTCCAATTGACTCAATAACCGGAATCCCTCGAGGGCCTCCGCATCTGTAGCAGAGATGAACCGCGCCCGGTTCGCATCCTTCCAATGCGCCAGTTCCGGCCCAACTCCGGGGTAATCCAGCCCTGCGGACACGGAATGCGTGTTAGAGATCTGCCCGTGTTGGTCCTGGAGTACGTACGTCCGGACCCCGTGTAGCACGCCTACTGAGCCTGCAGATAGCGTGGCCGAGTGCCTGACTGTACTGCCATCACCACCGGCTTCTACGCCGATGAGTTGGACGGAAGGATCTTCTGAGAAGGGATAGAACATGCCCACGGCGTTGGAACCACCTCCGACGCATGAGATGACGGCATCGGGGAGGTGACCGGTTTCTTGCTGCAATTGGGATTTGGTTTCCTCGCCGATGATGGATTGGAAGGTGCGGACAATGGTGGGGAAGGGGTGTGGGCCGATGGCTGAGCCGATAATGTAGTGTGTCGTGTCGAGGCGGACGATCCAGGCTCGGAAGGCTTCATTGACGGCGTCGCGGAGCGTGCGAGAGCCGGATTCAACAGGAACAACTGTGGCCCCGAGAAGGCGCATACGGAAGACATTGAGGGCCTGCCGGCGCACGTCTTCAGAGCCCATGTAGACGGTGCATTTCATGCCGAACTTGGCGCACACGGTTGCCGTCGCGACACCGTGCTGCCCGGCACCTGTTTCGGCGATGATCTCGGTTTTGCCGAGCCGGCGTGCTAGGAGGATTTGACCAAGAGCGTTATTGATCTTGTGTGAGCCGGTGTGGTTGAGGTCTTCGCGTTTGAGCCAGATGGTGGCGCCGTCGGCGTAAGAGGTCAGACGGGGGGCCTGGTGAAGAGATGAGGGCCGGCCCATGTAAGGATAGAAGGAGCGGTATTCCGCCCAGAAGGCTGGATCCGCTATGGCCTCGTTGAATCCAGCCTCGAGCTCGTTGAGGCAGGTTGTTAGGGCTTCAGGGACGTATTGCCCGCCGTAGGTGCCAAAGCGACCGGGCTTGGGGGCTTGAGTTGGTTGATCTGGAGTGGAGGAATGCGATGGTGTTGAAGTGGGTTCGATGGTGGTTGGTATCGTGTGAGGCTCGGTTTGGACAGTTCGACTGGTGATCTGGAAGCAGTAGTTCTGGATGACAGCAGCTCCCTGGCCTGCAGGGGCATTCGCTAACTGGGTAATAATCTCGCTGCCGATGACTGCGCCGTCTGAAACAGAAGTCACACTGAGGAAATGTTCACGGGTGCTGATGCCAAAACCAACAGCTACCGGCACCCCGCCAGAGAGGTGCTTCACCCGCTTCATTAGCTCCGGAAGGTCATGGCTTAGAGTGCCGGTGGCGCCGGTAACGCCCATTCGGGAGACAAGATAGATGAAGGAGTCGGCTATTTCGCAGAGCGTCTTCATGCGGTCTTCTGTGGTAGAGGGGGCAATCAACGGGACGTAGGAGAGACTGCCATGGCCCAGATGTCAGTGGAATGATGGACCATTGTGAGTGCGACGGAGACATGGATAGAGAGCTGTACTGACCCAGCATTGCTGCACTGATTTCGGAAGCGAACAGCCTCCTCTGGAGGTAGATCGACGATGATGAAGCCGTTCACCCCGGCCGCCCTGCTCGCAGTGAGGAGTTCAGCGTCTCCGTAGCGCATGATTGGGTTGTAGTAGCCCATGAGGAGAACAGGAACATGCAGCCCTCTTTGACGGGCATCCTTCACCATCTGCAACATGGAGGATATTGTGACGCCGTTTTCAAGTGCTTTGAGATTTGACATTTGTATCGTCGGGCCGTCGGCGATGGGGTCTGTGAAGGGAAGTCCGAGTTCAATGACATCTGCCAGGACATTAGCATACCGATTCATGTCCACGGAAGGGAGGAGAGGATGGAGACCTACCTGCTCCTCCGTTCTGCATTGCGAGCATGATGTCTGGGGTTTCCGCAGCAGTGGGAAAGCCGGCCGTGACATAGGTCACCAGCGCCGGCCGGCCCTCCTGCTGGCACTGGGCGAAAGTCTTCTTCAGATGGTCCATTGCGATGAATCAAGCCCTGTTGATTCGAGTCTCACGAATTGGATAAGGGGAGGAGTGGAATATTAATTTCGTTACCATGAAAACGGGGGGGTATTTATGGGAGCTGCTGTGACTCACCCGGCCAGAAGGCCACGACGAAGGATTCTTGCCGGCCCCAACACTGGCAGTTCCCCCCGTGGGTAAGATTCTCTCCAATTGCGTCCATAAGGCACAAGGAAGCAAGATAAACAACAAAATACGTAGAATGAATAGATGCTCGTGAGGTTCCGAGCATGGGATATACAGATAGGCGGAAACACTCAGTATGGGACAGAGATGAAAACAGACCAGAAAGAGGAATAAAAACAAGCTTGGCCCAAGAGAACAAAGACGATCTATATTCAAGAGCATCGACGGAATTATGTGTGCTTTTGGCTCAACTTCCCGGCACCTCATTCAGCTATACGAAATCATGCGCCATCATACATCCATGGCCCGTCGCGCTCTAGAATAATGACATGATATCCTCGTTCGTCTTCTTCGGTTGGCTCCCTCCGGGAGGTGGCGACGCCATGCTGCCTCCGGACAGGTCCAAACCATCGAAGCCATTCATCAAGTCCGTTCCGGCGCCACCGCCATTGGGAGCGCCGCTCCCGCTGGCCGAGGCGGTGGCTCCGCCATCGCCGAATACTCCCAGCAGGTCGTCCAGGTTGTTGCTTCCGGCAGGGGCACCCACGGCAGGCGATTCCACCCGGACAGGCGTCCCGGCAAGACCTTCGAGACCCGACATTCCACCACTCGGTTCCTTTTGGGCGGATGCCGGTGCGGTACCATCGAAATCGATGTCCAACAGGTTCTCCATGTTGTTCTGGGCCTGAGGTGGGGGCGCACTGCCAGTGACTGCCGCGGCGGCCGCTGCTGCCGCCAACGGGTTTTCTCGAGCATTTTGAATTTGTTCTCTGGAAAGGACTTATTAGCATGTGACCCAAGAGATTGTTTACAGAAAGGACGGAACATACTCGATAGCCGCTCTCTGGACAGCATCCGCACCAAATCTGCCCTGGCCGACAAACTGCTCCGGGGGCTTGTGGTAGACAGAGGCAAGAGTGGACAGCTCGCCAAGCAGTTGCTCGAGGAGCGCTGGGGGGAGAGACTGGATTGTGGTGACGATCGGCGGTTTGTCGGAGAGTACAATGGTCTTGGTGGCATTGGGGTCACTGGTGTTGGACAGCAAGCGCCAGTAGACGTAGGCCCGATCACGGACGTCGGGGTTGTCGTTCTCAGCCGTGGCCGCCTGCAGCACTTTCTGGACAAGCCCTTGAGCCTTCTCGGGCCGTTTAAGGAAGAGCTTGACAACGGCCGTCAAAATTTGCAGTTGAGTCTGCATGGGGTGTTAGCCATCCACCATGAAGCTTGTGGAGGATAATGACAAACCTGAGAGAACTCCTCGTTGAAGCCTTCCACGAAACCAGCCAGAATATCACCCGCATTGCTGATCTTTTCCGCATACTGGCCAACGATCCAGATGAGCGCAGCCCGCGCATTAGGCTCGTCCAGTTCGTCAATGCACTGGCAGAGCGTGGGGATGATTCCCTCGTAACCAGGGTATTTCCGGAAAATGTCCTTGATGACCACGATCGCCTCTTGCACCACATAGTTAACCTTAGTATTGATGAGGTCCAACAAGGTGTTGACGCATCTTTCGCTAGCGCTCTCGATCTTGATGGCGACCTGACCAATAGCTTTAACGGCGCGGCGCACAAAGTCCATGTCCACTTCCAGCGCGTACTCCTTCAGCTCCGCCAGGAGCTGGTCGACGTTCCGGTCGTTGGCTATGCGGACCATAATCTCCAATTTCTGAAACTTGACATAGGGAGGGTCATTGTACTTGCAGAAGAAGACCCGGAGTTCCTTGTTCAGGATATCGGGCTGCTTCTGCAGCAACAGATCGATGTTCCTTAAAGCCACATATTGGACTTCGGGCGCGGACGACACCAGCGTCACTGAATCATAAGTCATCAGCTAGGCCAGTCATGCCAAAGAAAAGGATGCCTTACCTAGAGGGGGGGCCATCTTCTTGAGGTAATTGCTTGCCAACTCAGCGTTGACGTTTCTCATATGGAGGAAAACCACTTTGACGGCCGCCAACACCACACTTGGGTTGGCATGCTGGAACTGGGGAGAGACACGCTCGCAAATGTGCTCGGATTCGGTAACTTCTGAGGTTTTGTATTCTGCCAGGGTAGTCAAGATGGTGACACGACCCCACTCCGTGCACTCGTTCAAGGCCATAAGAAGCTTGCGCAGGGTGTTGGAGGTCACCTTCAGGGCCTGAGTTTCGGGGGCAGCGTGGTAGATTTCCGACAGCGCGGTGACTGAATTCGCGACCACCATGGGGTTGGGATCACCGATCATTTCCTGCAACATTTCGAGGAAGCCGTTCTCCAGACACATCGCGGGGTTCAAGTCAAAGAGCTTCGCCACGCAGATCGCGGCGGTCTTGCGGACATACGGCGACTCATCGCGGAGCGTCTTGCGGAGTGGCTCCTCCATGTAATCCACCATCTTGTCCACACGGATACAACCCATTGTCCGGATCGCAAGGGCTCGGATGAGGGGGTTCGGGTCTTCGGAATCTTGAACAAAGGTATTGACGGCGAGAATGCACAGATCCGGGTGGGATTTAGCGTAGTTCCTGTTATGCAGCAAGTAATCAGTAACGATCGATTTAGGGAGCAGCATTGAGCACCCACATGAGATATAGATATACTAGTTTCTTCTGTTCAAGATCACTGGTCGCGATGTTCTTCAGGACATCCGGGAACAGAGCGGAGACATCCTTGCCCAACGTCATGGCCATGATGGTCTTCTGGATAGACTCCTTTCTGTGAGCGCATTAGACGGCTTTTCACAGAACAGCCCCGTCTCAGGACAAGCGAGAGCCATATAGACATACCGTTCATATGCATACTGAGATCTACCGGCGAGGTCAGCACCATTTAACCGGTCGGGGTACGGGAGAGGCCATACACCAGACCAGCTCGCAATTCGAAGGTCTCTCCTTTCTTGGGGACCGCAAAGGCCCCCTTATCCTACTCATAGCCATGATGAGCGAAACTGGGCTTCAGCGACGACGGGGTCGCGCCTCCGCAGGACCAGATTGAACCGGAAGTGGGAATGCAGGAGACTGCGGGGAATTGGTCGCGAGGCGGCGAGAGCTTCAGGGTGAGCCGGGCACGGGAGCAATCCGGCAGAGGAGGATTGAAGGAGGGAAAGGAAAGAAAAGGGAGGAATCAAAAGAACAGAGTCAGAGAAGAAAAGCACCACAGGCCCAGAGGCTAAGAGGGAGAGGGTGATGGGGGGGGGAGTAGGAGGCCGGGCAGTAAGTGGAAGGTGGACAACAGGGAGCGAGTCGAGCGAGAGTGTCTGGGCCCGATGGACGGCTGGCGGCTGGCCTTACCGCAGTCGCGGCTCAGTCTTTCTTCCCCGACACTACCACCGCCTCCACCTTTCTTCTGTTGTCCACCGAGCTACCGAACATCATGGTACAAACCCGATTATCCTGCAAATTAGACTGTACTAACTTCAGATCTCCCCAGGCAAACCTCCCCAATCTCCGACGCCTGTTCGTCGAGGCCAGAACAGAAGCCGAAGAGAACGAGCACTCTAGAACTGCGGTAAGATACCGCGCGTGTACCTCCCCTGGTGATCCAGATGATTGACTGGCATGCTATGCAGTTTTACAACCTCGTCCTGTTCATCTCCTCCGTCGCGGTTTTCAGTTTGGTGGCTCAACGCATGGGCGGAACAAAGTCGGGGAAATGAAGAAAGATGAGCCAACAGAGATGGAATTGCTCTCAAGATTATTCAATTACCTCGAACGTCATTACGATCCACAGCCTGCTCCAGGCAGATACTGCGACAGCTAAACATCCAGCAACCGTCATCCGCTATCAGTCTGTTTCCTCACCCTCGCTCTCTAAAAAGGCTAGACTCTTGCGCCCGCGATTCAGCCGCCGTTTTGGTCGACTGTCGTCACTGTTTTCACTGGCGTCTTCTTTACCCCATCGCTTGGCCCCCTCTTGGACCATCTCCAGGTCAGTCTTGAGTTCGCGCTCCTCACGGATTCGATTGGCCTTGTCGACCGAGTAGCGCCCTTCCATGCCCGCTTCTTTCAGCATGCCCTTGAGGTGATTGATCTTCGCCTTGGGCGTGCTGTAGGGAGCCAGCTCCCGTGCCCACATCTTGCGAATGCCACACTTCAGTAGCCAACCCTGCAGTCGCTTGATCTCTGCTTGGTTGGGGTCGATATCTGCATCTTTACCCTTCGCCGTTGTCTGTTTCTTAGTCTTTTTTGAGGGTGCGTCGGCGCTTTTCTGTCGTTTGCGACTGGGCTTGGGCTTGGGCTCCTCGTCCAGAACCACCGACATCTCGCTCTCGGAGTCGTCTTTCCGCGTTTGGTTGACCTCCGTTGTGGCCTCCTCGTTATTCTCGCTATCGGACTCATCCCGCACGTACTCCTCTGAGGGCTTTGGCGATGGCTTCGGCGACGGCTTCCTCTGCGTTCCCTTGGGTTGTTTCTTGGTGGGCTTCTCTACCTCATCTTCGTCTGACTCGCTAGCTGCGTTTTCGTCATCCGATTCCGCGGCGGTCTTACGGCGTTTTCTTGACGCTGATGTTTTCTCTTGTTTTGTCCTTTTGGCGGGCTTAGCATCTTCGGAGGCAGATAAAGCAACATCTTCTCGGTCGTCATTTGGTGTGGAGTCCTCGGCAGCTTTTTCTTCTTCTTCCTGTACACGGCAAAACAAGTCAATAGATGTCTCTTGTTCTTAAGAATGTATCATGCGTGACCAATACACGGAACCACACCACCAACCCGCAGACTCACCACCTGATCCTTGATAATCCGTTCACTCCTTGTCTTCCAGTCCCCCTGAGACCTGTAGAACCCTTCTTCAAGCTTCAGCGACTTCTCCGCAGCCAAGCGCATCCGCTTCACAGTCAATTCCTCCATCCTCCCGGACTTGTATACCTTCGCAACAGCGTCACGTAGCGCGCGTTCCAAGACATCACCGGTAGGAATCGCAGGTGCGGACTCAGCCTCAGACTCTGGCTCGGAGCTCGAAAGGGCGTATCGTGGGGCCATTGTGATCTTGGCCGTGGTGAATTGCTTCTCCGTCGCGATAACGTCAATCGTCGCGTACTACCTAGAGGAACGCGGAGCTAATTTGCCAATCAACCACCTATCGCGTCAACGCCACAGTACCTCGCACACGCGACACGCAGAAGCATATGCACTGTCCAGAGTTAATTAGTATCAACCTAAAAACACGCTAGGCAGAAGAGGCCAGACAAATTCCCTAAATTGTAGGCAACAACAGATGCTGGAGACTCCCTCCGTCTATCCAAGGAGCGGAGCGGAGATAACTCGGCTGACAAAGCCGGCACCGGGACGATCTAGAATCCGGAGAGATTGTTGCCCATTCCGCCGGTGCAACTTTCGCGCGCATTACCAATCATTTACCATCCGGGCAGATAAATGAAAGATTGTTCCTGGAAAGGTCCGCGGAGACTTACCCTTATTCCTAGGATCAGGACAGGACCATTCCGAAGTCGTGTACATACATACTCATCGCGAATTGACTGACATATTACTACTACCGCATACTTCTCGTGAACGAACCCCGAATACCCTCACCACCATCACCAAGTACTACTACGTACACCAAACACAATGTCAGATTCGAATAACCCTGGGCTAGACACCCAAAAACACCTCTTCATTTATCAACAGCAACAAGCCACAGCCTCCTCCTCTTCCACTCAACAACCATCAACACCAGCATCCACGAAAGATGACTCCGTCCCCGCGGGGATGACCAAACTCCCCAACGGCGTCATCCTCGACAAAGACGGGAAACCGTACGTCTGACCTCATCCCTTCCCTCCCATCCAACATCCCCAAACTAATATCTCATCTCAGATGCCGTCTCTGCACCTCCGCTGCCTCCTGGCGCGCCCTCACCAAACAAGCCAAATCCACCCCCACCACTACCGCCGCCGCCAGCACCCCCTCCTCCACCACCCCAACAACAGGATCATACACCGACTGTCCCCCAGACTCCGAAGCCCTGGGCCGCTCAACCTGGACCTTCCTCCACTCCCTCACAGCGTCGTACCCGGTGCGGGCCTCCAACGAACAACAATCCGAGATGCGGACGTTCCTAGGGATCTTTTCGCGGTTGTATCCGTGCTGGGTATGCGCTGATGACTTCCGGAATTGGATGGCGGAGCCGAGCGGGGCGAATGAGCCGCGGTTGAATGGGCGTCAGGAGTTCGGGGATTGGATGTGTAGGGCGCATAATGAGGTGAATCGGAAACTGGGGAAGAAGGAATTCGATTGTCGGCTTTGGGAGGAGAGGTGGCGTACCGGGTGGAAGGATGGGAGGTGTGATTGATCTCGCTATTTATGTGGGAGATATGGGGGGTTGTATGAATATGTTTAGATGTAGTAGATATAGATTATGATTCTTGGGGAGGGAAGGGGTGTACTTGTACGTATTATGGGAGTGATGGATGGTGGTAATAGGTGGTGTTGCTGTATATAACACTGAGATATCTACTCTGCATTTTGGCTTCATCAAGCATGAACCACGTCAATACTATCTCACCCTCTTTATCTGTACAGGAGCAAGCGATGCAGAAGAATGTCAAAAACAAATAGTAAAGTAATAGATATACCTAATGTCGCTGAGAATTAAGAAAATCAACCGGTCCATACATCAGAGAGCACGGACCCTCGGCCCTCACCAGAAAACGCATTTTCTATCATGTTTGCACATCGAGAGACGGGGAATTACAAGCGTGAAGAAAAGGAAAGCCGTCGCATCTCGTCATCATCCTCAGTACTGGCCCGGAACGAACAAGCGCAGGCCGCTGGCCGGCGCGCCGATCTCCGTCACTTCCGAGATCCGGCATACGGTGCCCTTGTACTGCTCGTGGTACTTGGCTCCCGTGAAGGGATCCGACACGCTCGGCGATCCGTGGTAAATCGGTGTGTACGAGGCAGCACAGATGTCGAACTCGGCAAACTGGTCGAATCCGATGTCGATCTTGTCCTGCGGACTGCGCTCGCACTGCGCCTTGATCTTTCTAGCCTGGTTCATGGGTTAGTGTGGAATGGTTGTAGGAATTGGAAGGCTTGCTTACCTGTTCCAGAAGCTTAACGGCGCCACCGTTGGCCAGCATGCGGTTGGCGAAGCTGAGGGCCGACGAGTAGTTCTTGTTGGCAAAGGCAAGCTTCATGGCCGCCATCAGGGCCAGTTGCCGGTGTGCAACCTCCAGCTTGGGAATCGTGAAGTACGCAGAGAGCTCGAGGCTTCTCTTGAGGTTGTCGGGGGTGTCGGTGGGGATGGAGCGACGTTCCAGTTCAATTGACATCGCCAGGATGTATTCCCGGGCTGTGTCAATGATCTTCTTTGCCTGTTCCACCTCTGCTTCGGACGAGACTGTGTTGATCAGGATTGCATTCAGAATGCCTCTGAAGATCTTAACACCATCTTCCAGCTTGTTGGCTCTCATAGCGGCGTAACCCTCCTGCAGGTCCACATTGGCGATCGTCTCCAGGTCCTTCGGGATAATAGGCAGAACCTTGCGGCTATCCGTCTCATCGACGGTGCGGCGCACATAGTTCACCAAGGGAGGCAGGCCAGTAGTCGCGGGGAGGTAAGTCTTGGACGCCTTGTACACCTCCAAGAATCGCGGCTTGAGAGGAGCAAAGTTGACCGCTCCCACTTGACGGTTAAGCAGCTGCATGGCGGTCTCAAAGGAACCAGCAGCGACGTGGTCAGCAGCCAGAGGGGAGTTGCGAGCCCACAGGTCGGCCTCTGTGCTACCAGCACCGGCCTCTGCGCTGTCAACGTTCACAAAATCAACGTCCTCTTCGACGTTGATCTCGTCTCCCATGTCCCAACCAGCGACATCCTCTTCCTCATCCTCGAGGGTATCGCGCGCAGTAACAGCGTCACCTTCCTCCTCAGGCTCGAACTCAATTGCTGCAACCTCCTCATCGCCAGCGCCAACTTCCCCAAGCAGAGCCTTCTCGAATGAGGAATGACCGGCGGCCTTGACAGGCCAGTTGGACTTGAAAGTGGGAGCAATGGGGTGCGGAACTCGAGCAGGCTCATCGACTGTGGGAAGGGTGATCTGGTCTTCCGTGAGCCCGCAGGCTTCGAGGATTGATTCAGCCTCCTCCGTCAAGCCGTGAGACTTGGCAGTAAGGTATGCCAGGGGATCTATCATCGATTAGGGAGGGCTCATCACGAAACACTTGCGAGAAATGACTTACATAGATCAACTTCCTTGAACATCTGAATCCGGTCCTCAACGTCGCCGCGGTAAATAGCGTTCTGGAAGCGCGAGGTGAAATCACCACGGTGCTCGGCGATCTTGGCCATCCTGGCGAGTTTCTCCTGATCACCAGTCGAGAGGTACAAGAAAGACAGCTTATCGAAGTTCCTCTGCTTCTGGTAGGCCATCTCAACCGTCTGGTGGTTGCCATGAGCCAGAGCCTCCGCTCCGAGTCTGCTCCACAAGTTGGGGCGGTCTAATTCCCTGGCCATCTCGATAGCTACCTCAAGGTTGCCGCACTCCAGCGCGAGCTCAAAGCGAGTCTGGGGGTCCTGCACGAACTGCAGCGCGATCTCCGGGTAACCCTTCTTTTGCAGGTACGAAATGATACTTTGGCCGACCAAGCTGGAAGTCTTGATGATCTGTAGCATCTCGTCATAGTTCCTCTTGACAAGCGCAAGCTTGAAGCGGTACTCGGTGGGATCAATCTCCAGAACGCGAGGCTTGGCATTGCGATCCAGGCAGTAAACATTACGACCCTTAACCTTGACGAGATAAACAGTCTGGTCCAGGGTGCGGATGATGCCATTGTCACTGTGATACTGTCAGCTATACTACCCATCGCACCACAGGAAGGGGGACATACCCGTTCAGAAGGGAGTACTTGACGTGGTTCAAGGTGGAGTAGAGAAGGACGCCAGCGTCATCCCAGGCCGCGCTCTTGATCCGGATGGTCTCGTGCAAGCTGCTCACTTGCTCAAGGGACTTGGTCACAATGGTAACGTTGTGCTTGCTGAGTAGAGCGGCGTAGAGGCCATCATTGGACCAGACGACGTACTTGACACCGCTCACGGCCAACTCTGCCAATTGTTTCTTCTGTTGGATGTCGAAGAGAACGACAGTCGTAGGCGTGATAAAGAGGAGACATCCGGTCCCACCAAAGTAGATGTCAGTAGTTCCGGCTGGAGGCTTGATCGATTTCGTGGTCGAGTTGCTCAGATCCTTAATGTCCACCTGCTGATTTCCTTGGCTAAAGACAGCGAATCTGTTGCGTGCAACAAAGACAGCAGAAGAGCCCTGGCCGCGCTTGACATCCGTGGGTTCGACGGCACCAGTGGCATCCCTCGGGAGGTGAATCAGTTCATAGGTGCCACTGTCGGTGGGGGAGGTGACCAGGATGGCACGCTCAGCGGGGTTGTACGAGAGGGTACGAGGTGGCACCCAAGGAGATCCCAGCTTGCGCAATGAGAGCATCGGAGGGGTCTCAATGTTCTTGGTGAAATCATACGACTTGACGTGCTTCTCCTTCGTGATGTAGAAGAGCTGGTTCTGGTGGATGGCAGATGCCGGTCGCTCCCGCTCAAGCTTGAAAACCATGACACCAGTGTCGTGGCCGGCAGCAAACAGATTGATCTCCGGGTGGGCAGCGATGACCCAGAAGCGATCCATGTCGCGCTTGAACGACTGTACGGACGTCCTCTTGTTCAAATCCCAGCACCGGATAGTCTTATCCTCGCCGACGGAGAGGATAAGGTCCTGGTGAGGGTGGAAGAGACAGGCAGACGCATTCTGGAAATGGCCACGGCAGGTATCGACTTCCCACGCTTTCGTGTCTATACACCCATGTCAGCATCATATACCGCATCCCTCCATATGCATCCTGGTAACTTACCACTCATCCTCCAGAGCTTGATGAGACGATCGTCACCCGCGGAGACAATCAGAGGCAGGGTCGGGTGGAACGACACCCAATTGACACCCCGGTCGTGGCCCTCCAAAACAAACTTAACCACCGCATCAGTGTTTCCAAACATGTCTGCCTGTGCGGGGTTGGCGCGGGCCATCTGATCTTCGAAGGACATGGACGTCGGGGCCGAGTGCTTCTTCCGCAATCCCGAAATATCCCAAATCCGAACCGATTGGTCCAATGAGGCGGAGGCGATAAGGTCTTCGGTAGGATGGAACTGCGCGCACATCACATAGTGGTTGTGACCGGTCATGGTGCAGACTGTGAATGAACCGTCAGCACCCCTCGGGACAGGTGGCCAGATGCCGACTTACTCAAAGATCTGTTCTGCCAATTCCATATTCTGATCGTCTGGTCATCTGAACACGAGAGAATCCAGGGCAGTTCATGATGGAAGAACACCGTCCGCACGTAGTCCAGATGGCCGTTCAGTGTGAACATGCAGCGGCGGGTCTGGTAGTTCCAGACCTTGATCTTGTAGTCGTCACCTCCAGAGACGAAGAGGGGCTGTGTTGGGTGGAAGTCAATGCCGCGAACGGGACCATCGTGTTCTTCGAAGCGATCAATGAGGGTTCCCATGCGGTAGTCCCATAATTGGATGGTTGATGAATGAAGGGATACTAGGATCCATGGCCTGCTCGGGGGTCAGCAGTGATCAATTGCGACGCGTCGAATGGATGATCGTTAACTGACCGCTTGGGGTGGAAGGCAATTCCCTTCGCGCGGGAGGATTTAGATTCAAACTATTGAGCGAGAGAGGGAAGTCAGTTCTTGTCCGTGAGGGCAGCAGCTCCGCGGCGATAGGGGGGGGGCTGGCATTGGGAGGGGACAACGGACCTTGGTGAGCATGTTGGGAGAGGACTGCATGTTGAAGGAGGGTTGGCCGGAGCCGCACCATAGAGAAGCAAGCTCCGCACACAGGGGTAGAAAGAGGTCAGAAAGGCGACCACTGCATCCACTGCAACGGCGGGAGGAATGAGCAAAAGATACGGGGAAGAGTGTCTGGACTCTGGGCAGCTGGTGGTTCCGTCTGGATGGCGGTAAACGTGGACTTATTGTGTCGCCCGCCCGGCGCAGCCAATAGCCAATAAGCGAGTCCCGCGGGCCAATGATGGGCCCGGCGGTGAGCAGCTGCCGGGGCGTGGCATCGCTCTCCGTCACGGGTCCGTCGTTGCGCCTCTCTTCTCTTCTCCCTCCTTCACTTGGGTTCCGGTGGAGTACCAGAGCTGAGAAATAGACGGTGATCTCACCTCCGCCCCCCTTCTCGATGCTTCTTCTGGTCTTCCCCCGGCGGGAATCCCCATTGCCTGCCCCCGCAGAATGGGACCCAGCGCGATTTCCTTATCTTGGCCCCTTTCTGTCTGCTACGAGAACCGTTTGAGCCTCTTGGTCCTAACTTTCCCGTCTGCGTCAATTTGTCCTTATCATTAAACTGAATATAAACACATTTGCTTGTGATCTCGCTTCCTATTGGACCATCCTGTTTATTATTCGATGCGCATGTGTCTCTTACCAACACTTACCAGATCAGCATCTAACCATCAGAAGAGCGGCATCATTAACAAAATTATCTATTCCAATCGGGCTGACACATAATGACGGAGGTGCTCGGAAAGGGAAACCCCCATATATTTGTTCAACCACACGATGAACCGGACGCATTTTCGTTTCCGTCGCGCAGCAACAGAGGCAGTTCAGGGATTCCATCAGGCGCAAGTGCAGCCCATTCAGAAGAGGATACAGTATTCAACAGCAGGTCTGAGGGGTGTGGCGACGTAGTCCAACCGTACGCCATCGAAGAGCCAGAAGATGATCCGATGGAGACCGCGGGGAAATCGGCAGGCAAGCCGGTGATACACCTATATCTGGGAAATAGTTCGGACATATGGCAAGGAGAACTGGTGGATTCAATGGAGGGCCTCTATTGCGACCCGGACTGTGCCAATCACCAGTCGACCATCAACCACAAAAGAGGCAAGAAAAGAAGGCCATCAGCGACGGCGGCAGGGTCATTCCGACTGTTTAGACAGTTGTCATCTGGCACGACGCCCGATAATCAATACGACTGGTCTATCGATGCCACCAAAAGGAGACGCAGGAAAGGCAGATGCGCAAGGGAGCAATTTACGGCGTTCCCAGGAACGTTCTGGCAACACGAAGCCAATGAGACTGAATCGTCCGATAGCTTCATTTCAAGGTCTCCATCAACAGATGCCAGTGAAGCTCAACTCGCCGGATACACCGGGACCGATACGATGGAAATCGATGAATGAGGTATTTCTGCAAGAAATTGGCTGCCTCTACTTGGTCAATCAGACATCCATGCTTCAGTGCCATTCCCCCGGATTTAGAAACGCGACACGTGACGTAGTAGACGCGGCGCTAGTACACAAAGAACTGGACCCTGTATGACGTCACGCGGCCCTCATCGCCGTCACCGGCGAGTCTGGAGCCCATTGGCGACAACCAAGCGATCGTCCATTCTCTTCGTCCACTCAACTCTCATCGTTGTCTTTGCCTGCATTCATACCTGTCGATTCCCCCTTCAACCGCCTGACATTGGCTACGATGGCAACCAGAACGTCCACCCGTCAAGCTGCTCAAAAGGCGAAGGAAGCCATTGCGGCCGCTCCCGACGTCAAGAGCCGGGGTGCTGCTGGCACGAAGCGCAAGGAAAGCACCGACAAAGGCCCTGCGCCGAAAAGAGGCAAGAAGACGGAAGACAAGGTGACGCCGAAGACTCAACCGCCGGCGACAGACGAACAGAAGGCCACAGATGGTATGGCCCATACTCAATTGACTACGGATCTAGGCTGATGCGATTAGAAGGGGCGGAAGTGCCGGAGAAGAATGACGTAAAGTCTCCAGAAGAACCCAAGAAGTCAGTCGAGGAGGAGCCCGATAGGAAGACTGAGGAAGTGTCTGTGGCGAAACCTGCAGAGGAGCCTATCGAAGAACCTGAAGAGAAACCTGCGGGAAAGCCGGATGAGAAATCCGAGCAGAAGGACGAAGAACAGAGCGGAGAAAAGCCGGACGAGACGGAGAAGCTAGAGGAGAAATCTCAGCAGAGTGAAGTGAAGAACGAAGAAAAGCCGGAGAAGACAGAGGAAATGCCAGATAAGAAGCCAGAGGAGAAGCCAGAGGAGAACGCCGCTCCTGCTCCTACTGACGGAACCAAAGCTGGCGTGAAGACATCCCAAGAGCGGGAAGAAAAGGTTGCATCTAACGTGCTTGAAAAGGGAATTATATACTTTTTTTACCGACCGCGAGTCAATGTTTCAGACCCTCATAGTATTAACGATGTTGCCCGGAGCTTTCTGGTACTGCGACCAATGCCCATTGGTGCCACACTGGATCAACAACAGGGGTCCGTGGAGCCTGGAGCGAAGTGCCGGCTGATGATGCTGCCTAAGAAGAAGTTCCCGACCTCCGGTAAAGAGCGGGACATGGGGTTCGTCGAGAAGACCGGCCAGTCCATGAAATCGCTGCAAGAAAACTTCATTGCTGGTAATACGTACGAAACGTCAACCCGCGGCGAGCAAAGCGTTCCCGAAGCCAGACCGTATGCAGAGGGCGTCTACGCGATCACATCTACCAAAGGGTCATCCCACTTGGCCTACGTCTTGACTATTCCGGAAACGATCGGATCGATCCAGGAAGACTTCGGTCTGCACTCTCGTGGCAGCTGGGTCATTCAGTTGAAGAATCCCAAACACCCTGGCCCGTCATATGCCCATATCAACAAGGAACCAGAGTATCCTGAAAGGTAGGAACGAGCTGATAGCCCTCATATATAAGCTTGGACAAGCCAGTTACTGATAGAGTGTAGTGTGCGTGAGAAGTTCGGTGATTATCGTTGGGTTCCAGTTCAGCCCGAATTCATCGATTATCCCAATGCACAGTTCCTGATGATCGGAGCGGCCACCGACGACCTGGGCAAGGCCGCGACGGCAGAAGATGGCGACAAGCAGGCCAACGAAGAGCAGCCCGACGATGAACTGGAGAAGCTGGAGCAAAAAAATGAGGAGCGGATCGAAGGACTGCGAGGTGAGTCTCGACCCTTTGGTCGTCTTTCCTTGCCCATGATACTAATCTATGCCAGGCAACGATACGATTTATGAGGATCTGGGATTGGATGCGAAGAAGTATCCAAAAGTGCCGACGACCTGGAACAGCAAGTGAAGGGTTGAGTGTTGACAAGATCAAAAATGTATGATATGATAGAATCAAAAATATTGTAGCCAGTGATCCCGTGTGCGCTTTTACCACTATGTAGATGACTCGACGATGACCGGAGTACCCCGCACTTAGCCTCCCACGAAGGATTCGTACAGTGAAGTATAATAATAGAGGGTAAATCTATCCATAGTTTCCTCTGTACTCTCCTCTGAAGACCATATAGTTGCACTTTATCAATAATCGCAGGGATTGCCACTACGTCACCGTGGTCTAGTTTTCTCCTTTCTGGGGATCGGATTTTAGCGCATTCCCGAGATCGGAGCTTCTTTCACCATCCGCTTACAACACAACATTATCTTGCAATTTCAACCATCTTGAATTTCTCCCAATATTTACCTCAAGATGTCAACCATAGAGCTTGGAGATTCAATTCCATCCCTCACACCCCATGTAAGTTATGTGTCCGTGTAATCGCTCTTGTGGGCTCGGAGTGCCAAGTGGTGAGTCACAAACTGACCCTTTCCATAGGCTGTGAGTGTGTCTCTGCCAACATGGAGGGATAATGTGGGTTACGAGGAGGGCGACAAGCGCGTCTTAGACAAACTTCCAACGGGTTATCCACGGTATATACTTGATATCTTAGGCCTGATAAATCCTCAACTAATCCCTTGATCAGATTCTTCATCCACAAACTCATTGTGGCTTTTGCGGATGACATTGTCGCTAAATATGGAACCCCGGATCAGACGGCTATGCTGTTTCCATTTAGCAAGATCTCTCAAAGATGTCTTGACTTCATCAAGGCCAAAGCCGAGTCTGGCTTTGCTGGAGACATCAAGATCATCAATCTGTTCCTCGATAAGAGCAAAGAGGTGTCGGACATGATTGCGAAGGTCTCACCCTCGGTATCGGCTGTGATCTTCCACAAAGATCTCTTCCCCATCGCGAAGCAATACTGGCAGCATTCCGGTGATGGTATCTCAAGCCGACAGGCTGAATTTTGCCACGCACTCTTCTTGGATGGCAAGTTGATCAATCCCGCGCCTCCGCAACCCACGGTAAATCAAAAAAGAGGCCCGAAGAGATACCAAAGAGGATCTGGATTTCAGACTCCCCCAAGAGAGAGCAAAGCTACCTCGGAAAATGTTGGAGTCTCTCAGCTATCTTCTAAGACCGATGCAGCAGAAAGGGAAAGTACGCAGTTCCTGGAGGAGCGTTTCGGCCGAAATCTGGATATATCGTTTGTCGACAATGCCAAGGTAGCGATCCGTCGGCGCGTAGCTGGCTCCTTGGTGGACGAAGTGGACCTTGCAGTCGAACCAAGGCCCAATACGGCCTCAAACACACGAGGAGTGACGGGTCTTTCCGACAACGACGTTTATCTCTACCCCTGCGGAATGAACTCCATCTTCAACACACACCGCATGATGCTCAAGTGCAAGGGTCAACTGAAGAGTATATCGTTTGGGTTTCCCTATGTGGATACCCTCAAGATTCTGGAAAAGTTTGGCCCCGGATGTCTGTTCTACGGAAATGGCTCATCAGAAGACTTGGATGACTTGGAAGCTCGCCTGAAGGCTGGCGAACGATACCTGGCCCTCTTCTGCGAATTTCCCGGAAATCCCATGCTAGCCTGCCCCGACCTCAAGCGAATCAAAAAGTTGGCCGACACCTATGACTTCGGCGTGGTCGTTGACGAGACGATTGGAAACTCGATCAACGTCCAAGTCCTTCCACATGCAGACGTGGTTGTGAGCAGTCTCACTAAGATTTTCTCGGGCGACTGCAATGTGATGGGCGGGAGCGCTATCTTAAATCCCGAAGGAAAATACTACCAGGCCTTGAAGAACGCTTTCGACGCCGATTACGAAGACACCTGTTGGGTCGAAGACATTATGTTCATGGAGCGCAATAGCCGGGACTTTGTGAACCGAATTAGGGAAATCAACCACAACGCCGAAGCCATCTGCGATGTCCTTCACGCCCACCCTCTTGTCAAGGAAGTCTACTATCCCAAGTATGGTCCTAGCAACCAGTTCTATGAGGATTGCCGAACCCCAACAGGCGGATATGGTGGCCTGCTATCTTTCACTTTCCATCAGAAAAAGCACGCGATTGCATTTTACGATCGCATCGAGACTGCGAAAGGACCCAGTCTCGGTACAAACTTTACCTTGGTGTCACCCTATGTTATCCTAGCGCACTATTGGGAGTTGGACTGGGCTGCAGGGTTTGGGGTGCCAGCGGATCTGCTTCGTGTTAGCGTTGGTATCGAGAATTCGGAAGACCTGAAGGCACGGTTTGCAGTTGCATTGCAAGCTGCTGAAGCAGTTGATTCTTGAAAGATCTCAGGTCTATGTTAGAGGTGGAACCAGGGCCATGGAAATTGTCTAACGTACTACTTAGAGAGCGTTTCTATATTCTCATTGTTTAAAACAGTAGTTCTTGCAGTGAGCCATCAAGTTCCAGTTCAAAGTTCAAAGTTAATCTGTCTCTCACGATTGTGCCTTGAGTCTACATGGCACTAACTCGATCAACACAACACTATAATACCTGCGATTGCTATCATCGTTTACAAAGGACTATTGTAAGCTCCAGTTCAGTCACTCCAACGGATCCTCCTTCACAGTTCACCAACGTCTTCTGTGTCCCTACCGAGCTTCTCGAGGAGACCTGGAATGTCGGCCACTGGGTTGAGGCTGACATCATGGCTCCGGGAGTGGCGGTGGTGGCAGCTAGATCCTTCGAGCTCCCTGTTGATCTGATGCAGCAAATCGCATGCCTGGATACACCCACGTTTGGTGCCAATGCTCATGGTAGTATACCGGAACCGGGTAACCCTAAGATTATGCCTTCTGCATAATTACTACATCTCCCCCGCTTCATCACCCCCTCGGGTCTTCATCTTCATGCACCTCCATCCATCAACATGCGACTGCATTCTCTTCTCGCCACGCTGCCCTTCACAGCAGCAGCCCTAACCTCCTCCAACATCGTCAACCAGACCACCTGCGGCAACACCACCTACACCTACGTCGGCCTCGAAGGCTACGGCTTCGTACCCTCCAACGCCACCGACAAATATGGCGACACCATGGGAGGCTTTGGCAGCTCGGCCGCCTTCGACCTGGCCACCTGGCGTCGCACCGGCCTCAACTCCTACACCGGTATTCTCTACACCCTTCCAGACCGCGGCTGGTATCTCCCTCCCTTCCTTCTGCCCCTCTCGTCCATCCATCATGTCACCTAACCTTCCTCCTCAGGAACACCAACGGCACCCTCAACTTCCAACCACGCATCCATACCTTCAACCTCACCCTTCACCTGGCCCCCAATGCCTCCTCATCCCACCCCTCCCCTCCCAACATCCACCTCCACTATCTCGACACCCTCCTCCTCACCGGACCAGACAACCAACCCCTAACCGGCCTTGACGCCTCCTTCACCGGCACCTCCAGCTACCCCAACTTGCCTCCCCTCCCCATCGCCGTCTACACCGGCGATGGCTTCGGTGGCCCCGGCCCCGGAGGCCACCGCATCCCACTGGACTCAGAAGGCCTGGCCCTGCCCGCTCATGACCCCTCGCACATCTGGATCTGCGACGAATACGGCCCCTACATCTACAAATTCAACAAACACACCGGCCAAATGGTCCAAGCCATTCAACCTCCCCCAGCCTATCTCCCCCGTCGCAACTCCACCCTCAGCTTCAGCGCCGACAGCCCCCCAATCTACAACCCCTCCCTAACCCCCTCCCCAGCGGACCCCGATCCCGGTCGCGACAACAACCAAGGCTTCGAAGCCCTAACCATCTCCCCCGACGGCCGCAAACTTTACACTCTCCTCCAATCAGCCCTCAACCAAGAAGGTGGCCTGAAAAAGACATCCCGCAATCAGGCCAGACTCCTCCAATACGACATCTCCTCCGGCATCAACGCCACCTACGAACATTCCTACGTAGTCACTCTCCCCAAATACCACAACCCCACTAAAGACGAAAAGGTCGTCGCAGCACAATCTGAAATCCACCTCCTCCCAACAGGCGACTTTCTCATCCTAGCGAGAGACTCTGGCTTCGGACACGGCCAATCAAACTCCTTATCCGTCTATCGTCACGCAGATATCTTCCACATTGGTTCCAACACCACGGACCTGAAATCTCTAACGGGTGTAGATTCCCCTAACGGAACCATCGCCTCCAAAAAGGGAACCTTGAATCCTGGCATCACGGCTGCAGAATACTGCCCTTTCCTTGATTACAATATCGAAGACCAGCTCGCTAGATTCGGCCTTCATAACGGCGGACCGCAGGATCAGTGGTTGTTGAATGAAAAATGGGAGAGTTTGGCGCTGGTGCCGGTGGACCCGGACAGTGATAGCACCGAGTATTTTGTGTTCAGTATTAGTGATAATGATTTTATTACGCAGGATGGTGAGTGATTTTTGTTTGGTAGTTGGTGGGTTGGTGGGTGAATGCTGACAACATCAACTGAACTAGGGTATATGAATTTCGGTCGCTTCAGGTATGCTGATGCATCAGGGTATAATTTGGATAATCAGGTGTTGGTGTTTAGGATTCGGTTTTAGGTGAGTGCTGGTGGTGGAGGTGGCTGAGCGGGTTGTATTTGTATATATATTTTGAGTTGAGTGGAGACGATATCCAGATGGCTTTTGTGATTGAAAGATGAATTATTGTGATGATTTATGAATGCAGTATTTTATAGATGCAAGTTTACCATACAAGAGTGGTATTTTCAAGTGAATCGGCCAGAGATTTGGTATGTTGACTGGTTCCATCAACCATGCAATCAAAGTAGAGAGTGAAAAATAAACACATCCCAGTCCCAGTAGAAAGTAGCTGTTCACCTAGTCTGTACGGTTCACGCACTCAGCAATGCAACATGCATACTTCACAACCCAGACGCCAAGTCCCTTATCCCTCCCATAACTGGAAATTTAAGCCTTGGAAATTTTGATCGCGCGCAGAATATCATCCAGAGACCAGCCAGGCCCGCCCGGAACAATCTCCGCCCATACTTCCTCCGGGACGGCATCCTCGGCGTCCAGCAGGCTCCAGTTCGGACTGGGCTCGGGCTTGATCCACTTGAAGTCTTCGATTTGGCTCCAGTGGTCCTCGTCATCTGGGCGGTCGTGGTCCAGGGCCTATAGGTTTACATTAGATATTGGGTATTTGGAACAATCTACTAGAGTGGGATGCTTACGTAGACCCGGGGCTTCCGACCGAATCGGATATTCGTGCAGTCCTCGATGATCGGATTGCTGGACGCGCTGAGGTAGACGTCCACATTAGAGCAGCTGTGCATCCGGAACTGCCGACAGTCAACCACGATGATGCTGTTTTCCACTCCCGTAATGTGGGCTGGACCGTTGATCTGGCCGCAGACGAGCAGACTCTCCTTGACATTCTTGATCGTGAGACTGGCGTACGGCTTTCCGTTGGCAGTAGGTATCGACATGTCGACTACGCAATGGCGTAGAGATGTGATGGATGCGGGTACAGTGGCGGTCGAGCCTGAGGATGGAAGCATGATATGTAGATTGTGGTGGTTGTTCACGGACACGGAGGACACCGCAGTTGCAGCGAAGCCACCCGCGTGTTCTGACTTGGGTTTGTCTTCATCATCGTCCACAGATAGGGCAGGAATAGAAGTAGGAGCAATCTCCGGTCTTTGTAGGTGGAGGCGGTTGTCGGGTTCATTCAGAGGTGTGGATGGATACATGGGGGTCTGTGTCGCGGACGAACTGACCGAGGATGTTCCAGAGGAGGCGAACCCAGGAATGCTGCGTCTACCTTGAGCGGCGAGATGTGCCGCATCTGACAGGGAAATGGCGGAGGAGTTCTTCTTGGTCTTGAAGCTGAACTTAGGGCGCGGCTCGACGGCAGCACGGGTCTCGACTAGCTTGTCCTGCAAAGCTTTGATGGCCTAAGCGGGTCAGCATGCCCCGGCTCATCGAGAGGCGTCATGAGGTATACCTCTGCATATACCCGCTGATCATAGGTTGGGATATAGCTGGCCGCGTCCTTGACCTCGTTGGACAAGCGCGCAATCCCAGCCAGACAATGGTCGGTTGCGTCTGTCCGTTCTCCTCCCACTAACGACGTATCTGCCAGCCGATCCATCTGTTCCTGGAGCGCTACAGGGAGAACAGGTGTCAGATTCCTCTGTCCAAGAGGAAAGAGCACAGGTTATCAACTAGATCAGCTCAACCATACCAGTGATCTCATGTTGAAAATAGCGGAAGAACCGTTCTTTCAACGGGATCTCCGATTTGAGGATCGTTTGGTTTTCGGCTTGGGACGGCCGACGGGCCGGGTCAAACTGAGGCATGGACATGACGGCGGTGGTTGATGCAGATTGAAGGCAGCGCGAGGGAGAGATGGAAAGGCGCGGCTTGAAGGAAGATTGGGCGTAGAATGGACGACGGAGATGTATTGATGACGTCGACCCGAACTCGCTTCACTTGCAGCCGGTTACGAGGGGAGCCCTGGAACGTTGAGCTGGAGCTCGGACAAAATGGGCAGGATCTGGTGATGCTCCGAAGTGAAGTGAAGGGGGTTGGAATGCTACCAGAAACCGGAATAAGTATTAGCTGTTCACGTCTCATGCAGGCAGGCAGACAGTCAGTCCACCGGCATTAGTCAATAGGGGAGAGGGGCACCGGCGCCGTAATGGCCAATGCCGAGTCACTCCCCCGCCGATCCACCTCCGGTCTCCCCGGAATTAAAGGGAAGAATCAAGAGTCACTCACCCCGGGATCAGGATGCACTCAAAAGCACGGCGGGTCCAGCAGCTTCTGGGAAGCTCGTCGACGCACGAGACAGCAGCAAAAGCTGGGGCCGGATGGTGACGTCGACTACTGCCCTCGGAGCCCGGCGATTCTCGCCTCCGCCCGCCTGCCCCTCCCCACTAGCCGTTTCCGGCGACGACAGCGGCCCCGAGCTATAAGGCTGCCAGGCTGCCAGGCTGCCACTCGAAATACATTGATACATACATTCATTGCACATTATACCATTAGATTTCGTCACACATACATGTAGAGCGGGTGGAAACCCCGCAATCCATAGCGCCAACGCCGACACTCCAGCCGCCACGCTCTCTCGTTCTTTTGAAATCACATCGACGACAACTCTGGCAAATCCGGACGGGGGATGGACGGCAAACCGTCAATCTCCGCCACCAGCTCGCTCGATAGCAATGAGTGCCGCCGGCGTTGTGTATGGAAGTCAGCAGCCAGCGGTCGTTCGACTGCCAGCCGGTCGAAATCGGATCGCAGATCATAGTCGCTGGTTGCCTCGATGCCGTCCTGCATCCGGATCGTCCTCAGCAGCAGCTTGCCCGATTTAACCCAGAAAGCAAGTGCCTCAGTCTCTTGGGGGAAGGACACAGCCAATTGTCCGGGCCGGAATGAGGACTCGTTGATCTTGGAGGCGGCTTTTTTCGCTAGCGAATGCTTGAGGCGCCCATGGGCCTTCGAATCGCACACATACATCTGGCGCATGCCGTTTGCGAGAATAAATCGAGTTCCAGATGGTGACTGCGCTGCGTGCACGACTCTGGCGCTGAAAGAGTCGTTCACAATCTTGTCGTCCGCCATGGAGAAAAACGACGGGTATTCTTTCGCAAAGAAGGCCGTCAGAAGAACCGCATGCTGGGTACTGTCATAGAAGACTCCAGTAAAGTCTCCATCATTGCTCGTCCACTGGGGAACGTTAGTGATTCCATTCCTCAGATAAAACTGGGATACATACCGGTGGAAGCTTGAACGACTTTGACTTGTCAGGGACGATACTCCATTGTTGAAAGGTGCAGTTCCACACATCGACATATGCGTAGTGGTCTCCGAGATGAGTAGCGATGACGAAGTGCTTCCCGTCCGCGGAAAATTGAAGTTTCCTCTCGATGATGGCTTCTTGTCTCTTTGATTCGTGTGCAGTCCCCTTTGCACTGGGCGACGCGCCCATCACAGATCGGTCACCAAAGTCCGACAACCGACCCATCCCACTGCCCAATGAGACCCTCTGGATGGTACGTGTGCATATCTCGTACACTCGAACCTGGTCCTGAAGAGTAAAGGCGACGTATCTATCGTTGCGGGACATAACCATACAGGTGATGGGGAAAGACCGATTCTCGGTTTCGATAGTAAGGTAAGCTTGTGGGACGTCGCTGTCGTTCTCGAACACGATGAGTTCGTAGTGCTACATTTATCAATACCCGCTTTATGAGAATGCATAGAAGGATCACGCATACCTGTCCAACGGAAGCGATGACGGCGCATCTCTGGTCTCCTGCTGCAGCTTGCTGCACGCCAGGAATGTCATACTTATGCCCCTTGGGCTTCTTGCCATCGCCTACGCCTAATTCAAATCTCATCACCCAGTTGCTGCCTGCACCCCAGAAGAGCAGGCAGCTCCCCGAGGTTGAGAAGCAAAATCGGGGCTGGCGAGGTAACTGGTGTCCCCTCGAAGAATTTTTCCGGAACAGGCCTGTGCCACCAGCAAAGGGCAACTTGACATTCTTGAGGTCTCGGGAAAGGGTCTTGATCGCTTGCCTGTCAAAGGTCTGGTCCGTCCTGCTACGCGATAAGATTGGAGTGAAGACCTCCGACGTGGTGGCCATCGGCTGTTTGCTTGTCACTTTCGACAATGCAGCTGGGTATGTTGGAGGCGAGATTGGGCGTTTGGACAGTTCCGTGGACTCGAGCCGTGACGACTGACTGGTTGAATGACTGAGCGAGCTGGAACAGGATGTGGTATCTCTTGAGGTCGGAAGGGAATCGCGTCCGTCAGCATCCGAGTCTGACAGGAAATGCAGGGCATCTGATAACTGCTCGAGAGGCTCAATCATTCGGGCATGCTGTATTTTGATATTACCCGGGCAGAGGGGGCAATCGATATTCATCGTCAGAAAGTCGGGGTTTCCCTGTAATTGCTAAGAGAAATGTCAGGGTGTTGCAATACGCATACTGGGAATGGCATGAGTTCTTCGACCTACCTCGTATGCTCTCTTGTCATGGCTCCTTAAGCTCTCCTCCAGTAGTGTTCCGGGTACCGGGTGTACTGCAGGACAGTTGACAACGTAGACAGCACTAGATCGTCCTGTTTTCAATTGCGCTTTCCGATCCACCTCACTAGCAGACGAGCTCTGCAGCCATTGAGTGAGGTGTTGTTGGTAATCGTGGGAAAAGGCCTCAAGTTCTCCGTTGCAGTCCCACAGCTGAACTCTGCGATTGATGAGCCACCGTACGAACTGACCCGAGGCCTTCTCCCATGAGTTCCGGATAGGGGACATCTGGGACCAAGTATCTCGGATTCTCCGTGTCTGCAATGGCGGGTGTTCTCCAGCAGTCTGACTCAGAATTATAGTCGCAAAGATTCGAAGAGGCGCATTATTAAACTCATCGTCAAAGGCAGCCAGCATCGTCCTCGTGAGCTTCTTCTTAATGTCTTGTGCTTGGTCACAGGCCTCATCGACTTGGTAAGCCGCAGGGCTCGTGTAGCCTTGCTCTTGGGAGACCCGACGGCGATCGATGTGACATTGGATGACAGCCGAGTCAACTGCCCATAAAATATCGAGTAGGAGACAGAAAGAAACCAATTGATCCGCATCATTCTTCATCACGCCCGTCAAAAGGTCAGTGATAAGCCTATCTGGCGCCCCCGTAAGCGGATACTAAGAGACAGTGAGTTGCTGTCCCGACCAAAGTTGTATATCCTTGCCAGCACTTACAAGACCCGTCGCGAAGGGAGGAAGATAAGGCTTTCCGCTGTCCAATAGAAACGCCTGGGTCGCTGACAGATCCGATGATCCGATCCTAGCAATGGCCTTTGGGAGGAGGTCGGTGATCAAGAATCGCTCGACATTTGACAGGTCCGGGTTTCGCCAAGCCGCTCTCATTGCTCGCTCCAACTTAAACTTCCGGTCGGTATCTATCGTCTCCCCGCGCAGCAGGAGGACTCGAATACCCACGAGTAGTGTATGCGCGATGAGGAGCCTGTATCGGATGAGATCCCCATCTGTCGACTTGGGGCAGGGGAAGAGCTCAATCTTAATCTTGACCAAGTACATCAGAGCCGAGAAGACACTTTCGGATGGTAGTAGATAGGGTAGGAAGTAAGGGTGGCAGTCGCGAACACTGCTCAGACCCTGGAGGTAGGTTCGCTGGGCATCGAAAATGGTCTTGATCCAGAAGACGGACCGGATGAGCGGCTCGACCGGGGCCTGGGCATCCTGTTGGTAGAGCGCGATGTCGAGCGCATGCTCCCCGATAATTTCACGTAGTATGTTGGCAAGATCACGGCGTCCTAGCTGTTCCCACACGGCTGCCACGAGCGGATGTGACATGGGGGAGACAGGGATGGCAAGCCACGGACATAAGAGCGAACAGACTTAAGTTCGATCACAGACGACCGGTTTGGGGGCAAGACAGGGAGATCCGATCATCGACAGAGAGCCGCAACAAAGATGATGTTGTTTCAGAGTAAGGGAGAAGGGAGAAAGAGGGTTGAGGCGCTGTGCCCACTTCCGCCAGGTGACCCAGACCGATTGGGAGGCAGCCATGCCGTACTAGGACAAAAGTGCCTGATGTAGGTGTGCTGCAGCCCTCCTCGATTTTTTTTTTCCAGCTTATGCGAGGCTGCGTGTCTGTCTTACATGGTTTGCTGGGTTGGTGGCAGTCACCCAGTCATCCGGCCCGCTATTGGCACGGGAGGGGTTGCAAACGCCCCAGCCTCGCCATGGCCGGTCGACGATAAGTAACTATCTATTAGTAGCGCATAGTATCAGCCATAGTCGATACAACGTGATGCCGGGGATTAGGAGGTGTGAGTCAACCGTGGAAGCAATCATACCTCGGGGACTCATTTGACCCTTGATAGGTAGTTGATGGCCGAAAGATACGCGTGTGGCCGAATGTGATAGAAGGGGGGGGAGCGCAGATGTGGGAACTGGGAAGAGGGAAGATCATTCCTCGCTGGTGATGGAGGCCTGGACACCTACCTAGACAGGGATCGCTGGTGGAGGAGCGACCAAAGCAGTAAGGTACCGGCCCCTGTCTGCATTAGCCACGGTCTCCATTTCCTCTTCATCGGATTCTTGCGGGCATTGGAGTGGTCGGACTCGACTTAGGGCTCCTTCGCTTGCGTTGATAGCTTTGAGGGAATTCGATCCATGTCTTCAGCTCTGACCTGACTGCCCCCAAGGATTCTGGATCTTGCATGGTGAACAGGACCGATCTGGAAGCATAGAATGCTGACAGGACGCCAGACGGTGCCTGAGGACGGGCGGCGCAACGAGGGAACTACTAGAGTCTAGAGGTACCCCGCCATGGACCTCCCCGGTCACTTCCAGGCACGGGCTTACTGTTTTAGCTACCCAGCTAGGCTCGTCCAGGTAGTACCACCGTTGAGAGTTTTTTTTTTTTTTTTTGGACCCCACGGCGGTTCCGTCTCGCCTGCAATTAGCGGGAAGCCATGGAGGTTCTGATCCAATAATCCAGCGGTCTTCCGCGGTCGGCATTCTTCCTCGTGCTTACCAACCAGAATGCCAGGAACTTGCTTTTTATGCCTGTCTATCGAGCATGCGATACCAGATGTTTGAACCTCGGAAGTGTCATCGACTCGAAGGTAAGCGTGCGTGGGGTGACCTGGATTCAGGCTATGTAGAGCTATGGTCTCACTCATCACACACTGGACTATAGAGAACCAACGATTCCACTGTTCTAGGCCCAAGCGCCCGGCTAGATGGTGGCTCCTCTTTTGACGGGTCCCACAAGAGGTCCCAGTGCACGAGGCTTGAGCTGTGCTCCATGGCGTCCATGGCCACTACCGTATCGCCCCGACGATTATCAGCGCATTATGGGGAGCAACATTTTCTTGCTGCGAGTGCGACTTCTCTACCCAGAATAATTCGATCAGATGATGTATATACGGGAGTAGCAGTACTCTCTACACCGTATGCGCCACAACATTTTCTTGCTGCGAATGCGACTTCTCTACCCAGAATAATTCGATCAGATGATGTATATACGGGAGTAGCAGTACTCTCTACACCGTATGCGCCACAACATTTTCAGACTATGGCAGTCAACAGAGTGTGAAATACACCATGTTCTGGCATGGCGGCTGGGAACCCCACAATGCTGGCTGTGTTTATCCGCCAAAGTCAATGCACATCCACAATCATAAACTCCTCTGGGAGCCCAAAGGAGAAAGGAGTATTCATAATGACCCAAGGCGCTATAACAAAGGAACGGGTTGTAACGGTGGGCATGAGACAGCTCTGAATAAGTCTCCGGTTCTTTGTCCGCCGTCGGTTGACCGTCGAGTCCAGTTGAGACAACCGAACTGCAGGTGCCCCGAGCTTGTTCAACATCAACCGGGTAGATACAGCATACCGCACGTACATTGGCCAATGCGCCAAGTACTGTGTACTACCAACTGAGGTTCCCGTGAAAATGCTTGAATCTCTTTGTCACATTCACACCAACTAGAGGTCCGCTCATTAGCAGAACTTCGAGACCAACCGTGGTCGAGGTTCTATCTGCACGTCCTGATTGGGCTCATTCCAGAGGCTGTTGCTAAATGAGGGGGTCAATAAGAACGGGTCCATTGAGCCCTGAATAGTCTCTACACCGGTTGCGCCGCCTTTACACGTGGTTAAGGCGCGCTCGCCGCCAAGAATGTAGAAGCTTCGAATCCCTGATCGAATGGAATCATCTATCCCTCGTTTTCGCTTGGAGTCACTCAATACGTTCAGACCAACTTGCTAATCCAACCCCATTAGCTCGCAATCTTTACAGGAATTCCAATGATCATGGCGTATAGTACCCGTGGATTGCCGGGACTGAATTCTTGCCATGTGCTGGGCGAGCTGTCACATTCTCAGCTATCCTTTGAATTGCGCGATAACTCTAACACGTCACACCAACCAGAAGGCACAACAAGATGCTGCCTCATTGGAATAACCGACGTTCCTTATGATATCGTCAGTTCATGTTGGGCGGCCTTCATGTCGATTGTTGGCTACCTAACCACCGGACCAAAGGATGCGGATACAGTCAACCACAGCACGCCCCTCGCTGAGAAGCCCATGGGATTTGTATGCCGGCGGCTTCCCAACCCGCAAGTGACTAAAAGCCTGGGTAGCCCTCAACTCAGGACTCCGTAGTTACCAGCTCCTCCCTTATCATTTTATGTGGCATCTGGGGATGATTTATGTCAAATACCTCACAGGGCTCCTGTCCCTCTTTCATGCGGCTGTGGCTGCTAAGTCGAGATATGTGGTGATTGAACAGCTGAACAGCGCACCCAATGGGTGGGTAAGAGGCGCGACTCCTTCGCCTTCTACTGCGATGAAATTTTGGCTGGCGATAGAACACGAATACAAGGCAGAGTTCGAACAGAAAGTCATCCATCTGTCGACTCCTGGCCATCATGACTATGGTCAGCATATGACTCGTGAGGACGTTAGGGCCTTCCTGCGCCCTTCTGATCAAGCCTCAAAGACAATACTATCCTGGCTGGAGTCCGAGTTTGTTCCTTCGGATTCCATCGAAGAACATGGAGACTGGATCACATTTACAGTCCCTTTGTCCCAAGCAGAGTCAATAATGCGGACCGATTTCTATAGCTTCCACCGTCCGGGGACCAACGAGACACAAATTAGGACGCTGAAATACTCCGTCCCAGAGGATGTCGGTCCCTACCTTCAAATGATCCAACCAACGACCCACTTTGGACATCCGAAGACGCAGGCAAGTCTGCCGGGTCTCATGCCAGTGGCGGTCGATATCGATGACCCAGACGGAAACTGCTCGACGGGGGTAACGCCGGGCTGCCTTCGTCAACTCTATGGAATCTTTGACACCAAGGCGGACCCTAACTCAAGTAACGTGCTTGGCGTTTCCGGTTATCTGGACCAGTACGCACGCTACAGTGACCTCGAACAATTTATGGACGTGTACGCGCCGAATAGTACAAGCGCCAACTTCTCGGTCGTGTCTATCAACGGTGGTCTTAATTTACAAAACTCGCGCCAGTCGAGCACGGAAGCAAGTCTTGACATTCAGTATGCTATCGCGGTGGCGTACGATGCCAACGCGACGTTCTACACCACTGCGGGACGGGGACCATCCGTTTCGGACCAGGGCGAGTGGAGCACCAATGGCTCGACCAATGAGCCGTATCTTGAGCAGCTTCTATACCTCCTAGATCTTCCAGACGATGAGCTTCCCGCCGTTCTCAGCACATCTTACGGGGAAGATGAACAGAGCGTTCCGGAGCCATATACACGAGCCACATGCAATCTGTTTGCACAACTAGGGGCACGCGGGGTGTCTGTGATATTCAGTAGCGGGGATTCGGGCGCTGGGGGGTCGTGTCTTTCTAACGATGGAGCCCAGAGGATTCGTTTCCAGCCTATTTTCCCGGCGCCATGTCCATTTGTCACCGCGGTGGGTGGCACTGAGGGCATTGGTCCAGAAAGAGCCGTTGACTTCTCGGGAGGTGGGTTTTCAGATCGCTTCTCTCGTCCGTCATACCAGAACGCAAGTGTGCAGAGCTACCTTGAGACCCTGGGCGACAAATGGGATGGATTATACAACCCAGATGGCAGAGGTATCCCCGATGTTGCTGCTCATGCCAGTAACTATGTCATCAGAGACCACGGAGAGTGGTTGAGAACTGCAGGCACAAGGTCAGTACCCGTTGCTTTTACCTGAAGCGATCTAATCAGTTTTCAGTGCTGCTGCCCCCGTCTTTGCAGCGATTATCTCTCTATTGAATGCAGCGCGGCTTCAGCAGGGGAAACCCACACTTGGGTTCCTCAATCCGTGGCTGTACTCACTGAACCAGACAGGATTCATCGATATTGTGGACGGTGGCTCAGTGGGTTGTGATGGCATAGCCGGAGCTCTGGTTCCCTACGCAAGCTGGAATGCCACCAAGGGATGGGATCCAGTCACCGGCCTCGGGACACCATTTTACCAAACTTTGGAGCAGATTGTTAAGAATTCTTAAAGTCGCGCAGCAGCTTGTTGTGTACTCCGTAGTACAACTGCCTATTACTCAGGCTTGATCTTCTTAACTATTAACTATATTTCCTAACCTGGCCCCAACAGATAAGTATAATCACAAAATAACCAAAAAAAAATCAAACCGACAGGGTGAGGTGTTTCTCTCTCCTATGTAGTATGAGCAAGTATGTCAATATCACGTGACCGACCTGGCGGCGAAGCTCCTGGAAGCTGCCGCTGCCAACGTCACGACCAGCACTCATCCTCCAAACCACACCTTCACCTCACCAAACCCACCTAGCCATTCATCCCATTCCTCCGCCACCTCGCTCTTCTACAAACAATACCCCCATCGCCGCTACCCACCTCCTCCCATTCCCACCCGCCAAAATGGCCAACGATCTCCAGGCCATCGTGACCGAGCTCCACAGCGCCCTCAGCCGGGGACAATTCGAGGCCGCCAACGACCTCCTCAGCCGCGCCAAGCGCGCCCTCCTGCTGCAGAATGTTCTGATTCCCACTCCCTCCGCACCAGCAGACCAGGTCGCTCTGGCACGCGAGGTCCTCGAGCTCGGAGCCTTGTCCTCCATCCGTCAGACCGACGCACCTACCTTCACACGATACTACCAGCAGCTGCAGCCGTTCTACGACCTGGAGCGCGACAACTCGAATGCCGGCTCTGTCGATATCCGGAACAGCCAGCGCAGCAAGATCACGGGCTTGTATCTCCTGCTGTTGCTGACTATGGGCGATAGCACGAGCTTCCACACGGTGTTGGAGGGTCTGGTTGAGGAGGCGAGTCTCAAGGGCAAGAACGTCGAGGATGATCCGTTCATTAAGTATCCGGTTGAGTTGGAGCGCAATTTGATGGAGGGTAGCTATGATAAGGTGTGGCGGGAGACGAACTCGGAGCGTGTGCCGTCGGAGGATTTTAAGCTGTTTTCGAATGTGAGTTGATGTCTGTCTTCTTCCGCTGAGTGTTGCTCTGCGTGGGTGGGTGGATGGCTGGCTAATCATGGTGATGATGTGGTATGGTATAGGTCCTGGTGGGAACCATCCGCAGCGAAATCGCCGACTGCTCCGAAAAAGCGTACCCGTCGCTCCCCATCTCCAACGCCAAGAACCTGCTCTTCCTGGACTCGGAGGGCGCTGTGATCGAGTTCGCCCAGCAGCGCGGTTGGGTCCTGCGTGATGGCCGTATATATTTCCCCGTCGAGCCCGAGGCGGCTGCCCGGTCCGAGAAGGATATTCTCGTGGCCAGTGGCACGATCATCGAGAATGCGATCGGCTATGCGCGTGAGCTGGAGACGATCGTCTAGTTGGTTTTATTGGATTAGATTTCATCTTCGGGCTTCGGGCGGGGCTTGTTTTGTTTGTATACCTGTTGTCACTCTGCATCATGACCCTATCAGCGCATCTTCACGACCATACCTCTATCTACGTCCCCTGTCTACATCCCCTGTAGAATCATACATACAACCTATACAATCATACGTTCACCCGCCACACACAAACCCTCCGATCATAAAAACTACTAGACACACACACCACCTCGTCCCCCTCCTTTCTCCCCTGCAAATCATACCCTCCCTTCGATTTCCACACATCCGACGCATAATTCATACTCTCATGCTCCGTAAACTCCGCCAACACCTCCATCTCACACCTCACCCCAGGCACCAACCGCACCCTGACCACTCTCGTCCCCGCATGCATACAACTCGCCAACACCAAAAACACCCACTCCTTTCCCTCCCCTTCCCCTCCACTGAGCCCCTCCGAGGATGACAGCACCTGCAACCTCCACACCCCACCCCCCAGCCCCACCTCCCCCAGGACCTCCCCCCGCCGCGACGCATGATACACCCGAAGACACTCATCATAGCTACCCGTGAGCAACCACGGCGCGCCATCAGTCATGGGGACAGGGAGTGGTACGATGGAGGTAACCCCCGCCGTGTGGTGACGGGCTCGGTCATCGTGAGAAAGCAGACATGTTGTTTCTGTGTCTGTGTCTGTGGCTGAGAATGACCGGGTGTGTAGGGACCCGAAGTCGTTGCCGGTGAAGAGGTAGGGTGTAGATGTTTCCTCTTCTGTTGATGTTTCGGGGTAGGTGGCTGCTGCTACGTACCAGACCTCGATTTCTTGGTTTGCGGGGAAGGAGTCGCCTTCTGTGATGGGGATGGGGGATGAGGATGGGGAGGGGTGGTGGAAGAGAGTGGTTCTTCCGTCGGAGAAGGTGACTGCGAAGCCGGAGGCGTTGCCGTCACTAGAAGATGAAGTGGAATTGGGATTGGGATTGGGCCAGTTCTGGGGTAGCCAGGCGAGATAGAGTGCTGGGATAGAGGGGTCTTCGTGGACGGATTGCGTGTGCAGTTCCGTGATGAAGGATGCTGTTCCCGAGCTTGAGCTTGAGCTTGAGCTTGCTCCCTCGGTGGGGGGAGTAATCCGGAAGAATACCACTGAGGCTGCGCTGGTGGCGATGGCAGCGAGGGTGGGATTGGTGGGGTGGAAGTGCAGGTCAAAGACTGCGTAGGGAAGGGCGTATTTTTGAAGGAGAGATCTGGATGTTTGGTTAGTATACTCCATGTATAGAGGAGGGAATGGGGATGTACAGTTCGTTGGTGGCGGGGTTTAAATGCCATAATTGCAAACTGCCGGTTTTGGTTTGTTGTATGCTGTCGGTGGAGGCATCTTTATGCTCGGAGAGGAGATAGGTGCCTACGAGGAAGTGGTTGGGGGAGGAGGGGTGGAATTGGAGGCAGCTCGGGGGCTGGTCGAGGAAGATGGCGGTGGCAGAGGAGGGCTGTTGGAGGGTCATGATGATTGCAGCTGTTCTAGAGAGAGGATACTAGTTATCACGGTTGAATTGACATTGCCTATTTTGGGTTTTTGCGCTGCTTTGCCCGAGATGCTTAGTCAGGAGGGTGGTATAAATATTTATCCTCAAGTGAAATGAAGTGACAACATTCGGGAGGAATACATATTCTCCAAGCTCGAGATCGGCCTGTGAGGACGACATGGTCCAAAAATAGTGTCTTTGGATTTAGTCCAGGAGACAACGGGAGGCTGCTTGGTGGCCAGTCGAATCCGTCCTGCAGGATGACTGAATGGGCACTAATCGAAACAGCTATCTACTGGCTGGAGTGTCTTCCATCGCATCATGATGTCCCTTTTTCATCCTGTCTCTTCCCTCGCGCTAAGAATACGCCTAAGGCACTAACTCTCAACGAAGCTGGTGAAGACCCACAGGCTTAGTTCTATCTGACAGCCACGCCGCTAATCACTTCCCCGTGAATATGGCGCCGGTTGGTCCGATCGTCTAAACATCCGTCAGCCTCGGGGACGGTTTTTCAAGGAAATACTCCGCCTAATTAAACTGCTAAAGACATATAGACATGGGTTCGCAGCTGAGCCGCAGCGCAATCATGCCCCCTGTCTGCTCCAAGCTTGCAATTTTGACGAGAAATCCATCATTCCACAATGGGCGCCCAATTCTCCCAATTCTTCCCTCCTCGGCCGACCTTCACTCCTGACGATGTTCCCCGTCAATCTGGCAAGGTCGTCCTGATCACTGGTGGCGCATCAGGCATCGGCTTCGAGCTGGCCAAGATGCTCTACCGCAAAGGCGCCAAAGTCTACATCGGGGGTCGCTCAGAGGACAACGCCAAAGTTGCCATACAAGCTATCCAACAAGCCGTTCCCCAGACCGGGGGTGAAAATAGTCCTGGTGTACTAGAGTTTCTTCCGCTTCATCTGGACGACCTCACTACCATCAAGGCTACAGCTGACGCCTTCCGGACGAAAGAGTCCAAGCTGGATCTGCTCTTCAACAACGCGGGTGTTTCCCAGCCACCGCTGGGCAGTGTCTCCAAGCAGGGAATCGAGCTGCAACTCGCAACCAACTGTCTGGGCCCGTTCCTGCTTACCCGGCTTCTGACTCCCCTACTTGAGGCTGCAGCGGCATCGGACTCCTCCACAACCGGATCTGTCCGCGTCGTCTGGACGAGCAGTCAAGTCGCCGAGCTCTCCGCGCCGCCAGAGGGAATCATCATGTCGGAGCTGACGAACCCGCCCAGAGATGTGGTACGCAACTATGTCACCTCCAAACTAGGGAACTGGTGTCTGGCCGCGGAGATGGCCCGACGGTACGGCACGCAGGAAATTGTTAGCGTAGCGCAGAATCCTGGCGCAGCCAACACGAATCTTCTCCGCAATGCGCGCTGGATGAAGATTCTCTCCTGGCCATTGCTGCATAGCCCGGTTTTGGCGGCTCACACTGTGCTCTATGCTGGGTTGTCCCCCGATCTGAACTTGGAGAACAACGGTGCCTATGTCATCCCCTGGGGACGGATCCATCAAGAGGTGGCGCCGAACTTGCTGAATGCGATGAAGACGCAGGAGGAGAGTGGGACGGGACGCGCAAAGGAGTTCTGGGAGTTTTGTGAGGAGCGGACAAGGGACTATATGTAGTGGATGTAGAGAACCGGACCTGTTTCTTGATTGGAGCGACATTGTTCCATAGAGAAGGGATATGGCCATATAATACATTAATGATCCTCGCTGTTTTATTTTTATTTTTATTTTTTTTATCTATTTTTTTTGGCTTGTTGATGCCATATCAGCTCTATCCAACCTGTGGATATCCTCACTCTAATCTCCTCTACTTACTATCAAGACATAAGAGGCAGGAAGACAGACAGTGCCACAACTTCCAACGATCCAGTGTCCCCTATTAGAAAAACTCCTCGTGATCCTAAAATGGCCAACCACGTTCGATCTTCTGCAGCTCATCTGGACTGCCGCCGTCCGAGAGTTCAGCTTTCAGGGATTCATTCCTTTTTACGGCCGCGTCATACTTCTCAGCAGGCAGCCAGCCTTCTTCTGAAATCCCTCCTAGTTCGTTGCGCCAATGACTGACGAGTGTGTTTAAATTACACCACATGGGTTCATTCTCAGTCTGGTCACGTATCTCCTGTGCCGAGAATCCTATGGGGCATTCGAGAGGGACATTCTTGCCGGGGAGATGAGGCCAAAGATCACGCATGCGCATGAGAGCTCCACGTAGCGTCATGAGGTTTCCTGACCACTGGCGGCCTGCGCAATTTACAAGGTGCTGGCGTTGTAGAATGAGCGGGTCTCGCAGGGCTTCAAGGTGTAGTTTGTTGAGGCCGCCGTTGAAGACACGATAGAGGTAGAAGAGACTTTGCCGGCGGATGAGCTCATCGACCTGAGATCTTTGTTCGAGACTCATAGTGTCGTAACCGGGCGGATACTTTGGTGGTATCAAGCCAGTGGGCGGCTCAGGCTCGGGGTTTTCAAATAGCTTGGGGTACCCAGCGGCAAAAAGCAACGGGGCGATGACGGTGTGTTGCCAGTCAATGACGGATGTGACTTTGAATGTGTCGGGACAAATGAAGACATTGCTAGGGGTGAGATCTTGCCTTGATGATTAGACTCCAACATCATTATTCGGTGGGCTGAAGAGTGGACATACCAGGATGGCGTAGAGTAGGTCGGCTCAGATTATTCCCAGGCTCCCTTGGAAGAAGATACGGCGCGATTGCCAAGTACTTCCTGAGGAGGTCCAAGTAGTCCTGGGGGGAGTTGATTCCAGGAAAAACGGTACTGTGAGGGAAATCACTTTCAAGGGGCTTCCCAAATCTCTCGATCCACTTGACTTCCTTTTCGGCCGTTGCAAGAAGAAAGTTCTTCGGGTCGCACCCTGTGAGGAGGATCAGCTTGACAATCGCATATCTATACATTCACATCGAGGGGGGAGCATACAGGGTCCTCTGTCTAGCTCCATTTCAGCCCGTTGCCCATACCAGAACATATAATCAGCGATTGGTCCAATGCACTACATCTCTGAGTCTCCAGCTTCATCCGGCGTGCCCGCCACGTATAACGGACCCTGTAGCTGGGGTGGAAGGTCACTCTTGAAATAAAGGCTCCCAACAGCACTAAAGGGGATGTCGAACAGTTTCTTCTCGATGTCGACAATCCCTGTAACCAATGCGTGCTTTTGGTATTTTGTATTATTGAACCAACGAGTATCGGCACCCACCCCTGTAGCATGTTCCATGACAATATACTCACTACCGACTGGATTGTCGGCGGTTGAGGACCATCCATATACTTCAGGAACGGGTATTCCCTTGGAACGGAGAAATGTCAGGGTTGCAACTTCACTGGCAGTCGCATATGTCTTGGGTACGGATATCCAGTATGGGATCTTTACAATGGCCCGAAATCCATCTTCCATGGTAGCTAGTAGCACACGATTGAACCCTCCTTCACTGAGCTTGGCAAGCTCCCTAACACTCCCATGACCGACATGCTTTGCAACAGCTTTCTTCAGTGCAGCGACATCAAACTTCACATGACGCTCTCGAAGACGTATCTGTTCGTTGTAGAGGAATCATCCGGAGGAATATGAAAAGAGTGACTCGTCCGGAATTGATACAATGAGAGATATGAGCTCAGTAGGGAAGGGATAGTCCTGGAGGGGTTCCTCTTTGTAGCTTGCCGTTGGACATCCTTGGGTGATCAGTTGTGAAGTTTCTCGGTGGACTCGAGTTGATGAAAGCTTGTCGACGAGGCATCAACCACGCCGCCCGCGCGGAAAAGGTGCGTTTCAACATGGGTCGAAGGTAAGGAAAGAGAAGCTATGGAGATGGAGTAGTAACGTTCCACCTTGATTGGCGGCTGTTTCGGAACCAAGGCTTTTCCCGCCCGGGTCCACCTACTGTGTCAACCCACCACCCTCGACGAGATCACTAGATAGAGGCCTTGTTGTTCCTAACGTGCTACTAGGCTCGTGACTACCGCCCGATCCCCGAAGCGAAGTCATGGTTAGTGGAGTCACAGGGCCGGTGGTGGGGAGGGTCCAGGCCCGGAACCATAGCCGAGGCCACCCCGGACGATAAGGTTATGATTATGGAGAAGCCCACCCAGATACGAGAGTATCTATCACAAACGAGAGTATCATAAATCATCCAGAATGCATACTGTTGATAGTAGAGTCGATCGGATCGAGACAATCCTTATACGATACTCCGTTTGCGATGTGGACAGGCGCTGGGTCAAATCAGGAGCCATTAGCACGATACTAGTAAATACTGAACCTGAACGTTCGTAAACGAAAGCTTCGACCATGGTCTCTTTTCGTGACTGTGCAGCAACCCGCCTCCCTCCATCGCTGTAAACCACCATTGCTATTCGGCGATATGTCAGTCAGGAGATAGCTGCGTCCCCATCTGCCTGGTTTTCTTCCGCTCGTGTTTCCGTATATCGTCGTGAGATGTCTGTTTGGATGACATCATCAATTTGACCATGGGGTCTGATCGCAGATGCTCAATTTACAACTGAGGACAAAGAAAGGCATTGGCAATCCTTGAAGGCGAGCCTCGGCTGTGGTGCAACCCCGCCGCGGTCCATGTAGAGGAGCCCAGATATCTCCCCCTCACCTCCCCTCACCTCCCCTCTCTATCCCTCTTTCTGGAACAACTCGTCTCTCCAGCTGGGTTACCAAGTGATCATGTCGACCCCCTTCAGCAAGCTTCCCTCCGCCGCGAGGATCTCCCCCGTTCCCTTCAACGTGTCCATCCCCGCTGATCAGCTGGCCGACCTGAAGTCTCTCGTTCAGCTGTCCCGCATCGCTCCTCCCACCTACGAGAACTCGCAGCCAGATGGCCGCTTTGGTATCACATCCGAATGGCTATCGTCCATGCGAGAGAAATGGGTGACGGAGTTTGACTGGTCTCGAGTCTCCCTCGGTTCTATCCGTCTGCACAGCTGATCCTTCTAGGCCATCATTCGAAGCTCGGATGAGCCAGTTCCCTCAATTCACCGCCGACATTGAGGGCATCAATGTGCATTTTGCCGCGCTATTCTCTGAACGAGAGGATGCTGTACCCGTGACATTGCTTCATGGGTGGCCAGGTAGTACCAGCCGGACCGTGTCCAAGCAGATTTAATAAGCCATCACAGGCAGCTTCGTTGAATTCCTCCCCATTCTCCAGCTCTTTCGCGAAGAATTCTCCCCGGAAACTCTCCCCTATCACCTCATCGTGCCCTCCCTTCCCGGGTACACCTTCTCATCTGGTCCTCCGCTGGATAGGAATTTCGGCCTAACCGACATGGCCCGCGTCGTGGATCAGCTGATGAAGGACCTCGGATTTGGTAGTGGCTATGTGGTGCAAGGAGGAGACATTGGCGCCTTTGTCGGACGGGTCCTAGGTGTGGGATTCGAGGCCTGCAAAGGTTGGTAGTCGTCGAATCTTACCTACTGTGAACCGTGCTAACTCCCCCAGCGGTGCACTGTAAGTGACAACCCCCATGTCGGCTCGCGAGACACCAACCAGACTAGTAAACATGTGCCCCATGCCGTCTGTCCCCGAGGGCATGTCGATTGAGAACTTGACGGCTGTGGAGAAACGGGGAGTCGCGCGGATGGAGAAGTTCGTGACCCGAGGCCTAGCGTATGCCATGGAGCACGGGACTCGACCCAGTACGATTGGCCATGTGTTGGCCAGTAACCCGATTGCCTTGCTTGCCTGGTGAGAAATGTGCCTCTAGTCCATGTTGCGGAAGTCGTTTAACCAACTGGTTCCAGGGTTGGGGAGAAATATCGCGATTGGGTTGACAAGCCTCTACCGTCTGCGACTATCCTCGAGATGGTCTCACTCTACTGGCTTACTGAGAGCTTTCCACGGGCAATTTACCCGTATCGTGAGGTGGCGTGGCACTTGAGGCTGGAAATATATAATGGGACTGACGGGCGTAGACCACTCCCCTCCCCCCGAATACGACCGAGGCGCTTGGAAAGGAGTTATATATTCACAAGCCGTTTGGGTACTCGTACTTCCCGATGGAGATTGTCCCAGTTCCCCAGAGCTGGGTTGCTACAACGGGTGACCTGGTGTTCTTCCGGGAGCATGACGAGGTAAGAGAAGGTGAAACTGACCGTGCTGGAGCTCTGAAACTAACCGATGGATGCAGGGAGGACACTTTGCCGCGCTGGAGCACCCCCGCGAGCTCAAGGCAGACCTGGTGGCATTTATTGAACAGGTGTGGCAGAAATAGGGAGCATCAGGGATGTGGATTCAATGCGCAGATAGTTCAGATTAGTGCAATCACAATGGCATGTTCAGACTTCCGACGTTGTGAGAGTAGACAGATAGATAGACGGAGGGAGCCGCTGGAAAGGACCCGAAGTATAGAATTCGAAGCCGCCCGCCGCAGCTTGATTGATTGCTTGCCCACTTCCGTCCTGCATCTCCCCATCACCTTATCTTCTGCTCGCCCCTCCTCCACCCTCTCCTTTTATCTCCTCCTTTCCACTCCTTCCACCCACTTCAATTGCATGATCTCCACCTTCTCCATTATTAATTCGACCCTCTCATCCCCTACTCGTCACCCGACCTCCCGCTGGCCCGCATGTCGTCCTCCTCGAGCTCGAGATCGGGATCTCGTCCTCCACCACAGTCCACCAAGAACAACAACAACAACAACAACAACAACAACAGCACTACCTCCCTACAGCAATCCGCCGCCTCCTACTTCTCTTATCCAGTCACTCACGTCGTCTCCGGCCTCTACCGTCGCCTCACCGACCCCCCAAGCAATAATACCAACTCCAACAACACCATGCGCCGCAAGACCGACCAAGTCTACACGCCCGTCCGCACCGCCTCGCCCTTCCAACCACCTCCTCTAACCCCCTCACCCTCTCCGATCCCTCCACACTACTCACCCGGTCTCTGGCCGAAGAAATTCGCCTTCTCGTGCCCCCGCGCCTCCAACTAATCAACAACTGGCACCTCGTTTACAGTCTCGACCGCGACGGCGCCTCCCTCTCCACCCTCTACGACCACTGCCGCGACATCTCCGCCCGCAGCCCTCGCGCCGGCTACGTGCTCGTCATCCGCGATGCCTCGCCCTCCTCCACCGCCGTCTTCGGCGCCTACATGACTGATCCCCCGCACCCAGACTCCCACTACTACGGCACCGGCGAGTGTTTCCTATGGCGAGCGAGCGTGCTCCCGCCCTCAACAGCGATGTTGAATTTCACCTCGGATATGGATGGCGCGGGCGCAGAGGCATTGGAGAAGGCCGGGTTCCCGTTGCCTCCGTCCGCGGATACCACGAATGCGGGCCGGTCGACAACCCTGCGTACGGGCGGAGGAGAGAAGTGGCTTTCTCCGGGGACGGCCTCGGGGACGGCTAGTGGACGGACAAGTGGGACAGCTACCCCGGAGCAGATCCGCTTCAAAGCGTTTCCCTACAGTGGAGTGAACGATTATATGATTTTTTGTGAAACAGGATTTTTGAGTTTGGGTGGAGGGTAAGTTTATTCCCTGTGTCTTCATCCTGGTCTTTGAAGTTGTAGGTGGAGATACTGACGAGTCAGGGACGGACACTACGGGCTATGGGTTGATTCCAGCCTCGAAAAGGGCGTCAGTGCATCCTGTCAGACCTTCGGAAACGAGCCGCTATCGGACGAGGGCGTCAAGTTCGATATCATTGGTGTCGAGGTGTGGTACGTCGGTTCTTGAGGAATACCTACCCACCACTGGATATCGGTCCGTGAGGGCGTGAGGTTGCTATACTTCGGACTTCGGAGGGAAAATGAATTAAAGGATACAGTTTGAGGGCGCGTGAGACTAATATCTGCAGGCAGAATGGTCAATAATAGCGGAATTGCTTGGTGCTCGTTGGACTTGGATGAGCAGATCAACTCCCACCCCCGATAAGGGCATGCCATGGGCCATGGTCATGCAAGAAGCGGCCTACGCGGTGGGCGAGCTGCGGAGGATTGACGGCAGTGCCGCCGATAGGTACAGGATACCCTAGGTCGAGTCCAAATTGCATATAGGTGGACGGCCGGGCCCAGAATGTGAATGCTATCCAACAACCATCATGCAACATGAATCGTGAGTCGTAGTCTTATTATGAGCTACCGGTAATTGAAATGTAAAGAAAAACTAGAGCTCAAGTCCGCAATTGCCACCGTTCGCCATCCGTTCATAGCACCGTGAAAGGACATCAAAGCGTCTCACAATAGCCTCAAAATAAAAAGCAAGCAAACCGAAAGAATCCAACAAAAGGGGTATGCAGTGGCGCAGAAAACACTATGAACAAGGCCAGCTCCATCAGTAAGGCGAATTGACAATGTCCTCCCTCCCTAGCCGGCTACCCCATTGCGTCCGGCGACGGCTGGGGGTGACAGGGGGTCCGGCGATACTCTCCCGAGTGGGCCTCAGCAGGCTCCGCTTCGCAACCATGTTGACTTCGTTAGGCAAAGCCACAATGACGTTCTTGTCCGAGCCGAATCGGAAGTTGTCCGCCATTACGTCTTCGCCGTAACGCTTGATCGTGTAAGGATCCTTGCGGCCAGCAATGACCTTCTTCAGGCTCCAGGTGACAATGAAAGGACCAGTAGCTGTGACAATCGAGGTTTCGGTACTGTCGACACCAGTGTTGAAACGTGCCTGCGTGAATGCAATAGGCTTCTTCGTCTCGTGCTGGAACTGGGCGACGTGTGCAGGCTGCAGGCCCAGGCGACGAGGCTGCGGTTTGGAGTCCTTGGCAAACGAGCGCTCGAAGCCCAGCTTGCCTTCGTTCTTGCCATCCTTCTGCAGAGAGTCGATAAGGAGGAGATACGTCCGACAGGTGGCCAGAACCCAGCGACCGTCGGCGGACACATCCAGGCCGATGATTGGCTCTCCGAGGGCTGGGATATGGGTCTTGGCGTTGATTCCCAAGCGGTCGAACATACGGATATCACCCTTGTTGGACGCGACAGCAATGTATCCCTTCTCTGTCGTAGCTACAGACGAGAACTCGTTCTTGCTAGCATACTGCTTCAGGTCTGCATCCACCAGCTTGTTTCCGGTAACACGAGGATCAATCCTGTACAGGGCGTTCTTTGAAGCACCAATGAAGGACTGCGCAGAGGTCATTTGGGAGAATTTCTGTAGCAGGTTAGAAGATGGTACACACAAAGTTAACAGGGTGACAAGGCAACTCACACTCTCAGGGGCAAAGGTAGTGACCGGGATATCCTCGTGGACCTTCCATTCATCCACAATCTTACCGTACTCCAAGTCCATCCTGTACAGGGAGTTCGGGTCATCGCCGTTCTGAAGGATCATGTTGGTATCTTCGGCATGCAGCATGACCTTCTTCGGGCTGAAAAGCTTGCCACCGGGCGTCTCCACCTTGGAAATGTTGGTTGAGAACTCGAGGTTGTTGTCCGGAGTATGCTTGAAGACGCCAATCTTGGAGCCACGGACGACAAAGGAGCGGTCATGCTTGTAACCGACGGCAAGTTGCGAGTTGACGTTTCCATCATCATCCCGAGTCACCACGTCATCTTGCTCCTCATCGGAATCGTAATGTTCACTGCGCTGGCCATCGTAGTGGTCTTCCTCCTCGTCTTCGTCTTCCTCGTCTGCATCGGCCTCACCTTCCTGGGCCTCGTCCTCCATTGTGAGATCCTGGAACGCATCCAGCACGTACTCCCGATCATTGTCCTTGACCTTGGTCCACTTCATCTCGTTCAACTGCTCCCAGAGTGCCTGCATGAGACCCTCCTGGAACCGCTCCTCGGTCTCTTGGTCCTTGAAGCGCAAAAGCCAAGAGAATGCCGAGCCATCATCACCGTAAGCGTTGAAGATGAAAGACAGGTATTCGAAGTTGAAGACGGGGTTGATGTCAGCGACCACGGCTTGCCCCAGCCATTCCTTATCGTCACCACTGATTTGAAGCCAATACTTCCAGTCACCAATCTCAGACACCGTTGCAGTCACATTGGAGGCCTGGAGAACGAATGTGCCGGTCACAAAATCGAACAGATGCAGCTCGGACGGTTCCTGAGCGAGGATCTCCCTAGCCTCAGGCTGCTCTGCTGCAGGCGGAGCGACCGTGGCCTCCTCCTCAGCCTCCGCAGGCTTGATGAGTCCCTTGGACCGCGAGTACTCGACGTCCTTCACCATGGCGGCGGTCGACTCTCCAGATGTCAGCGACTCAGCACGTGACTTTGTTGGGGAAGAAATAGGACTTGCGGACGGGATGGGCTTTTCCTCTTGGAAAGAGAACTCCTGCAGGTCTTCCCGGCTCAGGTTCTGTGAGGTCCGTCGGTATGCGCGCTCGTACTGGCACTGGAGAGCAGCGAGCTCAAAGGTGGAAACCTTATCCGAGGGCACGGATGGGTCGCAGACAAATTCGAAGAGGTCGCCCAGGTCGCCACTCAGGTCTCTCCAAGCCAAGATCTTTGCACCGCCTTCGCGAACTTCGGAGCGAAAGTGCAGAGCCTGATCAAGGAGGAAGACTTTCTCGTCCTTATCGAGGCTGTCACTGCCACCTTGGTCGTCGTCGTCTTCACCGAGCTCTTCCTCACCCTCTTCGTAGGCACGTTGGATGACGAGCTGGTATTGGAACTCCTGCCCGGTGCGTCTGATGGAAGCGGCAGCGTCCTTGAAGATAAGTTCTGAGTAGCCTTTGGGCGACAGAGGACGAACAAGATAGAGCTGGCCCTGAGGAATCTCGATGATGGATTCCTTGGAAGCGTCTCCGAAGAGGTACTTGCTCACTGGAAAAGGTACGAAGAGGATACGTCAGTATGTACGTCAACGGATGACGGATGATGTTAACAGGGAGCAAGGGAGGTGAAGGAGGGGTAGATGGCGGGGTAAAGGAAAGTCAAACCGAAGGGCGACAAGTGAATACCAGCTGTCTATATCAGGAAGGAACATACCGTTGCGGAGCACAAACATGGCTGGAGGTGCTTTGCTGCTTAGCAACAGCAACCTTGTTTACTCGAGGCGATGGAGAAGGTGCGTTGCTGGGGCAGGAGGTTTGGGAGGGCCACCGCGGGAAAAAGAGGGCAACGGAGAAAAGAGAAGGCAGGCAGGAGCCTCAATCGGGGAAGATTGTCGGGGAGAACAGCTCAAGCAACAGGCAGCGCTGAAAGCAACAAACTTCGGTGGAGCTTCTGGAAGGAGAAACAAAAAAAGATGGAAACGGATGTTGTTGTTTTGGTTGCCGTCATCGATCGCCCGGTGGCAACCAAGTGGCGCATTTCTTCTGTGGCGGTGCAGCTTGCGGTGCACTTTATGTCATCTGTGCTATACAAGAGCATAACTTCATTATCCCAGTATGGGATCATAAAACACGCAAGCGTTCCCCTAACTGCTAGGAAATCCGTCCATCTTCCCCCAAAGTCTAGTTATATGGCTATATATGTACATTAATTGAGATTCATCAGTTGGCGTCACCAGCGTCACCAGCCTCCGCGGGCGCCTCTTCCGTAGCTTGTTGGGCCTCTTCAATACCCTCGTCCGTAACCTGCTGGGCCTGCGCCATAGCTTGCTCCTCGTCCTCTTCGGCATCCTCCTCTTCCTCCTCAGCATCCTCCACCTGAGATCCTTCTCCAGCAGCCCCGGCAGACTCCTTCAACGTACCGCCCTTGCGCTGGGGAATAACAGCAAGGAACGCCTTGCCCCAATCGCCCAGCTCCAACCATTTCAACATGATCTCGACAACATGGTTCGTGGCCAGCACCTGGCGCGACGCCATCTGAATGTAATCCCCAATAGGCAGCTTCGCCGTCTTGATACCCTTCTCAACCGCGTGCTTGTAGCAAATGCCCTTGTGCCGGTTCTTATCCACCAATCCACCAATAATATAGGTACTGAACGGCTTCAGCTCCGCCAAGGTATTGGGACTATCACTGCTCAGATAGACAACCTCGCCATCCTCGGGCGTGGAATCCGTCTTATCAGCAAACACACCCTCGAACCTGCCCCCCGCAGGAACAACCATCCACTCCTTCGCCATCTCCGCGACCTGAGCAAAGTCCTGCGGCACAATCCGCACCCCCTTCCAGTTGAGATAATGCTTGTTCAGCTTCGTATCGAACCGCTCTTTGAGTTGCTTATTGAACGACGAGAACACCAAATGCGACCGGTACGCCGACCGACTGTTATCGGAGTACGACCGAGTGATCTGCGAGCCTAGCGAAATCCGTTCCTTCTCCAGCATCAATTCGTCGTATCCGCAGTCAATGACCAGCGTCAGCGGGAGGAGCGTCGACCTCCGGAATCGCTTGTGTGTCCGTTCGTACGTCTTCTTGAGCTCCTCCAGCGTGCCGTCCTCTCGCGCCTGTTCCAGCGCAGCCCGGCGCTTCTCTTTGCGTGCGATGCCCCGTTCCTTGCGCTTGGCTTTGCGCTGGTCGCGCTGGCCTTCCCATTGCTCGCGTCGGCGCATGCGCTTCATCTCGCGCTTGGAGATCTTGGGCGCACCATCTTCAGTCTGCTGCGTAGGCTCGGACCCGTTGGCTCCATCGCCTGATTCAACCCGTTGTTCATTGTCGCCAGTGTTGGTCTCAAGCGCACCCGTCATTCTCGGTTCGGGATTCTGGGTCTCGTCGTGGTCGAGCTTGGGGAGCTTTCTAGGTCGACCTTCTTCCTCCATCGTATATGGGCCAATGCACAAAGCCGTGAAATCCTCTGTTTCGCAATTCACAGTAAACCCAACCAAAGCAGAAAGCAAGTAGTAGTTGAGTCGTAAGTCACCAACATCACTTCAATCACATCCGTCCTAAGCGCCGAAGAATTGCCCCGCACGCCCACCAATCAAACCGACGTAAGCGGGTATTACCAAACCACCCTACCGGCACGTGACCAGCAACTCCAAGTTCATCCGCCCATCGCATCATATATCCATCGTGTATATCAACCAACCCACCGCAATCACCCCCCTTCCTTTCGCCATTGAAGGCTGCCGCCGTCGTCAGTCATCACCATGCCTCAGGATATGCCCCCACAGGGGGGCTATTTGCCCGTGCAGTACAAGGTGCGTGACGTCCGGTTCATCCGATTCAACTCCATCCCTACAAACCAACCACGAGCCAGGGCAATCGTCTTCTAACTGAATGAACTAATGTTAAACTGCAGCGCAACATCCCTGCCCGCGGCTTCCGCCCCATCTACTACATCGTCGGCATGCACCTTGTCATGGCCTACGGTTTCTACAAGCTCTTCTACGGTATTCGTGAGCAGCAGTACGTTGCCCAGTCCAACGGGGAATTATAAGACCCCATGAATAGGCGAAGAGGGTATATGTGCTCATAATGTTACTTAGCGAACTCGCCCGTGAGAAGATCTGGGGTCGTCTGCACATCCTCCCTCTGCTTCAGGCCGAGGAGGACCGTGACCAGGCCCGTCGGTACTTCGCCGACAAGGCTCGTGAGAAGGAGCTTCTCGGCACCGACTCCAAGGTCTACAACTCGAGCCGGTATGTTTCAAATCCTCTCCTTGATGTTTGATTGGGGAGTGTTATGGTCTGTATGGTTTGTTTGGACTCAAAAAGGCTAATTGCGGTTTGGGGGATATCTAGCTTCGTTCGCCCTACTTTCACCTATACCCCCACCAACGTCACCCAATAAGCACCCGGAATAGAAAATACGGGTGCGTTCAATTATGGTGTCATCAAAAACCTCAATTCCACCCCCATCGGGGCGGATCTTGCGCACATGATCTGATCGGGGAGTTCATGTGCAAGCAAAGATGGGTCCAGAGTATGCAGTTATGGGCGTGTAGGCGGCGCTTCCGTGAGGATAAAGAGGTGCACTGGGACTGTCAAGACGAGCTATTGTATGCTGTAGATATACCAACTAAAGAGACCGGCCAGTTCCGCAATGCGTGTTTTTTTGTATTTCTTTTCCTGCCAAGAGTGTGTCTATCAACCGCTGCTTACATTAGCTAGGCTGTGTGGCTGCATTTCTCCGTATGTGTCTATGTGCTTTATATGCGAGAATCCCAAAACCGCAAAGGTGGCTATGACGTAGGGGCAAAGGAACGATATCAAGCCACCATACTATACAAAAGCAAAGCAGGCCATGTAGTGGAATGACCTAGCCGAACAGGTCTGCGACGCCGGCAAGGTCCGGGCCATCGTTGATATCGACTTTATGATTCTGCTGGCCCTCCATCTCACTGGTACTCATGTACCTCTCTTGCAGCGCGCTCCGGGCTTTTCGGCGTTCTTCCCGAGAGCCCAAGATCTTCCCTTGCTCGGCGATGCTCACACCCCTCAGGCCCTCCAGGAGATCCAGAATCAACGCGCGCTGTTGCCTTGGAGCCGAGGATCGAATCAGGGCCGCTTCTGCATTAGCAACGCGCTGCTCATTCATGCCCGGAAGGCTGAGGATCACGGACCGCGGGGTCGGACTGGTTGACCCGTAGAGGAGCCAGATGGAGGCGATGAGCTGGGCGAGATCCTTCTGCATATCGACGAAGTAAGGCTCGTGCACAGACGTGATGCAGGCCTTCAACACTTCGGAAGAGATGAACTCGCGTATCGTTACTGTGGTTGGGGTATTGTTGGGAGGAGCAAAATCCTGCAGGATGGAGCGAATAACACGCGTGATGATGCTACAGCACCGGGTATCGCGCATACGAAGTGCATGAGTGCAGAAGAGCATCACAGGCTCAAAGATCTCTGGCGAAGAGAGAACAAAGTGCCGGATCGAGACAGAAAGGGCGGGTGTTGCCTGTGGAGCGCTGGGATCCACTGGCTCCTCGTCGGGGTCTAAAATGAGAGGTAAGCATGGAACACAGTTACAATATCGATGGTCAACCTACCCCCTCGCTGCGGGTCCAAAAGGCTTGCCACGAAGATCACCGCCGAGTAAGTCAATTGCCGCAAGATACTCTCCGACTTCATTTCGTCCGCCAAGTCGTCCTCTCCCCCGAGGCCTTCTTTCTGACGTTCAATGACGTCCCACTCCGACGTTACCTTCTTGTCAATATTTGTGAACAGTGTGGCGAGCATCGGAGGCAGGAAGTGACCGCGGAAGCGCACGGGACAATCATCGATCAAGCACCGCGAAATGTTAAGAAGGACAGAGAATTGATGAGAGGAAAGATGGGGAGAGTCCTTGAACAGAGCCTGGGAAAGGGGCCCTGGAAGCTCTGAAAACCCATAGAAATGCTCACGTAGCCGACTCATGCTGAACAACATGGAGTAGCAGGACTCCCGAACAGCCCGGATCTTTCCTCTTACAGAGGACGCAAATCCCTCAAGCGAGGCTCTTGAGGCCGTGATCTTAGCATAGAAGTCATCCCGACTTCCAGTGGATATGCCAGCTTGCCAGAATCTATCGGTAAGAATACGTTCGACCACTCCTCGCATGTCATGAGGCAAGCCACCCCAATTCTCCGGATTGTGGAAGGCATGGGCGTTGCTGTGTCATGGGTCAGCTGGGTAGTTTGTGTGAATGTCAAGGAGACTTACCTGACAAGCTGCAACAGTGTTGGCAATATTATGGGGATGATTTCATGCCAGACATTGCATGCAAGTTCGTAGGCTTGGTCCGTCTTTTTAAGCTTGTCTGAGGACACTGCTAGCATAGTTTTGGTGCCTCTCAAAGGTAGTTGCTATTCTAGGAGTCAGCATGCGGTCAGGTTCCGTGGTGCATTCAGATGTACCTGGAATTTTCTTGTCATTTCTTCTTGAATGAGCTTTCCCTCGCTATCCAGAGGCACCGATGACCAGTCCACAAGCTTCGGCGCCTGTCGTGCCTGCATGTACGGTCCGACGCTCTGCAATCCCAACATGACGCAGAAGCCCTCAAATGTTGAACTCATATTACGGAACTCGTCTTCCTGCCACGCTTGTTTGATGGGTTCCACGAAAGACACAAGTCGGGACTGGCGCAGATAAGGTTCCACATTGTTTGCTCGTTGCCTGAGCACGTCAGCACTTGTTCATTTGAATCAAAACCATGGAGTCTCACATGATAATGAGGAGGATCGAGGTTAATTCCATCTGAAGCTTGTCATCCACCCTGTTAGCCATGCTGATCTCTTTGATCTTAGGCTCAAGCAGGTCATAGAAAGTCTGCGAGCGTTAGTCAGCCGAATCTAGCGGACATGTCCCATGTTTCTTACAGCAAAGTAGTCAGCGTAACGCATAGCAAGCCTCCGGAGTTCATGGCTGGTCAGGCCGTGGAGTTCCTTGACAGACTCGGAGTATACTGGGAATTCTGACTGGTCAGGTAGCCGTGTCATGAGGATATATTCCAGAGCTTTGAGCGCAAAGCTTGGGGTTTTGTCTAGAGCCCTTGATGATATATCCACGACAAGCTTAATGACTCGTTGCTTAAGAATCGGATCCTGCGGTGAAACATTAGCGATGTGGCGGGTTATAATGTCCGGGCACAGGTCAGTCAAACCTCGAAGCTTCGCTGCATCAATTTGAAAGCCCAGGATTCTAAGATCTGCTCCATGTCACTTCGCTTCTGTTCCTGTGCACTGGTTAATGGCAGATAGATAGTTGGGATTGGTAGTTCGCACATCCTGCTGGGGCATCTTTCCATGCGCAGACACCCATTTATTATATCCCTTCAAGGTGGCCTCCACAACGGCAAACTGCGTATCAGCACGCATCAATGGTATGGAGTTTTTCGAAAATGATTTGACTGATTCACAGATTAGTCCGCGGTTTCGACGTTCCAAAAGGCATACACACCGCTAAAGGGTTCCACTCCGGCATAAAGATTGTCTAGGTTAGCGTCAACTCCCGATAGGATATGAGGAATGGCTTCTTGTGGCCTCTTTTGGACGATGGTCTCGATAGTGGAAGAGCAGTATCGCCTATAGTTACCCACGAAGGCATGCCGCTCCGGAACAGTGTCAATGTCCTCATTAAGGAAAGCAACTGTAGGATTTTCCGAGTCTGTCGGGAAAGACTCCCAACGAATCAATCGTTCGGTACAAATACCCAGTAGCGAAGGCACAAGGCCAGTGACCAAGTCTGTATTGCCAATTCTCTCGGATGCGATTAATTTGGACCACACATGAAGAACAGGGATCGAAATAGTAAGGCTTTGGTTTTGAATAACGCTGAGGGTGAGGTGGAAGAAAAATTGAAGGTTCATGCCCTGCACAGTTTCCAAAGCAAACGCCTTTTCCTCAAGGAAACCTGCAACATATGAGAGCATCTTTTGGTGATCAGTTATTGAACCAATATCTCAGAAAGGTAGTGCATATCCCATACCTCAGACAGCTTTTTGCATATCGTATATCTCGTATCATCGACGTCATCAGGCCCGACAACTGACCACTCGTAGAGCTTCTGGAGCACATTCAAAGATTCCGTTTCATACATCAAGTGGACAAGTTGATCGAAGCCCTCCAGATCCAGATTAGACCGGCTATATAAGGCATGTAGTGCTTCAACCGCAGCCTAGAGCGAGTGCCATTAGTATTGTCTGTCTTCAGCACGGCCTCGGGGAGGCTAAGGATCTCCTTACCAGTAACACCTGTTCATCACTGCAGGTGAAGGCCCTGGCAATGCATGGGACACAGTTTGAGGAGAGGATGGCCTTCGGGATTGACCAAGCAAGGGCAGACTTAAGGGTGGCAAGAGCTTTGAGAGCCGAGTCTTTTGCTTGCTTTGAGCTTTGGATGTTTCCTATGCAATCGTGGAGGAACACACAAATGCGGGAGAGCCAGCCTTCAGGTCCACAGCGCAGCTCAACAACATCCTTCTTTGGGTTGAGTTCCTCGTAAACCACCAAGGGCGTACATACCTCCACCATGGCCCGATTGAGGTCCGTTCCGCGCAGGGAAGAAACCGTGTCCTCGCGGTAAAAGATGTCCTCGGAGAGGGTCTCGAGAATCGATAGGACCAATTCCTTGTGCACGAGACTGGCACCCCAGAACTGGACCAGAGTCGTGTCCATCTCGTTCCAGTCCAGGCCCCAGCTCCGTTTGGCGACTTCAGCCCATAATTGCGGGATTTTGTTGCGTATGTACGGGGGATCTTCCGGTCGTATCGACTCCGCCAGCTTTAGAACCAGATCTCTGAGCGCGACAATCTGCTCCGATGCTTCAAAGGAGGTGTGACGCAAGACGTGATCCAGAAGAGTCAAGCCGAAATAGCGAACCAAGGGGTTGCTCTGTTCAGGGGACGCCAACAGGAAACCATTACGAGCCGCCGATTTGCTTTCTTTCTGGGCCTCCACAAAAGTCAGGGCCTCTCTGCGCAACTCATTTGTAGATGAGGGGCTGTGAATGAGCTCAAGCGCGCGAATGATGTCGGCCATATGGCCCTCTGATAGATCTGCCTCGGCCGCCATGGATGGGTGCTGACTGGGCTAGTGCCACCGGGTTGAGTGAAGGATAAGTATAGATTGATTACCTCAAGTCTTTCTCCAGTGACAGGACCAATGCCGGCATGATCTAGGCCCTTACAAAGGCAGTCAACTTTCCTGGTGGGAGATCCGGCGTTGCGGTAAGGTAGCACTGCGTTGGGCAAATGAAGAACGCTGCCGCTATCAGCCACGGGCAGGTTCCAGAAAGGTGGGCGACACACGGCAACCGCCGTCCGAGGCAGTTGCGGCTAAGCGCTTCTTGTGGAGATGCAAGTTTCTGCCTAATGAACTGAAGGGTTTATGAGGGGAATGGCTTGGGGACTAGGGATGCACGAGTATAGACGGGGGGGTGTGGAAGTTGTTTCTTCTGCTGGGGCCGGAAGTTCTCTCCTCTGCGGGCTGGACGCGGGTGTAGATGTGGGATCGAAAAAGACGGTACCTTAAGAAAAAAAAAGCTTAGGGGAAGAGAGAGAACAACAATAAGTAAGTGAGAACAATAATCATAAATAGCTCACTGCGAATTTTCCACGCGCTCCCGTTCCAATCACCACACCGACTGGGGGCGGTCCGGAGGGGCTTGCACCACTCACGCGCCGCCCTGGCCCTCACCGCTTCCTGGGGTTGGCTTATCGATAACAGCCTTTCTTCCCCTCCTCCTACTAGTCGCTGCATAGTAGGTTAAAAAGGAGGTACTACCCCTTAAATTGCGGGTTTCTAGTACTATTAGTAGCAATTCCTAGTCAGGAGTCCTCCCCAGTCCTGGGCTTTGCAACTGCAAATGTTGAGATTTCATCTACCTGCATCTACATCTCTTACACGAGAAAACATCTTGGTTACTGAGGAAAGAGATGGTGACAAGGCCAAATTAAGAAACTCCAACAAAACACAACAATACCATTATGCATATAGGGAAGTAACGTCATCATAATGACCAACGATGGTCCAGCCATCTACATCACCTCACAGCCTCCCGTCTGGCATTGCTCGAGATAGCTCAGGTCATCTCCCGAGACGGCACTCATATCTCCCGGCTTCCGCTTGACTCCTTGGATCTTAATATCCTGATCTCCTTCCATATGCCACCATCGGAGTCGCTGCACCTTGATTGAGTTGATCTCCGTGTAATCAATTGACCACTCGCCACTGCTGACCGACACCACCGTCTGCGAGTCCGGAAAATGGAACTCAGGCAGATAAATTTCGGTCGCCGTCTCGTCTCCCACGGTCCTTTCCTTGCCGACCAGCGAGAGAGTGAACGTGCAGTTGCGGAGATCGAAGAGATACTTCGAGATCAGTCCGTGGGTGTAGATCGGACTGGGCCGGATGAAGGCCTCCCCGGCCCGGAACCCTAGTTTATCCGCATTGGACTGGGTGTACTCCGACGTGATGGAAGGTGGGGGCAGAGCATTCTTCAGGTTCTCGGGTCCAACCCGCTGGATTTCGGCGTCGCCTTGACTTTCCGAATAGGCGGGAGAATGAGGGTTCGGATCCGATCGGGACTCACCCTCCAACGCCAGAAGCTTCCCACTTGGAAGTTCCAGGTCATCGAGGGAGTAGATTGACAGATCTTCGCCGTTCCAGTTATCGCCCCACTCGTGATTATTCTAGAAAGCGATCAGTAAACTGCCGTATATATTTCCGCGGATCAGTGGTGGCTTCAGTGCTTACCGTGGTGGTATAGAGCCACAACGTAAAGCCATTTCCAGTACTTCCTTCCAATGCGAAGTGGTTCGCATCCATGGCACTGACTTGACTGCTATAGTTTCCGGTTTTGTATGCATATTTGTCATCCATGTCATAGGGGATACCGATCTCCGTGAAGACCAGCGGATGATTCCCCATGTACCTTAGACTTTCGTCTCGGAGGAATTTGAGCTGGTCACGCAGACAATTCCGGATGGCTGACTCTCCGATCTTGACGGCAAAGGCCGGGGTGAGATACTTCCCCCGAAGGACCCCAATCACGTCTACATTGTATAGTCGGTTCCTGTAATAATTAGCCAAGGAAAAGGAATGTTCGAGGGAGTTCGCCTACCAGTGCTTTGTCAAGAGTGTCAGGCCATCGTAGTAATGTACCGCATGCACCATGTTAGGGTCATCGTCAATTGTTCCCTTCAAATCTGGGGGTATTTCCATGACCGGTGGTTGGCACAGCATAATGGCACCTGGCCAGACGCTTCTGAGGGCGTCTCTGTAAGCTCGGTAATGCTCCAGGAAGTATGAGTTGGTGAATTTATCGTAATCTAAGGGTTCTCCGGTCTGTGGCCGCTTGGCGAAGTAGTCTTTCCGCAGGAGCTGGTCCGATGATGGATCCCATACTCCATGTTGTGCCCAAAGACATTCACCCAATTTCCAATTCGGATCTCTCTTCCAGCCATACTTCTGGTCATCATAGTCTGCTGGTAGCCATGCGGACTCACCCTCAGGATCCACGAGTTCTCTGCCCGTCTGGTGAGGGCCGAAGCTGCCAAAGGCCCAGGTTGTTTGTTCGCACGCCCGTCCTGAGCCAGTCAACATGGCTTGAAAAGCAGTTGGCGATGTTCCCAGCTGAAGTTGTTGTTCCGGGGGAATCACGGATATATCTTGCACTCCGATAAGGCCCCTATGGGGCTCATTCATGCTCTCCCACCCGATAACCACGTCGTTTTCGATGTCACCAGCCTCATGAATCTTCTGTGCGAAATATTTACACGCGGCGATGAAATGGCCTTGTAGATAATCCTGTATGTTCACGCCATTGATGATTGCCTTAGGAGCAAAGTCCCGACCTCCCCAAAATAGCGTGAATATGGTCTGGCAAACCAGACGGGTATAGTTTGTACTCCAGATCATTTTGGGAAACTCCGCTGGGTTGTCGTATGTATTCTGGACAAGGGCAGCTTCGGTCTTCTTGAACGCTCTGGGGTTCAAGCCTGCCGCATAAAGCGTCCAGGCTGGCGCACCGGACCCTCCCGATAGTCTGGACCACTGGTGTTCTTCAGTAAACGCTCATTTCATCACCAGACACCTCCGTTCGAGACATACCACATCCTGGTGAGGATCCAGAAACACATAAAATTGATATTGCTTGGCGACACGCAAGACTTCGATTGTAAATGATATCCACTCATCGTCGTACTTTCCGGGCCCTTCGTGTTCAATCGCTTCCCAAGTGAAGATGTACCGCAGGGTATTGTAGCCCCATTTGCGTAGCCTTGCAAAGTGTGTGTGCGCATCGTCAAGGGTGAAAGGCCGGCCAACGAACGAAACATTATCGGCGTCGAAGAAGGCATCGGATACGTAGGAAGGGGTATCAGGGTTCTTGGGATACTTGGATTCGCCGGCAACGTTGATCCCTCTTAGTGTGATCTCCCGATTCTGTGGATCCTTGAAAGTCCGACCATCAATTCGAAGTCGTAGGGAACCCATGATTGCTGGTGGCAAGGTAGGGTATAGTCGTTGGCAATGATGAAACTTAGGGTGGGCGCCAGAGACAGACTGCCGGGACGAATGCAGGAAGGGTTATTCGGAACTTTTGACAGAATGAGTAGGGCACTTAATCAGGAGACCGGCCAAATGATAGAAAAGTTCCTAGGAGTTAAACGTTCGTACAACAACAAAGACTCCTGGGGAACCGAGTGAAGTGTCGATCGGATCCGCGCTAACCTTGCAGGAACACCCTGTCAAACGACGAACAGGAAAGCCAACGAGGGGTAATTTAGGCCTTGACACCGCAGCACGAGTACTTGAGCTCTGCGATACAGCTTCAGCACAACAAAAAATTCCCAGGCGCAAAGGGAATCCGCAGCAGCAGCAGCAGTAGCAGCAGTGCGGAGAGCCGAGCAGTCGGTAGGAGCCTTGGAGATAAGGGCCTCTGACGTACCATCATCCGGGCCATACCCGCTTGGGCTTCCCCACATAGCCAGCCTTTTCTCAACCTGCTCAGCTCCTTCCCCCCTCCCGACCGCCCAGGAACTCGCCTCAAAGGGCAAGGTCATGAAGCAATTGCTCTAGAATGTCAAGCAAGTCCGCTCTCAAGGCGGTGCGAACAGCACTCGACTCGAAGGATTTCGAGCTCGCCGCTGAGAAGGCCAAAGCCATTGTGCAACGCGACCCTCAGATCTACCATGCGTGCGTGGTCCCGACCCCGTGGCACTAACCATTGCTCTGTCGCACTGTCTGACCAATATATAGAAATGTCTTCCTTGGCCTCGCTCTCGATAAGCTCAACAAAAACGGCGAAGCTGAAACAGCCTATCTCTCGGCAATTCGCGTCAAAGACAACGACAAAACGGCGTGGCAGGGACTCATCAACCTATACGAGAAACAGGGAGCTCAGAAGCTAGAGCCGTATCGCGAGGCAGTCATCAGGCTTGGTCAACTATTCGCGGAATCGTGCGTCTGCAGCCCCTTTCATTCGTTCCAATGGGCACAGCCGATCGCTAACTGGGCGCAGAGATGACAACAAGCATCGTTGTCAGGATCTAGTGGACAAGTATATCGGTTTCGCAAAGAGGAACGGTTCTCGCCCACAGTATAAGAAAGCCCTCGAACTGCAGCTGCCGTCATGCCCACTCTACGATTTCCTCGAGGGAAGAATTCCCCATCCTGCGCACACGTATCTCCGATTGATAGAAATGACCGAAGCAGAGGAGAAAGAGTTCATCAACCGAGAGATAGGAGAGAGACGTACTCGTCTGGGCGCGAAGATAGATCAGGTCACACTGGAGGTTAAGCGGGAGGCTTTCAAACGGAGTGAACTAGAGCAGCTATACCGTGGGATCGTGGACTGGTCTCATGACGACCAAGTTCGACGCACTTACGAAGAGAAATCGCTGCAACGGGCGAATGATGTCCTTGCTGTTCTACCGGCGAATGAAAAAGATGCCAAGCGAGCAGAGGTGCTGCAAGCTGCACACGACATGGTGATCATCAAACACCCGTTCGAGCTCGCCTGGAAAATTGTGCTCGAATGGCAGGATATTCAGAACTTCTCGGAATGGGATCGTAACTTCCTAGATGACTTTATCGAATTCTTTCCCGAAGATGGACTTACGAAGCTCCTCAAGGGTTTCTTGGCCAGTGATTTATCACCGTTCCCGAAAGAAAAAGAACCCAAAGAGCCCAAAGAAACTCCGAAGAAGGACGAAGAGACCGAAAATGATAGCGAAAGCAATGAACTTGGTGTTCAGGATAATTTGCTCTTGATGGTGGAAGGACTTGAAGCATCATCCTCTTCGATCGTGGCACACCAGGTTGTTGGCGAACTTTACCTCTCGCTTGAAGAGTACGACAGTACGGTCGAAGTCTGTCGTAAAGGGCTTCGGAACATCCAAGATTTGGTGAGGAGGACTGGTATTAACATGGGAAATACGACAGACTCGCTCAACATAATGCTTGCGAACTCCCTCATCTACTACCAGTCTCCACGACATCACCCTGAGGCAAAGCGTGTCTTTGAAGAGATTCTGAATAGGAAGCCAAAGTCTACAAGCTGTCTACTGGGTATCGGTCTGATTCTCAAGGTCGACGAAGATTACTCCGAAGCCGTCAACTTCTTGGAGCGTGCCCTCGAGCGAGACCCGTCGAATATCATGGTCCGCGGTGAGCTGTCATGGTGCCAGGCGCTCAAAGGGGACCTGGCATCTGGCCTGGATGGTCTTCAGGACGTGCTTGCAGAACTTCAGGATGCACCATCAGAGAACAGGGAATTCAAGTCCGAGATCCTTTATCGGGTGGGATACTGTCAGTGGGAAATTGACCCATCGCCGGCTGCACGTAAAGACCGGACTGGTGCGTATGCCAGTTTCCTCGCATCAATCCAGTCCAACATGAATTTCGCACCCGCTTATACGAGCCTTGGATTTTACTATGCGGATTACAAGAAAGACAAGACACGGGCACGCAGATGTTTCCACAAGGCGTTCGAGTTATCGGCATCCGAGATCGAAGCAGCGGAGAGACTTGCCAAGGCTTTTGCCGATCAGAGGGACTGGGACCTTGTTGAAGCCGTGTCCCAGCGTGTTGTGGATTCGGGAAAAGCGAAACCTGCCCCAGGCTCGAAGCGCAGAGGCTATAGCTGGCCCTACGCAGCTTTGGGCACGGTCCAAATCAATAAACAACAGTATCCAAAGAGTATCGTCTCGTTCCAAGCCGCGCTGAGAATATCTCCAAATGATTATCACTCCTGGGTCGGTTTAGGCGAGAGCTATCATCATTCTGGCAGGTTCATTGCCTCTACCAAAGCGTTTGAGCATGCACAGCAACTGGAGGATGCCCTCTCCAGCTCAGAGAAGGAGCAAATTTGGTTCGCAAGGTACATGTTGGCGAATGTTAAACGAGAACTTGGCGAGTACGACGATGCTATTGCAAGATACGAGAACGTCTTACAAGTGCGGCCGAACGAATTTGGGGTGGCGATTGCGCTGCTGCAGACGCTTACAGAGAGTTCATGGAAGAGTCTCGACCTGGGGCTCTACAACGACTCTATCGAGCTGGCACGTAAGGCTGTACTGGTGGCGAAGTCGCTTGCTCTGGAAAGGGTAGATGTGTTCAACCTATGGAAAGGAATTGGAGACGCCTGCACACTCTTTTCTTACGTTCGGTCAAAAGCAGGCAGATTGCCGATTAAAGAGCTACAAGATCTGCTGGCGACCCAACTTGAACCTACAGCATTGGACATCTTGACGGAGGTTGACAACATCGGTCAGGATTATTTGGATTCACTAGCACCCGATGAGAACATCGATCTGACAAACCAATACCTATATGCCGCAATTCTGGCATTCAAGCGTGCCATTCAGGTTTCCTTGCGAGATAGCCATGCCCAGGCCGTTGCCTGGTACAACTTGGGCTGGGCAGAATACAGAGCTTACAGGTGCCTGCAAACCGTCTCAAGCGCCGAAGGCAAGAAGCAGTCTCGAAAGTTCTTGAAGGCAGCAATGCGCTGCTTTAAGAGGGCCATTGAACTGGAGGCCGGAAATTCCGAATTCTGGAACGCACTTGGAGTGGTGACTACGAGCATGAGCCCCAAAGTCGCACAGCATGCATTCGTCCGCAGTCTTCATCTAAACGACAGGAGTGCGCAAGTCTGGACAAATCTGGGGACGCTTTACCTCATCCACAACGATATCCAGCTCGCCAACGAGGCCTTCACCCGGGCACAGTCAACCGACCCCGACTACTCCCAGGCTTGGGTTGGGCAAGGATTCCTGGCTCTGTTGTTCGGAGATCCCCAGGAAGCGAGAGGCCTGTTTGAGCATTCCTACGATATCTCCAATTCGTCGTCCCGCTTGTCCAAGAAGCAGTACACGATGAGTCTGTTTGACTACCTCCTGTCGGATTCGTCACTTTCGAATGAGATATCACAAATGATTCAGCCATTCTTTGCTTTGCACCAACTGTCCAGCCAAGACCCGTCCGATCTGCCATTCGTCCATATTTCTTCCCTTCTGGCTGAAAGAATTGGCGAGTACACAGATGCCGAATCTAGTTTGCGGACAGTTTGCACAGGCATGGAGGCGGAATACGAAATCACTGAGTCGGCGTCGTCCCTTTCCCGGTTTGCACAGGCAAATGCAGATATTGCTCGCGTGCTCCTCGCACGCCATGAATTCGAAGAAGCTGCAGAAAAGGCGGAGACAGCTCTTATGCTTTCTGGAGAGGAGGATGCAGAGAAGTTTGACCCAGAGACTAATAGGAAACTGCGCCTGTCCGCCCATTTGACAGCGGGTCTGGCGCACTACTACATGAAGTCCATGGACAATGCCATTGATATGTTCCGGGATGCCCTTCAGGAAGCAGATAATGCCCCGGAGGTAGTGTGTCTTTTGGCACAGGTGCTGTGGGCCAAGGGTGGAGAGGAGGAGCGCGCCGTGGCTCGTCAGCAATTATTCGACTGTGTTGAGGAACACCCGGAGCACATTGGGGCCGTCACGCTTCTAGGAGCTATCGCGCTCCTCGATGCTGATAAGGATGCGATCGAGGCAGTTGAGTCTGATCTTCAAAACATGATAACGAGAGATGACGTCGAGATTCACGAACGCGCCAAGCTAATTAAGCTTCGGACTGGCATTTCTACCCTGGGATACACGGACACTTCCGGCGTCCCCGAGGAAGTTCGACGAGTTGGAGAGGCCACGGCGGCAGTGATGAGAGCGCCGTTTGAAGCCCAGGGCTGGGTAGTGTTGGCGTCCGCTACACAAGAACTGTATCCTGCCGAGATGGCCAGCAAACGGGCGTTGAGGAGCGTTCCTCCCCAGAGCAATCTGGATGCCGTCGATCTCTCCACCGCATATTCTCAGACTGGAAAGGCCAGCGACGCCCAGCGGGCGATCATGGTTGCACCGTGGAAGCAAAGTGGGTGGGAGGAACTGAGCCATGCGGTTTCGACGACCAACTAGACCTTGTAGTTAGCATGCACATCGTCTGTAATAAATCAGACAAGACAAACCACAATAGAGATATGAGTAACGAAGAAGATTCGTGAAAGCATACCTACCATCCGCACGTCTCTTCAATCCCTATAGTAATCCACATAACCAACCAACCAACCACTACGTCTGCCCCTCTCCAGTCCCAGCAATCCTCGCCAACAACCTGTCCTTCCTCCCCTCCTTCCAAGCCTGATCCATCCCCTCAATCTTCCCACCAAGCACCGTCGTACATTCAGGCGTCAATAGAATCATCCCCCTCCCCACCGTCGCATTCCGCAACACCATCTTCGCCCCGATCGGAAGCTTATTCAAAGCAACCCCATCGACACGCGCCAACTCAATACCCACAGCTCTCGTCCCCGCCGCATCCTGCAAAATCAACCGATGCGGACCATTACTCGCATTCCCCGTGTCATTCGCGCCAGATGCACCATCCTCCTCATTATCCCGCCCACGTTGACCGTCCGCACAATCTCCCGTCCCCGTATCGCTTCGCCGCGCTCAACACGCTCAATGGCTTCCACTTGACTCCAGAGACTCGTGCCGATGTCTTCGATGTCGAGCACTTGGACCGGGATGGGACCTTGGAGCCGACACTCTTGCACAGTGGGGTCGAAGATGTCGACGGGGAAGAGGGAGGAAGGGTTTCCTGTTGCGAGAGAGTCGCGGAAGTCGGAGGCTAGGATGCGGAAGAGTGCGGTTTGGGTTAACGCGGAGAGGGGAATGTTGCGTTGGAGAGCTGCAGAGGAGACGAAGCTGTTGAGCCAGGTCGCGGAGACGGAGAGGGATTTGGTGGTTTGTAAATGAGCGGCGATTTGGGCCTGCGGGGTCGTCATGGTGGTTGTGGGTTGTGGGAATTAGATGGGATTAAGCCGAGTGTGAGTTGAAAGTAGCAGCATGGCTGCAACACGAAGAGCAGCAGTGAGGGTGTGTGAGTGAGTGGTGGGGAGGTCTGGAAAATAGTTGTTTAGAAAAACAGCCACCGATGCGGAGCGAATCCGGGGAACGGACCACCTGACCTCATCCCAATCATCTCCTTATCGGCGACCTCTCTCTCTCCCCGTTTGTCTTTCAACGCCTATTCTTCGTGTCTCCGTTGCGGATTGTCTACACACTCTCGACAGCTCACCAGCTCACAATGTCGACCCTCTCCTCCCCCCGCCCCTCAATTGCGTCCTCCCGCGCCCACTCTCCAACTCCGACGTCCTCCCACCGGCCATCTCTCGACACCCTAAACACCAACATCGGCCCCGGTCTCAGCGCCTCCTCTACACCCTCAACCGCACGAGCCGTCTCCCCCTCCCTCCATCCCAGACGCAACCGTGCCGCCCTACGAGATTACTACCAGCTGAAGCCCTCCGCCGCCGATCCCACCGGCGGTCGCCGTTCCCGCAGTGTCCCCAGACACACCGATGCGGGAGACATCTCAAGCCCCTCGATAGTATCAACAGGGACAGAGCTCGACAGTCCGGACTTTGATCCACAGCGCTATGTCAACCATTTACTCGCCACATCGTCGTTATCGACTGTCCTGAAAGCGGAGAATACGCTTGTTGGTGACATCCGCACGCTGGACAGTGAACGCAAGGCGCTTGTTTACGATAACTACTCTAAATTGATTGCGGCGGTGGAGACTATTGGCAAAATGCGTCGGACTATGGATGATAGGGGTGCACCGTTGACGATGACGAAGACTCTGGGGCCGGCAATTGCGTTCGTTGCGGAGACGGCGGGGAGTTTGATTCAGGAGGGCGAGGAACAGCAGCGGCGGATGAAGGAGGCTAAGGCGAATGATGGCACGGAACGCAGAAAGAATGAGAAGCAGACGGTTCAATGGGTGCTTGCTGCTCCTGGGAGGTTGGAGAAGCTTCTTGTGGAGGGGAAGGGTGCGGAGGCGGATAAGGACTGGGATGAGGTGCGGAAATTGTTGGATAAGTGGAAGGGCGTTAAGGGTGTTGTGGAGGTTAGGGAGGCTTGTGAGAAGGTCATGGAGAGTGAGGATGATGATTCTTGAGGGGAAGTCGACTGATCCCTTGTCTCATCAAACAAACCCTAGGAGGCTGTACCGAGGTCTCCAGACAACCCACTTCACGACAGACAAGAGGGCTGCTCGTGGTGTATGGTGCTTCTATTTGCTATTGCAGCTCATCCTCCAGCCCAGCTCCTGACAATGGAGCTCACCTGGCGCTGAATGTGCTTCGGTCTCTTACCGGATGTCTCTTGCCGCCACAGACTGCGCTGATATCCAGCATGGAGACAATCCTAGGCTGCAGCTCGAGCTGGTCTCTGAGCTTTGTGGGTTCGAGCTTTTTAAGCCACCGATATACACAACATGGATTTAATCATGTACTCAGCATGTACATCTCATTCTCCAAATACATAATCTCGAAGTACAATCATAATAACAATTTCAACCACAGTCACGTCACAGTTACAATCTTCAATCTCAGCTCCCAGCTCTCAGCCCCAACCCAAATCCCAATTTCCATATCCAAGCCACAATCCCACGTCACAACCCCAACCCCAACCCTACCTCACTCCCCTTTACCCAAAAAATCCCTACTCGAAAACAAACTCGCCCTCAACCCCCAGGTATTCTTCCCATCAATCCCCAAATACGTATACGCATCACACTTATAATAAATGGGCCTTTCCCCCACCTTCACCAACCCCAACTCCACCAACCCCCTCAGCACCCTCTCTACCTCCCTCTTATCCCCAAAATCCTTATTATAAATCGCAATCAACCTCGCCCTACCAGCCCCAGCCCCAGCCCCCTCACCCTCCGCCGTAGCTACCTTCGCCCCCGTCCCCAACTCCCCCCTCGCCGTAGCCTCCGCCACAACGCCCCAAACCTCATCTACCCTCTCTGGGGTAACAAACAACATCCACTTCCCGGACACCATCTTCGTCTCCTTCGCAATAGCAGCAATCCTTTTCTCGAGGTTCTGCCTCAGCGTGTTGAGCCGTCGGGTAAGTCCACCCTTGGCTGTAGATGTGGTGGATGCATCTCTCTGGGCCTGGAGGACGGATTTCTGGTTTTCGTAGGCCTCTAGGGCTATTCTGCCTTCGGTGAGGAGCTTAGGGATGTTGGTGTCGGGGGTCGTGTAGGTTGGACTCTGGATGTAGATCCAGGGTTCGATGAGGGTGGTGGAGGGGGGCAGGCGGGCGAGGAAGGATGGGATGGGTTCGTTGGGGGAGGGGCGGTTTCGTTTGATGATGGGTTTGTTTGGGGTGAGTGTTTCGGGGGTGGAGGTGGATGAGGGTGTGGTGGGATCGGTGTTGGGGTTGGAGGTTGGTGGTGATGAGGAGGAGGCAGCTTGTATGGTGAGGCGGTGGTGCTGGATGGTGGCGAAGAGATGGGGGTGGATGACTCTCCAGTAGTAGTTAATATCGTAGTTCGAGACCTGCTCTTCGAGGCTCGTGGTTTCGGTGTCGGAGCCTGGAGGAGGGGCAGATGTTAGTGGGTTGGAGGGGTAAGGGGAGGGGAGAGGAGGAGGGATGATACCGTAGAAGCTCGATTCGTCGGAGAGGGGGGGCTGGGGGTCGTGGATTTGGGGATGGAAGGTTTTGCCTGTTGGTCAGACATGATGGAGATTATTGATATTGATGATGGTGATGGTGATGGTTGATGGTGATGGGGAGAAGGTGAGGGAAAGAGAGGAAATGAGGGAGCGCGAGGGTGGGACAGGATGAAGGCCACTCACTCACTTAGGCTAGGCTGTCACCACGCCGTGAGCAAGTGATTCTTCTCTTGCTGAATGACATGTCTGCCTGGTCTATAAAAAGCCGTCCTTTTCCTCGCTGCCCTCTTTCTGTCTTCTTTTCTTGCCCTAAGCAACATATCAGCCTGAATAATATGGATAGGGTCCTCGGACCTTTGGGTATAACATACATGATGTAGATATAGATATAGTAGATGGGTCCTTGACTCGAATCAGAGTATTGAACGTGTGTGCGAACATAAACATGAGAGCCATACAATGTGTCCAAACCCTCACACCCAGTCAAATATCCCAAGAGCCATACCAATACATCCATCCCAACCTGCCCCCCTCCCCCCACCTACAAATTCTTAGTTGCCTAACCAATCCGAGGGGCAGCATCAAAAGTCGCAAACACAGACATAAGTGTAGTATTTCCAAGGATGTTGTTAGGAACCCCCGATTATTGGATTGAACACCACCCATGCAAAGGGGATATCCCTCAGAAATAGTTCCCAAGATCATATAAGTGCTAGGAATGGTAATGCGCTATTCTTTTGAGGTTTGGCAGAAGGAAAAGAGATATCAGGCCACTCCTCGGCATGTGCGCCTGACCAATTGGTTGTCAGTAGTGGTGTTTTAAAATTATCTTGACGCCAACTTCAACCGCATCTTGTTGCCTCCCGCCGAGAGCTGGGATGATAGCTTCCAGGGCGCGTTCCTATAGAGGACTCGGTCAACATGCTCTGCGTGAATACTGAATATAGCGCGATTAGAATGCGGGATCCTGATTCAAGATGCCACCAACTTATCAAGAGAGAGACCGGTAACTTGAAGGCTAGAGAGCGTCACACGTTGGGCGGCGAGGTGTCCTCCGAAATGGTCAATGTCTTGGAGAACTAGCTGAAGCCTCAGACAAGCTTCTCGCCAAGCAGAGCTCCTGGAAAAAGGATGCTAGCATGCATATCAACCTCGCCATCAAGAAGAGTGCCCCCTCTGTCACCGAGTACACCCTGTCTCTTGGCCAGGCTATCACCCCCGACTTAACTGAGTCTGCGAACAACGTCGCTAGCAAGATTGAGAGCGACGGAAACTCTGCCAATGCTCATCTTCAGTAGATGAGCATCCTTTTGTAAGTAACGTTTCACTCCTCACGTATGGCCAAGTAGTTTTTAGACTGGTAGGGAAGACTTTAATCCCAAGACTTAAATCGACCGGTTGGAGGGGTTGGCAACATATGCTATAGGGTTTTGATTGGGTGCGTTGTTATGGAACTGCGTTAACTTGGTCATTTGGTTCGCAAAATGCAGAAGACTCTTATACCTCTAACATTCAAACAATCACTGAGCATTCTATATACCTCCTGGCTATTCGGACGATAAGTGTGTGATCATCACGTAGACGTGCGTATGACGTTTACGGCAATAAGCCATGGGAAGGTCAACTATTTTGTACAGAATGAATAATGAGGGGTCGCGGAGTAGGCACTACCCACGAGCAGAAAGGCTAGGGAAACAGCTGGATAAGAACTAACTGGTATGCCAGGTATGCCAGTGACGAGGTGGACGTTGGCCTGGATTGTAGATTCCTCAGATGGATCAGGCAGCTATTGTAGACAACAATTTGATTTACGGTCCAGATAATTTTCAGAATTCAAGTCATAAATGTGGCAAGTAAATTCGCTTCATCCAAATATCCCATATCCTGTAGCCCAAGTAAACACGGCGAGGTGGTTCACACGCAAAGAAGGAATACGCCATCCGTAGAAGAAAAGGAAGGTTGCGCTGCGGGAGGCTCTCGACTATAATCGTGACTAGTGAGAGGGCAGTCTATCCTCACATAATACATATACTTCAATGATAGGAAGGTGTAAAACATAGGCCCAGAGTACTGAAGCCGGTGGTGAAAAGAGCGGTCATTCTTTTGGTGGAAATAAAACCCGAGTCCTTGAGTCCGCTAGTCAGATAACGCCATGATAAAACGAGGGACCGAAGGCAGAATCAGCAGAGATGATCCGACATCTCATCACAGCCGGGTGTGCTATCTAAAACGGACCCATTGGAGGCTGGTTGATCGCATACAGATTCTCGTCCGGAAAGGTGTTGTCCCAGAGCATATTATTCATGAAGGGGTCATCACACAAAGCTCCCATGGAACTGATGTCCATCTGGCCGGTTTGGTATAGATGCTCCCCATATCCAAAGGAGGCATCTTCGAAGAACTCCGTTGACCCATTGTAAGGGGCAAAATCATTGTCAGTATACAAGACACAGTCTTCGTTTTTGAGCTGAGTGTACGGGTCCTGTAGCTGGAACATCTGGGTTTGCGGGTAGTTGACAAACCCAGTGGGCGACTGGAGAGGGCCAGTCGCCGGGGTGCTCAGCTGGGCCGGACTCACTTGAGGCGGGCTCAATTGGACTGAGCTTCCCTGATCCGGGCTCATCTGGAGGGAATGCATCTCGGCGGGGCTGGCGCGGTCAGGAGTCATTTGTAGCGGGCTCATGTGGTCCAGACTCAGCTGAAGAGGGCTCATATGGTCAGGATGCATCTGCAGCAAGCTAACCTGATCAGAGCTCATCTGAAGAGGGCTGATCTGGTCGGATGCCATTTGGAGCGAAGCCACCTGGGCCGGAGCCAGCTGAATAGAGCTCACTGGATCGGGGCCCATGTGCAGTGGGCTCGAATGAGCCGTGCTCTCTTCAGCTGGACTGGCACGAGCCGAAGTAGCCCGTCGCTTGGCATTGCGTCCGTTGTTCTTAGCACGCACATAGTTCCAACCGTGAGCCTTTTCCATGTGCTGCTTACAATTACTCTCTCTCTTGGATTTGTAAGCACAGCCATTGAAAGTGCACGCATACATGCGAGGCGTGGTTGAGTGACGGTCATTGATGTGGCGCTCATTCTCCTTCTCGGTGGGCCACCCAAGTTCATGGTACTTGCACCCCTCAAACGGACACTTGAAAGGGCGCGAGTGCGTCTTCTCATGTTTCCTGTATACCAGTCAGCAGATATACAACTATCGACCTGAGAACACTCACGTCAGATCACACGGTCTCTGGAAGATCTTGTCACAGTGGGAACACTTCGTATTGATGTTCATGGGAGGAGCGTTCTTCTTACGACGGGCCATAGACCGTCTGGCTCCCTCATCCGCTTCACCCAGGCTGAGGGTACGCTTCACCAGGGGAGGGGCGTGGGCATCGTAAGGCTTTCCGGTCTGCATGGAGACCGCTTCCCCATCCTTTTGGGCAACAAGCTCCAGAGGACGACCAGTCTCGCTCATGCCGCCCTTGAGAATCAATTTCGCCTCCCTAGGAAGGATGATCAGTGTCAAGCCATCGCACATGCAATAAGGTAACAACGTACGGTGCATCTTTCTTATTTTTGCGGGCCTCGTCCCGCATAGCCTTGAAACGGTGAACCTGTGCGGTAAGATCAAGAAAGTAGGAATTGCTGTAGCTCTTGTCCGAAGGCATGCACAGATCCCGGGGATTCAAGTAGGTGTACGTTTCGTGAAGGCACAAAATAGTGGAACTGCAGAATTGGTAGTAGGAGCCCACCTCCGATTCAACATCCTTAAAGAGTTATTAGTGAGACTTCGTATGATACTGCAATTCAAGGAAAACTTACTGCAGCCACGTAGAGTAGCGCCTTTTCAAGATCACGGAGCGTACCAATCTGTTCATTAGCAATCTGCCGACGAGCACTTTCCACGATGTGATGGAATGGCTTGATCATATCCTGTCCAAGTAGGGGACCAAGGATTCGCTTCTCAATCTCCAGACACGCGCCCAAGCTGAGCTTCTGTTTTGGGGTGGCCTCGGGTTCAATCGCCATGATCGAGCTAGTAATAGCTGACTGTGCTTGAGAGTTGGTGATCGAGTTGTCCTGGGACAACTGGCCTTCTTTCACTGCAGGAAGAATTAGACATGCCTGCATATCATGAATTATCAGTAACGATAACTCACCTTGGCGCGAAGAGGTGGTTTGGCAGCTGCTGACAGACGTTCCTAGACCGCTGTCCGATGGGTGACAGTGCACCTTTCTAGCCTTCGTCGGTGCTTCCTTTCTTGGGGATCGTTGGTCTTTGTCGACATCCATGTTGAACGAGTCCCCTCTGCCAGACTGCGATCGCCGGAGGTGAATCTCCAAAACACCCTTGCGAACAGGGAGTTCGTCGTCGTCTTCTCGGGACAGGGGCTTTCGAGGCGAACGCAGGTCGAAGCGACTCAACATCTTGGTCATGCGCTCCTGGCCAGCGATAATGGCCTGGAGGGCAGCAGGAGACGTTGGGGAACGACGAGGTAGAGGGTGTAGGTCGGCCAGGATATCCTCGTCATCTGAAGAAGGACTTGTCGCGTGGAATGTTTCTTCCTTTCGGAGACGGAATCGTGGATGAGAGGACGCATGAGCGTCTGTCGGCGATAGGAGGGAGGGCGGTCGTGAGCTCATAACTCGCCCTCGCCGGGGGTGTTGGGACTTCACGGCTTCTGGCTTCTGGGATGTAATCATGATGGGCAAGTAGCGGAGCGCTGTTTCCAAGGTACGTTGTTAAATATGGCTCATCCTCTATCCCTGTGATGACTCACTTGTCCGGTGTATTTGCGGACAGAAACTCGCAAGGAAACCGACGAAAGCGCTCTGGCGAATCGACTGTGATGACGTACGGGCCAAATGATGGGTTGTTCAACGGAGACCTGGAGCGTCAGTCTAGTTCCGGGATGGTCGAGGAACATGGAAGAAAGATGGATCGTGGGAGCTTGGGCTCAAAAGGCAAGAACTTACTAAGGATGGGGTTCAAGGGACTGAATTTGGACAGATAGAGATGGTATGTGAATCCCCCGAGCCTCGACGTAAAAGGGAGAAGGGGGTGACGGGAAGCCCCGGGCCGCTGATGGTCGAAGCAATCAACAGACCCCTTTACTCTGCAGACTCCAGCAACAGGATCCTGTCAAGCCGTGAGGAGGACCTAAATCGGATGCGACACAAATGGGCGGGAGATGTAAATACCGAATAGCGGAGATAATAAAACGTGGAAGGGGAGGATGGGGTCAAGTATGGATCATGGCACTTGGAAGGTAAGGGAGACTGAGGCTGTTCATCCGGGCTGAGTCGTCTTCGATGTCTGCCTGATAGACGAGCGGCACTAATCCCAGCCTGGCATGGCTGCTGGAGTCGGAGGGGCGACCATTGGATCGAGAAAGTCGCATTGCCCCACTGCTACGGTTCTCGCCGGCCGCCATGAACGTAATCCGGATACGTGCTTTGTGCGGGACATTGCAGTGTATCGTACAGTCGGCTGGTAATTCACCCACTGTCGGGGCCGTTGTCTTCCGTTGTCCGCGCCGGCTTAACTCCACCGTCATCCAGGGCTGGCCATTCAGGGGCTGTTGGCGCCGGAAGTGAGCGGGGGGTAATACCGGCATTGCCGAAAATAGACACCAACGGGGTCGAACTATCAGTACGCTCCAGAACCTCGGAGGAACTTTGGCGATTTAAACTTTGTCGAATCCGCTCCGTGATTATTACTACTATTGACCTTGCTGTCCTTTTCGCCCTGAGGGCTCGTACCCGTATGGTTGTAACGGGATGCACAGTTGACCTTGCTTCCATCCCAGACAGAACCCATGGGTGTTTCAAACGGTTGTTCTATCACGGCGGGTATATTCAATCACGTAGGTTTAATCTTACAATGATACCAGCTACCTCTTAAGCGACCAATCAAAATTCCAGAATTCGAGCGTCAGCTTACAGTCGTCCATTGTCATATGATGTGATGGTAGTGCTCCGTACCAGATAAGTACCTGCTAAGGAAGCGACCATCACCTGGAGATCACTCTAAAGACTCAGAAAGAACACCACTTCGCACTGACCTTGGCTGCGGAGGGCCGTATGGAGGATGCCTATGCCCTATGATGCCATTGGGTGTATCTACCCGCCCTTAAGCACCTTCTTACAACTTTGCATGCATGTACGACAGGCTGATGTTTTCTGGACCAATCCCCAAAGGCCTCGTAGCCACACACACGTAGCCTTATGTCGATGCATTATAATTCTCGCAATTCTCGCCAGCTTCAACAGTGGTGACCCCCTGTGTTCCCGTGTATGAGCCTCATTGATATGACGATGAGGTACATGGCAGCCCTCCAATTGTTGGCCAGACCTCCATTATTGGGTAGCCCCGACCGGGCTTCCTATCGGTTCCGCTGACGCGCGGGAGTCCATCTCCCTACATGATATGTCGCAGGTAGAATCGCTTGTGTGACAGGGCCATCTTTGGTTTTCTTTTCTGTCACCAGGAACCCCTTCGTTACGAGGCTCGAGTGACACACTCTGAAACTGTGGAGGACCAAGCGAGCCGAGTGGGTTTGATTCAGGAGCTCGGGGACCTGGAGAGGAGGGGCTTGATGGGTTCCAACTTCCATCATGTCATGGTGTTGCTCTTATCTGCTGCGCCACACCGAACACAAGCTACCGGGACCCAAAAGCTGACATTTGTTTCCTTCTTCCCTCGCACGGCCAACAGCATGTCGATCACTGAAACACTAACCTAATTGCCAAGTGGGATCTCATTCCAGAGCATTCTTTATACCAGTACTGCGCTCCTGTCACCGAAGGCAGCACAATTCTGCTGGACCAGGACAGTACACCCCTGTCGGTCGTTGGGTGTTGACCGTTGACACTCCCAATCGGAGGTTACTTCGCAAGCATTAACGGGGGTGAACTATACATAGCAGTCCAGCTCATCTAGAGCTTTTTTTAGGTCTACTAGTCATATCGCTCGTCACTTGATGTGTTTGGTTATCTAGGCCATCATCAATTGACCCCTTCTACCTCAGTACACTCAAAGGTGTCTATTTTTCCATACTGCCGAGTCCGTGGTGGACGATATATCTGAACCCTGGATCTGAGATCTCCCTCGATCTCTGGGATGACGTGTCGTGCCTCGTGGGACTGACAAGGTACCAGAACATCCTCACCTATCACTAGGTCATTCGCTCCGACGTAGGTTGCTCTGTGTAACGGATCTCAGAGATCCGCCGAGGATTATCTGTCCGGGTATTCCTATTTCGATGAGGATATTCAGGGGGTTACTATCCAGTTATTGTTAAGCGGAGGAAGATTGGACCAAGTATTTTAAATTCTGGGACTCCGAGATAGGACCGGCCTAGATCAACGTTCATATCCAGACGGCTCATTTTGCATTACTATGACAATATCCTCTGTGGAGTCCTGCGCCAGTTGGAATCAATATGAAATGGTTCCTAAAACTATAGAAAATCACTTCCAGTCTGGTTAATACCGGCTGAAACTCAGACAGACAGCCTTTGCGGCCAATTCCCACCAGAAAGGAACCTTGATAGCTCATGTGAGACTGAAGTTTCAGAGTAGGTAAAATGTTTGACAGAAAGGGATATTATGGGAGCCCATTTTAGTAGTGACATATCCTTTGCTATCCCGGTTAGGATGATGTTTAATAGTTTTTCGTTACACACCATTCCATCGTAGAGATATATCTCACTGTGTATAGTAGTAGACACTCGTCCACAATGCCACAGAGTCAACGCAACATATTCAAGGTACAGTAAGCAGCAACCAAGCTGTATAATATATAATTAGGCGACGAAGTACAAAAAAATAGGAACCACTTTCTTGAAGGAAGTTTTGATTGTCTGCGACTCTAAACGTGATGAAGCCTTCGAAAACGAGCTGCGGATGCCAAAGATCGCTGATAATGTCTTGCTTGTATTTATTAGGGATTCTCTCCCCCTCAGAGATAAGATGTTGGCACTGAAACAAACAGAGCTTTGGGTCATCCTGTGTTGTTGTAGAATGCGATTGGGTTTGAAAGACTGAATGATATTGGAGTGTGCAGGAGACAGCAGGATTCTTCGTTTTGTACCGGGATTCACTGTGGATAATTCATATATTGCAAGACCAAAACAGTAATAATGACAATCAACAGTCCCTTGATTCTTTCACATATTTCCAGCCAGGACTTCCCAGCATTGACTGGGTCCATGAAAATTACCGTATAATTGTGACAAGGCAGAAGCCCAATTTTTGCTGCAAGATACCCTACCTCCTTCTCTCTATCTCAACTCTTCGGACTGTATTATCAGTCACATCATGCCTGATTGCTATATTGACACCATCAAGGGTATCGATAATGACTCAGCTGATGGCTCTAAGACACGGCCGTTCAAACCGTTAGAATACGCGTACATCCGACACATGAATGACTCATATATAATATATTTCCGAGTCTGACAACTGTCCCCTTCCGCCAATCCTTTAGAAACTTCTGTCACCGAGCCTATCTGGAAGCCCCCCAACGAACAGTGCTGCTTAAAAGGATTAATCATATTTTTTAGAATACAAGCAGAAATTAAATAAATTCTAAGAACAGGAGTGCGGAACCACACGAATAGCGATATTGGAGAGGGTGAAGACTTTCATTATTAGAGATAAGTCGCTCCTTCCTGCTAGGCGAATTATTACTGCAGAGAGCGACGTTGAGTTAGACGATGATACCAAAAGAGGGACCCGAGTCAAAGTCTGTGGTAGAATCCACCGCATTCGGTCTCAAAAGCAAGCGGTGTTTGTGCCATTGGTGGATGGTTATGGCCAGCTGTAATGTATCCTCCAGACTGGAAACCTGACCATGTCCTATGATGCTCTGCAATTCACTCGGGGCACGTCTCAGGCAGTATATGGGAATGAAAAAGGTTCCCCCCAGGGCACCATGCCCCCGGTGGCCGTGAACTTGCTGTTGATTGCTACCAAGTCCTGGGTCATGCACCTTCTGATATGGATGCTCTTTCAAACAAGATGTCGACTTCTCAAAGCATGTGGGACCCCACAATGCTGGATAACTGGCATCTAAGGCTTCGTGGTGAGAAGGCATCCGCAGTGGTGAAGGTCAGGGCTGCTGTGGAATTGGCATTTCACGTTGCCTTCAAGGAGATGAGATTTACCAAAGTTTCACCACCGGCACTGGTTCAGGCCCCAAGTAGAGGGCGGTGCAACGCTTTTTAGAGTGCCCTATTTTGATCAAGAACCATTTCTTGGACAATCTTCTCAACTATACTTAGAGACAGTTCTACCTATCCTTGGCAATGTTTTCTGCCTTGAGAAGTCTTTTTGTGCCGAGAATAGTCTGAGTATGTTGTCCAAATCTTCTAGTTTAGTTTGCTGCTAATTGACTTGTAGCTCAGCGCCATCTCTCTGAGTACACGCATGGCCACTGTGCCCGGTTGATACGGATGGCTCTTCCTCCGGCTACAGGTTTTATAGGTCGAATAGAATTAGATGGAACCGTCATCTTTTGATCCCAACAAGTCGGGGATAGACCCGGATAGTGGTAATGAAAAAAGTAATGAACAATGATGATGAACAATTGTGAGGCTGTGGGTAAATCTCCTTGTTAATTGGCCAGATGTACCATCGTTTGGTTGGTTAGTTGCGGAACACGGACAATCATTAATCCTTCTGCCGCAGGGTATCAGCATCCCTTTATTGTATTTAAATGCCTTTCTTCATCCAAGTACCTGGAAGGCCAGCAATACTCACATCCCCTAACGCACATATTATCGTCCCATCATGGACAACACAATCCAACCGGTTCGCGAACACATTATTCGCCAAATCCGAGTGGTCCTCTCTGAGTTTCTGCCAGATGTCGGCTCTGGCACGCTGCGAATACTTGGTGTTACTCCAAATAGTCTCCTTGACCCCGAAGATTATGTAGAATCCATACGTCCATTTGTTTCAGAGACCGAGCAATACCTCCAGAAATATCATCCGGACAATGAGACTCGTTTCATCGCTGCCAAAATCGTCCGCGGGAAGACCTCCTATTTTATACTCGACCTGAATAATACCGATTATAACTATGAAACTGCTCATGAATGCAAGACACGGATCCCTGTCTATGTCCTTCGCCCATCGAAAAGACAACCCACAATCTTTCGAAAACGGGAGCTGGATGCATCAATCGCTAAGATTCTTAGGAACATGCACAATCTCCATGGTCAAGACCCTCTGCCTTTATTTGACAACCATTATGACGAGAATCTTCAATATCCCAACCCACGCCGCCCACAATTTGAGTTCTGAATCGGTTTCGCGTCTATCATTTGGAGGATAAAACTGTTCTATGTGGACAGAGAACGGTATTGTCAGTACCGAAGCATATACTCTTGGTGTAGGTGGAGATCATGGGGGCAAGTAGCTACCATCTTTCAGTCGCCTGCCTATACAGAAGGAGTGAGATACCCCCCCCTCTCTCCCTTATGTGGGAAGCAGCCGCCGAGTGCTCAATCATGCAGCGGGATGGAGGACACATAACCAACGGCACATCATCGAGGACTCCACTCCACCCCATTGCAGCACAGACCGATATCCTCATGACCGTGGCAAAGGTCTCAGGGTAAATGACATTTCATATGAATTGTCCATCATGGCTTGCTGAAGAGCCTATACGTCTACACTGCTTCTATCTCTGCCGCGTTTCTCGGCAAACTTGACGAACCGTGGCGCTCTTCCTCGAGCCTCCCGGTTGTAGTGGCATACTAGTAGTACCATATCTCTCTTAAACATCCAATCAAGTCATTGAGCAAGCTGCACCAAGTACTCTGTGCTGAGTCATGTCGCTTTTGTGCCGGCGGTAGTCCATGGGCTCTAGGCTGAGCTTATGGACAAATCAGACGAGGCTTGGTTTAGTCACTGCGAGTGGCATCCATCCATGTTTATCTCTATGTTCCTCCCATATCATCAGAAGAGATAGAATCATAAATCCCGGATAATTCATTTTAGCATTTCTTCGGCGCTCTCTCTCCATATTTTCATAGGTGCCATGGATCCGCATCATGCGCAAGATAGACTTTTTAAGTCTAGTGCCAAACCTTTGGAGGAGAAAGCCGAAAGATGAGCGAAAGCCCCACTCCAAAAGACTACCTAAAAGAGTAATCCTTCTGACCTCATACCTACATACTACATAGCAGAATCTGAAGACGTTGCTTAAAGCCTAAACCCCACATCAAAATACTGCCTAATGAGGATAGCTTGATTGAAGGCCTAAAAATCACTGCATACAGCTAATTGGAAAAACAGGATATAAGTATCCGTGAGATGTCGCCAGTGGCTTAATCTTGACACCATCCCAATCGAGTGAAATACAATCTGAGATCATCTGAAGTATCCGCCGAAATGTGCCACGACGAGGTCAAAGCAAATGGCTGGACCAGTGTGCCTGCTAATGCTGGTGCCATCTTCAAAGACCTATCCTTTATCGACAAGGTTGTTGCTATGCAGCTCGATGACATCAAATTTCCTTATGAAGATCCTATCGTTGCAATGACATTGCAATATGCTAAGATCGCTCTCCACCCAGAGACTTTCAACCACTCAATGAGAGTGTACTACTTTGGTATGTGGGTAGAAAACATGATAATAGATCCCTGCTGATAACAAATGCAGGGATGGTCATCAGCAAGCAGCAGTTCCCTGAGCAAGCAGCTTCCTTGAACCCAGCCACCTGGGCCCTAACCTGCCTGCTACACGACCTTGGTACCGCCGAACAAAACCTAACCGCCACTCGGATGTCATTCGACATCTATGGTGGAATCAAAGCGCTGTCTACCCTAAAGAAATTTGGTGCAACCTCAGATCAGGCTGAGGCGGTTTCCGAGGCGATCATTCGCCATGAGGATATGGGTGTGGATGGAACCATCACGTACTTTGGCCAGCTCATCCAGCTGGCCACTACATACGATAACACCGGAGTTCATCCTCATGTTAAGGGCTTTGAGAAGCTTATTCATGACACAACTCGCGCACAGATCAACGAGGCTCATCCACGAATGAAGTGGTGCAAATTTTTCTCTACTGTTATTCGCAAGGAAGAGGCGATCAAGCCTTGGTGTCACTCCACGCACCTTGTTGATTTCGACCGAGAGATTGAAACAAACACGCTGATGAGGCAATGGGAGTAAGATCGCCCTCGAACGAGCCTACCGCGAGTCGTGCTATAGTAGTTTAAAGGCACTTGGAATTGTCTAATGAATGCAATATGAATTCCTTCGTCATTTCGTCTTCTTAGAAATTTATCCCGGATCTAAACAATTTGCTACTCAAATATGAAATCTCAGCTGTATCTCAGATGCACGTGTTTACACCCGACCTGGAGCAGACATTCAATACCACCACACAGAACGTGGCTGGCACAGGGTACAGATAGCATATTAAAAAAATCATGGATTTCGCAGGAATTGTATACAGTAGCTGTCATTCTCTGGTTTTTCATTACACAATCATTTCTTAGTTTGTCCCGTTTGTCCGACAGGCATTGCTTTCGCTCGCTTGCATCCTCTTCGAGATCAACACTTCTCTTCTTATCTATGCTCTGGACAACTGCACTCCAGTCTGACGCCCTTTCGGCAAATATGCAACGATCCAAGAAATTTATACCATCAGCTTCCATATTCCGAGGTCTTTGGAAAAGTCTCGTAACATTCACTCATGAGGACGCTCAAACAATCAGTGGTCTCCCTCTTGAGTACTTAAGGTTCAACTCGAGTACCACCGAAGTTTCACTCGCTTCATGTCACGCCATGTTTCTCGAACACCCTTCAGGACTGATTTGCGGGTAATGTGAGCACATACGAGCTGTATGACTGAAGAGTGATAGTACGTGGTCGTCGCCTCGTCCTTTGAAAGGTTGGAGCCCAGACTGCTACAACTGCACACTTTTACTTTGGACTGACAACAGGGATGATGGAGTTGAAGTCCGCTCCATGAGGCTTATTTCACAAAACTGCGAGTACACTTGTGTTAGTCGCACCAGATCTTGCGAGACCTTGTGTCAAAGTCAAAAGATCGGGTCGATAGGTCAGTTCCAGACTAGCTAAGAGACAGGAATGGATTCAACAAATCATTAGTTGACAAAGTGGTGACCTGCTAGAACAGAGATGACGAGGTGGCGGTTTCTTTTTCTTTTGACACTGCTCTCGGGAATACAGCCAATTTCAAACAAGGGAGAATTGTTCCAATCCCAACCGAGAGGCGAGTGACATTAATGGACTATGCGAAATATTTCCGAACATGCGATCGAATCGGATATGGCTACTCCAGAGTCTATCTGGTTTGATGATCCAAGTTGATGTATGCTATAACAACAGCAAGAGCATACCAAAGAGGAAAACGCAGCTCTGTATGGAGCACCGGCATCATCCTCCGGGCTAAGCGCGTCTGGCTGGCTGTTGGATCTTGGACTGCGGCCAATAGGCTGTGCCACCCTCGTCGGCTACAGTTGGTTGTCTGTTACACAACGAATGCCGGTCAGCCTCTGAGAAAATTCAATCTTCATCCTATCCATAGCATATCTGACGGCGGAAGATCGGGCATCTCTGAGCACACACCAGACGCATTGGGTGGATAGGGATGCAAGGGCCCTGCGATTATAGCCGAAAGCCCAATTTGACAGCTTGTCGGGTCCAGGTTGATCCACAATATTCGCGATAGACGTTTCGAAGCTGGACCGGATTTGCAAAGGCAAGTACGAGGTTCCCAAAAGCAATATTCTACCGACCTCGCTTCCCGTGATAATACGATCCGAGGAGACTTTCAGCAGCTGACGTACACAGGACGTCTATCCTCCGGTTGGCTCAGAGCCCTTTCATTGATCTCCAAGATGATACCAGGATCTTGCGTGCTTCTCTTTCTCTTTCGGACTTCAAGAGACATCCAATCATTGAGCTTGTCTCCACTCCGGGTAACGGAATTCCGCACCCTGGATCACTTTGCTCTAGCCAAGCTAATGAATAGGTTATACATAATCTAAGAGTATGATGACTATACTCTTATTGCACCCGTAGCTTCGCGAATGCCCGATCCGGACGATGTATAATCAGTTGGACCCTTGGGTAGCAGCCATATCTAACCAGTAGCATGGTTAAGAGATCACGACGTCGGAGTAATGAATGGACATGATGGCAGACATACATGATGACTGATCATCCTCCTTCTGGCCGATGGGAAAGGGAGATCAGACATGGGGGAGCAGGTAAGATCGTGCATCTCTTTGCTTCGCGCCTCATTTCAAGCGGAAAACTCTAGGCTCGGCTCTGTGGTCCGTCGGTCCAGAGTGATCGATCCTACGCCACAGTCACTGGTCAATCGAGGGCACCTATAGCAGCATGGCTCGGCCAGCGAGGACCGAGAGTGGCTGGCTGCCTTCGGCCGCAGACAATACCTTTGGTGGTCGTATCGATTGCGGATCTTCTCTTGCGCTTACCACTAAAGTGGAGCTTTGTCTGCAATCCAGCTACCACCACATCCATCCTGCTAGCTTAAAAGGCATATCTGGATTGCGTTGGGATTATGCCAGCCAGCCAGGCCGACTATATCTCAGGAGGGGGCCATCTCAGCAGGGTACAGGATACGAACACCGATGACATCTATCTCCCCTGACCCACTTACTATCCCTGGGCCCTTGACAACTCACCCGCCTTTGAAATAAGTCAGCAAATTGCTTTGGGCTTATTGCCACCGACTGGCAGGTATGTCTCGGGTAGCAGCCTAAGCCCGACAGCCTGGGTCACAGATATGATCATGTCTCACCATTTTCTAAAGATCTATATGGGTGTAGCCAAACATGTGGCTACCTGAGCTCGCTATTCTCGTCTACTCACATGTTCGAGTTCGGCTTTTGAAGCCACAAGTATACGATGAAGACTGTACTATCATTACCTGATACTCCGGAAGTTATCTGCGTACCAACCCATGGAATACGTTAGATCTAAATTCGGCGATCCAAAGTATACTAGAGGTACTATACATTGCAGAGTCAGCGACGCCACGGTCTGTTGCCTTCATCTGGGCCAAGGAAAAGAGGCAACAAGGAATATCCAAGAATACGCTTTCAAGTCATCCAAATAGGCCTATGGTTTAGTGGACACAGCTTATGCTTACCGAAAAGCTCTTGCAACAGTCGTCTGTTCGATAGTCCAGGATTATCAATGTAACGTGATCCCAAATCTGCCTTGAGCCAGGAACTATTTAGGTTCTTGCTTTCTCCAAACAGCAGGCACATTCCTTGGTGTTGCAAACAAGACCGGACCTTCCATACTGAGGCTTGAAGTCTCTTTGGAAAGCTAATATCCAAAATGATTCTACAGACATACCTTATCGCTATTGTCAATTATTTTAGCTTCTCGTCTTTTCATGGATCCCATCAAGACTCATTGCAATACCCATTGCAATATGACGATGCAGATATTGTGCATACGGTTCCTAAGACTCTTTCTTTTGTCCCTCCTGGCGCTGCTGAGTCTGCCCAAGCCGAACCCTTCACGTGCCAGTATCCTGCAATGGCAGATGAGTACACCTACAATGATTCAGGAGAGAATCGAAGCGTCTGGCTAAAGCATCGTACCAATTCTTCACTGGACTTCGACATAAATACAGACTATGAAACAAGATGGCCCATTGGCATTGAGCGGAAAGTCGGTGCACTATAGAATTTTGCTAAGTTGAGGCATGGTCATGGCTAACTGGGCCTAGTATATCCTCACCGTGGGTGAAAGAGCATTGAATTTGGATGGTATCGAATTTCCCTACGCGAAGGTCGTCAACGGAAGCTTTCCTGGTCCTTGGATCCGTGAGTACTATGCCCGCGAGCTGTTAATTATGCCCGCGAGCTGTTAATTAGACCATCGCTGATAGGCCTGCAGAGGCATGCTGGGGAGACAGGATTAGTAAGTCATAATGTGCGCCTTTCCTGGATGTCACGCTGATAGGGCTAGACATCACCGTCAAGAACAACCTGTCCATGAATGGGACTGCAATCCACATGCATGGGCTTCGGATGCTAGACAATGGTCTCATGGATGGTGTGCCTGGTGTAACTCAGTGCCCCATTGCCCCGGGAGACACCTTCAGCTATGTTTTCAATACAACTCAATATGGCACGACATGGTACCATAGTCATTACAGTCTCCAGTACTCTGACGGCGTACTTGGCCCGTTGACTATCCACGGGCCGACATCGGCTGATTATGATAAAGCGATCGATCCCATCATCTTCACTGATCATAATCACCGAAGCGCCTTCATGGAATACTATCAAGAACAGTTTGCTACTGCGAACTTGAGCCGAGTCCCACCCAAGCAGACTAGCATTCTTCTCAATGGCCACGGTATGTTGATTGACAGATTTTCTTCGACGGAAGCCGAGTGATGCATTAACCTCTGATAGGTAGCTATGCCGGATCCTTCCCGCATAGGCGATACAATAAGAAGGTGAAGCCGGTAAGAATCTACGTCAAACAATTACAGTAAAGAACAGATTAACGATCTGCCAACGCATATAGGGCAAAAGGTACATACTACGGGTTATAAATGGGTCGACCGATACTACGTTCATCTTCAGCATTGATGGTCACAACCTCACGGTGGTCGGCATGGATCTGGTGCCAGTCCAACCATTTACCACAGACCATCTCTATGTCGGAATAGGTACGTCTCCTCGTCAACCCACTGGGCACCATCCGCCTGACAGAAGATCAGGCCAGCGATACCACGTCGTCCTTGAAACCAAGACCGAGTTTGATGATTCTGAGAACGGGGCATACTGGATCAGGGCCGACCCTGCTGATGGATGCCACAACTTTGAAACCTTCCCCGACGCCAGACAGGGTATCCTCTGGTACGAAGGAGGTTATCCCCCAATCCCAACAACAAACTCACATCCCTACAATAACACATGCAGCGATATGCTTGATCTGGAACCGATCGTCCCTTGGACCGTTGATCAGCCACCACCAATTATACCCATGGTTCAATATAACATGGCCCAGGCATCTATTACGACAGCGACAATCACGATCGGTCCGTATAACCTTTCGGCAGAGGGAGACGACCCTCAGGTGACAGTCAATTCCTGGAAGTTCTTGAACGATACTCTCCGGGTGAACTACGAGCTGCCAACAGTCAACCATCTCGATCCCCCATACAATACAAGTGAAGTGATTTATCTCGCTGCGGAAGGGCAACTTGCGGAGACTACATGGAATTACATGCTGTTGATTGGGGGTGATACAGATAACCCAGCCCCGGTAACTGGGGGTGCTCTAGCTCCAGTCGCACACCCAGTAAGTGACACTCCTCCGCTACCCACAATAACCGGATGCAACAGCTAATACATACGTGTCTATAGATCCATCTTCACGGTCATGATTTCGCAGTCCTGCAGTACTCGACTGACAAGTACAACAGCTCAGAAAACTTAAATTTCACTCTCCAAAACCCACGCCGACGGGACGCTGTCCTTCTTCCCCTGAATGGATTTATCGTGATTGCATTCAAGACCGATAACCCGGGTGCTTGGACACTCCACTGCCATATTGCATGGCATGCCTCTGCCGGTTTGGCGCTTCAGGTCCTGGAAGAAGGAGACGTGTTCAAAACACATATTGAAGACTCCTCAATTGCGAGGAATCAGTTGGATAGAACCTGCCAAAACTGGCAGACGTGGTTTGCAGACAAAACCAACCGCTGGAATCCAGATGGGCGGTTCCAGGATGACTCGGGGATTTGAATCGGACCTGTCCCGATTCTTTAGTTTTCATCCTGGGGGGTAGTAGGTATTAGATGTCTTTCGAGAAAAGTAGCATTGGCCATTGATGCAAATACTACTATGTGGCAGCTGGTACGCCATGACGTATCTTAGGATTCTGGATAGTGATCACAGGTGCGATTAGAAGGGTCGCCAAGATACTAAGATATAAATTGCCGGTTTCACCTCGCACAAAGTGCAATCTTAGAAATGAGAAGACGACGATAGCACCAGGTACACCTAATCAAGTGGTCAGACAAAGGCCCGAAGCCCATGTACCTTGGCTCTCCTCCTCCCTCCCCCAAGGCACCGTTGTGTCCGGGGCGATTGCCGATCCGCGTGGACCAAAGTTGAATCTTGTGAGAATTGGACCTCGGCAGAACGAGGGCGGGCGATGCCGAGCAGCAGCAGCAGCAGCAGCAGCGGCGGCCTCTCGACCATCTCCCCGGACTGCCTCTAATCCTCCCGCCGTCGATCGCGAGCTCTCTGCTACTCACCCTCCAGTCACCTCGTACTACTGCCCCGGGGGTCTCTTCTTTCGTTTCCTTTGAATCGCTGTTGGGCAAGGAATGTGATCTTCTCGTCTGGTCCTCTGTGTGGTAATTCCCCGTCCTTCCTCCTCACGATCAGTCCCCGCCTAGCCCCCGGCAATAATCGAACATACCCGCGCGCCCTCCATCATGGACCTCGAGCACCGTGACCTCAACTCGGATCAGCCCAAGCGGCGGAGACGGAATGCCGTGAGGCGACGGATGCGCAATAGGGCGCCTCTCTCTGCGCGCCTTTCCCTCGATTCCCATCTACGCGGGAATGTCGGGGTTGTCTCCGAAGATCTGGCCGGCGACCTCTTCCAATACTCCACCGCGACCGGTAAGTGGAACAAAGCTGCGTGATGGTCCTACTCTGTTGCTGACTTGATATACGCTGTGACAATAGAGGGGACCAAAAGCGAATCCGGAATTTACTATCTCGCAATCTCGCCGTACCTGCCGGGCTATAATGCGGTGGAGGATCTGGCGTGGACCATCATCCCGGTTCGCCCGCAGTCCAAAGAACGCTCGCCCCAGTCGACCGTTCCTCACTCCACGATTCTTTTCCCCCACTCGGCAACTTCCTTACAGCCGTTTACCGACGCCTTGGGCAAACTCGATCCCACCCGCCACACTCTTCAAGCACAGCGTGCTATTGAGATCCGGGTGTTGGATGTTGCGCCCCTGCCATTGGACACCATCTACGTGACGGTGGAGCGGAATCTTCTTCGGAACCATGATGATATTCAAAACAAGTTCGGGGGAGGGTTTGCTTCCAATCAAAACGGACCCAATGGAATGTGGGCAAAGGGAGGGAAGGCTCTGGAGACCAAGAAACCCTCGAAAAAGACGGCGGCAGAGACTGAAGATAGGTTGACGGCTGCTGTACGTGAGGCCTTGGGGGCTGAGAAGGTGGTGCATACCGGTGATGTACTGCCACTTCCATTGCCTCCGCATCCCATTACCTATGCCCCGTCACCGCCTGCGCGCATCTCATACTGCGAACCTGTTTCTCAAGGTCTACTGGTGCCAACGACCAAAGTCGTCTTAATTCAGGCGCGGCCTCAAGCTCATCGGGCACAGCGAAGTTTGCGGTCAAGCTCAGGTCTCCTGAAGCAGGTCGCGGAAGATGAGGCCGACGACACTTCTAATGAACAGTTCTACTCCGCCGCAGAAGATAAGCCGGTTGAAAGCAGCACGGAGGTGGAGACTACATCGACCGCAGATGAGTTAGAAACGGATGGATCTGGAGGGAACGCGAGCGACACGTCGGATGACTCTCTGGACGACATGATATCTCTCACTGCCCCCGAGCTGCCCCAGCCACCGTCAGGTGTCATGTCCGCCATGACTGCTGCAACACCTCGGGCGGGTGGCCGTCGCACAGATGGAACACATACTCCAGGCTCCGTGGCGTCCAACTTCACCTCTACAACCATGCGTCCCGGGCGAGCAAACGGCGGAAAGGTATTCAGGGCGGAGGGCCTGCTTCGCAGGGTACCGAGCGATCTTCTCCACCCCAGGCCTAGGGAAGACGACGATATAGAATCGTTCATCTTCGTTGACGTCAGCACACTCGCCAAGATCGGCTGTTTCTCTGGGGACTGGGTGAAGATTGAGGCTACCGAGGAGCCGCAGCTCAACATGTTTGCCTCAATCAAGCTCGGGAGTTTCAATGAACAAGATGACGATTCTGGTGACTGGCGTGCTGCTAAGATATATGGACTACCGGGACTTCCGTCCGCTAAACCAAGATACTCGATCAACCAGTCTGGCGAGCGACGGTCGAGCATCTCTCAGCGTGCTCCGACGCGGCTGACGCCTTCAGTGTTCGTTCCTCCGTTGCTGCTGAACAACCTCGACAACCCCAAACATCTCCGCATTTCTCCGATGATCTTCGCTGCGACCAATGGAGCTAAGCCTGGTCTTCTACACCAGGTCAAGTCAAGCGTCGTCCGGAGCCCACCTTTGGCAAAGGAAGTGACATTGTTGAAAGTCTCTACCCCGCTGTCTATGGACCGTGTCCTCCAACCGGCTTTATTTGCTGGTCTGAAGCAGTACTTTGAATCCCGACGACGACTCTTAAAAGGTGGGGATCTCGTAGGGATTAGCGTTGATGAGGGGTTTGGTAGAGCTGTTTTCTCAGTAACTACTGGTGGCGACAATGGTGCTCAGGATGATGACTTGACTACCCGCTTAGGCCAGGTTACCGACTCTGACCACACTACATCAAGGAAAGTTGGCGTTGCCTGGTTCCGTGTTGGACAGGTTGTCCCTAGCATAGCCAGTGACCAAGATGGACCTGGCGAGAACCAGTGGGGAGGAGTTGCTGTCATCGATTCCGCCACTACAAGGATGGTGCAGGCTGGCAGCGATGTAAGCAGGGTTCCAGGCACCATGGATAACGGATGGGAATACTGGCTCGGGGTCAAATCAGTCCCAAGGACGGCCACTGATGCCCCAACTCCACATGGTCTCATCACAGAAGCTCCGCAGTCCTTTACCCCCCCGTTGCAACAACGCATTCGAGACCTGATGTCAGTGGCAACCAGCCCTCGTGCGATTCATTTGGGCATGAATCCGGTTGTCATACTGATAAGGTCCCAACAGAGACACATTGGAAAGGCGACCATCGCAACACGGGCTTGTGCTGATATTGGCCTTCATACGTTTCCCATTGATGCCTACGATATCCTGACCGAGGGTGGTGCGAATGGCGGCGACGTGAAAACCGAAGCATACTTGAAGGCAAGAGCAGAGCGTGCTTTCCACTGTGGGTCCGAATGCACGGCACTCCTGATCAAGCATGTCGAAGTGTTGACGGCAGACCGTATCATCTCAGCGATGGCCGATATCGTGGCGGATGCACGAGTCGTGATCGCGACCACTACGGATGTCGAACAGATCCCGGAAGGCATTCGTAGCATGTTCACGCACGAGTTTGAGATGACGGCTCCGGAGGAGAAAGAGCGTGAGGGCATTCTTCGCAATGCTGTCTCTGAACGCAGCATTAAGACATCACCCGATGTCGATCTGGGTACGGTAGCTTTGAAGACTGCTGCCCTAGTGGCTGGAGACTTGGTGGACGTGGTTGAACGAGCCTCCGCTGCAAGGGCGGCGCGTCTAGAGAAACTGGCAGAAACAGCCAGCAAGAATGCCGGACAGACTGTCAGCGTCAGGGATGTCCTCATTTCCGGTGGGGACGCGGCACGCGGAGTTACGAAGATTGATTTTGATGCTGCAGTCGACGCCGCAAGAAAGAACTTTGCTGATTCGATCGGAGCACCGAAGATCCCCAATGTTGGCTGGAACGACGTGGGTGGTCTGACCAACGTCAAGGATGCTTTGATTGAAACCATCCAATTGCCGCTCGAGCGGCCGGAGCTGTTCGCCAAGGGTATGAAGAAGCGCAGTGGCATTCTGTTCTACGGGCCCCCGGGTACCGGTAAGACCCTCCTCGCCAAGGCTATTGCAACCGAGTTCTCTTTGAACTTTTTCTCCGTCAAGGGTCCGGAGCTGCTCAACATGTACATTGGTGAGTCCGAGGCGAATGTACGACGAGTCTTCCAGCGGGCTCGGGATGCCCGGCCGTGTGTTGTCTTTTTTGATGAACTCGATTCCGTCGCACCCAAGAGAGGCAATCAAGGAGACAGCGGTGGTGTCATGGACCGTATCGTCAGTCAGCTGCTTGCGGAGCTGGATGGTATGAATGGGGGCGAGGAGAATAGCGGTGGCGTTTTTGTGATCGGTGCCACCAACCGCCCCGATTTGCTCGATACAGCGCTACTTCGCCCTGGTCGGTTCGACAAGATGCTGTATCTTGGAGTGTCTGATACCCATGAGAAGCAAGCTACTATCTTGGAGGCTCTGACGAGGAAATTCACCCTGTCGCCTGAAGTGTCGCTCAGCAGAGTCGCTGACCGGCTGCCTCTGACCTACACGGGTGCTGACTTGTACGCCTTATGTTCGGATGCCATGCTCAAAGCCATCACGCGCAAGGCCACGGCTGTTGACGAGAAGATCAAGCAATTGCCCGGTGAGCCTGTAAGCACGGCATACTTCTTCGACCACCTGGCCACGCCGGAGGATGTGGCCGTGATGGTTACGGAGGATGACTTCCAAGAGGCACAGGAGGAGCTCGTTCCTAGTGTTAGGTAAGTTACAATGATTGGCTCCTTTCAGTTTTGATTTTCCGCCTCTAACGATGTGCAGTGCCAAAGAATTGGAACACTTTGAGCGGATCCGACAGAGTTTCGAATCGGTTGATAAGCAAAAGCAAGATTCCAACAGTGGTAACTCCGCATCCCAGACCATCGGGGATGCGCTCGAAGCACTCAAAGCCGGTGATCAGCTAAACTTTAGCCTGGATGGGCCCGCCACCAATGGCGACTCCTATCTCAATGGTTCAGGGCCGGGCAAAGGAAAGCAAGTCCCGACTGGCTCTTCGACTAGCGGTAAGGGCAAAGGGAAGAATCCTGCTGGCTCGGGAGGAAAGTTGAAGAATAGGCTTGCATCCATGCCGAATGGGGATTCTGATTCGTCTCTGGACGGTCCGACGGCTGACCGGGGCCTGGTCCAAGGCTACGATGATGTTGGTGAGGAGGATGAAGATGGGGTTACCAACGAAGGCGATGAAGACTACATTATCCGCACCGACCACTTAACTCCGGCTGGTGGATCCAAGTGAAGGAGGATGTTGAGAGCCTGGTGATGAATAATGTCGCACACGGATGACTATAGGGCCATCTGCAAGGGCCGGTGTACATACATATACATACATTTATTCCTGCTATGACTGCATGCCACGGGAGAAGACATGACTGGATTCACCAATCATTGGACAATTGAGCCAACTGTTCCTACCCTAACACTCTGTATAGTCAGACGGATTCCCACTAGGTCAATAGATATGAAGACGGGCGATGGTTTGCAGTTTCGGGCTAACCCAGTCTGGCTTAGGGGAAATGGATCCCGTGGCCCGCCGGATACTTTAATTGCTTAGCGATTCATATTAGTCCGAGTGTCACGACTGACGGCAGGATAGTAATCAGCATCTATCTCGGAAGGGGTGGATAGATATCTCTTATCGGGGTGATAAAAGTTTGCCTCCGTGAGTCAATTCTTGCAATAATGCTCATTGCCACTGCCTAATATGATCTCAGCGCCGGGCGCTTATCTCTGGGAATCGCCAACTCCCATGTTTCACCGGCCAAATAAGCTTCGTCTCCGTCACCCAAAGCCGGTTAGGCTCAGACTTCCCTTCGAAGGGCCTCCACTGCACCGTTCCTGACTGGCTTTCGGCGTTTCGCGTTCGGCGACTTGCACGAATCATCAAACAGGCCATGGCTCTTATCACCGGCGGGGGGAGCGACTAAGGCTGGGGCCGGTTCCTCGCTGCTTCCCTACTCAGTACTTGGGCGGACTCAGTATCAGGGCATCTCATTACCCCATATCCATTAGGTAACAGACGACGGAGAACCTCCGCCACTCACTCTCCCCGCAATTCTTCCTCGACCAGCCAGAGCTTCCCATGCCAGGCCATGCCTATGAACGCTGGGCGATTGCTCCGCCCTGTGAGCTCATTCGACTTCCGCGAGCGCGGTACACAATAATCCCGGTGGATAATGGACTGCTGCCATATCGGAGCCTGGGGGTCCTGTTCCGTGACCCCTTCCCTCCTTCGCCCAGTCTGACGCCCTGCCTTTATTTTCCCTGGTGATCCCCTTCACTCTTCCTCTCTCTTCCTTCCCTCCTTCGGATTCATTCTCCTCATTAAACCCCCTTGTTGAAATCGTTTGGTCCGTGACTGTTCCCTGGTGGCACATAACCGGCAATCGATACCCCCATCCACCATGAAAGACATTCGGGGCGATGATGACGCCCAGTTGGCGGCCATGGGCCACAAGGCCGAGCTGAACCGAAACTTTTCGATGCTGTATGTTGCCGAAGTCATGCTCTTGCTGACTTGCCTCCCACGTGGCTCCGTACTGATCCATCCCCGCCCTTGATCCAGGTCAATGTTAGGCTTAGCCTTTGCCATTTTAAATGTACGTCAACAAATAAACGCGCGGGCGCGGTTGGACCGTCCAATCTCGATAAGGCCGTCGTGGTGCTAGGCTATACTAGGAAGTTGGTAGCTGATTAAGTCTATCTGCAGTCATGGACCGCTCTATCGGCCAGTTTATCCATCAGTCTGCCGTCTGGTGGCTGTGTCAGTGTCATCTGGGGTAAGTCAGCGGTGCCCCATGCCAGTTCTTGCTCCCTTGCCTGCCTCTTAGGGTTTGCTGCGTGCTTTCACTACGTTGATGGTATGTCATTACCTTGCTGACCCTTTCTTCATCTAGGTTTGATCACAGCAGGTATCTGTAATCTTTGCATGTCGGCCTCCCTTGCTGAGTTCTTGTCCGCATATCCTACGTAAGTGTTCCTGCTACTGCTGCTTACTGGCTCGATCTAATCATGGCCTCAGTGCTGGTGGACAATATCATTGGGTTGCAGGTGAGTCCTTCTTGTTCTATATCTACGACCATCTCATGTGCAGTGCTGATCATTCTTCTCGTCAATAGTTAGTAAGTAATTCGACAATTCATCTGATGTCACCAAGGTTGCTAACGCGCGACCAAAGTTTCCTGGGAGAAATGGATGCCGGCGCTCTCCTGGATCACAGGATGGGCGAATGTCTCTGGCTGGGTATGTGTACGGGATTTTGTTGGTATAGGCAGCAGCTGATTGTATTAGGTTGCCTTGACCGCAACTGGTGGACTTCTCGGCAGTGAACTGGTTTTGGGTGTTATCTCGTTGATGCATCCCGTAAGGCCTAAAAGATTCCTTCCTGTTGGGCCCGTGGCACTGACATTTTCAACAGACGTACGTGTCACAGCGGTGGCATCAGTTCCTGATCTATATCGGCTATAACATCATTGCATTCCTTATCAATGCCTTTATGAACTCGCTTCTTCCCCTGTTTACCAAGGGTGCCTGTGAGTGAATCATTTTCTGAATTGTCCGGCGAGTTGAGCTAACAATACTCTAGTTATCTGGTCCCTTACTGGGTTCACTGTCATCTGCATCACACTTCTAGCATGCGCCTCGCCCAACTACAGCTCCGGAGAGTAGGTGTATTCATGGATTGGTGGTCGGAATTGTCGCTGACTCGACTAGGTTCGTTTTTGGAAAGTTCATCAACGAAACAGGCTGTAAGAAACCCCCACTCCTTCTCCTGGATCAAGGCTAACAATTCCCAGGGCCTGATGGTCTTGCTTGGCTGCTTGGTGTATGTCTTTGTTTACCCAACATTTGTGCAAGTTCTGTTACTCATCATTCAATAGCTGCTTCAAGGAGGTTTGGGTCTCACTGGCTTTGTAAGTTTTACGTTCCCTTTCCTGCGTATCTGTACTGACAGCTATAAAGGACGGCGTTGCCCACATGATCGAAGGTATGGTTGCCGGACACGACGACCACGAAATGGCATACTGACATCCACAGAAATTCCCAACGCCTCGGTCGTAGGACCCAAGATCATGATTGGCTGTGTCGGTATTGGAACCTTCACTGGAACAATCTTCCTGATCGTCCTGCTTTTCGTTGCCGGAGACATCTATGAAGACATCAATTCCACGGCCACGCCTTTGCTGCAGATCTTTGTCAATGCGACAAAGAGCAACGCTGGAGCTATCTGCCTCCTTATGTATGTTCCTTTCATCATGTTGATCTACACCGACTGACGGCTTCAAGCTTCCCTCTCATCTGTGTCCTCTTCGCTGCTATCACGATCATGACAACCAGTAGCCGTATGATCTACGCGTTTGCAAGGTGCGCAGCAGTCCTTCCTATCGTTACCATTGCGCGTAAAGACTGACATATCTTTACAGAGACGGCGGTCTTCCGGCTTCTCCCTTCTTCAGCAAGGTGCATACCAAGCTTGAGGTTCCTCTGAATGCGTTGTACCTCACCAACATCTTGGTCATCATTTTTGGATGTATCTTCTTGGGCTCCTCGAGGTAAGCTAATACTGAATCATATCCGTGACAGCGATTGCATCCCTATTAACACTATATCAGCGCGTTCAACGCTATTGTGTCCGCATCGGTGGTCATGCTTGATATTGCGTACGGCATTCCAATTGCCGTGAATTGTATTCGGGGTCGAAAGATGTTGCCTGAACGGTCATTTGTCCTGCCAAACGTCGTTGGCTGGATTGCAAACTTGGTATGTTTGAGCCACGGAGCTTAAGATGCAGTAGATACTGACGGGTGTTGTACTGGACAGGTCTCTCTTGCCTACGTTTCTGTCACGACTGTGCTTTTCCTGTTCCCCCCAGACTACCCGGTTACTGGAAGCAACATGAGTAAGTTTGGCCCGACTTCACCAGTTTCAGCGTGTCGCTAATACATGTACGCCAGACTACTGTGTGGCCGTATTTGGCATCATCCTTATTGTGTCACTGTTCCAGTGGTTCATTGATGGCCGTAAGAACTTCACCGGGCCGCGGATGGACGTGGATGTCATATCTGGGCAGGTTACTACGGGTGGTGAAGCTACTGAAGAGGTTGTTCAGCATACCGACTTCCATGAGAAGTGAGGCATGAGAGTAATGGGATAGGTGCTTTGGAATAATTGGGACAGTTCTGTACATAACACGGCGTCACGGAGAATAGAGTTCTGCGGAAACGCATATTCACTTGAACCTTAGGATTCAGCCCTTGGTACAGCAGTTCTTGGTGAATGCGGCCAGTGTTGCGTCATAGCCTCTGCCCACAAGCGTTCCCAACAACTTCAACTATCACTCTTTCCCCACACTTCGGCTACAACTTTTAACCCACCCTTAGTCTTTCTCGGAGATTCGGAACAGTGGGAAACAGGGCTGATCCCGTTGATAAGACCGATAAGAACGTGGGTTGTCGATCTGGACCGGTTTTGGGGGAGTTTTGTGGTGCCATCGAATTGCCTGATCTCAACGCCAAGCCCCACCGCTTCAACGGGACGCCAACAGATCGATTGACTACGAGCCACCAAGCCGTCGTTCGTCTCAAACTCCGCCACTATATCCAATATGCTTTCTTTTAGGCTGCCGTCAATCAATAAGCTGCTGCCATGGGGAGACCGCGTGGTTCTCGCGCTGCCCTCCGTCAAAATCCACGAGATTGATACGGCCCTGGAGAAGCCCGCCCGCGCTCTGAAGCATCTGCTCAAACTGAACCATGCTAACCATGCCATCCTGTACAATGAACGGAGATTCCATAATCATGCACCTCACGTTCGTCCAATCCTTCTCGCTGTCCCGAGTAGCTACTGACTCGCGCAGATTCTTTGTTCATCTTTCCTGCAAGGAGCGGACGCAGATGATCTGAACCGTGTATACGAGGCTGAATCTGAGCTTCTCGAACCTTGGACAGATGCGCCTGCTGAAATTAGCATCCACGATTGGAGAGACTTTCTGGGATACAGAGAGTATGGCCCGGGCTCGTACACCCCAATGCCGCGCAGCTAATCAATGCCTGTTTTTAGATACCAGCGTGCATTTGTTGACTTTTTTGAGGATGAACTCGTTCGCCAGGGATATGATTGGAAGAGTGTTGTTAGTGACTATCTCTTCTCTGGCAACGAGCCATTGTTTAATTCCCTCGCGGCTGATCGTACGTTGAACAAACCTATCGATCATGTTTCCTTTACTGATTGATGATACTCAGTTGGACACCCCCTGATCCATCTTGCATATGCTTTTGAACTTTCCAGCCGCGAAGTGGCCATGGAAGCTTTGGCGATGACCTCAACATGTTACGGCGGCATCCATAAATATCTGGATGACCCTTCCTACACTCAGACCGAGCCTTCCTATCAATCCACCTCTGTTTTCGAGATCATCGACAAAGTTCGTACCGACAAGCAGTTCAACGGCCTTTTCGGAACCCCAGGCGACCATAACATGGAAATCCTCTTCCGCGAACGTGAAGCTGCCCTTCTCGACCACTGGAACGCTTGGAAGATCCAAGATCCCGTCAAGCAGTTCCGCGAGAGCCAAGAACTTGCCGTCGCCATCTTGATGGGCACGCATTCCGACCGAACAAGTGAACAGTACGATTTCTTCTTCGTCCACATTTTGACTACCAGCCACGCGGTCCGGATCCTCCTGCCACTTATTCCATCTCAGTTCCAAGTCTCTCTTGTTCGGCAGTGGTGGCTGCTTACGCTGTCCATCTACATTGCCCAACTCCGACCGGAGCTCGACCTTGACCGGATCCGCAAGTACGAACTCAGCGGACGAGACTGGACCTGTACAGCCAAGCAGGCAGTCAAGGGCGAATACTCGACCGATGCACACTACGTGAAAGCGCTGCGTGCATGCCGAGAATGCGCGGACACCTGGGGCGACGAGGACTCTTTCTATCTCAAGGCAGCTGTCAAGTTTGGCGAGGAATTCAATGGTTGGGGAGGATTTATTTGATTTGACAAAAGCATCTGCAGTCTTGATTCCATAATATGCTTGTACAATAAGGCAATTTTTTCCGCTTTGAGTGATGGATGCATCATTTCATATGTAATCCTAGTTTCTCATCTGCTTGGGGTGTTGTTGGACATGGTCCGGTCTTCTGGGGTAATATGACTTGAATTGAACCTTCGTACAATGATCTTCCCTCTAAGCTGTAGACCAGCTTCAGATCCATCTGATAAAATGCAATTCCCTTCTGCCTAAGGCACACGAACACGAAACAACCATCACGTGCACGCGCGTTACTTTGTCCTGTTTGCACTCCACTCCGCGGACCAACACCAACACCAACACCAATCTTCCACCAATTCTCTCTCAGACATCAGAATCACCAACAAACCGTGAATCAGTCACCAACTAACAACCACAACCACAGCCACAAGACCTACTAACCATGCAAACCCCACACCCCAAAGGCAACCCAGAAACCGAAACCGAAACCCTCCACCTCCACGCCGAACTCCTCCCCAACATTCGTCAACTCACCCTCTACATCTCCACCCCCCAAACACCCCCAGCACCGACCTCACCATCACCCTCTCCGACACCCGACGCTCTATCTCCGTCTCTCTTCACAATGACGACCCTGTGACCCTGAAACTCCCCGCACGCGTCACCCAAACCTCCCACCGCATCCTCCACCTCCACCCCAGCACCCTCCCCCAGACACAACCAGGTGCCAAACAAGGCCAATACTCGTTCCGAATGCAGGTCGACGAAACAGACAATGACAATGCCGCTCTCTTCAAGGTTGATGATACCTTGGATGGGTTTGTTCCCTGGACGGCGACGGATATGTCCCCTGCGACGAGGTTACGGTGCTTGGCGTGCGGGGAGGGGGTTCTGGATGAGGGGAAAGTGTGGAAGGATCTGCCGAGTGGGAATTGGGCTGAGATGATGGATTTCTGGCATTGTCATAAGCCGGATCTTCCTAAGGAGGCAGAAAAGAGTGAGGGGGATGGGGAGGACCCGAATGCGCTGGTGAAGGGGTATGGGGCTGCGAATCAGGTGGTTGCGATGGAGGGGTCGGTGTTGGTGGATGTGGGACGTTTTTGGTGGCGGTGGGGGATTGTCAGGGGGTGAAGCAGGTAAGGAGTTTATTGTTCTTATGTCTGTTGTTCTTTTGGGTTGATGGGAAGGGGAGGGGATTGGGCATGGATGGATGGGATTGGGTTGAATGGGCAACAAGAAGGAGACCTTTCCAGTCCATGGTGAGGCCTCCGATACAATTGCCCTATATCTACAGAGTCTTGGTCGTCCTGGATGGCCCGGCATGAACAGAGACGCAGTGGCTTGTGGCTGGGTGTCGGGGATAGATATCCTCTCTCGCAGATGGATTTCATCCTTGGTGGCTTCGGCATGGGTCGTTGTGGCTTCGAGTGCCCTGGTGCTGTGATCTTGACTGCGCCTCGTGTGTTTCTTCGTTGTCATTGTCCAAAGTAATGGAGTCGACGCGATTATAACGAGGTATATTCAGCTGCCTTGCTGGTTGTAATGAATTGAGTACACAGTATATAGTTATTCCTATCAGATGAATCCCAAGCGTGTTATTTCGTATATACATACATACCTACATCTTCACATCGCTAATACTGTATCCATCAGATCCCCAACGAAGACACCACCCCAACGACCACCACCATCAACTGCTCAACCTGCTCCACCCAACTCGGAATCCACGACCCCATCACCACCGGCCACCGACTCTTCAAAACCCGCCTCTCCGCCTCCTCCACCTCCTCCACCTCCACCTCCCCAGACGAACCCACCACCACCACAACAACAACCTGGTCCCACCACCCCCCCGAGACCATAATATCCGCCCAACTCCTCGAACTCATCGAACGCGAAAGCACCCGCAGATTCATCCTCCACCACGACCACAAAACCGGCCTTCTCGTAAGCCCCCCCAATCCCTCCTCTCCGCTTCCACTAACCACAATCCAAAAGATATGGATCTTCAACCCAACTCTCCACTACTCCAACTCCACCCCGACGCACAGCATCTCCTCCCAACGCGCCATGAAAGTGTTCTTCCGGGACTTGACCGAGGGTGAAATCGAGGACATGTTGCATCCGCAACGAGGAAGCGTATCTTCGTTGGCGGTGGAGGAGGTGAGATTGTTGAGGGAGGAGTTTCTGGGGTTTAGGGATGTGTTGCGGGGAAGTAATGGGTTGTTGCCGGTTGAGGCGAGGGTGTTTAGGGAGTGGAGGGTGGGGTTGGTGGGGAGGTTTGAGAGGAATTATTAGGTGGTGAGGTGGTGGTGGAGTTGTTGATTTGGGGATGGTGTTTGGTAGATGGGTCGTGGTTTCTGGTTTGGTTGTGGGTGTGATTGTAGGTATGGTAGGGAAGGAAGGAGGGATGGGGAGGGCACGGGGGGAGGGGTTCTACCATGCATTCTAGTATACTTGGATCTGATTGAAGGTACTTGCCTGGTTTTGAGCGGAGTGGGATTCCTGGGTTTTCAGTGTGAGTGAATCCCTCCTACTATTTACTTGGTGAGAGAAGTTATTGCCTTGCCTTTGCCTATACGTTGAGATACTTACATATCTCTAGATCCTGAATTACACCGCAACAACTCCTCAGATCAGAATAGACAGCTAGCATCTGGCATTTGTCCATCCTCAATGACAACTCCTACTCCAACTTCAACCTCAATGACACAAACCACAACCACCACCAGATCTACAACCCCAACTCCACGGCAGCCATCCACAACTTCATCTCCCTCGACAATCACCCCCAACGACGATAACGCCGTATCATGGGAACATCTCGAACACGCACCTCCTCGATCCCCTCCTACCACCACCACCACCACCACTAACGAGCATCTCTCCATCGCAGAACGAATAGCCCGTCTCCCAGGAAGAGACACTCACGTTCGAGCTACTATGGCCAGCCGTCAATCGAACGAAAATAGTTCGTTCTTCGAACGTATAGCTCGTCTGTCAGGGAGGGATAATCATGTCAGATCTACGGTAGATGTGGAAATGCAGTCGCAGTCGTATCATGTTGAGGGTGTGGGTGTGGGTGTGGGTGCCCCGGCCATTAGGGTTTCTCCGCCTTCTGATAGTGGGGAGGATGAAAGGGGGAGGGAGGAGGAAGGTAGTAGTGGGGGTGTGGGTGAGGGAAGGTAGATGGCGGGTTGTCTGTTAATATGGACATTCTGAGAGAATGAGAGAAAGGAGTGATACGCCATGGATCGAGGAAGGTGTTTATTGTTAGCTAGGTTGTTTCCGTGATGTCCTGGTAGTCTTCGTTCGTGGATACGAAGTTCAATTAGCAGGATTTACTGCGATTGATATTTGCTAGGCCAGACCCGCTGCCATCATGCAGTGATATCTAGTGTAGATCGTTGCCTTCGTGGCGTCATGCTTGTTTGAGTAGAGTTCCCCTTGGCTAGCGGCACTCAACCTTCAAATGGAGTCTCATACGGCGCTTCTGCCTGTGGCGTGATTCGGGCATGGTGCCGTCTCTGGCCATCCTCCCAGTCAAAAAGCGCAGAATGAATAGCAACTCGGTTCTATAATGATCAGATTCTATATCCAAAGTCAACAGGATGAGTGCCACTTACATCCCAAACAACAACGGTTCCAGGGCGCCATCTGACCCGAGCCTGGAGATCCTGCGAGAGTGCAATGTGATCGTAGAGGAACTTGAGAAGGTAGTCGGACTCTTCTTTCTTGTAACCCACGATGTATCGTGTAACTGTACAAAATTAGTGCCAGGAAGGTAGGATGAAGGTAGGTACTGATACATACATTGTGGGTTCACGAAAAGGGCTTTCTCTCCAGTAACCTAAGCACTACATTAGACCGATATTTCCATGGAGGCTATGTGACGTACCGGGTGGGTTCTGACGATCGGGTGCTCCGAGGTGATCGGCTCACGTCGTGCAATACCGCCCTTGTTCAGACTGTTGTTGACCTGCTCCACACCAGAGTGGACTGCCTTCAACCCGTGCAGTCTCTTGCGGAACTCGGGTGACAGCCGTCGGTATGCCTGCGCCATGTCGGCGAAGAGGGTATCTCCGCCACTTGTGGGTCCATCCAGGATGTACAAGAATGTCGTACCAGGGGGCTGCTTCTCAAACGTCACGTCAGAGTGCCAAGTGATGGTGTTGGTGCGTGTGGCCAAGAATTCAGCGCCACTGCGGTCATCGGCTCCTCGATGAACAAGGTGGATCTCCGGGAAGCCTTTAGGAGCTCCAGACGTCTGGTGAATGTGGTGTCTGCCAAAGTAACCACCAAACTCCAGGGCCTTGTCGATAGGAAGATGTGCGAAGTCCTGATCGCGGAAGGCTAAACATATATGTCAGTGGACGGCCTTACATATCCTTACATATTCAGAACAGGGGGATGTGTCGTACCAACGACCTTCCTCTGAGCTACATACAGAGCCAGCTGGTCTTTTCCTTCCTTGGTGAGCTGGCTCAACTGCACCCCACGTAGTTCGGTGCCGATCGTAGGGGTGATATCGTCCACTTCGACTTTGTCCTTGGGTAGGAGATCAGGGAAGGTCGGGTCAGCGTCCTTTCCGTGATCATAGTGCTCGAAGGGCTGAAGAGGCGGGTATCTATACGCTTTGTTAGGTAATGACATTGAATATCTCAAGGGGGTGAATGACCTTTCAGTTTCGTTGTCCCAGACAGGCAGATAGTTGGGGAAGGATGCCGGAGGCTGCTTTTCGGTTCCCTTAAGCTCGTTGTCATGCTTGTAGGCTTCCCCATAGCCAATCAGGTTTTCCTTGTTGAAACCAGCATCAGTCTTCAGCGCAGCATTTGGTGCAGACCGAAGTGATAGAGGAGTGGCCTCGACCAGAGAGGGGGCCATGTTGGATGCTTGTGGCTGAAAGTATGTGATCACTGACTTGCTCTGGTTCTTGTTATGGACTGCATCATAGCGGAAAGTATCATCCATATATATCCCTGTGCATTTTCCGGATATCCGTTCTGTGGTCACGCAATCCCTGCGGGGTATGTCTTGACGCCATTTTCCGACTCCTAGGAGTCAAGGAACACCTGCAGTAGGCTTACTGGGAACTCAAAGAGCATGTTACGCGAGACACGGAAAAGGAGTAAGCCACCATGACTCGCTGATAAGGCAGTCGATGGTGCAACGATAATGCAATGAATGACAATGAACGTCAGCCTAGTGGTTATCGATCACCGTGCCGAGTTGGTGATGAACAACGGCTGCAGCTCAACGTGTGGTTTGAATGGCCCAGGGGGTGTCTCGGTTATTTTTGGACTTTCGTGGGTCCAATTATGATTTTCAACTTCGGTCCAGGCACTTTTTATGTCGATTGAACTCGGGACGTGGATGACATGCCGTGATGACGAAGCGGTTGAGAAGGAGAGGCAGTCGCCAAAGCCGCGGGCCAAGCATGGCGTGATAGCGCTTCCCCCTCGCGCAACTCCAACACTAAACTTCAGCATCCAGCCCAATACCCCGCTCTACCGCCCCCAATATTTTCATTCTTAACTTACCCTCACGAATTTAATAGAAAAGAAAATCATGAGTAGAGTTCTATTGAGGTCATCTAGCATACCCTCTGAGCAAGGTGCTACGTGCCGTCAGTGAGTTCCCCTCGGCTCTCTCTATATTCAGCCGTGTCCCAGACATCATGCTGATCATCGCGAGGCTTCAAGTGAAAAACGTTAATCGTATCAGATTGCCCCGCTATAGAGTCCTTGGACAGCACCAATCAGCAGAGAATCCGATGTTGCGATGTCGAGCCTGAAGCATCCCATCATAATCCAATGCGATGATGAGATCGCGCTTCTGGCGAACTTGATACAATCTATCCACTGCGATTGGCCCCTGAGATGCCATGCGGAGATCTGGAACAAGCGCTAATCTTAGACCCGGCACTTGTCCGTCCACCTTACTTGTTCCTCATAACGTCACTTATGCTTGACTTGCGTGATTACACCACCCCCCGGTACTTCTGGTCAACTTCGGTCAAGTCCCTATCGACTAGCAAGCAATTCGGTAAGTTCTTAAGACACTATCCCACTTTGCATCTCTTCGAGCATGGCATTTCTAGCGTCCGGGGTGGTTTCTCGGCCGATGTTGGCGGTGGCCCCATGACATCGACCAGCTCGTGTTGCGCATCGAGGCGCTCGACAGCTCTATCTTGCCCGTCTCATACGGCAATTGGCTACGTATAGCTACCCACAGCTCTGATGCTAACGATTAGTGAATCGTGCTGACACTTTACCAAGGTATTGCGTGATGGACATCTACACTTCACTGCCGGCGATGGACATGTCAAAAAGGTCCCGAATCCTCCTGCTTCTCTCTATTTCTTAGCTCCAATCACCACCACCAAGTCTGTCACTATTATTCTTCTCCCATTGATCAGCTTGCGGCACAGGCAAGATGACCACAGACGGTGTTAAGGAGGTCCCCACGGACACGGTCCCCGCGAGCGACGACACCAAGACCCCGAATGTCGCCTCGTCCTCGTCGTCCTCACTTACAGAATCCGATAACAGGGTGGTCAAGTATGTATCTGACGGCGCTTTCGACTCATCGGAAGACCCCAGGTTCTACAAGCCCATCCCTGAATATGAAAGCGCACATCGCTGGGATCCATACTTTGAATGGACAGAGGAAGAGGAGAAGCGTCTAATTAGAAAGGTAACAACCAATTCCCCGCGCAATCCATGTCGCAAGAATGATCGCTGAGGAGTGGGACAGATCGACCTTCGAGTATGCACGTTCGCATGCGTTACCTTCTTCGCACTTCAGCTCGACAGAGGCAACATTGTCCAGGCAAACTCAGACAGTATGCTTGCGGACCTTGGTATGACGACCAACGATTACAACAATGGACAAACTATTTTTTACCTTACATTCCTGTTCGCGGAACTCCCGTCGCAATTGCTTTCCAAGAAGGTTGGACCGGATCGCTGGATTCCTATTCAAATGGTCGCCTGGAGTTTCGTCGCGGCGTTTCAGGCATTTCTCAAGAACAGGGCAGGATACTTTGCGTGCAGAGCGCTTCTTGGTCTTCTAGAGGGAGGATTGTAAGTTTTGCCACTGCGAATATTGGGGAATGATCGTATTGACAGTTTTCAGCATTGCCGACACCATCCTTTTTCTGTCCTTTTTCTACAAATCGAAGGAACTGCCGCAACGGTTGAGTTACTTCTGGGTTTCCTACGAGGCCACATCAATTGTCGGCGCTTTCCTGGCCTTTGGCTTTCTCCACATCCAAAATTCTGACGGTGGCGGCGGTTGGCGCTACCTCTTCGCATTCGAGGGACTCATTACAGGATTAATCGGTATCATCGCCGCATTCTGGATGCCTGCATCACCCACCCAAACCAAGGGCGGCTTCCGTGGTAAAGATGGGTGGTTCAACGAGCGCGAGGAGAAGATTCTAGTCAATCGTGTGCTCCGCGATGATCCCAGCAAGGGAAGCATGCACAACCGTCAGGCGGTTACGCCGAAGATGCTCTGGCATGCTTTGTGTGACTACGATATGTGGCCCATCTACCTGATCGGGCTGACTTGGATGATCCCCAATACACCCGCTACGAGCTACATCACTATCGAGTTGAAAGCCCTTGGATTCGGAACCTTCGAGACAAACCTCTTGACCATTCCCGCCTACGTCATCTTCATCATCAACCTACTTTTCTGGACGTGGATCTCGGAGCGCTTCAACCAGCGTCTACTTCTCGGCGTTGTCAGTGAGCTCTGGTGCTTGATCTTGCTCATCACGCTCGAAGTCCTGCCGGACGGGGTCAGCGCATGGGCACGGTGGATCATCAATGCTCTGTTAATTGGAGCACCTTATGTACACGCAATTATTGTGGCTATGACGTCCCGGAACGCAGGCTCGGTTCGTACACGTACGGTTGCTAGCGCGGTGTACAACATGATGGTCCAAGCATCTAGTATCATTGCCAGTCAAGTGAGTGAACATCGACCCCGCAGCTGCTATCTGTTTACTTACCACCCCTTGCAGATCTATCAAGAGAAAGATAAGCCTTACTATCGTGTCGGAAATAAGGTTCTGATCGCCTTGTCCGTGCTCAGCATGGCTTTCTTCATTGGAGCCAAGTTCTATTACATATGGCGAAATAAGTATAGTTCCTCAATAGATCCGATATCAATATTGACGCTAACCATGCTGACCAGGCGCAACTCTGCCCGCTGGAATGCGATGTCTACTACGGAGAGGGAGGAATACTTGGCAGCTAATCAAGATCTTGGAAACAAGCGGTGAGTCTTTCTTCCAGCGTTGACCGATTAAACTTGTCTAATGATTGCCATGCAGACTCGATTTCCGTTTTACCCACTGAATGAGCCTGATGATGATGATATACCCCACCTTAGATTACGACAAAAGTACATTTAGAGCTCGATGAGCACCCTACCGGATGCCACCTGACGTCTATAGAATAGACATAGGGCAACATAATACATACAATTAGCGAACACGAACCTCGAGTCATTAATCGTGTTATTTATATAATATCCGTCGGCCACATGTGCCGTGTCCAAGCCCTACTCTCCAATCACGTACTCGCACCCATCATCACCGATCCAAACCTCGTGCAACTTGCCAGCAGGAACATCCACTCTAGCACCGACGCCAAACGTCTCTTTTTTTACCTCCCCATTGTGCCACTGTGTATTGTCATCCGGGTATGTGATCGTCAGACTCCCCTGCCGTATTAGATGAGTTGTAGCACCTCCATGCGAGTGGGGAGAGTAATAGGCATTACTGAGTATGCATTAGCATCAATTGTAACATCTGGATTGAGGTCATCATGTATGAGGCGTGTATGTGGAGAAAGATTCCATAGATCATCAAAGGTACGAGAACCATGGTCTACTCACCATCCATCCGACCAGGTAAAGACATGCTTGAAGCCCCAGTCTCGGACTAAACGTTCGCACTCCTTGCGTGTACCGATGGGATAGGATTCTGCCATTGTCCTTTGCAGTGGGGGAAAGCAATGGGAGTAGACGTTCGTGCTTTGGGGAGATGTGGGGGAGGAACGATGACGTAGCTGGATTTATCAGCTAACCGGTTTAAGGGATTAGTAATCCAGGGCACTTTGAATGGACACTGGTCACGTGGGAGGCATGTTGTGTTGTTTGATTCTGTTCCTCTCTACGGAGTCCTCCGACAGGAACGGATCGGTAGCTCTGAGACTGTGCGCTATAAGCTTGGGGCAACTAATCCACAAAGATTGGTTGCTTTGAACTAGTTCCTTTGGCTGTGATTGCTAATCCATTTCCCATGTTTAGAGACGGCCTCTCCGTCTTAGTCCATTACTACCAAGACTCCTGGCTGAACCATGAATGAAGGGATTACCGGGCTCCAAATTCCGAAGTCGGCCTGGAAAACAGCCAGGCAATCTAAGAGGCATTCTAGAAAGGGCACCAATCCAGCTGAGGACATGGCTGCCACGCGGATTCTTGTTTACGAGAAAGCCTGACTCAGGCTGAAATAAGCGACGAGAAGCTAGAATTGATACACAATCCTCGGATGAATTACTACCTCCTGCTAGCGACGCGGGACAATATTGCCATTTGCCTGGTCTCCCCCCGAGGGCGTTAGATTAGCACTAGCCCACTTAGCCCACGCCAACCTTGTTTAGCTTGGAACAGCCGGTGGGTCGACATTGATAGTGGAACACCCAGGATTCAATGGAGCTCCTCTCATCACAGCCAACCGATGTCGAATGAAAACCAGCTGCATTTGGCTGTTGAAGCTTGTCACCTGCATGAGTCGCTTCTAGGCTCCCCTAAACCCCTGTCGATGATTAGGGTGAAGGGCAGAGTTTCCCTTCTGGGAATTCGTCAGGGTAATGGTGGGTTGGCTAACTCGGATGCATGATCCAGGGCCTCCAGCAGATTGGATTGAAATACAACCAGACGACCCTGATCTTGATCAACCATTTCTCTGCACGACTAAGTGAACGCCCATACTTCCAAGACCAGACAATAGGGCACCAAGCAAATGCCGGAGAGCGTTGAAATGACCACCACCAAGGGTGGAAATAATATTTCCACCACATTCAGTGGCGATGATGGGCTTACCAAAGGGCCTGTTTCCCAGAAGTATATCGGCACTATGGCCGATCAGAGGGATATGCAGGCTCTGGGAAAGGAGCAAGTCTTGAGAGTTCGATGCCTTTTTACCCGATGCATACATGACTGTTCTAACAGCTTTATAGAGAAATTTCCGCTTCATCTCTATCGTTGCCTTCGGATGTACTTTGATCGCTTCATGGGAGGTCGTGCTGACGTAAGTTACCATGACGCTGCTTGTCAAAATCAACAAGCTAATATCAAGCCAGCATGATGAGTTCGCCTTTGGTTGATGGCGGTACTGCTGGTTTCATTTGGGGATTTCTGGTGGTTTCAGTTGGTGTGTTGCTGCTGTTCGCCAGTCTGGCGGAAATGGCTTCCATGTAAGTGAGCTGCCTTTATCATCCATAAACAGGTGGAGCTCATGGTTATTTCTATTGCAGGGCACCGACCGCAGGTGGGCAGTACCATTGGGTCTCAGAATTTGCTCCTAAGAGCTGCCAGAAATTTTTAAGTTATATTACCGGTACGCGCTGCTTCTGATAATAGTCAAGGCCTTTTGACTGACAAGCCCCGATCGCATCTAGGCTGGCTGTGCGCAACGGGCTGGGAATGCGCCATTGTGTCGATTGCCTTCCTGGCAGGTACCATCATCCAAGGTCTGGCCATCCTGAACTACCCGGATTACGTCTTTAAGCAATGGCACGGCACCCTCATCACCATTGCCATCACCCTCTTTTCGGTTCTCTTCAACACTTTCCTCGCCAAGAAGCTCCCTCTCGTCGAAGCCTTCATTCTGATTCTGCACGTTGCGGGTTTCTTTATTGTGATCATCCCCTTGTGGGTGCTGGCACCCATCAGTGACGCCAAGACCGTTTTCACGCAATTCACCAACGGTGGCGGTTGGAACAGCGATGGCACCGCCACGATGGTCGGTCTGATCACAGCCCTAACGGCCATGATTGGCTACGACTGTACCGTCCACATGTGTGAGTAATATCATCTTCGTCCCTGCTCAGCCAGACATGCTAACACAATATCTCCAGCCGAGGAAGTTCGAGACGCGTCCACGACCATTCCCAAGGCTATCATGGCGGCATGCACCTTGAACGGAATCCTGGCCTTCGTTGTCATGGTCACTTTGTGCTTTACCTTGGGAAACGTAGACACTGTTCTCAACTCGAAAACCGGTTATCCCTTTATCCAGGTCTTCTTCGACGCCACCAAGAGCTACGCGGCCACCAACGCCATGACGGCCATTGTGACCATGTCTCTCATTGCCAGTGTGATTACGGAGGTGGCCACTGCTTCCCGCCAGCTTTGGTCATTTGCCCGTGATGGGGGCGTCCCACTCGCTAGCTTTTTCGGTCAAGTATGGGTTCCCACCCCGTTAATTATTGGCTTCAGCTGGAACATCTACTGATTGCCCCCGCAGGTCAACCCCAACTGGAACATTCCCCTCAACGCCGTTATTGTGTCCCTCGTCCTCACCATCCTACTATCCCTCATCAATATCGGCTCGACCGTCGCCCTGGATGCACTAATCACCCTCACCGTCGGAGCGTTGTTGAACTCCTACATCGTCACCGTCTCCTGTGTGGCGTTGAAACGAATCCGCGGAGAGCCTCTTCCGCCGCATCGGTGGTCGTTGGGTCGATGGGGTCTTTGGGTCAACCTCGGGGCCCTGGCCTTCCTCATCCCGGAGTTCATCTTCGTCATGTTCCCTCTTTACTCGACTGTGGATCCTACGACGATGAACTGGAGCTCGCTCATGTATGGTGGCATGTTGATTTTTTCCATCCTGTACTACGTGCTGTATGGACACAAGACATATGTCCCACCCGTGGCTCTGGTCCAGCGTGAAATGTGATTCGACCTCTCGGCTATTTAATTGACTCACTTTCCCCTCATGCGTGGCCACGCCACCCCTTTCCATTTCGGTGATCCTGGCTGCTGCACAGGTTCTGCGGCTGGCCGTCTCCACAGGGCCAGCCTATCGGCTTCACCGGGACTGCTGACGCTGCCTACCCCTGTTTCGCCGGATGAACGGACTCGAAGGCTATGTTAATTAACCATTCATATATAGAGATGGCGGCCAGGATCGGGATCCTTGCGTGGCCCTACAGCCGCAGCAAAAGGGGTGTTAATATTGAGAATTCATTTATCGTATGACTTGTTTCATCCACCGATAACACTACGAAACTCAAATGGACAGGATTTTGATTGCGCGCCTGGATCCAAATTGATATTCCACTTCTCGGGGGTGGTCCGGGACGGATCTCGTTCGCCAGACGATCCGCCCGCGGCCCACCAGGAAGCTTGCCGGCGCTCCTGCCACCAACCCTAACTGCTCTGGGCAAATCCCCCGGCGATCAGCGCCAGCGCCAGCCCGGAATCTTTCCCCCGAGCGTTCGGCGGTGGAGCTCAAAGGATGACCTGTCAGCACTACTATAGTCCCTCGCCGTCGCCGGAGCCAGACTGCAACCTTATTAACTATGGAGCCGTTCTCCGCGAGGCGGCCGTCGGTTTCATTTGCGCTGATAACCAGAAACCTTGCTAGTTGCTCGAGGGTGGCTGCGTCCGCGGCCTCGGTCTCATCACTAGTACCGAGTAGTGGCGGTCTAGTCGAGGCGACTGCACCTAGTCCGGAGTGGTCTGCGACATGCGCGATGTGATTGCCCGTGGCAATCATACTAAATCCCAAGCTAATATGCACACCCCTGTTCCTGTTATTCACTCGAGTGAATCGATAGACATTTCTGCCGAGTATCATGCAGGGATGCTTACTAGACTTTTCCGAATTCCGGCCATCAGCCGGGATGGGTGAACACCTTCCATCAGGCTGGAACACAAATTTGGCTGCTTACGAGGCTGGACCAACGAATCCTTCCATGCACCTCACCTGGCATCTTCGCACTATCGCCTTAGCTTAGCAGCAGTTCCCTTCCTTGCCAGCACCGGAGTCAACCGAGTCATCCTTGATAACCTATCTAATCTTAGTTCTTATGGAATTAGAGCGGACGGTGTGGTCTACTGCTGTTATGTCCACCCAAAGGAAGACCCTAATGCCCTGCATGCATATTTTCATTAATCGGCTCGATCTTTATAGTCAGGCGACCCCTGGATTAGGGGATCGTACCCTACCTAGATATCCTGTTCTTCCAGAAGGACACGAGAGGGTAGGCGGAGCTCAACCTCGCCGGTCGATCTCCCTCTGTACTTTTGGGTCATGACGACTGTTGGAAAGCCCTTAGTGGTTATTGACGGAAGCCACCATGCGGGAATCGTGATTGTCGTGGGGACGTTGGCCCTGATCATGGCGTTGATCTGCCTTGCCATCCGTGTGTATGTCAGGACATTGCTGAGCCCGGGATTTGGACGAGATGACCACCTACTGTTCGTTGCTACGGTAAGTTTGGTTCCCTCCATCTCTTCATCATACTCAACTGGCATAGACAGCTAATTATAGAGGTTTAACAGGCATTCGCGATCATCCAGACCTCGTTGGTGATGTCAAACTCCGCCAAAGGGTTTGGGACATCCATCGGGCTTCTTTCTTCCGAGCAGGTCGTGAAAATTCAACAGGTATGCCGGATAAGGCTGAGGATGGGACACATAATTAATCAATCTCTTCATGCAGACAACTGCTGCCACAGACGCTCTATTCCTGATCACCGTCTTCCTGTCCAAGTGCTGCGTGCTAGGAATGCTCTGGCGGCTGACTCCTCAGCGTATCCATCATACGGTTCTTTACGGTATCTTGGGACTGAGTGTCTTCTGGGTGCTGTCCTCAATCCTGATCCTTCTGATCAATTGCGAATTGAACAGGCCATGGGCAAGGCCAGTAGATCACTGCAGTGGCTTGGTAATTTTTCACTCGCTTTGCTATCTCGCACCTACTTACACGTCTTAGTTCGAAAAATGGGAATACGTATCTGTGATGGACAACATCATTGAGCTGATGCTCTTTTTGTTCTCATTGCTTCTCGTCAAAGATCTACAAATGCCAACGACTCGAAAGCTCATCGTCCTCTCCTCCTTTGCCGTTCGCTTACCGTAAGCAGTCCTGCCTTCTACACCGCTACCTCACAATCCTAACTCAGTGCCTGCGTTAGACTCATTGCCTTCTCCTCTCTACATCTATACCATCTCAACAAATACGCCTATTCCTCAAATCCTACATTCGACATCATCGACGGCTATGTCTGGACCCAAATGGGCATGAACTACTCCCTCATTGTGTGCACCGCCTTTTGCCTCGCCCCATTTATGCGTGCCATCAGCGTCACCTACGGCAACGCAGGAGAGGCTACACTAGGTACCAGCAGTGCTCAATCAAGGTCTGCCAAATACGCTAGAGATCTCTCCAAACAGTCGCAGAGCTACGTCTTGCAATCCATGGATCATCACGAAGAGGCCGGCCATGGAATGAACCCGCGACATTCACAACCTACTTTTGTACCGGATCGAACCGGCGGCATCGTCACCGCGACTGCATACGACGGGGGGAGTAAAATGACCGACGGGGACAGCGTAACCAGTACAGACAGTACTAAAATGATTATCAAAAAGAACGTCGAGTACACCGTTACTCATGAGTTGAGATAATACAGCTAAAATTTCCTTTGTTTTTTTAAAAACACACCACTCCTATCATTTATGAAACACGTAGATTGATCTTCTCGTATACCTGGGGATTATTCTCGATCGTTAAGATCTATACTTCACGCACCTATAGCCTAAGACAGTATTACCTCCCCCCCCCACCCCTGATCCTCGATCTTCCCAATCAATGACCCCTCTAGGCGGACAGGATCACCTAACCCTGCCTGCTTCTTCACCTAGCCCCCTCTTCCCATCTTATACATAACATCACTTACTCCCTATCCACCCTAAACAATACTATAACCTCATTCTCCTCTCCATCCCACCATTCATCCCATCCCAAACCCGTACACACACGTATCCCCCTCCCCTCCAGCCCACGAACCCAAAACCACATAAGCAACCCCTAACCCAATCCCAATCCCTATCTATAATTAGTCCACTATCCGGTCATCATCTTCCTAGTTCCTTTCCTTCTACTTTAGCGTGAATCCTACTCATGCGAGATGACAGTCTAGTTTAGTTAGTGTGGTCCGAGCCTGCCTAGCACAGTTGCCTAGAGTCTAGAGAGATAGGCAGCAGATAATAGATAGATAACCATGCATCGAGTTATCAACATCCCTGTCGGACATCAGGGTCTAGGGAAGGGGGCTAAGGGTGGTACGTGGCGTCTAGGTTCTAGGTTCTAGGTTAATGAGATCGGTAGTTGATCTCATGGTTTTAATTTATATAGCGTGGGGAGGATGTGGTGATGTGGAGTGCGTTCTTTGTTGTTGGCCTGAGGCATACTTCAGTGTGTATGTGTATATTTCCTGATTAGGAAGGAGGGGATTTGGGGTTCTTTTCGCACTGGGTATTTGTACTATTTATTTGGTTATGGGAAGGAATTGGGATTGATTGATATTAGTTGAGATTTGGAGATGAAATGAGTGGTAAGTATATTTTAGTCATGATTACTACTTCACATGGAATGGAATAGGGTAGTTATAGTACATGTACATCAGTTGTGACAGCTGTCGATTAACCCATCGAGATTGCTGATATGTCAAACCGCGCTTGGGTGGTGGGATAGCTGGTGATATCTCACTTTCTCAAGCTGATTCCAGTGAACCGGTCGGTGCGCGGTGCTGCGTCCCACTTGTCAGACGTGCTGCCCTGTCGAGGTATAGACCTATATTCATTCGATCACGGAGTGTCCTGCTGGATATCCTGGCCAGTCCCAGCGAGCGACATACCGGGATTACGTCTCCACATATACTCGAACATCACAGCGGAAATTAGTCGTAAACCTATCAAGCCTCCGGAAGTCCTTTGCTGGGGTCCTGTTTTTGACCCTTCCAGCCAATGTACGGCCATCCCTTCGGGAGAGAAGAGTATGGTGGGAGAACATAGCGACCAGCGCAATCTCCCTCAGTAGGACAATCTAAATCGCACAGCCCAAATACCTTACAGTAGCATTCTTCTGCCGTTGGACAGTACACCGGAGCCTTGCCGAAAATCACTGCTACCGTTAGCCAGCCTGTCATTGACGGTAACCAAGCAAGGAACATACTATGCCATGAGTATTCCATGATCCGTCCACTAAGAGAATCCGGCAGTGTCGTCTCGGCCAACCACTTCCTGTACCGCACGTAGTCGCTCTTTGGCCGCTCGCGGATCTTCCAGCTTGTGACGGCGAATTGGGCGCAACATGAAACCCCCACTTCGTCGGGAACCTCGACCCCCGGGAACAATTCCATAAACCCGGTCTTGAAATATTCCCCCGCGTGGACATCGCTGCGATGTGAATCGGTAAGCGGATGGATCTCCGCCGGACAGCCTAGGACCCAAGCACACCGCAGATTCACATAGCCCTGTTTCTGGAGGTAGGGGACCTGGAAGTTGCGCAGGACGGGCACGCCGTCGTAATATGGGTCGTCATTGTGCCATTGGTATCGTTCGGGGTGGATGAAGAGGATCGAGTCGGGGAGATTATCGTAATTATCGATTATATACCTGGAGCAGTGAGCCGAGGTCAGCGCTTCGCTGGAGCGGGGCGAAGTGGTGATGGAAAAACTCACGTCAGATACACCATTGATTCCCTCCCCTTATTCAAGTTGACCGTCAACTTGGCTTTCTTGTCATCCACTACATACACGCTCTTATGCCATTCGGGAAAGTATTCGTACAGCCATGACACGTCGTCGCCCGTGAGACTGGCCACCACCATCGCTTTGGTGATGGTCTGGCGCTGTCGCGCAGCAGCCGACGCGGACGGGGAAGCCTGCCCCGACCGTGAGTCCCGATGTGGCCCTCCCTTCACCACATCTTGGGCAGACGTCTCGGCCCGTTTGGGGTCGGAGCTCCCGGCAAAGAAGAGGAAGTATAGGGCGTAGATGATGAGGATAGTGCAGAAGATCGCTTTTTCTTGGTTGCGCCGGCGCGGACTGTTAACTCCGCCGCGGAAGAATAACATGGCTGGCAGCGGCGGGCGGCGGGGATGGCACGGGGCAGGAGGTCGTAATCATATGCTGCTGGAGGTATTCTGCCACGGGATTCAATTGTGCGTCGAATTAGAGTGACGGGGCAGGGAACATGGCTGCACGGTGGGCGATCGCGGACGGTCGGTGAGATTGGGCGGCAGTTCGAGACTCCGTGTCGGGGAGATTTGCGCAGCGAAGAAACGAATATTGTTGGCCGTGGATCTAAGAACAGACCAAGAAGGCCTAGGGGCGGTTGCTGGGACCGGGGATGCGACAGCTGGCAAAATTGAGGATGTTGTTAAGTTCAAGTGATGGTGAGTGGACGAGGCTCTCCACTCGTGCGGCGGGCGACTAACCGCTACGTAATCGGATTGGCTCGCGGGCTTCATCTTACAACGACTCCAAAGGTTCGGAACACAATTCCTGCATTCCACGGGGGTACACGGGGGCCTGCCGGGGAGCTTCTTTTTCTCACTGCGCGGTCCGAATCGTGAGATAAACACAAAGATATATCCCAAGCATCCATACAGAGCGGTCCAGGTCCCTCCAGGACCAATTCTTAATACTACACACATGCAGCTTATATACTCATCGTGAAGTATATATGGTTCTATTCTTTGAGTATGGGATGATATATCTTCCAGCTGATATTCTAGTCGTCTCTCGATCATAATAATTCTCTTCTAGTACTCTACCGCTGACTTGAATCACAATATGGACGTTAATTTAATACTCCGATGGACACTAGAACGGCCAGTACGGCTCCAAAGCCTTGTTATGAATGGTAAGTTGTTTCGCCGGAAGCATGACAGAAACAAGTCGAGCCCAGTTATCGACTCATTTTCCCAACTGTGCATCGTCCCCCGCTGTACAGTCGTATCTCCCTCAGCGAGAGTGACCCGCTTGCCATCTTCCAAAGTCAGAACCACCTGCCCCTTAAGAACCACAATATAATCCAATGTGACTGTGCGATGCATGGCGCCTTTGTAGTGAGGTGGAATGTCATAAGTGCCGAATAAAGAACCTTTCGATACATCCGCAAAGTCAGGGACCTTTTGCTCATCGCCTTCAATGGGAGCAGGAGTGTCACTCGAGGACCACAGAGGATTAAGAAACGCTCCGTCTCCGACAGGGTTGGCCTGGTTGCAGGTATCTTTCACTATGATTGTGCTGCCTTTTTCATCATGTCCGGTGACAACTAAGCGAGTATCATTCGAACGAGGAGGTAGATTGTCAGCCATTTGGGGTAGTTCTATCCTATTTTCTCTGTTAGGTATGAATTAAAATACCAGAGGGATATCAAGTCGAATAGCTCACTGGGATAACACAGAATAAGTGTAATGGGATGTACTCATCTACTTCCAGCAGCAGCAATCGTTTCATATTAAAACCCAAGACGACATGGTAGTAATCATGTCGGAGACGAAAGCAATAAAGTCCGGTAAGTCCGTGACAGAAGTGGCTTACTATGCCCCCACACACAACAAACTCCACAATTACACTTCAATGAGATTGTAAGGGGTGTCGGGGTGATTTGAATGATAGGAGGAATTAGGAACTTAACATATCATTGTTTTCTATACAGAGTATGCTGACAATGATCAGGGATGAATCTGTCTCGAGTAATGTAACCAGGTTATCTATACCCTTTATGGCAAGGACCACCCGGGGGGAGTCCCTGCCGGTAAAGTGACAGGAAGTAACATGCGTGAGTTCCAACAATATCTTCTCGGTGGATCAAGACTCCCACCCGGGTGATAATATGAGACTTTCACTCTGTCATAACGGCTTTCAAGGAGAGTCTTGATGAGGCATAGACTCAATGAGATGTCACAGATCGATCCCAATACCAAGGCTTACACCAACCTCCTGGTGCGTAAATATGACGGCTTCAACGTGGTGGTCAACAACCAGGCTATTCATGGAATCATTGAAGACATGAGGTTAGTGAAGGCGTATGTACCGAACCATGGTTTATAGAAGCTAATGGTTTGCTTTGGCACTGAAGATGACTTCCACAAGCAAGTTGACAAACCTATAGGGCCCAATTCGTGTCCTTCAAGTTTCTTTGCCCGCTATGCGCCAGAAGAACTCCAGATGCTGGGTCAACATCTCCTGTGTTGCTGGTATCGTTGGCCTCAGAAACGGCGTTATACATTCCCAGCAATTATGCTCTCCAAGCTAGGCTTCTCCGCCAATCTGGCCCGGCTTTATTATGAACGACTAATGAGCACAAGCGCTGTCCTCGAGGAGATCTGACGAGTTCGATTCCACACTCTAGACAAGGAGTCTATATATATATGCCTAGTACAGGCACTCTGCAATGCTGAAAAAGTACCACAGATGAGCCAGCACACTTGTGATATCCTCTCCGGCATTTCCCTTGGTCGAGTTGATGCCCTCGATGATATCAATATCCGATGACGCGACCGTGTCCCCATCCCCGCTGGTGATCCAGTACTCCGGGCTGGGCTGACTGTATCCAAGCAGCATGGGTGGTAATCTGGGGACAATGTCGTTGGTGTGTGTGACGCGGTAGTTCGCCCCAGACCCCTGGCTGGTGATGTACTCGGCCAGCTCATAATTACCCACTCGGGGACATCCAAAGGTGTACTATCCCAGTCAATACTGATCTGTTTTATCCTCTAAAATTAGACACTCACCAATTGGACGGTATATCCGTCATTGCGCAGCACCGTGGCTCCGATAGTAGCCAACGCACCACCCAAGCTATGCCCGGTGAAGTAGAGAGAATAGCCCGAGTACGTGCTCATCGCGGACTTGATCTCGCTCGTCAGATCGTCCGCAACTTGTTCCCATGACTTCCACCAGCCAGAGTGGACATAGCATCCACTGCAGAGGAAGTCGGCTTCCTCAAGGATGAGGTCGATGTTCGCGATCCAGTTTTCGAGCGTGCTACTTCCTCGGAAGGACACCACCAGTCGCTCGTTGGTGCTGTCTATGGCTAGGAAGCCTGCCGTGTCGCCGTAATCGTTCGAACTACTCAATTAGCTATGCCCTGCGCTTGTGGCTAGAGAGACATACAGATCGAATTCCAGCAGCATCTTGGTACTGGCCGCTTCAACGGACGGACACGCACCACCAGAGCATTTCACGGTAGTGTCATCGTTGTTGATGTTGTCCTTGCAATAGGCTGCGGCAGACCACTGCGCAAACACATCCAGCTCATCCAACTCGGAAGTTGAGACGTCTATCCCGTCAGTATCACCCATCATCCATCCCATCAAGGGTCCAACTTACCCCGAATATCAACCGGCTTCGCAACACCTAGCACAGCGAGTGCTGCCACTACACTGAAATAGCTAAAAAGCATCCTGTAGTATATTTACAATCGGAAGAGCCAAGGAACAACTGATTGATCACCAACGACACTTGCAATACTCATTTCCTCTACTTACCAAACCCTCTTTATATACCCCATCGATACCCACTATCTTCACCCCAGGCATCAAACAAAGCCAGAAGCGGGGTAAGTCAGACAACATTCCCCGATGTTTTCACGATGGCTGATGAAGCCACTCAGTCAGGGCGCATGCCTCTTCCTCATCCCTTGTTCCGGTCTGGTGCCTGGCTGGCTCCTTCGAACTCCGGGCGGAGCGCCGGTGGAGATGAACGGCCTGCCATAGCTGCAGCTATAAGCATATAGTGCCGAAAAGTTAATTAAAGTAAAGGACGCGGTCTTGGGGGATCTACTGGCGGAGAAACGCGGAGCGCTGAACTCGGCGCTCTGCACATGGACTACCTAGAGGGTGTTGTTATGGGTAGAGACCGAGGTAAGTTAAACAGATTCTGCTAGATAGGGAAGTTCTTCACATGCAGTTTGCACTGACGGTGGATATTCGGTGGTGCTGGGATGGTGGCTGTTTGTTGTCACTGCCGATCAGTGAGCGTAGCGCAGGCACAATACATGTGCCAGCAAGAGATGGACCCAAAGTACGAATACGAACTCCTCTGTACTTGAGGTAGACTCAAAACTCTCCAGCGTTTATAAACACATAAATCCTCCCAAATCAGAGCCAGATCCTCCAAACCCAACACTTCCTAACCCCAACACTTTCAACAATTACAAGTAAAGCAACCCAAAAGCAACCCCCATAGCAAACAAGTACCTAGTACCTAATAAGTACCTACCCCAGTTCTATCCGCCATACTCCGTAAGCAATAAGCACATGTACCTAGCGTAAGGTAGCATCGGCACTTCCCCCATCCCCACTCAAACCCAATCCCAATCCCAATAGGCAGTCAGTCACTAATACTACCCCAATCCTCAGACCTAAATGCCTACCCACTCATCGCCTTACGACAACGGAATCCCCCCGGAACCTAACAAACCTAACACCCGATACTCCCCTCCTGTTGGCCACAGCTTCCGGCTACTAGTCCCTTCCTTTGCCGGATTGCGGGCTGCGGGATGTAGCCTGCGGGGTGCAGACCTTAGTTTCTTGTCTTATAGGTACGTTAGTAGCCCGGGGACGGAGAACCGCGGCCGATGGTCGATGGCCGAGGATTGTGTCTATTGAACGATGGATGGATCCTTCTGGGGTTGGAAGGATCACATGTTGGTGTCTGCCTGGGGGTTTGGGATTTGGGATTTGGGGCTGGGGAAGGGGAGGTTGGTGGGGTTGGGTTTTTAAATAGGGGTAGATGGATGTATTGCTTTTCTGAGGGGATGAGGGTTGTGGGTGTGGTTGTGCTGGTTGTAGGTTTGGTGGTAGGGGATAGATAGTATGCAGTGTGATGGGTTGGGTTCGGTTTGGACATGTGTTTGGCATGGGATTGTGGGATTCTTGAAAGGATTTGGGGGTGGCAGGTGATTGACAAGGGTGGATTGGTACTGCATGTGGTGATCGGCATGTTAGATACCTTGAATGTTCCTTCTCGGGCAATACCTACCTACCACCAATCGGTAACTTAGTACACTGCACAATTCGGTAAATGCCGACTACTACACATAATGGTACTCAGTGGTACTTCATGAATATATTGACCGCTACCAGTAATAGCTAACACGAACATAATTATAGTAAATAAACAGCTTCGCTCCTCAGACGCCAGCCAGAACAAACATCATGTCTTTTCAATAAAATAATGGAATAGGAAAATCATCCGAGGAGATCAGCAGGTACCCCAGCCAGGTGTCGGTCTATCAATCCGTCCACGGGGAATCATCGGACAATCCCAGACCAAGACACGACACGACACGACACGACACCTGCACCTGGCTCATCTACGCACTAGCTCCATTCTCACCCCCCTCGGCAACGTAGTCCGCCATCCCCTCATCCTGCCCATCGCCGCTTTCCCCGGCCAGCACCTTCGTCCGAGGGATCTGATGCTCGGGCAATGGCGTTCCCGGCGTCGCTGCAACCACGTTGTCATTCTCATCCACAAACTCGAAGTTGTATCTCGACAAAAGGTGGGGAATGGCCGAGAGCTGCGGACCATATCGTGCCGTGTTGTCGTATAGTTCGAACAGTGGGACCGCGAGGAGTTTCATGTTCTTCGGGACCGAGAGGACCTCTGCAACCATTAGTCAATACCGGCCCATTGACCATCACACGGAGTGATGATAGACATAAGAAGGAGACTCACTCTTCTTCGGCAACTGAATGAAATACAACTTCTTGCACTCCTTCGGCCGAGTCACATGTCCCGGTAGGAATGGGTACATGAACGTCTCGAAATTCGGCCGCCACCATTGTGCCAACGTGTCGCCGATCTCCCAGTCTTCATTAACGCCTTCGCCCGAGAACTGTGAGCCGACCGGGGCAAGACGCTCATTGAGTCGTTTCTTGAATCCTTCGACTTCGTCGTCTTCGAAGTGAAGGTAGTCGCCAGGTCTAGACACCAACACGGTTAGGTGGGGGGTTCCGAGTTCCGGGCGCAGTGACATACAGCTTGAAGAACGCGTTGGCAATTTGCAACATCAATACGTGGGGATGGTTGTGTTCGTGACAGACGAGAACGCCCTCGCAGGTGCGTCTCATGCCATGTTCCTCGTAGTGTTCCTCCAGACGTTTCAGACGCGCCAGCACCGAAGGATCTTCCTCCGGCTGGGTCTCCTTGGTGCCGAATGTGTAGTTGGAGAGGGGATACAGGCGGATTGTTTTGGGTTGTTGCGCGGAGAAGTCTTTGGGGATGATGGGGCTGTACATGATGGTCAGTGTTGGGGGCGTGGAGCAGGAAGCGGCAGTGAGGTCGTTGTGAGGACGTACGGGCGCGAGCTTTGGATCGCCGTCGCGGTGGTGGTCGACATCTTAGCGAAAATCAACGCGCAGCAAAGGAATGGTGCGGCGAGTGGACGGGCTGGGGTGTCTGGTACTAGTGGTAGCAGTGAAGCTTCCCGTGATGGATCGGAGCTGAGGCGGAGCTGCTCGAGCCCGACGAGCCCCCCGCGAAAACATTCGACCGCCCCGAGGCCAGCCACGCCATCGGTCAACTCATGTCAATTTCTCATGCTGGTCATATTAATCATATCATATCGGATTATATCATATCATTTCATTTCATTTCATGCTTCTATTTCCCTGTATCTGCGTATCCAATAAATCTACGATCATCACCAACCCCAAACAGACTGCTCCATCCCGTCCATGCACCATGCAACATGCATCATACATCACACACGCCAATACAGAATCACAGCAATAAGCATCATGTCTATCGGTACGGCGATTCCTCGACCGTTTATCCAAACCATGTATGTCTACTTTAGAGCTTGGCGTCAAAGTCCTCGAACTCGCTGAGGTCCGTCACCGGGCTGGGTCCAGCGCTAACGGCCAGACGGGCCTTGAACTCGGCGACGCTGCTGATGTATGTGGGGGGCTGGATGTCTTCATTCGTGCCATTGACAACCCCGTTCGACTTGGCGGCTTCTCCATCGCTCTTCTTGGCCTCAATGCCCGCCTGTTTCAATTGGATGCCCAGGTTGGCCTCGACCTGCTCGAGGACGGGCTTCGCCTGCTGCTCAGAAAGGCTCATGCCGGACTCCAAGAACGCCTTGAGAGTGGCGAGGATCTGAGCTTCGTCGCCGCTCGACACATCGACGGTCTCAAAAGCAGCATTCAGCCGATCCGTGTCCACGGCAAAGCCTGCTGCCTCCAATTGATTTCCGAAAAACGAAACCAGCTGGGACTTCTGCTCCTGAGGCTTGGTGGCATGTGCGTGCGCACCAGCCTGGGCTTTAAGGTGAATCGCCAGCTTAGCCCGCGTGGCGGACCGGGGGTCGATGAACTGCTGGTAGAATTGCAGGATGTCGGCCTTGGCCAAAGTCCTGACGTTCGCGGCGTCTACCTCGTTCTGCACGAAATCGAAGTATTCTGAGCCAACGTGAGACCAGAACCGGTTGGTCTCGGAGTTCAGGTTCTTAAGCTTCTCCAATCTCTTGTTGACAACGCTGCGTTTGTGGCTTTCAAATTCTTGCTCCGACATGTTCTCAACCGACTTCTTGAAAGCGGTCAGGAAAGCGTCGATGCGAGACTCGAGGTATGGAGCAGTGCGCTCGCTCTGGATGATGACCCGGTAGCCCATGGTCGTCGCAGAGTATCGGGCGCCACTCCAAACAACGTAACCAAGTTGCTCCTTGCTCCGCAGTTGGTCAAATGCGGGCTCATCCGTCATTTGAGCGAACAGCAAAAGCTTGGCCCGCAGAACGCTGTCATCGAGGTTTCCAATGAACAAGTAGTATTCAATGCAGTGGTTGACGTTGGCGGGGTCCTTCAGGGTGCGCTCGTAGTTGTAGTTGGCCCCGGGGGGAAGGATCACGTTGCGTCTGACGTGCCACTGGGACTCGGGCAGAGTGCGGCTCTGAAGAGTCGACTCCACCAGGTCAGTCATGCGGAGCGCATCCTCCTTGTACAGATTACCGTGAGCGAGTACCTCGATGTGATTCTGTCGGAGGATTTGAGGGAAGAAGCACGACACGTCATCGGCCTCAATGTGCTCCAATTCGGCCGCATACTGCTCGTTGAGCCAATTCCTTTCAGCAGTCAGGTAGCGGGTGTAGTCGCCAACCTGATAGAACGGCTGCTGGTACTCCGCATTTTTATATCCGCGAGTGAGACGCTCTTTGATAATATTGAAACGATCCGGCTTGACGACCAAGTCCCGCATGCTTGTAAGCACCTTCTCAAGGAGGACCGACATTTTGTCATTATATCCACCAACGCTGATGTCAAGACCGAAGATGCTGGCAGACAACTCATAGTCGAGGCCGGCAAGCTCGGCGTCGTAAGAGTACTCGGTCAGAGCGTCACGAACCAGTTCGCAGTAGAACTTGGCCTTGACAAGGTTGGCCGGAGTAGCCCATACCAAGGGGTTTCTCAACGTGATATTGACGGTCGCCTTGGGGACCCAGAAGCGGTCATCCTTCTTGTACCACAGGCGGACGTGATCATCGTGACAAATCAGCTTTGGGGTCTTAGCCGGCTCGGATACCTCCTTCTTCTCCACGGAGAGCCTGGTAGGAACAAACTCGTTCTTATGGGGCATGTGGAGCTCAGGCAGTCGATGCTCCGGAGAAGTCTCCACGGCCTTGCGAATGCTAGCCATGAAATCGTCTGGGATGTCCTCAATCTTGTACTCCGTACCGTACCACTTCTCCCGGCAGTTCCAATCCCCGGGGTAATCCTGGGCGACAATGACCATTCTGAAGTTGTCAGGTCGAAGGTACGACAACGCTTTCGTGACCAACTCGGGCTCAAACTTTCGCAGGAGGTTGCCGCTAAGCAGCCACTCTCGTGGGTACGGCTTCTGCATCACACTGCTCAGGCGACTGGTGAAGCGACTGGCAGGAGACTTCTGTTTGAACCGGAACTCGACCTCGGCCAGATTCTTCATCTCATCGAAGATCCACTGCTGAGGTTCCCCCTCCTTGATCATGGCGATGTATTCGAAGACCGCCTTGGTGACCTCGCGGTATTGTTTCAAACCCTCCGGTGTCAATCGAATTGAGATGGTGAAGAAGGCCGAACCCGGACAGACGGGCATCACGCCTGCGGACAAGCCATTCGCCCAACCCTTCGCCTTGATGTAAGATAGGATACTGCCCGGACCTTCGTGGCCAATCAGATGGCTAAGATAGCGGCTTGGCTGGGACTCGTACATTCCCTCTTCGTCCATGAAGGGGAAGTAGATGTCGAGAGAGCGCATGTCCATGACTGGTTTGGCGAAGATCTGCTTTCCGAGGTGCTCCGGCGTCCAGGGCTGGGCGTCATCCCAGCGGTTCTGAGGGAGATTCTGGTTCTTCACATCAGAGAACAGCTCACCGACCCACTGTTCCATTTCATCGAGGGAATCCCGTCCCAGCACCACCAACTTCATGAGGTTGGATGAATAGTGCGCCTGATAAAACTTGATGAACTCACTGCGAACCTCCAGTCCCCGCTTTTGCGGCTCCTCTTTCAGAGTCTGCAAGTTTCCAGTGGAGAAGTGATGGTACGGGTGTCCGGGATTTGACAGAGACTTGCTCAGCTGCATCAACCGCCACAGGTCACTCTGTAGGTTCTTCTTGTTTTCGGAATCGACAGCCCGCAGCTCGCGGTCCAACGTTGACTCCAAGAAAAGCGGCTCTACGAAGAATTGCGCAAAGCGATCCAGAGCGCCATATAGTGGAGATGCAGGCAGACTGGACTCTTGAACTGCGACTGTGTCGTTCGATGACCCATTGGGCCCGGCTTTGTTGGGCGTTTCGTCAGTGGAGGCAGGCGTGGCAGAGACCTCAAAAAAGTAGTTTGTCTCGGTGGCTGCAGTATAGGCGTTGGAGGAACCCGAGTGGGACGCTAGGTACTGGTTGTAGGCATTTTCCTTGGGGTACTACTTAAGGTTAAAGTCTGTCGCCGACCCAGCCGGAAAGGGGTCTGGTGTTTCAAGATGTGGCCACCTACCTTTTTGGTTCCCATGAAAAGCAAATGTTCTACCGCATGTGCCATTCCGGGCATGTCGTCTGCATCTGAGAAGTTGCCAACATTGACATTGACGGCCGCGCTGGCCTTGTCCGTGTCCGGATCATGCACCAGAAGGGCCTCTAGTCTGTTGGGCAGGCGAATGACACGATAGGAGCGATCATCGAGTTCCGGCTTCTCCAGGCTCTCAGCGATGCGCTCGATGGATCCCATGATCGCGGTGCTGGAGGAAAAGCTAGCACGGGTTGTGGGGGAGAGTGAGACAAATGCGTGGGAGGAGCGCACGGCAGGAGATGAGCGACGCCCGTGAGCCGAGGGGAAGCGTGGCGAGGGGGAGGAGAAATGAGGGGCAATCGCCGCAAAGGCGCCTGACTGCGAAAATGAGCGAGTAGCTGAGGAGCGAAGGTATGAGGGATGTCTAGAGTTCCACAAGCGGCGAGTTGCAGGGGACCTTGGAGGCATCCAGAGAAAGGAGAGATCAGTTGCCGGGAGGCACGGCCGCTCGGGGGATGCAGGCGGAGTTCGAAAGTGGCCGGAATGAATGAGAAAGGGGGCGAAAGGAGGGACCGAGGATATAAATAGACGGTCTTGGAAGGAGGGAGAAGGAGTCAGCAAGACGCCACGTCAATGTTGAAAGAAAAGTGAGGAATTCACCGGCTCAATGGTCGAAGTATATGCACTGGCATGAAGCAGCAAGAGTGACTTGTCGGTGGCATCCACTGAGCGAATAGACGATTTCCGACGGTCTTCCTCCAGGCGGTGAGCCCCAGAAGGCGGTGAGGGTTCTTGGCGGGATGACGATATCGGCCTCGGCAATCCCCCATCAACCTCCTTGACTCGCGGCAAGGCAAGGGCCATTCCGATCCCCGTGAACCGAATCCAACTAAGTAGAGTCATCTAGATACCTTTTGTGGGTTATTGCTGCCCTGCTCACTCTGAGAGACAGCCAACGTCATTCCTGGTGAGCTCACGGAGACATCTGCATGCAGGCCCGATCACCAAGAGCGGTGATTCAATCAGAGAGACACACTTGATATTCTCAGTTATATATCCACAGTTGGTCTATTATCCTGTTGGATCCGAATATCCACAAGCATTTGCGACTCAAGTCGTCATTTCAAAAAAGCATCTAATACTGTCTGCTGTCAGCCGTGGAATCTTGTCTCCGGAATGAAATACTGCCGATATGAGTACAGCTCTCGGCTCCTGGTGATCCAGGCCATTTACAGTTGTGCTCGGACAGATGGCAACAGCTTAAAAAAACGGTGACTGACGATGCCATACATCAAAACAATCATTCAACTACCAACAACAAAATCCACAAAAGCCAAAGGCAGCAACAATACTAATATTCAATCTCAACATCAATCTCCCATCCATACACTCTCCTATCACCCCAAGCCTAACACTAACAACTTCTCGCACAAAGCGTCAACACCTCGTTCGAATTCGCCTGACAGCTCTTCACCTGGCTACCTGCAGGAGGCACCCCATTGGCCCAACAGATTCTCCCACATCCGGAATCACTCGGCACCACGCTCAGCACACTCCCCGAGAAAGGGTCTCCAAAGACATCCGACAAATCATAGTAGACCAAATTGGTGTCCGTATCCAGTGTATAGGCGTAATTGGTCTGGGGAGAGCCGTCGTAGAGCCCATTCGGCGTCTTGGTGATCTTCAGGGAAATACCACCGGACGTCGCGTCCCGGTGGAAGGTCTCGCTGTAGCTGGAGCCGGAGGCAATGGTCTGGCTGGGGCCGACGGAGCCACCGACAGACCAGAGGTAGACGGGGTAGGTGCAGTTGTTCTGGACGACGGCGGAGCCGATGGCGTGGGTGAGGGGGAGAAGAGGGAGAAGGGTGACGGCGAGGGTGGAGAGGAAATGCATCTTGCTTTGTTTGGATATTTGACTGGATTGGATTGAGTTAAGATTATGTGAATGTGATGAAGTGTGAATGGAGTGAGTATAGTATGAAGGATATAACTAGTAAACAGCCAGGAAGGAAAGAACGCCTTTATATACCCTCTCTCCCATACACCCTACCTCCATTAATCCGTCATACCACCCTACCTACCTACCCACCTAGATCGCCCAGTCCATATGAAAATAGGTAATAATAGTAGCCAAGAACCAAGCCCTTCATTCCATCATATCCCAAAATAACCCACCTCAGTGCCTCGCGCCTCCCAGTAAACGCTCACACCACACCCACAGTAGATAACGTAGTCCATCCACTATCCATCAACCCATCTCCCATAAGGCGTCCAACCCATCCACGGCCCAACCGAAAAGCAACCAAATAGTCTATCCATCTAACTTCCCTACCCCGCGGGACATGCATATGTGAGACATTCGAGCAACCGGGGCCGTCATACCATGGGTTACGTTTCAACGTCATTCGTTGATGCTTGCATGGGGGTGAGGGGTCCAATCACGGGATCTCGTACTCTGTATGTATGTATGTATGTCTCAGGTTTGGGTGCGGGTCGCTCGTATCGGGTACCGGGTACTAATTTATGTACTATGGGGGAGGAGTAATAATAGTAGTACATGGGGTATATGGGTATGGATGTAGAACTAGTAGCTATTGATAGTATGTGTGTGTGAGATTGGGATTGGGGATGTTTGGGGTTTGGATGGGTAAGTGGGGGAGGGGGGTTTGTCAGGTGGGGTTTCGGGACTTCACGATGGGAGGCCTTAGGTTCTAATTAGTGGATTAAGTTGCGGTCGGTTGGGGAATTATACTTGTGGTTGGGTTTGTGGTTAGTGCTGAGAATAGATTAATGGTTGTAGTACTCGGCTTCTTCGGAAGGGGATGGATTGAGTGTAAGAGGATATGTCTTCTCTTGTTATAGTATGCGCTCAAAGTAATGTACTATCCATCTCTACTGGCTATAATGGCAAATCATCTGAGACAGAACGACCTACTGCTGATGCATACATGCAACACAATAATTTGCAACACCAATGCGACATGCACTTAACTTGGCACAGAACGGGGTTCCCCTTGGTTCTCCTTCGTTGGGGACCGACTCTTGGGTTTGGATTTTTTTTCTTCTTCGGTCTCACTGTCGTGTACGTCGGCTCGCTCGGAGATCCATTGGTATACTTCGTCCCTGTGGTGCACGAGCATCTCACTTAGGCTTGCCTTGGGTGATTGAACGAGTTGACCGTAGCGCTTGGATGGTTTGCGCCGCGTCTCGACGCTGTTCCAGACACCATGCGTGTGTGAGACAAATACGAGGGAGTTCTGATGGAGTATGAGTGCTATTGAAATGCAAATCAGGAAGGAAAAACAAAGCTTACATCTTTGTACCACCGCGACAGCCAGACCTGGGTATGGGAGGCGATGGCACGAACCGGATTCTCAGCCACGAATGAAACCACGCTGTTGACCCGTTTGTACAGTGTCTCTGTCTCACAAATCAGCTGTTGTCTCGAAATCAGAGACATATCACCTACCGCGGTTAATCAGTAGATTGGCTACCCCGTAGAAAGCATTTCCAACGCCTATGAAGAAGATCTCGGTGGCCTCGCTGGGTCTGGGATTGTCAGAGCCGGGCCGCAGGTTAACCACGGTTGTTGTCTCACTCACTCGATATAGTTGTCCCACAGGTATCCGGCTAGTTCCTCGGTAGCAGTGGGTCGATTCTCGTCTTCCTCCTCGTATTTACCAGATGACTTGCAGGGTCAGCGCTAACTCAGGGACCAAGGCAAATCATAAAGAGGGGGCTCACAGGATCGATCGTCACATGCTTGGGGATATTGACATCAATCACCGCATACCCCTTTCCGAGAGCCCATGCAATGTAGTTCTTCATATGATCAGCCTAACACTGTCAGCGTATGTGCAAGACAACGGGACAGCCACGTACCAGCCAGCAGTTGTGGGCCTCCAGCTTGTTGGTGACAGGATGGGGAAGGCCCATGATCTCGGGCCTGCTCACGGTTAATCATAAGGTCAATCGCATCCCACAAAAACACTTACGGATCATGGAAAATCACCAGAAGAGGCACTGGTTGATGATAGTTGGGGCTGCACGGAATATTAGCATATGTAACGCTCACCATGGCTTGACCTACCTTGCTAAGACTTGATTCTCGAATGACTTGGAGATGGCAGTCCGATAAATGAAGAGAGATGTGAGCTTGAGGTTATCGTAAAGTTGCTTCGCCTGGTAAGAACGTATGACATCTGCAGGCGTTAGTGTGGCTCTGCGAGAGGAGGGACATCTTACCGTGAAGCCTATCGGTGAAGAACCCATCCTGGGAAGGCCCCTTCGGATACATGCAGTGCCAAAAACGCGACTGGATCATCATCACGCGGCGTACGGTTGTAGTTGCAAGTGTAGAGGGAGAAGTAGTATGGAGTCGATCTGGCGGGTCTCCCATCAGAGTCTTCGTGACTGCAAGCGCTGACTTCGAGATTGACCTGAAATTATAGCCACCCTACCACACCCATTAGCCTACCATCATTGCCAAACCCTGTGTGCGCATACCTCAAGACAGACGGCGACTTTGCCATTAGCAAGCGTCATGAGCATGTGTGTCATGTGAGCGTAGCATGAAGGTGTAACGAAACACCCTCCAAGCTCATCGCCCGCAGCTGCGTCGAACCCAGAGGCGACTGGCTCATGTTAGTAATAAGGCACATCTTATAGCTAAAGGGTTTGCGCACTGATAACAAGATCCGGGTCAAATTCATGCGCAATCGGCATGACAACCTGCTGGAAAGCATACATGTAATCGCCATCGCCCATGCCCTGGCTTGGCCAAGGTATGTTCACATTTCTCCAGATATGTTAGCAAGCTCCGACCAGACAGATAGTTGCATCACATACCTCCCAACGCCGGCGCCTTCACCACAATGGTCCCAGTCGCCTTCTTCGCCCCCGGGATAGAACTTCCCGTCCGAATACACGTGGAGTGAGATGTATAGTACGTTGGGGTCTTCATAGAAGGCTTTTTGGATACCATTTCCTAGGAAGAGTGCGTTAGACACTTCAATTCCGTGCTCATAAAGGATTGCTGATTACCATGATGAACATCCCTTGGTCGGTCAGTATCTCCGTGGGCTGAGGGCAAGGGGCAAAGCATACCAGTCAAGGATCAAAATTTTTCTGCAGCGGTGTCCTAGTTGGTCTTGACAGACGCGCGCCGCCACAGAGACATTATTGAACAGACAGAAGCCCATGGTCTTGTCGTGTTCGGCATGATGTCCAGGAGGCCGGATGACTGCGATGGCATTCTTCACTTTCCGGGTTGCGACAGCCAAGCATGTCTCAATCGCTCCACCAACTGATAGGATCGAAGATGCAAATGTCAATTTATTGAAGTATATCGAATCACGCGTGTGTTCCAATGCAATTAACTCATCATCGGACATGTCTGTTGGCCGTTAGAATGTTCAGGGCCCCGAGGACGATGGAAAAGGCTCTACCTTTGGTGCTTTCTACGAATGCAAAATGGTCAGGCGTGTGAACAAGCGAGATTTCTTCTTCAGTAGCATTGCGGGCATTGATGCGCCTCAACGGTCGTGCGACAAGGGGTCGACACGACTCCGGGTCATCAACAAGTCCTGCTCGACAAAGTTCTTTGTAGATGTAGTAGATCCGCCTAGGATCCTCTGGATGAACATCTGCTGTCGGTCGCACTTCACAGTGATAGCGCATCTGAACATCATAGCATAATCCGGAAGGAAGTGAGGCCAGAGGAAGCCCAGTGCGGGCAACTGCTTCCGCATCAGTCCAATCGGAGTTGTCCTCGACAAGGCTATCTAGCTTATCGTAATCTTCGGTGGTGGCATCACCGGAGTCGACTGATTTGGGCAGGCTCTTCGGAGGTGATATCCCTTGATTGCCTGCCCCTGCTGTCGTCTCTGATTGCGAGTCTCCCGAGTGTAGAGAGAGCGGCAGCTTCATACTCTGACCCAGAAGCGGCGGTGCAATAGATGGATCTGAAGTACCATTGAGCTGGCCGTTGCCTTGGATACCAGAGCCATTGCTTGCCCATCGATGTGAAGCAACCGAGGGGGGATTGTGAGAGCCCGCCTCTCCCATGACGGTATCTTCGTCGTCGTCCATTGCCATTGAGAATGACTGAGAAAATGCGCTTATTTCTCCCTGATCCAGTAGGCTAGGAGTGCGCACATGTCTTGGTTAAATCCACAGTTGAAAGCAGGATGGCTGTTCAACAGACTATAGAGTCCGCAACGGAAACAGATGGGAGAACCACAAATGCAACTGATCCAGGGGACAGGCGACAGATAGTTGAAAGACAAGTGAGAGATAGGTAAGAGAATGGAGGGATGGCGTGAGAGTGGACGTCTTTGGGACCAACTGTCGAGAAGGACCGAGGGAAGTGGACTGAGGGTTGCGAGAGCACAACAACAAGGGAACTAGATAGTTACTAGGTCCGAAGCTCAGAGGCCCTCAACCGCGACGACCAATGTAAGGAGGACCAGGCCAGATTAGGAGAATGTGAGAGCGTGGCAGAACACGACTGAGACGACTTCTAGAAGACTACGGGTGGCTGTTGATACGGCAGTCACCGCAACGCGCACACCAGCAGAGGCGATCTGGTCCAGGAGTTTGGGATCAATGTAGCTCTAAAATCCGTGGTCTAGCTGCCCTCCACGTGACTTGATGGCCGCGGACCCCCCACGGTCCACTCGAATGGCCAGGCAAGGGCGGAGGTCCGGTCGAGAGGGTTGGGTTTCAATCCCCGGGCTGTAGATAGCTGGCTTTTCCTCCGGACCGGAACGTGGCATGGGCGAGAGACCAATATTATGGTCCCTCCTGTGCTTCCTGGATTCCGAGAATTTCCCGCGGTTTGCCGAAGTCGATTAGAACGCCTTTCATTCACTGGCGGCAGGGCTTAGTCACCGCCGCAGCATTCCACCCCGGGCCAGGTTCCCGAGATGCCCCTGCTCGACTGCTCCATCTACCTACACTGCTATGGGCATACATGGTACGATAGCGTCCAGTCGTAGGCATGGGAAGGATATGAACATTGTATCATTTCATTAAATTGTACGTCATCATAAGCTTTTACGCTAGGAGTTAAGGTGCTCTCACGCGTTCCATCACGGTGTTTCCATGAGAGTCGCCTGCGCTAGGCCATCCGTCTCACTCAAAGCACACTTCTGAATTCAGTTCGCCGTCCTGATTCCTACTGGCCATCAACGCCGGAGATGTAGGCTAGAAGCGATGTTAGCAAACCGGCACAAATGTTCCCGGGTGGTAGACAGGTTCTTACCAATGAGGTCAACGACACGGCGGGAGTAGCCCCACTCGTTGTCGTACCAGGAGACGAGCTTGACGAAGTTGGGGTTGAGGGCGATACCGGCCTTGGCATCGAAGATGGAGGAGTGGTGGTCACCGTTCAAGTCAGAGGAGACGATGTCATCCTCGGTGTAGCCGAGAACGCCTGCGAATCAATCAATTAGCCTCGATGCAACACCAGCGTGGAATCTACCAAACTTACCCTTGAGCTCGCCCTCGGAAGCGGCCTTGATGGTCTGCTTGATCTCGTCGTAGGTAGCAGCCTTCTCCAGACGGCAGGTCAAGTCGACAACGGAGACGTTGGAGGTAGGCACACGCATGGCCATACCGGTGAGCTTGCCGTTGAGGGCGGGGATGACCTTGCCGACAGCCTTGGCAGCACCAGTGGAGCTGGGGATGATGTTCTGGGCAGCAGTACGGCCACCGCGCCAGTCCTTGCTGGAGGGAGCATCGACGACCTTCTGGGTGGCGGTGTAGGAGTGGACGGTGGTCATGAGACCCTCAACGATGCCGAACTTGTCGTTTATGACCTTGGCAAGGGGAGCAAGGCAGTTGGTGGTGCAAGAGGCGTTGGAGAGGACGTTGACGTCGGGGGTGTAGGAGGTGTTGTTGACACCCATGACGAACATGGGGGCATCAGCGGAAGGAGCAGAGATGATGACCTTCTTGGCACCACCCTTCAAGTGGGCGGAGGCCTTCTCGGTGGTGGTGAAAACACCAGTGGACTCGACAACGTAGTCGGCGCCGGAGGATCCCCAGGGGATGGCAGCGGGGTCACGCTCAGCGAAGAAGCGGATCTTCTTGCCGTTGACAATCAGACCCTCCTCGTAGGTCTCGATGGTACCCTTGAACTGGCCGTGGGTGCTGTCGTACTTCAGCATGTAGGCCTAATGATTGAACTCCGTTAGCCACCTGCTTGTTGGTCAGGAGTATACCAGCCGAAGGACAAAACATACAGCATAGTGGGTCTCAATGAAGGGGTCGTTGACAGCGACAACCTCAACACCGCCGTGCTCGATGCTGTACAACCAACCCATGTCAGTCAAGGCTCTTTCTGAAGGAGAGCTAGCTCCAAATTTGCTGAATCTAGACCCATTGGATGGATGGTAAAGGACAGTACTCACGCGTTACGGAAGACCTGTGCCATCGGTTAGTTTCTTCCATCAGGGGTAGCAAGCAGAGAAGAGCAACTTACGATACGTCCGATACGACCGAAGCCGTTGATACCGACCTATACGGCGATAATGTGAGTCAGGGATCAATGGGCGAGCTGGACCGTTGCCGGTCGCGTACCTTAGGAGCCATTGTTTAGATGTGTCTGTTGGTGGCGGGGTAGTTGATTAGTTCAGATTCGTCCGTCGGTGATGAGAGAGTAGCTTCAGAGAAGAGGATGTAGATGGAGGAAAGGATGGAAAGATAGACAGAGGGATAGACTTACTTGAGAGATGGATTGGATGGGAAAAGGAGATGAAAGCTGGATGATGAGGAAGGGAGAAGAGAAGAGAAGAAGAGGTTTGGTCGGCGGGGGAGGGGAAGTAGAAAAAGGGTAGCGACCAGTGACTGACGCAACGACCAGGTTACCAGGCCAGCTGGGTCCCTCCTCCGCTCCTGATGCCGCGCCCAGTCGAATCCGCACACCGGGGAGACGGACGGGGCAAAAGCTACAGTGAGCTCTGCCACCGTGCCACGGCGTGGGAAATGGGTCAATTGTCAGCTTGGGTACCCGGCTTGCGCCGCTCCCCAGTTCCCCAGCAGCCTTTCCGGTTTCATACACCGGGCAAAGCAGGAGAGTCACGATATTTGGATCTCCTGCTTCCCCCTCGGCAGCTGCCGTCTGGGCCAATGAACGCGCCCCATCTCCAGCACGCCGGGTACTCGCTCCTCCCATGGCGAGAATCTTTTGCCAGCGCTTCGGGATCAATTGAGTCCCTTTACCTAGGTTACGGGACTCGATCTCGGGAAGACGGGCCCATCCTCAGGGCTCTGCTACGATCCTACCCGCAGGCAGCCGTGGAGGCGAGGAACCGGACAGTAACATGATGTAATGGAGGTGTCGGCCCATCGCCTGTCTTTCTCCAAGTTTCCTTCCATGCCGCCAGTCAACAAAAAAGAGGGGCAGCCGGCCTTGCCGCTTTCGGCCCCGGGAGCTCGGCACGGACTAACATTGGCCCGGTGCCCCTCATTTTGGAGTCTCGTGGCTGGACCCCAAGGCGGTACTTTCTCCCCCCCTCTCATTATTATTATTATTGATTATTGATTTATGACTCCCCGTTGTCTGGCCCCTCTGGGTCTCTCCCGTCACCTAAAAAATTCACCGGAGGCCAGAAGGGAGATCACGCGCGCCATCACATTTTTTCCAAGCGGGATCTGTGGGATGATGGCTCCAGCAGTCCATCTCATTCGACCAGGCGCGTATCCAATGCTTCAGGCTTCAGTAGCTTGGGACCGATCCATCGGCATCAGCACCTTGGCGAACGAGGCGTGTATATTTTTAATAGCCCCATGCTTAGTATGATGCTCTGGCCTTGCCATACCCTTCACCAGACGACGAACACGGAAATGTCAGATGCGCGGTAATGGATGATGCATGTGGCTTAGAAATTCAAATTGACCGCTTGGGGCTGTTTGGGGTCCTGAAACAGCATTGCTGATCTTGTAGTATTAATATTATTACTTTGATAGCCGGAACCCCCTACAGTGACCTAGACTCTTGCATATAAACTCACAACAGAATGGAGGGCTCATTACTCAAAGAGTGGCATCCACGACTCTAGTGTAGCACCCACTAGATTGTCCTGATCTCAGTCATGTTGGAGCACTATCTTGGATGACTAGAAATTGCCGCATATTTCGGTCCAATTTTGTTTCTACTACACGGTGGTCCGATCCATCATCATACTGACATGCATGGGAGATGCTACCTGCCAATTCAAGCGAGTGGCATTAGTTAATTGCCACATTATGCTTAGAAAATGTTTCACCGGCTTCACCGGGGTCGAGTGTCAGGAGATGGTTGCCGCGAAACTAAAAGCATAAGCAGTTTCTTCGCCACTCCTTAGCCTTCCAACTACCAGGGTTTCGAGTCTCACCACTTCGGATTTTTAATAGCCATTATTTTGCCTTCCGAGTTATGCTTGCTAATAGCCAGTATAGGACACGAGGTCACCACCAACGCGATTCTATTATATTGGTAAGGAATCATAGCGAACGATATCGACAGCATGAATAGGTCATAAGTATAACATCTCCAATCTCAAAAGCTAAAAAGCCAGTGTGAGGCCAGAAAGGCGCAAATCCATCTCGGATTTGCTCTCACTCCATTGACACCGCATCTATAAATACACAGGAAGCAAGGTCTTGGCAATATTACTTGCACATCATCCGCAAATAATAACGTCTACTCTTCCTTGACACCTCCCCTCCAGTTCTTCTCCGCGCTCTCAACAGACGCCTTGTCGCTCTTGACCTGGCCCTGGTTCATGAAACTGTTGGCGGTCTTGAAGGGGCGCTGGAGATCACCAGTCGCGGGCTTTCCGAAGACGTGGATCTTGACCAAGTTCGCCTCGATGGCACCCTTGAGGGGGATGATTGACTGGATCAAAAGAGGGTTGGTGTACTTGAAGTAGAGATGCATCACGCCCATCATGCCCACGCCCATCAGCTGGCTTCTCATCAGCTGGCGCAGCTGCTGCTTGTCGTATTCCATGTTGGTGGTCGTCACCGGACGGGGCTCCTCGCCGCTTCCCATGGGAGCAGGCTCCACGTATTTCAGAGTAGTCAAGTCTGATCGCTTGATTAGTTGTGCGCAACCCAGCGGAGTGATGATAGAGGCGTACCATTCTTTTTGTTGATCTTGGACTGGGTGTAGAGGTATAGTCCCAGGATGAGCACGTTGGACAAGATGTACATGCCACGGACCAGAAGAAGGACATCGGGGTTTTCAAAGGGGACCTTCTTGGCCAGCTGCATCATCACCACGATGATGGCCAGGTTTGTGCTGCATCACAGGCGAACCATCAGCGGTGATCACTCGAGTAGTTGAATAACACAGTAGAGAGCAAGGCTGTCTGTTTCGCATGCAGGGAGGCATAACACAGGATAAACTTACACTTGAGGAGACACCATCTTGCCGGTAGAGCTGAGTGCAAGGACCCTTGGGAGATGAGGAGCAGCACACGATGGGGTGAAACTGGAGAGTGATGGGGACGGCGCGTGCAAGGACAGAAACTTCCACGAACTGCGGAACTGGAGCCCCGGGGAAGTCGGACAGCTGTCCTGATAGGTACCGGTCACGTGGGCACCCTTTTCCCCTTTCGACCTAGTTGTATCAGTGACACCAGATAACGCGATAAGCTGGGATAAGCACATGATTAACAGGATTATTACCCCTTTGAGTAGATAGCGGACGGGGTAAATGCCCATTGCAGCCTCAGGCAGGAGTACCGCCCGCAAGGCAGAAGGCACAGATCACCTGGTTGCTTAGATAATCTGGTGAGCAACTATCATGCTCTGCACACTCTCCTGCCAACCTCTGCTGTGTCGTTGCGAACAGTGCAAAAGCCTCCACATTACATTATGGAGAACCCTTTCAACCCCTTTCTAAGGGAAAGACCCTTGGGGGTTAGACTTTTGGATCAGTGACACCTGTTTCCAAAACGTGCTGTCTCTGGGGTCTGGGGAATCAACTACTGAATGACTGACCCTACACCCAACGATGGTGTAGACGCTCAGTGCCAACCCTCATGGGCCGGATCAAGCTGGACTGCAGTTTGAGCTTTGACAGGCTCTCTGGGGCCCGGGCAGGGCATAACGATGCGTTGCTTGTCTCTCGCTGGCTTTGCAACCGCGACCGACCACGACGTCGCCGGCGATGACATCTCGGTGGTTGGAAGCTGAGCAGCCTTCCCGAACGGGACTAGCGCCGCTCCACGGTCGACGCCCGTCTTTAGCGACCAGGATGGCTCTGACATTTCTGACTCCTTCATCCATCAACAACGCGCGTGCCTGTGCTATATCGGATCGCCTCACCATCCACAATCGCGCCCTACCCCTCCTAACCCTCGATTGACGCGACAATCTAGCCCCTGCGGCCCCAAATCTCGACACTTGTACAAAATGCCAGGTGGAAAGGGAAAGTCTATCGGTGGAAAGGCCGGCTCCAAGGACTCTGCGGGGAAGAGCCAGAAGTCCCACAGCGCAAAGGCTGGTCTGCAGGTCCGTATTCGTCTTTTACTCCTTCTAGCGATGATATACCGTGGAACCCATCCAATGATGTGTAGCGGCGACATACCGATGGAGCTGTCTTGACTTGGGATTTTTCTCTTTACCCCTCACGTTCGCCTTCACGTTTTGCACGAGCACGCGTTTCCCTTTTATATCGAGAGAAATCACTCATAGCAACGTATGGGCGGCGGTGCATCATGGTTCACGCGATTCAGACGGGGGTTGACGGTCTCCAACCCTTCCAAGTCCAATCCTCTTTCCGAAGCTTCACCTTTATCTATGCTTGTCAACTCTGCCTACCATCATAAGTATCGGCTACTGACATTTTACTCCAATAACAGTTCCCCTGCGGTCGTGTTAAGCGCTTTTTGAAGAACAACACGCAGAACAAGATGCGCGTCGGCGCTAAAGGTACGACACTCCCGTCGCAGCTACAGCCACTGCACTTTTGTCTTCTCAACCCATGCTGACAAATCACTCGCAGCCGCCGTCTATGTCACCGCTGTTCTCGAGTATTTGACCGCCGAAGTGCTCGAACTGGCTGGAAATGCCGCCAAGGATCTTAAAGTCAAGCGTATCACCCCGCGCCACCTGCAGCTCGCCATCCGTGGAGACGAAGAATTGGATACCCTGATCCGCGCCACTATCGCCTTCGGAGGTGTCCTGCCGCGCATCAACCGCGCGCTCCTGCTGAAGGTCGAGCAGAAGAAGAAGAACAAGACTGAGGCTTAGATGATGGTGGATACCCGACGAACTATGGCGTTTGGTGATTGATGATTGAATGGGGAAAAGCAAGGAACATGACTTAACCGTGAACTTGATCCCACTCCATCCTTGCGAACCGGAAAATTAAGGAGATAGGGAACCAGGACACATTTCACACCAACAAGATCGCACCCTTCACGACGCTGGAAAGCTCGAAATGTTTCTCTAAGTTTTGCTTCCTCATCCTTTACTTTATTTATTTCCCCGATAGCTGGATGTCTTTTGTATCTCCGTTTTTCTGTCGGATTCTCCACGGGCGCTGTAATGGGAATAAGGGGATTTTTCGGTAGTGGGAAAGTTATTCTTTTTTTCTTTGTCTTTTTTATTTTCCCTTTTACCCCTTTTACTATGTACGCTGTTTTATTCCTTTGGTTTCTCTCTAATATCGACGGTGTCAGTCTGTGTCTCTTTTATCTTTTACTATGTCCATTCATCTGATCCTTGTGATTTCTGACTGGATGGCTTTATAGGAGTCGTATGGGTTAGTAGACTTTACCTCAACTGTATCAATCGACTCAAAATCGTAGGATATTCAAGAATCATCGTGTTTAATCTTCAAGGGCATAGATAGTACTGCAATCTAAGAAAATGGAAACGCGGGAAGGAACAATGACGTCTAGTATGTATATATTTATACTACAGTCTAAGTCCCGAAGCGACCATAGGTTTGTAAACAAACAAAGTAACTGATCAAGCTGTGAGGCACCGAACATACAAATACAAAAATACAATTAAGGGCGATCTCGAAGACAAGCCAGGCAAAGGCAAGGGCAACGGATGCAGGGCCAGGCCACGGCGAAGCCACTGCAAGCCCAACACATGCCCAATGGTCCAGCATAAACTCCGAGGGAGAGCGCGCCATCGGAAGGGGAGATCACGAGACGTCATGTCGGTCATATTGCAGTGTCATTGGGCCAGTTGCCCTGGCATCCATCCCTAGGTAGGAGAGGAACACACCAAGTCCAAGGAACTGCAGCTGCAAGAATGCAAATATCCGCCCGTCGGGTTCGCCACCATCTCTCCCTTGCCCACGCCATGCAAGTCACCCCATTGGATTACACCTGCAGGCCAGGGAGAATAAATCTCCAGAGAACGAGACCGGTCCCCGGCAACAGCCGCACTGCAGGTGTGGTATGCCGACAACGTTCAGTCAATTCCTCCACGCCGCCATCGCGCGGGTTCCAGGGAAAGGAAAATAAAAACAATTAGGGGAGAGAGAGTAGAGCACAATGAGATAAAAACATTAAATGATGCAAATCGCCCCATATACAAAGTCACAAACAGGTAGATCGAAAGAGATAGTAAAATGCAAATGCTGGTGAGTCATCTCTCTTGCCATGGTCACACACAGACATCCGGATTCCGTTGCAGGTCGTCCGTCGTAGTCGTCCAGGTGTTGATGATGGATTTTATTTTGCTTTCCGCCGACACAATTTGTAGAAGGTAAAAAATATAGGTAATAATGTTCCTGCATGCAAGGCGCCCGCGTCTCAAAAGTTCACAGCTTTCTTTTTGTGGTTTATTTTCCGCGAAACAAGGAGAAAACATAAAGAGTCCGTTCAAACAGCGTGCCTGCTGGGCTGCCCCAAAATAACGTCTAAACTTGGCTAGATCAGAGAAATATTCTTTTGGTTCTCTCGGTTGAGTGTCATCTCGTCATCCCTCATCGAATCGTAAGCCAATAATCGCAGAACAGGATCAGGCCTCGTGATATAAGAGTCGTATGCATCTTGCGGCAAAGCAATCTAACAAGTTTCGTCGTCTTCGTCTCCCATCAAAGTGTTTACTCCACAATAATCTCTACACCAGAACTGGTGCGTAATTCGTCGCTTCCGCGCGATTGGTGTCCGTTCGGGCGTCGAAATCCTGGACCTTTCTCGGGCATCGGGCCTCTCGGCTGCCTAATGGGCATGCGCTCCTGTGACTGACCGTCAAATCCAACTCCGATGGATCGGTTACTACCGATGGGACCAGCACTAGAGGGCTGACTTTCTGGCTGCTCCCAAGAGAACATACCCCGCAATCTCCTCGGGCTCGCATTCGGCCCGCCAATTCCAGTACCCAAAGAAAGGCTGCTGAGGCTGTTTACCAACAGGCTGTCGTCGCGCTGCATGCCGAGGGAGGAACCGGACGGGGCGGAAGTGAGCGTGGGGGTGTTGGACGCACCGCTGGTGGCGCCATCGTAATGCTGCAAGCGCGCGCCGTTAGACTGCAGCGCCGCGGGGAAGCTGGCAGAAGAGGGGACCGGCGACGGGGTGTAAGAGCGCAGGTCCGCGAACGACTTCGCGGCTCGGAGGTTCTGTGTGTTGCCAAAGTTGCCCGGGGAGTCCAAAACCCCGAGGAAGCCAGAGGGCTGGCCGCGCAAAGTGTTAAAATGAGTGGGTCCCTCGTTACGAGACTCACTGAAATCAATGGTTGCTGCGCGGTTGAGCCCACGACGTGCCGTCTCAGCTGGCTGCACTGCGGCAGGGATAGACGACAACGGTGGGCTGACATTAGTGCCAGGAGCGACCTTGAACACGTGCACCTGCCGTTGTTCACCAGATCCCCGAGACGCATGGCCCAGACCCATGTTGTGAGCAAGCGTGTGCACGGTGCGGCGCTGGACGGGGGAGAGGTTGGAAGGGAAGACCAGAGTGTCACGCGCGGTATCTTCCTTGAACAGGAGAAGCTGGGAGTAGTAAGAGAGTGTCGTGCTATCATTCAGGTCGACGTCTGAGTATGCACGGAAATGTCAGTAAAGAAGGGAGAGCGACAGGTCCATAGAACACTTACCCAATTTTTGGCCGCGCTGAGAGACGGGCGAGGGGGAGGTTGCGGGAAGGTGAGAGGTGAGAGACGACATGGAACTCTGGGTCTGGAGCTGCGAGGTCGCCATGGGGCGATGCTGCTCTTCCAGCTGGCCACGACGCTCGCGCTTCTCACGCTCAATGCGCTCGCGCTCCTGCAGCGGAAGCATCTTTTTGTATTCAACCCGCAATTTCCGACCCTGGAGCTCGAAATGGTTGAGAACCTCGATGACGGTCGCAGTTTCCTCCGCCGACGTAAAATTGGCAAACGCCAATCCACGAAAGACGCCGTTATCGAAATGATAGTTGAATGCATAGGGCAGGGGCAGGTTAAGCTCAGTCATGAGTTGCACCAGCTGCTCCTTTTTGACCGCGAAAGGAATATTCTTGATGACAATAGCGGTGGGAATCAACTCATCCTCCGCCTCGGAGGGACCAGAGGCTTCGGGGCGCATCGCGCTGCTTTGGAGAGGGCCGGGACCGAGGTTGGAGAAGGGACTCGGAATGCCTGGCTGCTGATCAAGCCAGGTCTACTCATCAGTTAGCGAACCCGATCCCGGTATATTCGTTCCACCAGTATCATTCGAATACATACCGTTGGCAAGCCGGCCCTGCCAGTGCGCGAAGTCGTCTTCAGGCTGGTCGAAGCCGACCGGATGCCTCCGAGGGCTTGCGCATTGGCAAAGCCATTGGGATTCCAAGTCTGGGACCCCGCAAGGTCGTAGGCGTAGGAGTTGTTGTGCAACGACGGGTTCAGGCGCTCCAGCCGACCAGTATCGTAACGAGCCATGTCGTCATACAGGTTGACCGGCATGGGGCCGTACGCGTCGAACTGGCGAGAGGGTTGACGATGCAGCGGCTGCTGGTGGCGCTGAGAGCCAGGGGAACGCGCGGACGAGTTGTCGTGATACATGTCCTGGGCTTGTTGATAGCTCATGGCGGCGAAAAGATTGCAAATTCCCTAGAAGCAACCAAACCGAGGAATGTGGGCACTGAGATCCACCACACAACAAACACCGTTCAATAAGATCGCAATAGGCTGGCGGAACTACTCAAACATAGGAGCGACCGAATAGGCGCTACAGACCAGGAGCAGGTAGATCTCGAACAACGGCTTGGTCGAAGGGTGGCCTGAGTCGTGCGAGATTCCCGAGATCGAGCAGAGAATAGTAGCAAAACGGGTCAACTTCCGGGGGAGTGACCGATCGTCTGTGACAACGGAGTGCGCGATGGAAGCGACGAAAACCGAAAAAAAAACAAGCTAAATCGCTCACAGTAGCTGAACTAATTGTCTCGTGACTGTAGGGTCATCAATGGCCGTCGTGTCCTCTAGCATCAAATGTTAGGAACTTTTTTTTCTGTCGCCTCGCAGACCCCTAGGGGCATCAGAAGTGGGAGGGAAGGAGAATTCAGGGAAAAAGAATATGGCGTCCGGGGAAAAAATATTGAGGGACAAGATAAACACAATAAAAATATGGAGGGGATTTCAGATAGAAGAAGAAAAGAGGGAGGGGAAGGAAAAAGGGTAAAAAAAGGAGCTGCCACTATCTGGGACGGATAAGCAGTGCCCAAGGCTTTTGACGGCCGAACACGAGAGGAAGGATGGGTGAGGGGAGAAAAAGAGAACGAGCAAGTAGCAGAAGGTGGTCCAGGAGGAGAAGCAGAGGGATGCTGCTTGCTGCTGCTGCTGCTGCTGCTCTGCTGGGGGGGAAGGGAAAGGGAATTGGAAAGCACGCACGCCAAACGGCACGCAGAAAAGCCGGAATCACCGCGACCGCTTAGTCGGGTCTGGTCTGGTCTGGTCTGGCTTGGTCGCCCTTCCGTGAATCCACCACCCCAAAGTGAAAAACGGTTGATGAATGGCTGGATGCACTGCCTGCACGGCACTGGATAGATCGTGTGGGAAAATATGATGGAGAGAGACAATGAGATAGGCTGGCCCCCCAGTCAGGAACACCCGGTCAGACCGTCTGACTCCAACAATAGTGAAACTGTCAGAGGATGAAGGGTAAGGTAGATATGCCAGGAATGTTAAATAAGGGCCACAGTACCCGCGATGAATGATGAATGATGAATGGGCAGTAGGGGGATGATCAATAAGGTGGTCAAGGTAGCAAGTAAGTGTAGGCAGGTAGGCAAGCGATGAAGGGGGGGGGAGCAAAAACCACAAGACGAATGGGATGAAGGGATTCCCGTAATCCAGTCAGATGGGGGACGGGACGGCGGACGGGGAAGATCGAAGGTACCCAGTAGGAAGCACCTCGCTAGTGGCTCTTACTTTTTCCTTTTTTCCTTTTAGTTTTTTTTGGTGGTGCCTTTTTCTTTTATTTTGCGCTTTTTAATTTGTGCTGGAGTTTTTTTTGCCCTTTTCTTGTGATCGTGGTGTTGCTTTTTTGTTTGGGTCGGATCGGTGTTTTGGTTGGAGAAAGCCTGCAACTCTGATATCACCGGCTGATGAAGTCACTGGGATACGGCCGTCTCTGATCGGGGATGCCTGCTCTTCGTTTCCAACCTTACTTTTCTGGAGCTGTCTCTGTCCGTTGCGCGTGTTCTTGCTCAGCTCGTCAAGTGGCGGAGGCAAAAAAGAAAAAAAAACGAGCCCGGGTAGCGTTGGGAAGTGGGAACAAATTATGATGGAGAATCTGAAGCTTTGCCCAAAAGGGGAGACCGTCCCTGATTGGTCGAAATGCAGGCAGGTCGAATGAGTCGAAGCAGGAAGATCAGATTCAGAGGGTGAATGATGGTGGCATGAAAATGCAGACGAGAGAAGAAGTAAAAAAGAATAATATAATGTTCAAGGTAGAAAAAAGCAATGCTAAAATATTTGATCCAACCAAGTAAAATAGGAAGGAGGGTCGCAGGATGATCAGGTCGGTGGTAGCTAAACAAAGTGCAGAACTCACTTCACTGTCTTGTATATGGAGTGACGGTGGACGTGGACAATATGACTCTGGATAGGTACCTGGTACTTGCCAAGTACTTAAGTACCTCTACTGACAGCAGAGTTGCTCCTCCGTACGTTTTAAGTATCAGGAGAAGAAACGGGGTACTGTGTACCTTTGGTACCTCCGTAGTCTTGCACCGCCCATCCGGTACCTTCCTCGAGCACTAATTTACCATCTATCATTTCCCTTCCTCCTACTAGTACTTAGTATTACAGTGTATTTTCCTCGTTCCCCGTTCTCCTCCTTTGCCCCTGGACCCTCTGGTGAAGTACGGAGAGGGCCAGCCAGGAAATTGACTCAGGACATTCCCCCGAGGCTGTCTCTTTCTCCTATCACACGCGGTTATTCCACCACATTATCAGCATGATCACTGGGGGAACCTGCAACCTCTTTGTTCAATCCCTCCGGTCATCCTACCACCTACCCCCCCAGGTCCGTTGATCCATTATTAAACCATCTCTCCTGTGGTGGTTGTTCGCTCCGCGTCATCGGTTCCCCCTACTCCGTCCTTGGCCAAGCCATATAACGGACGGTATGGTCCGTTCCCCTGTCGCGGTGTTTCAGACTCTCGTCAACGTGTCTCTCCGACCCTGAGGAAAGACGACCGGAGTACGGAGTAGTACTCAGGACACCACCCCCCGCCTCGATTTTTCCCCCTCTTTCCACTTCCGGCAGCACGGGCTACCTACCTTGACTTGCTCAGGAGCGGATTAGGTGGGTTAGATTGGACGGAGGTCTGTCATCACGCATGACGCGCCGGTTCGAAGATCGCATCCTCTTTTTTTCGTTGTCGGATGTTTTCCGGACAATCGCAGGCCATCTGCTGCCTCTTGGCTCCTCTTCTAATCAAGAAACTAGTCCTGGACTCGACTGTGCTCGGTGGTCCCGAAAGGTTCCTGACTGATGGTTCACATCCGGGAAAGCTGCAAGCCTCCAACGCGTCCCTACTCCCTAGGGCCAGACTACGGTGGGTTCGGGATCCGCCATGAGTGGGTAACGGATGCCCTATAGCTTCATCACCTCTCCGAATAGGGGAAGCTCCTGTCCACACGAGCTCTTGCAGCTTTCCCGGGCCTCCGTTGGCCGATGCGGTTTCATGCCACCGTGATGATTCTTATTGAAAACGGCGAGAGCAACAGTAGCCGTGATCCGGTCAAACACAACCGTGCCACCCCAATCTGATGGCCCTTTGACCTTCCATGGGAAAAATAATTACCACTGCCGACCCTACGCAGCCCGGGAGATCCTACCTGTCACTCGGGATTTAGCAGGCCCCTGATGAGCGGTTAGCGGTGTTCCCGTCTTGCTTCTCCCCTTCCCTGCAGCCGTCATTTCGAGGCAGGCACGGAGAAGCGCTATCGCTGTTAAAATTATCCCGTGCTATAATTATCATCTGAACATGACATTTCCCATCATTTCCCCTCCATCTACTTGACACGCAAGTCTTGAGAGCTGCCCGTTCCATGGTTCTCCGATATACGGCTAAGGGCCAGGACTTCCTAGTCGTCGTGCCTATCCATTCTGGGAAGGGTCTGTACTGACCATACGAGATTTCAGTAACCTTCGTCTCCCCTTTTTTCTGGGCATCGAGGCCGGACCCCATGACCCATCATCTTCCACGAATAATCGGAACTGCTCTCGCCACGATAGTAGGACCAAAACGGCGAGGTCACCATGGGGATCCGCAGGTCCCCGGTGTCTGGCTCACCACTACTACGGGGGATGGGCCCAATATTGGCGGTTTGGAATTAACACCCAAGCTAGAACCCGCTAGAGTGTCACCAGAACCTGTTGACTGGAGACGTCAGATTACCATGCGCTCTTGTCGAGCAAGCGCCCGAGATTGGATGTTGGGCGCCCGATATTGCTCTGGCGTGGCCCGCAGCATCTGGCGCCTCCCACGCCGTCTCCCTACCAAGCAGCCGGCCGGTAGCCGTAGCGGTAGGCCATCGGAGGATCGAGATGAGGAGGGATTCCAGCCCGTATTCGGTTTCGGTACTTGTACCTGAGGGGGTCCCTAAGGGTAATTTATGAGGGCGACTGGGCCAGTCCCGTCGCATAGCCTGCCGGGGAGTTCTGGGGGCGATCCCGGCGCGAGCTAAACTCCCAAGCGCTTCTATAGAACATTCTTAGTCGGTTCCCAGTCCACCCAGGACGATTCCATGCTCCTTCCAGGCAAATTGAACTGGAGTCCGCTAGGCTCCCAAAGCCGGTCTAATTCCCAGTCGATCCTGCTGATTGGAAGCTTCGATTGTAAATAACCGTAATAATGGTGCGATTCGCCCGTGGCCAGCACCGATAGGGGGTTGCCAGCTCGACCGCTTTACGTGATCCTCCAAGAAGGCCGGGCAGATGGAGGGGCCAGCTAAGTACTTACAGTACGTACATGCTGCCAGTACAGAGTACACTGCAGGCAGTGCAGAAAATGGGAGCGAGCAAGCGAGAGATCCGCTTCTGGAGTGTCGGGGCGACTGTGCTTCTGACAAATCCGATCCCCAGTCCTCCTGGGTGGGTTGGCCCGGAAAGCCTCCTCGACTACCCATCACCACAGTACGGAGTAGGTAGATACTGCCTAGGTAGGCTACACTTACGAGAGGCGGTTTGGATCATCCATGACTATCTAATAGTATTCTATAGCCAGTGGCTTTCGGCCACTCAGGACAGATCACGATGCTTATAATTAGCACCTGGGACGCCGTCGCACTACGAGAGGAATACCTCACCACCACCTAATCAATAGTCAGGACCCAAAGGTATCTGCCCAAGTTAGAGGAGCCCCCAGGGCATCACATCATCAGTCTGTGGCAATGGTGTAAACAACGAATAAAGAGAAAGAAAAAAAAGGAAGGCTAAATATAAATACCTCAGATATCGTTTCCAGCGCCTTTACTTCGCCGTAGGAAGCGATGATCATCAGCATGGCTCCTCTTCCTGCCCAGTCACGACCTATTCGGTGACTGACTGACGGACAGACTGCAGGTCCATTCATCCGAGACATTTGCCCTTTTCAGCAGGCAAGTCAGATCACTATCCATTTTTTGCAGGCCGAGCACAGTAGGCGATGCAATATTTTTGTATGCTCTGCAGCGGCGAGACCTGTCCATGCGCACATAAAAGAGTGGGAGTGGACAATGGGGTGAATGTCAGCGCTGCTGTCCCCAATCATATTTTCTTTTTCCTTTCCTGCGCCCTGGATCTCCGCGACATTGCTTTTTGGCCCTGGGGCGCGTTTTAAGTAGTTGATTTATTCATCCTGGAGCCAGCCTAATGCAATGCAGCGCAGCCGCCATGTAAGCCACCTGATCCATCCACCAGGTGTTGTTGCCACAGAAATCGAGTCCGGAAAATGAAACAGTCACATCGACTAGTAGGCGGGACTTAACAAACATCCTGAGTTTTGTTTTATCTACGGAGTAGGCGAAAGCTATAAACCTTAGGTAGGTTTCAGTTTCAAACTGCAGCTCAAAGATGGGTCGGACACACACACACACACACAGAGCAGAGAGATAAGTAGAACAATAATCATACTAATAACAAACCTACCCTTCTACAGTATAGTCTATCTATCTACCCACCCTTCCAAATTTCCTAAATCGCCCTCCCCTTGGCTTGTGCACTCGAAATCATGCAAGGGTTGGCCCCGAATATCAGAATTCCCTGTGTCCGGGTTGCAGATTCTTTGCATGTTGCAGATAACTAGATAACCAGTGGGTGTTTTTTAATTCGATGGAATTATCATTCATGTCTAGGCAGGAATTTCTTTTTCTTCGGACCAACCAGGCTTGACTGAATGAATGGGTCACCTCGCTTGTCTTATTGGTTTATGCTTGGTGCCTTGTGCTGAGGATAACTGGAGGGGCGGCCTGTGTTGTGCGTGGGTGGCTTTTGACACGACAGTTCGTGGCATTTGGGTCGGGGCTGTCGGTCAACGGCGGGCGTTGCTGGTGGTGTGTGGCCTTTGGGGAGGACGCGTGCGCGTTGTTGCGTTTCTGGGCTAGGCTGGTTTGGGTTTAGATCGGATTTGTGGGTAGTTGTGGCTCTGGCATTCGGATCGTTGCTCTTCCTTGTATGAAGTCAAGTGGAACTGAGACATCTTATCCATTGCTTTCATAATGACATAACTCGTTTATTTTGCGCTTGAACACAGATAATCAATCTGACTAACAAAGAGCAATACATGTTTATCCCGCATAACTCATATCATAAGCCATAAGTCATAACAAACGCTGGATGGTGACCTTGCTAACCTCACATATATATATCGAACACCAACACCAACACCAAACTACACCTCTGATTCCGTAAATTGCTGCGTGAGCTTTCTATCCCAGCCTTTAAAGGCACCATGTCCTCTCTGGACACAATCGCGATACCTCACCCACCAAGCCGTGTTAGACTCATGCGGGAACAAATTCCACAACACCATCGACTGTTCTTCCTTCTCGGAGAGCTCTAGTCGAGCATATGTGGCAGCACGGAACTGTTCCTCCAGGTCGTCGTGTCGACTGACGGCGATGTTCTCGCCGATTAGGTGTTCGTCCTCTCCAATGCGGTGGACCACAATGACTGTTGACACCAGGAGCACAGCCACAGTCACTATCTGATTGAACAGGGTGGTCATACCCAGAGAGATAACATGACATCCAAAGCCAACCCACCCAATGGCCCTCATCAACTTGTATAGTCGAGGATGGCCGGGTCGGGGATTCGTCAATAGAGTGTTGGTGAGAACACCCCGCGGGGTGTAGATTGTCACCACCGTCCCCGTCGGGAGCGTCCAGAAGGTCTTCACTGCCTCGCTGGAGGTATCATATGCCTGCAATGCGGAGCGGCTGATGGCCGTGCGATTCTGATGCACAATGACCTTTCGCACAATGATGGAGATGAGCATGCTCATTGAGTTCACGAATCCCCACCAGTCGCCCATGATGACGGGAAAGATTATGACTGGCGCCATGCTCAGAATTCCGATGAAAAGACCGATCGCATCCCGTTTGACCAAATTTGATTTTGGCTGGACGACAAGGCGGAGGGTGGTAGAGCACGTCGTGAAGTCCTGGCATAGAAGCCATCGAGAAAACCAACCAGTCACATCAGTGGCCATGATGCCGTCGGTGATGTTGTATGCCACAAACCCTGGGATAGGTTTGGTCATCTCGTTGTTTGCGATGATGAACGCTCCGAGGACCGGAAGGTATTCAGTGAAGCGGCTATACACTAAGCGACCGACTGTGAGATTGATGTCATCGGCCCCTAGCATTGTGACCAGGCCCAGTGCATCGATCTGGAAGGGGGCCCAGTGTCGAAGGGCGGAAAGCATCATGCTTGTATGGGTATCTTAGAAGAATGAACGAGGAGTCTGAAGTTGGGGGTTGAGCAAGAATATTCCTTCTTGGGTCTGGGGGCACATCGCTTTTTAAGACCCTTGGAAACCTCTATACTGCCAACCAAAAGGCATATACACCGGCGTTGCGCCAGGATTAGGCGCCACATCGATCGGTGCAAATGGGTGTGTGCCCCAGCTCAGCCTTACCCCTCCGTCAGCCTCGTGGACCCAGCCAGCGTATCACCGCTTCTCCATGAACATCAGCCGCAAGAGCTGGCATTGTCGATCGTGATCAAAGTCCTCGCCGTCGACCTTTTCGAAGCTTATATGACGAAGGTATTGGTGGGATGGGTTATTTACCTACCGCCGCCCGATGACCAACAGATGGCAACTTTGCCTCTCATTTATCTCACAGAAACAGCCTTGCAAGTCTCCTTAGGCGCCACCGCTACGCCCAGAAGCATCAGCCACAAGTACTTACGATGGACCACCTCATCTTACCAAAGGATTCGACTGGGCTGCGATTCGAAATTCCCGTGCTCAGTACTGAAAACTATGATGGGGGTGACTTTCTAACGTACCCTAACCGCCAGGGATGGGGCCCTCGGAGAGTATCTGAGTGGCAGACGGTTTTTGAGAAACCATCTGTTGAATTCAAGGCTTTCCTTCAAAGATGGCTCTACTTTGGGCTTGTCCATGTGCGTTTCGGTCCCATCGATGTGAAATCGACATTTGCGTCCGAGAAAAGAGATGAATACGGTCGTCCAATACTTACAACAAAGCTGTTACCAAAAATTGCTTTGCACAGTATAAAGTCCTCACGCCGAGCTAACTCATTTCATGGAGCTGTAGCGGTGCGAATCGCTGATACGATCTCAGTGCGTCTCACGGGCACGTGGGTTGTTAAAAGGGATAACCCACAGCAGTTAGAAGATGTGGAGAGCCTGATGCAATTCATTACCTCAGAAGGACCTGCTGATCCCAGAGACCCATTTGACTCCCTTGCAACGACGTTACTATACGACTTTTCCAACGTCAGTTCACAATGGACGCCTTCCGGCCCCAGTAATATTTCCAATGGCGGGCTACCACCTCGGGTGGCCCCCATGAGCCCTGACATATGGACGATTTTGCGACAACGTGGCTGGTGCCCTTCTGCTATTTTGCCAATGGCCAAGCACCTCACAAGCTCTGCTCTGGTTTTTGTTGCAAATATGACATCTCCAAATGCAGGGCGACAGCATCGAATGATAAATATCACTGGAAGCGGAGGGAGTCCCTTACCCAAGGATGAACTATGTAATGAGCTCAGCTGTCCGCATCTCAAGCTCTCAGATGACACCTACAAGACAAGGCATTTAGATGGCTGTCTCGGATGCGAAGACATTGTGGCAGATCCGACGGCCATTTTCCGACGCAGAAAATTCCCGCTCATCATGGCGATTGATGCGGACAACGAAGATACCGGAGTTACCCTTGTGGAGATGGAAAGTAATGTCTCATATATTGCTATATCCCATGTCTGGTCGGATGGATTGGGGAATGTGCAGCGAAATGCACTTCCACGATGCCAGTTGCTTCGCTTGAGTGACATGGTTCGCAATCTTCCAGGGGAAGCCGCGAATACCACACTATTCTGGCTTGACACTTTGTGCATGCCGCCTGATGCAGCAGATCAAAAGGAGGAACAGTATACGGCTCTTCAGCTGATGCGACAGGTTTATGAGGACGCGAGTGCAGTTCTGGTATTGGATTCCTGGCTTATGTCCATATCATGTTATCAAATCGACGATGCCGAGCTGATGATGAGTATCTTCACTGCCACTTGGAACCGTCGATTGTGGACTTATCAAGAGGGTGCGCTGGCCCGGATGTTGTTGTTTCGTTTTCAGGATGGCACCTGTGACCTTGACTCCATGTTCAAACGCTATGAGAACGCTTTGGATATCACTGCTAGCACTACCCTGTGGACCTGTTTCGATGTCAAGTACAGAGGCCTTAAGAGGGTTCCGAGCTATCTCGAATCGGAAGGATGCTCTTGCCGCAGTAATGGCTGCTATGACTTTTCGAAGTACAAGCCAAGCTGCGGACGAAGCGCTTTGCCTGGCAGCACTTCTCAATCTCGACTTACGGCCCATACTAGCAGTGAACGAGGCGTCCTCTAGGATGGAGCTGTTCTGGGCAATGCTGGATGCGATTCCGATTACTATACTGTTGAAATACGGGGACAAGCTCGATAAACCGGGACTAAGATGGGCCCCACGGACTCTGCTTCTTTCACCTTCCAACGTGCACCCAGTAACTGGCGAATATATTGAGTTTTCTGTCCTCGATAATCTATTTACTGTGCCTATGGCCAAGCTGACACCCCGCGGCTTGCGCGTCCAACTGCATGGACTTGCTTTCTCTGTGTCAAATGCCACGATTGGAGCGGACATTGTTGTCAAAAGCAATACAGGGAAACACCACCGTGTCAGACATCAGTATTGCCAGTTCCTAAGCGAGAAGGATGGCGGAGATCCTGGCAAACCTATTACCATAAATCCCAAGCAGGCTTTCGGGGCCCAAAGAGCCGCCTTTGTCTCATGGTCGTCAAGTGAGCAGTTGACAAGAGACCCAGGGGTCTTGGTGGCCATTATCGAGGAGGATGAGGGGGTGATTTACGCCAGAAACATGGGCGTTGCCAGTTGCACAGAGGAGACAGACACATCCATAATCAATTACCTGAGAAACATCGATCAGGGGGAAATACTTTTCTATGGTGAAACTGACTTTCTTAAAGCTACTTGTGGTGAACCAAAGGATAGTCAGCAGGTGTGGTGCATTGACTGATGGGCCAGATTGCTCCGACTACAGTCTAGGTATAAGTTTTCAGAGTAAATCTATAGAACCTTGTTGTTTGTGTTCAGTGGCGGTTTCCAAGTTCTATGTATGTTTGCTATCTGTCCATGAACAGATGAACAGATAAAGATCTGTTTTTTATACGCCGCCCATGTCAAAGACAATCCCTTACTTGTATGTAAGTAGAACTGTTTTTATAGAAACAGAGAGCCATACCTCATAACCAAACATATCACAACCATATCCCCATCATTAACGAACGAATAGTATCTATAAAACCACCCCTCACCCCACCTCCCAGAAACCCCGGCTATACCAAACCCACCAGTCCCAAACCACTACCCCTGTACCCTCACCAACCCACAAACAATACAATCCCCTCTACACCAACCCCACAACCCCCATCCCCACCCCCACCGAAACCACCAATGAAACCAACCCAACCCCAGACCCTCCCATCCCAGCAGCCACATTCCCAGTCGCCTGCGCACCACCCCCACCCCCACTCCCACTAGAAGTAGAAGTAGAAGTAGAAGTAGAAGTCGCCCCCGCACTCGATCTATTCTCCGCCGCCCCCGAAGGACTAGCCGTGGTGGTCGCACTCGCCGTATTATTCTCTGCATTTAGGATTGATGTTGCGGCCGCGACGTTCCAGGTTGTGGTTGATAGGGAGCAGGAGGTTAGGATTGTGTAGGCTTCTATTCCCACCGTGACATGAATATGTTAGTGGGTTGGATTTTGGATGGGTATGTACGCACCATTATCATGAACATCACCATCACCATCCTGGCTTCGGTTATTGGCGATACAGGCTTCGCAGAGCGGAAGGAGAGTCGGTGCTTCGGCCCATTTGCAGATACAGGAGAGTTCCTGGGAGGAGGAAGATAGGTGGTGGAATTGGTGGTAGCAGCTTTCGGTTATGCTGACTGCTTCGCCGCAGACGGCCCAGCAGGGGGTGGGGATGTCGGATGGGGTGAGTTCAAGGTTGGAGGTGGAGGTGGAGGCGGAGGTGGGGTGGAGGAGGGTGGTTATGGTGGTGATGGTGAGGAGGGTGAGGGGGATGGGGAAGTGCATTGTGATTGGTGTTGAGGACCAAGAAGTAGAGAAGTTAGTGGTTGTGTTTGGTTTGGTTTTTTGTGTGATGGGATGGGATGGATGGGATGGATGGGGTTATGTTCTTATTTATATCTTGTTCTCGGTGGTACTGCTCTATATTTGCTTGCTGGATTGAGAAGAAAGAAAGTAGATATTAGGCAAGGATGCAGGTGTATATTCGGACGAAATTTCCCAAACTAGAAGGGGAGGTTGCATACTGATGTCTCGATATCGAGTCTGTCTATCCTAGAGAAAGATTGACTGCTTGGAGAATGTTGTCGACAAACAGACTCTAGCCTGCAAGTCGAATGACAAGCTGCGAAAGACCCTGATCAACTCCAAAAGGCACCAATCTGAAGGATGGGAAAGAAGCTGCCTGGACTTGAATGCTGTGAATGTTGAATGAAAGACGTCCCAGCAAGAGGGGGTTGTATAGATTAGTATCTGCTCACCGCCACGGTGGGGGACCCGTGGTCCGCTGGGGATTTGGGTACCTGGCTGTGGGTCGCATCTGGACTCCAGGACTTGATTAGATTCAAGGGAACCGGTTGCATGTTGTGTCGGATGATTGTTCGTCGGGCTGGTTGGTGATGCGCAGTCCGGGGATAAGGTTATGATGTCATCTGTGACACTTGCATATGTGGCTTTTCTGAATTGAGGAACAGGATGAGATGAACTTACTCCGTTGCAATGGCTATCAGGTGGTGCTACACTGCATGGGGTGGTGCAGTTTTGAAGAGTATCAGGCACTACTCCACCTCGGCAGATTCTCCGACGGCTGCATTGCACAGCCTCCCCGCTATATATAGTAGTAGTTCTGACACAGGTTATCCAAACTACACTGCATCTGCCAGTTAACAGTTCGAGAACGATGCTGCCTGTACTTTGGAATAAGTCTGCCACCAACTCTGCAGGTCACTACCATCGCCATACTATCGAAACTAGAAGCCATAATACCTGCTGGAAATGTTAGGTCATGGTGAGGTCAGGTGCCCGCGCCCTTGGATCGGTCGGAAGCATCCGCTGCGTTCCATCTCCGAGCAGACATCGCAGACATCGCAGACATCACAGACATCACAGACATCACTAGCATCTCGGGAATCGATCTGCCACCCTCCAATTCGTTGAGATTGAATCCCCGCTTCATCATGGCCCGCGCTGCAATGAGCAAACTGTCCTGGGAGAGTCATGTTCTTCGTCCCGTGCAGAACGCGCCCCCCGCCATCATCCCCACACTCATCTACGGCACGGCTTGGAAGAAAGATCAGTCCGCCGATTTGGTGCATCAGGCTCTCGGCGCTGGCTTCCGCGCCGTTGACACCGCAGCCCAACCCAAGCACTACCGGGAAGACTTGGTCGGAGGAGGCATACGCAGGGCCCTCCAGGACGGTTACGTCCGACGCGAAGATCTCCATGTAGGCGGATCTAATATTAGAAAGCCATGCATACTCGTGTCTGCCTGATGCTAACGCATGCCAGGTCCAAACCAAATTTACGTCCGTCAATGGCCAGAGCCCGGATGATATGCCATATGACCCCAAGGCCTCGGTGACCGAGCAGGTCCATGCATCCATCAGGTCATCGCTGCATAATCTCCGGCCGTCCGATACGCCTGACAGTACAAATGATGCATATATCGACATGCTCATTCTGCATTCCCCGCTACCGACGATGTCCCAGACGCTGGAGGCCTGGTCGACTTTTGAGACGTATGTGCCCCATCAGATCCGCAACTTGGGAATATCCAACACCAGTCTGTCCATCCTCGAGGAGCTATTCTCCCATGCAACAGTGAAGCCCGCCGTGGTGCAGAACCGATTCTATGCCGACACAGAATACGATGTGCCCTTGCGGGCTTTCTGCCGGGAGAATCAGATCATCTACCAAAGCTTCTGGACGCTGTCGGCCAACCCCGAATTGGTGCGCTCAAATGTCGTTCAGCTTCTCGCTCATGAAGCAGACATCTCGCCGGCCGCAGCTTTATACTGTCTTGTTCTAGGCTTAGGATATACCACAGTGCTGGACGGCACGACCAAGCGGCCTCATATGGAGGCGGACCTGGCTGCGCTGCAGAAGATTGAACAATTTACGGAGGACCAGCCAGAACTATGGCAGAGGATCCTGGGACGATTCCAGCAATTGACTGGAGACCATGAGGCGTGATTTGCGATCCTGCCTTTCCAACAGGTTGGATGTTTTCTCTCTCAGTCACCTTGTACAGCAGTGCCTGGCTTGGTCCAGTACATGGTTCCGGTGAATGTAAAAATTTGAAGCAGCAGAAATCGATAGAAGCACCTTGAAGCCTCTGGAAGTGAAACAAACTCTGGATCAACACAGTTGAAGACGGATCAAATCGAGGCCGCAAAGATTGATGGGCGGTGATTGGACAATGGGATAGTGGGGAGCTTTCCGTGCCAAAAATTAATTAGTAGGATGTAGACTCCGCCGGCGGACTTAATTGTAGCGGTCAACGGCGGGGGTTTCGGTGCATTGGCTGTTTCGTTCACTGTAAGCAAGCGAGTGAGTTTGCACCCAACGTGAATCGAGGCTTTATTCCTTGAGGCCTTGGACGTACAACTGCTGCCAAGTACGGAGTAAATATTGAGGAGAAAGCGCAGCACGTGCCACCAGCTGAGTCAGCGCATTGGCCAATCAGAAGAGGGCGCCGTTGCCTGAGCTCATCACCGCCCGCCAAGCATCTCGAGCCCCCGAGTTTGCTGGCGGCGACCAGACGGCGTTTTCTGTCCTTATCCACCAAGCGCGTGCCGTCCTGATCTAGGCCAGTCCCCATCGGCCCATCCCGTTCCTGTCGCCGTGATTAATTCTCTTCTTCAACCTCCGTGGTGGAACGCTTTGTCTCGCGTTCTGTGCCCTGCCTTTGTTGCGCCCGCCCGGCTGATCTAAAACCCACCATCCGCCCAGCCTTTCTGTATAGGCTGTCGCCTTGGATTGTCAGCCTCAATTTCGGCGACCCTCTATCTCAAGGACTGCACTTGACTCCAACACACCCTCTGGGATCGGTATAAATTTGTCGTGCCCGCTGGTTGCCTCGCCCGCCTCGCGTTTGAATTCCTACTACAACGTCTAGCGTCTGCGGCGGCGCCCGTCGCGTCTCCGCCAGTGACACTGCGCTCTATCCATCCACCCGTCTGTCCGCGCGAGTGTTGCTTGTTCCCACCGTGATCCTACCCTCGAATTCTGGACGACCCCGACGTTGATGACGAGTTTCCCTGCCATTTCCCGGATAGCCCGTGCCAACTAAGGCTCCCGCTCACCCCGCCATTGCCCGACCGGCCAACTGCTGCCTCTCATCCCTCACCCAGTATCCGAACTTTTGTCTTTCCTCCATCCTAGGCCACCCCGCTAGACCTTAGAGCTCGCCGAGTCAGGCGCTCCTAGAACGCTTCAGCTCTTGACCGACCGTAGGACCTGTCGCCTGTGATGAGTCCTCAAGGAATCACCCGCAAGAGACCGGCGCCTGGCACATCCCCCATCGTCCATCCGCAACTGGGGCCGCTCTCGAACTACCCTCAGAATCCGGGCAATCAGTTGTCCAACGACCAGTTTCTGCAATGGGGCCAGAATTCTTCCTCCAACGTGTCCAGCCCCTCCTTCGCTGATACCAACCCTTACAGTGCCGCGGCTTACACCTCCAGCCCGGATGTCCCTGCTTCCACAGTCACTGCCCCCGGGCAGCTCGCGCGTCGACAGACCCCAACTCAACTGGTGAACCGCGGTCGCGGATATGAACAGACCCCGTCGTTTTCCGACCACGGTAGTGGAAATGGGGAGTCCGGGGGGTGGGGGGAGAGTCTAGAGGACCTCTACAAGCGCGCAATTGTTGCGAAGAGAGAGGCGCAGGCCAAACGGAAACAGATCCCTCCATTTGTACAAAAGCTGAGCAGGTAAGTTCACCGACGGCGCGTGTGACGGATGATGACTGACTGCAGTTTAGCTTTCTAGATGAGTCGAAGAACACCGAGCTGATCCGATGGTCCGATGATGGAAATTCCTTCATCGTCATGGATGAAGACGAATTTGCAAAGACGCTCATCCCGGAGCTGTTCAAACACAACAACTATGCTTCTTTTGTACGCCAGCTGAACATGTACGGCTTTCATAAGAAGGTCGGACTCTCGGACAACTCGATGCGTGCCAGCGAGCGCAAGAACAAGAGCCCAAGTGAATACGCCAATCCCTACTTCAAACGCGGCCATCCTGACTTGCTGTGGCTGATCCAAAAGCCCAAGAACACGGCCGGGCAGGGTAGCAAGTCTGGGAAGGGTAATGTGCGCGTGAAGACTGAGGATGTGGATGACCAGGACAACGATGATTACGGCGATGATGGCGTGCCATCGCGAGATGACCGTGCGCGCAACCGCCAGTTGTCCCTGATCACAGGAAGCGTGATGCCCAAGGATCAACTAGCAGGCGTGTATCGCGAGTTGCAAGCCATTCGCCAGCAACAGCAGATCATCTCCAACACCATCAGCAAGCTACGACGAGAACACGAGCAACTCTATGCGCAGGCCGCCAATTTCCAGGAGCAGCACACGCGGCATGAGAACTCCATCAATGCGATCCTCACCTTCTTGGCGACTGTCTACAATCGCAGCCTACAGGGACAGGAGGGACCGCAAAACCTGGCCAACTCGTTCGCTGGCGCCATCTCCCAGGACCAAGGAAACGTGGTCGACATGGATGACTACACGCTGAGCGCCTTGGGTGCGTCCAACCTGAATAGCCCTGGGGGACAACGGTCGATAAAGAAACAGCCGCTGTTACTGAAAGCCCCTCCAGGGCCGGACCGGCAGAGTCGCGCGACGACATTGTCACCGGCAGCCACTGCGTATGACCGCTCGCAATCGCGTGGCCATGGTAGGCAACCGAGTGTGACGCAGCCGGGCCATGTGGAGGAAGTGTTCGACACCAGCCCGCGACAGAAGGAAGCGGCGCCGGCGAACCAACAGTATCCCCAGCGCGACATCATGTCGGTGATTCAGAACACCAATGCTCGCAACGGGATGCCCACCACCTTTGCCGACTTCCCCAATGTACTGTCCTCGCTTGAGACGTCGGGCGGGAATTCGCCGCTCACGCCCAACCAGCGTGCCGATATGCTCCGGCTGATGGCCAACGAAAGCAACCATGGCGGTGCCAACACGCCTGTGTCTCAGAACAGCGCCCTGATGACGCCCACGCCGCCGCCGATGCCTCACAACTACTCGGGGCGGCTGGCCAACACGCGCGCGGAGATCGACAACCTGGTGAAGATGCAAGCCGAGCAAGACCGTTCCGTACAAAATCTAACCAACCTGCTGCAACCATTGAGCCCAACGGGCAACATCCCTGGCATTAGCGCTGATGGCAGCGTCCCCCCTCCCCCACTAGACCTTGATCAGATCTTCAATAACGACTATTTCACGGACATTGGTGACCTCGAGAATAATAAAGCTAGCTTAGATTTTGGCGACTCGTCCAACTCGGTGCCCGTCACGACCTCGGCCGACCCGACAGTCACGACGGGTGCCGAGGATGGCGTCATCAAGGATGCCAACGAGCTATTTGACTTTGACCATATTCCCGCCGACGGCGATCTCTTTGGCCAAACCAACACACAACCGTCGAACACGGGCTTCTACGGCGCCTTCGACGGGACTGGCTACGGGGGCAACGCGATCGGCTCTGGAGTCGGCGCGGATGCGCCGCTGCCCATCGGCCACGACTCCAGTCGAATCGAGGCCCTCCCGGACAGCGAGTCCACCAGCCCGGCCAACACGGTGGACGACGCTCTGCAGTATGGCGGGGCCGAAGCTAACGATTCCCAGGGCGGCAAGGGCAACGGCGGCGTGAAGCGGCGCAAGAAGGCGTGAATCTTGACAGCTCACGGCTATACTACATACTAACGGGGCGGGGCGGCCGCGGAGGGCAATATAATCAGCCCACGTGGGATTTACGAATACGAATAAAAGCATAAATTTCGTCTTATCTGTGCCTTGCCTTTGCCTTTTCATGGGCTGTTACCTAGCTCGTCGGCTCATCAGGTACATGGGAGGTGCATTAGTTGTCCCAACACCTCCCTTTCCTTTCAAAAACGACCCTCTGATTTGAGTTATCTGATCGATTTACCTACCATGACTGACTTGCCCCCCCCAAAAGCAAAAGCAATCACCCTTTAGACCCTTTCTCCCTCTTCCCCCTGAACATTACATCACATCATTCCCCCTCTACAGATATATAGCACGATTCTAATGACAGCGGTAGTTTGTTAATATGCGAGTCACGGAAATTTAGTTATTCTTTATTCTGCTCCTTTCATTTCATTCGCGTATTGTATTCTTTTATGTTTTGAGCTGTTGGGAGGAGGGAGGGGGTCTAGTTCGAAGTTCTTCGTCTATAGAAAAATTATCTATTCATCTTATTTTTAGTGTTGATTTAGCTGTGACAACTACTTATCTGTTCATATCTCTTTGGTGTCGATCTATTTGATCGTTTCTAGTAGTATGGTATAGTATGGTAGCTATATGGTGGGAATGTACTGCCTTCGTATATGGATAGATAGATAGATGGAAAGGACCGATCTCACCGACGACTCCTCTCCCACTCCAAATCACCCACCCGGCCTCTCTTCCTATCACGTTCGCGGTCCCGTTCGAGTCCTCTGCGTTTCCCGGACCCGGACCCAGACCCAGACCCAGACCCAGACGCAACAATCTCCCTCTCCTTCTCTCGAGGATCAATCACCATCAGACTGTCCAGGTCATCTGGGTGCTCTTTCTTCCATTTTAGGTCCTTGCCCAATGTATCCTTTCCGAAGTGGAGCTGATGCGTCAACCACCCCAGGTCTGTATCATCGGCTGGACCTTCGCCGGCTGTGTCGGCCGTGTTGTCGGACCAGGATTTGCATGATTGGCAATTTGCGATGAAGTGGAGGTCGCAGAGTTGGGATTCTTCGTCTTCGTTGTCGTCTTCCCGTTGGGGGGTCTCTTTTGTGGTAGTGGTGGTGGTGGTGGGTTTAGGGGCGGGGTTGGCGTCTGCGCCTTCGAGTTTCGCTTTGAATGCGTTGAACATCTTCAGTGCGGCGTTGTCGCTAGAGCTGCTGGAGAATCCTGTTATTCCGTTTGTGGCGCTGCTGCTGGCTGATGTCCCCGGGGCGGGACGTTTCCGGCCGCGAATGGCTGTCTGAGGGATCATGGCTTTCAGGGCGGATTTCTTCCCTCCGGTTTCTGTCTCCGTGGCGACGGTTCGACGCATCGAGGCCTTGAGGGATTCGATCTCGGCATTGGTGCGGTCAAGTCGTGACTTTTGCGTAGGTTGCGGGGAGGGGGGCCGTTCTGGGGATTCCGGGTCAGGGAGAGGGAGTTGCATGGCCGGGTCGGGACTCTTGGGTCGATCGACAACAGGTGGAGGTGTAGGCGAGCGTCTGCGTGGAGGCGATGTCTTCCTGACTTCCTTTTTCTTCGGCTTCTTCTCAACCGGCGCATCATCCCCAACCCCATTCCCAATCCCAGCCCCCGTATCCGTCACCAACGCAGCATTATATTTCGGCTTCGCAGCCCTAACCGGCATCTCCTCACCTTCCTCATCATCCCCAAAACTCAACAACGTCTTCCCACCCTTCTTCCCCTTCTTCTTCCCCGTCTGCGCCCCTTCTTCCCCTTCCCCTCCTCACCACCACCACCACCCACAGCCCTAGCCGTAACATCCCTCTTCACAATCCTCCCCTCCAACGGCCCCAACTCCCCAATCTCCCCCCCGTCACCCGAATCGGATACACCGGCCTCTCCGTCCCCTCAACCACCTCCCCCTCCGCAATCTTCAACACATTATAAATACTCTCACCCTCAATCCTCCCAAAAAGCGTACACTGCCCATTCAACTCCCGACTCACATCCCCCAACGTAATGAAGAATTGACTCCCATACGTCCCGTCCTCGGACTTGGCCATCCCCACCAATCCGCGCCGATTGAACCGTAACCGACTGTGGAGCTCATCGCGCAGGACTACTTTCTCGTTCGGATCGCGCGCTGTCGCGTCGTATTCGAATAATGGGTCTTCGTAGATAGAGGTTCCCCCTGACCCGGTGCCGGTGGGATCGCCACCCTGGAGAATGAAGTTGGGGATGATGCGATGGAAGATGGTCCCTGTGTAGTAGTTGTCGCTGATGTGTTGGAGGAAGTTGCGGCATGTGAGAGGCGTTTGGTTGGCGAAGAGTGCGATGTGCAAGGGTCCTAGGGTGGTGTGGAGGGTTGCGGAGGCGGTGGCGGTGGGTTCGGTGTTGTAGTGTGTGGACATTTTGGTGGGTTGGTGGTGCTGTGCTGTGCTGTGGTGCTGAGGGAGAGAGGGAGGGAGGTGGGCAGCTGGAGCTGCGGGTTGGGGTTGGGGGTGCGGTAGATGGGGATGTCAATGTCAATGTGCGGGTGCGGGTGGTAATTGTTTGAGGTTATATGAGGTGATGAAGTCGCGTGGTATCAGACCCGGTGCTTGGGTCGTGGTTCGGTGGTTGGAAGCGGAGGAGAGGAGCGCGGAAGTCGAGGTTGAAGCTGTTCGGAAATTTGCGTGGGTCACGCACGTCATGTCGCGCCGGGCGTCGGCCGCCTTGGGCGATAATAGCGACAGCCAATCTATACCCTTTTTGTTTCCTGCGCTTTGCGGAGGTATAGACATTCTGTCTTGTGGTTTAGCAAATTAGCTACATTTATCTAATCTTAGCGACTAGCTATACGGCACGGCTCTCTGATACTGGATAATGGCTCTAGATCTTTTGAGCTCTGCACTGCGATCGAATATATAGTAGTTTCCCTCATGCTCTTCACAACCCATATACATCCTGAAAACACTGCGCCGTATCAGGACAACTAGAAGCCAGATCAGCACTATCCAATACAGAGCAAAGAATGAACTTACTACACAGCCTCCTTCCCAAAGATGACATGCCACAGAGACCCCATCAGTTGTTCGATCTCCTCATCCGACAACCCCGACTCCATCGCCCACTGCTGATACCTTCTATACTCCTCCCGGGTGCGCTTTCGCACTTGGTCTTTCGACACCGCGAATTGCCCGCAATACGGCGTCGCAATCGTCTCCGGAACATCAGTATTATTGAAGAACCTCTCCCAGACCATCGGAAACTCTCGTTCAATAGGCGTCAACTGTACGCCCTCCCGGGGCACCGGATGAATCATTTCCCCGCACTGCACATCCGATGTACTCCCAGTAGTACAGCGGAGATTGGCGAAACCATTTTTCTGCACAAAATCCTGTCGAAGAAAGTTGACAGCGGCGATGTTTCCGTAGTCGTGGAACTCGGTGTGGCCCGGCTTGCGGTGATTGTGCAGGAAGACGATTGTCGCGGGGAGGTGGTTGTAGTGGTCGATGATGTATTGGAGGTAGACGGTGCCGGCCTTGCCTTTGTTCTTGGGGATACTGAGTGGGTGACGTCGGTCATCGCGGGTGTAGATTGCGTGACGCCAGCTGGTGTTCATCAACGGTGAGTAGTGGTTGTGGAATGCAAGACTTACTCAGGCAGCTCGTAACGAAGCCAGTCTGGTCTTTCAAATTTGAGTCTGCCAACCACGATGACGCCATCGATGCGTTTTTGCGTCGTGTCCAGCATGCTGTCAATGGTCCATTGGGAGGATGTGGTGTCTTTCTGGGAGGAGGGGACGAGATCCGATATCGACGGGCGTTTCTTTCTGGTGAAGGAGGGCGAGGGAGACGGAGCGAGTGAGAGATCTGGATGTGGGTGACTCTCCCGTTGAATAGGTTCTGTAGGCCTGCCTGCTTTGAAGTCATGATGCGCGGGGTCTATCTCTGGGATTAGCTCCCCATGTGGCCGGATTGTGCTCACTTGACTCAGTTGTGTCTCGATCCAAAGCACCATGAAGACCAGCAGGGCGGCCGCGCTGAAACGGACGAGGGTCTGCATCATGCTGATGATGGAGGACTTCGAGGATGAGTCAAGGACTGGGTTTCTGTCGTATGAGGACTAGGTATTGCCGAGTCGAGGTCATGATGTAACGGCGGATGATCTGCTGGCTGGGCGTGCCTTTCCGTGGTGGAACCAGAAGGTAGAGTGAATCCATGGTTCGCTGGCATCAAGTCATGGATGGCATCCCGGCAACTACTATTAATACTCTGGGATGACTCCCAACTGTCAGAAAGACATCAGAGACACATCAAGCATGATGGAGGTGACTCACCCCTTGTCGAGTTTCCTTTTCTTTAAATCCCCTTCGCCTGCCCCGTCTTCTTCTTTCTTCTCCTACTCCTACTGTTTCTCTCTGTGCTCTCTTTCTTATTGTTCTTTCATATTGTTCTTTCATATTGTTCTTTGGGCGTTCTGCTTTCCTTCTATTCGTGTTGTTCTTTGGGCGTTCTGCTTTCCTCCTTTTCTTATTGTTCTTTCTTATTGTTCTTTCTTATTGTTCTTTCTTATTGTTCTTTCTTATTGTTCTTTGGGCGTTCTGTTTTCTTCTTACTCTTATCTTTCCTAATACTTATCTTCCCTAATACTTATCTTCTTATTCGTCCTCAATCGAGGATAGACTGCAGTCTCTTCCCGCTAGTTCCCTGTTGTCGCTCCACTCTCTTGTTAAAAGAGAAAGAAGGCCACGGTTTGTCGCTTTGCCGTTGTGCCGGACGGGGTTGACTATGACAGTGGTCCAGCAGGTCAATCCGCCAGCCTGAAGGGTGAGACTGTACCTCCTCACATGGCACCATTCTGAGTCAGTGTTCTGGGGACTTAGGGATACTGACAGTGAAGGTGGACCGTCATGTCGGGGGAAGAAAAATCCCTTTTCAGGGTTCAAGTCCCAGTGGTGTTATCGGGCGCAAACTCCTTCCAGCAAGCGGCTTAGATAGAAAATCCCAGTTAGTGGGTTCAAATTCCCAGCGACTAGCGGGTTCCAGTCTCCTACTTCGAGAGAGGGGTTGGCTATTCTAAATCCCAGTTAGTGGGTTCAAATCCCAGCGGAAAGCGGGTGCCCGGAAGCCAGGCAGCTGGACCGGTAGCGGGCCTCCAGTGAAGAGCTCGCACCTCATCGTGGTACTGGAGTCTAGTAGCCACAAGGCGAAGCTAAGACGAGCTCACTTTTGTATATAGCATTTCATTTCTTATTTCTTTTGTTACTTTCATTGCATTCGTTGCTTTGCCTCTTCTACCTGCTCTTCCTCTGTCTCCCCTGCCTTTCCTGCCTTTCCTGCCTACCCTGCCTACCCTGCTTTCCCCTGCCCTGCCCTGCCCTTCACTTCCCTTCCCCTTCCCCTACCCTTCCCATGCCCATCCCATACCATTCCCTGCTTCCCTGCCTTTCCCTACCCTTTCCCTACCCTTTCCCTACCCTTCCCTGCCCTTCACTTACCCTTCCCTTACCCTTCCCTTGCTTTCTATTAATCCATCTGTGTATCCCCCTCCCCCGTCTATTCTTACTCATTTGGTTCACTTCCCACTGCATAACGGGTAGTCGAGCCCCCGTGCATAACAGACTTTTGAGTCCCATTGCATAACAGGCAGTCGAACCCCAGTGCATCGAACCTTCAAACCCCAGCGAAGAGCGGGTGCCCGTGGCTAGCCTGGACCAGCCGCGGGCCTCCAGTGACGAGCTCGCACCTCACCGTGGTACTGGAGTCTAGTAGCCGTAAGGCGAAGCTAAGACGAGCTCACTTTGTATATAATGGTGTTTTTTAGCTTAAAGTTTCGATAGTTTAACCGTATTGAATAACATCTTTCATCTCTTGAACACGGCTCCTTATCATGTAGTCTTTCTTACTGGCAAGTAGATGGGTATCCCCAAGATTAGATGCTAACTGATCCTTCAAGCGAATCAGCTGCAGAAAAGATGCATGAACTACGCTACATATCCTTTTTGTTTTCTTTGGTGACGCAAGGCGACAGGGAACAAGATGCTTGGTGTTACGAAACAAATTGGAGGACGGCTACAAAACAGGAAGCCCGAAAGCGAAAGAGATAGAGACATAGTCACCAGCAGAATCAACAAATCATCCAACTCATCAATCTTGATATGTTGCTAACTGCCTTTTGTTCATCCAGCTTATTCCGTCTTGTCCTCCTCATCTGTAGCAGCGTCCTCTGTAGTCCCGCGTTTCTTGATAACCCGGAACCCTCCCACGACGAGGAAGAGCGCCTCTACGCCCAAGATGACCGCGAGGGTGACCATTGCACCAATGACACCAGCTACCGGTCTGGACATACCATTAGTCGACTTCGTCTGGGTGGTAGATCCGGAATCGGAGCTGTTCGAGTAGGAAGCACATTGGCCGTTGGTATTGCCGCACACCTGGCACCACTGCGATGTCGAGGTGACAGCAATCTTTTCAGTCCGATGCACAAAGTCAGACCAAGGGATGGTGAGACTCGATTGGCCGTAGAGTGGATACACGGTAGGGCCATCAGACATGGATTCGTTGATGGTGCCATTGTGAAAGACAAACCGGACGCTGATCTCGGAGGTGGGCGGAAAGTCCCCCGAGGAGTTTGTCACCAGCTCCCAGGCCATGGAAGAGGCATAATCGGGAATTCCGGTAAAGTTGACATCCGCAGCGGGTAGCTGGGCCAGACCAAAGTATGACAGGAACGTTCCGTAAGAACCGAATTGGAAATTCAGCTTCGTCTTTCCCTTGGATATGACTGTCTTATTGAGGCCCTGGAGGACATCTCCTGCAAGCTTGGCACCTGCTATGGCGCGAACGGTCTCGGATGAATTGTAAGCCAGGTTGTACTGCTCGATATTTGCCAGCAAGAGAAGCTGGTGGAGCTGGTCCTCCGTTGGGACGTTGGTCGTGTTGTGGATATAACCGACGTTAAGATAGTCAAAAATGGTGTACGCATTCTTGAAATTCATTGCAGACTCAGAGAAGCTGCTGTTCAACATCGACGAAAATGACTGGTAGAAGTCCTTGGTTGAGCTGAGCAGCGAGTTGTATAGCGATGAGGTATAGTAATTGTTGCTGCTAATCTCGGCATTTTGGCAGTTTGTCGCGCTCTGCAGCCATGTTGTGTCCTCACTGTTCGACCCGGAGTCGGTCATGGTCAATGGAATCAACTGGTAGCCATCCATTGGAGAGTCGACAATGGTCCCATCGGCCAATGTCTCATTAGCCGACGCTCCGACGGGAGGATACACGCCCTGCAAGAAGCCCGTCGCGGAGTTCTGCAGCACAGTGTCCGACGGTGTTGAGGCGCTGATCTGGCTCAGCTTGACGATATCTTCGCTGATGCCCTGGACCTGAAGGGTAGAGTCGGAATCGATGTAGCGGCTCCGGTAGTAGCTACCCGTGGAGAAAACCTCACTGTACCCCAGGTCGGTCAGCTGCGTGTTCTTCAGCACCTTTGCAGTCCGATCACCGTGACGAGCAAAGATGTACGCTCCGAGCACCTTCTCAGCCGAAGCTGGAAGGGCCAGAGGCATGGCCAGTAAGGCCAGAAAAACATGAGGAGACTGCAAGAAAGTGCGCATTGTGGGCCGAGTGTAGTGTCACAAGCAAGAGGAAACACAAGTGAGGGGAAGCTGGACTATCTATACGGGTAAATGCAGGCATGGTGGGATCAGCAGGTATCCCGCGGAAAAGGGCGTTATCATGATGACTCGACCATGGCGGGGTTCGCGAAAGAACCCCGGGAAGGAGGGATTGGGTGCCATTGATCACGGTCTTGCCAGTCTAGGCTCAGGCTGCAGAACGAGAAAAACCGTTAGCTAATCGAATGAGCACCCGGGGCCTGATAACCGGCCTTGGCTGTCAACGGGGCGCGCTTGGCTCACTGTCGGGGGAGATATCCCCGATGATAAGAAGGTTCATGGTGAAATCATGGACAAGTGGACAAAGAGATGGTTATCTCTCTCCCATCGCGGGTATTCTTTTTGGTCAATCTTCAGTCTAGGTCCTAATCCCCACGCGGTCAGACGTCAGACCCTGAACTAATAGAGATGGTAGTAGTAGTAGCGTTGTGCGGAGGGTCCCCCGCTCGGGGGATCGAGTCCCTGCAGCGCCATTGGCCAATGAGAGAGTCGACCATCGGCTCCGTGGAAAAGCGTCCGTTGCTTTCCCATCATACCACCCCTCTTACGCATGCCTTGACTGTGTCTCAATATAATCGAGCCATAAGCTTATTGCATCTTCTACAGCGACGTCCTTAGACTTTATTGTTAATTCCCAACAAGCTTTTTTTTGAAACCGGATGCGTTGTTACTCTGATGTCGATTGATGAGATCGAAACATGGTGTAGGACCACTGCTCCTATATCACGGTTCTAAGTGCTAAGTTCATCCACCTTCGATTATACCTGCTTCAATTGTCATACCCGTACCTGATATCATAGTGTACTGTCTAGTCCAGATCGATTCCTGGAAGCAGCTCATAGCCTGCAGTCAACGTGTCCGCCGCCAGCACATCCAGAACCCGGTTTCTTATATACCAAAGGGCCTATGAACACTTCAAATTCCATCTATAAGACCAGATAGACCGATGTACCACAGCCCTCATTTCATATATCAAAATAGACGATGATAATAGATGTGAGAGCGACGGTGAACGCGCAGTGAAAGCTTCTTTGAACATTGACGAGCCGATTTCATGCGGAGACTGCCTTCCTCATTGCATCGAGTGCAACAGATACTACATACTTGAGTGTGATTCTTTGAGCATCAATAAAACCACTCTTTTGAACAATGACCTTACGCTAACGTAATGTCTCTCTTTAGTATCGATATCGGATCCATTGTTGATCTTCTTCCCCTTCGTCTCCTATAACAGCTGCTGGATGGGCCTGCCTGGGTGGTGGAACAATGTGTGGAGGAACAACGATAATAAGGGGTTCACGATGGGAATATAGCGCCTTTCGAGCTTCGTCAAAGATAATGACGTGGTCACTATGCAGCGAATACCGAGGCTGTTAGTTCCCCGAGGGCTTCTGACTCCGGTATCTCGGATGACTTCTAGCTCTCCAGCTTCTACATAGTATTGGCGCGTGGTCTATCTCGGATCTCTACTGCTTCCTTTGATATGCGGTCCTGTTCTCAGCAAAACCGGTAGAAAGGCATCCCTGGGGCTTTCCCGTACGCCGGATGGCGGTAATTCTCTGCAAGTCCACCATCTATCACGCATGCTAGGGTCTATTCGAATCCAAAGACCCGCTGTGGATGATATGTGCCCGGCCAACTACCGGGTATCTTTATATGGGAGGTCCGGAAAAGCGTGCCGGAAAAGCTTCGGAAAAGTAGCAGGGTACTTTTCCGATCACGGCACCATATATAGTCCCGTGGCATCTGCAATTAGTTTTCTGCACGTAGCGGAGACATACCTGTGCCCTGGAAATCATCGCTTCTACGACCATTTCAAATTGCCTGAACTGGTATACGGCTTCAACTTGCGCAAAAAGCACCGAGACTCCACTATCTCGACATAGCTCGCTCCTTTCTGGCTGTTCCAGTCAATAACTGCTCACTCCTGTCATACTTTGACAAAATCCACCGGCCTTAGACATTATAGCCATGGCATTGGGAGGCAGCTTCAAGCTCAACACAGGCCACAACATGCCCGCCATCGGGCTGGGAACATGGGTACGCCAACACCAATCTTCGTCAGTAACAACATAGAAATATCAAATAACACTGTAATCCGAACAGCAATCAAAGACGGACGAAGTCCGCGAGGCTGTCATTGCAGCGTTGAAATGCGGTTATCGTCACATCGATGCCGCCGCGGTTTACGACAATGAACGGGAGGTGGGAGATGGGATTCGGGAATCTGGGGTTCCTCGTGAGGATATCTTCGTAAGGATTAGCTTTACCCCAGCCGTTATCTTGCACCCCAATATTAAATTAGGCTAACGTTATTGTATATAGATCACGAGCAAACTGTGGAATACCCACCACCACCCCGAAAATGTCGAAGCTGCTGTGGATAAGTCTCTTGCTGACCTCCAAACGGGTTATCTCGATCTTTATCTTGTACGTTGAATGAACCGCACTATCATACTCTCTTGATGTGATACCAACCTGTTGTGCCAGATCCACTGGCCAGTAGCATTCAGCTACTCAACAACAACCAATCAGCCAGTCAATGGGCAAACGGGCCTGATCGACGTGGTCAACGTGCCGATCAAGGATACATGGGCGGAAATGGAAGCATTAGTCGCGAAGGGCAAGATTCGTTCAATCGGAGTGAGCAATTTCACCCGCGAGAATATCGAGGAGTTGTTGAAAACGTAAGTATGCACTGCATGTATTGATGGAGCTAACTGACATATCTAAAGAGCAACGATCCCTCCAGCCGTCAACCAGATCGAGGCTCACCCGTACCTCCAGCAGCGGGATCTCTTAGAGTGGTCGAAGGATATGGTATGAGCAAGAAGTCTGCTTGAAAAGTCCATGCTGATTGACGCTCTGTCAGGGAATCGTTGTCACGGGGTATTCTCCCCTGGGAAATAACATATACAATATCCCTCGGTTCGTGAGCCACTTTATCCATGTCCAAACTGATGAAAGAGACGGCTGAAAGTTTACAAGAGCGGTGGACGATCCCCTCGTGATCGAGATAGCCAAATCAGTGGACAAGACTCCAGCACAAGTCCTAATCAGCTGGGCCGTTCAACGGGGTACTGTGGTCCTTCCCAAATCTGTCACCCCAGAGAGAATCCAAAGCAACTTCCTTGGTGAGTAGACCCTCTATCCAAAACGTAGACTCCTCTAGCTAATCGCCTCTTGCGGACTCGTTCAGACTTCATCCTCCCTAAAGATGCCTTCGAGGCTATCCAGTCCCTGGAACGCCATCAACGAATGAACTTCCCAGCCCGACTGGGTGTCGATATCTTCGGCGAAGTGGGCGAAGAGAGTGCCAGGCAAAGTGCGTTGGCGTGGGCGGAAGAGCAGAGACAGTTGAAGAGCCGGGTCTGAGGAAGTCTGTTAGATCTGCCGTTGTGCCATGATCAAATCAGGCCATATGGACTTAGCAAATGGAGGCCATTAAGTGTGTCGTTCGACATGTAGGCGCTACACCATGGAAGTGAGAATCTGAAGTCAGAATGCGCCGTGTCATATGCCCATAAACCAGCAGTATTAAGCAGCGCAAGAAGACATGAGTGATATGGGAAGTAGGCAATAAAACGCAGCGCTAGAAACACGACCAAGATCTCATAGTAAGATTTGGCCGATGAACCAGTTGCGAGTCATCCATCTCTACGGTCTCGTTCCTGCCTGTGGTTCTCGCGCCTAGTTTGCTGCGTTCCTTTGATACATGTGCCCAGCGCGATAACTCAATCTCATTGTACCTGGCCACTTTACAAACAGGAAGATCTAGATAGGCTATAACATGTATTATCCTTGGCTTATGCGGTGGAAATAATTGCCAATGTAAGAACAAGGAAAACGAACAATAACAGAAACATGATATGATTGCCCGATGAAGATGAGGTACTTACTAAGTGAGCTCGTCTTGGCTTCGCCTTGCGGCTACTAGACTCCAGCACCACGATGAGGTGCGAGCTCGTCGCTGGAGGCCCGGATCAGCCCAGTCTGATCCGGACACCCGCTATTCGCTGGGATTTGACATCAGACCCGCCCACAAGGAGCGGACTGGAAATCGCTCTCACACACTGGGATATAGCATCCAACCTGATCGTAAAAAGAGGCCTGGAACCCGCTATTCGCTGGGATTTGAAAACCAACCCGATCACTAACAAGGGCTTGATACCCACTCAACAAACTGGGATTTGACATCCAACCTGATCGCAAAGACAGGACTGGAACCCACTCAACAACAAGCTGGAATTTGAAAAACAAGCCACCGCTCAAGATAAGCAGAGCTGAATCCAACCTGACACAAGGACAGGACTGGAACCCGCTATTACAAGCAGGGATTTAACATCCAGCCTGAACACAAAGACAGGCCTGGTACCCACTTCATGGGATTTGAAAAACAAGCCCACCGCTCAGTATGAGCAGAGCTGAATCCAACCTGACACGAAGACAGGACTGGAACCCGCTATGACAAGCAAGGATTTGATATCCAGCCTGAAAACAAAGACAGGCCTCGTACCCACTTCCTGGGATTTGAAAAACAACGCACCACTCAGTATGAGCAGAGCTGAACATCCAACCCATCCAAGAGTGGGACTGGACTTTCCCACGGGACTTCACCCCGGCTAGAAAGACAACGATGAGCATCATGCAGTGTTGAAGGAAAGGAAGTGCTACCTACCTGTCATCACCAGAGCAGTCCTCTCCGGTGATAGCCTGATTCAAGCGTGGGGCCCCCGGGGCCACTTCCCCATCGATCGCTGTAAGCGTGCTCGCGGGCATATGGGCACCAAGCCGCTGGATGCTGAGGGTATCCTGTTCGAAAAGTCAGACGAGGTCGCGAAAGGGATAATTCCGAAGGAAGTGTCCCACGCGTCGACAAAAGCCAAGATCCGAGTCTTCCTAGATCGGGAATCCTAATCGTGCGAGTTGCTGGTGAGTATGTACTAATGAGTATGATCACTTACCTAGCCAGCGTTCAAAGGCTTTCGACTCCCACGTCCATCACGTCCACTACGAGGGGCGGCAACAGTAGCAGCGACGGCGGTAGCGAAGGCCTAGCTGTAGTAGGTAAGATCAGATATAGTTGATGAAAGAAGAAACTAGATACGCAACTGGTAAAGACAACTGGTAATGGATGGGCCGTCGATTTGTGAGTTCGAAATGTGTGTTGGAAGATGAAAGAAGAAGAAGAGAAGAAGAGGAGGGGTAAGACGGGAAAGGGGTCTTTATATGACGAGTTGTCTTGGTGTGTTTGTCACTTTTGAGTCATTTGCTTGGTTCTATTCTAGGAAGGTGCCGGTGTTTGACTTGTCGGTACCTAGGTACCTAGTAGAACACCATACCTACCAAGTAAACCTATTCCTCATGGCTTGCATCCTCAGTCGTGAATAATCAAGGTGAGTACAACGCTATTAGCTAAGACTCTAGGTTTATGCGAGGCTTCAGCATCATAGAGACATGTCGGATATATCAGCAACTTCCCGTGGTGCTTCTTCCTACATAGTCGCAGCACTGTTCTCACGCAAGAACCCCATCTGCTCTACCAACCAGCTGAGTCCCCATTCACTCAAAGCCCTTGAGCCTACAACTGCCTTGAAAAGACTTCACTATGATTTTTTGGATTACTGACATCTCTTTATTCTAATTACCTAGTCTCAGAGGCATCCCAGTTCCTAGCAACACGCAATAACCCACCCAAAGAACCGAGTACGAATATCCGACTTAGAATCCGCGGGCAATCCACTACATCACCGACTTCATCCTACAGAAAGTCTTACCAAGGCAATTTAGCCAGGCGATATTACTCCACGAGCCTGGCCACAAACATCTACACCCACGTGCATTGACGTAAGCGCCGAAGACGATGGACAGAGACCCCACCAAAACCCAGAAGTGAGTCACCGAGGCAGACACACATAACAATATAGAAGAGGCAGGTCAGGCACAGAAATACAAGACACTTGGAAGATGGCAGTGGCTCCATATCATTGTGCTGTAGATCTGGCCGCGGCATCGTTCTGTCCCATGCGTGTGGTATTTACGTCGCTTCATTCTGCGAGGCTCATGGCTTGGGACAGATAAGCATTTTGGCAATTCTTGCTTGACTGCGTGTTGCGAGTATAGTTAGCGGGTTGCACTTGGTTTATTGATTGTGACTTTAGTTGGGTTGTGGGTTAGGTTGGGGCCTGACCCTCAGGACCAATATTGAGCTTTGGCGCAGTTGTCAGGGAGAGCTAGGCAATATAATCTCCCTTGGAGCAAGACATGCCATAGTTTACTGTAGAAAGGATGGTACCTGGCAAGCAGAAGCATCTCATAGGCTTTTGAGCAAATGGTATGTCAGTCCTACGAATGATTATGGAAGCATCAAACATTCAGCACCTATTGTTTGCTCGCTTCGATTGCTTGTCATTCTGATTAGCGTAGATAAATCTGACATACCAGCTGTGCAGCAAAAGAAAAACTAGATCATGACAAGGAAAGTTTACTGGCGAGGTGCAGGCAAATACAGCTTGGAAGTGGTTTTGTGGCTTCTTGCCAGAGGTATCACAAACCCAATGCCCAACCCCTCCATTGATTCACATCCCCAAACCACCGCTAGAAGCAGATGCGCTTCCACCCTTAAATCCTGGAGACCTCGCTTAAATTCCGTATAAGCTGCTTTAATTTGTGTGCTTTCGATTTGGACCCCCCCGAATCACCCAATGACTTCACGACTTCCACATAACCGTGCGAGGTATCACCGTCCTGCTCCATCCCCTTGGTTGGGATTGAATTTCTGCGCAAAACCTGTGGTTTCTAACGTTGCCCCGTCAGGGAAAAATGATAGGATTCTCTTCAGAGCTTTGGCAAAATGATGAGGCTTCAAAATCAGGTTGTCCAGGCGTTCGGTCGATTTTTCATCTTCATCTTCTTTCGAATCCTCTCTATTCGGAAAATGCTCACTCGCACTGATCATGACTGCTTGATTACACAACTCTTTCAAGTCGTAACGCGAGTACCCGGCTGTGGTCTGTGAAAGTTCTTCCAGGCTCACTGAGGGATCAAGATCTGACTGTTTGACGAGGGCCTGGAGGATCTCGTGCCTCTGATGCTGGGTCGGTAGGGAAAAGAGGACCTTGTGAGGGAGACGTCGCATGAATTCCTCGTCCAAGTCCAGGGGACGATTAGTCGCACCAACTACCAGTGGGGAGTTGTGCTTGGTGTCAATATCGTCCATTTCCTGGAGACACTGGTTTATTGCTTCTCTTTCCCACCTTCTGGAACTTGAAGTGCGGTGGCCGAACAATGCATCAACCTTCTCGATAAATAGAACACACGGCGCCAGTTTTCTGGCAAGTGAGAACGCCGCCCCAATGGCCTTCTGGCTCTCTCCTACCCATTTTGATTCGATATCGGCCGGCGTGATTGCAAGCATGTTGACGCCCACGTCCTTTGCGATTGCCCGGCTGAGATGCGTCTTACCAGTACCGGGCGGGCCATACAACAATATACCCGAGCTTCCTATGAACTTCAGCCCTCGGCTCGACAGGACCTTCCGAAGAGTGAAGAGCTCCTTGACAATTTCCTTTGCATCGCGATCAATAGTGACGTCGTCGAAGGTGACATCGAGCTCCTCTAAACGATTGATCATCAGCTAACTCAATTCTCATTAGGTGGCATAGGCTGCTTACCAGGATCGACAACCGTATGGAGAAGTCTCTTCTCATGTTCGTTGCATCCCAACTTGATAGCATCCAGGGGGACCTCTATGGGAGATGACTTGTCTCGTTCCGCCTGAGATTGAGGCTGATCTGGCCTGGTTTCACTCGGATTAGGCTTTGAGTCAGAGGCGGAGTGAAATTTTGTGTCGGGGCTTTTCTCAAACATGTAAGAATCAATGACCCGTGAAACAATGCCACAGATAACATCCAGGTCTAGATTTGCATCCATCTTCATCTGCTCAATAACATGCATTTCAGCACGTTTGAGCAAGAGGTCCGGGAATATCTCCTTCTCTAGAAGATCATTTGATTGCAGAGATCCACAGTTCCAAGATGAATAAGGGTTGGTCCAATTAAAAGTATGCGAGTCCCCTAGCCTGAATAGTAGTGTGCGTCTGAAACGTCGGAGATTGAGCTTTCGCCTCCCAGATGCCGGGCTTTTCACCTTGGATGAAGAAGGTATATCTAAATCCAAATCGAGATTCTTGTGTACTGAAAGGCTTTTACGAATTCCAAGCATGGAAGATTTATTCGGTCGCTGACCCTTCTCCCCTGCAAAGGCAGTTCCGATGAGAAGTGCTGGCTGCTTTCGTTGCAGGTTCTGGACCCACTGACTGAGGGTTACCAAGATCTTCCTCCCATTTCTTGCACCATACAGCGATGCAACATTGTGAAGATACAAGATCACCAGCTTCGGGCAGTTTTGATTCTTCGATGGGGATTCGCCGGTGGCTGAGCGTTTGATATTGGGAGAATCGAAAATTGCCGCCAGGGCTTTCCGAGCGCGGAAAGTGCTTGCATTTCCCGCATCTGCGGTATTAAAGTAAGCTGTGGGCAGTTCCTCCAGGGGGAGCTCCTGGCCCTCTTCCCAATCTCTGTGTTCTTGGTGAAAGAAATCAAGCGCCAGGTCCATCAGATCTTCACAATCAATGGAAATCAGATCTGCCCCTATTTCGAGGGCAAGCCATTCAACCGCCATTGTAAGCCCGGAGGAATCCTCGGTTTCTTGCGTGCGAAGTCAAAAGTTGTAGAAGTCTGTTTGTTCTCCTTGGAGCATACCACGAATTGTTTCGCGGATTTCGGATAACATGTGTATTCTATGGCTGCCCGTTTGATGGTTCCACACCGCGATGGGATTGGAATTCCGAAGACCGAGACATTCCTCTGCTGTTTTGACATTATGGTGTAGAAACCACTTCGGAACTTGAAAATCGATTCCATTCAGGCGACTCTGGCAAGATATTCAGGTCAGGAGGATGAAAAACAAGTAGGGACGGGAACATGATACATTAATGCCCTGCTTCACCCTCCTCAAACGCAGGAGTTGGTTGAGCTTATCTGAGCACGACATCCTGAAGGTCAACTCCTGAAGGTCAACTCCCGTGTCTCCTAAGGAATCAGAATATGGGATGCCTATCGCGGAGTTTACCTGAGAGCACAGCTGAGGGTTTTCCTATTAGATAGCCGGCTCATCATGACAACATATCTCTAAGCATAGCCGCGATTTGATTGGTCACGGGCAACGCTTCCAGGTTGTTGGAGTTAGATAACATCATAGTGTCGTCCCGAAAAGGCTGCAATTGAGTTGTCCGAGTTCATTCGCAGCCACAGCACTACACGACCTAATGCAGATCGGGGACTGGCTTACCTTGTAGCCTACAATTGCCTTTTATAAAGAGTAGCTCCAGTGCGCTTGTGATTCGTTGGTCTTAGCGGACTTAGTCAAATTCAGGGTCGCTTGTTTGGGATTTTAAATGATGTTGCGTCATTTCCGCGCTGCTCAGAGGAGTTCGATCTCAGAAATGTAAGGTATTCTCCAAACATGAACAAGGAACATAGTAAGTGATGGGTTATAGGCTAGGTAGGAGGTCATGAATATCGTAGCCAGTTATAAGAGCACAGATACCCAACATCTTCAAGTCAGCTTTGTGCTACCTCTATGTAATGATGTCGAGTGATGGATTTGCATGATGAGATGATGAGGTGAAAGCATTCATCGTTGTTGTACAATGGAAAATATAGTTTTAGGATACTATATCCCAGGTTATCCAGGAATAGACGAGCCCGCAGCGTTTTGTGATCGCTCCTCGTAGTAGTTGTCAAACAGGTTCTGGATCATCAGCCCGCCCGCCGCATCCAGAAATTCCGCGTTGAAAGATCCTGGTGCATAACTAGCCAAGCTGTTATCCAGTCCCAAGGAAACCGATTTAAATGTCGGTTGGTCTCCCGGGAACCAGAGGGGTCGGAAAGACCCTGGGTGTTGGCTTGAAACGTAGGGAGCAATATCGGCCCCATCAGCAATTCCGTGGCCGTGTTCTATGATTCATTAGTCAATATAAAATCGCCCATGCATAATAACATTAGGGAGAAAGAGAGTCTAACCAAGGATGTTTTGGAGCACATCTCTGGCCCGCAGAGCCATATCGTGAGAAGACCCCAAGCTTCCCAGACAGTCAACAGCGCGCTGAATGTGGCATTTCCATGCCGGCGCAAGGCTATGCCCTGGCTCGTAGATGTAGCATGTTGCCTGCACAAAGCTGGCTGTCAACAGCCAACAAGTCGCGTACCACGTCAGGCCGCGGCGCCGGTTGTCGGTTGACTCGAGGAAGCTGCAGATCGAGGCGACACATTCGTCTGCGGCAGTAAGACAGGTGGCAACTGGACCAGCAGAAGTGTCAAGGTCGGACTTGGCCGCAATGCTTTGGAAGAGAAAAGGACGGTTGATGACAATCCGCAGATGGAATGAGCGCCATAACAATACTCGACGGGGAATGTCAAAGCGTGATTCTAGCGGAACATTGAACCCAAAATGAGGTGGTAAATCATGATACCATGTGTGAATACGCTGCTCTAAATCTGCGGCCTTCTGGTGAGTGGGCAGGTGGTGTGTCAATAACTCCACCTGGACAACGTTCGCAATCTTTGCGAGATTCACTTGGGCAATGAGGCAAGATGTGATCATTGGGCCGGTGCCACATTCGGGTAGCTCATCCATGTCTACTGCAAGATCATGATCATCAACGTTGGCTGGTAGACGAACGTTGACACCTACAAGCGAAACAGCTGGCCGCCCAAGAGTTAGCTGGACGCCAGAAACAAAGACAAACAGCGTCCACCAGACGCGCCGGCGTATCTCCATTGTAAAGGGCGATGTGCTAGGCATGCCGAATTCCCGGTGCAGGCCAATCGCTAGTGCCATGCTCCAGCCGATCCCGATCAGAATAAAGGCAGCATTTGGCTTGTTGCGCTTTTGCATGTAGTTTGCCATGAGAACTATCCCCTGCACATAGCTGAGAGACCCTTTCTCAAGCACGTCCATTGATAGATGCTTGCGTGCTTCCTTATAGAAGGGAATGTCAACCTTGGTACCCTGAGAGTCTCCCACAAAGGCCCCGATAGCGAGCACAATGTTGTACAATATCGGCCACGAGCCGTCACGGGGTTTAGCTAGAGCGCCTGTTCCTTGTTAGACAAGTTATCCGTTTATCTTTTGCTGCTTTGAAAGGGATAGAAGGTACCCGAGACCCGAGCACGGAATGTCCCTTCATGAAGAATCGGGTATGCAGGATGGTAGAAAGCAAAATAGTCGTCTAGATAGCGGAGTACATCCTGCCGTCTTTGCTGTATTGCGCTGGCAGAGGCACCTTCATCGTCGTCATCAAGGGAGGAGGATGGGCTGAAGCTGGTTAGCGGTAGATATAGTGGAAGCGACTGCAGAAACTTGAGGGCAGCTACACCAGACTGCGGCCCTGTATAGCCAGCCTTGTGGGGATCGACCGTCAGGAACCCCATGCCGTCGGTAGAATTGTCAAAGTCCCGTGACTCATCAAATTCGTAGTCCTCGGCGTTATTCGGCTCGACAAAGTTAGCAGGGGGCTGCTCTATCGCGTGGGTAACGTCGCTGAGGTGCTTCTGTCTATGCTGGCCCTGCTGCTGGGTGGTGGGAATCGAGTCGTTCTGTAGGCGGACGGTCTGCAGGGCATCCTGGAGATCAACCGAAGGGAGATAGACAGACCATGCCCGCTCCATATCAGCTCTCAGACGCTCGGATTCATGAAGGCGTCTGTGAAGGTTAGCATGTCACCGAATAATCGAGGAAACAATTCCCTCAAACTGTACCTTTGTAAGGTAGAAAGACGCTGGGACGGCGAGGAGTAGCGGCAAGGTTTGGCATCCCGTCGACAGTTGCTGCAATTGTCATTGCCGGAGCAGCGAATCTTACGTCGCTTGCATTCATCACAGGCGAATGTCTTGCGAAGGATACGTCGTGACTGAGAGACATCCATGGCTATCGCAGCAGGTCATGGGGGAGTGGCAGAAGTCGAACGTGGGGATCGGAGATGTCCCCGGGCGCGCCAAGACCGGGTCCCCGCAAAGTCTGGGCCATCCCTCTCACATTCTCCCCATCTGACACAACCGTCCAGTTTGGTTAGGGGCAACAGTTCTCTGTGATTGGACCATTTCCACCCTCTGCTAATCATTATTGAACTCAGGAAGTGACGAAGTGCTTCAAAGTGGCCTGATGCCGAGCCAAGACCGACTCATCGGCACGCGGAGATAGGCCCGACGCGTGACGGCGGAAGGTCCGCCCGTCCTCGAGGGGTACGAGGGGCACGATCCTCGCATACTACGCTGCGACACCATTTAAACGATGGTTTCGTTATTCAAAGATGGTTACGGTAACAGACATTAACATTCAATTCATAGACGCCCTCAGAATAAAGTCATGTCCCTGAAAGGCAAAATCGCAATTGTCACCGGGGGAGCCAGAGGAATTGGCTCGGGCATCGTTCGCAGCCTGAGCAAACTGGGTGCGAGAGTAAGTGGCATATGCCCTTTCCTCAATAGAAGTGTCATTGGTCTAACAATGATGTACAGGTCGCCTTTAACTACGTCTCCGCCACCTCCCGTGAAGCAGCAGATGCCTTGATCGATGAGCTCCGACAACACAACGGTGAAGCTATTGCAGTCCAAGCCGACATCAACGACCCAGATGCCCCCAAGATCATTATCAACGCAGCCCTTGAGGCATTCAAAACCGATCAAATCCACATCCTAGTCAATAATGCCGGCGCCGGTGATAATCGACCGCTGGAAGAAGTGACGTTGGATAGCTACACGCGGCTAATGGATACAAACGTGCGATCAGTGGTTTTCATGACGCAGGCAGTGCTCCCATTTATCGCTCGTGGAGGACGAATCATCAATCTATCATCGATCTCTGCTCGGGCTGGATATTCCACTCAGTCAGTATATGCGGCCAGCAAGGCGGCGGTGGAGGGTCTGACACGTGTATGGGCCACGGAGCTGGGCCATAAGTATGGGGTAACGGTTAATGCCGTTAATCCTGGTCCGGTTGATACAGAGATGTATCGGGCGGCGGGTGAGGTTCATCTGGCGCGGATGGCGGAGGAGAATAAGAAGGTCCCAGCTGGGCAGCGGTGTGGAACAATCGAGGATGTTGGAGATATCGTGTCGTTCTTGGCGGAAGAGAGGGCGCGGTGGGTGACGGGCGATGTGATATGTGCTAATGGGGGAGTATTGTATATCTAGATAGAATTCTGCTGCTTAGACATACTTGGATAGAGTGAATATTAGAAGCAATCCGACATTACCAAGTTTGTTGGCTTCGCTGCCCGCGAGATGCACTCAATAGCCCAGAAGTCGCCGGAAAGGTTTCCCCTGGTAAGGCTAAGAAGGGGTTTTGTATGGAGTACAACAATCAAGTTCCCACCCACCATAGTTGTTGAATAGCAACGCAGTGAAGAGAACAAAGGATGGAAAAATGGTAGGCTGTCCATGACCACGAGTCAGGGTATCAGCATCAGCAACAGCAACGTTTTTCGTTGCCTTTACTTTCACCATAAGATCTCCAAAATCCTAAATTCGATTTTCCTGATCTTTACTATATCAAACAAACTCTTCCATATCTGGGTTCTATGTCTTTGTTTTCCAGCTTTGTCACTAAGTCCTCGTGCAATGATACTCTCTCAAGTCAGGATGCGGATTTACAACCCCCCTTCCAGCCTACCATCCATCCCTGCAGCTTCAGACTCGGTATCATGCCAGCACTGATGGATTCTTCTTCTGGTTCCGAACAGACATCACCATTCCACCAATTACGGGCGTAAGGCCGCTCCTGAGTCTTTATGCACTGTTACCCGATAACACACGACACCCATCTTCTGCTGGATCCACTTGTAGAATCGAGATAGTGGTATCTGGCCAAGCCACCGAGTGGGCCGTGGCGATGGTGTCGGGGATATGCCCGTGGTTTACGGCGGTGATAGCTCCGCCATTCGGGCCACAAGCGTCAAGGCCCATTTTGACTGGTGCCGAGAGCAAATCTTCTCCGAACAGAAGCCTCTATACAACTCTATTGTGTGCTGGCATGTAGCAGTGTATTGCCAGTTAACTTAGACTCCGACTGACACTCATGTCTACCCCATTGTGCTAGTATCAGCATGTGGATCGGTGTCAAATTTAGGACATAAGAGTGTCTTGTCAAGAGGACGTGGAAGATATCATTTTGTAACGTAGAAGTATTGTGTTGTAAGTCTAGGTTGCCTTGCCTTCCAGGCATCATTGGGCCCGGACTGGGGGAACAACCCCATTCAAGTAAATCGACAGAAAGGCCGAGCTGGCTGACAGTGCGGGGGCCCGGCTCTGGGGTTCTGGGGTAATATAAAATGCTTTTCTATCGTTGTACATGGCGTTGCTTCCCTTTCTTCCTCTGATATGTTCTCCTAAGACTCCTTTGTGATTGTTTCAAGAGCCTCTGTCCAGTGTGTACCTGATCAATAGTCTTGTCATGACCCCCCTTGAAAACATGCCGGTCACTTCCAATACCGGCCGCAGGAAGGATGCTCCTCAGCCTACCTGTGACCAAGTCGAGACTGCATCGTGCCCCAGAATTCTCACCGAGGCCGATTGTTATTCCGAGCTGGGGTTTTCGTTCTCCACTGCCAAAAAATGGACTATCATTCTGGTCATATTCCTCGTGCAGACATCCATGAACTTCAATACCAGCTTATATTCCAATGCTATATCCGGCATCTCAGAAGAATTCGATGTGAGCAAACAGGCGGCCCGCTGTGGTGCTATGATCTTCTTGGTCCTATACGCATTCGGTTGTGAACTTTGGGCCCCTTGGAGCGAGGAATTCGGTCGAAAGCCCATTCTTCAACTCAGCTTGTTTCTGGTCAACATATGGCAGATCCCAGTCGGGATTGCTCCCAACTTTGCTACCATAATAATCGGTCGAGCGCTGGGTGGTATTTGTACGGCTGGAGGTTCTGTGACACTGGGGATGATAGCAGATCTCTGGGAGGCCGATGACCAGCAGTATGCAGTAGCATGCGTGGTGTTTTCTTCTGTGGGAGGGTCAGTTCTTGGACCGGTCGTCGGGGGCTTCGTGGAAGAATACCTCCCGTGGCGATGGAATATCTGGATCCAACTCATTTTTGGCGGCTTCGTCCAGCTCGCCCATTTAGTCCTCGTCCCGGAGACAAGAACATCCGTCATGATTGACAGGATTGCCAAACGGCGAAGGACCAAAGGGGAGGACGTGTATGGTCCTAGTGAATTGACCCCCCTTCTGGACCGATTCTCGGTGGAAGAAATTCTTCAGACGTGGCTCCGCCCCTTCCGCATGTTACTCACCGAACCCATTGTGCTGTGTCTGTCCCTACTCAGCGGCTTCACTGACGCTCTGATTTTCATTTTTATTCAGTCTTTTGGTCTTGTATACGCACAATGGAACTTCAGCACGGTCGCGATCGGTCTTTCCTTTATTCCTATCATGATAGGCTATGTCATCACTTGGATCATGGTCATCCCAGTGATTAAATGCAACGTCCACGAGCGCCGGACGAAGCCAGACGATGAGCGAGCTCAGTACGAGTCTCGCCTCTGGTGGCTTCTTTACACAGCCCCATGCCTTCCTATTGGAATGATCGGTTTCGCGTGGACTAGTCTTCCGCAGGTCCATTGGATTGGCAGTATGTTCTTCTCGGCCTTGGTCGGCATCGCCAACTTCAGTATCTTCATGGGCACAATTGACTACATGATCTGTGCTTACGGGCCTTACTCTGCATCGGCTGCAGGAGGTAATGGGTGGGCCAGAGACTTCTTGGCTGGTATACTGACGGTTCCTGCGACGCCGTTCTATGAAAGTACGTTCTTCATCCGCTATTTTTTCTTACATTGTCCTTGATGTGGTACTAAGAGCCTTCAACAGATATTGGCCGTAAGTATCATTTGGAATATGCATCCACCATTCTCTGTAAGTCTTACCATCATCGATGCTCCGGATCAAACCTAACGATAAAACTATAGTCTGTATCTCCACCCTCCTCGTTGCAACAGTCTACGTTATATACTTCTACGGTCCTGTCCTCCGCAAACGATCCCCGTTCGCCCAACAACTATCAGATGCTAGGGAAAATATACACAGCAGGATGGTAGGAAATATACGGGGTGATATATAGGTCTATTGCTCGACCGAGTTGCACCTACGACCAAAGGGCATCCATCAGTCATGTAATACAGGGGAAACGATTTCGAGGATAAAAAGAGGTGGCTTATATGGTCTATGATTTGCAAGGACTCGAGATGTGGTGGTAGATTGTTACCTTCGCAAACATGAACCTCTGAGGACAGAAGCCTATGCGACAAGAAAGCAGTGCGTTAGCATTTTTTTGGAACAAGAAACATAGAATGGCGCAGATGTTGCAGACACAGAAATGCCTTACCCCAAGTTAGTCTCTCCTCGCTCCTGCCTGACGGGTGGTAAGGGATCAAGTTTACAATACTTCCTCCATCTAATTCACAAGTTGGCAGGACCTCGTGTCCCGAAACTTGAGTGTAGAGCTCACTTCCCTACTTATGTGTATCCAGTTAGCATTCTTGACACAGCCTGTATATGATCACCCAAAATCTTTCCACCTTTCCTATCCCAGTCCCATTGATCAGGGCTTCTTCAACCCTTTTTACTCCACTAACCCAGCACCGAATTTAACGACTTCCGGATGAACGAGGCATGTTGTAAATCATACCCCACATCGCATGATCCTTCAACGGGGTCAGAAACTCCCCCCAATACTCTATATTTTTCCCGTTTATCCTAGAACTTAGTACTTCGGGTTGTTCGTACGACATTTGATGACCATGGTGCCCTGTTCGCAGGCCTGGACGATGATTGGTCCGGCGATACACCCGAGCGAATCATCGGCCCCGCGACCCTGGAGTTACCCCCGACGGCCAATCCTCCATCCTTCCCCGCGGTTTCGGTACTAACACCGTTCACAATCCAGCATCACAATGATGCGTGTCTAGAGTTGGAGACAATCCGACACAAGGATACACATAAATACCACCTCCCTTTTCTCCTCAGGTACAAACCTCTTCCCAATCACGCAATCCCAATGTCTAACACCATGGAAGTCCTCCAACAAAAGCCCACGAACTACGCCATCCACACCAGCCCAGCCCATGATCTGCGGCTGGTAGAATGTGAAATCCCCAAGCTCGCACCAGATGAGTGTCTAGTACACGTACGCGCGACTGGTATCTGTGGCTCCGACGTGCACTTCTGGAAACATGGACACATTGGACCGATGGTCGTGACCGGCGACAACGGCCTCGGCCATGAGAGTGCCGGAGTAGTCCTGGACGTCGGCGAGGCCGTGACGCGCTTCAAACCCGGTAAGAGACCGGCCTTCCTTCTCTTGCGAAGCCACGATGACCCTACGCTAACCTCGTGAACCGATATGCTACAGGCGATCGAGTCGCCATGGAATGCGGTGTCCCTTGCTCCAAAGCCACCTGTGACTTCTGTCGGACCGGCCTGTACCATGCCTGCCCGGATGTGGTGTTTTTCTCGACTCCTCCACACCACGGTACGCTACGCAGATACCATGCTCACCCCGAGGCATGGCTACATAAGATCCCTGACAATGTGTCCTTTGAAGAGGGCTCATTGTTGGAACCATTGACGGTCGCGTTGGCGGGAATTGACCGATCGGGAATGCGATTGGCTGATCCTTTGGTCATCTGTGGCGCTGGGCCAATTGGCCTCGTTACTTTGTTGGCTGCTAATGCTGCGGGCGCTGAGCCTATTGTTATCACGGATCTTGATGAGAATCGTCTCGCAAAGGCGAAGGAGCTGGTACCCCGTGTGCGACCGGTCAAGGTGGAGAAGGGCGAGAGTTCGTTGGATCTCGGACAGCGGATTATAAAAGAGCTTGGGCAGGAAGCTAAGCTTGTGATAGAATGTACGGGTGTGGAGAGTAGTGTGCATGCTGGGATTTATGTGAGACTTTTTTTTTCTTTCCTTCTATGCTATTGATCTCCCAAATCAGGCATTGGCGATTACTGACTAATTTGGGTTATACTAGGCTACACGCTTCGGAGGTACCGTCTTCGTGATTGGCGTCGGCAAAGATTTCCAGAACATTCCCTTTATGCACATGTCGGCGAAGGAGATCAACCTCAAATTCCAATATCGGTATCATGATATCTACCCGAAGTCGATCAGCTTGGTGGCTGCAGGCATGATTGACCTGAAGCCTCTTGTGTCGCACCGGTATAAGTTGGAGGACGGGCTACAGGCGTTTGCTACTGCTAGTAATCCCAGTTCCGGGGCCATCAAGGTGCAAATTTTGGATGATTAGATGATTTACTGAGAGGAATAGATCCAATTATCTCATACCGTTCAAATGTCCATATCTGAAGGAACCTTCTAGTCGTTGTGAATCTCACTGGTCTATACACGACACTAGAGCATATACCCCTAAGTCACCATCCAACAGCAGAGACCTTAAAATTTTCGAATAGTGCAGGTTCTGGATAAGTGTGAGTGTTGCCTTTTGTAGACTTCTCCATTCTAGTATCTTGAAAACGAGAGATTTGGAGTTAAAGCGGGCTATATGGAGGAATTATTTGACTATACGCATAGATCTGCCTTCTGTGCTTGCATCGAGGGGGATTAAATCTCATCCGCTATTCGTGCCGTGGGTACTGTATACTGATATAGATTGGACACAGCCTATTTGGAATGACGTTGATGGCCTTGTCCATCTTTCAGAGGTATTTCGTTTACTTCATGTTGCCATACTTCTCGCCTCTGGCAGTCATTTCTACTGTCGACGACAATTTCATGATTACACGCATAGCTATGAAGGAAATGAGGGGGCAGCATTCGATCTCTCTGTACGTTTTTCTGTGAGCACCCCACTCATGAACGCCAGATCATTCTACAGACACAGCAAATACTACTAAGTATATACTAAATTTCATCGTCCAGTCATGATGGAATTAGTCAGCGGTCTGGCCGGCGGAGGAAGCGGCGGAGGAAGCGAAAGACCGAAGGACCGAAGGATCGAAGGATTTCCGAGCTTCGGCGGAAGAAGACCAACGTTGCTGGTTTCATCGTCGAGGGGAATCATGGCCGATCGCCCACAGACCACCCCAGGCCAGCTACCTTGAAATGTCCACCACACCTGGCACTCATGTTAGTCCAGGGCCCTTAGCCAAGCGGAGAAAGATCCGCAAAGGAACAAGCAGCTGCTGGGAATGCAAGCGCAGGAAAATCCGCTGCACCTTCTCTGCTAGCTCGGATGAAACGTGTATTGGGTGTCAGCGACGAGGCACCAAATGCCTGAGCCAGGAGTTCCCCGACCAGACCAGTGGAGAAGGGCAGCCCATTGGGGACCGTATCGGACGAGTCGAGGCCCTGGTTAATCAACTTGTCAAGAATACCCCCGTTCGCGAGATTGCGCCGAGATATGAGAGCGATGGACCGACCGAAACAGCCACACCCACGCCGACCGGGACCCTTTCACCCATTCACATTTCTGCTTCCACTTCCATCCCCAGTGCTGTAGGAGCTTCATTGGAACCATCAGCGGTATGAAACACCCCCGCAGGGGTTTTTGTCTATGTGCTAACCACTGTGCCAGGACGGGCTTGACTGGGACTACTCAGATGCACCTCCCATGTCGCATCAATCACCCATTGTCCCTGCTCGATATGCAAAGGTCTCTCAGGCATTGTACGCCAGCTTACCGTCACGCGATGATGTGGAGGTTCTTTGGAAGGTGCACGCTCACGCATCCATCTCGTTTAACAGGGTCATGATGGTCCCCTATCCGGAGTTGGAACGTAACGGGTTAAACTGTTCCAGCATGAACGATGTGCCTGGCCCTGAATCCCATCCGGTGCGACTAGCCATCTATATGTTCCTCATCGCAACAGTACTGCAATACATGGATCTGGAGAAATCCAAGGAGCAAGTCAAAGCCCTGTCGGAGCCTCCACGGGCGATGATGAAGCGGCTGGCGGAGACGGCGATCCGCCTCGTGACAACCCACGAGGAACTGCTAGACACCGTCGAAGGTTTGACGTGCGTCATGATGGAAGGCATCTACCAGGCCAACTGTGGCAATCTGCGCCCGGCCTGGATTGCCTTCCGGCGCGCGATGGCCCTGGCCCAGCTGATGGGGCTTCACCGTCCGGGAGGGTGCCGCCCGCTCCGGTTGCTTGACCCCAATTACAAGTTCGATGCCTCATTCTTATGGTACCGTATCGTCTACACCGACCGTTTTCTCTGCCTCATGCTGGGATTGCCCCAGGGTTCGCTGGATCGCAGCATGGCGGCCGAGGCGGCCCTTGCCCATGACACGCCCCTGGGCCGACTCGAACGTACCCATTGTGCCATTGCCTCGCGCATCCTGGAACGCAACGATGCCGACCCAGCTTCCTACAACATGTCTACCATCCGAGAGATCGACCTTGAGCTCCAAGATATAGCCCAAACAATGCCAAGCGGGTGGTGGCTGGCTCCTAATCTGGCCAACACTCACGGTGACCCGACCACTGGGTTCTGGGAAATGCTTCGGCTCGTCACTCAGCTTTACCACTTCAATCTCTTGAACCAGCTCCACCTTCCCTTCATGCTCCAATTTGCCTCCACAACCCAACTGCACAATTATTGCGCATCAACATGCGTGAACGCCTCCCGCGAGATCCTCTCCCGCTTCATAGCCTTCCGCGCCTTCAACCGCGTTGCTTACTGTTGTCGCGCAGTTGACTTTTTTGCCTTGATAGCCTCATTGCTCGTGCTCATTGCCCACCTACGACAGCACGCACGACCTCCAGATGAGCTAAATCTGCTCGCTCACCAGCGACAGGGCGACCGCGCAATGGTGGAACAGGCCGTCGCAAGTATGGAGGAGCTTGGCCGCGTCAGCCATGATCCTTTGAGCGCCAGGAGTGCCGATCTACTGCGTCGACTGTTATCCATTGAAGCTGAGGCAGCCAGGGGACGCATCTATAGGACACAGAGCGTACGTATCGGGGATGAGCCGGAAGCAGGAACAGGTTCGACGGGTAATGTGCTTCGCATTCGTATTCCGTACTTTGGAACGGTAAAAATTGCACCGAAGGGTGGTGTCTCCAAAGAGAGTCCCAGTGTTGTGGGAGAAAGCAACCTGGCCGGTGTTCATGGGCAGAATGTGATGGACTACCCGGATGTCATGTCGGCCCCGCAGGCAATAGGTACCACCACCCAAGAGAACCATATCTCCACGAACGGAACAAATCTTCAGGCGGAATACTTATATCCCGGTTTGACGGCGGGAGCAGAAGACTGGGCCTTTCAAGGTGTGGACATGGCGTTCTTTGAGAACCTGATGCGGGGAACCATGCAGTACACGGAGTGATTCCTATGTAGTGCTGAGTTCAATCATGACCTCACCCAGACTGCACACAACGACTAGGCGAAAACAGGATCTCTTATATATCAAGGACTTCTCATACTCAATGTTCCACCGTTCCCAATGTCCTGACTCTCCTATTTAGTCCAGTATATACCGATCACAGGTATCTACATAGCCTTATAGGTCTATAAAGCACAGGTACGCATTTAGAAATACGGAAATATAAGGAGTAGAGGTCGATGATAGCGTCATATAAAAAGGACAACGCAGGTAGGTACATAGGTAGGTACGTGGCTGAGAGAGATTTATAGCTAGGCGGGAGAACAAGGGAACGTTAAGCCTATTTCTTGCTACTCGAAAGAGGTAGCGTTCTACCAGGAGATGCAGTATTCCTGCCGGGTTGTTGTTATGCCTCATGGTATTAATATCAGGGATTTGCATTGATCGGTGGTCACGATAGTTTTTGATTGTTCGTTGGAAACGAGAGGGTGACGTTCAGGGCACTCGATGCGGTTCATGCGGTATCGTTGACTGCGCGAGCCCGTGGGAGCTGCAAGATGGAAGTCAAGACTATTCTGTCAGAGGCTTGCTCGCAATTATTCGTAGGAAGAGGTCCGATGGCGCCTCCTCATCTGTTTCAAAGCTGTAGATTTTCGATTGGCAGATAATAATCCGATCTTTATCCATGCAAGCATAAAGAACCCGCGCATGCTGAGGGCCTATAAAGGAAAGTTGAAGGACCGGATATCGCTTCTCTCTTGGAAACACAAGCGGTTTGTTTCGATAAGACCCGGGGCCTTCATCGAATGCTCTCTCCATTTCCTCATCTTCGAGCATGGGCTGCTCTGCGCGGGCGTGCATAGCCGAGACCAACGAGGCTAACTCGCCATACAGGATGGAATCTTCCCTACCATTGCAATCGTGCTGAACCATCATGGTCACATGTGGACAAGTGGGTGGGCCAGTGTCATCGCCTGTCTCTAGCAGGAGAAGGCTAGTCCATGTTTCAACTCCCCTCCGGCAACTATCCATGCCAGGGAACATCAGATATGGGCTGGGGTACCTATATCAACATAGTTATTAGCCGCCTCAGTCTCTCGCGTGCACAGCAGTGGACTGGGGTATGAAAAGGGGAGAGAGGAGTGAAAATATAAAAGGGAAACCTACACAATCATATAGAGCCCAGAATATGCCAAAAGACTAGATTCTTCATAAGGCAGTTCTAACCGACCCGGCTCTGTAAGTATTATCTCCATGTAGTTACACACGCGTTGCAGACAACTAGAGATACCCCAACGCTGAAGAAGGTCATGTGCGTCTCTGGTAGATGGAGGAATATAAGAGCGCCATCGTAGTCCTATTGGTGTTTCTCTGCGCATTGGATGCATCTGAAGTACCTCAGGTGCCAGTGGCTCCAAAAGAACAGGTGGCCGCTCGTCTATGTTTTCGTCGAAATTCCAGTCTTCGATATTAAAGGGAATGCGAACGACGTTATGCCGTTGTAGATCTTCATCTCTTACAGCTCCCTGGGTCTCGGGTTCCGTAGAAACATCCAGGTCGATATCAACTACCAACTTCCTCCACACGGATATCAATGCTTCGCGGGTCGTGATTTTTCTCTTGATTTTTCTCGGCATGCTGGATAAACAGTCAAGTTGTGGAGAAGGGATCAGAAGATGAATATTGCAACCCTGAAAAGAAACGGGGTTGGATGGCGTGTTCAAGAGCCGACAGTAGGGTGAGAGATGGAGAAGGTGGAGGAGTGAAAAGGGGCGTCGGTCAGAAAGATGGCATCTTGGGGCCTGAGGCAATACGAATATGCGCTCACAGGAACGTCTTCCCGGCCAAATTGATTTATAACAGCAATTGATTTGGTCGGGTATGTAATATTTACTATATGGAGAATATTCTACCCCAGCTAGTGCACTACCGCCTCTGCGCCCTACGGAGTTCATTCACCTGGCAAGAACTACGACTATCTTGCTTTAATTATTACTCGTGTCTCCATTCTCCATAATCTCGAGATCTAGTGGTAGCGCTATGTCTGCTCGACGTCCTTAGCCAACGGCCAACTGAAAACTCCCTCCACTTCGAAATCCCCAGTAACGGTGGTTCGGGCACATCATCAGGATTTTTCTACTCCTGTCAACGTGTAAACGGAGACTTGTCAAACACGAGTTGTTATGCATATGACGGAGCCCAAGAGTGCACCGGTCCTGCTGTTCGCTCAAAAGCCGTTTTGAACCTCGTTCTCCAGACGGACAGAGTAGATCTTAGGCCGGAAGGCATTGTCGATGAAATTTTCTCATTCAATGTGTAGCCTTCCATTTATCCTTGGGTGGTGATAGCTCGCTTTGTGGAAGTTGTTTCCATTTCAAATTAGGCTATGACTTCTGTGTCTGGAGCAAGATTGGAGACACTGCTGAGAGACATCTGGTTGAGCGGCTGCCCCAGGACTCTCCACTCAGTCTCTGCAGCTATCCAAGCGTTAAATATGTCGTAGAATTATCTATTGGAGGATTCGTAAGGCTCCGGTGATCTGAGAGTACTGAATATTCTCACCTCGCGTGTACCGTTTTCATAGAAGATCAACTGGATCTCATGTTCCGAGTCTAGATTCCAGGCTACATGAAAGAACAGAGAGCACGGTCTGCGACACGGTGGGTGTGACCTGTTGGAGGGTTCTATCACAAAGGTACGTGAGGGTCAACTGCAGAATACGGTTGTTTTGCTGAAATGAACTGGAACGGGATACGCTTGATTATTGGTTTCTGCAATAGATATATAACCTCAATACAGGCACAAGATGATAGTGACAGCTACGAATCCCACAAAAAGACGGCAAGTATCGGGAAGACCCAGACAGTGGGCTGTTTAAATCGGAAGAATGATGGTGAACAATCAGTTGATGGAGAAATGAGGGGCGGAACTGCGCGGGACTCCGATGTGGTGGGCTCAGGTATCCAGGCTAGCTCCGTCCAACGGCGAGCCTCTCTCACTCCTCCGAGAGCAACCATCCGCCAGAATGGGCAAGCCGGATCCGAATCTCCACGACTTCCTACACCCGCTGAGTATCGATCATAGGATCCTATACGAACTCTCCCATCGGTTCTCACACACCTATCGCGAGCTGGCCGCGAGCTCGTCGGAGCAGTTCTTCCCGACCGCTATCACGCGGCTGCCCACCGGCCATGAAACCGGGCGCTATCTCGCCGTTTATCTCGGCCTATCTTACCTGCGCGTGGCCTTTATCGACCTCCTGGGAGACAAACCTCCTGGAAGACAGCCACATGTGAGACGAACCCTCGAAAAGGCGTGGCCCATCGAAGAGCGCCTGCGCCGGGATCAGGCCCAGTCGCTTTTTGCCTGGATCGGCGATTGCATCGCCGAAGTGATTGCCGATGATCTTGCCAACGCCAAAGGCGACACCCCCGCCGAGCTGATCATGGGCATATCCTTTTGCTTTCCTACCAAACAGAAATTCCTCAATGAGGCCATTCTTATGCCGACCGGGAAAGGCTTTGCCCTGAGCTCTTCCCTAAACCTCCACCAGGCCTTGTTGGACGGATACGAGTGTCATACCCGGCGCACTGATCAGGACTCCAATCACATGCCAGCCAAGCGACGTAAGACATTTTGTCTACCCAAGTTGAAGATCACTGTCATGACCAATGATACTGTCGCGACACTGGCTTCTCTAGCGTATTCGATCCGGACACTCCCCAACACTCGGGTCGTCATGGGGCTTATCGTAGGCGCGGGTTGCAACTCCGCTATTCCAATGAAGCTGGCTGATCTACAAGAATCTAAGACTGGACACATCCGAGAGAAACAGCCGGAAGCTGTAGAGACCATTGTCTCGACCGAATGGACGCTCCGTGGAGCAACCGCACCTCTGGAGGAACTCGGTATCGTAACTAAATGGGATGCTGAACTGGAAGAACATTCCAACCGGCCCGGCTTCCAGCCACTCGAGTACATGGTTGGTGGCCGGTATATCGGTGAGCTCGTTCGGATAATATGCCATGACTGGTTCCATGGGGAAAAGAAGATACCGCGGTCTGCATTGCCGGTGAAGCTGGTCGAGAGGTACTCGATATCTACAGAATTTCTGTCCCTGGTAGTAGCCTCAAGCTCGTCGGACGAACGTCTAGCAGTTGCTCTGTCCCATCACCTTCCGCCACCATCCTTAAGCAACTGGATTTGGACTCCCGAGTTTGCCGGCCACATTCGTTCAATAGCTGCTGCAGTCCAAGAGCGATCTGCTGCTTTGGTTGCTGCGGCGACAGTTGGCCTTCTCGCATGTACCCGTGAAATCGAATTCAAGAACACCACGCTCCTTAGATTGGAATCTCAGGGAAATTCTAGCCAGGAACAGGCCACGACACAGGAACATACAGTACAAAATTTTGAAACACCAATACCCGGATGGCAGAAAGGACCCGAGGAATTAGTGGTGGCGGTGTCTGGTGGTGTGATCCAGCACTATCCCCATTACAAAGACAGGATCCAGCGGCAAATTGATCGGTTGATACTCAGCGCCGGGCCGCAAGGCGAAGGAAAGAGCGTCTTTCTGCGAGAGGCCAGTGATGGTGGGATCGTTGGCGTGGGTGTTCTAGCAGGCTCTGTTGCCGGGGAGATCGAGGGGATAGTTGGCTCGACGTTGGAATCGGATCGCAGCCATACAAGCGTCAAGGACGACATAAAATCAACTCAGTTCCATAAAGACAATTAGTCAGGCTGTTTCGACGGGCACACAATTTCATCTAGGCGTCAATAGAGCAGGGATCAAGCTTCTACTCAATAATACAATCTGGTCATCTGGATACAATGCCTTCAACTCAAACGCGTGTGGCCTAAGCTCACCATCACGACAATACTCAAAAGACCATCTGCAGGTATTCCTTCGTTTCAGTCAGCTGACTGCAGCAGAAGTTAGGCTGCAGCGAGGCAAGCTCCTCCACCTTATAGTTCCCCGTTGCAACAGCCACAACCGAACAACCAGCTTGCTTGGCACATTCCACATCCAACGGCGTATCTCCCACGACCAAAACATCACTTGCGCGTACATGAGGGCCAAGGCGGGTTTGAAGTTTGGTGAGGGATTCTCGAAACAGCGACAATCGATTATGGTGGGTGTCTCCAAATGAGGAGATATCGACGTCAAAGATACTAGTGTCGATTCCCGCTCCTTGGAGTTTAAGCAACGCATTGGGACGCGAGTTACCTGTTATCAGTCCGATGTGGAGCCTCGGACAACCGAGGCCCTCTTTATACCTTATCAACCAGCTGAGTGTCTCCTTTGCACCCGGGCATACCACTGACGATAGTCCTTTGGTCAAGGACCGCTCGAGGTACTGCGGATGAAGGTGAAGGAATTTCTCCACGACCAGAGCCTTCGATGGCACCTGGTGATAATCAAGGATGTCATGCAGTAAGCCGAGATCGGTTCGTCCATGCAAGTTCACTGGGGTATTTGCATGAGTGATGTCCTTGCCCACGATATCACTGACGCAGGAATAATATGCGTCAATACTGAGCGCCTCGGACCGACACAGTGTGCCATCGATGTCAAACAAGATTACCTTCTCAGAGCCTGCGGTGGAGGGGTTGACGAGAACACGTAGTAGCTCCCGCGAACCTGTGAATGAGGCTCGACCATGCAGGTAGCGGTGATTGTCTAGGACATAGCCCTGACCTGGCTGCAACGATACGAAATATGCACTCTCATAGATCATGTCTCGCAGTTTGGCGAAGCCAACAACCATAGACGCAGACATCTGAATGCCATCGTCGAACCGAAAGCGAAAGATTCCTGCTTGTTCATCGAACATCGCCCGTGGCACAAACGTTCCGTCGTCGGCACGGAAACTGGTATGCTTGGAGCTTATGAATAGGTCGTACAGACCCCTGTCCTGTTGCTTTAGGGCCTCGAGAACCTTTCGGCCGTCCACCAGCAGCGATTCGCCCCCGGTTTCCGATTGGCTACGAAGAGTTGACATCAAAATCCGTGGTGGCTGATCCCATCCGCTGCGATCGGTGTGAAAGAATAGCTCTGTGGGCTGTCAGCACATTTCTTATCGTCTTGGCCATGACTAACCTTCAGAGCTATACCCTTTACCAACCAGGTTCGATGCGAATCGAATGTTGCTCACGCCACTGCCGGGCGTTTTCTCATTTCGTGGTCTGACGACTTGTCCCAGGTGGTTCGCAAGAGTGACTAAGGAGTCTTCGTCACATCCCCCAACGAACGCTATCCCGTTGGTATAGACGGACTCGCGGATCGCATTGATGTCAGATGGAGCATGGAAGGTTGGGACTAGACTGGTTATTCAAGGCATATATATGCTGATGATGATAGACTCACCATAAGGCCCCAGATCGCACCTTTCAGTATCCATAGTGAGACGCTGGATGTTGACTTTTTTTGCTTGGGTGGATGAATCGTCCGATCAATGCAGGACCGCGGGCCTTTAAATAAGTCAATCCGGTGAATTTCATGGATTCACTGTTTCATCCGCTGGTCCCGGTCTTGCCTCTGCACCTACCGGGGTCTGTTTCTCTCGTCAGCAACGAATTGACCGATTGTGAATCCCCGTGGCGAAATGCTATACAATTACTGGGAGAAATGTTTTAGCTTCAGCGCTGAGTTACCGTGTGGGGTGAGGACTGGTCGCACCGCCAGGGCCAATTGCGCCGATGCAACATCGCATATTGGCTTGCGTACACTCTACGCAGCTACTGCATTGGCTGCAGGAGTGCCAATGATTGATTCCCGTTCCTACATGGGGAGATGATCAATTCCAAACATCCATGTATGTGCTTTTAATGGCCGAGATGAGTAAGACATTTGAGGCTATACCGACTCGGCACGCAACCACGGTGCGACGCCGGTGCATGAATCACGAGGCGTTGGTTGCACCCGGACACGGTGTTACAATTGTATTGATTACCTGTGACTCCTTAGTCTGGCTGCCATGGCCTTGGTGAGATTGGGGTCCGTCCTGCATGCCTCAATGGTGAATGGACACCATTTGGTCCTGGCTTGGCTAATATGAAGGCGCAGGGATCGGCGTCGGCGCTAGAACCACGCGAGGGAAATGTAACCCTGTCCAGGCCCCGCGAGTCGCGCGATTGGTGGCCAGCAGCGCCCTCTCCACTGCTTGTGTTCCCCAGACTGAGGCCGTAATCTAAATCCAACGGTGATCCCACCTCGCTCGGGCGCTGGTGCCACCCCTCCAGACCGTCCCCCCGTTATTGCATGCATTGTATTGCGGCAACGTCATATCGGAGCCAAAGATGTGACCGGGGTAAGGCGAGACTGAGTTGATGTGTCGGCTACAAAGACGCGTGTCGATCTCTGCGTTGTCCAAGCGACTTCGGTGATGCTACCTCAGGGAGGGGTCGATGCCTGCTAAAGAGGTCTGTTCGAACCGCTTTCTCCTCCTAGCAACTGTTGTAGTTCCTCCATTGCTGCACTCTCATCCAATGGTCTCACCCAAGGGAAAGGTCTTTCTCATTGCCGGGCATGTCTCCCTGGCTGGGCTGTTGTACGGCCTGGACACAGGTTAGTCATTCTCTCGGCATGGCTTCAGCACACTCATCTTCCCAGGCTCGATCGGCCCGATCACCCAAATGCATCAGTTTGAGTCCTCCATAGGCCGACTCTCTTCCATGCAGCAAGGTGTCTACGTCGCCTGTATTCTTCTCTCCTCGTCCGCATCCTCTCTTGTGAGCGGACATGTCTCGGACCGTCTATCGCGGAAGTACGGCATCCTCATCGGCAGTCTGCTCTCGCTGGTGGGGACGATCATCTCCGCGTGCTCACCCAACTTCGCTAGTCTGATCGTCGCGAGGCTGATCACCGGTGTCGGAATGGGCCAGGCCATCTCCGTCACGACCGTGTACCTGGTCGAGATCGCCCCGGCAGAAGTGCGGGGTGTTGTGGCTTGTTCGCTCCAGCTTTACGTGGTGATCGGAATTATGGTGGGATACTTTGTCACATACGGCACGCAGTATCTCGCTGGCAGTATGGCGTGGCGGGTGCCGTTCATAATCCAGGCGGCCATGGCGGCTATGCTGTCAGTTGTGATGCTTCTGATGCCGTTCTCACCGCGATGGCTGGTTCAGGTCGGACGCGTTGAGGATGCGCGTATGGTTTTGCGAAAATTGCGCCCGGAATCAGCCGTCGATGCGGAGCTGCAAGAGATCGAGGGCAGCTTGCGGTCTCGGCGAGCGACTGCAAGTATGGCGGAGATATTTGGGCGGAAGTACATCAGTCGGACGGCACTGGGGGTGTTTTTGATGACATTTCAGCAGCTGACGGGGGTACCTCCACCCTTTTTCACTTACTAGTACTTGATGCAGATGCTGATCTATACAGATCGATGTGGTTTTATATTACGCGCCAATCCTCTTCCAACAAGCCGGCTTCACATCCACGAAAGCTTCGTTCCTCTCATCAGGAATAATTGGCATCGTGATGTTGGTGTTCACCATCCCGGCCCAGATCTGGGTGGATCGATGGGGGCGTCGCAAGCCGTTAATTGCCGGGGGTGCCGCGATGGCCATCTGTTTCATCGTCATCGGTTCCCTGTATGCGCGATACGGACGTATCACTCCTGATGAGGTGACCTTGGAGTCGCACTCGGCGCAATGGGCCGTGGTTGTGCTGATCTTTATCTTTGTGGCGAATTTTTCCTGGTCATGGGCGGTGGTGAGTAAATTCTTTGCTGTCAAGCTAGCTGTTGTCAAGACTATGCTTATAGTTATAGGTTGGCAAAATTTACGCCTCGGAGATCATTCCCACACGGCTGCGGGCAAAGGTGTGTGCGGTGGAGCTACTAGCCAACTGGATTGTGAATTTTGTAGTGACTCTTACGGCACCATTGTTTCTGCATCGGTCTCCATCGGGGCCGTACTTTTTGTACGGGTTCTCAACGCTGGTGGCGGTGGCAGTGTGTGTGGTCATGCCAGAGACGAAGGGACGGAGCTTGGAGGGGATTGAGGAGTTGTTTGAGAAGAGAGATAGCAGTTGAGTGGGGTGCAGATCTGTACTTATCGACACGGGTGCTCTACATTGACTTTTCACCTATTCCACCACATTGTGTCGTACTAGATACTAATCACAGAAGCTGCCTTGAAATTTGATACAGTCTTTTATAAATTCAAACAAACTATAATATACTCACACAACAAACTCATCTATAACAATCTATCCCTTCCCCAAACCCCCCACATCATATCCATAATCTAATCAATCACCACGGAAACTCCGTCTCATCAATGACATTCACAAACTTGCCCGAGGTCTCCTTGCGCGTCGCCTTGTCAATCTACCCAAACCAAGTCAGCTATACCAATCATCACTCCTCACACAATAACCTCAAACTCACCACAGCAAGAGTTTTGGTAGCCGACTCCTCAAGCGTATTCGGCGCCTCCTCCAACCCGATTCTTCTAGCGCCATTATTGCCCATTTCCGTTTGCACGAGACTATCCCATTGCATGGTTAGTCATCATACCAATAATCCAACAACCCAACACCAAGCAAGAAAGAAAGAAAAAAAGAGCAAACTCACCCCGGATGCACCGCAAATGTAACCAACCACGGTTCCTCAGTATGCATAGCCCTACCACATCACCCCCGTTAGCCAACCTCATCCCCATCCCCAAAGATCAAAAAATACTGACAATGTAACCCAATTCCCCGCAACCTTCGAAACCCCATACGGGGTATTCCACCCAATTTTGGTAATTTCAAACAACCCCAGACTCGCAGCCCCCGTACTCATATTCACCCACTTGACCTCCCTCCCCTTCTTACTTCCCTCGAGCAACAGTCCCCGGAGTGTCTGGAACAGCCGCACAGGACCGAGAGTATTCACCGCGAAAGCGGATTCCAGGTCCGAGATGGAGACGGTCGCGGGCGTGCCTTCGGGGGGACAGATGCCGGCGTTGGCGATTATGGTGTCCAGGTGGGTGATGCCCTGCGTGGTGAGGGAGGTGAGGAGGGCAGTGTAGTCGCTTGCGGTGGTGGATTCGAGGGGGAGGAGGATGAGGGTTGTTGTGGGGTGCTTGGGGAGGAGGTGGAGGGGGTGCGGTTCGGTGGTGGAGGGGAGGCTGCGGAGGGTGCCGATTACGGTGTGGTTGGGGCGGAGGAGGAGGTGCGTGAGGATTGTGTAGCCGATTCCTGGGGTTTGAGGTTAGGTTAGGTTTGATTGAGGGGTGGATGGATGGGGTGGTAGGGTGGGGGTTTGGGGGGGGAGGGGGGAGGAGGGGAGTATGTACCGCGGGCAACACCGGTGATGAGGATGTTGGTGGTGGTGGATAGGTCAGACATTGTGCTGGTTTGGTGGTTGTTGTTGTGGTTGTTGTAAGTTGTTGTGATGGTTGTGATGCTGAGGCAACTGGAGTAGTATAGCAAAGTACTGTAGTGAGTAGTGGATGCTATTGGATTACATCTACCATCCCAGCAAGGGTCACTTATATACACTTCTTCAGTACTACATTCACACTAAAAGATGACGATTGTCCCAATTGAAGCAATTACTAAATACGCCATTTGTCATCTCGGTGGAAGCATCGGTGGAAGACTCGGTGGAAAATGTAAGCTGAATCCTTTGGAGCGAAGCTATAGCTACTACGACCATGTGGATAGTGGAGACCATAGCTGCATGGCAGATAAGCATAAGCTCGCATCTTATTATTCAGCCGATTCCGCCGCAGGTGGTTCAACCTCGGTGGAAGATGATTTCTAAGCTCCGTTGCGCCGAGCTCGGCGGAGTTGCTTAGGGCTGATCGGTAATGTAGATTGATCCGCCGTTAATCTAAAATGCTTTGTATGACAGAATTAAGGTATCTGGCCTGATTACATGTTTCTTTGTTATCCACCTATTTCCCCATTAACTCACACCCATTCCGAACCACTCCCACCAGTCCTCCTGTCTGCATCGTCTCGGACCCTCCTCCCGACAGCCGCCACTCGATCTCCGCCAATCCCTCCAGCCAGGTGACTCTCGTCTGCACCGGCACCTCCAGCCGTTGCAGCTGTTCACCTAGCGCCGACAGAATATCCGCCAAAGCTAGACCCTTGTTCGCCTTCAGCGTATTAATGGTGCTCAGGCACGAGGTGACATCACTCGTGGAAAGAAGCGTCGTCATAATCTCTTCAATGTCCGACGGATGTGGTGCAGCAATACAGTCGTAAATCGTTTCGTTCGTGATAACCTCCGACTCCGGACGGGGCTCATCCTTCGGGGCATTCTTCATCGGAAGGGGTATACTGCTCGCATGGCATGCTTGTAGTACGTTCAACGCACGACGCATATCACCCTTGCTCAACCGGACCAGACTATCCACCGCCTCGGGCTGGATGTTCACCTGCTCCTTTTCAATCACCTGATCCACCAACACCCGAATATCCTGCTCCTTCAACGGACTGAACCGGAACCGGGTACATCGGGACAGCAGTGCCGGCGACAGCTTATGTGTGTAGTTGGCGATGATGCAGAACCGCGTGTTGGCAGTGTATTTCTCCATGATTCGGCGGAGAGCCATCTGTGCAGTTGCCGTCATGGCGTCGGCTTCATCCAGCACGATCAGTTTGTAGGATGCGAGGGAGCCCCCGGAGCCGGACGATGGGGCCATGGAGAAGATCTGTTTTGTGCCTAGGAAGGTGAGCGTACGTCTCAAGACGAGGGTAATTCACGCACTGGCAAACGTCTTGATCTGTTCGCGAACGACATCAATACCGCGATCGTCACTGGCGTTCAATTCCAGAACCATCTGTCGCATATTCTTGTTTCCGTATATCCGCCGTGCGAGCGCAAGGATTGTGGAGGTTTTACCCGTTCCCGGGGGTCCGTAGAGGAGGAGATGTGGTAGTCGCTAAGAAATTAGCATGGATATACCGAAGAGTCTTGTGAGAGTGCGTACATTAGCATCGACGAATTTGTTGATCGTAGCAAGAATATCCTGGTGACCGGAGACATCGTCGAGAGTGTTGGGACGGTATTTCTCGACCCTAAGCTGTCAGATAGACCACAAAGCCTCAGTAAACAGACACTCACCAAGGAAGATTATCCAGAGCTTCAACAGGCAAATCCGCCGCAACTCTCTTCGCCTTTCCACTCGTGTTATCGGAGCTGAACTGGATCGCCTTGGACGGCGCGTCCACATCCATTGAATCTTCGTAGTCGGACATGCTGAAACAGAGTCAAATATTCGGCCTGGTACGGAGTTGATAATTCAGAAGCGCAACTCTGTAGCCTACAGGAGGTGTCAACACGACGCGTTACAGCGCGTAAAGAGGTTCGGGCCGGAAAATCTCCCCAGCGACAGGCAGCGGCGGCGGGTGATGACATGCTCCCGCTGGCAGCTCCGTCTCCTCTCCGTCCCCTCCTATCCTCTAGACCGGCTCTAAGAGGACCACAGACAATTGTTCCATACACTTCACCATGCCTGTTCGTTCCCCTTACTTACTCTCCAATCAACAATCTCTAACATCACCAGGCTTATCACTCCATCTTCCTCGAGGATCGGGACGTCCCCGTAATCGGTACGCCGCATGCGCCCCTCCATGCCCCGACATCCCACCACGCAGCACCCTACCATGAATTACTTCAACAGCTCAACTAACTCCTGCAGGCAACTTCCCCGTCCTCCCCCTCCGCACCCGCACTCGTGGCCCCGCATACACCCTCCCCCGCTCCCCCTACCGCCGACCTCGAAGTGCCCGCCGACAGCGAGTCCTACGACTGCGTCGACGAGATCCTCTCTCTATTCCGCGCCAATGTCCTGTTCCGCAACTTTGAGATCAATGGGCCTGCAGACCGCATGCTCATCTACGGCACCCTCTTTATCAGCGAGTGTTTGGGCAAGGTCAAGCCCGCCATGACCGCCCGTGAGGCTGAGAAGGTACATTTTTAGCAGTGTATACCCGGGGTTGTGTGTTACTGTGGATTGGACTGTGCTGATAGTGTGGGGGTCGCAGGCTCTCATCAATGTTGCACTCGATCACTTCGCCATTCCTGGTGACGTGTCCTTCCCTTTGAACCAAGCGTTCGAGCCGCCGCGTGATCGCCAGGATGCCGAGACGCTGAGATCGTAGGTTGATTCCATTGTGGTGGTGAATGGTGCTGATTCGTCCAGATACCTCTCCCAGGTTAGACAGGAGATTGCTATTCGGTTGCATGCTAGATTATACCCCGGTGGTGTTGGGCCTTCCAAGGTACGTGCGGCGTCCCTGGTGTGTGAAATCTACTAACAGGGATTCCAGTGGTGGCTTAGTTTCGCAAAGAGAAAGTTCATGGGAAAGAGCTTCTAAGATAGATCTGCTTTTGTTTGCTCTCTAGCGGCGTACAACTCAGCGTATGAACAACGTCGGGCCGTAGTCCTGTCTTTACTCTGTGCATATTTCAACATGAAGCGTTTTGACTGAGATCAGAGTGGTATCATTCCGTTCGATAGACCAGGTCTGTCCATCGTATTCCTCGCTGCTGCAGCGGGAAGATCTCGTTATCGTCGAGCAATAATGTCACATGGTAACTGCCAATGGCCGGAGTGCTATGTTACACGGGGAATAATGTAGGAAGTGAAGTAGGTCACGACGTCATCTCAATATCGACGCCATCTCCGCTGGCGGTCGGCGTTTCCGTCTCCGTCGGCTTTGCAATCTTCCTCCTCTTCCGGCCTGGGTTACCAGCAGCCTCGATGATCTCGTGCGCAGGGAGGACCCGAGTTCCATGGAATATGTACCCCTCGGCACCACCACGCCCTGACATTAACGGATGTGTGCGCCCAGGAAGCACCTGCCAGGCACGTACCCGGGACGTCTGCAGCGTCGTCCCGAGCAACATTGTGGGATCAAGGGTGAACTCCTCCTCCAGCTCGGGGTACATCTTTCCGCCATCTTCGTTCTGATCTTCGGGCTGATCTTCCTTCTGCTCCATCAATTCTCGTTTTCGTGCAATATAGGCGTTCTTCCGGGCGGTGGAATATAGGTCCATCACTTCCGTCAATGGTTCGACGGTCGGTGAGTATATGACGACTGGTGCCGAGCCGGCCACGAGCGGAACAGTGTGTTTCATAATGCTGCTCGGATCCATCAAAGAAGCGATTATCAGACCGTCAAACCCGCCAGCCCGAGCATCATCCACGACCCTGCGGACCCGCATCCAGCGTCCTCGTTTCCGGTGATATCCACTGCGCTTGCTTGGCTTGTATGTAGTCAGCTCTTCCTCGGGCACAACAGGGGGTTCCTCGGAATAGATGTTGTCTGCGTTGGGATCCAAAAGCTGCATGAACGAGACCGTCTTCAAGTTCGTGTATAGGGGGTGAGTATCGCTCGGGCTGTCTTGGTCGTAGCCAAAGTATTTCAAAAGACTGAGGTTCGGTTGCTTGTTGGCATGGAGAAGAGTGATGGTGTTTCCTGAGGCTGACATATGTGGTCGACGAGGCCGACGCGGAGTGTCAGAGGATTGCCCGTCTCCATCCTGGGGCTTCTCGGCCTCATCCACTTCCGCGACAGCCGGCCTTTCAATAGCGTCCTGTTGTTCCTCGTCATAATCACCGTCGTGGGGGTAAAGGATGCCCATCCGTTCAGCCAAGGCTGCGATTACGAGACCACCCGTGTCGTCGACGACGAGATAACGCCCGTTTGGTTTCGACGTGACAGTTTCATCAAAAGAGGTGCTTCCCCCGTGGTGCACGTTACCCCAGCATCCAATCAGACCGATCAACTCGTCGCGCAATTCCAATGATCTCGCAGCATCCTTATCCTCGAGCATGTGATTCGCCAAGAGACTGACATCTAGTGGGAGGATCGTGAACCGTTTCATGTATTTCTTCTCCTTGCGCAGCTTGTACTTGGCCAGGGAGAATGCCGTCTTCTGATCTAAAGCCTGGTGGGACTCGAGTAGCTTCGCGATAATGTCTTTGCCAGCCCCCGTGCTCTCCTTCTTCAGCGCCTCAATCTCCTCGAGCGTGAGCTTTTGTGTTGATCGGTCATCGATGGTTTCGCGGTTCGACCGCACAGGCGTGCCATCTTCGTTGAGCTCGATATCGTCGCCGTCGCCTTCGCCCTCTGTGATGAGCGATTCCGCGTGAATTTCGGCCGCGGAGACGATGCGGAGGTACGTGCTGTCGGCTTCTCCCGGGGTCTCGTGGATCTCAAAGGTCAGGTAGAAAGGACGGCCGATGATTTGGTTGGCGGGGAAAGTGCCGTATTTTCCTAGAGATATTTGTCTAACCCACGTAGTAGTCAGCACCATGCAAAGCCCGAGAAGTAACCTCGGCGAACGGGCAATCGCGCGCATACGTATTAGGAACGACCTTCTGAATCCTCGTCGCATCGGACGGGAGCTTGAAGGCGACGAATTGATTTGGTCGCACGTATGAATGCATCTTGTCGATAGACTGTGGTAGCAGCGCAGTGAGCGGTCAGCGCATAGCACGCAAGAAGGTAGAGAATTCAAGCGACAACGTAACCCCACCAAGCAGCTGCTCCTGTCTGCGATCGATTTTGTTTTACTTTTTTCTGCGATAGCGCACGGACCCGCAAGCTGGCGATAATGATGGCTTATGTAATGGTACTTCTATCGGCCGGTCTATTGTTTCGCCGACTGCCGTGCCGACGACGTCACTGACGGCTGTGGCGGTGTCTCGCGCGGAGATGGTGGCCGTGCCAGCGGGGCGATGACCGTACCATACCGTCGGCCAGGCAGCCAGATTGCGGACTCGGCGAGGGGGAGCTTGTAATGACGGTAATCGCGGGACGGCAGCGCTCCACCGCCAATCTGCGGATGGATCGATCCATCGCTGCATCCATCCATTCCGTCAGTCAGGGAATCCGGGTGCCTGTGACCACCACGGTCATACCCGCGATTGTTGTCGTTTTCGCGTTTGTTACTCCTCAATTCCCCATTACCTTCTTCGTCCTGCCATCAAATCCGATCCCTGCGAAAGGCATGGCTCTTGCTGCCGCTCTGCATCTCGCGTCTACTGGCTAGTCCTTGCCTCCCTGCCCCTTCGAAACCAGTCCCTGGTTACGTATACATCCCGATATCCTCCAACCGGCACTTTGGCGCCTATTCGTGCGTCAGACAATCGTACCAGGCCATCTTACCTGTCGAGAGAGGAGTCTGTCGGTCTAGCTTTCTGACCGGCGTCATCCCCGCGCCTCATTGGCCCCCAAGCTTGTCCAACGTTTCATTGTGAGCTCGGCCGCCCCAGGCCTACGCTAAGAGTCCGCCTCATGGTCTTGCGAAAGCGAGCTCCGCCACGCCTTCAAAGCCTTACCCAAGGGAACGACCGTCCAGGTTCCCGTTATCCCAACTCCAAACTCTCGCCCACTTCCAAATCTCTATCATCTTCATCGCCCAAGCGCTTGACTCGCCCGCGACGGGCTCAAAGCTCTCCCCAACCTCACCGGGTTGCTTCCCAGGAATCGGTCTTCTCTCCTGATCTCAACACCTCCCCGGCTTTTGACCTGATGCCACTAGAACAAGCACAAAGGTCGCCGATCCGCACCTCGGCCGGTGATGGGTCGAATCCCTGGGCCGACGAACTTACAGCGAGGTTCGGTCTGGATCATCACGAGTCTCCCCAACAGGCAACAGCCGAGAATCCCGTGCAGAGTGTAGGGACTGAGAGGGACAGAATTCCAGACCAGGTACCGTCCATTTCAGTCCCTGGTGCCCTGGAGAGACCCGCTGCCAATGACTGGACACCCGATCGGGAATACACGGGACAGTCACCAGTTCAGCTCCAATCGAACAACCCGTTCTTGAAACCTAGATCACCTGAACCGAACCCATGGCAAGAAAGAAATTCTCGCTCTTCCTACGGGGAGTCATTTCAATCTCACGATGGGGCCAGCGCGCGTCTGGGGCAAGGTATATCTGTCTCTAAGTGTTTTCCTTCCATAGAGCGAAAGCTGACCCACCTAGACGAGGGCTACATCCCGATGACAGCGCGCTTATCGCTCTTCGATCAACCCGGGACAGAGTCGCCCTGGGTTGGTGAACAGTCGATTCCTGCGCCACCGATTCCCTCTCCGCAACCGTACACATCCCATGACCCAAACCAGCCATATCCCGGTCTACCGCACGATAATCAACACAGCTCTGCGAATGTCCCCGTAGAACCGCATGCTAGTCAACAGACCTACCTGCAGCCGACACCGTTGCATGATGACGGCAGACAATCCCCAGCTAGAAGCATGAGTACTCTAGTGACTCTATCCAGCAATACAACGGGCTCATCTCATGTCCTGATTGAATTCGATGAAGCTATCAATCCGCCACCCGAGCCTGATCCCACCAAGGGAGCTCCTCTGGGCCATGACTACGATTCCCTGATGGGCCCCCAGATGACATCCCAACAGGAAAAGCTTGCTGGCGCTCCACCCTTGCCCGATCGCTCAAAGGTCGCAGACTCCGGTGCAGGCCACACAAAGTCGGCATGGAGTGGGCCAATCTCAGAAGCCGAGGCAAAGCGCCAGCAAGAGCAGCGATCTGAGACCTATTCGATCAGGCACGTGAATTGGATGGACAGCACCAGAACGTTGCGTGAATCTCCAATCCTGGTGCAGAACAAAAATGGCCCCTGTCCTCTGTTGGCACTGGTGAATGCTCTTGTGTTAGGTTCCGCAAGCCACGACTCTCAATCGCCCATTGTAAAGGCCTTGCAAACTCGGGAGCAAATCTCCCTAGGGTTGTTGATTGAAGCATTGTTTGACGAACTCGTCACGCATTTGGGGCCTAACGACGAACTTCCCGACATCGAAGCCCTCACTCGTTTCCTGACCATGCTGCATACTGGCATGAATGTCAATCCACGACTCACGCTGGTAAGTTACTTGGCACGTCTCGATCTACAAAGCGGCTAATCAATGCAGGAATCCAATGATGCGTTGGGTACATTTCTCCAAACCGAAGATATCCGCCTCTATGGTACATTTGGGTTGCCATTAATACACGGCTGGGTCGCCACTCCATCTACGGAAGCTGACGCAGCATTGGCCCGCATGGGTCAGTACCATGAGGATATCCAGTTACTTCCTTTCCGCAAACAAGACCTGGAAGACCGTGTTATCCGAGGTAGCTTGTTGACTCCGGCGGAGGAGCTCGTGGTCAGTGACATTCAAACGATCCAAAGGTTCACGGAGTTCGAAAATCCAACTCAGCTGAGTACCTTCGGCCTGGAGCATTTAATGGCGAATCTACAACCCGGATCATTCTCTATCCTTTTCCGCAACGATCATTTCTCCACACTATACAAACATCCACAACTCCGCCGGCTATTCACTCTGGTCACCGACGCGGGTTACTCGAGCCATGCAGAAGTTGTTTGGGAAAGCCTGGTCGATGTCAATGGATCTGAGGCCGGTTTTTATTCAGGAGACTTTCGCCCTGTCAGCCACAATGCTCCCCAACACTCGGACCCATCTGGCCCAAGGACATCAAGCAATTCTGAGAACGCTTCTCAGCCGCAACAACGCAACAGCACCATGACTCCTCAGGAGCAAGCTGATGCCGATTATGCCTATGCGCTTTCTCTACAGTACCAAGAAGAGGAGCAGCGAGAAAATGCGACGAACAATAGGAACTCGTCTCAGCGAGCCTCGGTCTCTTACCCCCCTTCGGGGCTTGCGCCTGGAGCCGCCTATACTCGTAATCGTTCATCAAGCGCCGTGAACAGCAGTAGTGGTTCGTACGCTACCGCTGCATCAGGCAATCGCTCGTCAAGACAAAGCCAGCGTCCTGGCCGATACTCGCAATCGCAATTGCCCACTGTCCGACCGGCAGATGACGAGGACGCCCCTCCTCCTTCATATGAGCAAGCGGCGAGGAGTCCGGTATACCCATCCCCACAGCGAAGTCCCAATTTCACCGACTCACCGAATGCATCTCCGTACCAAAGGTCCCAGTACGGGAGACGACCTCCAGGCGTCTCCATATCCACGGGACAGTCGGAACGCATAAGAGACCGAAACAAGGACTGCGTAGTCATGTGAGCTTGCATATAGCTCAGAGTGATGTCGGATTTCCGGCTATGATGACGGACGATGTACACGACCTTATGTATTCTATCTAGCTGCCATGCACGCAGGCGGATTAATGTTTATGCCCTACGACGATCATTACGAGTGCAACATGGAGCCCATATGGGCCATTGGGAGTTTTTTTGGTGTTGCCTTCGGTTTTCTATTTTTTCCGGTAGACATACAGTCATTTGGTTATAGCACGATTAGGACGCAACCTAGGTATTTGCTCTATGAAACAATCTCACACTAAATACCTTGCTTCATTCTCCGTGTTATCCACACTCACATTAGTCAAGTCAAGTCATATTCTATTAGCCTACCACACTCACATTAGCACTACTTCTTATTGACATACAAGGACTGGCCAGCACCCGGCTGTGGTTTTTGGTGTAGTCGGCGAGTCGTGACTCCTTAGACTTCTGTAGTACTTAAATCCAGCGGATCGGGTCTTGACACTTGCCCACTTACCAAGCCACTAACGCTCGACATCGACCGCCAATCTGAAGCAAATCTCATTGAAAGTAGCTTATAAGAACGTCATAGACAATGGGTCATTTAATACAACTATGTCCCGTAGGTCTGACTGTTCTAGGCAAGAACGTGTGATTTCATGCTCAAGCCACGCCTTATCTCAGCTTGGGCGCCAAACCTCGCCTCCTTCATCTTTCCCTCCACCACTCGTTGGTTTCAGCCTTCCTGACACGTCCTTTCTACTAACATACAAGGCAAGACCATCGTCCCGCCAAAGCTATTAGTCAAGTTGACAAGTCTCAGAACTGCCTAGACTTCCGAATTACTGAGCGGACACCTACCACCAACCGGCCTACTGATGCAGCAATGGCAACCCTCCCTATATCCTCAGGCAGCACACTCTGTCGAAGATGAGTCACGGTGGTTCTATTGTGTCCAGCGGCAACACTTTGAAAGCAATGACGAATCGAAATTTGAACACAGAGGCAGCAGGATCTCTTTGGACTACCATCTCATAAACTCATTTCCTGAGCTTCCCCAGCTGTCTCTGGGTGTGGACTTGGTGCGATAATGAGGAATCAAATTCTGGACATGAGGGGGCATGATATCGCCGGATTATATATGATGTACTACGAATCTCCCGCGTTCTCTTCTCAAAACAGTTAGTACTGTCTTTATATCCATCCCTCCACCCATCCGTAGGACTTCATCCATGTAATCAATTTCCCAAATAGGTACACAACTATAATATGAAATAAAATGACCAGACCTAATACAAACAATACAAATTAAAACCAATACAATACCCCTCCCCACCCCAACCGGCTCGCAGTCTCACCTAGCCCATCTCGCATGATTCTGTAATATAACATCTGCCCCCATCATAGAAGCAATGTCTAAGATTAAGGTTTAAGGCGTCTGCAGGCCGTAAGGGATGGACTAGTACTCAATCTAGACAGTCAGTACTAGTACTATGCTAAACTAGGCAGGGACTTTCTGGTTTGAAATATAAGACAGAGGGTTGTTTTTGTCGTTGGGTTTGAGTTTGGGGGTGTACGTTTGGGATTTGGATTTGATAAATATTAAGATAGACAAATAGATAGGTGGTAATCGGGCACGATCTATGGAAGTTTATTGAATAGGTGGGATTGGGGTTGGGGCATTTATTTTTACTTGACGGGGGGAGGGGTGATCATAGGGAAGGATCTACCTTGGGAGGTTGGTTTTCTTCGTTTACTCGGTACTTTTTGGCTTTTGCTTTTTTTTCCCCTTCGGTATTCGTGTTTGCATGTGCTGGTGAGATGGGGGGTAGTATGTTGTAAAAGGGGTTTATAGGAATCGTTTTTATTCTTAGAAAGGGAATGCGGAGTATAATTGGGGTTATCATTAATATTACCGACCAGTAGTATAGAGCTTAGCCGATGGTCAATCCAGCATTACATCGTTAATCGTAAACCAACACTTAGTACAGAATCTTCAGCTCCCATAGAGGCAGCTTGGGATCATACTTGTCCCAGACGATTCGGTTCTTTTCGTTCAGATGAGCTCCCTCATCTGTAATTGGGATGCAAGGATCGGTGTCGAGCACCTCCTGCTGACTGAAACCCCATTTATCCCGTGGGATCCAAATGGTCGGGGTCCGCTCTGAGATGCACGGCTCGTAGTAGGCGTTGTTTCTTTCCTCTTCGGTGTATCTGATTTCCACGTGGTCGCGAGGAACTTTTCCGCGCAGCGCCGCGTAGTCCCTGTATAGGTTCGGGTGGAACCATTTCCAGGCTGCCTCCCATTTGCCGACCAGGCGCGGGTTGAGGGCGTCAGCCTCCGCTTTCGCTTGCTGAAACTCTTCCTCGACGTCGAGGTTGCTCGGAAGAAAGGAGTACAGAGGCTCTAAGGCATCGTTGAGGGATATATGAGCTAGGATGGTCAAAATCAGGAAAAGGGCCATGATGATAAGTGGGCCGACGGCGCCTTTGATGGCGAAGAGGCCAATTAGGCAGATGTCGGCGAGATAAAGGCCTGTCAAGAGATGCTGGAGTGCACGCGGGTAGACGAGGCCTTTGGTATCGATGCGAAGATCGTACACAAACAAGAAGTTGTATCGGTATGCTTGGTACACAAGGTAAAGGCCAACGAATGCGAATCCCAGGATCAGAGGGGCAATGCACGAATATGTAATCGCTACCAATCCTGTGTTAGCTCCAAAGTAAGTCGGGGCAGCCCTTCAACGTACCAATAACCCCCATGTTGGTGAAGACAGGGAAGACATTGCCCCAACCGACACCACTGAGGGCAGCCCATCTCTGGTATAGTCGTCGTGGGGTACGGTCAAAAAAGGTCGTAATGAATTTAAAGACAACAGCTCCAGCAACCTGCACAACCGCCATGGAGCTCATGGTCAGCCCCTGCAGGAGAAAGTATGAGATGTAGAAGTTGGTCGCTTTCGGCAAGTTCTCGGCTAAGAGATCCTTGGCTGATAGAGGGTTTTTGATGATTTGAGCAGTCGCAGCTGATGCTGCCGAAGTCAGAGTAGTGACAAGAAACACTTGCACAACCTGGAAACAAAAGTGTGCACTCTGGGTGAAAAGCTCAACGCGAGCTGTTGACGGTATACCGGAGCATCTAGCGCAAGCTGTGTAACTGTAATTAGGCACCAGAACTTGAATATCAGTTAGGTGCACATACCTCGACAAATAATCGGAACCAAAGACATCAACATAGCGAGGGCAGCGGAAGGCAGAAGCCCAGAGATAAGACCTAAGATGACGGAAGGAAGCTTGTCGATGAAACCCAGGAATGGAATCATGCTGGTGAGGTAGGTGATATTCGAGATCGTTCCAACCATAGCGGATGGAATAGACCAGAAGATAACGAGAGCAGCAAGGCCGCCTTGAACCAGAAATCGACGCGCGATCCGCTGCCACCAACTCAGATTTAAGGCAGACCAGACAACCTCATTTGGTGAGATCCCAATGTATCTGGGAGTCATATGGAGCGGCTGATGGTGGGACACAGTCTGCAGAGCAACCTGCGCATCCTTTTGGGTACTGAACTCGATGAAGACAGCGGAAAGATTCTTCATCTCTCCATTTCTGTACTTTTTCTGCATAATTTGGATTTCCTCGATAACCTTCGCCAGCTCAGCGCGTAGCCAGCGGATTGTATCGACCTTTCTGCCGAAGAACTTGAGCCGATGAGTCGGTCTCCGAATTCCATGATACGACGTAGAGGTGTTCGATTGGCATTCCTCACAGCTATCTGAATCCAGACACGGCTTCGAAGGAATATTGCCTTTCTTGATTGCCTTCAGCCTTGTCTTATTTGCCGCCCGAATCAATTTTGTCTCGGCATTCTCCAATTTGAAGGCCAGCTTTGCTCTCTGTTGAACCTTCTTGTCCAGCTCCTTGCATTCGGACGTGATCCAAATCCGCCGAATGTTATCTCCGAAGACTTGTCGTAGTGTTTTCTCATTCTTGTACTCGTCCGGTACTGACATAAATAAGACAGTCCTGGAAGAAATTCGTTCCGCATAGGCCGGCGAGTTGAAATAGGCCTGGCGTAGATTCGCATAGAAAATACTTTCACGGGTCACCACAAAAAATACAAAGGCTGTCGCAGGACGTTAACGCCGCTCTCGTTGCAGTGTGGGCTTCTCTTACTAAAATACACGATTGCAATGACCGCATGGGCATAGTAACGGCGCGGGTTTTCGACATTGCTGAAACTCAGGGCGTCTAATTGAGTATTTCCTGCACCACCAGTGGCATGGATAGGAAGCAGGATAGGCCAGGTTATGACGCAGCCTGTAAAGCATGTGGCAGCGAGCACCCTCAAGAATCGAAGAAAGAGATACCCGTCCATGGAGGAGTGACGAAGTACCTGAGCATCGGATATTTTCAGGAACTGGCCGAACCAATTGACAAACCCCGATGGTAACTGCGGGGCGCGCTCACTGCACACACCTTAGTGATTGCTCTGGAGTGCCAGAGAGGTTGAGACAATAGAATACATACTGCTGGTGCCAGCATGGCAGGTGAGTTCTCGGTGCGTACCACCGTAGTTGGGTTCGCCGGCAGATCAAGAACAGGCCGAACCAAAACGCCGCGATTATTAATGCTGGTATCAGCGTGGTCAACAATGCAGAAAGGGATGTCGAGCTTCCGCCAAGCCCAAGATCTGACATCGCATCCGACGTCGTCGAGGACGCGTTACCCCGTGAGGAACCAATATTGGGATCATTGTCGGGATTCTACCCAGTGGAGTGTTAGCAGCTTTTGGAAACCAGGAGGCAATTTGTTGGTGGGCTACATACGAGAAGACTATCTCGTTTGAAGAGGATGTCAAAAGCCGTTGGGTAGGCCATGGTGGTTGTTATTGCAAAGTCATAGACGGCCTTCCTCTAACAGCTCTTGAATGGGAGCAGGCAAGGGCAATAGTCAAGGGCGGCAGCATACATAATATAGGATGCCCTACTCCGTACAGATCCTGTCCATTCCTGGAACGGGCGCCTGCCTCCACCCAGTGCCGGATTCCATGGGGTGTAATTCACGAGCGAAAAGCGTGTCGGACCTGTCACCCCAAGGTGTAAGCAAAACTAACTGGCCCTAAAAGGCTGAAGCATGCGCCTAGTGCGGTGTGACAGGGCTGTCATTGGTGAACCGGCAAATCCAAATGTTTGGAATGTGCGTGTGTGCAATGTTTATCGTGGATTTTTATCAGCCATCACCAATCATGGTTCGCTTATGCGCCCTGCCCTCGAGGAGGACCACCATCCGGAAGTACTAAATTGCAATTCCGAGGCTTTTACAATTAAGCGACCGAGCGACCTGTAGGTTTGATCCACTTGCCGTCGGGCACGGTGGGTGGGTGCTGGAACGCGGACGCAGGCTGGATTATGGAGCAGCTAGCCAGCTAGGTACACGCAGCGTGTCAATCCAATCCAGGGGTCGAGACTCGACAAAGTCCAATTGCGAACCAGATCAAGTGTTTGTCGGACACCAACCGTGGTCAGCCCCAGCAGCCCTGATTGACCCCTTTTACGGAATGCGCATGGGATCGACTGCAGGAAGGACACTGCAGTCGCTAATCGCCACTAGTGGCCCTTAAGCTGGGCCACCAACTACCCAATAGACGATGGGTCCCGCCGATCCGCGATATCACAGCAGTATCTTGCTCTCAGACCTCCGCAAGGGATGCCTTGCTCCTGCGCACCGGGCAGTCTCGGCCCGGATTATGGTGCACCACCGCTACGGGTTGGTGTTACACTATAACATAGCCTATTGTATCAAAAACCTTTCAACTTTGAGGGCAACCCCATCATAGATATCGACGGGCTTATCCTGGTTGGTCCTTCATCGCATCGCATTATCGCATCCCAAGCGGGGCCTGTGGATGATAGGGCTCAGAAGAGTAACGGCGACCGAGCCTAAAGGGAAACCGTCGAGTACCCTAAAGCACTCTAGATACCATTAGCGTCATCTGCATGGCCATGACCAGATCTTCCCCTCACCTATCGACACTTCTGATATCCTCCGTAGGTCCGGTGCTATTAGGGGTTACACGGACGATAAATCTGCAAAAGGCCGAAAGTATTTCCAGTCCCACCGTATTGAGCCAATGCCAATCGAGCCGTGCTACCGTCAGGTGTCAGGTTCTGCAATTAAAATGCACGGGTGCAATTGTTTGCTGGTATTCCACCCACTTACTTAGGCTGGGCGGGTGCTGCCGCTTGGTTGACAGACCATCCCTGCAACCTTGCAAGGCACATCCACGGGATACTGGATTGCGGAACCATCAAAGAGGACTGTCATCCGCAGAGGCGGGGGCTCCCTGTACCTTGTGAACATAACCTGTTTCGACGTCAGAGCTAAGGGTCATCTCCCTACCCCCAACAGTCCACTGTCGATCATGCTTCGCACGAGTTGATAGGCGAGGTCTGTTCACTTCAGCGACGGGATACCTGATCTGCAGTATTTCTGTAGACACTCTTGGTATAGAATGGTGGGGAGTGAGGGGACAGAAGGGTGGCTAGGAGGATGGAAGGAAGCTCCCAGAACCGCTCGTGTTTCGGTCTGGTGACTTGACTGCCCCAATTACGGAATGCGATGCCTCAGGCGGGATCCGCGAAATACAACCGACAACTTCAACGACTGCAGCTCAATGGATCTGGACGGCAGTCCTTGATGTGTCATCTGCATTAGAAGAATGATTGCTCTGATACCCCCAGAACATCATGACAACCGCCCTGCAGGACCATCGCCGCCCAGCCATAATATTCGGCCGTAGGCACTCCAGATCGATAGTGTGTATCTATTCTTGCTTGCGATCGCTGCTTGGCCAGGCTGCCACATTGTTAACCAGCGCTAGGTACTTTAATCCCATCTATACCTCACGGAAGCCCCGGAAAACTATCGGATTTGACTTTAACAGGTGGAATCAGGATTTGGGCGTGCCTCCGCAAGGCAAAGTGGTTGGGTGGAAATCTGCTCCGGTGAAAAAGCAATAAGGACTACTGCATGGGCTCAGATGTGGTTCTTGGGCACCTTGAACCTATCGTGCATACACGAAAGTCTGGGCCTGCCACGAAAGTTGTACGCGCGCTCTGCAGCTTGGGCTGCATCATGCTGCCACTCTGACGGTTTCGCCAATCGTATCCATTACACCATGCAGAAACAAGACATTCCTTGGTTATACGACAACAGTTATCAAGACATAGAACCGTCTTTTCCGCACATTCTTATTGGCTGTGCTTCCTCGTATGCGCCGGCGCCGCGAAGCCGGGTGTGGTTGAGAACAACTATGCTAAGCTTTCAGTGGCTTGATGTCTCAGTCATAGTAGTCCAACAACCAATGTCTACTGAGAAGAATATATACATTCTGAGGCGATATGCGAGCGGCCATGCTCGGTTCTTGAGAGCACAAACTAGTGCACCGCTCATGTTTAGTCTTAGATACGAGATTCATGATTAACCGTTGGCCTGGAAATATATTTTCGATCACAAGAAAAACCATTATGCAAAGTTCAATGTGGCGACGGCATATAGATACTAGCTATTGAGAACAAAGGCATATATTGTATTTTCAGGGCCTATTCCATTGCCTCATGTACAACTCTACATAGATCAAAATCACTAGTTCCAATTCTATTGATAACGCGACATGTTGATCTCATATCGATGTGATTGAGAGCGGTGAATTGTGGCAGTATATGCCGCGCGGAGTACCGCCGACAACCAGTTGCGCGATTGCTATACCGCAGTGGTACTCCTACCAGACGCATGGCCAATCTGGTGCAGATCGACCATCCGGAAAGATGTCCCGCCTCGGTAATGGAGAAGGGGAATCTCCAGAGTATTTGCGGAACGACTCAGAGTCACCATCAGTACTTTCCTCGTTCGAACCCGAGCAACCATTCCCGCCGCTCCCCGATGACCTTGCGGCAACCACCCAAAGCTTGCAAACCAATGATTACGTCGACGAGGATGACCACGAGCCAACATCGCCTTCTCATGCGGATATTGACGCAGAAGATGATGCTGACTTTCAGTCTCAATATTCCCTAGAGGACCAGGCCTTTTCGGATGCATCCAGTGACTCGGAAGAGCAATCGCCAGAAGACGGTCTCTCTATGCATCACTCATTTCGACAGTCTACAAGCTCACTTAATGGACCGAATGCCTTTGCTCCGCCCTTCTACAACAGACCACCAACCCCCTTGCCCCCATCTCCTTCGCTGACGTCCCTTCTTCGACCCCCCTTCTCGACCACTACTTCTCGACCGACCACTCCTGACAGCTCTGATGTCGAAACACCGAATGACACGGAGGCTGCTGTCGCAAAGTCTGCTCGACGCGCCACCACTGTTCCACGAGCCAGTCCGAAAGTGCCGACATATGAATACTACGGATTCGTTCTATATCTCGCTTCGTCATTAGCCTTTTGTGAGTTGTCAGTAGGCGCGAATGTCTCTGGAGGGTCTCTAACACTTCTGCATTTAGTGATCTATATACTTTGGTCCTACCTTCCGTCCCCGTTTCTACACCAGCTCGGAATATACTATTATCCCAACCGGTGGTGGTCGCTAGCATTCCCATCGTGGCTGGTTATGTCTATCATTTACATATACGTTGCTCTGGCGTCGTACAATACGGGGTACCTGACCCTGCCGATGAAGAGCATGGAGAATATTGTGGACGAGGTGGCCAATGTAGCAGTCATTGATGGAAAGGGCAGGCGACGGCCAGGTGGAGCTGCAAAGATGAGGCCTGGTGCGACATCGTACCAGATCATGGGACCGCAGAATCGAAAGGTCAATTGGAAGGAGATATGGAGCGAAGGGACAGATGCCGTGCTAGATGTGCCAGTAGGTGGAGTCTGTGAAGTTCTATACGGGCAGGAGAGGGATGATGAATTGTGTGAGGAGCTGTCCACATTTTCATAAGCCACGAAGCCACGACGAATATATTAATGTCTAGTGCATAATTCTTTCACTTCATTGAAGCGAAGTGTCTCGAAACAAAGCAACCGCGGATCCTTTATCCCCTTATCGGATTAACTCAGTATCATTATCTCCACGTGACACAGTCCTGAAGTAATCGAGAACGTAAGGAGCATTGAACAAAATTAATAGGAGCATTGGGAACATGCTCAAGAGGTTCTGAATGCCAGTAGGTCGAAAGTACTAAGGATACGTGACTGCCCTCTGTAGACTATGTGAAGGCAACCGAAGCGGAGAGTTTCGGTATGTGGGCTTAACATTGTTCCTAAGTTCCTAAGCTCATGACAGAGCGGTGCCACCCTGGCCGCATTCCACCCCCGAATGGCTGGTGAACCCAAAAAACCATAAAAATAGCGACACGTTGTGCTTACATGGCCTGCCAGGCTAAACCGCAATCGAGGCCCGCTATTGCGCTGATTGGCGGTTGGGCTGGGATTAGTGCCTTAGGTTTTCGTAGTCGGATCTATCTATCTATCGCAGGAGCTGAAGTGTCCTCGGCTGGGTGGAGGTCGCCAGGGTCTGCGACACCTGGACCATGCAATTGCACCTCCCACCAAGTAAACCAGATTACCCCTGTACAACCGCAGGGTGAATGCACGCCGGGAGTGAATTGGGCGCGTGCAATTTCGCAGACCGCATCTTCATGGGGCTGGGAAGGCCAGCTCTCCAGCGCTAAAAGCGGTTACGGCCGCGTGGGCGCCTAGGGAGCCAACGAAAGCTCAGCGGCGGTGGTGGCTTTCCCCGACCTCAGCGAGGAGAACGCGCACCAGTCCGCTCGTCTCGTCTCGGCTCAAGCTCGCATCGCTGATCGTCTCCTTTCCCTGCCGCTGAACGGGTCCTTGCCGCCTTTTGGAATATTCCATTGTTTGTTTTCCTACTTCTCGGCGTTGACACGGCCTGGAGCCTCGTTTCCTGCCGTTGTCGTCCGTCCTGACCTGTTGGCTTGCACCACGACAACACCTCGGCTGCGATCACAAGGTCACCACTGCTGGACCACCCTCGACCCTCCTGTCCGCGACCCCGTGAGCTACAAAGCTCAGTCGCTACGATTTATACAACTCTACCCCATTTGATTGTCGATTTTGCATGGCTTGGCAGTCTCCCTCGGCCATGGCTGGGGGCGGAGGGTATGTCGGACCCGGGGGCGACGGGTCTTCCAACGGCGGGCACCCCCAGGGGACGGAATATACTCTGCAAGGTGGGCTCTGTGTGATACAAATCTACGATAAGTGTCGAGGCTAATTGTGTTTCTGGTTTGTAGGGGTGATGCGCTTTCTACAGACGGAGTGGCACCGGCACGAGCGAGACCGCAATGCGTGGGAAATTGAACGCGCAGAGATGAAATCTCGAATCGGCAAGCTGGAGGGAGATGTTCGTACGAGCAAACGACTACATGAATCATTGGGAAAGCACGTCAGGCTTCTCGAGGCGGCCTTGAAGAAGGAGCGCGAGAAGGTCAAGAAGCTCAGCAACAATGAAAAGGTCGAGGACACCAGGGATCCCAAGGACATTGCCCGGGAAAGCATCAACGCCCTGAAAGGTAAAATCCTGGCTGTTTGTCATATTGCATCTGTGTACTGATCGACATCCAGTCCAACGTCCAAAGTCCCATACACCTAATGAAGCCGACGTGAACCTCGAGAATGAACACGAGTTCCGGCAGGAGAATGAGCGAGAGAAGTCGCGACTGTATCTGTCGAAGTGCTCCCAGGAGGTTGCGTATCATGTTATTCCTTCATCACACCCGGCCCCGGACCTCAATGATCAAGACATCCAAAACCATATATACGGCAATCAGCAGCTGTCACAGCAGAGCTTGGAGGAGGCGTATCTTCAGCAACAGCGTCAAAAACAACAGCACCACCACCAACAGCAGCAAGCGAACGATATGATGGCCCGGGAGGCGGCGCTTCAGAACCACCAACCCGTCATCACCCACTACTCGGATAACGCGGCCTTGTCCCGCGCGCAAAGCCAGTTTGGCTTCCCACCCGCTACTAGAGAAGCGATGGAGAGACGAGCCCTTGAACCTCAACAGACCCCGCTTACCGTTATCGACAATCGGAAGCAGGCCCTTAACAATTCCTTGATGGACGAGCGCGCTGCCCACGGGGAGCAGGCATATGATGGGTATGGCGCGCAATCAGCGGGAAAGGATTCAAAACAACAAGTGGAAGAGAATGCGGAGGACACGGATGGCTGGAACTTCGATGAGCCGGCCGACCAAGCACCGCAGGCGGAACAGATGCCACCGCATCGGCCTGATGTTGACGCTTTCCCGAACGCCAACTTTGTCGGGTCGAAATCGCCGCAAAGGTCCGGCTCACTCTCTCATAGAAGAAAGAGTTCTGGCGCTAGGAGGAAGAGTGACGGTGCCATTGACCTTGCGACGGCTGCCAAGTCAGAACCTACATTCAAGGTTCGGTTCGCCCTTCGCGGCCATCTGGATGTCGTTCGTTCGGTGATCTTCACCGGTGGTGGAAGCCCGTCGGAGCCTGAGATCTGTACATGCAGTGATGACGGAACAATCAAACGGTGGATTATACCCGCGACATACGGCACATTTGGCGCGAGCTCGAGCAGTGACCTGGACATCACCAGCTACTTCACCCACCGCGGACATGTGGGAGCTGTGACTGCGCTTGCCGCGTGCTCTCCCTCGCAAAACTTCTCCAACGGGGGACGTGCATTAGGCGATGGTTGGGTCTTCTCAGGCGGTCAAGATGCCAGTGTACGTGTGTGGGAACGGGGAAGAGTTGATCCCAAGGCGACTCTTGATGGCCACACGGACGCTGTCTGGGGTCTTTGCGTTCTTCCGGGTACTGCAGGCTCTGTGTTTGGTGAATCCTCCAACCATTACGGTGGGCCTGATCGAATCCTCCTCGCATCTGGTGGTGCGGACGGCCGTATAATTATATGGGCTGTTAGCGCGCCCCCGCAGCTTTCCTCCCCTCAAGCAGGGTCTCGGCGCGCTGGAGGAAGCCGGCGAGCCAATTCGATCTCCTCTGGCTCTAACTTCCCGTCGTCACCGCAACCCAGCACTGCAACTACGACACCATTCCACTACACAATGGTTCGTCAAATTGTTCGGACAGAATCTCCTTCCCCAACTTGCATCAGCCCATTGTCGCTTGCCGGTATCAACTTTGTCGTGTCCTACACCGACGCTTCGATTCTTGTGTATGATACAAGGACCGGCGAAGAAATTGTGGGCATGGCGAGTCTTGAGACGTATGATGGCACACCTTCGACTGGTGTCAACTCCGTGGTCGCCACTACAGTTGGATTCGATGGGTCCGCAGGTCTTGACCCCAGCCGGACAATGGGCGAAGAAGAAGTCGTCCACGGTGCGACTGGCTCCAGTGGCGTTGAAGGCGTGATTATCAGTGGATACGAAGACCGTTATATTCGCTTCTTTGATGCCAATAGCGGTATGTTTTCAAAAACCTACTTTCCTTCCCCGCGTATACTAATCTTTGGTGTATAGGCCAATGCACATATACGATGTTGGCCCATCCGTCAGCGATTGCTTCGCTTTCGCTCTCCCCAGATGGACGTGAGCTAGTCTCTGCGGGTCATGATGCCAGCTTGCGGTTCTGGAACCTCGAGAAGCGGAGCTGCACCCAGGAAATCACGAGTCACAGGCTGATGCGTGGTGAGGGAGTGTGTTCCGCCGTCTGGAGCCGTGACGGCCGCTGGATTGTCAGTGGAGGTGGTGACGGTGTCGTCAAGGTGTTCTCGAGATAGCGAGGCCCTTATGTTGATGTATGATTCTTTCTCTTGACAGCTGGTTCCTCCTTTTCTTACGGCATGTTCTTTGAACGCATGGAATGGATGAGCGATTGGCCGACTCTCGAGCATTTGCAACGGTGTCAATCTACCTGGCATATGTTCTTTTCTAGTCCTGTGGTTATAGTTCCTTCTACTTTCATATCCTTTTTATTGGCAATCAGCTGCTTCGCTCGCCCACCCCGTCCGGATGGCACGAGCTTTTGTTTATCCATACCTCTTTTGTTTCCCTTTACCCTCTGCTCCCACGATTCACATACCCCCTTGTGGAACTGACGAAGGGTTATAATGTGTGCTCCTATACTCACCCATGATGTTCGATTGTTTGCCCGCCCAGCGTCTGGAAGATGTCTTCTCAACACGACATTTTTGATACCTGTGACTTTCTTGGTATGTTTTCATGAATACGACTTCACACACCATGTGCCAACCATATTGGATGTCTTGAATATCCCGGTCCTCATGATGTTTCCTGCGTACCCGGTATTCTATTCACGAATGTTGTATGATGATTTTCCTTCCCTCGTCTGTTAGAGCCTTGAACCAGCCTGTACATTGTCTGATTTCTGCCCCAATTTCACTTTTCCAACACCGGTTGATGAGCGAACGAAAAAAGGGCATCGAATTGTGAAGCATAGATAGACGCATTAGAACCTGCCGAGCAGTAGGTGGTATTCTACACTAGTCTGGAAATATCCATTCTCCTACTCAAACCTCCACCGGAAAGCACTTCTCATTTTTTAAACTGTTCCAATAGAAGGTATCACATACAGACATACATACTTACACACCCACCACCCCAAGTATTATTGTTATAGCAAGAAAACACACTACTCTCTCAATCACCCCCTCGCCACCCAAGCCCCCTTAAACAACTCCCTCAACTTCTTCGCCTCCTCCGTATCCTTAACCCTCTGTTCTAGGTATCCCTGCAAATCATCCCAGAACGCCTCCGTCTGCAACACCTCCTCACCACTCGGTCCCACCGCCGCCTTAGGCGTAGGAGAACCTCCCGTCTCTCCACTCCCTTCCTTCTCCTGATCCGCACCAGTATCAACAACCTTCGCACCCCCCATAATCATCACTCCAAACTCCACCTCCCTCCCGCCCGCCAACATCCCCGGCTCATCGGACAGCACCTCCGCGATCGTCTTCCCCGTCACAGGCTTGCGCTTATACAAGATCTTGATCTTCTCCAAGGAGATCTTGTTGTCCTGGGCGTCGGCCACACGGTCCCGGACTGCGTCCTTGAGATCCTGAACGGAGGTTGTGGAGATGGGGGCGTTAGGGAGAGAGAATTCGAGAGCGGGGTTCCGCGCCGATTTCAGGTGGACGGTTATGGATTTCGAGGAGCCGGGGGCGATGGTGGGCTTCACTTTTTTGGGCATTTCCGGGTGAGGGGCTTGGAGGCGGGGGAGGAGGTACTGCGCTCGGTGGGGTTGAGTTTAGTTTTGGGACTGTGCTGGGTATGGGTATAAGGTTGGGGTTGAGGTGCACGTACAGGGACTCGAGGTCCGACTTGCTCGTCATCCAGGACATAGTCTGCGCGGAGCTTGATGGGGCGGGAGTCCAGCGCTGAGAGGAAGGTTTTAACGAAGGTGACTTCCGACATGGTGACGGTGTTTGTTGGTACAGAAGGTGAGTAGGATCTGCTAAAAACAGAGGGCTAAGTATTGTGGAGAAGAAGGTGGTAGTGGGGAAGTTGAGGTTTTGCCAGCAGTCGATGGCGGCCATCCGCATTACCCAATCGGGAGGTCCTGAGGCCCATCGGTGACTGCATTTCATGCCTCAGGCAGAAAGGCATCATATACACCGCCTTTGCGGGATTGTTCTGCCGGCGTCGACCGCTCACAGAAAAAAAAGAAGTGAAGAAAAAGTTGAGATTCTCCGCTTCCAGTTGCGAACCAACCAACTTTTATCCCGCATCATATCTACTATTCACAATGGGTGTGGGTCGTCGTATGAAGAAGCAGGGCCCTCCGGCCCCGCTCGATGAGTCCAAGATCACCATTTTCAAGAAGCGCAAGGCTGGTGAGGCCGAGTCGAAATCTGAGGCGGGCAAGAAGCGGAGAAGGGCTGATGCCGATGAGGAGGCCGCGAAGCCCGCGCTGAAGAAGAAGGCCAATGGAGCTGCTAACGCTAAGGCGACTAAGGCGACTAAGGTGACCAAGGCGACCAAGCCTGAGGTCAAGGCAAAGGTCAAGCCCGTCGAGAAGAAGCCCCAGTTTATGGATTCGGACGATGAGGAGGAGGAACTTGAGGAGATGGACGAGTCGATGCTTGACGATGAGTTCGGCGATCTCGACGGTGTCAGCGATGGCTCGATGGATAGCCAGGAGGAAATTGGCTCCGACGACGACTCCGTCATGGATTCCGACGAAGACGACCACCCTCGTGAGACCATGTTCTCCGACGACGAAGACCTTTCCGACGCCGAAGAGAAGCTGACAGCCGCCAACATCGAGGGTTTGTCGCGGAAGTTGGATCTCGCCAGACAGGAGGAGGAAGAGGAGGCCGAGCGTGAATTGCAGGAATCCGCTATGCAGACGAACATCGCTGGCGACCGTCCCGATGTCTTCGGCGATGATGTCCAGCCCGGTCTGGCTCCTGACCTCCAGCTGCTCCGCACGAGAATCACAGACACCATTCGCATCCTAGGCGACCTGAAGACCCTGGGTCAACCCGGCAAGTCTCGTACCGATTACACCGACCTGCTTATCGGCGACATCTGCACATACTACGGCTACACTCCCTTCCTCGCAGAGAAGCTCTTCAACCTCTTCACTCCCATGGAAGCCTTCGCCTTCTTCGAGGCCAACGAAACCCCCCGTCCCGTCGTTATCCGTACGAACACCCTGCGTACCAACCGTCGTTCTCTTGCCCAGGCGCTGATCAACCGTGGTGTGGTGCTCGAGCCCGTCGGCAAGTGGTCCAAGGTCGGTCTCCAGGTCTTCGAATCCGCCGTTCCCCTCGGTGCTACTCCCGAATACCTGGCTGGTCACTACATTATCCAGGCCGCTTCCTCTTTCCTCCCCGTCATGGCCCTCGCCCCGCAACCCAACGAGCGCGTCCTCGATATGGCCTCCGCCCCCGGTGGTAAGACCACTTACATCTCCGCCCTTATGCGCAACACCGGCTGCGTCATCGCCAACGATGCCAGCAAGCCCCGTGCCAAGGGTCTGATCGGTAACATCCACCGTCTGGGATGCAAGAACACTATTGTGACCCACATGGATGCCCGTACCGCCTACCCCAGGGCCATGGGTGGTTTCGATCGTGTCCTTCTCGATGCCCCCTGCACCGGTACCGGTGTCATTTCCAAGGACCCCAGTGTCAAGACCTCCAAGAACGAGCGCGACTTCCTCGCCATCCCCCACATGCAGCGTCAGCTTCTCCTCGCCGCCATCGACTCGGTCGACCACGCCTCCAAGACCGGCGGTTACGTCGTCTACTCGACCTGTAGTGTTACCGTGGAAGAAAACGAAGCCGTCGTCCAGTACGTCCTGCGCAAGCGCCCCAACGTCAAGCTGGTCGACACCGGTCTCGGCGACTTCGGTAGCCCCGGTATGACCAGCTACATGGGCAAGCACTTCGATGCCAAGATGACCCTCACGAGACGCTACTTCCCCCACCGCGAGAACGTCGACGGTTTCTTCGTCTCCAAGTTCAAGAAGACTGGCCCCTCCCCTACCACCAAGGCCGGTGATGCCGCCGCCCCTGCCACCGGCGAGGGCAAGCCCTCCAAGACCCCCTCCGTCGCCTCCACTGATGACGAGATCATCGACAAGACCCCCATCACCGACGAAGATGGTATGGTCCTTGAAACCGAAGGCGGTAGCTTCGGACCCTTCGAAGAGGACGAAGCCGACGCTGAGCGCATCGCCCGCGCCGAGCGCAACCGTCTCCGTCGCAAGGGTTTCAACCCCAAGGCTGTCCTGAACAAGCCCTCGAAATCCAAGACCGAGTCCAAGGAAACCCCTGCCACGGAAGCCTCTCCCAAGGCCGCCGAGAAGAAGCAAAAGAAGGAAGACCCCACCAAGGAGCAGAAGGACGAGCCCGTCCCTGCCCCTGCCCCCGCCGCCGAAAAGAAGGCCAAGAAGGAGACCACCACCACCGACAGCAAACCCGCCAAGAAAGTCACGAAGAAGCAGCAACAACCCTCCACACAAGAATCTCCCTCTACCACCACAGAAAAGAAGAAGCCCGCTACGAAGAAACAATCCGACAACAAGGCCAAGAAAGCAAGCAAGAAATAAATGAGTACATACCCGCCTAATTCAGCATGTCTTAGCTCCCGAGGCCCCTCATGAATCTTCAACATCTTCACTTATCTCTTGTATTCTACATTGTGGTTGACCAAAAAGCATCTTCCTCTGACTTGTCTTATGTCGTGTTTTCTTATTTGTCGTGTCTGGTTTGTATGGGCGGCGCATGCGCATCTGAATCTTTTTTTTTCTTCCATGTGATGGTGGTAGATAGATAGCTTCTAGTTATTGGGACTGGTTGAGTCAATAGATACCATTATTTTCTTTCGATGCTTTTGATGAATTTTTTTCTCTTCTCTACTCAATTGTATATGGATGGCCTCCGCTACCCGACTGTAGGTTTCGTCAGAGGATTGATTGTACGAGTGCGTTGAATCGTAGATATGTGATTGGTGAGTGTAGTTGAGATTGGTTGAGAGCGTGTGCTCATGTAGGGTGGTTGTTTCCTGGGTTTTTTGTGTATGTATGACTCGACTTATATTGAAGAAGTATCATTGTCTTGGAAGTAATCTTTGCCACTAAGGAGCCACAGTAGGTTGTATAAAATATGGCCAGTGCCCTTCAATTCAGCTGTATATGTTCTTATTGCTGCAAGGTAGGTAAAGGTAGAGAAGCGAAATAAACAACATATCTAAAACTCCAATCAAATCTGTGAACGTTGCTTCTGATAACCAAATTCAACCAAACACTCCGTCTTTGCAACATCCTGGGTATGATATATTCTCCGATGCAAGATTAATTTAAAGTCAAATAATGGGACGTGAATGTTCCTTGGCGAGCCATCTCACGCGTCGATCGAACAGCAGAGGATTGTCCCATGTATACTCTATGTGCGGTAGATCTTGACCACGCTGACGATGCTCTTCCGGCAAATCGGGCACAGATCAACCTGTCGAGCGCAGGTGACGCACGCACAGACGTGACCGCAGTCATAGAACAAAGCGTCTTGTTCCTCGCCGTAGCAGATCTGACACAGATCCATTTCTTCGTCGGCGACTTCCCAGTAGCTGATACCCTTGCCGTGGCGCTTGCCGTCCTTGTAACCGCCGACATATTTGTTGCCGGTCTTGCGCTCGACATAGGTGCCCTGTCCGTGGCAGATGCCCTCGAACCAGTCGCCATCGTAGGTGTCTCCGGTCGGGTACTCCATGAAGCCATTTCCGTGCCGCTTCCCGAGAACGAAATCTCCCACGTAGGTGGCCGCGAGGTCGGAGATGTGTTTACCCTTTCCGTGGAAGTAACCCTTCTTGAACTCCCCGCTATAGTATTCGTTTGTGAATGTAGCATCAACAGTTTTGAAGCCGGAAAAGGCACGGGTGGGGTGGTTGCGTGATTCAGCCCACAGGTAACGGACCATCTGATCGGGGTTGCCAAAGAGACCGGCCACGTTGAGTTGAGAACGTCTAGAAGAAGAAGTCAGCATGTGCAATGATTGGAGGATACGTTGTGCATACCTGTCCTTGGTCAACTTGTCACCGACGATGAAGCATGTACCATCGGGGACATAGACCTCGAATGTTTCGCCAGAGGACATTGTTGTCACGGTGGTGCCATCCACACGCTGCCAGATTTGGAAGTCCTTCATAGGGGGCAACTTCAAGTGCCTCCTGACGGCAGTTTTGATATTCTCTTCTTTTTTGGAGAAGAAAGATCCAACCGTCCGTAGGGCCTGGGCATCTATATCGAACTTCTGAATGAAGTAGTAGACGTGGTCGACCGGCTGAGTGATCTCAGACTCGACTGAGGGAGCGGGCGCGTCTGCAATCGGGTTGACCTCAGGCTCGGCCTCAGGGGACAAGGTTTCACTGGGCTCCTCAATAGCGGGCGGCACTGCATCGGGGTTTCGGTCGGTGTCCATCTGCTGGATATCTTCCGCGATGATGGCAGCGATCACTGCATCATTCTCGGAATTGCCCGGAGCATGCTCATCGCTACTGCTCAGCCTTGCAGGCACAGGGTCTTGAGAGACCACTTCAATGTGGGACACAAAGGCTGGCTCCAGGGTGTTCTCCGGGACCGTTCCGGATGAGCTTGCCCGGGCGGCGTCACCTTCGGGAAGAGACAGTCTGTCCTCCGAGGATTCCGAGCCAGCGCGCTCAACCACAGCCTCTTCAGGCTTCGATTGGATTTCGATCGCCTGTGGTGGATCCGCAATGGCGAAAAACTTGGCATTCTCTGTTGTGCAATCAGTAAATGCCTCGAACGGCGAGTAATAAGGGGGTAGGACAACATACCATCGGAAACAATCTGCATCCAGAAACGAGCGGTCTTCAAAGGGAAGTTCAGGGTACTTGTCAAATCTGAGATACGAGCAAATGCCAGCGTAGGGCCAAACTGGTCACGAGTGTGACCAATCTGCCACAGACGAACATGCTCTGCACAGGAACTTTCGCCAGACTTTGCAGATGCCCACATCGCAATCTTCTTGCGAAGATCGACATAGTTGGACGACCGAGGGACAGTCAGGTACATGACACTATTTTCGGCCTTTGACTGCGTCATCAGATCATACGTATCGAACAAGCTGCCCAGCTGATCGTACTTGGGTAGCGAGTAGACTTCCACTTGAATCTCGTCCTCCACGGGCCTGGGTTCCGAATGCACAGGATAGATGCCTGTTTCGTAGTACTCCTTTAGACTTTCAGGAGCATCCCATGGCCCTTGTGGACCAGGCAAGAATTCCTGGACAAGATCGGTCCGAATGTACATGGCAGCAATGGCGACATCATGGCCAGTCTTGTGGTCAACCTTTTGTGAAGCGTCAAGACCAAGATGGGGTCCCAGAGCTGTCTTGCGAGTCAGGCATTCAACACGGTTGTCGCTGCCATCATCGAAGGCGAGCCACCTGGTTCCGGGACCACCAGGTCGGAGGATGCTAAAGAACTTCCCCGAGGTGCGCCGACCACGGTGGACGATGTAGCCGTAAAGGACGTATTTGCCGCACTGGCCGTCCAGCAGCCATGGCGTCAGGTCCAGCTCCTCGTCCAGCTCCACCCGATTGTAGAGCAACCGCCACTGGCGAGCTGCCTTGTCCAACTTCTGGCGGCCCAGTTCAAGATGAAGAACAGGTGGAAGTACCCAGCGTCCGGGCTTCGCACCTAGGTACCAGCTAAAAGCTTCGCTCGTCGTCTTCGCCTGGTCCGCGGGCACGCAGATGCGCGAGTTGTAGTCTTTAGGGACGGTATTAATCACATCTTGACCTTGGGCTTCCGCGGGAAGCGAGTCGAGGGAGGGGCTGTCGAACAGCTTGGCAAGTTCATTCACTGCATCTGTGCCTGCAAGTTCAATCTCAAGGGTACGGCGCAGCCGTTCCCAGAACTCACACACATCCCCCGAATACTCATGCAGATTCCGCAAGGTCGAGGTGATCATGTCAGTATCCACATACTGTAGAGACTGGCCCCGAGAACGCAACTGCCACAAGAACTTCTGCAGTGCATCGCACAGTGGCTTAGGTTTGACGTCACAGCTGTTGAGGTGCTCAAGCACATTGGCATTCTGAATGATCTTGCAGAACGGAGCCAGGTGTACCCAAGTAGCCAGCCCCGCGACCTCTGCGCTATGGTTGATGACGGAGTCACCCAAGGGCCGATAGCCTGTCAGGCTCAGACTGTCCCAGGTCGGCTCGGTGTCACTGGCATGCCACCAGAGCGAGCGCGTGGGATCGTCAACGATGCGGATATACGCATCGAACGCCAGGGTGTCATTGCGGAGAAGTGCCTGGCGTTGGCCCCGCTGCCGGCGGTGGATCTGGTCCCACGGGCCGTGAAAGTTAGTCCAGCCCCAGTCAAGATTGTGTGGGTTGAACTGATGGCACGACGATTGCATCCACCCGGTCCGCGGTTCGTCTGGATTATAGAGAATGACGCCAATTTGGGCCGAGACTCTCCAGGACTTGTTGGAGGATCCGGCCTGGTTGGCCGCAGGAGGATAGTGGGCCTTGAAATTCTCCAACCAAGTCGCCGTGTCGTCGGTCGGAGTGAACGTCGTGTCAACATCCGGGGTGTTGACATCTAAAGGCGCATCGGCCGGGCCGTGAATTACTTTGAAGTCACACTCAGGCAAATTCTTGTCGGGAGTGGGCATCGTCGGGGAACACTCGATGTAGATACTCAGTGAACCGACGTTGTTCCCACGAGGGAAGAACTTGATGGTCCACCAATAACCTCCCATGTAGGCAGGCGGGGAACGCATGATTTTGGCCCGGTTCGGGGAGTCTGGAGTGCCTCGCACACCCTTGATTTTCCATGTCATGCGAGCCTTTTCCACCGGACGGTATTCGGGATCATCAAGGTCTGGGTGGAAATTCTTCTCCCAGTAGTCATCTAGTGAGGTCAGCGGCCATAGTCCTGAAAGCGTCCAACCAACAGGTTCAGGAGACTTACACTCGTAAGCACTGTAATCGCCATCGGCTGCCGATTCTATTTCCTTCATTTCAGCATCGTCCGGCACCGACAGATCCTCCTCGATATCTGCCCAATAAGCGTGTTCGAGTTCGGGCTGCGGCGGACGGACAGCCGATACTGGGTCGGCTTGCACCGGAGCTTGTGCTTCCTCCCGATGTGAATCCTCCCGAGAATCGGGTTGTAGTTCTAAAGACTGGGGTTCGGAGGGTGCACTCGAGAGTGAGGTGTCTGTGGGAGGAGTTGAGAGGTCTTCGTCCGCCGCATTGACCGTCACGGTGGTCTCTCTGATCGGCTCAGTGGACGAGTCCTGAGTGATGAGAGTGACGGGGGGTAGGCGCTCCTCCACATTGACACCGGTGTCAGGTGTGGGATCCATGGCGAAAGAGATGACTGGATGTCAGAGCACGATAAAATCGAAAGAGGGTGAAGACTTGATCCAACTACAAAAGATGTGAACAGGAGCAAGCGAGCGGACAATCAAATGGGCTCGAAGAACAGCAGATAGTCAAGAGTGAGAAACACGGGCAGCCTTGGCAGCCAGGCTGGATGCGAGTGCGCTCGAGAGGAAAGGGACATGCAAATGCGGAGAAGGCTGAGGCAATGTCACCTGCTGGACGAGGAAACCTCCCACGAAAAGCAAGGGGAGGAGGGGAGGATGGAGGGGAAGGTCAACGACAGGCTGATCCCAGACAGCAGTAAGTGGGTGGACAGCAGACAAGCACAACAGAACAGCACAACCGCACAACCGCACAACAGCCCAACACCAACGAAGCAATGAAAGTCTAGAATGGGGCGATAAGCCAGGCAACAAGAGCTTATCAGGGGGCCGACCGGGGGGAGCCTAGACCCAGAGGGGCAAAATTAAGGCACACCGCGGAATGACTAGTAGTAAGGATAAGTATAAGAGAGGGGAGTAAGCCAGAGTGAGACTGAACGACAGACAGACGGAGTGAGGAGGAAAGGGAAAAGGAGAGGAGTCGAGAGGAGGATCGTTGAAACGAAAGAAGAAAAAGAGGTCAACCACGGAGCCAGCCAAGGTCGATCGAAAGCCAGGAATGAACGGGCAATTAAAAAAGAAAAAGAAACGAAAGGGAAAATCTCGAGGCCGCAAAAAGAAACGGCGAGCATGGATGGATGGATCGAGGATGAGGCGGCAATGCAGCCGACAGCCAAATCACGGACCCTCACCGCTGGTTGGCATGTTGCCTGACTGGATGGACCAGGGCCGGTGGACACTTCATCGTTTTCCCCTCTCCTCTTCATCCCCCCTCGAACCCACCGATGGAAGTCTTCCACGATTGCCACCCGGGCCCCGGACTGGCTTGGTTCCCCATGAATGGTGGAGGGTCGATATGATACCCGCCTGCGATTCGACCGCCTGCCCGCCCACCCGGTGACTGATCGACTACGCGGAGCATCGCATCCCTGTAGGCAGAAAAACCAGGAACTGACCTGTCATTGTGATGGTACTATCCTAGGCGCTTCAATATTAATCTTATCACTCTACCCTCCTCCAAGGTCCATGTCCTCCTCTTCCCCTTCCCCATTGTCAATTTTCCTCTCCCATTGAACAAGTACACAACTGGTGGCAAGGGAGTCGGACGGCAAACCTTATTGCCTGAAAAGCCCCGTGCCGACCGCCCTGATCGACCAGTGGAACGCCCCCGGCGATCCAGTCAAACCACGCCCCATGATTTGCCATCGACTTATCGCGCTCGTCTTTGAAACTTTTGCCCCCCCGAGGATTCATGCCTGTTGGTCCCGGGTTTCCGGGTCTCCAAGGGGGTTCTTCTCCCACTCCGTGCAGATTTTATCCTGGACCTTTTGCGTGCTCATCGGAACCACTCATCCGGTTTGCCCCCGTCTAGACTTCTCCCGGTCCCCTCCTACCGTGGGGTCTAGCGTGTCTGCCACACCTGGACCCGCTCATGTTGAGGAGGCTCTCACAGCTGACAGAAAATCGTTGGGGATCGAAAGCACTCATGTATGAAAAGAGAAAAGTAGGGGCGTAGGTATGAGGTGAGCAAGGAGTGTCCCTACCTGAGTGGTGCCGGCATCCTCAGTTCTGAGACGCTTCACCGTCGGTGGCCTCCTGACTGGCTCGTGCAAATGAGGCGGCGACAATGAGGGGGAAGACCACCGTTGCTTCCGCATAGACCTTGACGGCCTTGGCATCGGCTTTGATCTTTCCCCAGCTCACTGCCTCATCCGGTCGGGCCCCCGCATCGCTGCCGTCGAATTCCTGCGCCGTGTTGATGTATACCGCATGTTCGGCCCCATTTCGCATAAGACAGGCATTGGCGATGTGGTGTTTAATGATTCCTCCGCCGAGAATAATCATGCCGGCACGGGCGGCCCGCACAGCCATGGTGTTAATTCGACGCACGTCATCCACGATATCTACCCGCAGCCGTTGGGGGGAGGACCGGTAAGTGTGGAAGTAGAGCATATCGCCCAGGGAACCGTCAGTGATGGCGGGGCAGAAGATTGGAATATTGTTACGAGCTGCCCAGTATAGTACCGAGTCCTCGTGGTTGATCTCATGGCCCAGCCGCTCAATGATCTTGCTGGGAGTCCAATGCAACTCGTCGTCCTCATCGCCCGTCTCCAGAGCCTTCTTCTTTGCAGCCTCCTGCTCCTCCAGCATCTTATCCAGGATGGGAATCAACCAGTCTTCGAAGGCACAGTAGTTACTGTTCGGAACAATGAGATTGCCGATTCGGTTCAGTCCTTTGGCCCGAAGCCCAGCACCGGGAGCCGTGAACGATCCCATATAGGTTGGAGCCAAGCACTTGATGAGATCCTCCTCCACGCCGCCCGCCGTGGTGACAATAGCGGAGACGTGACGGTTGCGAACCAGGTAGCGGATGGTGTCTCGGAGGCCAGAGGAGATCAGATTGGAGGTGTATCCAAGGAAGATGGTTGTCTTTTCGCCAGATTCCGGATGGCGATATGCTCTCTGTGTAGAACAAGAAACAATCAGCCTCCGCGTAGGTTCAATCGGGGGACGGGACTCCAACCATGTCATTGACGATGCGGGCAGCTTCAGCGACCGCACTACCCTGAAACCCCATGTATTTCATGTTGTCCACCATCTCAGCGACCGTAATATCACGGCCCTGGAAACGATCAAAGTCCACGCCGCTGACCTGCTGGGTGCCCTCAGGCACGGGTTCCGAGGCCACCAAAACCGCATCCATGACGGTGGAGGGAGGGGCATTACCCGCGGCAGCTTCTTGAGCAGACATGGCTGTTTAAGTGGAAAAAATCTAGACAAGGTAGGAGAATGAATGACAAAAGCGATGAGTCTATTGGAAACAATAAAGAGAGGGATCTATATGAAATTGGATGGGACGCTCAATAATGCGGGTCGTTAAATGTCCCCTCCATTTGGAAATAATTTTTCTGCAGGGAGATGGCGGGGGTGACACACGCCGTCGCATGGGCCGATGGTTCTCTGCCTCAGGCGTAACATTTAAGTGACCGAGCCATTGCCGCGGAAGACCCTAGCGAATGCCGGGCAGGCAGCCAGGGCTCCTGCCTGAGGCAGTGAATATCGTCCATCCTGACTAGGCAAGAGGGTCTGGCCTTAGGCATGCACGCTTAGTTCCCTCCAGGTCGAGTTATTTTTGAGTTCCCCTAGAAGAGTCCCTGACCAACTAAACCATCCAAACGCCTGGCTCGTCTCGGATCCATCGTCTCTGCCCCATTTCTCGTTCCTCCGTCCGTCTTTCAAGATCCTCAAACCTCCCCCGTCTCTTCCACTCTCTCAACCCCTTCGGCTTGTTCATTCCCTTCTACCGTTCCCTTTTGATCTCCGTATATCTTCTTTCCATCGTTTGCTACATCTACAGGCTGGTCCTCCTCCATTTCCGGCTCTTACTTCCGAGATCACCCAAGGATCCGTCCTCGAATAAAAGCAGCTTTCCGTAGCGGTTCGAGTTTGCTGCCCAGCTTCGACTCCTTGCAGGTGTCCGTTGGGTTCCCTGCCTGACACGTTGCATTGGCTCCAAGGTGCGGAGATTTCTGGTTAACTGTTGATTTTATGCCCGGTTTGTTTTTTGGCCTGTATTTACCCTCCCTTTTTGTCGGGGGTGGTCGTGGACGCGGGATCGTGCTTCACTTGTCTCTTCTCCCGGGGATACGGGATCGGCTGTGACCAGCATCGACCAGCATCCACCCACCCGGCCCTGCCATCCTCCCCAGCTGAGGATCGGAGGTTGTTACGGAGTACTTGTTGACGGATGACGGTCTTTGTTTGTTGCTGGGCTCCCCTCTCGGCGTGGATGTCCCACAGCCTGGCAGTTCCGGCTGAAACAGGCCGCGCCAAGTGGCTGCCGCTAAGGTGATGGAATCCGTCAATCATCAATCTTGACTTGTTCCAAAATGGGATCCGCCCAGATTGGCGCCGGCCTATTGGCGGCTTAGCTAAGCTCCTTCGGCCTGCCTGGCCCGTGCCCTCCCATGCTTTCCACATCACGTGTTCTCCACATCCGTTCGTCTGCGCTCTGCTCGGCTTCGCCGCCTGTTCTGCTGCTGCTGCTGCTACTGCTACTGTTGGGATTGTTCCATCCTGGTTCATTTACTGCTCTTGCTTGTCATTCTTTTTATTTTTCCATTGCTTCTTCATTCCCTCGTTGAATCTTTCGTTATTCTCCCTAACTAACCTGTGGCAGGCTCTCCTGCCCGGTTACTTTAGCTTTTGCTCACTAGCATGACCTGGTGATGTCTTCACGATACCCTCCATTGTCTGGGTTCAATTCCCGTGACCGTTCGCCGCAGCGCTTTGGTGATCGTCGACCCCCGTCTGGTCCGCGTGGCTCGGACGATGCGAATATGCCTCTGGGTCGGGAGCCGCCTCGCGGTCCCAAGGCATTGATCGACCCTCCTCGAGGAGCCCCGTTTGGCGGTCGTGGTAGAGGCTATCCTGGCCGTGGAGATTTTCGCGATCGGGACCGAGATATACGGGATCGCGACCGAGAACGCGACCGTGACTTTCGAGATATTCGTGATGGACCTCCGCCTTTTCGCCGCGATATCGACCGGGACCGGGATTGGGGTCGCCGCGACCGCGATTTCGACCCTCGAGAAGCTCGCATCGGTTTTGGTCGCGGTCGTTCCCGATCCCCTCCGCCGCCCCGTGACTTTCGAGATATGAGAGAACCCCTAGGACGAGAGCCCCTAGGACGAGATGCGGACCTTGTTCGGATGCGGCGTGGTTCCCGAGACAGCCTGATTTCGGTTTCGTCGGCAGTGCCCGATGTTCCCTCCGGTGGCGGCCATCATCCCCGCGCCGGTCCTCCAATGCGCGGTCGTGGCCGAGGCGAGTGGGATGCTGGGCGTGGTCGCGGTCGGATACCATATATCGATGATCGAGATACTTTTAGACGCCGAAGTCGGTCACGCGACGCCCGGTGGGATCGAGAACGAGAGCGCGAGCGCGACCGGGAGAGAGAGCGTGAGCGTGAAAGGGATCGGGATCGTGAAAGAGACCGCATACTGGATCGAGACCGAGACCGAGATCGTGAACGTGACCGCGAGCGTGTGATTCTTGACCGAGATCGGGATAATGACCGGCGTGATCGTGACAGGGAACGGGAGCTCGAACGGCGGGAGAGGTTCGAGCGCCGCGACGAAGTTGACCGACGCATTGAACGCGACGACCGCGAGCGACCAGGCGATCATTGGAAGAGAGACCGGCCTCCTAGTCGCGCGGAGAATCGGCTTCCCAGCAGCTCCACCGTTTCGTCTGTTACCGGTCCTGTTGTGCACCCTGGTCCAGGAGTTGTCCCCGACCGACTTCCGGATCATCCAACCACGGAGCCGCCCCGGAAGACGTCCGGAGGAGACGCTCGTCGTGATTCACAGCGTATAGAACGGATTGAACCACCTGCGCCTCACCCGGAGCCCCCGAAAGATTTCATCCCTCCTCCGGTTAAGCGATCACCCCCGCCTGCTGCTCCCCAGGTGCCGGCGTTTGGCTCAGTCACGGCACCCATTCCCGAGATTCCTGTGGAGAAGCCCCCGGTTGACTCGACACCGGCTGCTTCTTCAGTTCCCAAGCCGGAGAAGGAACGGCATGAGCCACCCCGAGCCCCAATGCACCCCCCGACCGCTCCCAAGGCGGACCGAGGCCCTCCACAACAACCGCTAGAGCAACGGGTCCGACGTGAAGAAGCTCCTGCTACCCCGGCCAAGCCTGAACCGCCTGTTCGTCAACCGAAGCCGCATCCCGTAGCACCTATGTGTGCAAAGCCGATGGATATTTCACCGCCCACGGCTCCCGCTGCCATGGTTCACAAGGAGGCCCCTGGACTTCACGAGACACCATCCCCGAGCAAGCTAGTACCCGGAATGACCTCACCGGAAATTGGAAGGAGATTATCAGCCACTGGATTAGCGACTTCCCCCGGTCCACATACATCACCTCGTATGCATACGTCAAGCATCCCTACCGGCCCACGCGCTCTCCAGCAGCGTACTTCGGTCTCCCGTGGTCCGTCCAAAGGCAACAAACAATGGGTTCGTCCTGGCTACAGCCGTCCACCCACCGGACCTAGTGCTGCGCCGTCGATTAAACGAGATTCTATTGATGGCAAGGAACGGAGCCTATCTCTCAGTGAGGAGCATAAACAAGAATCGCAGAGTCAGGCTGAGGATTCATCCACGGGACCTGAGGCAGGTGAAATTGTGGCCGAGGATGAAGTTATGGAATCCAAGCCGCAGGGGCCTGCCCCCGAGACCCCCATGCAACTCGACGAGACTGGTCCGACCAAGCCAATCGCAGAAGAGAAACCTGCCGAGAAGGAGGTATCCAAAGATCAGGGAACCGTGGTCATACCTGATTTCGGGCGGTCTAGCGACGAAGAAGAGGATGAGAACGTTGTATTTACGCAGGACTATCTGGAGGAGCGCAAGCAAATTTTTGAAAAAGATATGAATGCTCTTCGAGCAGAGCTGCCGCCGCCGCCATTGGAAGATCCGAACATCGTGGCGCTGCTTATGCGTATTCAAGTGCTGGGTATGATTGCCCATGATACGGTCGTCGAAAAGGCACCAACACCCCCGGTAGCAGAAGAAACCATTACAGCAAAGGAGGAGCCGGTGGCCACTGTGGCGGACAACGAGCCAAATGGAAAAGCCGAAGAACATGAGCCGCCGACCAAGATGGTCCTGGATTCCATTCCTACTGCTGACGTACTAACCCTCGAGAGTTTGCCATTCCTCAACTCTGGCCCGCCCACCCCGCTGTCTGATTTGGAGCTGTATCAAGAAAATGCTGCAACTCATGAACGCCTGAAGGACACCTTTCGTGATGTTCTAATGAAACGGCGTAAGGGAGTGGCGCATAAGAATGCCGAGCTGCGAGTGGAGTATCTGTCTCACTACAAGCCTTGGAGGCTGAATGTCTGGGAGCTGGATCATGCCAAGGAGAAAGGCTCGGCCAGCCCTGGTCCCACAACACCACCTGCTGCCCCGGCGACGACGACCCCGACCCCTACGGTGGAAAGCGGAAGACGGTATAAGGGCAACAGTGAGTTGGATTTCCAGAATGCCCTCCGGGCGTCTGAGATATCCGCACAGGAGGAACTCGAGAGGCGTCGTGGTAACAAGGCTACAGCACAACCCGATCTTGGCCGAGAGGCGGTGATTCCCGATATGCTGGAGCCTCCGGAAGTGAAGGCCCGCATCTACAAGGATACGAACAATATCATCGACCCGGCCAAGGCCATGGATGTCTTTGGATTTCTACCGCCTCGGAATGATTTCTCGAAAGAGGAACATGAGGTTTTCACGGATGCATTCATGGCTCATCCTAAGAAATGGGGCAAGATTGCCGAGTCGCTGCCTGGCCGAGATTTCCAGCAGTGTATCGTTCATTACTACCTGACAAAGGAAGAAATCAAGTACAAGGCCAAGCTCAACAAGCGATGGAGCCGTCGCGGGCGCGCCCGGAGATCTGCTCGTCCCAAGTCCAATGCGCTCATGGCTGATCTTGGTGTTGTGAAACCGGATTATGAAGGCGAAGAAGAGCCGGCTCCGGTTACGGACACGGGCCGTCCCCGACGGGCTGCTGCGCCAACGTTTGGCGACTCCTCAGCAGATACGGACAATAACGGTCGCCGAGGGAATGCGTCCAAGGATGGCGAACAAGCGGAGAAACCTAGGCGCGGGCCACGGAGTGGTGCAGGCACCCGAGGTGGCCGACGCGGCAAGGCTGCCCAGCAACAGCAGCAACAACAAACACCGCAACCCACCCCGTCGGAGCAATCGGTTCAGACCACGCCTGTTCCAATCGCGACTGGAGCTGCCGTCACTCCCGCACCAAAGGTGGAGACTACGGAACCTTCTCTGGACGGAGCCTCGGAGGCGGCGACTGTGCGGACCAAAGAGCCAGAACGGGAGGCCAGCGACGTGCCCCCGCGAGCGAGATCTGGTCGAGGACGTCAGAAGGAGGGAGTCTACGTCTTTGAATCAACGGAACAGGAGGCTCCTGCACCCCGGCAGCCTGAGGTGGGTGGATACGGATCTCTGCAGCCTACCAGTTACTGGTCGGTGCCAGAGCAGCGCGATTTCCCGTTGTTACTGGCACACTTTGGTCGGGACTTTGAGGGTATTTCAAATTTTATGAAGACCAAAACTACAGTGATGGTATGTCTCAATTGTATGTGGCATGTGCCAATGTTAACTCCAGCAGGTCAAGAATTACTATCAACGTCGCATCGACTCCGGCCAGAAGGACTTTGAGGATATTGTTGCCGATGCAGAAGCGAAGAAAGCTCGCGGTGAGCCTACAGGTCCTTTGCCCGTTCCGAACTTTGCCTCTAAACGGCGTTACGAAGCTACACCATCTTCCATAATCATGCCTCGACCGCTGGCTCCGCACACCGAAGCCCTGCCGGAAACCGATGAAAGCCGTCTTGGGCCTAAAAGCAAACAAGTCGGCCCGACCCCTCAATCCGTGCCGCTGCATAACCGTCCCCAGGAGAAGGAACGGAACGTTTCGCGCTACCCTCCACTTGCGCAAGCCACCAGTGCCATGCCAGCAGGCCCTATGCTTGAGGATCCCGCGCGGACGATGAGTTCGCAGGCAGCTGCCTTGCCACCACGGTTGCAGGGTCCGCGTCTGGGATACTTTGAAGACCGACGTGAGATCCCGACGACGGTGTTGTCCCATGCAGCTACCTCGCGGCCCCAGGAGACGCCACTTTCGGTGCGGCAGACTCCGGTATCTGCTGAGATGACCCGGCTGGATCCTTTGCACGCGCAGAGCTTCCGGACGGCGCCTGTGGATGTGCATCGCTCACCGTTACTTCCGCCAAATACGCTGCCAGGGTCGCAGCAGACGTATCTGCAGCCTCAGACCCAAGCATCCTTGATGCATGGAGGATCCCACTCACGCCAGACCAGCATCACCAAAACGCCCAGTTCTCCGGCCCAACCGCTGAGACCGGAGCCAGAGATCTCTCCCATTCGACGCGACTCCATATCGCAACGGTCATATTTTACACTACACGGACAACATGTAGCCCTTTCCCAGCCACCTCCAGTCTTGTCACCGCCAAAGGAACCGTCTCGACCCGGGTCGACTCCAGGAGAGCCGGCTGAGGCCCCTCGTGTGCCTGCGAAGCGGTCGAATATCATGAGCATTTTGAATGATGAGCCCGAGGAGCCCCAGCCCCGCAAACGGTTTGCTGGCGAGCAGCCGTCTTCGACCCCGGTGATGCACACTGGTTCGCCCTCTCGGCCCGTGTTTAGCGGCATGCATTCGCTTTCGCAACCGCCCCCGCGCCAAGAAGAGGCAGTTCTGTCATCTCAGCAGCGGGCTCCAGCTTATGCTCCAAGCCAATACCTAACACCATCGCGCCCGTACAACGAATACCCGCCTTATGGCTCGGTCCCGGGATCTGCCGCCCCTGCGAACAATGACTGGATGGCACGGTTTGATCCTCGTGGACAGCCGCCGCCGCCGCCACAACAACCGCAGGCTCCGCCGCAACCCGGTAGCCGCCCGACGACTACGATGGCCCCTCAGCCACCATATTCTCCTTATACGCCCGCGCAACCCTTGTCTAATCCGTCTCTGCCAAACCTCACGGCTCCATCGCCTGTTCCGACTCCTTCGCAAGCCCCTCAGCGCCAAGCATATCATGCGTCTGCATATGCCCCTTCCCCGGTGTCCCATGCCCAGGCAACCGCTGCGGCGTCGCGTGAACTGGCGGCGCAGAATCAGATGTATCGCCAGGGGATTAATTCGCCTACCACACGTAACAACAGTCTTGCGTATGGGTCGCGCCAAAATCCGCCCACGCCGATCCAGTCATCTGCGAATATCATGGGGATGACGTCGCGACAGCCGGCGGCTACGGTGTCATACGCGTCACCTGCACCGGCTACGCCTGGGCCCAGTCATATGTCTGCTCAGCAACATGCGGCGCATCAGTCGTACCAGCAACACGTTCAGACCATGGTCAGCGGGGCTCATCAGCAGGCGGCCCATCGGTCGACGCTTGGATTGAGTACGCCGTACAGCCACAATACGCCGCCGCCGCAGGCGCAGGTCTCTCGGACAACCGGCATGCCAGGGCCGCCACCGATGTCGATGGGTCGGTCGTACACGCCGCCAGCGATTCTGCAACCGAATCCGGGTGGAGGATTAAGCTATGCGCCGAGTGGGCCATCGCCGGCGGGGTCGATTCATCCATTGCAAGCGCGACCCCCAGGATCGTTGGTAGAAGTGCCGGGCGGCCATACTCCAGGGCACCACCGAGTGTACAGTCAAGGGTCGAACGCGGGACCACTACCGGGACCGATGACGCCGCAGCACCCTCGATAGAATGATGCAGTATTCGGTGATCTAGACGTGGTTTGCTTCTCTTCACTCTTCTCCTGGTTGGAATGTGGATTGCATCTATTATGAATAATGTACAGTAGACGACTCGGATGCGATATTGAAAGCATGACAGCGGGAGTGCAATTATCCAGTATTTGCGTAGTGACGGTAGATGCGAGAGAGTGGACCTTGTAAACCTGAAACACTTTCCGCCCGTTGGAAACTACCGACTCCACCTCGCCTCGTGGCATCCGTCGTAATCAGCGTGTCACTATCCAATCAACTATACCAAGTGAGCAGATCACGATATAGTAGAGCGCTAAAACGCGGCTGGCATGTCTGCCCGTGTGGCATCTATACTCTGTTGTGGACCCTTTCACAGCGTAGTGGACATATATATACCCGGTGATCCATATGTACATAGACCCCTTGCCTCCCTTCAGTGAACTGAAGATAATCCTTTGATGAGACCAGCATAATGGCACGTTGTTCTTTTCATCAGGGGATGTACTACTATACCCCGGAATATATTTCCTATGCACAACAACATATACAACTCCACCAACACAGTATACTTCCGCATCCACATCCACATCCACATCAACAACCACCACCACTACAAATCAAACCAACAATACACCCACAAATGAGGTATCATTACACAGATCAACATCACCACCATTACCACCACCCAAGCACACAACAAACCCAACCCCAACCCCAATCCCACTCACAAAAGAACACCCCCCACCAAATAACTATGACCCACCACCTCAAAATCAAAACCCGAGTTCTAGAAAATACCCTCCACCAACGACGCTACGAGCACGCTCTTCTTCGAGAAGGTCTTCGACGGGGAATTTCTATCGCAGAGATATTGCGGAGGTTGACGTATAGAAGAGATGTGTATTTGGGTATGTATTTTTTCTTGAATTCCAAGGACCAGGGGTGTAAGTATTTACAGTGAATGCTAATTCTTAGTTTGTGTAGATGGGAGTGTTGTTTCTCGTGATGGATGGGTGGGGATGGGTGGTGAGGTGAGGGGGTATATATCTCCTTCTGTTGTTGCTGCTGCTGCTGCTGCTGCTGCTGGGGAGAAGGAAGAGTGTAGAGATGGGGGTAGATTTGGGCGAAAGAGACGGGTAGAGGTACAGCTAGATGATAGTTTTTTGAGACGGGGGTATAAACGGAGGAGGGTGAGGGAGGGAGAGAAGAAGAGAGATGGAGTGGTATGGATGCATTAACCCGATCTTTCTTTATATTGTTACACTTGTACTTACGAGACATGATACATACATACAAACCAGCTTTTCAATACCCCATAATTCCTCTTCTTAGTTGTATCTATCTTCCCATTCTCATCATCCTCTCCCTTTCCCCGTTTCTCTCCTCCATCACCCCGGGATCCTATTTCTTCCTGAATGCTATAGGTGAGTAATACCGATGGTATTGTGTGATGAAGGCCGTGCAGGAGAGCCATGGCCAGTTGTTGGGGGGTCGTCTGGTGCTTATAATTCGCATGGATGGTATGGAATGTATGGGATAAGGTAAGTAGAGGAATACGATCAACCAATAACTCCTCAAAAGCCTCCGCCCCTCATTCCCAATCCACATAACAAGCACCCCGGGTAAGGAAACACGCGACACTATGACGTCCTAGATGATGAAACTAGCCTTCTTGGCGCAGTTGGCGCATTAGGGCATCGATCTAGGGGACGGTTTTGCCATGTTTCCAGCGGTGGAAGTGGGTTTCTGCAGAGAGCGATATACTCCCCAGATAATACGGCGGACGATAGCGGCCATGCGGCAACTGCCCAGCCCAAGGCCATAAGATACACTTTAGCAACCATTGATTTGGCAATACTGAGATCATCTGGAATAGAACACCGGCATGGCGCTGAAGGGTTCACGGCCGTCTCTCTTCTGGAATGGTAGGCTGTCATGTGCAAACGTCAGAGAACGGTTTATTACTCCGGATGCCCCGCCTGCACCCTGCGTTTGAAAGGGTCTCTGCCGGCAATCCAACATCGGATTCTGCTCCTCTTGAATAATTGACCTACCCTTGAAAGAAATGGAAGAGAAAAGTCGCAGTGATATATGGGAGGAGGTGATTCATGGGGGCGGAGGTAAGAAATTATACAAAACAAAAGAGGAGTTCACTCACGCTATGACAGGAAGCTCACAGAAGGTATCGACGGTGTACCTTGCCAAGAACGCTCGTTACGACTCTCAGAAAAGAGAGAAGGAGCCTTTTTGCTCACCTGGCACCCGTATTGATGTTCTGAGGGATATCGACAAGTGGATTGAGGATGAAAATGCCCCGGCTATCTTCTGGTTGAGCGGACTGGCAGGGGCTGGAAAATCCACCATTTCTCGCACAGTGGCTCGGGATTGTGCCGCAGAATCGCGGCTGGCTGCTAATTTCTGCTTCTCGATGGGAGATGGCGGTGCTAATAGTGCGGACCTCTTTGCAACCACCATTTCCCATCAGTTGGCTGGAAATATGTGGAATATGAAGGAACATCTTGCCTCGGTACGGGCAGGGGATCAACTTCTGCCTTGTCAGGGATTGTTGCGGCAGTGGGAAACACTCGTACTTGAGCCGCTCTCTCGTTTCTACCCAGGATTCTGGACGTCGATGTTAATTGTGATTGATGGTTTGGACTCCTGCCAGGACGACAATGATATCAGATTGATTATCCGTCTTTTATCCAAAGTTCATGAAGCCTCACATGGAAGAATGCGTATCTTACTGACGAGTAGACCTGAATCGGTCATTCGGTCAGCGCTTTCCGGTATCGACCACAGAGAATTCAGGCTGGAGGATAATCAGCGAGGCATTATTGACAGCGATCTTCGTGTGTTTTACTCGGACGAGATGAAAAACATCGCGCAAACAGTTGAAGGTCTGAATGAAGATTGGCCTGGAGACGAGACCATCTCCAAGTTAGTCCAAAAGGCGGAGGGTCTTTTCCTCTGGGCTGCCACTGCTTGTCAATACTTGCGAGATGGACGGAAGAAAGGTTTCATCCTCAGACGACTTGATGATATTATGGAAGGTTGCACTACCAAGGGAAGCCCGCAAGATAAAGTGAACCAGACATATGCCGCTATTCTAAAGCGCTCAGTCAGCAATCACTGGACGGAGTCTGAAATCAGTACACATAATGACACTGTCAATGATATCCTCGCCGCGATGTGTATCGTTCAAGCCCCAGTTTCAGTGAAAACCATGGAAATTCTACTTCCACAAGATGACATCGAGGCTACGGTGCGCGACCTGCAGTCCATTATCATGGTGCCTGATGACGCCGGGAAACCTGTGACTCTTCCGTGTTCTTTAATGCGAAGGTTCCTGGATTCAGACCACCGTACGAAAGACCATCGCATGAGGGCCCAAGAACTAGAGAGCCACAAGCGCATGGGCAATCAATGTCTTGTTGTCATGACAGAATGGTTCCGGTGTTGCCCACAAAAGCCAGTGGCGATTATCGCAGAGCTGCAGTATGCGTGCTTGTACTGGACAAAGCACCATGAATTATCCACCCCGTCCAAGCATGCTAGCGACCTGTTGAAGAGGTTTGCCGCAGAACACTTTTTCAGCTGGATGGAAGCAGTCAGATCGATTGGTAAGGAATGTCTTTTGCGTGAGATGATCGAGGGTCTTTATAGAAGGATTGTAAGAGAAAACCCCCAGCGATACCTGGATTGTTGATAACCGTGGGCAGTGTACATTTCGCTTTCCGGACCTTCCCAATGTTTGTGAAGCATATAATACGATTACAGAATTGTCCTCAGCGGACGATAGTGTTCCAGAAACGTCGGCTGCAGCAGAAGAGTGCGACACTCAAACCGGCGAGTCTGATTTCTCGCGTCCAGACACACCAGGAAGTGAATGGTCCCAGGCAACACAGATGTAGTGCTGCTGATTCTATTTACTACTATTCATCATTCCTTATTTTTAGCCAAATTGAAACCACCTACATGAATATCACCTATACCAGTATCACCTAAACCAATCACCTATACCAGTATCACCTAAACCAATCACCTAAACCAATATTACATAAACCAATGTCACTCTTAACCAATGAGTAACTACATACCATACCCTACCACATAACTGGCCGCCCATAGGCCAAGGCGTTGCAAAACAACTTAACAAGTACCAGGTAACATTTCTATTTCTAAAGACATCTTGTACAGATGAAGAAGTCAGGCACTTCTATGTATATGTTTATATATACTGGGGAGGAACCCCCCAGACCCCCCATCTTATTAGGACCGAACCTACTATTATTCAGTATTAGTATCTTATTTAAAAGCATCAGATCTTGAATCTCTAACTAAACAAAATTATACATTCTGGAGGAAACCCCCGAGACCTCCTCCTTACAAGGATATAAACCACTACTCTCCATCCCCCAAAACCCTAACAACCAACCCCCTAATCTCCCCAGCAACCCAAAGCGGATTATCCCTCTGAACAAAATGTCCCGTCCCCGGTGCTCTCAACGGTCCCCTTCCCCTCCCTTCCTCCGTGATTCCCACTAAACCATGGTTATACCTCTCCCAATACGGATTCAAATACTCCCTTGTCAGTACCCTCTCACCCCCACTCATAGTCTCAAACTCCTCTTCGAATTTCTCGAATTCATGGCCTACCACTGTAACCCACGGTCCCTTTCCTCCGGGGCCGAGTAATTTTGGAGCGTTGCTTGAGGGGAGTAAGGTGGGGAGGTTTTTTCGAGATAATCCCTCAGCTGCGCCCATGACTCCTGTTTCGGGGTGGAAGACTTTCGCCATGAATGCTCTTGTTTTATGTAGGGCATCGACAGTGACTCCCTCCGGTAGGGAGGTAGAGTTGAATGAGGGATCGTCTGGGTTTGGGTAGATGTTCACGAAATCGGAATTGGCCAACACACTATCCAGAAACATAAGCCCTGCTACACTCCCGGGGTAGGTTTGGGCGTAGAGACGGGATAGTGCGCCGCCGATGGAATTCGATATCAATATTAATTGGATCTCATGGAGGGGTTTGTGTAGGTGGATGGAGGTGATTTGTTTGAGGAGTTGATGGAGATCGTGTATGATGGAGAGGCAGTCGTGGCCGTGGGCGGGGTCAGGGGATGAGGTATCAGCTGGGTCTCGGTCTGTGGTGAGGCCCTGGCCGTAGCGGTCGTAGGTGAGGAGGGCGGGGAGGCCGGATTCTGGGGGGTGGTTGGTGAGGTTGGTGATTAGGGGGTCCAGGAGGTTTGGGGGAGGCCGAGGCCATTGATGAATATTATTAAGGTTTTGGTGAGGGGGGTTGGGGTTGAGGAAGAGGTGGATGGGGGGATGGCGGGGTGGAAGCTGTAGCTGAGTTGGGCGGTGGGTTTGGTGGGGAGGGTTATGGATTTGTATTCCATGGTGGATTGTTGGCTTGTTGGTGTGAATGATAATGATGAGATGAGATGAGATGAGGGTGGTGATGAGGAGAAGGATGTGGGTGGGATGGTAGTTATATAAGCGAGGTGAGAGATGCGACGAGGCTGATGATATACTTGTTGGAGGTGTGGACTAGTGCTGATGGGATCCACTCGAAACGATCTGGCCTATTAGAGGGGGTGGTGTGGTGGGGATGAGTTGACAGCCTCGTGTTGCTCCACTTTATTATTAGTAGTAGGTGCTTGTTTCTCGTTACGAGGTAGGGTTTTTGTGAGGATGGATGATGATTTCATATTTACCAATCTAAATACTCTCCACTTTCTCTATCTCTCCCCTCTTCATGGTAATAATAGCATCCTCCCTAGATCTCATAACATCCCTAATACCCTCCACCCGATGCGCAATCATAACAACCGTATACTCCCTCAACTCCTCCTTCAAAATCCTCCCCAGAATCCCCTCTGTCTCGGGATCAAGTGACGAACTCGCTTCATCTAATACCACAATCGGCCTGCTTGACCCACTTGTCTGCACCCGAAGCAATGTCCGACATAATGCGAATAGCTGGAGCTGTCCCGCAGATAGAGGGAGGAAGGTTGACATAGCCCGGTCCAGGAGGTTTATATCTCCCAGTAAGGGGGATTTATGATCTGGTTGAGTAGTGAGTGGTGAAGTTGAGATTTTCTCCCAAAGATGAGTTCGTTTCAGCGCCGCAGCAATAGCTTGATCCGTGCTGACATGGTACGGATCGAGATTAAACCGGAGAGTAGCTGTCGGAATGATGAATCCGTCTTGGGGCACGGCGATGAAGCCGCGTTGGCGGAGCGTGGAGAGTGGGATTCGGGTGATGTCGATGTTGTCGATTTGGATAGACCCGGTTCTTGTGGGGAGGAGTTGGAGGAGGGTGAGGATGAGGGTTGTTTTGCCGCTGGAGATGTTAGCTGCTGGATTTGATAAGCAGGGGACAAGGTATGGGGGATACCTTCCTGTCCGACCCATCACAATCACCTTCTGACCCGGGTTGATCTGGAGAGAGACATTTTTCATCGCTAATTCAAATGTATGAGAATAAGAAACCGAAACATCATCCATTCGTACATCGCCTCTTGGCCATTGCGGGTCTGGGTCTAAAGTCCCCAAGGGACGGTCCTCGCTGGGAACATGTTCCAGGACGCTTTTTAATCGGGAGATAGCCCCTAGTGAGGTCTCTAGCGATGTCCAGTTCTGAACGAGGCGCAGGAGGGTAGTATTCGCCACGATGATCAGATTCAGGGCTAAGCCGATATCTGCCCCTGTGGTGGTGTTTCGGTACATGACGGTCAGGGTCATGAGGATTACTACCACTATGACAATGAGACAGTCCAGGATCACTTTAAGCCAGCATTGGAGGCAGAGGAGGAGATAGAATGGTTTTTGGGATTGATCGAGTGCCTGGATGTTTTCGGATGTGAATTTGTTTTGCCAGTTGAAAGCGCGGATTGTGGTTATTCCGTTTGTCTGGGTAGGGTTAGTGGGTGTGGGTGTGTGAAGAGGAGATGTGCTTACTGTGTCGAGGAAACTGGTATATAATTCTGATCTTGATTCAAGGTCGAGGAAGCGTAATTGCCGAGAGGTCCGGAGGTAGATTCTTTGCAGGACGTAGACGCAGAGGAAGCAGATCGGGACAGTCACGATCATGATGGGTTGGACGTAGAGAATAAGAATGATCTGCATCAGGAGCTTGAAGATTTCTGCACGGCGTTAGTGGAGAGAAAAGATGGATGTGGAAAAGCTCACGAGTGTTCAAATTGGCCAGAGCCGGAGGAAGCTGTTTATCAATCAACGTGATATCCTGGGCGAATCTGAATAGTTAGCTAGATATCACACAGCAGGAATGAACGCTACCTATTTAAAGTAGAACCGATATCCGTTTCCGTAAAGTAGGCCAAAGGTGCTCTACACAATTAGCTCGTGTCATGTTAGATGTGAATAAACTCACCTGAGGACTCGCGCGAGTAGTTGAGCGTGCAATACCATTCCTGAGTGAATGGCTATCTTCATCTGCGTGGACCTGACAGTGTCAGCAAAAAGAATGATAGTGCAGTAGATGACGAACCACATCATTGCACTAGTAGCTGCCCACGCCATGAATGAAATTCCTGCATAGAGAGCCAGATAGCCATGGAGCTCGTCAGAGGGAGACTCGGTAGCCCACTTGAGGATATATTGCGAAAAGGTCAACCCAAAGGAATAGGTAGCAGTGCAGCCGGTCATCACCAGGACATTGGCTAGGCCAACCGCATTCAGATAGTAGCCTGCTGAATTAGCCACATTTCTGGATATAGTGGCATTACTCACCGTATATAGCCATATCTCCCGTCCTTCGGGATATATCATCGGCTGCTTCATTCAACCGTTGTTTCTGACTGGGGCCTTTCCCCTGGGTGTCTTTAGGCTGCGTCACCTCCGTAGTAGCAGAAGCTATCCACTCGTGTTGAAAGCTATAATCCTGCAAATACGCTTTGTAATCCCGCAAGACCAGTAGTTTATCCGCGAATGGATGTAGTCGTGCTGGATTGTCAGGATCGTTCTTGGTAGCAAAGGCATGAACTTACTCGAGTTGCTTATCAAAAAAACAGTTGTACCACTTGTCTTGAACAATCCCCCCGGACCTAGGAGTTTACCCACTATACGATCGGTAACAGCTCCATCAAGAGCACTGAATGGGTCATCCAGGATCAGCGTATCGTATCGCGAGTACACCGCGCGAGCAAGAGCCTTTCTAGTCAGTAGACGACTCGAGAAGTGAAGATGGACATACTATGCGCTGCCTCTGCCCGCCAGAGAGATTAATCCCATTGTTCTCAATCAACGTCCTATCCCCAGAAGGGAGTGCTTCCAGGTCTGGAACCAAGCTGCATGCACCGAGGACGGTTTTATACCATACGTAGTCGAGATCAAAACCGCCAGAGATAGCCTCGCGAATAGTGACACTAGGCAGCCAGGGTGCTTGAGCGCAGTATGCTATCTTTTTTGATGCCATGCGAATGGACCCTGTTGTTAAAGGTGTCTCCCCTAATAGGGCCATAGCTAATGTGGTCTTCCCGCTGCCCACTGCACCAGCGCAGACAACCATCTCTCCTTTTTTGATGTTCAAGCAGACATCTTGAAGGATGGGTCGAGGCATACAAGAAGGCTGGATAGATACGTTATCCATCGAAGCCGACTGTCCGTCTAAATCAGAACACACTCGAGCATCTCGAACTGACGATCGGACAAGATAAGCCTGAATCCGACCAAAAACAGCCATCACCGCAACAGCACGCGGAATCAACGTCATAACCATATTAGCAGGATGCGTCACCATGGCCAGAAGAGCAATTGACGTAAAGACCTCATTTGCACGCAATACCTCACTTTGAGATGATGCGTAGAGGATAAGAGTCACTACCGGAGCGAATATCCCAAGTGCATTTGCTAGAGACATCAGCATGAGCGATCATGTCAAGAAAAGTACATACCGCTTGCATTATATGCCACGAGAATCCACCTCAGTCGTTCAGACATGCGCAGTTCACTGTCTCGCAGCTGTGTAACTCGAGACTCGATTGCATCTTCCATTCCCATCATTTTCAAACTCTTGATACCTCCGAGGCTGGCTGTTATTGTGGAAATGCGTTCTTGGGTTGCAACGTTCCAGGCTTTTTGTCGGCCGTCGAGGTGTTTTGCTACGTAGGCGCTCATTCTGGAACATCCTAATTACTCAGTAACCTATCTGATAGATGAGTAGGTCCATTACCGAAAATAATGACAAGTGGCAGCAGTGCAAACCACTGAATCCTTGCAGCCAATAACACAGTCCCGACAATTACCTCCAGTAGCTGAGCCCAAGTCTCATGGAAGATCTCGCCTGTCGACTCGACGCTGTCAACATCAGAGCTCATGAGTGTCACGGCGTCTGAGACACCGGTGTTTGGGATATTCAAGGATTGGTTGTGGATGAGGCTGATTAGTGCACCTCGGACCATGATTTTGAGTCGATTGATTTGCTGCTGGTACACGGCTGAAGATACCTGTTCTTTTAGCTTCGCTCAGTATCTGGATGAGTTGCTTACTGCCATCCCGACGTATATCCCCGCAGCGTAGAGTATCAACTGCCTACCATCGTCGGTTTCAGACGGACCTCTCACAAATCGAATGGCAGCGCCCATGAATATCGGCTGGATGTAGCGAAACAGAATGACGAACAAACGCGGAATGATGGGCGATAAGAACGCATCTTTCAAACATCGAATCAACGTAACCGGCAGAGTCCACTTTGTAACGGGCTCAGCTACAAATATCAGCATATTTACCTCCACCAGCTATCCAATCTCACCTCTAGAATCCCACTCCCTCACAACCCTTCCCCGAATTCTCTCCGACAACAATTCGCTGTGAATCTCAGGCAACCCCGCGAGAGAAAGCGTGGCCTTATACCCCTCTTTCAACACAGGGCTAATCCAACAGAAAAACACCCGACTCAGGAATCCAGCACCCTCCTCTGAGGTAGATGGCTTGGAGACGGTCTGATACCAGATCCATTCTCTGAGCTGGGGATCCCATGCCAGCCAGACTCCTCCGAGACAGGCCCGTAGGTTTACGAGGTGACAGTTGCTGGTGCAGTTTCCGGTCAGGATTTCGCATATGTCTCGGAGTCTGGAGAGGATGAGGTATATTGGTATGATGGATGATGGATGTGCGCTGCGGGTGTGTTCTAGGACCGCGAGGGTGAGGATTCCCACGGCTGCAATGGTTGATAGATATGCGTCGGATATGGTTAGGTTATTGATGTTGTGTTGGTGGGGCCAGAGGTGTGTGACCACCGCTAGCTCAATTGTCAGGAGTAAGAGTGCAAAGATCTAGGTGGATTAGCGATGGTGATATGGTTTATCTTAAGGATTCTTACTATCTGTCTATTTATACGCCCGGGGGATGATTTCTTGGGTGAGTTGAGAAGATTTCGAATTCTTCGAGGGAATGCGAGGAGGAAAATCACTGATAGTATCAGTGAGACGGATTCCCATGGGTTGTCTAACCCAAGGAAAGCCATTGTGACTCCTCGATCTCAGTGTGAGAGGGTTTGCCAATCCAGGGCCGAACTCTGAATCAAGCGGTGACACGCTGGATGTTATGAGAGCCGAGATGCAGCTCGACGCGGGACGATAAGCAAGTGAGACATGGGCTGACGCACGTGAGCGCCTATCCACCGGACAATCGATAACAGCCACAAGGTATCCAAGTTGGGCTAAGGTGGTTTCAGGCTAATGCGACTGCAGGATGCATGGCACGTCAGAGTCGGGCTGCATACCGCCATCCGCTTCTTGGCATTCCGGTGGATGCAGCTATCTCGAATTCATCCATCCGATCACATCTACATCATAACCATACGCCACCTGGAGTATCATGCCTTACAAATCGGATCTGTCTACAAATATCATGAGATAGTCATGTCCACCCCAATTCGCATACTCCGTTGGTTATTATCCGACTGCAGCATGGAATTAATAAACAGGTCCACCCTGAAAGTCCGTGTCCTGGATAAAAGCATCCCAGGTAGCCTACATACATCAGCATAACACACACAAGGGAAGAGATCCACTCACCCAGTCAACATCCATACTAGCCAACTCCTTCTCAAACGACTCTCCGTCCACCAGAACCGGGGTATTAAAGCCCGGAATATCGAATCCTGATGGCGGAGTTACCGACTGCGAGGAACTACTCGAGCTATTCTGGGAACTTGCGACCATCCTGGCTAAGATGCCATATATCCTGCTTGCTTCATCGCACGAATCTTTGGCATTCTCCCAGAGTGTGCAAGATCGTTCGAGTGCCTGTAAGAGAGAAGTACTGTCCGGAGAGACATCCATATCCAGGAGTCTCGTACGGAGTTCCAGTTCCAGTAGGATGATCATAGCAGCAAGAATGAGCATCTGTCTGGTCTGCGAGGCTTTGTACCACGACGGCTCCAATGCTTCTTGGTATGATAATAATGCAAGAGCAGAAGAGATAGATCTGTCGCGAGAGAGTTGGAATTGGCCATCTTGACGACCCCTTGCCATGAATTTCCGGTGCAGAGTGCACATGCTGCGATGGTACATGGAGGCGAGGTTGAGGGTGGAGATAGCAGCTGCAGAAGTGAGAGATTCTTTACGTATCCCGTGAGGAGAGGGTTTCATGTGCGGTGGAAAGTTGTCGTATGCGGTATACACGTCCTGGTCGATTTCTCGGACCGTGTCGTAGGAAACGAGTGTTGGGGTGTTGTTAAAATCGGCGATGCGGCCAATGGCGCGAAAAAGGCGAGATTTGACAATCAGGTAAGTTGCTGCGGTTGGTTCTGTTAAAGGTCGAGACGGAGGCAGGATGGACTCGGATAGTTCCCAGTCGTAGAGGTTATGAGGTTCGCGTGTATCGGAGTATATGGCTGAGCTCATGCGAGGAAACCCGCCGAGGAAGGATGCCATGTCGTCCATGCTGATCACGGAGAGCCAGATGCGGCGGCGGAATTCGGCTTGTAATGGGGAGATGGAAGGGGAGTGGGAGGGGTCGCGGTGGTAGCCCATGTTGATTGCGGCGCGGACGATGACGCCCGTCATGATCCACAGGCCGCGACGGTTGTCGTCTTTACGGTTGAGTTCGGCGGTGGCGTTGAAGCGGAGGGTTTCGACGGTGTAGGGCAGACATTTGGCAATGTCACCGCTGAGCAGGCACTGGGAGGTGCGGATTCGGTACAGTTGAAAGAGAGATTCTGAAATGCCTTCGTACTCAGGGGGTTCGCCGAACTGGTGGTATGAGAGCATGGTGATGCCGAGGATAGAGAAGAGGAGGCCCAACCAGATGAAGTTGGTGCGAGATGGATTTTCCCAGTGTTCATCATACTAGTTGTGTCAGCAGGAGCAGTAGAAGTGGACACAATCATACCTCGCGCATGAAGGTCGGTTGATGGAGAATAGCTGTGACTGGTGAGATTTGGACAGATGTTGGATAAAGCAACTTACGAGGAAGGGATATGGGAAAGTTGTCGCGGTCAAAGAACTGAGCTATCAGCTTATCAGCTTGATGCTTTGGTGGTAATGTCACCATGATCTCGATTCTCTCCAACGGTTTGACATGGCCAAAGAGCAGACTTGAGCCGTCGACGGTGTGTGAGAGTGTGGGACGCACGACCTCATCCCTTGAATCGTGAGCTTCTGTCCATGTTCTCTTTAGCGAGTTTATCTGGATAAGTCAGTTGGCGATGCGAAGGATAGAAGTAAAACACAATAGTCATCTTAGACATGAATCAGAACCAATCTAGTCTTTACAGTACCGGAGAAGAGAGATTTACAAATTGAAAAAGGAGAAAAAAAGGATATGAACCATGAAGAAATTAAAACAAGCAAAGCAAAAGGGGTATAGAAAGAAATATAAATACCTCCACCAAAACATCCTCCCACTCATCCCCCCCTCTATACACCGACCTCACCCCATCCATAACCGTCGACCCAACACAAGCCACCTCCGATGCCTCAGAGGCCCCCCCACCAGTACCCCCCTTGACACTCTCCGGCGAAGACGAATTCTTCCCCTCCCCGATCAATCTCCTCACCAACCCCTCCAGATGATCGATCCTCTGCCTCATCTCATCCCCCCCAGCAGCATCCCTCCTCGGAACCCCATGACCCGGACCTTTGAACCGACAAGCTAACTGCTCACCCCTAGCCGTGCAGTTCTGACACGGTTTCTCACGGTTACATTTCAATCTGGTAGTGTTAGCCGCTAGGAGATGTGATGTGGGGCATGCATTAGTGGATATACTTTCTGGCGCGACAGGGGTCACATGATAAAGGGATTCGGTTGCGTTTGCTCTTAGCCTGTGGCTTTATCACCGCGGACGTAGTGCCTTGGGATGGCATCGTGGCTGGGTGATGAGGTTGTTAGTCCTCAAGTGAGACCAGAATAGCCCCGTTTTGTTGGTGGGTGCACGTGACTGTCTTATCTCCGCGGACTTAGGCGCCGTTAAGGGATTACCAAGAGGTGGTGGTGGTAATCTCCATGGAGGTATTATGGATGGGATGTTAAGTCCGTTATTAGATTCTAGTTGGGTATAAATAGATTATTCTATCCATGAGGGGAATGAAACTTTAATTCATCACGCCCTCAACCTTCAACAAAGCAATACAATATATATCTAGTGAATATGCCCACCTTAAGTGACTTCATTCACACCCAATTCCGCCTGACCATCCCCATTCCCACTACTCAATTCACTTCCAAAACTGTTCTCATAACAGGCGCCACCGGCGGCCTTGGAAAAGAAATCGCCACCCACATCGTGCGTCTCAACGCCGCGAAAGTCATCCTCGCCTGTCGAAACCCATCCCGGGGGAATGAAACCAAACATGCCATTGAAGCCACCCTGCAGTGCAACCCCGACATCATCGAAGTGTGGGAAGTTGATATCGAATCTGCAGCATCTATCAAGGGACTCGTGAATAAAGTCAACAAGTTACCTAGACTCGATGTGGTAATTAACAACGCGGGTATCAGTGCGGCCAAGTTTCAACGGGTGTATGGCACTGAGAAGACCCTCGCGGTGAATTGTATTGGGAATTTTCTGCTGGCATTGCAGGTGTTGCCGAAGTTGAGGGAGACGGCGAGGAGTATCAAGGGGTCGACGCCGTGTATGACGTTTGTGGGATCGGCATTGTATGATGTTGCCAAGTGGCCGGAGACTCATGGGGAGGATATTTTTGAGTATTTTGGGGATGGGACGAGGTTCGGTGGAATGAATCAGTAAGTGCCCCAATCCCGGTTCTTGTTGAGAATGACAGGTGGTTGTGGTTGGGATGTGCTGACGGTGGTGGATGTAGGTATAATCTATCCAAGCTGATCCAGTTGTATTCGGTTATCAAGTTGGCGTCGATTGTGGATCCTGTGGGTTCGGGGAATTCTAACGCCATTGTGATCAACTCGCTGGATCCGTGTTTCTGTAAGACGGGGCTGGGAGGGGATCTCGGTTGTGTGGGAAAGGTCTTGTACAAGTCTTTTGAGGCGCTCGCTGCTCGGACGCCTGAGGAGGGGTCCAGACTTGTGGTGCAGGCTGCTTCGGCGGAGAGGGAGACGCATGGGCTATATTTCCGGGCTGGAGCGGTGCAGGAGTATGCGCCGATTGTTAGAGATGAGAAGAAGGCTGAGTATCTTTGGGAGGTGCTGAGTAAACGGTTGGAGGGGTTGGAGCCGGGGATTATGAAGAATGTGGAGTGATGGGATTTGTTAGGGTGTGATGTTGGTATTGGTATTCGTGATGGAGTTTTGAATTAATGTAATTGCAACCAGTGAGACAGAGATTCAATGTGGAGGGTTGAAACCATCCGAGTCCACTATGCCCCCCTGCAAAAGAGACCAAAAATTAGTGTCAATGCCTTGAAACGGCCAGTCACTAGCTTCCGCTGTGAGAGTGGGAAGGTGGCCATCGAAGGCTTCCTCGACGTGGATGAACTCGTGTATATTCCAGTCATTCGCATGCTGTTCATGGCTGAGTGATGCCGAGCGGGATTGCTGATCAGAGCGTTCGACTGAGCTAGTGGGCTTTGCTCTCTGCTTCGGCTTCAAACATATGCTGACCAGACCAAGATATGGAATGTTCAGCTGAACAGTTTCTCCGAGGTTGTCTTCCGCCGATAAAGTCATTTTGTTCGTAGAGTCGGTATCAAGAACAGGCAGAAGTTGTGAAATAATATGCGATGATTCCTGCAAGAATTTATCATCATTCAGCAGAACAACCTGCTCCATCCTATCCTTCACCTGACCAATAACAATCCGATCATTTTCCCGCTGAGAATCAGAGACAGGAATAGCTCCCTGAACAAGATAGCTCAGCAGAAGCGTGATCGCAGCAATCGATGCCGCGTAGTCGATATGGCGACACGAAAAGATAGATTCCACATCTTCTCGAAGCGAGATAAATCGGGTGAGGATCTCCCGACCCGAGCGAATACACGTCATTCGACTATGTGTATATCGATGTTCCGTGGGGTCCCGAAGGAGATACAGTAGGTGCAGCATGACTAGCAGACCGAAGTGATTGATCTGAATCATCAGACGTCTTCTGTGCTGCCAGTTCTGCTCGGGAGTTTCGCACACCGGGCTGGAGTGAGACCACCACATCTGACCCATGCGTTTTGCACCCATGTCAAGGTCATAGTCAATTGCTTGCATGATAGCGTAGCCTTCGTTGGTTGTATGGTTTCTGTCTGCGATTCGTGCAGCGATCACAGTGTGTAGTTTCTCGAGCTTTTCTTCAGGGCTGTCGTATTTGGTCCACTCCTCTGAGGCGAAACTGACGTCCCGCATATCGATTCGAAGGCCGAGGAACAGTGATAAGTGTCGATCGAAGGCGGCCAGCAAGTACCAGATCTTGTTATGAAAGGGAGTTAGATTCTCTTTAGTCTTCCGGGCGTTGGAATCATTGCTCCCCGGACCAATACCGATTAGTTGCGCGAGGCTGCTTGCACGCCGGAAGGTAAGCCATGCTTTGCGCAAATTGCCTGCGTTCATGTGCCAGAAGCCATGTAGAATGATACATTGCAGACCATCTACATTAGCCATGTAGTCGTCATTGGAGATGACGAGGTTGGATATTGTGGAGTCTATGTGAACCATGATGGTCGCGACGGGAACCTTTAGTCCAAGACGTCTTGTGTCAAATGATGGACTGAGCTGCTGCATGCAAATGGCCAGCTGGAGAAGTCTTTTCGCAAGCATAGTCGGTTGGCTTGAGATCTGAGGGATCGTTGCGATGTCTTCAGTGGAGTTGTAAATAGCCGAAATGCCATCGGAATCCGAACTGAACAAAGCAGCAAGGAAGATTGTTCCAGGACTTGATTCAGTGATGAGCTTCATGTCCTCCTGGGATGGAAAGAGTGCATGCAGCCGTTGGGAGACCCTATTGATACCAGCGATACCAGATCCCAACGAGCTGTACGAGCCCCCCAACTCTGGCGTCAACGCAGACGAGGTATCGGAACCAGGCCCCAGTAGCAACCCAACCGGTGTTTCATCAATACCCGGGGTGTCTACATTCTGCGCGACTCGAAAGGCGTCTCGCGTCCCTGACGTGGAAAAGATTGAACTTGCTGCATCAAACCACCCCTCTCCCGGTCGTCTCTCCGCGACATCCCCATCCGGAAGAATCCGCTCAACCAATCTCTGCATCAACTCTTCAAGCCGATCCAGACGTTGCGCGTGGGTTCGTTCCCGCTGCGGTGGTGGCGAATCAACCAGATCCTGACTTCGACAGGGACTGCCTCGGATGCTACATGGAGTGCAGATGGCAGCACTTGGAGAGGAAAACTGGCAGCGGACCTTGCGCCGTCGACCTGATGCCATTAGATGATGGTGTTATCCTCGGGCCGGTCGGTGGCTTACATTCCCAGCAGCTGTGAGTGCCTTTTCGGAGTTTCCTTGGGGGCATGTCGCGACTTGAGGGGGTTGAAGCGGGGTAGTCATTAGGAAGTTAAATGATGCCAGTAGAGTACAAAGTAGAAGAGAAGAAAGAAGGAGGATGTCCGCTCGGAGGCCGAGACGGACAAATGTCAGCTTCTAGCGCCGATTGGGCCGCGCTCGGACCGAACACCACGAGCATTGTCACAGCACTACAGCGAAAATGGGGAAAATAAGAATATATGAAACAATATAGTAGACAAACAAACAACCCTGAGCTGAATACATTTTACCCATCTCCCCACGGCAGATATCCATCACTTCTCCCTCCCCCACTGCCTCCCACTCCACAACATCCCCGTAGTCCACAACCAATAATCCCTCCCCTTCACCAACCACACCAACCAACTGGGCAACTGAAACCCCATGGCCTCTCCAACTCCCTTACTCCGTCCAATCGGCACCATCTGATTAATTCGGGTATCCTCCTCGAACACCCTATCCTGTCCCACCTTACTCGGCTCGACCCCCGCCGCGAGACGCAAATCCATCTTCATATTAGCACAGAGAACCGGAATCGAATTCAATATAATATGCACCGTAGGGTATTGCACATTCCCAGCCACGTCTCCGATAGCGTAGATATGCGGACCGGCTTTCTCGACGCGGAAGGTATTGTTTGTGTTAATCCGGTGATCGGTTGATAGGAGACTTGGGTCGATGAAGCTCGTGTTGGGCGTTGTGCCAGTTGCGGGGATGTATATATCTGCTTCTAGGAGCTTGCCATTGTCGAGAGTGATTGTTGCTTTGGATGCGACGTTCTGTGTTCCTACGTCTGGGGGCGATATGGCTTTTACTCGTGTGTTTTTTAGGACGGTCACACCGACATCGGCGAGGTATTTCTCGGCTTTTGTTGCTAGGGCTGGTCGGAGAGCAGGAAGGATCTGTGATCCGCTTGTCACGACGGTGATTGACACTTTGGGCTTTGCTGCTTTGGAACTGAACCATCCTGCCCGACCGTTGAGGTATTCCCCCAGTTCACCGGCTGTCTCTATCCCAGCTGGCCCTCCACCCGCGATCACAATGCGTTTGGCGGCTGGGAGCGCGCTGCGAAATAAGTCCCACTGCTTGTGAAGAAATGCTTCATCCTGGTTCAGACCAAGGAGGGGAGAAGGGCTTGAAGCGCCAGTGGCGATGACCAGAGAGTGAAAATCAATCAACGTCATCTCCTTCGCTGCACTTGAGGCAATGAGAACCGTCCGGTTGATATGGTCGACTCGTGTGGCAGTTCCATGGACAAAGCGAAACTGATCTTTCGGATATTGTGCAAATTGGTCAGGTATATTGACGAAGAGCTTGTCTTGCGGGAACATGTCGTCGGAGATCATTGCTCGAGGACAGGCTTGTCGGCACATGGCCTGCGAGGAAGCACTGATCACGATAATTTGATATGCATCTTGAGGAGGGAGTGCTGGGAGGACAAGTTTTAGGAGATAGTGGGTTGTTGATAGACCGCCGTAGGAGCCTCCGAGGATGACGATGTTCTTTGGTGACATTTCCAATAAGCAGGAATATCGATTTGGAGCAGGGAGTGGACGTGCGAGGTCATGTTATATGCGCATACACGGAAGCCGGACGGACAAACTGCTGTGCTGGTGTCTCGGAGGCCGAAGCGGACGAACTGGTCTGAATGATCGGTCACCATTTCTCAAGCCATATCCAAACCCGAAATATTCTCTAAACCTTGCAAGGGGACTATATGAGCAACAATTTACTGGGGCCAATAGTATAGACTCATTAATCATGACATTATACATAGAAGACAAGGTCTTCATAAGGATGTTCATCTCATCATAAGTAACAAATGGCAGTCGCTCCCCTTCTGTCACCCAGAACAGCAACTGTTTACTGTTTGCAACAACGCAAGATACTCTGGCTATGTCTCCACCAGCCCAAGCAGGTTGGAACGGGCAGTTCTGGTTTTCAACAGCGCCAACTCCGCCGTGGGATAAACCTGAAGCAGGTTCAATGCAGCCTCCTCGCATGCATACAGGTTTGACATGGCCTGCAATCGGACTATCGAATCCGATCCCTGAAGATCCAAAACACTGGCCTCGATCGCAAACATGATGATCGTAACTGACGTCCCCGGTAAAAAGCGGAGCAAGTCCATATCGTCGAGTTCTGTGAGAACCCTCTTTATCTGCGACGTTGAGGCCCGTAGGCCTTTCAAATTCGGAAGGCTAGAGTTGGACGGTCGGTTCTCAGGCCCTGTGCGGTATATCACGGCCATGGCGGTCAAGTATAGTAGGTAAAGAAACGCTTTGTGAACGAGGAACACGGTTTCAACCGATTCACGCCCCCTGTCGGAGGGGAAGAGCGGTAGGTGATAGGTGGCTGTGAGAGGAAGAAGCTGGATCCAGGATTGGAGGAGTTTCTCACAACTTGGCTTGGTGATTGGTGGCACGTTGCATTTCGGAGTCAAGGAATATAAACTGCTGCGACATGGAAGTGGGATCCATGCGCCTTCGTACAGATAATCGAGAATTGTCCCCACGCAATAGGAGAGCTTGACCAGTTCGGTGAAGAGCATGGCTGATTGTTCCCGACTGGATCGGGTCAGCATTGACGCCGCACTGCCTAGACTCTCGAGGACAGAATCGCTGTATTCCTCGTGGATGAAGGTTGTAATGCCTAGAACTGAGCTTGGATATCGGCTCACCGGCATGCGCACTGGGCGACGGGAGCCAAGAGATATGATCCGGTCTCGCACGTAAAGACAACACCACATGAGTGGTTTGATTGAAGGACTGTCGTATGTCCAGAATTCGTCTTGAAGTAGGCCGACTCGTTCGGCAGTCGAAAAGGCCAGGTCAAGCCAGTACGATGGACCCTTGTGACGTGACATATCCCCATGCCAGAGAGTCATTAACAGTAGTGCTTGGATCTGAGTGTATGCACGTTGTTCCGTTTCGAACTCATACAGAACCTATGCCATGATCAGTATAATGAATGAAATTGATTTTATCGAGTACAAACCTTGGTGCGTTCAAAAAGAATTGCAGTCAAACTTTGGTCCTGGGCTTCTCCGTCGACATCCTGAATGAATATACTGCCCGCAAACATGACAGCCTGATACAATAAGGGTGACTCAAACTGCTCATCATCTCCATCGATAACCCCGGACAGAAATGTTCCTAGGTCGAGAAGTGGCAACAACGGATGAACATATTTGACATACGCTGCCAATAGTTTGTTTCGCAAGACACATGGTAATAGCTGCAAGGCGCCCTTGTTGACCAGATATTTATAATCCTCGGCTGTAACGGCCGCAAGACATGTATGGAACGTCCTGTCGGGCTTGGGGGTATAATCTCTCTTGCTCTGACATGTCCTCGATACCGGTGGGTCAAGAAGACTTTCAACCACTGAACGGAGATGATCCAAAGGGTATGTTGAAGGTACATGTGGCTTGTGTGCGATGTGTGGTTGCTGAGAAATGGCTGTGTCCTCATATGCCAGTATATTGGAAAGGGATCCTGAACCACATTAACAGAGATCTCGAAGGGGATCTTCTTCACCTACCTTCTTCATCAGTTCCGTCACTCCGACTTCCCTCACTGTCTGGACTATCGACATTGGGGATTAGGATAGCAGCATGGCTCCCGCCGGAGTATGAGCATGGGGAAGGCAATGCATTAGTGTCGGGGGATGGTGCCTTATTCGGACTAGTCGGTGATCTCCTGAGCGTCCTATGCAGCTGCATCAGAAACTATCATTTATTTATTTATCATGATGCTTTTCCATTGGATGCAAACACATGATAGGTATGCATGGAAATGGCTTGTACCTTCGTGCCTTCATAAAAGCACACTTCAAACCCCTTCCATCACATCGGCGACAGACACTCGATCCTCGTGGCAATTCACAACGAACCTTGGAGCTCCGACATGCAAGACAAGCGAGTAGAGGCCGCTGCGTCACGCGACTTAGGCCATGAGTTCGAGGCGGACTATTCATATTGCTAGCGATTCCATGGATCGTCCACGGCGGAGAATAGAAAACTGCGTTTCAGGAGCTGTAAACGATGGGTGATCCGTAGTTAATATTGTTACACTGCAGTGGCAGTGAACTCCTTTTCAAGATGGGGACCACCGGACATGACCATCAGCAGCTCCTTTTCCGGTGGCATTCACATTCCCGTCAGATCCACCGGCTGATCCAGTGGAGCTTTCTGTTGGATGCTTGCTTGTCATTGGCCAGTCTGATCAAGGTTCAGTCAATCATCTCAAAATCTTGGATTCCCTTGATGCTAGCGCTGGATCCAGGCACATTGCGGATACCAGTGTGGCGTGAGTGGCGGGCCTATACGCGTTTGGGGCAACGGTCACATCCTTCCGATAGAAGTAGAATCCAACGATTACTCTAATTTTGGCATGATACAGCAAGATGTGCTGACAGTTAGGAGATGCTGACAGTTGACGAGTCAGAATAGTACGGGTGATTGCGACTTGAGTGCGGCCGCAGGATTCCCACCGGAAGTCAATGTCCACCGGAAGACCCGGAGCAGGCCGATCGACATGTTGCCCAACTAATCGTGCAGCCGGACAAAATCAGCCCGTGGTACGAGAAAACAACAAAGTTTGCGTCAATTATGGAGTCATGCGTCTCTGAACTCTGCCCTTTTCAATTTTGCCTTCCAATCAACTGCCTACATTGCTTATGGCTAAGGAAATGTGCGACCCCAGTTCCACGCACTATTCTGGTCGTCAGGCACCAGGTTGAACATGGCTGTTCTATGGTTAATGATGGCATCGCGACACGGGCTATGCACTTACACTCGCCAAATGCCCCAAAAGTATCATCCAGTTGTTGAAATGCCTGCGCCGGGAGAAAGTCATAGGGCCCCATTACCGCAGCTAGGGGGTTCAAGTCTGATCCCCACCCTCTTTGGACAGGATCTACTGTCTGGTCCGTAGTGCAAGGAGTCATCACAGACTGGCTTGTGCTGGAACACGCGGTGAAAGAGCTGCCCTGATGAACGGTCGCGGTCGGACGGGTTGACTGTGCATCGACGGGAGTCTCTGCATTGTCGGCCAGCGCATGCGTTAGCTCACGTTGGATGGTCACTTTCAGCAGCTCGGTCAAAAGCTGCTCTGTCTGTCTTGCGATTCGATCATGCCAATTCAAACTTCTGCTCGCGCGGATTATTCTCACAACCCCGTCTTTTGCCTCGTGGGCGGCGGTTGTCAAAGGTTGAACGGTCGGGGGTATGCAGAGAATGACACCAGCAGTGAACTGTTGCATCGATGCAAATGCGACAGCAAAATGATTCCTGAATATATGAATCGGGATTCGGGATACACGGAGAGCAGCTGCCGTGGCTAGGCTGAGCGACCGGTGGACAGCATCGATCACTATCCGAGAAGACGTGAACCTATTTATCTTTTGCTCCAGAAGTGGTCGGTGTGCTTGTATAACCATGCCATCGTATGTCATTTGGAGGATCGCAGCCTGGAGATATATTGTCTCCACCTGTTCCTTCGTGCTGGGTGGAAGGGTCGGAAGTTGGTTTTCAATACGGTCCCATCGCCCATCTAAATTCCAATACTCCAAATCGTACAGCTTCGGTACTCTGGCCCTCCAGTCATTGAGGAGGGTGTCCGACTCGTTTGTAGTTTGGACAATTGCCTCCAGGTCCTGTTCCTTTGTCCCGGATGTCAGATTGAGACGACGGAATCGGTGGAGAATTTGTCCAGCGAGAGCATATATTTCTGCTTTTTTGACGTGAAAGACGGCTCGTGATGATAGCAGCGGGCTATCTCCAGTTGAAAATTGATTTAGCAACCAGGGGTCGATGGTCAAGTCGTCCACAACCTCCAACTGACGAACAGTCGTGGAATCCAAAGAGGCCGGGCGTCCATAAATAATGGAACAAAATGTATCCGATACAATGATATGGTTCCAACAACGGGAGCGGATTTCATCGGCGACGGAGGTTTGCAATGATGGGCTCTTCGACTGAATGTTGAGCGCGTAACCCGCTCTTGCCGCCATACCGAACGTGGTCCAGGCGAGGTTTGGGGAGCTGTGAAACATGTAATAACAAGAGAGCAGGAGACATACTTGCACTCCTTCTATACGACAGTCCTCCAGAAGGTCGAGGAGATGGGAACGTATCTCAGCGACTAACTTCTTTAACAGGCCCTGCGCATCAATGGAGTGGGCACGCATAAGGTGATGGCCAGGCCAGTCATGATCCGGTAGAACTGCCTGCAAGCTGATGGTAGCGACCGCAAGAACAGTCATGACCGCTCCAAGATCCCGACGTCTCCATTGCGGCTGAGAAATAACCCGCTGGGCCGTCTCTCTGAGGGATGGTTCATGCAATACTAGAATAAACCACTGCATCCGATAGAAGTAGGCATCAATCAGAGCTAACATCACCTCCTGTGGAGGCAGATTGGTTTCTTTCAACCCCCAGAGGGCATCATCCGTCCCCGCCATGCCAACATCACCAGGAACGGAGGCCTCTGTCAAGGTGCGGCCCATCTCCTCCTCATTATAAACCTGTCTCGCAAAGGCAATGGCCGACGTGCCGGTGGCATAGGCCTCGGCTTCTCGGTCCGGCAAGACATGAGGCGTGTCAGGTGATCCAACGGAAGCGGTTCCGGTGGACGCTGCTGGAAGCTCAGAGCCACGCCGTCGGGGCTGCACCGTTATGTCACATTTGTGGCCGGCGCGGGTACATAGGACGCAAGGTCGGACAGGATCGCACTGGTTTGCTTAGATCGATTTGCAACCACCGGTTGACGGGGGTTACCTTGAGTTTCTGCCGGCGGCAACGGTCGCAAGCCTTGGGGGTACGCGACCGGGGAGTCGATCTGCGGGGACCTTTCTGCATGTAGCCACGGAGTAGGCGGCTATTCAAGGGATGGTGCAAGTCAACTGACCAGAAAGGAGACCAAAGGCGAGGGAGAAATGGAGTCTGGGGTAGTGGAGAGATGGCTTGTTGCCGGTGGAATGCTGGAAACTGGAAAGTGGAAACCTCCGGAAATGCGGGGAAGAAGGCGTTCCGACCCTTCCGTCGTGGACTAACCCGACATGGGAAGCGAAACAGCCACGGTCATGTGGCACAATTCAATCCCAATATGAGATGGCGCCTTCCTATGGGACAATAGAATCAACTGGACACTATGGTTCATTCCATTACTGTAACTGAGGTTGATTGCGAATCATTATCACTTCTGTCATTGAATCTGTATTTATTACCTGCCTGGGCAGATTGAATCCTCTCATTAGACCTGTGAATCAACATGGTAATTCCCCTAGATGGCCACTATAAAGCTTAGATATCTCATCAAGTTGTCCAGACAGTTCCAGTATAGCTCCACAGATGCTAATTCTAGCGGCATCAAAGCTTTCAAGATTGCATAGCCCAAGGGGTGTACAGAAGTCTATATGTCCACCCCACATATGCAGAAAAGAACATGACGGCCAGTAGTCATCGCTTCAAAACCTGGACATGATCAACTAATACGACAGCGAAGGGTCTGGGTCTAAAGATCACCTGTGGTGCCCCATGATGGGTAAATATTACATGCAGGATTCAATAACCGCCTCCCACTTATTCGCATACATGCACGGTCAAGACACCATGGATGCCATCTTTGGAGTAATCAAGACCCCAGAGCTGTTCTCTCCACGCAATGGCCTGTTAATGGTTCGATTGATTGAGAACATATTTGACAAGGGGAAGATAGCGATTGTACCAGACCTTCCAGACCGTCCAAAGCAGACAGAGCTCCTTGCCTGGACCAAGAGCGGAACCCGAGAGTACACGGTAAAGATTCTCGATAAAACATGAAACAAGCTAGGCGATTATATAGACCTCGAGTCAAACTTTAAGTACCAGGGATTGGACGGGAGATGACTGTACGCCTGCCCGACGTGACTCCGACGTAGATTGTCTCCGACCGTGGAACCAGCCTTTTGGGGAACAACCTTTTGTACTTAGTTGGATACTGTAGGGACGGTTGCCCTTTCCCACCCACGCGCCTGCCTGGTTCGGGTACGCGACCGGCGATTCTTAGGGGATCAGACCACTCCCAACTTTCACTTCATTCCATCACTTCCCCACTTCTTCAGCATCTAAAACAGCAATACTATCATCGGTTTCCATCGGATCCGTCATCAAGTACGGAAAGTAGGATTCACAATACACACGTTTTACTGTTTCTTTTCTACCTCATATACGGAACACCCCTATATCTACACGTACGACATAGAACGCTAAAACACTATAGAACGCGGCAATGACTGCAATTCAAACACTCTTTCCGACCCAGAGCCCGTTATTTATATTTTCACTACTGTCTCCAAGTGTTGAGGCGGGCCTGGCAAGAAAATGCGACCCCCAGGGCAGGTTCAGCAATTCGCGATGAGATGGGGAAGCCCTTTTGAGGACCCCAGGGAGATACCTCCCAAAGAATATGCTGCTCGCCCTGGTAGAGGAGCTTGGACACAAATATGACGACTTGCTATGTGGAGCATCAAGGGCCAAGGGAGACCGAGGCTTGTTGGTCGAAGTGGCGGCCAAACAAATAAAAGGACGACGCCGGCTGCTGCGAGATTCTGGCTTTGGTGACTCTGATGATGAGCATTATGGCTCTGAGGAAGAGGACAAGCCTACTTTTACTGAGGACTAGAAGGTTAGTGATTGTGGCCAAGTTCCTGCATTATATCTGAGGAGAATGTCAGATGACCTTTGTTTTACGATGCATAGGAATAACAAAGAAATCGAGATCGATATGCCAATAGACATACAGCCGAGTCAAGTATAATACTTTTCGCTGCTCAATAGAGTCCGTTGCAGGTGATTGACAGGATATTTCCAAGCATTAACCAAGGTTCTTGAGGAGTGCTTGACACGATCTCTATTCTCGGTATCGATCAAGGACGAGGTTCCCATATCTTCATCAGACTAGCGATTCTAGAAATCGCCGATCATCCTTCCAATGGATGCACCTCTAAAATTAGAGATTCTTTGCGCACACCGAGAACCACTCCCTGATAAAAACAGCATCCAGATTGTGATTGTGGCGGAGCATGTGGATACGCGGTGGATCTTACGGCGAGGGAGCTTGGGCCATACCTATCTTGTGCCGGTTTCGGTGCTTAGGGAAATGCCCAGCATCAAGCTTATTTCTCTACCCCGATACAATAATAGTCCCTGTTAATGGATGTAGAATGAACGGTGGATTTGGACCATATTTAGAAGTAAGTTAAACACACCTTGAACTCCTTTAAAGTAACCACACAACACAGTCAACCTACCCTTTACCCAGCACCTAACTCTCACCTCTCCACTACTACTCCCTCCTCACACACATCACCCAATCCTCACTCTAATCCTCAACAAACCATAAAGTAAATACCTACATCCCCCCATACACAATCTCCGTACTCAACACTCCATACAAAACCAACACCGCCCAGCCCCGTCCCTAATCCTACAGCCAGAACCCCCCATCCATCCAACTAATTCAAACAGATATCCAAGATACTACAAAGAACGGATATAACAAACCCACTACACCAAACCCACCCAACTCCCCTGAAATTTGAGGCAGGGCATGATAGCGCAAGGCAGTGACGCCGTGGCGCAGTTGGGCTAGATCCTAAGGCTTATCCGCAGTAGGGTTAGTGGGGCGTTCAGTGCTGGTTCCGGAAGGGATCAGCGGGTGGCTATTGGGATATATATGGACGTATCATCATTATAATCATCATCATCATCGTCTACTCCTGCTCAGAGTAAACACCACTTGCACCCAAGAGAAATAAAAGACATTCAATCCTCCTTCTATATCGAAAGAATATTGTCAATATGGGCCTCATCAAAACCGGAATCCAACTTGCTGGAGCTTATGGTTTGCTTCGCGCTGGGTCAAAGTATGTCTTTCCACTGTGGATGATGTTGCTAAGGAAGATTGCTAATGTGTGATGTCTGATTGTTTAGAGCTGCCAATGAATACAAAGAGAAAAAGCAATCGAATCAGAACCAAAACCAGAATCAGAATCAGCACTACAATTGTCATAATCATCACGGGCATGGGCAGTATCAACAACCTCAGTATCAACAGCCACAATACCAGCAAACACACCACCAACAGCCGCAGTACGGATACGATCCGCGAACATACCCAAATGCCGGTCCGCAGTATACGCCCCCCGGTAACAACGAAGGATACGGGCCGGTGCAACAGAACGATCAACGCTATTATGCATCCCATGGGCGGTAGCGCGGGATTTAGGATTTGATGTTTATATATTTGGGTTCTGGGATCGCAGGGTATCAAGCAAGGTGTTATTGGGTTTTGTGATATAGAAATATGGGTGTGGACTTTGTTGATAGAACGGTATCATGACGTTGCCATGGTCTGATGTTGAAATGAAAAATAGGTCGGAAACAGATGATACCGGTGCAGGTAGTCGATGACTGACTTGCACCAGAACAGGCATATATGAGTGTTTCTTGCAGTTCATAGAACATAAGGAAACGAACGGAATGCTATTTGAAGCGCAAGTAAGCTGTGCAGCTACTCTGTATACACAGGCGGCTCGGCACTCTCTGGAAACTGCTCCAATCGCTCGAATTCCGATATCGACACATCATATCCCAGATGTCGCTTCAGCAGCTCGTGAGTAACGTATCGCTCTGGCGCGTTCCCCTGTGCCTCAACAAACGAGACATGTGGATTGGCCTGGCTGATTCTCTGCAACTCGTTGGCATGGCGATGGTGGTGCGGGCATCCATCCACACCAATCAGAAAAATGGTCACATGAACCCAGGACAGCCCGAGCAGATCCAGTTCGAACTCGTCCATATCTGTAGCTTCGCCATCGAGCAATAGTAGTAATCTCAGCATCGGCGTGCGCGGACCTGCTTGCCATCCATACACCGGATGGTAGGTGGCAGACTCGGAGTATCGTTGGAAATGCAAGTCCTTGATTTTCTGCCATCCCGTCATCACGCGAGTTCCGCCTCCGAACTTGACGTTATTCCACATGTCGTCCAAATTGGCATGGTTGATGAGTCCTATGTTGCTGGCCTTGTTGGCAAACGTGACAAGCTGGTAGCCATAGGCGTTGTGGTCATGGTTGGACATGGCATCTGTGAAGCGTCGGATGATGGCTTTCGCGACATCTATCATGCAAGGTCAGATTGCTATGCGACTGGATGGAACCACTCACCCTTGTTCTTTGGCTGGGTAGATCCGGTAAATCCAGTGACCAGATATTGCTTGTATACCGGTCGCATCGGGTCAAAGTCCATCGATCCAGAAACATCCAACAAGATCATCGTGTTATCCGTAGCTGATTCTGGAAGGTCAAAAGGTCTGAAAGGGGCTGGCATCACTTGTCTGGAGTACCCATCGGATAACTCCTGAAGCCGGAACGTATCGTCGGGAGAGTAATATGCTGGCGGTGGTTCAACGGCGGTCGCCATCCGTTCCCGGGCCATATCCATCGCAGAAATAAAGTCCGGCTTCATCCAGGCTCCCCTGCTTCCCGTCCTGTGATTCAAGACCCAGTATAGTCGCTCTTCGGCCGTGTTTTCGTACCCTCGCCATGTCGGAGTAATTCCTCTCCATCCACAGGGCGCATCGATCCGGAATTTGAGAGGGTTGGAGATGTGAGTTGCCCAATCGACAGGAATCGATTCAAAGTATCCTGCGCGGAGAAGATGGAGGTACTCCAGGGGATACTCGGCTCGAAGCTCGGCTATTTTTTGAGTCATTCCCACCTTTTCCTGGTAAACTGCCACAATCTGTCGCGACTCTGGGTCTGGCCACCGGCCACTTTCTTCTTCCAATATTGCGTTTCGTAGCTCTCGAGCGCGTGAGACCATCTGGTTCGCCTTGGAAGCCGACCTATCGGAAGACCCCATAGACAGAGCCTTTTTAAAAGTCGAAAATTTCGATCGTTTGGGTGCTTCTGGGCTGCCTGGTGTTTTTTCGTCCACTCGGGATGCGGAGGATGTCACGGCTTCACCTGCCACGCCTGAGTCGTCGAGTTCCCAAATGTTGCACCGTGGTTCCATAGCATTGACGGCTGTCTGCGCCTTCATGTTGAGAGTCGCATTTAATGAGATGGTCTGACGTACTGATTCGGTGTAGCGTGCTGGATCTGGTTTTCGCATCACATAGGTAGCAAGGCCGTAAGGTGAGGAGATCCATCTATAGGGGTTGTTGGAAAACATAGTGGCCTGGTAGGAGTCATGGTAGGCCTTTTCCCCTGCTCGATGTCAGCTTGTTTTCACATAGTGGAATGTGAAGAATACCAACCCGGATACATTACAGCTTTTGACCACATATCCTGGACACCAATTCGCCTGGCTTTCCTCCTTCTGTATTGGTGAGCCTCGCAATTACAAGTCACGTAGTCGCCGTTCTCATGTTCTGGTTCAATGTCGCTATTGAAAATTTGATAGACTCGTTGAATATTTTGGAGCAGATTTTGCATCTCTTGCTAGGCGCGAAGTCAGTAATGGCATACGAATTGGCAGTCAAGCGCACCTCATCCCGAGCGCGAACCTGCGCAGCCTGGATAACTGCATTCGTGTGAGGCCCGCGCTGCAGTCTGTTCACGGGGTTGGCATGTGATTCATAGGAGGGAGGAAGCGCCTGGGTATCTGTCGCATTGGGCTCTTGGTTGGATTTGTTGGCTGGTGGATGTGAGTATCGATCAGGATCCTCATAGAACAAGCTAAGGGCTTCATCCAAAGTATTGGCCCACTGCGAGACGCAACCAGTCAGTGGATATTCGGATGAGAGCGGCGTCACCTGCCTGCAAGAAGATCAGAGCCTTCCCCTCACTAGCATCGGGGGCGACGGAAATGAATTTGGCGATATCATCGGTCGTTGGCAACATGGCGAAATTTCGAAGCTGCTCGGTTGTCGGCAGCAGCCGCTGAGGGGAATTGCAGTTAATATACCGGTTTCAGCTGCCTTTGCTGCGGTATTCATTCCCGCGGAGGGGATGTTATCAGGCAGGCCACGGGGCGCGGAGATGGGCCGGGTACCCGGTGCCACTATCGATGCGCCCCGCGCATTGGCCAGTCCAGTTGGTCCTTATCACGGCTATGATGCTGTTAGCTTCGTCGCATGGACTAGAAAAGCTTGCTGGTCTAAGACAATTAATGGATCCGTCCACATAGAATTGAGCGTCAGCCTGATGAATGAGACCAGCCGAGGCAACTCATTGTTCCCGGGACTAGAAGATATTTCGCTAGATTTAGGCAGCACCCATCTCATCTCCGAACCTTTATCCTTGAATACAGTTATCTAACCATGCTGCAACATATAACAATTATGTGATCTAACGAGGACGTTTAGATGAAGTAATAGCATGGCATAGTGCGGAAGAGGGATGAGCGAGGATGGATGAATCTAGCCGATGGAGGAACTGTAGAGGAGAGGCGGGAATGTTGACCGCAAACCACGTGCCATGATCACCTGACATGTAGCGTTCTGTAGGACGAGATAGAGAGACACCTATACAGCGCGGAGAGATAGCCTACAGCAGAAACTGACATGACAGTCCCGTGATCGATTTCCTGTCGACAAGGTTAAGTGATTTACGAGAACCCAACTTGCCTTGTGAATATATATCACGTATCTTGGGGCGCTAGCTACATAGCGCGAAATATACTAAACAAATTGGCAATCATAATGAAAAAAACATCCCACCCAAAGCATTAAAATACGAAGGACTACTCCGTATCAGTGAATATAACAAAGACAGTCAGTGACTGATGCCTCAGGCACTAATGCAAACCGAGCAAACCAGATGCCCCTCTGCTGACGGTCCAGACCAAGCCCGACTAGGCTGGCAAACCGGCCAAAGAACGATAATATAAAACCCCTGCAAAACTTCTGCCCGAAAATTTTCCCCACATCACACCCATCTCTACCATCCGATCTACTAATCACCACTTTCACCATGGGAAACGTAAGCCACTTGCTGACTCTCTGCGAAATCCTTCCTCGTCGAGTGAAGAGACTAGCGACTTGATTCCGTCCCTCTCCCAGCTGCAAAACTTACATAAAACCCACAGGGAGCCAAAGCCGCCACCAAGCGTGAGCGCAACGCCAAGGACACCAAGACTGCCGGCAAGTCGCAGTTGAAGAGTGTATGTATCTTCTGTGTGTTTTTTTGGCTTCTGAGGGGGGTTTGTAGGGTGGTGTTACTTTGTGGGGTAGATGGCGATGACGGGGGAGAATATGTGACACTCTTTGCTTACACGGAATCTACAGAACGAAGCTGCCAAGGACATTATTTGCCAGGTGTGCCGGTCGACTTTCCTCAAGACTACCCGGGGGCCTGCTTTGACGGAACATGCTGCCAACAAGCACAACAAGACCCTGCAGGACTGCTTTCCCAACTTTGTGGATGTGCCCAAGAAATGATGGGGAGGACCGACGGAATTAACGATGCCATGTACATAGCCGATTAGTCTATTAAAGGGGTTTGAGCGATTTTCTCGATCTGGGTTTAGGTGCGGATTTGGTGTGAAAAACGGAAAAATGTCAGACTTGAATCCACAATGCACGTGATTGTGCCCGCATAAATGACTAATCATGTGAACACAGCATAACTCGAAACTGTTCCGCACTGATATTTACCTGTATCCCTCTACCTACACGTTCAATTCATCCCTGCTCAAGGTAGTCCAGGCTCGAACTATAACCTGGACGTCCAGGAGCCCTGACTGAGGAAACAACAACTCCGATTTTAGAGGATCCAAGGAAGGCGCCGGTGCTTCAGAAATGTGGTCAGAATCTGCACTAGGATGGCCGGGCCTGTTGTTAAATCCCGATAAAACGGCCTTGAGATCAGGTAGATTTGTTGTTATTGGCGATGATGTTATTGGAGATGAAGGGCGTGTGAGAAGTTTAATCAATCTCGGGTCAGGATCAGACAGTTTTCTGACCTGCCGTGGCGCTAGGCAAGGTAACGAGTCACTGCGAGCCACGTGGGGCTCATTCTCTTTAAGATTTGGTTGCTCTGCTGATGGCGAGGGGGTATCTTGCTCCCGTGCAACATTTCCACCTTCGCTCCCAACAATTGAGTGGGAGCTATTCCCTTTTCTTGACGACGGTAGTGATTTTCGCTCCTCTTCTAGGAGGAACCGAGCTTCATGTCCGGAATTCTGCAGATCTGGGGGATGTGACTTCCCGCCATCAACGCATGGCTGCAACTCTTCCAGGTCACGTGGGAAATGATCAGTTTCAATCACGGCCAAATCAGGTCTATTAGGCTCCAGGTGTCTGATCAACACGGAGCTACCATCAAATGTTGGAGATTTTGAAGACCCTCGCAACCGTTTGCGGGGAGGTCCGGCTTCATCTGCAGTGAAATTACAATCATCTGTGTCGTCGAATGGTGGTGGAAAATCTTTAAGCTGGTAATCGCAGCGGGAGGATACTACCAGGCCATCGTCACCAGGGATAGACATAGCAAATACATGTCCTATCAGGGTGTTAGCGGACACTCGACATACATGTTGCTGCATGTGTATGCTGACTTGCACGTGGACTTATCGGGGCAGTGTCGCCTCTCCTGGGCTTTGGCAGTCGAGGCAGATGGGTGCAAGAAGGCTCAACTCGTTTAGCAACTCGGTCGTTGAGTGCATCCGCAGCCATATCACCATGGCTGACTCTGATGTGGGAGATCTCCTTCGAGTGTATATCCAAAATACCGTTTCGAACTCTTTGATATCGAGTCTGCTCGAGCGTAGATTGATACGTGTCGATCTCAGAAAGGATCAATCCCAGTAGGCGATTGTATGCGCGCAGCTCTGCCGACAGGGTGTCTTCTGACCTTGAACCGTTAATCGTCATAAAGTTTGTAACAATGCAAGCGCCCAGAGCCTGGCTGAGGTTCTCAAATCTCTGGTCATTTTGTTTCTTCTCCTCGACAAGCTTCTGTATGAGAGAGCGTTGCTCCTCCAGTGTGCTCAAATCGGCTCGACTGGATCCGATCAGCGCTATTTATGAAACCCAGCTTGGGTGTTACTCCAACCTTCTTACTTGGCCAGCGTACATTATCACATTTAGAAGCAACAGCATGGTCGATTTTAGTCGTTCAAGATTGCTTCCGAGGACATGCAGCTCCTCCTCAACCATCACAAATCCCACTCCCTTCCTCACTCGTTGGAACACATTTCTCGCGGAACTTGTATTTGACTCATTCAGAGCCTTGTTTATCTTTTCGAAGACCACCTTACATTCGCGAAGGATGTCCTGAGCGGTGCTCAAGGCTTGCGCTGAGTACAATTTCGCGTGCTCGTCGTGGCTCAGATTGTCACCCAGCTGGCGCAAAACGTTGCAAGTCAGGCCCACATCGCTAGAGAGACTGTCTATGCTTCGGTTGGCATTTTTGACTCGGCGGTAGACGTTACACAATTTCTGTGATAGCTGGGCACCTGTCTCCGCAATGCCCAGGATGCTGAATACTAGACCGGCAATATCAAGACCAGACATGGCACTGTCGTGGGAGATTTCGATTGATTCTTGGGGGGTTAGTGAAGCAGTGATGCCTTTGGGACAGAAGGGAAGAGGCTGAGGATCTCACCATCACAAGGCTGTGTTTGCTTTTGCTTACTAGTGAGTAGCCTTGCATCAGTCCGATATGGGATCAGGTGACCTGGCACGTGCCGTCTGCATATACACAGTTCTATACTACACTCATATGGCTTTTCCGCTGGGGGTTACCCATGACACAAAATCGATGGCAAATCCTACCAAGCTAGAATAACACCGTATCCAACAAGACTCTTCCTATTGATCAGGAGGACACTGGGAGCATATTCCGTTGTTCTTGTTTCTATTCCTTCCTTCTCTTCACCCCGTTTCCCAACAGCAGAAATATAAACCATGCAAGTACCACATCTCATCAGTCACACTCGGATCTAACAATAATTCGAAACCCTAACACAATCAAATAAAGTCCTTGGGACAACTTCAAAGAATACTCACTCAATCAAATTCCCATCCGGATCACGCACATACACGCTTCGAATGTTCCCCACCGCACCAGTCCGTTCAACCACCTCCCCCCCCTCCAGAACCTCAATCTTAGCTTCCCGAAAAACATCCAGGATGCCCTCAACCCGAGACTCCGTCAAGAAACACAGATCCGCACTTCCCGGCATCACACTCTGCGCTTTGGGTTCAAATTCCTTGCCACTTTGGTGTAGGTTAATCTTCTGTGATCCGAAGAGAAGTGCATGTCTGAATCATCATCTCAGTATCGTCACTTGTACCAGGGAATGGTACCCCGCATTACCGTTGAATATCTGGACTGCTGGGAGAACTGAACACCTCGTGTTTCATCCCCAAGTGGCTCGTGTAGAATGCAATGGATGCGGGAATTGATCGGACTGTGAGGACCAAGTGGTCCAGGGACTTGATAGCGAACTTGGCGGCCATGGTGGTGGGTGGTTTGGTCAAATTTTGACGCGGAATTGGTTGCAGGAGCTTATGAGGGATATCGGGGACTTGCGCCGAGATTGACCCGCTGGGGTTCGGCATGTTGGTCAGGATGCCGAGTGACCAGCAAGAAAGCGGAAAATAATTTTGGCGAGAAGGGGTTGTTCGTCAGGTGGGAGTATATTCCTCTCTGGGGTATCATTTATGAATGATTTCTGGTGATGTTGCTTTTGATGTGTATATATTTCCCCATCCAGGGGGGTAACTCGAAGTTTTCCATGGAGAGGGGCTATTTATTTAATTGGTTCACGCATGATCAAGGTTACACTCATAATTCATAGTTTATATTCACATGTACCTTTTCGCCAGGCTGGACATTCACCACCTCAACTGCTACTCAGGCATCAGATAAGTTGCTACTGACGAGGTAGTTCCCTTTGATAGGAAGCATAAAACCGGTAGATATCCTAGACAAGTGAAATGGAGTCGAATTTCTTGTGTCAAATGGATAAACTCCTGTCTAAACTCCTTCGATCTCCTATTTTATTTCTTCCTAGAGCCCACGGTTGGCCGGTTATGGCGTAATTTAACTTCCTGAGTAGAGCTCCACACAGGTTTAAAAATGGAGTGTTCCGGCATCAAGTGGCTTTCGGTGGACACGTACGCTAACAACTCTTCACTTGGACAAAATCTATGCGGCATTTACCTAAACGACGTTGATATAAATCCTACATAGTGGCGACGTGACTCTGCCATAGTGCGGACACATACACATTCTAAAAGACAGACCACCAAAATCTCCCATCCACTACCCAGTCAAGTGAGACTGTTCATAGAACCTCCAAAAAATGGCTTCCCGAACGCTTCCCTCTGGCTGCGGGTTCTGCGGCAGCATGAAAAACCTCAAACGATGCCCAAAGTGCACTGTGATGCCATATTGCAGTCCCGAGAACAGGACCACGGATCATCCTAACCATGAACAAGACTGTAACCGCATCAGATACTCCCGAGGATGTGGACTAATTGAGGAAATCAACCACGAGGAAGCGATTGTGGCTCAGCTCGACGAGAGCTTTAAAATCCTGGGACACTGCTTATCTGAAGAGGAAGGTACGAAGTTAGGTCTACCGGGCCAAATCCCACAGATGCTGCTTCGTCTGGGAAAAAACGAGGATTGTTATGCCTTTGTGAGATATGCGGCTGGGATAAAGGAAGCGATGTGTAAATGGTGTGAACACCGGCATCCTTTCTGGCGGGATTCTTCGAAAAATATTGATGTCTGTGAGGCGTTAAATTATATGTTGGGATCCCCGATGGACTCCCACGCCGGTAGGCAACGTAGGGTCACGTGATACTCCTCCCTACACCGCTAGTTAGTCCATATAGATGGCCTAAGAGGCCCCTAGCTAGATCATCATCCATCTCATTCTACACGGTTGAATCGCCTTAGTAGCCACTCCAACATTATATGACTGTTCAGTTGTGGGATTCGAGTCATATGATTGCCTTCACGCTTTTGAAGATAAGGTTGGCTTTGAATTTACAGAGGATGAAGGAGTGTGAAGCTATTGTGGGACGTAGGGTCCCCACGGAGATTCTTTTCATGATTCAGTCATTTATACCCCAGACCGAGATTATTTCTGGCCATGCGGGGCTTTTGAAGAGCAGTGCTCGAAGGGTCATAATACGGCAATTAGATGTCCAGATTGAACAATTGTACCAAAGGATCAAAAAGGATACTGTTGTTTCTGGCTAATACTGGTGGGCTTGGAATCCCCTAGGTGGGTTGAATCCTCTACGGTGTATGACCTTATACGCATAAACTACTCCTCGTGGGTGGAGACACCAGGGGCGATACAAGTTATCAAAGACAAGGTGCTGAGAGATACGGGACCTGCTACGCGGAGAAAGCGTGGATAGGGCCGATGGACAGAAAAGGTCTCTTGAACATATACCTGTTGAGGGACTCGATGTATGTTGGGAGGGCAAAGCCTCAATAGTTCTTATCACTTGTTTGTTCACCAATCTCTGAATCGTGACGAAAATACCCAACAAAAATAACCAAAGTGACAAAGAATAACATTCGCGCAGTACTCCAGAGTCCAGAATCATCGTCCTCATTGACCCAAGTTATACACAAAAGCCCCCTTTCGCAGCCAGAACGCATGCGACTCAATTTATCCGACTTGTTCTTTCCATTCTCAGAACGCAAACCATTGTGCTAAGCCCTAACTCCATCCGAAACCTGACTATCATTTCCCCTGTCCGAGGTTTTACCCTCAGCGATCCTTACTTGACTGTCAGGTATCTTGGTCTCCTTGATAATATCTTTCACCGCTTCCATCAAAATATCCATATCTGGGTCGTCAAGCCATTCAGGCAAGTCACCTGTCCCCGGTGCGTTGGGTATGATCTGCAGCCGACGGGAAAGGCAGGTAAGGACAGGCTGAATCTGACGAGACAATATACCGTGGCCGATTGTTTTTGCATCCAGGGATGTGGGCCATGCGTCCAGGGTCTTTTTCCACTCTTCGATCTTGTGGCGGTGCTCGTCGTTTAGTTGGAATTCGTGAGGGCATCCGATGAGTATAGCTCGGCAGGAGATGATGGCTTTGTGGTAAGGATCTTCCGGGTTGAGATCCATATTGAGTGGAAACGGATATGTTATCAAAGTTGCAATGGGTATATTCGTGGTTATGAGTATAAAATGAATAATTTGACAATCCAAATACAAGAGCAGAGAGGACCTTGGGGAAGGTTATATACAAGATGGTGAGATAGAAGGCTCAAGTTGGGATTATTCATATCTTCCTGCTAAAAATAGGTAACTCCAGATGGGAGTCACCTCATATACTATATATATTCAAGCTGACTTCGGGCTGTAGCAATAGGGTTCCTGCAAATGAGAGGGAATATCCCTTTGGGGCGCAGGTTGAAACGGTCATCTGATGTTGAATGTGAGTCATAAGGCATTGTTCGGTTTGCATTGTCATACCTAGGTTGTGCTCATTACATGATGATAGTCTATGGAGTTATCAACGGATACCCCCTCAATGTGACATCTTTAACGCGTGCTGGAAGAGATGATAGAATGCTGTACCTGGTCAAAAGCGACAGTGGTCTTCGAGATGTGGGATGAAAACAAGAGTTGAGACTATTCGATCAAGTAAAAAGCATTAGGAAGCTTCGGCTTATTCCATATTATTGCTGTGTGTAACCAAGTGTACATGCGACGGAAGATGGTATGTGGCATTAGCTGGAATCACAGGAACTGCACTAACTCAACCGTTAATTCGATTTCTAGAGTGAAGATCTTCGGATGTAAATGGTAGTTTAGCACGTGCTAACTCCTGTACCTCTTCTAGTTAGGACATTGTTGATCGGAGACTTCCGATGAATAGAATGATACCCCGTGAATGCAGGAATCATCACATTGGAATCCTAAATGCTCGGGTAGCTGCAGTAAGGCGCGTCCCCCGTATATAGACTCACAGATCTGAAAGGAAATATACAAACTCATCCAGGTCACCCAACATCTGATATTGCCTGGGGTGCACTGAATATGCCTTAAAATGCATTGGTCATACCCTAAAAATGACTGATAGTTTGATTTCATAGACTCATTGCAATTGTCTTTGTTATAATCCTCCTACTACCATGGTTCATTTTCCTATAATGCCTTATCACGGACTGACAATAGTGCCAAGCTTGCGTGAGTTGATCACCGGGACACTGGCTTTTGCCAGAATGCACCTGAGCTGTCTTGACCTCACATACATTCATACCTCAGACACAACGATAGCAAGTTCAGTAGGAATCCTATTGGCTAAATGATTGGAGGAACGAAGAGATAAGAAAGGCCACGACGTGAATAAGACTTCTTATCCGATGTATCATGGAGACTTCCGTACATCAACAGCCATTTGATCGTGAGTACTTGTTCAATAACCCGCCTTTATCAGCTGAAACGATGACATTCACATAAAAGCTCACAATGTGGTGACTGGCAGAAGTTACGGAAAGTTACCAGGTTGAATATGGACTTGACCATGAGAGCCTGCTTAATCCTATTATCCCACCAAATGCACTTCAAGACCCGATGTGCGAATGGTACTTTCAATCAATATGGGCGTTATATCTGTCTTCTAACGACAAACATGCACTGTCTTCCAGTACATGCTTCGGAAATATGGTCTTATTGAACAACGTGGCTCTCAGGATACCAATATATAAGCCACCTGCTTGGCCTGGAAACTGTTCAAGAATGTCACCCTAATTCCATCTACAATCACCTTGCACCAAACCTGCTTACTCGCATCCCAATAGCTGACTATTCGACTTTCCTCACCAGACGTAAACCTCTCCCACCATTCCCACCCGTCGATCCTCATTCAATAAACCCCATCCCAACATGGACACCACTCCCATCACATCAGGCTGCGGGCTCTGTGGTGCAGCACAATGCCCCATCCGCTGCGACAGTTGCCAGGTAATCACTTACTGCAGCCAGGAACACAAAGCAGCCCATAACCCAACGCATCTGGGAATCTGTCTTGACATCAAAAGTCAGCGCACCAACGTGACATGGACAGAGAGCCGGCTGCCCTTCAATACCAAGTTCGTTCTGCATCCATGCCAAAAGCTCAGAAGGTTTCCTCCCGGACGCCTTGGGCGCCGTCTCGCATCAAACGGATTATCCTGGCAAGACGACAATGAAAAGGCCTACGTGCAATCGCGTCTTGATCTGGGGCAGGCACTATCTGGCGTCCGGACCAGAGAGTCCCTGCAAGCCCAATTGACCCATGTCATGGATGTTTTAAAAATGTCAGACTCTGCCCCAAGATTTCTACGCATTCTTGCTCCAGTGCTGATGCTCCGTCTGGACCAGGACCAGAACTGCTACAGTTTTCTAAAGTGGTGGGCGCGGGCGAAGGAGGCCAGGAGTAAAAAGGTGACCACGCACTACAACGACCCGGGGTTATGGTTTCAGGCCATCAACTTGGCAGATTTCTTCGAGCCTGTTGATTTTGTTCACGATCTTGCTCACACTATTATCATGACCCTTTTCAAGATCAAAATCCTCCTGGGTATCCGGAATCTGGATACATTGGCATCGATATCTGTTGAAGAAGATTCGGAAACATTCCTCAGAGGCGCTGCGCGGACTGCCATCGTTTCTGACAGGTGCAAGCTCATGATGGATGGTAGCAAGCGCCAGGAGATGATTGATGTCTTGCTGATGCAGGTGGAAAAGCTTTATGATGGTGTGGCGAAGAAGAATGGTTGTTATTGGTCTGCTCTTGTGAGTGCGGAAGGTTCTTTGGAGTGGAAGCCGGATATGAAGAAGCATGGTTTCCTTGAGGATATGCAAGATATTCTGGGCTATACTCACGATGCTTGGAGGGAGACTCCGGGTGCAATTGACTTTATCAGAGATAAAGTCCAGAAGGAGGTTCAGCAGAAGGTTCAGGTAAACGCTGGGGGACAAGCTCAAGCTCATGTTCAGGACCGGGGTCAGGACCAGGTTGAGGGCCAGGTTGATGACCAGGTTGAGGACCAGACTCAGGAGGCTCGGGAGCAGATTGAGGGCCACATCAAGGGTTAAATTCAGGATGGATCATGTCAAGTGTTCGGTTTATGCAACAGCATGATACACAACTTATGGCAGGAAGATCATGCGGCTTCTTTACCAGAATATAGAGGATTGCTCAAAGTTATCGAACCATCCCGTTCACAAATTTCGCACTACTAAAGTGTTCACTAATCATGTTCGGAATGCTTCTGAACTGATACTCCATTGGCCGTATAGAGCCATTACCTACCTAGATGCTTCACAATCAGGAACAATGCTATCCCCTTGAAGTGTAGTATGCTGTAATGATTATTAATGAGAAGCCCGGGGCAAATAGATATCAGAAGAGATAAACGCCCAATGAATGCTAGCATTGCGTATCATCTTCATTATAACATCACACAAGCAGTAGCTATCTTACTATAACCGACCTTCGTGACCCTATGAAGACCGGAGACTGCATTAAAGACACAGTCAAACTTACAGATCGCCCACGAACTGAGCATCTTTCATCTTGTTGCGCGGATTCTGTCGTGCAGTGTCATTCAATGTAACAAAGAAAGTAGTAAAGACATGCTTTAGGGTATGCAAAATCTGTCACAAGTATAAAAGAAAGATCCTTTCTCTACAATATCGACAACTTCCTGGCCCTTTCTTTGTCACGTGTTCGGCAGTTGCCGGGTATGCTTAATGCAAGCCCGGTGAAGGTCTTGTATTGCTTTGTCCTCCGCGACTTGTAGGAATAGCCATGTCTCGCTTTATCTCTTCCTGCTCGATAATCAGGATACTGGTCGCAATAATTCGAAAGCCTGATGGTCAAGTGAGCCTTGACGAGGAGTTCCTGCTTGACGTTAGCACTGAGATTGTTTTGTCCATGGATCTCGTGGAGATGATTATATCTGCTGCATTTACAGTGGAGCGTGTCTATTTTCGAATGGACGCGGCTTCCTTTTGTTGGAAGACTTGAAAGACCGAAGACTTCTATATAAGCTGTCCTATCCACCATGGAACTTCCCACTCTTGTTGTATAGGACATGATGGAGCGTGCACAGAGGGGCAGATAGTTGGGGATTCCCAACGGTCTGATAGAGGACAGCCGACGAAGCTATCGAAAGTTAGCGAGCTGGATCGAAACATGACAAGCAATAGAAGGGACTTATCAGACACATGGACCTCTGCTAAGATATATATATATCAGGCCCCCCAATACATTACATAGTTTGTTTCTTTTCTTCCTCGAATTCGTTAATTTCCTATCGCTGAATGCACAAGGTTACTTCTGCTTTGTCAGATTAAGTTCTGGCTCCTCACAGCTTGTACACCACTTGAGTACTTCTGAGGTCATCAGCAAGAGTTAAAATCACCTGTTACCTCAAGCGAGAGCCTGATTGTTACTAGTGCTTACTCAGTGTCCCATAGCCGAAGCGGTGTGCAACTAAGAACTGACCCTTGTATAAAGCAAGCAACCAACCCAACACCAACACAGCAGATCCTTAATCATCCTCAATCTCTCTCTCCCCCTATTCCCCCCTTACTAAGCACTCAAAATGTCCCTCCCCCAACCCACCATCGTCCTCGTCCACGGGGCCTGGCACACCCCCGCCAACTACGCCCCCTTCACCACTCAGCTCGAATCCCAGGGCTTCACCGTCCACTGCCCTCATCTCCCCAGCTGCACCAACACCAGCCCCCCACCCGCCACCTACCATGACGACGTCGCCACCGTCCGCAACCTAGTCACCTCCCTCGTCAACAAAGGCGAGTCCATCCTAATGATCCTCCACTCCTACGGCGGGGCCATCGGCACGGACGCAATCCAAGGTCTCGACCTCCCCACCCGCACCGCCAACAACCTCCCAGGCGGCGTCATCCACCTGCTCTACATGTGCGCCTACATCCAACAGACCGGCCGCTCCGTGTGGGACGTGATCACTCAGGCCCAGATGACGGGCTTCTGGCCGCAGTTCGTCGAAAACAAGCCCGACGGCTCCACCTTCCCCGTGGACCCCGTCCAGCTGTTTCTGGGTGATTGTGACGAGGCTCAGATCGCGGCTGCGTTGCCGCATCTCGTGCGCAGTCCTCTGAGTGTCTTCCATACCCCTAGCTCTGGGGACGCGTGGCGTCGCTTGCCGGTTACGTATGTTACCACGACGAAGGATTATTCGGTGCCGAGGGTTTATCAGGATATTATGCTGAAGAGGGTGGATGAAGAGGGGGTGAAGGTGAAGTTGGTGGATGTGGATACGGCGCATAGTGTGTTTCTTTCCAGGATGGACGAGATGGTGAAGTTGGTGGAGGAGGTGGTACGGGATGAGAGGAACAAGTGAGTTTGTGTGGGGATGCAGAGATGGTGAGAGTCTGAAGATACAGATGAGGTTGTCTCTGTGAGTAGGAGCAATCCTTGCCCTCGCGGGTAATGGTATGTTGGAGAATGGTTGAATTAAAGTAGAGAACTGCATTTATTTCAATCACCGCCACTAATATACTTGAAGTGTATGAAATGGCTCAGGAGGACGATTCTCTCGATATGGCTATACGGTAGTGTAAAAGGATCTGTAATAAGGGATCGGACTTGGAAGCTAAAGATAAAGGCTCTCTTTATTAAGAGATATAATCTTTAGCTGCTTATTCTGTTCTTCAAACATTCTTGAGAATACTGGGATATTATTAACCATTGTGGTGGAGGTCTATCTGGGAGGGGACCTTTCATGTGGAAAACGTTCTAGTTTGTGACACTTCTCTCAGATCATGCTATCTTTTCTGAAAACTTATGTGAAGACCAATGTTGCGTAAACCTTGAGTGACGTTGGGATCTCCAGATCACATGCATCGTGAATTTTCTTGCTAATGAGTGGTTCCGTGTATAGATACTTTTTGTTACTTGATAAGATATAGCTCTGAGACTGCATTGGTTGATAATAAATCGACTTATCTTTGAAAATAGTTTTTTGATGCATAATGAAAGTGACATGGCAGATACCGGGTGTAAACATTCAGACTACCTACATTTTCTTTGTCTATACGCCTCACCGGAGTATCCCAAAGGACTTGTCAGTGTTAAATAGTATTTGAAATTGTATGTATCCGAAATTTTCACTATTACAAATTCCATTCGGATGTTGTTAATTCTTGTTTTGACTTTAATAGATACTTGCCGACTTTGAGCTGCAAGTCGCTAGTCTGGTCTGAACTATCGAAAGGAACAAGAAACACTTATATGAGCTACCTTTTCCTGTTTTTTCTTCTTCTCTGATCTGCCCTCTATCTATCCTCTCAATACTTTCCCTCGTTCTCCCTTCTTCAACTTGAGTATCCCATTCATCCCCCCACCTACTTATCACCACCGACATACCATGATGCCTAGCAAGATCCAAAAGGCCCAACCTACTTTAAAGTCCCAAAGTACCAAGTGATGGCAGCTCTTTCCTAGATTCGAGATCCTACCCCGTCTCGAGCCAGATGTGCTCAAACGACATGAATACAATGAAGGACGGTATAACCGTTGGTTGAGAGACACGAGAGCAGATACCGCGGGTGAAGAGTCACTAGACGCCCAACTTGAGAATTACGAGGGAGAGAGAATTTTGATTGCAATTCTTTTGAAAGACCTTGAGAGAAACCTTGAAAAGCTTGTTGGGAAAGGTAGGTTGTTGTATTTTTTTCTGTTTGGTCGAACCGGTGCTAATTGTGCTAGTGAAAAATCAGCTGGCAGAAGAAGAACCGGAGTCCACACCCAAGCCTAGAGAAGAATGGGAAAATGATTGTGTGGACCCTTTGTGTTCTGTTAATCATAGTGAAAAGATCGCTGAGTTGCAGAAGAACGGGGAATATGGTGCCCTTCTTGTGGATGTGTATTATATTGAACATGGTGTGGAGAGACTGGTGGAAGGATGGGAGAGAATCAAAAATGTTCTGGGGCGTTCTTCACTCGGGGAAGAGGATGTGTGCTGATATGTGAAGTTTGTTCTGGTAATTAGATTGGGTTATATCTGGACGTGTGGTATTTTATCTACCTCTTGATTGGGGGGGGGGAAACTAAGGTGTTTGCTTTCTACAAACGTGTGGTAGTTTCTGTGGTTTCAACAGAATGCCGAAAGTTGACCCTGATTTTGGGATTGTGCTACGTGTATAAAATCGTGGAGAATCGGCAAAGAGGCCCAGAAAAGCACACAGCAGATGCGCTGAGGTGGTGACGATGGAATTGCCAGCAGGAAAGCCCATATCAATCAATATCCGTTGTTAATCACCAAGGGAAGATGCCGTAGAAGGAATGACTTGGGGAAAGCAATAGGCATGCATATGACTAGTAGCGGTCTCAAATTCCAAAGATACATGATTTTCGAATTATGAAATTAGGGATGATTCCATGTAGGCCACGGGCCGTTCTAACAATCACTGACATATTCATTGACATTTAGCAAAATAGGTCAAAGATCAAGTCACCTGTCTACACGGGGAGTAAATGACAATAGATATACATGGTCACAGGATGCAAGACAAAGGAAACCCCGCTTCAGGGTTATGGACATTTCCTTTCTTTTTTTCAGGACAGACGGTCTGAGAAGAAGGCGGAAGTCACTTTTTTTGTTCTACATATGTTGATAATCAATCAGGTAAATCAATCAGGCAGAGAATGTAGGCAACACCTATACTATCCGACTCACTCTATAGATCCAGTCAAGTCTTTGGATAGCGTTGTTATCTCCAATGCGCAGAAATATACCGTATCCTGCCCAGGAATTACTCTTTCGCGCTGGCCCCTGTGTCCTGGGAAGTCATATCCGATACTGTGACTTCTATCGCAACCCTTTCTTGCTAGCTGCTTCGTATGAGGAAAATTCCCGCGTATGTCAGGTTCTTACTCAACTGCCTGGTTCATAAACACAGTAACCCGTGCCTATGGTGAGAAGACTAGGTGTCACAATCTGATCTTAGTGCACGTTGACACATGATCTTAACATCTGTATCTCAGCATGTGAAGCAATGCGGAACCATGCGTGTATGAAGAACTCAATGAGAAGATTGAACAGAATGACTAAAAGCCTTTCGATAGTATATAACTTATCTGTTTTGACTCACATCTCTACCCGTGGTGGTACTTCCTAGGCAAGCTTATAAATGATGCGCGTTCTAAGTTACTGAGCTTAGGATCCTAGTCTTTTGCTACATGGCTAAGTTTGGACCTTGATCGGATCAACAGTAGTATCTAACTTCAAAGCGCACCCAGCTTACATCCTGGCTGTACCCGCATCTTTATATCTCAATCTTGGAGTATGAAACAACGCAGAGGCTATGCGTGTAGGAGGTAGTTACTAAAGCGACGAAACACAACAAGTAAAGAAACCGTAACTGGTCAGTCAGTTGCCCGCCAGCCCCCGTCTATTAGTGTTCCCAGTTTCTCATCCCCCTTTCCAAATTCTCTGTTCCATGTGCTCATATATCTGGGTTTTACCGAGTATATGACACGACACATGATAACCAGGTTGCCATGTTTGTCACTCCTCTAGTGCGCTAGAAATTGCATCACATACATGAGCGCGTGCTTGAAGTCGCCACTCGCCGTTATCTTCCTCCTCTTCATCAGGCCATGGTGGTAGGATCCGCCAGGGCGCCATACAGTGGTAGCCATTGTCAATGGCCCCCTTGACCATTTCAGAAAACACAGCAGACATACCCTCTACGGAGGTAAGCTTGTCAACAGATCGAATGCGAGTCGAATGATTCTTTTGTCGCGAGTAGTCCAGAATTCGTGCTGCAATTGCGGCTCCAATAGCGGTGGCAAAGGATGTGCCGGAGAGCGCTGCCATCGCTAAGGGATGTCTGATGTCATCACCTAAAATGGGAAAGCTTTCCTTCGCCTTGCTGCAAACTGACAGGTTGTATATTGGGGTGGCTTTGACATTGGCATCCGTCGAGAACATGCAGAAGAGTTTGTGCTCCGTGTATAGGCAAGCCGGAAAGGCAATGCCGCTGAAATTTCCGTAGTTTGACGCCGCTGCGAACACCAGAATCCCAGCCTTACGTGCCTCGTCAATCGCAGCTTCAATTCCCGGGTGGTCGTGTTGGAAGCCTGACGGCAGGACAATAACATCGCCATTCAGACGTTGCGTGGTGAATGGCCTGCGGGCCATCATGTCAATGGTCTACCCTTCTGAGAGTTAGGTGGGATTATGAAGGAGTACCTGGGTCATGAGAGCTGCAGTATCTGCAGTCGCTTTTCGACGCTTGAATACTCTACCTACGTATATGTCGGCGGGGGCATAAGTTATCTGAATTAGATCGATCACGTCGGTTCCATAACCGGTCTCATCCTGGTAGTCATCGTCACACCCGCTCACAAAGTCCTTGTACTTCGTGATAAATCGGGCCAACCGCTTCCTGACTCCGGTATCCAAAACTGCCATTTTCGTGGGCCGATAGATGTCGCCCATCTCCTCGGGCAGGGCACGGAGGGTGACGGTTAGCTTCTGCAGCTCACCGAACCAGTCATCGGAACACAGGAGACCGCGACTACCACTATTAGTTCAATATACTCGGGCGCTCGCATGGGCAACTTTACCTCACTGATAACTTAGGATTCAAGGTGATCCGCGGAAGGAGGGTTTCCACCGAGGAAGCGGGAATGACCGCGATAAAGGCATCATGAAGAGGCGAACACATATGGCTTTTTATCGCTCTGTGCAGCTTTGGGGGATCATTCAGGAAGGGCATAAACTCCCTTGGGTAAAGGCAAGTCTCAATACCCGATTTTATGGGCTTAAATATGGGGTCCGTCTTGTCCCAGTCAGTCGCCATGAATATCTTATGCGCAGTCAAGTGCTATGCGGTGATGGTGGAAAGCCCTGGATTGGAACGTCGATCGCCCTCGATATCTATGCCCACGATGATTTCGAGCAGCAATTTTCCCAGCGCTAGAATTCCGGGAAAATCATGAGTTTTGAAACCGCTGTCATGTGCGAGAACTTCGTCGTCACCTCCAAGGGCGATCAACAGGTGGGGCTTATCCAGATGGATTTGGTGACTGTTGTCCTGCTGGTGGTCCAACATAAATTGAATTATGTGTTTATTCCATCGTCCCTGTATCCATGGCCCACCATAGGATTTCCAAAACATATCCGCAAGGGTACACGAAAGAAGAAGCCTCATCCTCCCGGACATGTGCGTCAATTGCAGTAATTCCGCCAGAGAGACGACCTCCCGTCCAGGTATGTAATCAATGTTTACAGAGGGGTTGACCCTCAGTTGACTGACATCCTCCTCATAATCCATGCCACCTTGTTCAGCGGCAAGCTGCCAGAGTGATCTCGGGGCCCTATACACGATGTCAGGGGGGTGGAATGGTCTTCGCCACCAGCAGAAATGCAGATACAAATCCGCCTCCCGGTACAACGAGAACTCGGTCGACGGGCTGCAATCCTGAAGACACCTGACACGAAGAATGCAGGCTCTGGTTGTGTCGGAAACGAGGACTGAAGCAATTGATGTGATTGTTAAGGACGATTTCGTAGAATGTTGGTGGTTCTGGATAAGCAAGTCAGGAAACAGGCCGCCCACATCATGCTACTAGAAGATTCATGCAAGCTCATGGTCAGTCAGGTCCTTCTTTTAGCACCGGGGCCACTACCTACATGACACAGTAGTTCATGGCAGCTTGAAATGTGGATTATCGGCCTGTCTGCCAGCTCCTCTGAGTTGTTATCTAGGCCGGCAAGATACCGCTCAGCATCCGCCAACTTGGTCTGAAACACGCTACTAAAGAACGCGGGCGTTGTTGATGTACTGCTAGCCAGCCGGGCAACTTTTAGCAGCTGGTGGACGCCACACTGTGCGAAGGATAAGAGTGATGGGTACGGTTGAGTGAAAGGCAGGGATGGCATAATGCGGATAAAGAAGACGATAGATAAAGTAGAAGATATAACAATAATAAAGCAGGGAATAAATGACTGACAGGAGATGACGAGGATGCAGCTACTATTAATAACTAGCCACAAAAAGCACCTTACCCTGCCCCGTTGTGGTTGGAACAGCCAAAGGGACATCAGGCAGACATCTCCAGGCTATCTATTCCCTAGGAAAGACCGAAATCAATGTCAATGTGAAATTCTGTGAAATTCATTGCAGTGGGGTTCCCTCTATCCAAGTTAGCCATTGCCATCCTCTCTCGCATCAAGCCGCAGATATTCACTTACACACCAGTGCCCCCATGCAATTTTACCTCCTTCATATCCGAATTCAAATTCTTGCCGCCTCGGACAACCATGATCGCCGTTATCATGAATACGGACGAGGATCTTGGGAATCTCTGCTGCTTCAGATACTTGGACACCTCATCACTTCTCATTGTGTCATATAGCTTGCCAGGGCCCATCATCCAATACAACACTATTTATGATCGAGCGATTGTAATGACTATGCGAGCACTGAAACAATGTAATGGTCAAAGACAAAGAGAATGAGACGAGATTGATTTACCACCAGTGTCACCATGGCCTCATTCTCCAACGTCGTTTCTGCAGATGCTAAACACGGTACCTGCAGTCAGCGCTAAGCAACACTGATGACCTTGGCGCAGATATCGGCTTCCTCCGGGAGGATAACAGCTGGATCCAAGCGGCCCAGGCCGATGTGGATCCCTGGATTGCACGAGATTCTGGTTCATGGCAGCCCTAAGCATGGACATTGATGACTTGCTAGTATTGGGGAGTCAGTACCCTTACTCCCACTTGATCTACTGCAATGTCAACTTCTTTTCACCCCCTCTTACACCCTGTAAAATGTAAATGCAGGGTCTGAATCCCTGACAGAAATCATCAAGCTGGCCGGATGCAGGCCACTAAATTAGGGCGCCCCACGGCAATCTGCTTGCCTGCACCAACGCCATCCTGATGCTTTTAGTCTGCTTAGCCAGCCCTTGGCAAGCATCTCAGTGGCTGTACATCCTGCTAGTCTCCCACTAGCCACTGGATGTTTATCTCGACGCGGTCAACGGCCGAGAAAAGTGGAACCACCTCATGCACGAGCAATCCGCATAAAGCGAGGGGCAAGCAGACCAGATCTGCACCTGGCCCTCCATCCCAAAATGTCTCAACAAAGCGCTCCTCCGACCGTGGCAGATGCCTTCCTGGAGGCTCTAGCCGAGGTAATCCATCCTATACCCTGCATACCTTAATCAAACATCGTCTCATCCACGACAGGCCGGCGTCGACTACCTCTTCACCGTCCTAGGCTCCGACCATCCCAGCATCATCGAGGCCTATGTGCGTCGCCAGAATGACCCCGCTCGCCAGTCCCCCAAGATGATCCTGTTCCAGCACGAGGTATGTCCCCCAGCCCTGCAGATAAACCCCGCTGATCGCCCAGTTCGTCGCCATGTCCGCCGCCGATGGCTATGCCCGCATCAGCCATAAACCGGCCTGTGTGTTGGCCCACGTGGACGTGGGGACTGCCGCGCTCGGTCAGGGTCTGCACAATGCTTCCAGTGGACGTGCCCCTGTCATCATCTTCGCCGGTGTCGCTCCATCGACATTGCATGGTGAAGCCCCAGGCTCACGCTCCGAACACGTCCAATGGTATCAGGATATCCGCGATCAGGCCGCCATCGTAGCCCCCTACAGCCGGTTCAGCGCCGAGATCAAATCCCCTCACAACGTCAGCAGCCTGGTCCATCGCGCCGTCCTCATGGCCACCACTGGCTCCCCAGGTCCAGTGTACCTCACAGCCACTCGTGAGATCCTCGCCACCCCGGTGCCCTCCCTTCAACCCCGTCCCAAGCCCATCCCATCCTGTCTCCTGGGATCCCTCCCCCACGAGGCCGTCGAACTCATCGGAAACGCGCTACTCGACGCAAAATCCCCTCTCGTCGTAACGGGCTATCTAGGACGGAACCACCGCGCGGTCCAAGAACTGATCAAACTCGCCGACACCATCCACGGTCTGCGCGTCTTTGACTCCGAGCTCCGCGAGGTCTGCTTCCCAGCCACCCACCCAGCATGCGTGACACGAGGAACGGGCGCCGCTCCCGCCGTGCAATCTGCTGACGTGATCCTCGTGTTGGATGCCGACGTCCCTTGGATTCCCCGCCGCGTGCACCCCTCCCCGGACGCAGAGATCTACCATATCGATCTGGATCCGCGCAAGGAGCGCATGAACATGTTCGATATCGGTGCTGCGGCCACCTTCCACGCGGATACCAGCGCCGCACTATCCCAGCTAAACGCACATATCGCCGCCTCGCCCCGTCTGTCCGATCTCCAAACCACCTGGACCTCGCGCGCTGAGTCCCTCCGCACTGCCCACGCCGAAGGCAGAGCCCGGATCGATGCCCGTGCGACCAAACTCCTCGAGACCCCTGACGCGCCCTGTACCGTCGACTTCCTCTGTAGTCGCATCCGCGCCCTCGTGCCCGATGATACCATCTACGTCACCGACTCTGTCACCAACCAAGTCGCCATGACCGAGCAGCTCCAACTCACTCGTCCGGGTTCCCATCTGACCAAAGGTGGCAGCGGCCTCGGCTGGGCTGGCGGTGCCTCTATCGGCGTGAAACTCGCCAGCGCACGCTACAACCTCTCCGATCGTCCATCCGTACACCCCAAATCATCCAACGACAGCCCCTTCATCTGCAGCATTACCGGTGACGGCAGCTTCGTTTTCTCCGTCCCGACAGCAGTGTATTGGGCTGGTCATCGCTACGGCTGTCCGTATCTCACGGTGATTCTGAACAACGGGGGCTGGAATGCCACGCGGCAGTGTCTGGCGGATGTGCATCCGACGGGGGTGGCGGCGGGGTTGTCGAATGCGGATCTGGGGATTTCGTTGGTACAGGATGGGCCGGATTATGGGCTGGTGGCCAAGGCAGCGGCGAATGGGAATTTGTGGACGAAGAGGGTGGGTTGTGTGAGGGAGTTGGATGGGGCGATTCGCGAGGGTGTGAGGGTTGTGAGTGAGGAGGGGATGTCGGTTGTTTTGGATGTTATTATTGCGTAGATTTTCAGCCTGGTTTCGGGAATGAACTTGTGATGTAGGTAGTAGTACCTTATGAAGATTGGATGAGTCAATAGTAGTACTAGTATTCACTGTTCAGTAGTTCTCAGTTGATAAGTACGTACATAGTGGCCCGAGGGGGTTAGTAGTTAGGCTTTTATAACTGGTACCATACTATCAGGAAAGGCAGTGAACCATTATTTATAGTTTTCAACTGAATATAAAGAATATTCTACAACTATTATAATATGATTACTATAAGATTATAGAAGTCTTACTACTACAGTATTATATTATTAGATACAGTTTATGATAAATGATTACTGTTTTATCTTTATAAATAAGTATATACAATCTATATATAAATTAATTAGATAAGTTCTAAAAAAGCCTTACAGATCCAAAAATCTTATTTAACTAGATATTCTTCTTAGAGTTACTTATTTTCTTAATAGTAGTAACAAACTAATAATAAAATAGATATTAAAGATAAAGAAAAAGAAGGCGAAGACAACTTTAAATAATAAAGAAGGAAAAGGTAAAGATAACTGTAAATAATAAAGAAAAAGAAAGTAAAGATAATTATATATATAGAAAAAAATAAAGAAAGAAAAAGGAAGAAAAAAGAGAGAAGTGTTACAGACCCCTGCTAGCCAGGTTACTAGCAGAAGCGGACTTGTCAGGCAGAAAGGTAACGACCAGGAAGGACTCGGGCAACCAGCAACTCTTATTGAGTAAGATCCCGGTTGGGGTAACACCCGAGGTAACGCTGTATCACGTGACCATCTACCATCAGATCTACTATTAAGAGTATATAATATAGTATACGGAATCCAGAAACATGATTAGATCAACCCTCAATCTACCCTGAATGATATATGAAATGGTATACAAAGGATAGGATATAAAGATACTCTTTTATATACTTAGCTAGTTCTGTTCTCCGTGCTTAATTCACATTATCTTTAAGTAACCTATATTTTGATAGAGCTTAGCGATAACACTCGTCCGCACTTACTTACGGATAGCTACGCGGCACTATCTGGCCTTACTTCTCTTCTCTTGTTCAGATCAAGTCACCTTTAGATAGTCAATAACCTGACTACCTTTGATTCAGTTCACAAGGTACGTATCAGAACGGGAGCTAAGCTAACAGGAACAGGGAGAAGCAATCCTAGGGTTTGATACATTGAGCACCAGTCAGTACGAGTGTTACCCAGTGATAACTAGTCATTATGTTAACTACATCAAACACATCGCGTGCGCCTCAGCAGGGCCCGATAATCAAGGAACTAATAAACATGGTTAATCAGCTACAAGAAAGCGTCACTGTCTTAGAACAAAAGAACCAGTTACTTGAAGATCGCCTATCAGTTAAATCTGTCAAGGTCCGACCATCCGAGCTATTTAACAGCAAATAAGCGAAGCTCAGAGCTTTCTTGACCCAGTTAGATCTGTATCTCAACATAAACAAGAAAAAGCTCAAGAATAAGAAGGACAAGATCTTTTTCACATCCACTTACCTTACTGAAGCAGTATTTAATTAGTTCAAACCATATATCCGCGAGCGACAGGAAAAGTCAGTAAGTAACCAGAATAATGATATAAAATGACTTTTTGCTAATTATACTAGATTTAAACAATGTCTTGAACAGATATTCAGAGACATTAATACAGCACAGAATACTGAGTAAAAGTTATAATAACTTAAGCAGATAGAATCAGTATCCGTGTATACTTCAGAGTTTTAGCAAGTCATCAGTCACCTGGACTGGGATGATGTCAAACCCTAGGATCGCTTCTCCCTGTTCCTGTTAGCTTAGCTCCCGTTCCAATACGTACCTTGTGAACTGAATCAAAGGTAGTCAGGTTGTTGACTATCTAAAGATGACTTGATCCGAACAAGAGAAGAGAAGTAAGGCCAGATAGTGCCGTGCAGCTATCCGTAAGTAAGTACGGACGAGTATTGTCACTAAGCTCTACCAAAACATAGATTACTTAAAGATAATTTGAATTAAGCATGAAGAACAGAACTAGTTAAGTACATGAAAGAATGTCTTTATATTCTATTCTTTATATACCATTTTATATACTATTCAGAATAGATTAAGGATTGATCTAATCATATTCCTGGATTCCATATACTATATTATATATTCTTAATAGTAGATCTGATAGTAGATAGTCACATGACACAGTGTTACCTTGGGTATTATCCTAACCAGGATCTTACTTAATAAGAGTTGCTGGCTGCCTGAGTCCTTCTTGGTTATTATCTTTCTGCCTGATGAGTCTGCTTCTACTAGTAACCTGGCTAGCAGGGGTCTATAACATCACTTTCTCTTTTTTAAGGTTTCTTATTCTTAAGAGACATAAAGATACATGTCCTTCCTATATTGGTTGAGTTTTCTTAATTTTTTTTTTTTTTATAATAATCTATCATGTCTTGTTATTGTGCTAATCGCGATCAGGTGAAGAAATATATCTATTAGTCTAATAAGATTTATAATAATGGTTTTATCACTAAAAGTTCCTGTAAACACTATTTCTTGAGAGATATTCTCTATATCATGGATTTGAAAAGCTGAAATTATGCTGCCTGTATTTATTATAACTGAAAATGTGAAAAATGATTTTACAGTAATAAAGAGTAAAATAAATTAAAACATAATTAATTAGATATATAAAACAAACTCGCTAAGGTCCTTGTTAAACAGGCCTGTATTGCCGCCAAAGTGGCTTGCTTGTTCAAGCAATAGCAGTTCCTAAAAGATCATGATAAGCGGATGTTGGATCACGACTTAACTGTATTAGAGTGGCTGGATAAGAAGGATCCTCCAAACGCTGAGAATCTCCAGAAGCTAGAGCATCTGGCTAATAAACATAATGCTGCTCAACTTGCCGCTGCGTCAGACACTCCTAGTCTGACTCAGTTAGTTAGTTCCCCTTCATTCTGGGCGAACTTTGACCTGTCCGTTGGTAGTACTGCTCCACAAGCTAGTGACAGCCTGTCAAATTCTCAATAGATTCTCACGTGTTTTCTGAGATATTATATTCTACCTATTTTACCAGATACTGTAATCTGCTACTAATCTTCTTGTAGTCCAGGATCTTTTTAACTTTATATTCTTTTTCTATGTTATCATCAATCTCCATATTTTCTATGATTCTAGCGTTCTTTGATACAGATTCTAATAATGAGATATGAAACACTAGATAAATTTTACTCATTGATTTTAGTAATCTTAACTTATAGTTAACCGGTCTCTTCTTATCTTTGATAACAAATAGTCCTAGCTTGTAATAATCAAGCTTCTGACTTGATTATTTTATCTTAATATTTCTGTAAAATAAAAACACTTTCTTTCTTCTTTTAAAGTCAGATTCTCTTCTATATTTATAATTGTAGTATATTTTATTATATAAGTTCATAAACTCGATATCTCAGGATAACTGTAAATACATGTTTTCTATAAATATAACAATATTTTCAGTTATATCAGTAACTTACTACTTTTTTAATGGCGTTTCCAAAAACCTCGAATGATATCTATAATTAGTATAAAACAATGAGACTTTAATAATTAAGTAACTAGTATTATTATATAAGAACTGTACTATTAATAATAGATTTATTTAATTATCTTACTAATAATTCACGTAGTACTTCAGATATTGTTTAATTATCTAATTAATCCTTTCTATTTATTTATTTATCTGCAGATAATAAGTTATTATTATTTATTTTTTTATTTTTATAAGATCTACGAGTGATCTCCAGAATTTTAAGATAAATAACTTATCTTAATCTAATATAATATACTTTCATATTCTATAGTATATAATAATATTTTCTAAAAATAGTTTTACCATCTGTATTACTATTATTATTATTTTATTGAATATAAGATGAATATATTTAGTAAGATGATTAGTAATGACTATAATAATATTAAACCTTTCTGATTCTGGTAGTAAATCAACAAAGTTAATTATTATTTATTTTTATAGCCATTGTGGCGCCTTCTATACTTGTATTTATTTATAAGGTTAGTATCTTGTAAACTTATTCTTAATATAAGTCTTATATTGTTTAATATAATCACATATTTTTTATCTAAGGTTCGGAATGTAGTAATTCCTTGTGATTAGTTTAATTATCTTTTCCATTTTTAAATAATCCTTAAGTAATCTATCATAGTATCTAGCCACAATCTCTATCCTCATCACGGTTAATATAAAGATTAATCTATGAAAATATACTAGTTTATCTTTATTAATAATGATCTTGTCTGGTGAGTCCTTGCTTATTTCTTAGAATATTTTATTATTTTTTATATCTTTAGCTAATTACTTAATTAGGTTATTACCTATTTCTAATATTACTGCTAGATTGGTCTTATTATAACTGATCAATCCATCCGTATTTCATTTCAGGATGGCTAGTTTAATAGTCTTTCTACTTAATTTATAGTCTAGCCTGCGGCTTAACATATTTACATATCTATTCTCTATTCTCTTATAGTATATGATTCTAAAGTTATATTATGACAGAATCTCAGCCCATTGTGCCTGCCTTCTAGTCAACTCTTTGATTATTATAAAGTAGATTAAGTTCTTATAATCTATCTTTATAATAACAGTGTACTTTACTTCTTTAAAATAGATTCTTTACTACTTAAATATTACTATTATAGCTAGTAATTCCTTGTTATAAATATCGTAGTTGAGTTCTACTTGAACTAACTTTCTTAAATAAAATATAATTAGTCTTAGCTTTCTGTCTTCTCCAGGTTATGTTATATGTATACTAATAATATAGTCTGATATATTGGTCTTAATGGTTATTTCTTTCTCTGGATTATGTTATATAAGTATTAATAATATAATAAATTACTGCTTAATATCTTTAAACATGCTCTGCTATGGTTTTTTTTACTAATACTTCTTTAACTTCTTTATAAGCTTGAAGAATAGTGTTATATAGATAGCATATCCATTTATAAATTATTAATAATAGTTAATTAATCCAATAAACTGCTGTAGTTCTTTCAGATTCTTAGATTAAGACTAATCCTGTATAACTT